AAACCATAACAGAGGAAATTAAAAATTAAAGGGACCGATACCTACCTAAGGGGGGTAAGCGGTTATAAAGGATTCTCGAGGATAAGAACCAAAGAAAGAGGGAGATAATGTTATAGACTATACGATATAAGGGGCTATAACCTATAGATAGGCTACCGAGAGCTAACCGTTCCTAGGAAAGGAATACAGAACCGGATTATATAACCAACGGCCAGAATCAGCCTCTGATTTACTGTATTAAACAATACTATACTAAACTATAAAACAACTAGCGTAACGTAAGAATAAGTATTCTTTCTACCGTCACTAACCTTATACCAGAAGTATAAGTATCTAGTAAGACTATATAACCTTAGGGTATACTAGTAGGTATACTAACGGGTAGATAGAAAGGGTTAATTCTGGTATACTACTAGATATACCCTCTAATATACTATACTACAGAGGATTAAGTATATAGGGATGTTTGTCTACGTATATATATTTAGTTCTCTGCGATTAATTAATCTAAGTTACTATGATATACTTTTTGGATTATTCTTCTAGTTTTATATAAGTAATAAACCTATATAAGTATAGGGAGCTTATCAGACTGACCTACTTAGCGCCCTATCTGGCATACCCTTTGAAGTTACTTAATAAGACCCGAGTCTGTATAAGGCTTTGTACAGCAACGGTACGGTTGTAAGTCGATACTTAAGGCTTTATTGGTGTTTGCTCTTAAGAGACCGAATTCAGCCCCCTCAGTGTAAATCGTTATTCTACTCTATAACGAAAGTAAGTTCTACCAACTGATCAACCACTAATAGTGCGACCAGCTAGCGAGTGTGTAACATTTAACTCTAGCGCTTTTCCTAAGTTTCTTAATTAAGTATTATTATAGTAATACCAGAGTCTTAAATAAGCTTATTAGATCTTTACCCCTAGGGCTCTTAGCAGTAGACAATATTTACTTATCTAATAGCCTGGCTTACTATAGTTAAAATAATTATTTAAAGAGATTCTAATAGATTAGTTAATCCCTCTGATAGATATATTATTTAGATTATTATTATTTTAAGGAAGAAACAGATAAGAATTACTACCAAAATAAGGGGGATTTAGGTATAAGTTAGAGTTATTTTAATTTAGGTATAAGTTATAGTTATTTTAATTTAGGTTAGTTCTAGGACTATAAGGACCCTTTGAGTATAGATTTCTAGGACCCTTTTAATCTTATTCTTTACTATTAGATTAGTTCAGAAATAAGTTATTAAGTTATAGGTATTTTAAGCTTAAATTAGAATTATTATTAAATAGATTATACTTATATACTTTTACTTTAGTAAATTCCTAGGTACTCTATACTTCTTCTACCTATTATACTTAAGTTTCTAGAGAAACCTTTGTATACTATTAAATATATAGTATTAACTATAGCTATAGCTTTAATATATAGCGGCAGGCTTACTTATCCTAGAAGACCTAAGGAAGATAATATTCTAGGTCTATAAGACAGTAGTAAAAGACCTTTAGTTCTTTATTAGGTTACTAGCGGTAATACTCTATCTTATCGCTAACTTCTCTAGTAAAGGTATTTTTATTATACATTAAGGTAAGAGTCTATTCCTTAAAATACTCCTAGCTACCAAAGCGGTTATTATAATTATCTTTAAGGTATCTCTCTTCTATAGTCTAGTTATTCTTATAGTCAGAGTTAAGATATTTAACTCCTATAAGAATCCTTATTTCCTTATCCTTATAGACTTTAGGATTACCTCAGAAGATATATCTAAGCTAAGAAAGCTAGTTTCCTTACTCCTAAAGGCTAAAGAATCTCTTAAATTTATCGACCTCAAAACCCTCTACTTTCTTATACTTTTTAGTCTCGGTTCCCTTATGATTCTCAGATAGCTCGTCTAGGAAGATTCCAGTATTTAGATTTCTAGAAACCTAAGCAGAAAGCTCTTTGATCCGGGCCTAGATTGCTAGAGACTCTTTAAAACGCTCTAGTTTGCGTCTCTTCTCTTCTAGACTGTCTGTATTAATGCTTCTAGGCTTAGGGATACTTTCGGTTACAGGTTCACCTATAATTCCCCTAATCTGTATCCTATAAGAGGGGGGAGGAGATACGTTAGTATCGTATACAGTAGCTCTGCAGATTAATGTCTGATCTAGCTCAGGTTCTATAGGGGTTTTATACCGATCTGGGGCCGATTCGATCTTAGGTCGAATCATAGGAGGGGGGGGGTATAGCGACTTCGGATTGTATACTACTGTAGGAGGATACAGGGTTTCGTCGTATAGAGGGTACCATCTTTAATCCTTAGATAGTCAAGAGAGAAGAATCAGAATTATAATAGTTACTAAGTTGTTAGGCTAGAGACCTATGACTAGGCAAGGATATCGGACGGTAGAGATCAGATTAGGCAGTCGATACAGAGACTGATTCTTAAGAAGATCAAGAATCCAGAATACTTGTGGGATCTTAAATACATTAGGGTTCGGGTGGATATCGATATGCAGGTAACTCAAAGGGGATTCGTCTATGAATCGGCCTCGAAAGTCCGGGGTATCGTATACTTCGAATCCCGTGACATATTTAGCCCCTTTCTACTTAGTTTTTAGCTTTGTATATTAGGAAACACTATATACAAAGGCTACCTTATAAATGTAGGTAAGTATTTCTTTCTGTCTGGGGAAAAGGTATAAGAATTCTGGATTTAGAAACTAGGAAAATAAATAGAGGACTCTAGGTATATCCACTCTATAATCAGGGTCTGTATTGTCTAATTAGCCACAGTTGATAATTAAGTAAGTAAAGTTTTATTGTAAGATAAGAAACAGAAATATAGGAGAAAATATATTTATTTATAGCCTATACTCCTCCTAACTCTATAGCACAGTTATAAATTATATAGTTGGTTAATTAGAGTTACTGTTAAAGCTAATACCCTATTCTAACGCCTAAGAGTCTGTCTCTAATAATAATAATATTACTATACAGTATTGTATACTTTTCTATTGTTTTATTTATAGTTAATTATACAGTATATAGATATTTACTAGAGTCCTGTAGCTTTTAAATAAGGACAAAATATTTTAAGTAGGGTAATTTTTAATAAGTTAGTGTATTACCTTAATTTTTAAACATTCTGCGGCTATCAGCCTATCTAAGTATATTGATTAAATTGATTCTGTTCTACTAATCTTGGTTTCTGGCAGTGATAAAATTATATAAGAATCTGGCACTTAAATTCGAGGAAATCTTAGAGGACACTAAAAGCTTCGGACAACTCTCTTATACATCTGGTAGTTATTGTAGAGTAAGCGAGGCGTTTCTTTATTTTCAAATTTGAAAGCCGGGCCACCCCCCTCTGGTGTCCAAATGGTGCTGCAGGCACCGGCACTGATAATGCCTAATGTCTGTCTACTTTGGACCTGTCTCTGAGTTTCACTTATGTTCCCCTCGTGACTTTGAAGATACACTTTGTAGAGGATTAGAGAAAAGTAAAAGACTTAGTATTTGAATGACTAGAAATTTCCTAAGGTAAGACACACCGCTCTTTGGAAGATTTATCAGCTAGACATATCGATACAGTGTATCAGCAATTGGGCTGCTTTGCATAGCTGCCTTTTGCCTAACATGTCGAAGTTAGGTTTTGTCGCAGAGAGGGATCGTGCCGAACGGTATATGCGTAATCTACAGCTGGTGTGACACAGGCCTGGTAGAGCCGGCGGGTTGGTTCTGGGCGTGGATGTTGTGGCCAAGCGGGGGCAATTATGACCTTAGTTGCTCGCTTGATTGCTTGTCGGATATGTTTCTTCCGCCGCAGGTAGCGCTGAACGTCAGGCCTAAGAACTTAGCTGTTGGCAACGGCTTAATCTATCTCTCTGCCATTTATGATTCTTTTCCCTTTCATATATAGTAGGTCACACGCCGAGTCTGCCCCCAAGATTGACTGAGATTAATCATAACACAGCATCATCTTACGTTGATCGCAGCCACATTACTTTCAATCTACTAACTACAAACTTAATTGAATAAAATCACGTCTTTCAGATCTTTGGCTTTTGCAGAATTTCCAGAGCATGATATTCGCCAGAAACCCGGATTTATTTCTGGAAATATAACATTAGTGTTGCATTATAAATGTGTACGAGCTAAGAAGAGTCAGGCAGTAAGTCTTATTATGTAAGTTCGGAAGAGACTATATGCACTGGAGACATTCGATACCGACTATAGTGGTGTCCCCGTATCTGTATTTCCAGATTCGAGTGTGAATTGAGACATGAATCAAAACATGGGGGTATCAATAATCAAAAACGCCAATACGGCATGAGCGCCGAACCATTTATGGACGCCATTAGCCGCCGACTTTGTGATGATGACTATTGCGTTTGAGCCTGTATCGTCGCGCATGCTTTCGCAAAAATCTGCGTTATTTCGCTAAGCTGCACCTCTTCGCGTTTTTGCCATTCTTCAGACTGTGCCTGGGATTCGTCCGAAGAGAAATCAGCTTCCATCCAGCCACCCAGATACAATTTCCAGTGACCATGCGCCATTTTGATTGGACAAAGGTACTCCGGCTTGATTTGATATGCGACACCCTTCTTATATAAGAGTTTCGTGTAATCCTGAAGTGCTCGCTGTAATTCAAGTAGCGAATCAAGATCCAAGTCCTGGGCCTTGACTCGCAACAAGAGCGGCACCCAGTAAAGGCGCGGCGATTTGACCCAGAAAGTCCGACCGCTAGAGTTGAGCTCAGAGACGCGGGGGTGATCAACTAACTTTGAAGATATTTGACGGAGGGTCTTCAATACTCGGTATTCGCGAACGGAATCTTCATTAAGAAACTGAGGAGACTCACGTCGATTAGAACCTACTTCGCAAACTTTCCATGATCTAGTAGTATTCTGACTATGGTCTCGTTGCCATATCTTGATGCTTTAATCAGCGGTTTGCCGTGTTTCTCTGGATCATTCACATCGGCACCATGATCTAGCAGTATTTGGACCACTTAGTCACGACCATAGTGTGATGCTTCAATCAGCGGTTCGCCAGATTTCTTCGGACCATTCACATCGGCACCATGATCTAGTAGTATTCTGACTATAGCCTCGCGACCATTTCTTGATGCTTCAGTAAGTGGATTGCTATATGTGTTTGGATCGTTCACATCGGCACCATGATCTAGTAGCATTCTGACTATGGTCTCGTGGCCATTTCTTGATGCTTTAATTATCGGTTTGCAATATGGGTCTGGATCGCTCGTAGCATAAAAATCATAATGTAGCTGAGAGCCCGAGGCATTGACATCAGCACCATGATCTAGTAGTATTCTGACTATAGCCTCGTGGCCAAATTCTGATGCTTCAGTAAGCGGAGGATTGCCATATGCGTTTGGATCGTTCACATAAGCACCATGATCTAGCAGTATTTGGACCACTTGGTCACGACCATAGTGTGATGCCGCGGCCATCGCATTGCTATACTGAGAACCCGAGGCATTGACATCGGCACCATGATCTAGCAGCATTTGAACGACCTGATTGTGACCCCCAGCTGAGGCCGGTATAAGTGCCGTACCGGAATCACCTCTGTTGGCATTGACTTTAGCACCGTGTTTGAGCAGTATCTGAACTACCTGGTAGTGACCATTTGATGATGCGTCATAAAGTGCACCGCCAGCTGCTTCGCCTTCGACATTGATTTTAGCACCGTGGTCAAGCAACATTTGGACAATTCTCTTGTGGCCTTCGTGTGATGCTGCTTGGAGTGCATTGTGGTGGACTCCGAACGGGCGATTTATAAAGTCTAGTAGACTGCGTCTCTCCTCGTACATATCCAAAATAGCTCTGAGGATGTTTTCTAGTCCTAAGTACGATGCATAGTAGATGGGAGACGTGACGCTATCCACATATCTTTCACAGAAGTAGCGTGGCGCCCAGGTACGGTCAATCTCGTATATCCTGGCCCAGATCACGAATGAGTTGTTTTCATTCTTAAAGAGCCTCAACAGTAGTCTTTCAGACTCCGGGTCTGCTCGAGAAGATTGATAATGGTCAAACCAATGCACGGCAGCAAAGTGAGTGAGAGGAAATGCCTGTCGCTTTGCTTCATCCATATCACCGTCTGACAAAATCGGGTCTAAGAGATAGACAAGACAGATCTGGCTCAGTTCAGCATTTGCAGATCCACTATCAATAGCGAATTTTTCTGCCTTCTGCTGTCGAATACGATCTGATTGAAGATATTCCTTGATGGAGAAATGAGCTATGCGAGCAACTGAGACGATCACTTTATTTTCGTTTTCAATATACGCAATCTCTATAAGTCCAAGACAGATATTAAAGAGATCATCTTGCTCATAAGATCGGCCCTCGCGGTCGAGGTATGGCGGATCTTCGCTGAGCTCCACGGCATGAGCTTCGATTAATTCACTGACAGTGAGGGGTCGCATAGATAGACAAAGCACTGTCAGGATACGTCGCACGTCCTCAACATATGTTTCATCAATGCCACAGAGCATGCGTTCGTAAGTTTCGTCGAGATCGCGAGGCAAAGAGAGTAGACATTTTTCAAGCTGATTTTGGTTTCGGGCTTGACGACAAGACCTGAGTTGACATTCCGCATATCTAAAACTGTATATAAATGGCATTAGTATACTATATTAGGAGAACTTTTATAGCGGCTTGGATACTCACACTCGCTGTGCACCCTCTGTGATCTTGGTTTGGATCTCGCCATGTCGAGCCTTCCATCGCTGAAGCTTAGTATCATTTTCGAGCTGGTAAGAGACAAAATTCGAGATGTCATCGTCAATTCCCTGATTTTTCATCAAGACAACACACTCGGGAGAAGTATTGAGTGATCGACGTATATCAAGGTAATCCCGACTTGTGACTAAAAGATGGACATTTGGCAAGTGCCAGGCGCGCATTTCCTTTATCACTCTTAGGACATCGTCTCTTTTTCCTCGGTGGTCCTGGGACACTCGTCCAATGCATCAATCAGAATATACCTATCCTGGAACCGCTCCAGGAACTTCCGAAGGGTTTCAAGTAGGGTTTCCTCTGGGGGGGGTGGGTGTCTTGGACAGTAAACGCAGTTCCTCCAGCTCATTTTCGCCGCCTTCAAGCTGCACTGATAGCTGCAACAGCAGAGCACACAATAAGCCCTGAGAATCTTGCTTTGACTCATCAGTCAAAGTAAAGAAGAAATATGCGATTCCCACTTTTCCATGATTCAGGCTCAATTTCGTCTCGCAAAACTTGAAAGTGTATTGTATTATGACCGAGCAAAGAACCTATTTACCACACGCCGCAAATCCGTTAAGCCAGAGAAACGAATTTCGCTCTGCAAACCAGTTCAAGAATTGAGGACTACTGATAAACCACAGCCCAGTCGCTGGGTGGTGTTTTTTATAGAATGTATTCTTGTTGAGAGATGGATCGGGAGCCTGAAGCCAGGCACGAATTGCGAAGGATATTTGGTTTGTGTTGGTTTTCTCAAGCAGAGATTTGACAGTTGATATTTCATCCTCAATCCGATTATGTCCCTTAAACTGCAGCACGTTCAATGCGAACGTCAGATTCTCACGTATCTCGCCAACATCTTCTTCGATTTTCTGAAGCGTGCTTTTTCGGAACGGATAAGTGGCACGGCGTCCAGCAGCTTGAACTCGGCCTTTGAGGCTAGAACTCGGATCTGATCTGGGATGGAGCTTCTGACACTCCTCCTGGAGCTCTTGGATTATGTCGTGGCAGGCTCGTGTCGCTTTATCGACTTCTTGAAGTAGATCCTCTGCGTCAGGCTGTGATTGGCGTTGTTGAACTGCAATTTCTAGAGATCGAAGGGTACTTTGGAGGATTTCTATATTTTGAATGAATTTTGCAATATTGGCATCCTGGCCTTTGTATTCTGAATAGAAATCTACCAAATTTTGCGTGACTTGGATGCCTAATGAGAGGAATCCGGCGATGCCAGCTGCGATCGAGAGTGGATCGCTCATGGCGGTCGGTGGTGGCCGTCTCGCTCTTGTTCACTTAAGTCGACAATGGCCAATAGGCACGCGGTGTAGCGTCCTTGTTACTGCTCACTTAATCCAGGGATAGTCAATAGGCGTTCAGTGACGGGTAGAAAATTAAGGGAGGAATTGGGCGAAATGGAGGAAGAACAATAAGCATGGATGATCTTGATTCAGCCTCGTCAGGTAGATACCCAATTCCCCTCATCTGAGACCACGTGACCCGCTAAGTATCTTAGGGGCAATATAGCTACGGAGTATTAATATCGGGATACGTTCAGAGCAATATGTCAAAATATAGTGGCATTCAAGATACCGAGCATGAGGAGAAAGATCTTCAAAGAAGCGGTTGCTCGGCCACTAGATAAGCTATGGTGAGATAAAAGTATGGCTCTTCAAATCGATACGATTAAGTAAAAAGCGGTCCGGAGCCTCGTTTAATCACAATTCATCGTCGTCGTCGTGGTCGAGAACTATCGAGAATGCCTCAGGTGCAATTTGTTTGAGAATATCGGGGTCAAAAGGCCGGTTAATGGATTCATCCGGGGAGTAAACTATATCGAACCACTAAAGAAAAGATAAGTTCATATTTCGAAGGGTAAAAGGGTTGTAGTAGAGAGTAAAGAGATTCAAATGACATACCACGTCGGGGTGACCCGTCAGTTCTTCTATGATCCATCCAATAGGTCGTCTATCAGACTGACTCGCAAAGATTCTATTTGACTTCACATTAAGATCTACATGAGTAGTGTGATAGAATGGCGTGTCGTCCAGCTCATCAGACCAAGAGATCTTTGTTGGGTCGATTGCCCGCTCATCAGTCTTTTCATAGGCCTTCCAGGAAAACATTATGACTGGTAGCGAGGGTGAGTGCTGGGAAGACTTAATCTCCTCTATATAACCAGATATCAGCTGACTGAAAAGGCCTGATAGCAGAAAGAACTTTAAGAATCAGAACTTACTATACCAAGAGACTGTGTTTTCGATACTAGCCTGGTCTGCTAGATCAACCATGATAATGGCAGCATCACAACCTTCTATCCACCTAGCCCTATCTTGAGCTGTACTACAAGACCCAGACACATCCCAGAAATCAATTTTGGCCTGCCCACAATCCTATAACCGATACCCATCCTATATAAGAAGATATTCATGGTAGGGTATAAGAGGGAAATAAAACTCACAGTCAAGAAGTCGATTCTCACACGATTATAGCCATCCGTCGGGGTATATTCAGATTCATAAAAGTCATCTAATAGGAAGGATACCCAGCTTGACTGCAAAACAAAATTTAGGCTCAGTCATCCTTGTGCGATCCAGACGATATGACCTTACCTTGCCAACACGTGCGTCGCCAACAACTACTAGCTTGAGCGCTTTTTCAAAGATATCCATGTTGGAAAGATTCTGCGTAGAAAGAACAGCGTTGGGTCCAACATAGAGAGAATGCAGTTGAAAGAAAAGAAGGAGGGAAAGGAAAGGAAAGTTGAACACAGATAGGCAAATGTGGATCGAATGTCCCGTGACGGTGGGGGGGGAGCAAGTGGGGGCCGGGGCCAAGGCGAGGCAGGCCTAAAGCAAACAGCTATGTATGTACTTGTATGGACTTGTACGTGTTAATCCTTGTTTTTTATTATTATTACAATTTATTTTACAAGGCTTTCTGGAAAGGCTTTCATTACTTGGTTCAAATTTGGATCTCTCTAAACAACCATTGAATACGAAAGTTCATCTAGCCCTGATATGTAAGGAAATCTTTTGCGAAATCTAAGCCAGAATTTTGTTTACTTAAATACATTTGGCACCTGTATCTGAGTTTTTCTTTTTCAACTCTTTTTAACCTTAAAGCCGTTGGGACCATTCACCTCGGTTGCAGGTGGTTGTTTATCATCCGCAATCCTCTTCAGGACGTCTTTATCACTGTAGTAGGTGTTCATATACAATGCTAAGAGGGTGAAGTTAGTCATTGTTCTGCGACGTCTATTCAAATACCTAGGTAGGGGAGAGAGAGACGCTTACCTCGTGCGATGATTGCGAATGAATCGCAATTGTGCCAGCTCGCATCCTGACCTGCGAGTGCCTCACACTCGGCATAACCATACTTCTCGGTTTTCTGAGATTTCCGATCAATTACAAGTGGAACTGCAAAACAAGAGCCATGGTTAGTTATTTCTTATCGACATGTACGTTTATGCGACCCTGAGGAATCTTACATTGCGTCATGTCTCCCAGATGAATCATCTCATGCACTAATGCTGAGCTGAGTTGAGTTCCAAGAGCATCAATAGGGACTTCTTTAACATTTGTGGCCAGGTTGGCAGCACTGAAATAAGATCCCGCAATACTGGGGTCGGTATCGTCACTGAGAAGGCCCTGATAATTGCAGAGAAGGATTCCCTTGTGAGTTGCACCTTGTGAGTAAATCGCGAGGCCCTTGATACCTGTTTCGCATGGCCTTTGAGAGGACCCTCTGTCCCTAAGGGAAAAAGAAAGGTCCTTGTATTCATCGTCTTTGTCCCGCCATTGACCGCTCCTAATGAACGATGAGTCGCCACAATAGATTTTCGCATTGTCAGACTGATCGGTGGAACTAGCAAGTGTACTACTCAGAGAGCAAAAGCGGCGCTCACTGAGCACTAAATCGGAAAGGGAAAGCCAAGACTTTGCATGGGAAATCTGTTACGTAGGTATATATCGTGACATATAGGCACCCAGATTTCGCCACAACTTGGATTTTGTTGGATTCAAGCCCTGAGGTGAAACATTCAAGGCTGGAACTTGAACCCCTGGAAATTACTCATCGCTATACATGGACCCTGGGTTTACTAATAGTACATGGTAGTACTACGAACTAGTACAAGCGGCTCATTCCGAGTCTATGACCGGGCCGATCGTATCGGAATTGTAGTAGTAGGTGCTGAGTAGAGCCAAACAGCTTGAGTTTAAGTTTAAAAGAATGCCAATATTTATTTTCCCCACCAGACTCCTATGATACTTGGTTCGTGAATGTTACAATAGTATGAGATCGAAACGAAAAGCATGTCTACCAGAGACCATAAGCTTAGACAACGAGCTTTTCGAAAGAGTATTGCCCGACAGCCTTGCGACGAAGGTATCCAATCTCACGACTGCTACGGGCCTTGGTCTCCCCAGTAGACTTCTTCTTGGCGAGTGAAACATCGGCCGAAGTAGGTTTAAGAGACAGCGGCAGCATCTTGCCGCTAGCGTCACCGTCATACCCATCCTCACCCTCACCTGGACGAGTGAAGATCATCAGATCAGCACCATTAAGTTTCTCATGGCGGACCAGTTGAGATTGAGGAGCCGTGGTAACTTCGCTGACCGTGCCGTTGGTAGCATCCGCGGGGTTGGCCGAGGTGGCGGCCTGGCTGGCAAAGCTGAGATACTCGCGTAGGATACCCTTGAGGTAGGTAGCTTCTTCAACGCCGGCAAGGGCCGCGGAAACCTCGGATTTCATATCGGCAATGAGCTCCGCTTCGCGGCTGGCGGAGGCAATGGCCTCATCCGATTCGTCGTCAAGATCGTTCACTGCCGGGAGAGCAGAGACCCAGCCAGATGGGCCAACGGCATCAACGGATGCAGTAATTAGATCGATGATGGTATTAAGGGAGAGGGAAGGGGTGATCTGATCAAGAGTGATCGGGGTAGGAGGGTTTTCGGTGAAACGAGAGGTAGAGCCGCCAGTAGCGAGAGAAAGACGGAGGTGGTGGACCATGGTAAGAAGGTCTGCGCGCGACAGGTTTGATCGGAGGGACTGAACAATAGAGACCTGGGGCTGGGAGTGGATCTTCCTGAGAGTATGGTTCAGGCCGAAGAAGATATATTTCAAAGCAGCATCCTCAGCGCCAAGGTGGCGGGTCAATTCTTGGGTTGGGGTAGCCACGTCTCCGTTTGTGATAGCGCGAGCCGTCTCCTCCAAGGCACCGGAGTGCAGGCGGGCTTGACCAAGGAAGTATTTCAAGGCGTAGGCAAGTTCATTGGGCGAAATAACAGCAGGACCACGGAGCACCTGGTTGACCTGCTTCAAGGAAGGATCCGAGTCGATCAAAGCCTGCACGAAGGATCCAGTCGGAAGGGACTGGAGGATGCGAGGCTTGTAAGCGCGACGGAGCGCGATCTCAACATTGTCCGGCGACAGGTGACCTAAACGCACAAGCCAGCCGCATGTCACAGAGGGCCACAGGACAATGCGCAATTGAGATGAAGAAGACGCCGAGGTTTTATCTTGGGTAGCAGAATCCTCAATCGCGAAGATCTTAGATAGCAAGAAGAGGGTGGATTCGGGGTTGACGTATTGTCCTCGTGCGGGGAGTTGCTGAGACTCAGAGGCACCGAAGTAATCCCGAACAGTCTTGTCGAACTTTGTGCCATCGCGTGACTTTGTCGCCTCGTTAATATCTTTGGTAAATTGATCCCATTTCTCAACCTGTTCAGGAGAAGTCAAATGGAGGGATGCCATGTTCTCAGAGCGGTGCTTCTTGGATACCGTATCCCACTGTGTAGCAGATGAACCAATACCTCGTCCAATAGCATCAATGAGCAAGCCATCGCGCGATCGCTTGAGAGAGGGACCGGAGTGGCTATGCAAAGAAGTCAGATCGAATCCGACAAGGGTGTTTCCTTTAGCCGCAACGGCCATTCCAAGTTTCGCAAAGTAACTGATAAAGACTGTAGGCTCAGCGGTTGACCCGCCCGCAGAGAGGACATCGCTGGCAGCGATACTGCGCTGAATGGATTGATACTGAGTGTCGTACACTGCAATCAAAGATTCGCTTGCGCCGATAACGCACTGAGGGGAGACACGCATGACCGATGAGAACTTCTCGTCCAGTACGAATTGAGAAGTGACGGAAGGAGAGTATTGGGAAAGATCAATATTCACAAATCCGTTCTCAAAGGAGAGCTGGAGTCCGGCGGAACCGGCGTGGAAGCTCCACTGAAGCGCATTCGTGTTGACTTTGTCGAGTCCGGTAGGCGCGGGAACTTGGATCGTTTGAAGGTGGCGAAGGCGCTGGCTCTCTTCAAGACCGCCCGACTTTGAGTTCGCAGGAACAGAGAACATTTGGACAATGACATCGCTCAAAGTAATCTGGTCGGAATTTTGCGGGTGGGACACGACTAGGAGGATGGACGGTTCCTCGGTGCTGGAGGCTGTGGAGTCGCTCAGGGCAAGCGCAGCCAAATCTTGTCGTCTCTTGAACAAAGTCTTTTTCGCATCCTCGAGGTCGATCAAAAAGGACGAGTGAACGAGGTGGGTGGTGCACACTTTGGCGATTTCACTGTGTTGAATACTCCAGTGTTGAGTCTTCAAGTCGGAGGACAACCGTCGGACACGACCATCCTCGTGAACGGCTAGGATATCAAAGGGATCGACCTTATCCTCATCTTCGGTGTTGAAAGGGACGATTCCAACGAATTTTGCGGGGCTGCTGGAGTCGGTGATGGTGGCATTCGAAGAGGTGATCACGGGTGCGCTCAAACCATTCCCAATCTCCTCCACGAAGCATTTGATTTGATGTTCAGGCTTCGTGGCAATAGTGTAGGTTTGTCTCTTAACAATGGACTTCTTGGACAGCTTGCGGCGGACGGAGCATGGTCGGCAAGAAAAAGAAGACTGCGGTGGCACGGCGTAGGAGGTCACGAGTTTGGGGGTTTGAACCTAGAGGGAGAGGGAATTTGTTAGTCAGATCTACAGAAATAACGTGGCGGTGTGGTTCGTACATTGTAAATGTTCACAGCCTCGCCATCAACGGTGACCGCGACTTCATAACGCTTGCGCTTTTTCGCATCGGCGAGACTGTAGACATCGCCGATACGAGTTTTACCCGTGGAGGCATGGAGGGGGCGAGGCAATTGTGCCAGAATAGACGGAGACTGTAGATCCATGGCGACAGAGATCACAATCAGAATGACAATCACGATCTCAGCTTGACAAAGCCTTGATATCTGCTCCCTTCTCTGATCCAAGTGAAGCTGCAAGTCTCAATCCGCAAAAAAATCTTCGGCCAAACAACGGCCCGGACCCACTAAAGGCTAGGCTGAATCCGGACTAGCGTGTTCAATACTCCGGCTGACATAATACAGCTGACTTAATCAGATATCGACGCGACAGGCGCGTCGTGTTGGAGGGTGATCTGCGGCGTGTAAAGTGGACGAGCGAGGTTACGAGTACTGTACTCTTACTACTCCGGACTCTCTATCTTCTACATTCTGCAGCTGGCCTCAGCCTCCCATACTCCCAACTAGTCAATGTGATATCTCCTTGGCGTCACATCCCTCCAATGTTCTTTTCTTGAGGTGGAAGTGAGAACATGCCCATGGACACGATCGTCTCCAACCCGTCAGTGGCCATGGGGCACAGCCAGCAGCCAGCAGTTCACCCCTTCTTCCGTCAAGGTAAGATGAGCTGAGCCCTTCAACAAATTCATCAATTAACAAAGTCTTTAGATTTTGGCATCACTTCACAGGCAACGCCCTCGGAGCCCGAGACAGCAGCGATTCCTCCCCCGAATACTTTCACTTCCGAATCTGCCTCCGTAGGCACCCAATGCTCAAATACCGAAATAAGAGCCGAACTTGAGCCCATAGCGCAGGGAGTCGACGAGACCTCGATTGCCAATCATCCAATCCCTCGGAGTCCGGAGGAAGACCTGAATGCAAGTCGGCGAAAGAGACACAGGACTGAGAAGCTCAAACCGTCCGGCGATGATGCGCCGCTTCAGTCTGGGCTAGCAGGATGGTTGGGTAAAGATATATCGACACCAGTAGCTTCAGCTGAAGCTTCTATCGACCCGGCGATCAATACCACAGCAGCCCTTCCACAATTATTGCCTGGGCCGACCCCTCTCGACATTGCCCCCGAGAAAACGCCAGCCGCGCCCGACAACGCAGTCTCAGACCCTGCACCCGATAGGAAGCGAAAAATAGTGAAGCTGAATTTAAACGGGAGGCTGCTTAGCTCTTCTCCCCCGATACCTATTGAGGCTCCAGACCAAAAACGAACAACCGGGAAACGCGGACGACCCCGAAAGACCGAAAGCAGACTAGCAATTCTCAAGTACGGCACTGGAGATGACAAAAGGCTAGCCAAATTGGTGGACGACATCATTCACGGTCACTCGACGCATAAACCTGCGCCTGTCCGTCCATTGATTCCGGCGCCGCCCAAGGTGAAGAAGCCAGCAAAACCCACTCATCCTTTCTTCCTCAAGAAACCCACCCAGGAATCCCATCCAGACTGTATACCTGAGTCCACAAATACCTCGGAGACACCAGCCCAAAGGCCATTCACCAATCAAACATCACGCGACACCCCAGTCGAGAAGCGTGAGCCCCGGGCTTGGACCTCTATTCAGTCTTCGTTCAGTAGCCGGACAGCGAAATTTCCAGAGCTCGTTGAAGCACTCTGGCCGCCTAGAGATCTAGCTCATATTAGGTCTGTTGATTCCCCTCAGACCCACGAATCTATCTTCCGGGCTTTTCAGAATGACCAAAGGAAATCAAAATTACGAGTGGTTTCGGTCGCCGATGACGAGAACGCTCTTCTTGTCAGTACCTCCCGGGCACGAAAGGCTGCAGCTCCAGCTTCAAAAGACGACAATGACTTCCGTCCAACTCTTCGTGTCCCCGGACGCCACATTGCAAGTGGTCGAGTTCTCCAGACAGCGATCGACAATCAAATGTCTTGGGCAACCGACCCACGTTCAATGAAAAATTTGTCCCTTCCGGTCATCTCAAACCTTCGATCGTCCTTACTTTCATCATTCTCAGCCTTTGATTGCGGGAAGTACGAAGCACAGCTTTGGGCTCACAAATATGCACCCAAAGCAGCAGAAGATGTCCTTCAAGTGGGACGTGAGGCTCATGTACTCCGTGACTGGTTACGGCATCTCAAAATCACTGCCGTTGACACAGGGAAACCATCAAAAGAAACCACGAAATCGAACGCAGAGAAGAAACGCAAGAAGAGGAAGAAGCAAACGGACAAGCTTGACGGATTTATAATATCCAGTGAGGAAGAGGAGTCCGAAATGGATAATCTCTCTGGCTCGGACGATGAATTGGCGGGTCCTGTAACGGTGTCTGGTCAGAAAACTGTTATTCGCTCAGGAGATCTTGCGAGGACTGCAGAGAAGAGCCGACTCACCAATGCGATACTCTTAAGTGGCCCACCGGGATCTGGAAAGACAGCCTCGGTCTATGCTGTGGCTAAAGAACTTGATTTTGAAATATTTGAGATCAACGCAGGTAGCCGACGAAGTGCCCGAGATATGCTGGAGAAGGTCGGGGACATGACACAAAACCACTTGGTGCACCTCCTGAACGAATCCGACGACGCGCCTACCAAGCCACGACCCTCGGAACCTGCCGATGAAGCCAAACAAAACAAGCTCATGAGCTTCTTCAAAGGCAAGCCGTCAAAAAGCCCCGGGTCCGATACGACATCCGCCAAGACGAGCCCCAAGCCGCAGACAGATGAAAAGCCTACTCGCGAACAGAAACAATCCTTGATCCTTCTCGAGGAAGTTGATATTCTTTTCGAAGATGACAAACAATTCTGGACGGGTGTTTTGACATTAATCAGCCAATCGAGACGACCGATCGTCATCACATGTAATGACGAGAGCCTCCTGCCTCTTCAGAGTATGTCATTGCATGCCATTTTGCGTTATCAAAAGCCGACTCGCGATATTTCAATCGACTACCTGCTTCTTGTCGCTGCAAACGAAGGCCATGTCTTGAAAAGGGATGCAGTCAGCAAGCTTTTTGACGCGTCTGGAATGGATGTTCGAAGATCGCTCATGGATCTCAACTTTTGGTGTCAAATCGGTGTTGGCAGTGACAAAGCGGGTCTCGACTGGATTCTTCCTTCCTGGCCCCCGGAGAGAGAACACCGACGAAAACGGAGATCGGACGCGTGTTCTAAGTCTCAATACATACGAGCCCTATATGGGCTGGTTTAACCGAGACCTCTTGCTGGGTGAGGATTCCGAAGAGAAGGAGACGGAAGCTTTGAAGAATACCTTGCACTGGTGGAGACTCGGAATTCAGGACTCCGAGGATGCAGCTGGATTCAGCGAGGTTGAGAAGTTGCCTCCGCATGACTTTCACGCAAAGTCAAGAATGGAGAAACTCGATATACTTGATCGGGAGATGGATTATTTAGATATGAGAAGCTCTCTGGATATTCTTTCCTCTCGTTGTCAGTTAGACATGTTGAAGGTAAGTTCATTCTGATCTGGCGACCGCGTTCACACTAACCATTGATTAGGATTCTGTTGATATCTCCGCGCCCCCGATCCCCAACTCCCATCGATCGAACTATATAGAGGCCTATCCACTTCTTCAAGCCAGTTTAGCGCCCGAATACACTGCGCTCAGCGAAACCATTGGCCTTTGGTTCTCTGCGTCAATCTCCAAGGCATTCCGCACACGCCATGATGATATGGAATCGGCCTACGCCGGTCAAATGTTCAATGGCTGGCGGCAGTCTGGCGTTCGCCGACAGGTCTTTCCCTCAAAATTGACTGAGTTCCAGAAAGTTTTCGAACCCCTCATGAGGTTCAACTATACAATGACATTGATGACCGGTCGACTCTCTCCTTCTTTTGAAAACGCGTTGTCTCCTATCACTGAAGACCTCGCGCCCTATGTTCGCTCTATCATGGTTTTTGACGAGCGCTTGAAGCATTATCGTGACTATCTAAGCGCATTGTCGAACCAGCAGAATCGCCATGGAGAGAAGAAGCAGAGGAATACTCGGGCCAGCCGAGCAGCACTGGAAGGGGGCAACAAGGCTTCGGTGCGGAAAGAGAGGTGGTTCCCCGATGACACGGACTACTTTTTGGTACAAAGAACCGGGAAGCCCGAATGGCAAACCGTCTTGTTCCAGATGGGACATTTCCAAATCCAGCCGGTTGTGCAACAGAGCGAAAACAGCAGTGAGCAAGTTTCCGACGCCCCAGAAGAGCTTTAGATCTTTTCACCGCGCGATATACCCACCAACCCGAATTACGACATATACCAACAAATTTTGATGTATATAATAACCATAGCTCTTCACGTATAGCTTTAAGTTATACAAAGAAGGATTCTCACAGTGGATTCTAATGCAAAGATGCACTTGCTTTTTAATTCCTCGTCATCTTGCCTTCGCACTGGAATTCTCTACTATGTAAATATTTACTTCACTAATCAAAATATTTTAAACCGGATATTGTCTACCGCAGCTTATGACAACATCATCTGCCAATACAAAATTACTGGAGGAACGGGTAGGTTTGCAAGACGATCTTACCAATATACTACTCGCATAAGATGGATTCCAAGGTTTGCAACCGATCACTTCCTCTTATTGCTTTACCAGTTTACGTTGGTCCTGCGAGACAATAAGAAACTTGAAAAACCACTTCCTGTCCAGGTGGCTCCGCTCCCGGCGTTGAGGTCGGCTGATACAACTTGAAGTGTTGTAGCGTATGGTATTTCACATATCTAATTGTTCTTTCCAAGGTTACAAGGAGAACAGCTTCTTACAGGAACCCGCTAGCTGAAGGCTACCTAAGAGTTATTTGTTCATGGGAGTGGCTGTCTGACTGCTGGCACATACTAAATGACGATAAATTAGCTGAAAGCCACACGGTGAGTCCAGATATCGGCTTACTGGATAGATTTGTACTTTTTCAATATCCCACACTCCACTAGTAGCGTAGATATCATTCTTGATAATCTGCCGAACATCTTCGGTACTTTCGCCCGTGTAAACCACGACACTGCCGAGAAACTGGGGGTCCTTGCCCTCCTTAGGATGCTCCGCAAAGATCGCACCTAAAGTACGGAGACCTTAGAATCTTGAAGATACTATAATATTCAATGTAATAAATTGGTGCATGTTAAGCTTACCTCCGTCAACAAGTTTTCCATCGGCAATCAACGGCTGAATCCCTTGATAGTGACCACTTTATTGACGGTTAGCCTGAAGTATGTTTCAAGTAAAAACTGCTGCGACTCTACCTTTTGACTTTTTTCCGTATGGCTAGAACATCAGGCCGGTCTGGCAAGATGCATAGGAATTCCTTTTTCTTGCTTGCTGATGTCATGGTTCTCAAAAAAAGGCAAGGCCTTTGAGCAGTCCGTTGAACACAAATCAACGGCACTGCGGCTTGAATCGCGGTTCGACTCCGAAACATGATGGTATTGAATGATTCCAGAGAAAAGGGTATGGCTGTAGAGGGATAAGGGTCCTATCAATATATTTCCTTTGCTGTTATTCATCTGCAAATATGATGATGTCGGAGGACAATCCCGATGAGAAGAAGTGGGTCGCACATCATGTTAAACTTCAAGTTGAAGGCCAGTTACAACTTCGGAGCGACATGGTCTCTACTTCATATAGGCATTTCGAAGATTGGCAAAAAGTGCGGTGGGGAGCATGTAGCCGAACAAAAAACAGAACCTGAATGTAATCCTGGAAGCAAAAAAAAGATTAGTCCCGTTGGATTACATAGAATGCCTGCCAAGGCCGATTTATTTGGCGTGGGTTGGTGAATCCATGTATTTGCAAGAGAAAAATTCGAGTCTGTTTAATTGACAATATTAAAAGCGTAGAGACCAAGGAATGAAATTCTAATATCCTTAGGGTCCAAGTAAGACCCCAGATTATAGATATCTAGTAAAACTCTAATGAACATCCAAAAAGCGAATCACTCCGGTTTGGTGGCGTCCAAATCTGCTAACAACTGGCTCTTGGGTACTTCTTCAGCCCATCGGGCGCGTGGTCGCTCAAAAGTCGATGTAATTCGGCCATAAGAGACTCCGCCAAGTTGTCCCACAGGCCGCAATTTATCCAGGTCGATATGGCTGTATTCTGGATCAGCCGTACCCTCCTTGACCCAGAATCGAGTGGCCTTGATGAGAACTGTAGCGGCTATGCTCATTCCAGGTTGTTGATGATCAGTGAATTCTTTGATGTCGATCACTTTGCCTTCAATATTAAACACCGACTCCTCAACGCGCGAGGGTTTCACCGTTGTGGAAGGCGCCTCGTGAAGACCCGAAACTTCCCACTCGGAGACACCGTATGGCGCATCAATGGAGCTAGCATTGACAGCCTCAATCATATTTTCAGATACGGTGTTGATAACACATTCTTTCGTTTCTTTCAAGTTGCGGTATGTGTCCTTGACGCGACCGGGGCGTGATGAGAAACCTACAATGAACATTGGGGGGTCATGATCAAGTACTTGGAAGTAGCTAAAAGGCGAGAGGTTTTTCTGCCCCTGGGAGCTCATCGTGCTGAGAAAGCCTACCGGTCGAGGTGCGATGCCTGAGACAAGAAGACGATAATTGTTGATCATTGGGCGATCAGGCGCGTACGGGTCGATCTCGTGGTGCTTTTGAGCCAGACTCGCGCCATTGTCCGGTACACCTTGTCCATATTCCCACTTGGGGTACGGCGATTTGGTGACTTCAATTGGTTTTTCTTGGTCGAAATTAGGGCGGTTTGCCTCGATCTCGGCAAAATTACCGACATCTTGAACGATTTTGTAATTCTTTTGAGCGACCGCAGTGTCGTTTTGTGAAACCGCGGCAGCAGTTGCAGAAGAACTCATTCGAATAGATCTGAAAGATTGGTTTGAGACTTGCAGGTTTTGATGGAGATTGCTAAATCTGCGATGGTGTCAGTTTTTCCTCTTCGCTGGTGATAAATGATGACCTCTCTTACTTCCTTGAAGAAAGGCGCGTAACACTCTTGATGAACAGCATAGCGTAGTACTGCGTTCAAATTACTGCAAGCTTGTGGAAATATAACTCTAAGGGTGCCTTGGAGCGAAAATCCTTGTTAATCATGTCACATAAATTTACCCACGATAGCCAAGAACAGGTCGGGTGTGGCCTCCGACTTTCGGATCATCCCTCCGACATTTGGTCATTACTGCTCCGCAGTACTCCAGCTGTAGGAATTCATTCACATTCATCGCATGAAGCTGATAGAACACATATCAGCAGCCTTGAACTTTGAAGGCTCTACAAGGCATTTCAATTTGCTTAAAGAAGTTAGGCTGACGAAGCTACGCTAAGTGTCGATCGTAAGGACCTTTCGACTTGCAACATGTCCGAGGCAGTCGCTGGATATAAGAAACCTCACTCGAAGATAGACACTAATGGATTTCAACCAGGATATCAACTCACCGAGGCTTATTTCAAAGTAGTTTTAAAATACTCATCTAGCCCACGAATTTCGCCGGTTGCAAGCATTACTGAACTTTAATTTTGGTCAACTGAACCTAGGCTAGTAGAGCTCAGAATACCTGTCATATTGATATAGGAGATAATCAATTTCATAATCTGGCGCTGCAATCCCATAGTTTTGCATTTAAAATTCCATTAAGCCTATTTGAAAGGACATTTAACCGCTTTTCAAGACTTTTCACTATATTCGGTGACTTGCCAGGACGCCGAGCGTCGGATCTAGGTATCGGATCATGCCCGACGCCATTCAAAAACAATCCAAGACGCATATTTCGACCTGTAAATTTCCCGTTATATTTTCTTTCTTTACCTCAAATTTTATACTCTCTGGAATAACATGCCAGTACGCTTTCCTTTGGCCGCGGCCCCTCGTACTGTGCGCATGCTGCGCGTCCCGCAAATACCGCACCGATTGATTTTCTCGAGCCGATCCAGCCCATCGAAACACTCGAGTATCGGACCCAAGTCAAAGAATTTTCTCATACAGTCGCAGCACCAGCGCCTTTTCTCTAGTTCCAGTCAAAGATGCAGCACAAACACTGTCGTACGAGTGCCAGCCATGGCCGAGTCGATCACTGAGGGGACCCTCGTCCAGCTCACCAAGCAAATCGGAGACTATGTGGAACAGGATGAAGAGCTTGCCACCATCGAAACTGACAAAATTGATGTTGCGGTGAATGCACCCCACTCCGGGGTTATACAACAGCTACTCGTGAGCGAGGGGGATACCGTCACCGTGGACCAGAGCATTGTGGAACTCCAGCGAGCAGATAGCACATCTCTGGAAAGTAGCCCGAGTTCATCTACCGGAAATCAAGAATCTGATTCAGAAAGAGCAGACAAAGAAAAAGGAACAGCAACAGAAGCCGTAGCATCTCCGGAAAAGCGTGCATCAAGTACAGAATTTCAAAATACTACCTCACACCCGGCGAAGGGAAGTCGGCCAGTTCAAGATGCTGTTCAGGAGGAGCCTAGGTCTGAATCTAAGCACGAGCGCGGAGAGACTCGAGTATGTATTGCTCAGTCTGTTATTCATACCAACTATGAAAATTTTCTAAGAAGCTAATTTGGGTTATTTGCAGGTCAAAATGACTCGAATTCGAAAGAAGACCGCGGAACATCTGAAACAATCTCAGAATACTGCAGCATTTTTGACGACATTCAACGAAGTGGATATGTCTAAGCTGATGGACTTCCGAAAAATAAACAAAGATTCGGTTCTCAAACAACATGGTATCAAGCTAGGGTATATGGGCGCAATGGCTCGGGCATCAGCTCTGGCTCTGAGAGAGATTCCAGCTGTCAATGCAGCCATCGAGGATGGTGATACTATCGTTTATCGTGATTACGTGGATCTCAGTGTTGCCGCCGCCATTCCCAAGGGTCTTGTTACTCCTGTTCTTCGCAACATCGAGTCAATGGGCCTAGTCGAGATTGAAAAGAACATCTCAAAGCTAGTGGCAAAGGTAAATAAGCTCAAAATTTCGTATCATATCCATATGCTAACTTTTCGTAGGCTCGAGATGGAAAGCTCACTATGGATGATCTGACAGGTGGCAGCTTTACAATTAGCAACAGTGGAGTCTGGGGCTCTTTGTTTGGCACACCGATTATCAATATGCCCCAGACGGCGGTTCTTGGGGTGTATGGTATCCAAGATCGACCAGTAGCTGTGAATAGTCAAGTCGAAATCCGACCGGTAAGCCCAGAGGCGAAACTAAATGATGTGTGAAAGAAAAAAAACTGATAAAAACAACTTCAGATGATGTACATTGCACTAACATATGATCACCGAATTATTGATGGCAGGGAGGCAGTGAAGTTTCTGACTCTCGTTAAAGGATATCTCGAGGACCCGAGTACCATGCTGCTTCAATAAAAATAGACTTCCCGAGGTCAAAGTAAAACTGGAAAAATTGTTTGATGGCCCTCTCCAGGGCTCCAGGGCTGCTTGTGCATTGTTTTGTTTTACGATATGGGAACTACAGTCTAATTTAGTTCCCAATGTCATACTAGTGCATACGAAGTTGATAGGAACAGACAAGGAACATGTCGTTCGAGTGCCCCGGGAATTTGAAGATAATCATGATGATTCAAGTTTCAATTTCACAAGATATAATCATCAAAAATTTATAGAAGGTCCTCAATGCATCCCAGGAAGGTCTATCCAACGGCTCCACCGACAGACTGCATTATGCTTTCGACATCCAATTGATCGGCAAGATCCAATAGTTCCTGTGGTGGAAGACTGACCGAGGAATTCAGCCCCAGAAGGTCCCATTCAAATACCTCTTCCACATCAACATTATCCAGATCATTAAATTCGTTATCATCCTGTGCGGCCGAATTGACGTTGATTGATGGCAAAGGGATTGGATTAGATCTGGGTGTCAATGGTGCCAATATTTGTTCAAGTTGTCGGAGCTCCTGTCTTCGGAGCGGGGCAGCTGGATTCCCTTTCGAAATCAGCTTATCCAAAACACATTCTAGGTGGTCACACCAGGTGCTACTATGAATGAGTGTTGGTGCAATGGCGCGGATCAAGTATAAAACAAACGCAGATGAAGATGCATCCTCAATTTGAAATGGTAAAAATGCATCTGAGTCAGTTAGTAACGTGGCTGGTGCTATCTCTTATAAACTCTAGCGTAGACTTGCCCATTAAGTCGTCATCTGCCAAAGTTTGAAGGGTTTGCAGAATAGTCTGAGCAGAGTCGGCGCAGCACTGTAAAAGGGACGCAACGGGAGGAGATAACGAAAGCGTCTGTGAGGTTTTTCTCTCCGTCTTTTCAATGTGCATATGAAGAGCACACATGACCAGCGGTCGTGTTGTGAGCACAACGCACTTTTGAAATTAGCTTCCATTTGAAAGTTTTGGGTTGCCGGTCAATACACACATGATGATGTGCCAACATAAGACGGATTGCCATTTTCGAAGCTCTGCTGATTAATCCGTGAAAATTTTGGTTCAAAAAAGCTGTCAAGTCGTGCGAAAGCTCCGCCATACTGTGGAGAATTGACTGGGTGTTTCTTATTAGTGTTCCATTGAACTCATCACCAACTCCATAAACAGCTATATAATTTTAGATTCGGCCAGAAGGATCCACAAACAGTGCTGGTCAACTTACTAGTCAAAGTCTGAGCCATCAATCGAGAAAGTCGCACATGCAGTGTCAGGTTACTGTGCTCGACAGAACTTTCCATCTCGGCAGGTAGCCTCACAGAGATATCTTCATCTCTAATAGAGCTAGGGGCCCCTATTAGAGCCGAGAAATCACGATCGAGCATATAAACTACCCAAAATATCGTTCTGCACCGGCTAGACAGTTCTGGTCCGCACAGTTCCTCTGGTACGTGGCGGTGAATTCCCTCAATTATACAGCCACGTAATGCTTGGCCGATCTGTTCGAAATTAGCATGAGATTATCTTTCAAATTTATCTGTTTTTAGGAACGGGGACACTGACATGTTGGAATGCGGCACGTCTCATATCAATGGATTGCAGATAAACTGCACCCAAGCTCAATGCCTGAATGCACGTGAGAGGATCTTCATGCATCCCAGAGAGATCGGGGAGAAGGGACATTGCTCTTGATGCATATTGGTGTCCAGGCGGTGTACCAGAAGGATTTCTAGTAGTAAGGAATGCCTTCCCAAAGGCAAGAACAAGAAGATATTGGGCATACCAGTACCTTGAGGAAGCGGCTTTGCTTGATGGGTGTTCGTAAAACTCGTACAGATGTCGCAAATATGATTCTTCGTCGATCATGAAAGATAGAAAACCAAAGTAAAACTTGACTGTGTTGAAAAGAAAGAGTGCATAATCCAAAGGTGGCAGGTTCGTGACGTCGGGTACTTCATCTGCGGGCACTGGTCTCCATTGCAATTTAACTGCCATTCCATCTAGATGCCAAGGATCCGGGGGGGGGAATTAGCTTCAGGGACACGTCTTCCTATAAGTGCCAAGACACGCCGACAAAATGACCATGAGGATGTCGGGCCCATATACCCTAAGCAAGCCAATTAGTATCTCGGAGCCTTGAAGCCTTCGATATACTTTCAGTGGGAGCTTACAGAATCGACCATCCGGTGTCATTGCAAAAGACGGATCCCTATCTACCAAGGGATTCCGTGAAAATCGTGACCTATGCCCATCATGTTCTACGTCGACTTCTTCCCTTGATTGTCCATTTTCGATCTGCCTAGTTTGATTGGCATCGAAGGTTGACCCAAGTCCTGCGCAAAGAAGTCAGCCAATCAGGATTTGGCACATAGATGGGCAGTAAATACTCACCATCAGAAATACCACCCCACTGATCTGCCGTACGATCCTCCAAGAGGAACGACGGCCCATGAGACGGAGATAGAATAACATCATCATCACCAGTAAAGGGTGATGTGGCAAGGTTGCGAGTATCTAGAGTATTAGAATGGCGAGAAGTGCTGCTACTTGTTGTCAATTGCGCCTCGAGTTGTCGCAAGTATCTTGTGCGGAAGATTAATTAGCAAAATATCATTCAATTGAATTGAAGAACATACCGCTCCGAAACTGAGACACGGGTATCCTCCGCTGGAAAACGACAAGGTTGCTTCTTGCGAGCACATCTAGTGCAAGGTTCAGATCCCGAACACTTGACTTTCATTCCCCGGCATCGTATGCACCTTCATGGCACGTTAGCATAATTTCCTTGCCACCCTTATCAAGTGAGACTTACGCTTTTTGGCATTTCTTCGCCTTTGCTCGGTTTGAAGTCGCGGGCATTTCGGTTTGCACTACCGAATTTGGGCAACGTGAAGATGGGCTGTAACAATCTCCGGCGACTCTCCCCGATCTTCAGGATATAGCAGAAGTGAGGTCTCGCGGGGTAATTGTCGAGAAGGATCGGTCGGGATGGCCATCCGACGTTTGCTTATCAGTGTTATCTCCAAAGTGTGGAGCCACCCCCCCCAGGGCCGGGGAAATTTCATCATGCCGCGGGAGGTGCTCAACAGCCATTATTAAGGGTTGCCCTTTCACAGAAGAGCAACAAACCAGATAAGAAGAACGAGGGGAATTTCACCATTTGGCAGTATACTGTATTGTTGATGCGTCTGGTCTGCCGAGACTTGCCGATATTGAAATAGAAGCCGGTGCACTGGAATACGCATTTAGTTCGATTTCGTCTACTAAGTAGAAGCTACATTGGTAGCTATTGAATTCACCTTCGGAATACTGTTAGTCTTTAATTTCTTTAACTTACTATCATACGATACGTATAAATTTATGAGGCTTTTTGAGCTTCTTTGTCACAAAATAAGTTAGATTTTATTAGTCCTCAAAGATCAATCGGGAAAAATACGGTAGCTCCGAGACCCGAAAGAGCGATTAACAGTCAGCGGAATATTGGGCAGCAATTTACTCCAAATCTAGGAATGGATGTAGGTGATGAGGCCTTTCATTTTGCATTCATAGCGCAGGCACATGCAGGTACATTCAAGTTTGTTGATAACTACTAGTTAGTATCAACCAACTATCCGACGCCATAGCTCTTGTCTTAGTGCAACTCCCATGTGTTTGGTTCGCTCAACTGCGCCCTTATTCTCAATCGCCCGTCTATGAAGATATTGCATGCATTCTGCAACCGAGCCCCAAGCCATGCACTTGAAAGCCTTCGGCACTGAGACATCACTCGCCGTGGAGACCTTCAGAGCTCGCTCGTAGTTTTCCACAAGCTCACAGCTCAACTCATCTGCCATGCCTTGGATCTGTCCACATTCAAGTAAAATAGTCGGTTGCTTTGAGAGTAGAAGTTCTTGGTGCTTTGAAATTGCTTTGGCCGCACTCGCCGCATTGTGGGTTGCTAGGAAAAGTGCCGCATTTGGGAAAGGAAGGTCAATCCCCTCTGGCATGCGTCGGCAGAGCATTGTGTCGGCTATAAGATCGTATGACTGGTCTGTTTCTTTTCTTGTATCGTGAATAAGGGAACGTGTTTCATGCTCAATGTACGCTCCTCGGACCAGTTTGATTCCCGCGGAAAATCCCTGCTGCGCAGCCAGAGCAAGGTGACGATCGAGATTTGCCTTGGATCCCTTCAAGTATCCCTGAATGGTGTTGTAAACTAATGGAGCGGCAGAAGTATTATGTTTGCGCATGATATCGATAGCCCAGTTGTCAAGTCCTTGTTGGAGAACCTGTTGTTCGGCATCCAGCCACAATCGCGACCCTTGCTCTCGAGTAGCAACGCAGATTTCATCCATCGCCTTCGCCACGACTTCGGGCATGGGTCTTCTATCAACCATAGCATCGATTGAAACTGGACCGGCCCCTGTCAGTCTAGAGGGTGGTATCAGTAAGGTCGTAGATCGGAATGACTGGAGTTGTGGTATCTGAGTACTCACTTGACTGCGAGATAGTCACCAGCACCAACCATACGGAGGGTCTCCAATGTTCCCTTTTTCCATTCTTCCACGGTCTCATAACATTTATCGCTGTAGTTCACCGAGCCAGATTCATCGTGCGCCAATCTCTCGTTCGGGTCCACAACTATCTCCTTCGAATAACCCAGGATGACGCCTTGGTATCCCATTTTTTTTATTTCCGCCACAGTCTTCGAGACCTCCTGTCGGTTTGTGCCCGCACAAAAGTGATTGTATACTGTCCATCGAAGCAGCTTGTTGAGCATTCTATTGCGATCAGGGTTGAGTATGGCGGATTTCGAGTTTGTGACAACGTTCAATATAGCCAGGGCGGGCTTGAGAAATACTTTGGACGACATAAGGGTTGTCAGAACTAGTGACCGTAGGACTAGTTTGGTTGGCAGCCTTGCCATCGAGGACATCTTCAGAGGTGGTTGAACAGAGGGCGTTGGGTTTGTGATTACTGCATTATGGAAACCCTTCTTAGTTGAATGGTGTCGCCTGAGGATCTGGTGGGAAGGTGGGAAATGGCGGGGCTTCAATCCAACATGTTGGATGGATGTTGGTCTAATTGGCATTTTGGGAATATCAGATCTGAGTCTAATATCTCACAATGCAAGGTAAGATGGTTTTAACCCTTTGGTCTGTCTGCAGATTTTGGTGAAGAGGAAAGGCTTGGTATCATTGAATGTATATCACCAGGGCACTCAACATGCTATATACCACCGGGGACCTTTCTTAACTAGTACTGACCGCTATCTTCATGGCTTGGTGAAACCTACCGATGGTGCCTCTTTGAGCAGCCGACTATAGTCGGAATGATCCTCCGACATCAGGAGGGGTAGGTATCGGACCAAACGTTCGTCCTCGCAGAAGCCACAAGGTCAAGCGGGGGAGGGGTATTCTCTTATCAATTGATTCTTAATATTACACACTCTACCTACCGATCCCCCACCTTTATCAAAACCGGGCCGATCAGTTAGGCATATTCGGTATTGTCACCGTTGCATTTTGGGACATAGCAGCAATGACCCTATCATCAGATGACCAGGAGTTCGAATCTCATGCACATGATATGCACCTCCGAATTTTTACTATGGTGTTTCTACGTGTCGGCGCTTTACAGGTCAGTCGAGAACGTGCTCTTCTCTACCTGTGAGTCCAGGTTCGTCACCAATACAAACTCTAGCACTGATTTGTGTAGTGATCAGCATCTGAGCTCATCATACTTGCGAACAGATTTTCATATTTTGGAGCATATTTCATTCAATTATTCAGTTCAATGCACGTAGGCTATTTCTTCTATCACAACATGAAATTGGCTGGCGCACTCAAAAAGCTTAATTTTCCTTTTACAGAACTATACCTCGTTTGAGGGATAGGTTACTTTTCCCAGAGGGACAAACTCCTCCTTGATAGTCCGAGTGCTAACAAACCTCTGAAGATGAGCCATGGTTCCAGTCTTGTCATTAGTGCCAGAATCTCGGCTACCACCAAAGGGCTGCTGGGCGACGGTTGATCCAGTGCACTTGGTGTTCAAATAAAGCATACCAGCGGCATGTTTAAGGCTCGTCTGAGCCTGACGGCTAGCATATGGATCCTTGGCGAAAATACTTCCCGTAAGGCCGTATCGCGAAGTAGTATCAATGAGTTTCAAGGTTTGTTCCCACTCGGCATCTGGATAAACATAAACACCCAAGATCGGTCCAAATAGCTCTTGTGACATGATATCGTGGCGAGGGTTGGAGGTGCGATACACGGTAGGGTGCACGTAATATCCTTCTTCCTTGGACGCTTTGCCGCCGACAACCAACTCCAATTCGGAATCCGTCTTGGCTTTTTCAATAAATCCGCTCAGCTTGTCGAACGAACGCTCGTGGATGACGGGGTTGACAAAGTTCCCGTAGTTTTCGACATTTCCCACCTTCAAGGCGGCAGTTTCTTCGGCCAGGACCTTTTGGAATTCGGGCCACACAGACTCTGCGACATACACGCGTGAGTTTGCGGAGCACTTCTGGCCTTGATATTCGAAAGCGGCCCTGATTGTGTTCAAAGCTGCGCTTCGCACGTCTGCGGAGGGATGAACAACACCCCAGTTCTTGCCGCCGGTTTCACCGACAACTCGCGGGTAGGAATTATAGATGCCCTGACCGACACCGTCGCCAATCTTCTTCTGAATGCCTTTAAATGTGGCGGTAGCACCGATAAAGGTCAATGCTCCGAACTCGGGCCGCTTGAGAACAGTGTTGGTGACTTCTTCGGCATCGCCGGGAAGGAACTGGATAACATCTTTGGGAAGACCAGCTTCAATCAAGATCTTATGAAGCAGCCAGCTAGCATGCAGTGCGGAATCTGAGGGCTTCCAGATAACCACGTTACCAAGCAGGGCAGCGGGGCCGATCAATGTAGCTCCAAGCGCGGTGAAGTTGAAAGGAGCAATTGCGTAGGTGAAGCCTTCCAGAGGGCGATACTCCATCTTATTCCAGTGTCCATCAAGATGGACCTTTGGCTGCTGGGCAAATAATGCCCAGGCCTCGTGTATGTAGTGACGGAAGAAATCAGCCGTCTCCGCAGCGGCATCAATCTCAGCTTGCCAGATATTCTTGCCTTGGCCAAGCATGGTCGCCGCGACTATCTCGGAGCGGTATTTCCCAGTTACCAACTCGGAAGCACGCAGGAAGATTGCTGCGCGGTCTTCAAATGGCGTAGCCTCCCAAGCGGGCTTAGCTTTGATCGCAGCATCAATGGACGCATTGACTTGCTCGGGCGTGGCAGATGCGTAGTTGGCAATAATCTCACTGTGCTTCGAAGGGTTTAATTGAGTTCGGGACTCTTTTGTTTCGATCTGGTTTCACAAGGGTGTTAGCGAGGAGCTAAGAAAGAAAGTTGGAATCCTCTGAGACATACCTCGGTGCCATTGATCTTGAGGGGAATGGTGACTGGGAATTCACTCTTGAGTTGCTGAATGGTCTTGGTGAGCAATGCTCTTTCCGGTGACCCTTTGGCGTAATCAAACTGACAAGCGTTAGCGCATTTATCAACTTCATGTTAGGCTCTTGACTCACCATCTTTTCGTTTTCAAATTTCGGCGGATTCAGCATGGTCAGGTACCTACGACCAGCTCCATTGCGAGCGCAAGCCTTTAGCCTGTTGAGGCCAGCAACTCGAGTAATCGTTGTAGGTCGCATCTTCCAGTAACTTGTAAAGTCAAAAGAAACGAAAATCCCAGACTACTAGTAGTAACAGATGTTTGAGGTGAGTCCCTGTCCGTGTTTATTTAAATACCGAGATCTCCATGTGTTCAATTTGTGCCACGCAACGCGTCGGAAGGCCATGCCGACTCCACAGATAGGATACTGAGTATCATCAGTATCTCTCCTGCATCATAGATGCGAGTCCCACAAATGCGGGGAAGGAGGAGGTCGCCTACATCGCCTACATCATTCCACAGTCTTGAAAGGTCGGGGGAGCGTCCCGATGTTGATAAGAAACCCCACGTTGCTCAGCTGGACACAACAACCACTTCAAATGGGCAGGTTTTTACAATTGGTTATTGATGCCCAGGTGTACTTGTCCGCGATTGGCCACGGTGAATTTGATTCCCAATTAGTTGGATGTTATGGATAAGGACCTGTGTCATGTCTCCTCCAGGGCTGTTGACCGCTCTTTGCCTAACTAGTGTAGACTCTATTAACTTGAAGCTATGCTTTTCGGCTTCTGATGTAAGATAAAGTCTACTCGTATATTTTAACAAGACTTGTCAACATATGCAATTTATTCAGAGAGTGACTTGTCTACTAGCTCCGAGCTTAGTACTAGTCATGATCATCCGGGTATGGTTTACAGTAGTACTGATGTTCTAGAGCAACCTGGGAAGTAGTACTAGGATAAGAGTACTACTAAGTTAGTAGTTAGTAGGGTGCTATGTTTAATGAAATTCAAAATAACCCAATCTACTACTACTACTACTCAGGCTGCTATTACTAGTAGGGCTGTTCAACCCTAGTTCAAGTTCCATATCAAGATATATTTTCTACTACTTGTAGTACTACACTGGAAGCCTCCGAGTCCAGGGCCAAAACCCGTGCCCACCTGGGAACAGCTACTAGGCAGCTACCCAACAAAACTTCATTTCGCTATTTTCACAGCAACTCCCGGATTAGCCATGTCCTGCTAGTACTGCCCGTAAGTATATCAGAACAAGCTTGGACCAAGTGAACGTGATTGTGCGACCAGACCAGACCAGACCAGCCACCTCCGGTCAAGCTCCGCCCGATCGTCGAGCTCATTCGTCATCGCGGCCATCACCTCCACTCCCCCGACCACCTCCCATCCACTTCCTCCCCCGCGTACCCTTCCCACCGCCGGTGATCCAATGTCGCTATTTGGAACATCTCCGGAGGCGGAGGAGCCCTCCGCCGTGTCCTCTACACAGAAGTCTAAAGCTTCCCTGTTTGCCGACGAGCCCGCCGGTGGTTCCTCGTCCCTCTTCGCCGATGACACCGGTGATGACAGCTCCTCCTGGAACCCCCAGAACAACACTGCGAAACGAACAGCTCGCCGCGATCTCGTCCGAACGCTACTTCCTGCTACCGGTGTACCAGAGAGCTATGTGGACGCCTACGACTTGATCCTGAATAGTGGCGATAGGGTCGGCTCGGGCGTCGGCCTGTCCTCGATTCGGGAGATCCTGTCCAGCAGTAACCTCACCGCGTCTGATCAGGGCAAGATCCTCAATCTGGTTGTCTCCGGTGATAATGAGACCTCGGGTGGCCTTGGACGTCCCGAGTTCAATGTACTACTGGCGTTGATAGGCCTCGCGCAAGAGGGCGAAGACTTGTCCTTCGACGCAGTCGATGACCACCGCAAGAGTAAGTCCTTTGCCTCACACAGATACAGTGGATTTATGGTCGATTTCTGTTTTTCTACTCCATGGGAATGCGATCATATCGACTTACGCATATTTCTACAGAGCTACCTCAACCTCACAGCGGTTTCCTTGATCGATTGCGATCCCCGACTCATGATGCCTCCGATGGCCCCGCGGACGAGCGACCAACCACTCCCCCCTCCCAGCCTTCACCTGTACAAGAGCCCAACTCCGCGCGATCTCGACAGTCAAGACGGGAGTCACTCGTTGGCTTGGAATCGGATCCCTGGGCAAGCCCGGAACTTCATCGGAATCACGCTCACGCCGCAGCGACCTCCACAGTGACCTCCGAGCAGCGTATAATTAATGGATATGGTAGCATGCGCTCTACAACAAATGCATGGACCAGCAAGCCGGTGGAGGAGCCTGCCCAATTGGGCTTGTCGCAAGAGCCGACGAGTGTTCCGCCCGAACCGGTAGAGCCGAGTAGCTCTGGCTCCGGCTGGGGTGGTAACTTTGGTGGACCAGGACCATCTGGTGACGATGCTCCTTTTGCGAGCGCATCGCGTCCTGCACTGGGTGGATTTGGTCCCCCAGGCGATGATCCCATTGAGCCTGCACCGCGGCGACGATCTCTCGGAATTGCACGGATTACAAACCCTAATGTCGAAGAGACTGTCACCATCACTCTCCTCCCAGAGAAGGAGGGCATGTTCATGTTCCAGCACCGAAACTATGAGGTCAAATCGGCTCGACGAGGAAGCACAGTCGTGCGTCGATACAGTGACTTCGTCTGGCTACTCGATTGCCTGCAAAAACGATTTCCGTTTCGTCAATTGCCTCTTCTCCCTCCCAAGCGCGTTTCAGGTATGTCCCCTGCTGATCAAAGCGCCAAATCGCTTGCTCACCTTAATTAAGTTAATGGCACTCACTTTTCAGCGGATTCGAGCTCTTTCCTTGACAAGCGTCGCCGTGGACTCATCAGGTTTACTAATTCCCTCGTTCGCCATCCCATCCTCGGCCAGGAGCAACTGGTCGTCATGTTCTTGACAGTTCCCACCGTAAGTGTGCCGATTTGGGGATGAGAAGGACCTCAATGCGTAAACCACAATTCTAATGCGCGACCAGGAGCTTTCTGTTTGGCGAAAGCAAGCCACCATCTCTGTTCAAGATGAATTCGTCGGTCGGGCACTGCCTCCAGATCTCGAGGATTCCCTACCGCCTACTCTCGACGAAACCTTTGATACTGTTCGGAGCGGCGTCAAGCGATCGGCCGAAGTCTATATCAACCTGTGTACCCTCCTTGAACGATTGGCCAAGCGCAACGATGGATTAGCTGCTGATCATCTGCGGTTCTCATTGGCCCTACAGTCTTTGACTGAGGTCACCAAGGATACCTACTCAGTGGAGACTAATGATATACCTTCCCTGAACTTGGGAATCACGGCGACGGCTCGCCATCTCTCGGTGAGCCAGAGTTTGCTGGAAGATGAAGCACGTGCCTGGTCTGCAGGCGTTCTCGAAGATCTCAAAAGACAGCGGGACTGTCTTGTCAGCGTTCGTGAGATGTTTGACCGACGTGATCGGTATGCGCGGAACAATATTCCTCAACTGGAGCGACGCATTGAGACCAATGAGCGTAAGCTTCAGGACCTGCGGGGCCGGCCAGCTGGCACTGTGAAGCCAGGGGAGATTGAGAAGGTGGAGGATGCGATCTTCAAGGTATGTGATTTGACCCCACCCATATGTTCTGTCTCTCGGTTCGGATCGACTAACATTAGTGGCTGTGCAGGACAAGGAGTCTATTGTGGAGCAGCATGCCCGCGGGGTATTTATCAAGGAGTGTATTCGCGACGAGCTTCTTCACTTCCAACAAAGCCAATATCACATCAGTCGGCTGCACCAAGACTGGAGCCAGGAACGAGTGAAGTATTCCGAGCTACAGGCGGAGAATTGGCGCCGTTTGAGTGATGAGGTCGAGAGCATGCCGACAGGTGAATAGCAAGGCCAGACCGGGTCTGCGGCGTACATAAACTCGTGAAGATCGAACCTTTTTCTTCTTCCCCGCATGGATTCGATTGATATTTGGCCTCCCCGCGCGGCGTCCGCGGCAGCCGCGATCGAAACTGACAAAGTGAAGATGGTTGATAGATGTTTGCTTTTTCGCTTTTTCTTTTTCCATTTTGTGTCGTTGTCTTTCCGCCAAAGCTTACCCAAACCTTGTTGTTCACCCGCAAATGCTTTGACATGTTCTATGTGGAAGTCTGGAGCATGAATGCCTCCTGAGGTCCACCTATGCATTTGCCATACGCTCGAGATCTGCATTTACTGTCTGCTTTGCTGTCGTTTGTTGTTCGGATCTTTGTTGCGATGTGGGCTGTGATCTCCGATTTCTTCTTCTCAATTTTCGATTCACAATTCCCAATTACCAATTCCCCACTATCGTTTGCGCAATTCGGGTGTTTCAAGTTTGAAATGTGATTTTATACCTGGTGTCTCAGCCTGGCACGTACATCCTGGACTCCGATATTCACTAAATGTATGCATGAATGCGCTGTACCACCTAAGTATACTAAGTAGTAGTTATAAGTACTTCGTACAGGGCACTGTCTTCCAGAAGACCAGTGCCGGTACTCCGAGTGGATACTAGGGGACATTCAGGCACGAACAATCCAATGGGGCTGGGAGAGATCATAAATAGAGGCTTGGCGGATGGCAGGGCTGGGCACAGACTTGGCTGGAAACCAGGCAATACCGGCAGATACCAGGAATACAGAAATACCATACAGTCCATCCACATGCCGATCAGCATTGAATTGGGTTCTCGGAGTATAAGTGGTGGCGCCCTTGCTGTAGTACTCTGTCTATTTATTTATTTATTTATTTATTCATAGTCACTGGCATATACAGAGTACTGGCAACTACAGAGGATTGAATTAAACCGACTATCGTATACTCATCCTACTAGTACCCGATCGTATCTTACCTCCGCCAGCCAAGACTCGCTCCGCTTGTTAGCGTGGGGCGCAAAGTCTGGGCTGACGAATCCCGCCGCCCCAAGACTTTCCTTTCTTGCTAGGCAAATCTCTCCCGCGCGCGCAATACCTCGCTTTCTTCCCACCAGCCAAGAGTCCAAGAGTCCCCCTACCCCATCCAGGACTCTTCCACTGCCCGGTTCTTTTCTTTTCTTTTCTCTTTCTCTTCCTCCCAAGCCGCCGAGACTGCTTGTTCTTGCTTGACTTTCCCCGACGTCTGGCATCTGCACTGGCATCTGCACCTGCATCTCCTCTCCATCGGTGTCCCGTCCTCCTCGACCTCGGCCGTATCGCCGTTGCGCTCGGACTGCCTATCTCCGACTCTATCTTTTCCAGCCCCCGTGGACTTCCGAACCGCCGACTCTCCGAGAAAGGCAACGCGCCCAACCCTCAGCCCTACAGGGCTCGACGACCGGTCTCCCCCTCTGCCCTCGCCCAATCCCCACTCTCGAGATTCGAACTCCCCCCCCCAAGGCATGAGGAGCTACGCGGTCCACCAACATCTGAGGCGGAAATCGATCTGGTAATCGATTGGCGCAGGACGCGGTAGCTACTCTGCAGAGCAGAAGGAATCATACCCCTGCAACATCTACATCGATACCAAAGAATCAACAAGCGTGAGGAAACTCGCCCGAGGTCGATCGTCAAGCACAACATGGCGTGGGATCATTTGGATATCGATAAGCCGCATCTGGCATACATGATTTTGGGTGGATTTACTGGCCTGTTCATGCTGTGCTCACTCTTCGTGAAAGAAAAGCTCTACATCGGCGAAGCTACTGTCGCCACCCTTTGCGGTATCATCTTCGGCCCACATGCTGCCAATTTATTCAACCCCCACGAATGGGGCAACGTCGATAAAATCACACTCGAGTGCTCCCGCATCGTCCTGGTCGTACAATGTTTCGCCGTCGGTGTCGAATTGCCCAAGGCTTACATGGAGCGTCACTGGAAATCAGTAACCCTCTTGCTCGTCCCCGTCATGACCTGGGGCTGGCTGGTCACTAGTCTATTCATCTGGTGGATGGTGCCGCCATTGAACTGGCTCGACAGTCTTGTCTGTGCCGCCTGTGTTACTGCCACCGATCCTGTCTTGGCCTCGTCCGTCGTCGGTAAGGGTAAGTTCGCCAAGCGTGTGCCCAAGCATTTGCGAGATCTTCTCTCTGCCGAGTCCGGCTGTAACGACGGCATGGCCTTCCCTTTTATCTACCTCTCATTCTACATTTTGCGTTACAGACCCAATGTTGGGGAAGTCTCGCTGAATTGGTTCTGCGTGACCATTCTGTACGAGTGCATCTTTGGCGCGATCTTTGGCTTCGCTATTGGTTATTTTGCCCGCCATGCCATCAAGCTGGCTGAGCGCAGGGGTCTCATTGATCGTGAGAGTTTCCTAGTGTTCTACTTCGTCCTGGCGGTCTTCTGTGCCGGCTCCGGTAGTCTATTGGGCATGGACGATTTGCTTATTGGATTCTCCTGCGGTGTCGGTTTCAGTAACGACGGATGGTTCACAGAGAAAACTGAAGAGTCACACGTCTCTAACGTCATCGATCTGCTGCTTAACTTGGCATACTTTGTCTACTTTGGAGCCATCATTCCCTGGGAGGACTTCAACAACATTGAGCTCGGCCTTGTGCCTTGGCGCTTGGTGGTGATAGCGTTGTTGGTCATTTTCTTCCGTCGCATACCCATCATGCTTCTCTTGAAACCAATTATACCGGACGTTAAAACATGGCGAGAAGCTCTGTTTGCGGGTCACTTCGGCCCTATTGGTGTCGGTGCCATCTTCGCTGCGATTCTCGCTAGAGCCGAATTGGAAAACGATAGCACACAGCCCTCTCCAGAAGACAGTTTACCCACGCCAGGGCAGGAAGATTACTACCTTATCAGGCTGATCTGGCCCATAACCACGTTCATGGTCATCTCATCCATCCTTGTCCACGGATCCTCCATCGCCGTGTTTACCCTCGGTAAACGCATCAATACCCTGACGGTCACGCTTTCCTATACTCAGGCCAACGAGGACGGTCCTTCATGGATGAACCGTCTGCCCCGTGTCCAGTCAATTGCCAAGGGCTCTATGTCGTTCCGCAAGGCGGATGAGGTAGATTCCTCGGAGGAAAGGCTGCCTGAATACCCACCTGGAACCTTGCCGCCTATTGGTTTGCCCAACAACTTCCTACGTCGCCAGCGCGAGGAGGAGGATAGTGAATCCCAGATTTCTGCGACTCAGAACAAGCCTGTTCGTCGTCGCAAGCGCCGCAAGCACCCCGCTGGTGGGCCCATTAGTCAATCTGCAATCATGCCGGCTCCGCGACCTGCCGAGAGCGAGGGTGATGATGAGAAGAATCAAGAAGAGCTTGCTGAACGGGATGCTATTGAACGTGGTGCCTCACCTCCCAGTGCAGAGCGTGACCGCTTTGGTCGCGAGCCAGAGATTGAAGCCTACCAAGAAGGTCACAACATGATCATCGAGGATGAAGAAGGCAATGTCCTCCAGACCGAGGACACTACCAACATGACAACCGAGCAAAAGCTTCAAGAAATCGAGAAGCAGCGCAAGCGTCTGGAGGAGGACAAGACTGGAGAATTCGCCCCATCTCTTAACCAGCCTCACCCCAAGAATGAAGGCGAGGAAGCTAAGCAAGCCGTTGCCGAAAAGGCTGGACTCTCTGCGGGTAAGGCCCGCAAGGGATGGACCAGCTGGATTGGACGTGGAAAAGACAAGGAAACGTCTGCGCAGGAAAAGCCACCCAAGGCCGATACCCCCAAGTCCAAGCACCGGTCTGCGCATGCCTACCAGTTTGGTAACACTATCATTGTGGAGGACGAGGACGGAGAGGTGCTCAAGAAGTACACCATTCCATCCAATGACAAGGGACCAAAGCCCAAGCCCCCGCCTGAAGAGGACCCTGCTGCTCCTCCTGGTCACGCACCAATTAGGCGTGGTCTCACCCGTATGGGCACCTGGTTTGGAATGGAAGAAGAAGGAGAATCGTCTCAAGCTGGCCAGAAGAAGACTAAGCCTGCTCCGAGAACTGAGACTGACGACTGGACCACCGATGACGGTTTGCGTTTCACGCTAGCCCAGAATGACGACGTTGACGCTCGCGGCGGTATCGGGCACAAGGGCCGCCGTATGAACAAGCTAGAGTTCTTCCAGCAGCTCAAGGGTCTTGATGCCAAGGAGCGTCGTGATGTGGTGCAGCAGACGGACGCGCCAGCCGCGATCCAACAAGCTGCCAAGGACGACGTGAAGGAAGAGGAACGCAAAGATAGTCGACTCTCCGCCGCTGCGGCTGCCTCTGCCGTCGCCACTACCGGTGCCATTCCCGAGGAAGCGGCCGAGGATCTCGAATCTGTCACCGACAGCGAGATCAGCGATGATGAGTCCGGTGACGGAGCCCCAACCCCCGACGTCGCCAGCTCCCTTGCCAAGTTTACCCGCGGCAGCTCTGCCCAGGAACGTCGCAGCAACCTCAGCCCTGCACCTGCTCGTCTCCGTGCCCGTCGTGACTCCGACGACGACGGAACCGAGCGTATCCCTCCCTCGCGTCTCCGTCGAGCTGCCGGTATCCCTGCCCCATCTCGCCAAGCCGACGACGATACTGGCGAGACACCTGCCGAGCGTCGTCGTCGTCTTGCTGCCCTGGGCCAAGATGACAACGATGATGACTCTGACTCCGATGATGACGGAGCTATCGAGGATGATTCGGAGAGTGACGAGAAAGATGACGATAATCAAACAGCCGGCAAAGTGCAGTTCGCCGACTCGCTCAAGCCTTCAGAAGCCCCCCCAAAGTGGTGAGCAATCTTCCCCCTCCGGGTCCGGCTCCGGCTCTGGTTCTTCCAAGTTCACGCCCGGACACCGACCGCGTGTTTCGTGGGGAGGTGAGAAGGGCCGTGAGATTTAATGGCACAATTGCTTTCTCATCTCGCCTCATCGCCTCATATCACCCGCTCCTACCACTTTGATAGACTTATGAATTTGGCGCGCAAAAAAAAAGTCGAAGAGCCCATTGACGATATGATTTTTCTCCGTTTTGTTCACATTCACGAATTTCTATCAAGAACTGGGTAGACCGTTCCTTGCCTTGCTAGAATGGTCTAGTACATGATTTTCTTCTTCTGGACATGCCATGCCCCCTCGCCTACTTACTACCTTACGCATGTTGACCACTATTCCTGTATCTTTTCTCCCTTCCTATCTGTGCATACTGCCATTATTCCTGGGATATAATTGACCCGACGAGCGGAGCGGGTCTCCTTGTGTTTGATACTAGTTGTTTGCGTCCTATCATGATTGGATTATTGCTAGAATAGCGTAGTCGTTTCTGAATGCATTTGCTTTGCATACCTCATTCCGTTCCCTGGTGTAGGATCCCACGCAGTTAAGAATAGTACAAGTAAACTCAGGCTGCGAAACTAATCTACGTTGAGCCGAGCTCGCATCAGCACGGCACGGTATGCAGAATATCGATATCATTAGATCAAACCAGAGGTATCAATGAATGCAGAAAAAAGGAAGCCTCTAAGAACAAAAAAGGCCGTCTCAAGACAAAAACCAATATCAAAGCCAAAATCAAAAGTACATCTACACCTCATCCATCGTCGCCTGCGACCTCATAACCCCCCCTACCAAAAAAGTCACTAACAACACCAAACCGATCCCTGGAACGCGACAACTCGGCCTTGAAAAGATCATGCTGATCCGCCGAGTCAACCTGCCTCTGTCGAATGGCGCGGAGCGTAGAATTTTGCGGACCGCAGACGGGACACTGGGCGTCGTCGTCTACATTGTTGAGACAGCGTTCGTGGAAGGAGTGGCGGCAGAGGAAGTGAACTGTTGGTAGGTCGAGGGTTCCACCGCAGGATTGACAGCGGCGCGATTGGAAGACGACGGGTTGGGAGGAGAGGTTTGAGAGTTCTTGTTGCTTTGCGGCTGTTTCGGTTTTGTAGCTTGAGATAAGGCGGCGGTTCTGTGGGGGTGTTAGGTGGGTGCTATTGGCAACGAGGTAGGATGGGATGAGCTGGCGGGGGTGTTATACGTACCGTTGAGATCTCCTTGTGTTCACGATCAATGCTTGTGCTGAGATACTTCTTTACCCGGCCCATCGTAACAACTGCGTTGTTGCTCAGGGCTTGGATCACCTGAAGTGGGGAGAGAAGGCCGTCTTGATCAATGCGTCGGAGAACGGCGTCTAGCTCATCGCCTGCCTCTTCGAGGATCTGTGGGCTGGAGGCGAAATATGTTAGTGCGTCGATGTATAGCTGCGGCTCATCGGGTCCATAGCGATGCAATGCTTGAATGGCACCCTGTGTATCCTTGGCTGAAGTGAAGGAGCGGAAAATGTCGAGGCGAAGGCCCTCCTGTTCGCGTACGAGAGTGGAGCCCTCGCGGAAGTTGGATAGATCGGAGAGCAGCAGGACATTCGAGGTTGAGATGGGGATCTGATCGGGTTAATTTTGTTTCAAAATAAGACTTTAGATGGCTGCCTCGTGAACACTTACATCTTTCCCTTCAATCAGTTTCTTGGCCTTGTCCTCCCATTCCTGTTTTTCAGTCGCGTCCTTTTTGCTCTTTGCTGTGTCTAGATACATCTCGAACAGCGTGGTAAAGAGATCCACTTTAGCATCTTGTTTAAGACCAGGATGTTCCGTTAGCGTCTCGAGGAAGCCGATGAACTCTTTCGGATGGTCCACGAAAGCGGAGAAAGCTGTACGTGGCTTGGGAATCTTATACTGTGGTGCTGCATCTGCTTCGGCTTCTTGGTTGATAGGGTCTGTTTCTGGTGCCGATGGTTGCGTTTGAGTTCCACCACCACCAGTAACGTAGCGTAATGGCAAAAGATTGGCAAGACTCTGTACTGTGCTCGTGTGTTGTTCTTGGGGTTCGGCCTCGGCCACCTCTGTGCGTGGTCGATATTGACCCGTGTAGTAGACCTTGAAGATTTCGGTCGTTCGCTCAGGACAGTGAGCGAGTAAGACCCGGGCGTATTTCATCAAGTTGTGATAGGCCTATTACATTAGCTTCGCTATAAAAAGTAGATATTAGCAGGGTTCACATACCGCTTCGGGGTCCAGTCTCCAAATATATTCAACTGCCTCGGCATATTTCTTGGAATCTTCAATGAGAATGTCCACGACCATGTCATTTTCACCATGCTTTGTGGCCAGGTAAGCAGCCTGCTCATAGTATCCTCCTTGTCGGCACATCGCAATGGCGGTCTCAAGATCGAACTTCAGCTCGCCAGGAGCTTTGATGAACGAGTCTAGTTTGCTTGTGTCCTTCAGCTTGGCATAGCAATTGAGAAGAAGGGTCGTGTGGTCGACTGTGGCACGGCCATGATCGTGCAATTCCTCCAGATATTCGATTAAATTGTGAATACGTTGTGTGTCAAGGTACTGAGCCATGGGTTAGAAACCAATCAATGATTTAGATTTATAGTAAACCAACCTTGCGAATAACCTGTGAGGGTTCGGTATTGTCAATCGCCCGGAGATATTGTTGCATTGCCGTATCATAGTCACCACGCTGGTATAGGAAGTCACCGTATTTGCGATAAATTGCATTTTGCTGCAAAGTGTTGATCCCGATCTTTTGTGCCAAGTTAATGGCAAGTATGTAGAGGTTGCGCTCATAGAGAATTTCAAGCCTCTGCTGAAGGCTTTTTTCCCGGTACCGAAAGATCTGGGAAATATTAGAAAGATGCAGAAATGAGGATGAATATGCAAAACCGAGAAACACAAACCTTTCCATCCGTCGTGAGCAGAAACAGATCCCCCCATTCCATGAAAATGTGCTTCATAGGCGAGACCAGCGCCTCGCTATGCGCGATGAATTTGAGATCGGTATCTAACAGTGTGAAGGTCGTAGCGCCCAAGATATCACCCCCGGGGTTGACACCATACTTCCGAAGTGCCTCACCCTTGCCCGACTCGGGCCTTGGTGGGCATACCAGTGCAACATAGTCTCGGAAGGAATTGATGGAAGTCTTGGAGCTCTCGAAAGCATAACTGGAACCTCGGCCACGGGGACCATATGTGTAAACTGCATCTTCTCGCGCAATGAGAATATCCCCAGTTTCGCCGTCCAGAGTCATGCAACCCAAACCACATCCCGTATCCTCCAAGATCCGCGCCGGCTGACCCTGTCCTCTCCCTGCGATGACCAGTGTCAAGATTCGACTCGTTGTCGAAATATAAAGTGCGGTGACGGCACCACTCTGGGTCTCTAGGCCCGTAATCGGCTCCTCTGACTCGAAAACAATCCGTTGCCGCGCCCCGCGATCGTGAATCAGATCACCCCGGATGATCGTCACGGAGCCGTTGGCGAAGCCAACCGCAACCTGCGAAAGGTCCTCGACAACTGCAAACGCCGATATCTGTATTCTCAATCAGCCCTCCACTGCGATTCCTCTATGCGATGGGGAATTCTTACCGGAAACTGCCGCCTAGCATTCTGCACTAACACTGTCGATAGACACCGAGGTGTTCCATCCTTAGGCTCCGTATCCAATGCCCAGACCTTTAGCACCGGTTCATTCGAGAGGTCCTCCGCAACTGTAACGAGCAAGGAAGTGCCATTGATTTGTTTCATGTGTTGAATCGAGCCGGCATCATGCGCCTTGAACGAGCGAATGACGCGGAAGGTTGAAGTGACGATATGGACGAAGCCATCGTTTGTGCCGAGGAAGAGGTTCGAGGATCCGGTGCAAAGACTAGATAGGTCGCTCTATAGGGCGTGTCAGCCAGCGCATGTTAGCGGGGAGGTTGAAGGGTGCCTTACCCCGAATAGCGCGGAGCTGTCCTCCGGAACCTTGACGGGGGAGACGTCGACGAAGTTGAACGCTTTCCACTAGATGAATTGTCAGTATGAATCTTCAGTGAGAGGCAAGCCGCGCTCTTACTGATGTCAAAGCCATTTCGGCGGGCCATGGAAGATGAAATGGAGCTGGCGACGAGGCGGAGTTGGAGCTCTCCCCGCCGACGCTCGGACCACCTGCGGTTCCTGGTCAACCGCCGATTAGTACAACTTCAACATTTCAATTAACTATCTACAGAATATCTACAATATTTATAGTAAATCATGAAATTTTACACAGAGTGGCTGCGGGGGTATGTTCTTAAAGCCACATAATTCTATTGGATATCATTTATTCGTCAAGGCGGACATCATCACCAACAATCTGGTGCTCAAAGCACGCGCTGGAAATGTCACAAAATGGGGAATCTCAAGCATATGCAAGTCGCTAATGATATGTGTAAAGCAAAGAGAGTTAGGATATATCTAAATCCATGGCAGTAGGGTGTTCTGCTGTAGATGAAGTTGTCTTTGTACTCGGGTGAGGATGGTTGATGTCGTTCATAAAATCAAAGCTCTGCTGTAACCAGCTCCCGTCATCTGCAATTGCCTGGCTGAGGTTGAAACTCTCGGCCCTTTGAAACCCGCCTTGTCCATCCTGTGCGGTGTTAGGGGTTGATCCGGTTAACGCAAATGGCAGGGCAGAGTTTTGTGTGGTCGATTGCTGACCCAGCGCAAGCCCTGATTGTTGTTGGCCAGGAGCGTATTGGTCATCATTTGTTGGCGCGGTGTGGTATTCATCCACGGCAAATGGCGAGGACCTCGCTGGAGAGAAAGCTGCGCCCATCCCAGTAATTCCCGGACTGGTTCCGACGACTGGCGACAGATCGCGAAATTGATTGGGCTTTTTCCCCGTGCTAAATGTAAACGGCGTGGCGGCGTCAATCATGCACTGTGTACTCATCGCCTGCGCCTTCTCTTTATCCCAGCGAGAAAAGTCCGAAGGCATGATTCGATCGGAAGTTGCAGGGTTGAGAAATGGCGTCTCATGCGCTAGGAGTGATTCATCACCATTCTCATCCTCCTTCTCGGATGGCATATCATAATCAGGCTCTGAGCTCTCAAGGTCGTCTTGGAAAGACTTTTGAGCGTGGCGAAGGGCAGCTTGTGTCGATAGCTGCGTATCATAGCTTCCACCAGAAGCACTGTTGTTTTCTTTGGGCACGGCTGTTGAGTGCAACGATGTAACACGATCGGAAACTCCAGGGGCAACTGGTACCTGCTGGGCAGATGGGAGCTGCTCGTAGGTGTTCTGTTCTACAGAAGTCTGGGCAAATGTGTCCGCCTCGATTGACTCGGTTCTTTGGTTTGCAACTTGAATATCCTTTGGTGGCTCGGCCTGTCGACCTTTTTGTATACTGGCAGTTCCTATGGCATTCTCCTGCTCATGAGGCACGTCTAGTGAGGCCATGTCATCATCCGGGTCGTCGGCTGTGGGCACTGATGGGGCCTTATCGGCAGGGTTTTCAACTATCAGATTCGACAGCTCACCAGGGCTAGAGTCCTCCGCATTCAACCGCTGATATTGGAAGCGCGGCAGCTGGGATGTAGAAGACGCAACACGAAATGACAGCGCAGCATGATTCTTCGTAGTGGGTGAGGCTTTCTGCACAACTTGCTTGGCAATTGTCGAGCCTGGACACTTGATCCGCGACGGCGATAAAGCAGGCGAAAGTGACATCGGCGGAGCGCATTCCACAGGTGGCTTTTCTGATACTCTAGGTGTCGTCGGTGATCGAGTCCTGGTTGGTGACCGTGTATCTTGCTTTCCAATTGCATTTGATACCGAACTAGATTTATACCTCGCTCTTCGTAGATCGGCCTTTGGGGTTGGTGAACTTGGAGGTTCAAACTTTCCAAAATTTAGTCTCTTCCCGCCCTTTCTCAACCAGTCCGCCGTCCCTGGTGCAGTGAATGTTTGGTCCTCCACGGAAACAGAAGCATCTCTCCGAGACACTGCACTCTTCCTGCCCGTAGATTTCGGTGGAAGCTGAGGCTTATTGCTAGGCTTCGGATTCGATGAAGCAGACCGATCTGGATTTTTGTCCAATGCTAACACGCTTGAACGATCAACTGGCGAAGACACATCCATCCCGTTGCGTGACGCAATAGACCAATCCTTGCGATGTTTTGCTTCCCGCGGGTCAGTTTCTTGTATCACAGGCGCCTTCTCCAGATCACCGCCAGCCTTTATTTTCCCCGCTATAGTGGCTTTTCCTCCACGAGTCCTTTCTTTCTTCCATGGGTTCTTCCAGTTATGTTCGAACGGACCCCGCAAGGAAGCGGAGAGAATAAAGACCGGAGCTCCTCCTCGGCATGATTCCGCGATTCTTTCGATTTTTTGCCGCTTTGCCGCCTGGGCAGATTCATCCAGATCATCGTCAGACGCTAGAAGGTCGTCATCACTGGGGTCTAAGGGCGGATATGCACATGTCTCAAAAGTGAGCGGGGAGATTGGCCGCGGTCGTGGCATCGAGATCGGATTGGGGGTTCAGATCATATAAGGAGTTCCAGCTTATAGTATTCGGACAAGGCGACGGAACAGATCAACACGGGCCTTGAAGGCATCCGTCATCGTTGTTGGGCGGAGATTTGGTCGTTGGGAGAAGGTCGGCGCCTGACGCGACAAGCACCGCGTAAAGTGGAAATGCCCAGGCAACGCATTACGTAACCCCATCCGGGGAAGTATAAAATCCACTCGTTCAACAAAAGTGAAGCCAAAGGTTTATTCTACCTCATAGTTACCACTACTTATACAAATATTACATAGAAATAATCAATTAAGCATCAATATAGATTGGACATATCCAAGTTTATCTCTTCGTTTTTACATGACATCATCCTTGTATATGCAATGCAATGCCATTGCAATGCAACTCATCTTCCAGGCCAAAAGAGCAATGGAGAGATGATCAACACCGCCAAACCAGCAAGAATTAATTAGAAGCAAGATTGCTTAGGCCTTGGTCTCGTTGGTCTCGTTGTGCACAGCAGCAACCTTGCTACCGGCAAGCTTATCACCGAGAACCTCGACATCGCCCTGCTCAGCAGCGACGGTGCGCTTGGTATCGTGGTGAGTCTTCCAGGCAGGAGTACCAATGTAAGGAATACCGTGAGGGTCCTCGAAAATGGCCTCGGTCTCTTCCAGAGTCTTACCAGCAGTCTCAGGGAACATGAAGAAGACGTGAATGAACATGACAACCAGGAAAACACCGAAGATAATGTAAGTCTGCCAGCGGATGGTGGCAAAGGCAATGGGCACGAAAAGACCAAGAGCAGTGTTGAAAGCCCAGTTGGCAGACGTAGCCAGCGCAACAGCCTTACCACGGACACGCAGAGGGTATAGCTCAGGGGGGGGTAGACCCAAGAGACCGGTCCCCAGGTTGGAGCGTAAGAAGCAACGAAGAGATAAGTGCATGCAATCAGGCCCGTAGCAGGGGCACCACTGAGACTCATAGACTCTTCGGCGACGCCCTTGATACCTCCTGGAACGACCGTACCGTAGGAAGCCATGATACCGGCGTTTGCGAACATCCAGGTCATCATAAGCAGAGCACCAATAAGGAGAGTGGGGCGACGACCCCAGCGGTCAACCCAGATCAAGGCAGGTATGGTCATGACAACATTGATGATGTATTGAATCGAGGAAGCCAACAGGGCGGCATTACCCTCGTAGCCTGCCATTTCGAACACGTAGTTGATGTAGTACATCATGACGTTCATACCGGTAAGCTGAGACCAGATCTGGCAGAATATACCGATGAAGGTACGGTTGATCATCTTTGGCTGGAACAGCTCGAGGTACGAAACATCGGCATTCTGGCGTTCAAACTCGCACACATCACCAATTTCCTGCATCTCAGCAACGACGAATGGGCTGTTGGGGTCACCCTTTCCGTGGATGAGAGTGAGGACGGCTTGGCACTCTTCCCAGCGGTCCTTGCGAGCGAGCCAGCGGGGGGACTCAGGCAAAAACATCATACCGAAGAAGAGCAGGACGGCGGGAAGCATCTGCAGACCCCAGGGGATGCGGAAGACTTTCTCGCTGTAGTTGGTGGAGTCTATGCCACCAATGTAGGAGCAGCCGAAGGAGATATAGTACATGATCAGAATACCCCAGGTAATAGCCCACTGCTGGGAGCCGACCAAACGACCACGCTTCGAGGGGGGCGCAATCTCAGAGATATAGACGGGAACTTGGGCGGACTCAATACCGACAGAGAGACCGTTGATGACACGTCCGGCGATCAGCATACCCATGTTCTGGGAAGCGCAGACGATAATGGAGCCAATAATCCTAAGCAGAGATGAACGGTTAGCTGTTGCTTTGTGAAATGCCTGGGTAGGTCGAATTATAGGCAGAAATTGCAGAGGACAGGGACATACCAGACAATACATCCAGTCATAATAGCGTATTTGCGACCAAGACGATCCGAGATAAAACCAGAAATCAGAGCACCGAGCCACGAACCAGCGGGCATGGCGGCAGTCACACCACCCTGCTCGAGAGAACTGAGACCACTGCACTGCTTACTATCGTTAAAGGGAGGGCCATCGGGGCCGTGGTTGAAGTAACATTTGTAGGCAGGAGTAGTGATGATGGCGGACATGGACGAAATGTCGAAACCAAATAGACCACCACCAATAACGGCAACAGCCGTAATGGCGTAGAGGTTCCCGACAACCATGTTGGCTGAGGTATGGGAAGAAATTAATTCGAAAGAATGAAATAGGGAAGAAAGACCTCACACTGCAGCGTCTCGCGGATCGAGAAGGGGGGCCATCCTTAAATAGATGTATCTCATGGCAAACTGCCTACTCGTACAAGGGAATTCCTTTTTTTCCTTTTTTTCCTTTCTTTTTCATTTACCCCCTTCCTATTCTAGAGGGTGGATTCCTATGCTTAGGGCCGAAACCGGGCAGGAAATTAGTTGTTGACCTCTAGTTCCCACTCTTCTCGGGTAAAGTCAGTCTGGGGATAGCGAATAAACGGGGAGAGTCCGGGTGCAACACTACTTACCCCCAAGGCTCTCCCTCGAGGCTTTACCAAGGTCCCGTTCGCAACCTGGGGAGAGGCCTGGAAATGTTATTGGACAAGGCAGCCTTAGTGTTCTCCATATCTCCCCCACTTACGGTCCCAATCTCCTCGGTCATTGGTCCACCCAAGTCGATCGCTGAAGGGATCCGGGGAATCGGCCACGAGGTGACAGTTCTAGACCGAAAACAGCATGGCGCCCCCTCCCTAGAGGATTTGTTTGAAGCCACGTCCATGCCGCGGAGGATGCCGCGTTCGGGGTTGGTTGGGGGCCCGACGTGGCTGCGTTCGGCACGGCATTTCTACGGCATTCCTGGTCCTCTCGGGACGAACAAGGGAAAGATACAAACACTCCAGAGAGATAGTTGTAGAGTTGATCAGAAATAAAGGAAATTAAAGAAGGTGGAGAGATGGAGAGATGGAGAAAGAGAAAGGGACCAGCACCCACACACCACAGGAAACCCATTTTTTTCCCCTGCAAATCATGCCATTCCCACCTCTGCCCTAACTGACTCGGCGCAGGCCGACAATCCATCCTCCCCAAACCCGGGACATCCTGTAAAGTCCTGTTATTATTCCGACCGTGGGAACCCGGAATTACCATGTCCACTCCCACGACAATAAAAATTAGCCGGCCAACCCACTTGCAACAGAATTTTCTGCCTTTGCGTCCAGTCCGGGGCCCCAACTGACGGCCATTTACCCAGAACAGGAGATGCGGGTACGGCATCGCACGGCATCGAGCGGCTTTGACACATTCTCACTGGCTGATGACCGCCGAAGTGGACTGGGAGGGGCCCTTCGGCTCTTCCGTGTTGTCCCCCTTGCTGGCGAGTTCACGGGGTTTCATCAAGCCGAACGAGGGCCTCGAGTCGTCAATCGGGGAGCTCGCATGGTGTTAAACCTAACTCTCTTGCGCGATGTGGGCCGTGTATTTGCTAAGAGCAATGCGACCGAATGTGGCACGGGTCTCGAAGTCTCAAAGTCTCAGTTCAAAATTCACGATCAGAGGCCGAGATGCTTCTCCCCATTTTCTCCGCCCTCCACAGATGCCCTCATATCACCGCATTCGCACACCGGGAGTTCCCCAGACCTTGAATCTCTCCCACTTTTCTCTCCACGCGGAGAACAAGGCGGGGAAATATCGGGTCGCTGAGTTTAGGCCTCGCTTAACCTGTCAACAAGTTGCCAACAATCACCTTTGCAATGGCTGCACCTTCGTCCAACTAAAACGCAATTTCACAAAGCTCTACAGCACAGACCAGACCAAATCAGAGGTTTTCCCGATCCTAGCGACAACCGATGCTTAGCTCTACTCAAATGATGTAATTCCGGTAGTTCGGATAACGCCTCTTGCGGTTGGCGTTTTTTTGACTTTTCTGCTCCCAGATACAAACCTTGTACCTACCCGATGCAACAGTGTATAAGTTAGGCAGTCCGTGGATAGTCAGAACCAAGCTTGCGCCTGGCAAGCCCCGAAGTTGCTAGCGTGGCGCCGCAGCGTCATTGGCGGACAAGGTCATGTCTTGGGAAGATCCACTGTAGATTGCGTTGTTTCACATTCAGGGGCCGTTAGATTTGTCTCACTGGTGGAAGAATAGGAACATCCGACGCTATGGATTTGTTGGATTCCTTCACTCGGCACGGAGTACGGAGTATGGAGTATGAATTTGGTCTCCAGTGCTACATAGTCTCCGTAAACCCATGGTGCAGCCGATTGTTGAAGCCGACCCCTCTCCCCACCCCCGACATTCATCTGTCCGACTCGGAATCTTCCGTCTCTGGTTCTGCCTGTTCTGGCTCGGGCTTTAGCTATGAGTCCGGTCTCACTACTGGAACCCCCAGCTACGAGTAGTACGTCCTCCTGACCACAGCATTTCTAGGGCAATTTGAAAGGTCGAATCTCTAAAATAGACCATCAACCAACATTCCCTACGTCCTTGGGGGAAATAGATCTTTAACGTTCTGCGTAAAGAGAATGGAAATATACCCATAAGGCCATCCATTCGGCCCGAGTCTTATATCTCGGGATAGGCATCCATTTTTTCTAATCATCGTAGCAACAACCCTCACGCGTCGGAAAGCCACAGCACTGGCGGTTGTAATCGCGCTTGTTGGATCTACCTACTGGATAAGGGAAGCTCGTTCTGATCAGAAGCGAAGTATAACTCGAGAAATTAAATGGAAAACGTTTTTTAGATTTGTTTAATTCTCTGCTGTTCCCTTGCTCTTTTTCTCGCCAACCGTCCCATAGGTTTGGGAATGGAATCCTTCAAGTTGTAGACCCTTCATCCCCTTTCAAAGCGGGCTAATTTTGCAAGGATGGTATGCCAAATTGACGCACATACGTTCGCAAACTCCTAATACGGTTCGTGAAGCAGGCTGCAGGGAACATAAGTCCATGTTGGGAGTGGATGTTGATCATTCCGAGCGCATGGGTCGAGACCATACTTGATTCCGTCTGCCTCAATTGACATAGTTATTCCAAGTTTTCCGCTCGGACGTATGATGCTCTAACTTAAAGGCATTATGCTACTAAGACTTTTCTTATTTCAGAGGGATACCAGCGTGGATTAACTGGGATATTTGCAATCTGTGTCCAGGAGATGAATTAGATTGAGGCCAGCAGGCCCAGCGTCCTTAGGCTCCTATGAGGCTGGTCTCATATACATGCCAGTACCTAGGTGTTCAAGTCACGGTTTCAACATACGGCCGTCATGACGGTATTTTGTCAATTATGGTATGTGTTTGATATACCGCCTTAAGAGGTACAGAAGATACTCTTAGTATAACAAAGCTTTTAGTACGTACAACTTTCAAGTTACTGGCTACATTGTAAAATACTACAAATTTGCATTTTCGTAGATATCACGTGGTAGTAAAGATCCGAGTCAAAGCAACAACTTTAACTTGAAGCCTGGCAACCCCCGGGGCCTTCAAGTTGGAAGCAGCTTCAAATCAGACGAAGAGGGCCTCAGCATGATGCTCAGTACTACCAGAGGGCTCAAGATCACATCCCTGGAGTATTGATGATACTACTAGTACCTAGGTACTGTTCCAAGTTCTGAATGAAGTTCCAGTTGGAATGACTTGATAGGTATATACTGCTGGAATATATAGTATTGCTGGAAAAGCGATTCTAGGCACATTAGCAACTGGGGATTCTAACACGAGTGATGCGCTGCTGCAAAGTGCCAGTGGGCTTCCGAACCCCAACACCGAAAGCCACACCGGGCCGAAATAGGCCTCATTGATCGGGAAAACGAGGCTCAAAATCGCCATGACCACAAACATAACAGCAGCGAGACGCGGGAGATCCACAGCGGCTCCACAATGCCTTCGCGCGCACTTCCCGATTAGGTTAGGGCATTTTGGAATGTCCATGTAGACAGCAAATAATTTTCATCCATCTCGCGTTGCCATTGGACAAGAAAAAATAGATGATACGTATTGAACCTTGTGAAGTCATGTTACCAGCCCAAAAAAGATTCTCTCGGTGTTCTCCGAAAATCCTGAGACCAGGTATTGACTTTTGAGTACGCAGCTCACCTAGTGGCAAACGAGGACATCCCTTTTGTTTTGCATCCATTCCTTTTGTTAAGATGAATATGACTTTGGAATTTGACTCCTTTAAATTACGCATGTCTCAAGCACCTGGGTAGTTGAAAGAAATTAGATATTTTCATATCGACACGGTTAGCCTATAGATTGATGCAGGGGTTAACCATTGAAAGTTGAGCTGCTAGAGTAAGCCTACCGCAGAAGATGATCCTGTGGATCAGAGGTAATTGAGTGGAGGTTCATTGGAGGTTAGGAATACGTAGGTATTTACGCTAGCCAGGTGGCAACTGATTTTAATGACCGACCAATTTCTATTTAAGCCCACTCCGTGCCCCTCAGACTCCCTCCGTGATTCACCATTCTACCTTCTTCCAAGGGTTCTACTTTCATATCGACCTACTATCACATATTCTTGGCAGGATGCCCGAAATACAAGACTACACAAAAGCATTCGATGTCCTTGCAGAATATAGTTCTGGGGACGGTTTGCATATCGACTCGCTGCTCGACTCAGACAAACATGGCGCGTTGACGTACAACGACTTTCTCATTTTGCCAGGATCTATCAGTAAGAAAGTCGATGTCCCTTGATATATTTTTTTTTAATTCTTTGGTTAGCTTTCTCAGCACAAGATGTCACCTTGGATACCAAGGTTACGAGACGATTCACCCTCAAAGCTCCTCTCCTCTCCTCTCCCATGGACACCGTGACCGAACACAACATGGCTATCCACATGGCTCTCCTGGGTGGTCTTGGTGTTATCCACAATAATTGCACCGCCGAAGAACAGGCTGAGATGGTGAAAAAAGTGAAGCGCTATGAAAATGGCTTTATCCAAGACCCCGTTGTTCTGTCTCCGAAAGCAACCGTCGGGGATGCAAAGCAATTGAAAGAGAAGTGGGGGTTTGGTGGTTTCCCTGTTACTGGTGAGTTTGAAAACTGGGTACTTTCCTATCGTCTGATATACTTCCTCACGGCCGATTTTAATGGGATGATCTTCGTTTGCAGAAAATGGGACACTCCACTCCAAGCTCCTCGGCATAATCACTAGCCGGGATATTCAGTTTCACGACCAGCCGAATGACTCAGTCTCTGCCGTCATGTCGACAAATCTCGTCACTGCACCGGCGGGGACAACACTTTCCCAAGCCAACGAGGTTCTTAGAAAATCAAAGAAGGGGAAGCTGCCAGTCGTGAATGAAGACGGAGCGCTAATTTCGTTGCTTTCTCGATCGGATTTGATGAAAAACATTCACTATCCTCTAGCATCAAAACTCGAATCTAAACAGCTACTTTGTGCAGCAGCCATCAGCACCCACGAGGCAGACAAGGATCGACTACAAAAGATGGTCGATGCCGGGCTGGATATTGTTGTCGTGGATAGCAGCCAAGGAAATAGCATGTACCAGATCGCCATGATCAAATACATCAAACAGAACCTCCCCCAAATCGACGTTATAGCGGGAAATATTGTTACCCGAGAACAAGCTGCAGCACTCATTGCCGCCGGTGCTGACGGTCTCAGAATCGGCATGGGCAGTGGCAGCGCGTGCATCACGCAGGAAGTTATGGCCGTCGGTCGCCCTCAAGCTGCAGCAGTACGCAGTGTATGCTCATTTGCTGCGCGGTTCGGTATCCCTTGTATTGCAGATGGTGGAGTTCAAAATCTTGGCCATATTGTAAAGGGACTTGCGCTTGGAGCCTCGACGGTGATGATGGGAGGCCTGCTTGCAGGAACTACTGAATCTCCCGGTGACTACTTCGTGAGCAAAGAAGGACAATTAGTCAAAGCTTACCGGGGAATGGGAAGCATCGCAGTCATGGAAGATAAAGGGGAAAGTGCCGGCAATGCTGGTGCGTCCCGTTACTTTTCGGAAAATGACAAGGTCAAGGTTGCGCAAGGTGTTGCGGGCTCGGTTGTTGATCGTGGCTCTATTACCAAGTTTGTCCCTTACCTTGTGACTGGTATACAACACTCTCTTCAGGATATTGGAGTCCGAAGTCTTGATGCCTTACGCGACGAGGTTGACAATGGACTCGTTCGGTTTGAGATGAGAAGCGGGAGCGCACAGGCCGAGGGAAACGTGAATGGTTTGCACACCCATGAAAAGAAGCTATATGTTTGAATTGCGGCAAATATTTTCTGATTTATGATAGTATTTGTTTTTGCTTTATTTTTTTTTTAAAAAAAAGTTCTACTTTGGCTCAGAATCAATTGGATACAGAAAGCCTCGGAAATTATATAAACCTTGGAACTTCTACTATTTTCACTCTTTCATATTTATGCAGTCAATCTAAATACGCGCAAGACTTTTGTTGGCCACTTGAATAGCCCAGCTCAGGCTGCTCCTGTTGCGCCTGACCAAGCTGAATTCGATCTCAATCTAATTTAGAAAGATTTCCAGGTAGCAAAAGGCTTTGTCCAAAAAAATATTTTCAACGAACTTATTTTCACCATTCGAAGGCTGCATCCTATATAATGGTTGGCGATCAGTCAACTGGGCACTTGCTCGGGCACCACTGGGACCCGGTGCGTTATTAGAACTGGTTACTCAATTCAGCTAGCGCAAGTATGTGGTGATAGTCGATAGGGGAAATGAAAATCATAATTTGGAGCGAAAGGATTTAAAGTTCACCCCAATCTACCACTTTAGTTTGGAAAGTTTGACCGTGCGGCTGAGCTTTTGTGCCGGAGTATAGTCACTCAACAGCCCTTAGATCACCCGCAATATTATAAAAATAGTTCTCCTCCCCAATGTCAAACCAAGGTGAATTTCCAAATCTTCAATTTTGATTTTCCCCAGAATCTGATCAGGCCAAGAGCGGCCATATATGGCTAGCGCATACAAAGTTCATATCGCCGAGGGTCAGCCACTCTAGTGCTGACGCTGACAGCTAGCGCAAGAAAAACCTTAACCCAGGAGCCCGCTCTCCCAACTTCGTATCCTTATTATTTCTGCGACCACGTCCAGAGAGTTATCATCATTTTCCCTCTCCCTAGAGCAAGCAATGCGGTTCTTTGAAAACAATGTCGCCCCTGACCAGACGGTCCAAACCAGCTTGAAGGTGCTCGGTGCCGGTCTCCCTCGCTGCGCAACAAGCTCTCTGCAAACCGCTCTTGAATCGCAGCACATTGGGCTATCTCCTTGCATGCATTTCGCGCATATTGCACCGAATGCCGAACGTGGCGACATCGTTTTAGCTGCTATTCGGGAGAAGGAGACCGCACGGCGTCACAAGCTACTTTATAAATTATTCAATGGGTTTCAAGCAACTAGCGACTTCCCTGCGTCCATTTTTATGGATGATCTTATGGACATGTATCCGGATGCCAAGATTGTGCTGAACAAGCGGCCTGGTGGCGGTTCCCAATGGGTGGAGTCGATCAAGCTGCTCACCTTTGGAGGCTCACCGGTGTACCGCAGTCTCTGCTTTCTATGGAAGACAGACCGCAACGTGGCCGCTATGTGGGACGGGATTATGGAGCTTTGTCAGAGCAAACTGGATCTAGCTCCGCACGAGCTTTTGACGGAAAAGCATTATGATGCGCATAATGCTTGGATCCATGCCGAGGCATCTAAGCGCGGGCGGGAGGTCTTGGAATTTGAACCTCGTGATGGATGGGAGCCTTTATGTACATTTCTCGAAAAAGAGGCACCAAAAGACGAGCCGTTCCCTCACCGCAACGATGCATCTGAGGTCCGGATGGTCGTGAGGATTCTATATGCCCGTGGCGCGATTTCCTGGCTTGCTCTAGGTGCGGCGGTATATGGCACAACAAGGTGGCTTTTCAACAAGCAGTTATTCTAACATAGGAGAGCAAAATAAACTGCGTGCAAGATCAAGAAATGCGAGAAAACAACAATGGTAATCGGTACAGCAAGAGGACGTCCAAACATGGTGCATGTGGTAATGACGAACTTGAATGGATGAGCAGTATGTTGCAGACAACTTGAATATCAGCATCTTGATAATACCGAGAGCTTTATTGGTAGAGATTGAATTTTATATGTAGAGAGGGGTAAAATGTTGTATTAGCGTCGGCAGGACCCTTGTTTCCAGGGTTTCGATCTAGACACTTGTTAAAATGTGCATGGGCGACCCGGGAGTCCAAGCTGAAGATCAGTAACTTTTGTACGGCTTAGTAAAATCCAGATCTAGACGCCTTAAATGTTTAGGGTCGCGATCATAAAATTCCACTTTCACTGAGACACTGACCCCAAATGTCTTAAAAGGGCATTCATGACGCTGTCTCGAAAAGGCACTCACCACGCCGTCTCCACCTTTTGTCGGGATCGAGAATGCCGAACCAATGAAGAGTAGAAAGACCGCCAATAGAGACAAATAACTGGCAATATTCACGAAAAAATGGCTAAAAATATACCTCGGGTGGCGGGATCAGGTGCTTCAAGGTTTGAGGAGTGATTTTCTTTGCATCTGGCCCAGTAGCTGCCCAAGTCCACTGCTTTCTATTTCCTTGATATCCTATCCATCCCAGAGTCTAGCGTGACATGCTCGAAATTTATCCGACCGATAAAGCAACATTAACTTTCAAAACTGCTCGCCTGACGGACAAATCTTGGAGGTAAGAGACCTTGAAGGTCAGCGATGACTTTGACTTTTGACTGTGACGATGTTCATCGGGAAATTCTAACCGAGTGACAACCTGTCAAATTAGACCACCCAAGACGAGCCAACTTTCTGACAGGTGATTCATAGAGTAAATAAAGGCCCTGTTTCGCCAAGTCTCCGACATTGAAAACCCTTGGTAGGGTTTCCTATTCCAAACTCAAAAAGCGCGCAGCGGCCGTTCCGGTTTGGGTGCGGGTCCGACGAAACCGGCGTTTGCGGGGGAAATTCCAGGTCGCATCAGTCATTGATCCTCACAAAGGCATGCATGCGAATTCATTCATAACTTCGGGCCGCGACTACCCAAACCTTTTTATTTTCTTTTAATTTGCTTATCTGCATATTATTTTCTGCACATATTAATTGATGTGCTGTGGGTGGACAAACTTCAACCCTACTCCGAGCCCCCCGCCGATCATCGAGGGCTAGACCCCCCTTGCATCCAATTGAACCGTTGGAATTCGCCATCTCGCCACTATATGCCAGCATAATTATCGTACACCGGCGACATGGGTAAAGCGGGCGGGTTGAAAGAGATCAAGCTGCACCATAGGCGACCGAGGAAGGTATTTGTGCAGATCGCCTTGATCGCTTCTATAGTATGGGTCTTCTACCATACCTTGTCGAGCTTAGGAGGTAAGTAATATCTTGATTGGCGACCAACTTTCACTCCAGAGGAGATGCTAAACTCTTACAGGAAAATTATATCCTGATTTACCAGCCGAGAAACCCCAACCGTCAAAGGAATTGGAAAACCACTCGGCGCTCACACAGAGTCTATCCAATGTTCTGGCGCTACTTCCAGACGAGCAGCGGACACAGAGGCTTCTCACACCTATCAAGTCTACTGGAGAGCAGAGAATGAAGGAATTCGGAATCCGGACTCGCCAGTACAAACAACTTTTCGATGCGTGGGAGACATTGCATATCAACAAAACAAAATCCCAACGATTTGTCCAGGATGATGTGCTCCAACGCCTCTACCAAAATCCTTCCATCGCAACTTTCCTCGATCGTGACATGACTGAGATCGTCCATAGCTATGAGTCTTATCGTTCGATAGTAACTCAGCTTTCAACACTCCTCTTCCCATGGACAGCACCCTACTTCGCAGATCATCTCCAGATGCGTCAACAATTACACTCCGCCCCCCGTGGACTGGTATTTTCAGCCGGAAATGACCAAGTCCGCTACCTACTCACCTCAATCCCCGCAATTCGTCGATTAGGGTGTCAACTTCCGATCGAGGTGATGTACCTCGGCGACGATGATCTCCGCCCAGCATCACGGACCGCGTTGGAGGAATTGCCGGGCGTCATTACGCGCGACCTACGAAAAATGGTCAATGACAAAGGCTGGGCCTTGAGAGGATGGGCCGGCAAGCCATTTGCTGTTTTATTCTCTAGTTTCCGCGAAGTCATATTCATCGACGCCGATTCTTTGTTCCTTCAAAACCCGGAGATACTTTTCGATGACTTCGCATACCGCGAAACAGGCGCGTTATTTTTCAAAGATCGATTGATGTTCCCAGAATCCAAGCGAGAGTGGATGCAGAAAGTCCTACCAGAGCCTGTTTCCAGCAAAGCGCAACAGACTCGCCTATGGGATGGGCAAAGCGGACATATGCAGGAGTCTGGGGTACTAGTGCTCGATACATACAGGCACTTTTTGTCGCTTCTTTTGGTGACGAGAATGAATGGGCCGGATCGAGATGGTGATGAAAAGAAGGGCATTCGGGGAGTCTATGATATGCTGTTTGGTGAGTCTCTATTCAGCTTAGTATTTAGAACGAGATTCTAATGAGGAAACAGGTGACAAGGAAACTTTTTGGCTAGGATGGGAGTTAGCCGGGGATACAGATTATGCATTCCACAACGGCAGTGTTGGTACGATCGGAGTTGCTCATGCTGAAACTCCTCGACCACAACCCAGTGCGGCAGCTGGTCTGAGCACTCCATCTAAAGAATATACCGTCTGTGCACCTCAGTTACTGCATCTTGACCGGATGGGAAGACCCCTCTGGTTCAATGGATGGCTACTCGAGAATAAGTTTGCCAAAGCCGGTGAAAAGAGACCTGCCAAGTTCGAAGCTTATGTTCGTGAAGAAGGAAGAGTCCCAGATTGGCAATTGAAAGAGAGCAATATGGCATGCCTAACCTCAAAGAAGATGTTCAGTCTTTCACAGGAGGAAAGTGCTGTTCTAGACATGACAATTGAATTTGGGAGACGATGTGAAGCATTTTAAACAGCGTCCTAGAAATTGAATAATAATATTACAACAACAACAAATAAATTGTTGTACATATCGTATCTATCGTCAACTGTGTGGGATCACAACTAAGTGTACATTTCTTCACCTCGGGCTTTATTTGCATATTGCTTCCCGCCACTGTTATTTACAGTAGTGAAAAGATCCAACCGCCTTAAATTTCACGAGAACTGAAAAGAATAGAGGAGCTAGTACTGTTCTAATAATAGAGAGTCTTCTAAGGGCAATGGAGCAGATCTATACTATATTCAGCACACTTGTACGAGCCGACAGAAACTGTCACTCCGGGAAAACTAGACGTCGATTCTCTTGCACAAAAGGGTGGAAGGTAGCCAGCGATTTAGCATCATGATGGTTTTGAAATATTGATAACTCTGTTACCACTCACGAATGGAATCCTATGCATCTACCTCATTACTTAGTACTACTACTACTATTAGTAGTAGTAGTAGTAGTAGTAGTTAGTAGCAGCCGCGGCGTACTTGATAACTTGAAAACATCCATGAATGTCCGGAAGTCTGGATTTTGAAAACCCTCTCAGATCTAAAAGATTTAAAAAATCAAGTCAAGCTCATAAATGACTGGCGTATCAATAATGCTAGAGGTAGGTATCCTTGAAAAAACAACAAACTGTATGCCTATAACCAACTCGAATCAATCTCCAAGTTGCAATCATGCCCAATAAAAGAGGACGGGAAAATAATAATGCAGAAACGACTCGGCCCGATCCAATGCACAAAGAATGGGTATTGGGAATCCTGAGTCCAAAGGAACGACTGAAGGACCACTCATTACCGCACCAATTCCCACTCGCAAATATATTGCCACGACATGCCCACGCGACCCTCCTTTGCAAGATATTCATCTCTCGTAACACCGCGACAATCGGTCCGATCACCAAATGTCATCAAAACAAGAAGAATCACTTTCTGACCAGGCGCACCCAGCATCCGCGCGTCAGGAACATCTACGTACCAGCACGCCCCACCACCGCCGGGTCCAGACCCGGGCACATAATGGAGAGGAAGACGCTCCTCTTTGCGGCCATCAATACCCTTGATTGCCAGCAAGAAGAGGGCTGGTTTCATCCGGCTATGATGCGCCAACGTCCAATGTTCACAAATCAATCCGAACTGGAAACGTACGGGGCTAGCCGAACTGTAAACAGAAAGACGGCCATCAGCCGGGCGCATAGTAGATCGACCGATATCGTTCTTATCAGCAAAGCTATAGAACTTGATCGGAGAGCCACCGAGGGGATTATCCGGGTTTGTGCGCATATATTCCTCCCAACCGATCTCGGGCCGGCCGTCATCTCGGAAGAAATGCTCTTTATTCGAGGGGAAATGTTTGAGACCAAATTCGTCATTGGACATGGTGAACTGTTGCGGATGGAATTCCTGCTTATACAATCCACCCGAAGGCTCGCAGATATGACCGCCGCCCCAGCAGGGGTCGACTAGTTTCCATTGACCCCCGTCGATTCTCACTGCATTCCAGGCGTGACCGGCATCGAAAGGTGGAATGGCAGCTCCTGGGGTGAGCTCTTTGTGACCGTACCCTTTGCCGTGGCCTGATACCACAACGGCTTCAAGCCCCGCCTTCATAGCCAGGGCAGCGAAAAGCCCGGCAAATCCCTCGCAGACAGCCAGACCGGAAGCTAGTGTGCTGCTTGGAGTGGAAGGCTTGACGCAATTGTTGAAGAATGAATACGTGTCATAAATGAGATTATGGTGCAGCCACTTGAAGATGGCTCGTGCTTTGTCCGTGGCGGAGGGGAAGGGTGCAGTCAGCTCATTAGCCAGCCAACCAATATCGTGTGAAGGGAGGGTTTCTCGTGGATACCGCTCAGCGTGCGCGTCAGGGGCCGAAAAATCTCGACAGGCCATGCAACAGGTGTCTGATGTTCCAACTGGAGCGACGGGCTGTGATGAAGCGCCGAATCGCGGCTTCGTTGCCATTATCTTGGAGAGATCTGGTCGCGAACCATGTGGAATAGGCGGGGGTGTTCCATTATTAGTCGGTGCTCTATTGAGGTCCCCAAAGCCGGTCTTTCGAATACTATTAAGGTCTGATGCAGATGCCTTGGGAGGCAGTCTGCGAGCTGGAAGGGCGGGTCTCGATTCCTCCGTATCACTTCCTCCATTCGATTGCGCCTCCAGGCCAGAAGGTCGTCGTGGTGGCAACTGTGGGACGGGAGGAGCATTTCCATTGGCCTGTGGACGAGAAGGTAAGGTGGGAGTTGAAGATTCACTTGGTCGAGAGGGTAGACTGGGACGTGATGGTAAACTAGGGCGGGAGGATGAAGAAGATGAGGAAGGCGCCGGGGCTTTTCCTCGCATGGAATTGAATTTGGCAGTGAGGCCTCCAGACAGGCCACCGAGAGTTGAAGATGACTTGGAAGATAGGCCACCGAGGGTTGAAGACGACTTGGACTCAGAACGTGGAGCTGGTGTCAGGTCGAACTCCTCCTTTGGACGTTTTGGTGGCAGCGCAGGAAGTGCAGTCTCGCCCCATGCAGGCGCCTTAATTCTGCCATTCGCTGTACCCGTGGAGTTGACAGAGGTTGACGAGGCTCCTCGGACACTTGTCGCCGTAGTGTTTGCGGTGGAGTATGACGCGTCCGAAGTGACCGACTCCAGAGAAGGCCGTCGTTGTTGGCCGGTCGGCCTACGTGGTGGTAACGTAGGCCGAGACTCTGCATATGATGGTGGCGGATCTGCACGAGACGGTGGAGGAGGGGGAGGAGCCCTCTCTCTCTTTGTTGGCAAGGGTGGAGGGACCTTGGGTTTTGGCTTCAGTTCCGGCCTCGGCGATGGGATTGGAGGTGGAGGTGCTCTCGCAGGCCGGGACGTTCGATCATCTGCTGGCTGATTGCCGATGGGCGCGGTATCCAACACGGAGCCAGTGACATGGTAGGAGGGTGGGTTGTTGGCTGATCTGCTTCGTTTCGGTGGGAGGCCGGGGATATGAAGGTGGTTCAGAGGCCGCCGGGGCGGCCTGTGATTGTCGCAGGGCGGCGATCCGCTCCTGAATCGAGCCCAGCTGGGGTTCTTCGGTAGCCATCGCGTCTGCTCGTCTCTCGCAACTCCTCTGCAAGATTTGGGGAAGGCAAACAGGTGGACAGAAAGTGGAGATAAGATCAGGGAGTTATAACGACAGTCGTCTAAGTAGGCTTGGCGGGGGGAGTAGTTAGCCTTGTTGGGGCCACAATGTTCAGGCCACCAGTGCTAGAAGAGGAAACGACCGAGAAGGAACTAGCAGAACAGAGCAGACGCAGCCGATGCGAAAGAAATGGGAGGCTCAACAGGGCGGGGCTGCGTGTTTCTAAGATTGGGGGCGAGAGGGCGGGTGGAGAGAAGAGAAGTGGACCGTGGGACACCACGACTCCCAGATAGAGGCACAGGCACAGGCACAGGCACAGGCACAGGCACAGGCACAGGTACACTACTTAAATTGTAGAGATATATGGTATGCTCTACGAAATTTGAACAGAATAAATGTCTGAGTATGGATTATTTCCAGCATGTCCCCTCCATCATTCAGATTCCCAAACGCCTCGAGGCGGCGAGCGGAGCGGCGTCTAGGGAAAAGACATGAAATCAAGAGAAAAAGAAAGAAGAAGAAAAAAAAAAAAGGAAAGACCTAGGTACGTCCAGATGCGGTTGGGAATTACCCAATAATAAAAGGAAACATAATGCACAAAAGAAGGGGAAATCACCAGTTGAATCTGTCCTCGGCGATCAGTCTCACTCGGACCACGCACGATCAACCAAAGAGCCAGATACACAGCCAAGGACATAAGAATAAAGAAGACCGTGGAATACATCATGGGTAGAAAGAAAAGGATTCACAGGGAAGAGAAGGACAGAGTGGTTTAGGAGTTAGGATTGATCATCAAGAGCATCACTTCATCCCAATGTACAAAAACGTCAAAAGGTCACCCAGCGGGTCATATTACCTAAACATTCTTATACAGGAGTAGCGGCTCACCAACATTTTCGATTTCGGGGATGGTGCATTTGAGATCAAATGCCTTGGCCAGGACAATCTTGAAGATCTTTTTGGAGTGGGATTGTTAGCAAAGCCCGACGCCAGAGTGGCAGAGATAGGAGGGTTACCTTTTGAACATTGATGCTATGGCTGGTACTGCTAAAGATCAAGCTTGCCTTCATCGCCTTTGCAAAGCGCTTCGCCTGAAGGGAGATCTCCTCCTGGTCTTCACGGGGGAAGTTCACGAAGTGGTCATATTTCGTACCGACCAGGAAGGGGATGGCGGTCTTGTTAAATCCCCGGCCTTGGCGATACCATTCCTTGATCGAGTTCAGCGTGCTCTTGCGGGTCAAGTCGAACATAAATAGAATCGCAACGGCGTCATTGCAGACCAGCGGCAACATGTTGACGAATTCGCGTTGACCGCCAAGATCCCAAATAGAGAAGGTGATCTCGGTATTCCGGATTGAGATCGTTTTTTCCATGAAATTCACACCTATTGTGATGTCCCGTGTTAGAACCGCAGTGGGAGAATATTATTTTGAACCACACTTACCGAGAGTTTGAATATAATCTTCATCCCAGCTGCCCTCCACATACTTGACCATGAGACTGGTCTTACCGATCTGGGCATCTCCTACCATACCCACCTTGATAACAACACTGTTCTTCGAAGACTGGCTTGGCTGTCTCTGAGAAGCATCCGAGGGCTGCGGCTGCGAGAAACCGGGGCGTTCCGTGCCACTGGAAACACCAGAGCCGGGTCTCGAGGCAGGGTGAAGTTGAGGCTGCTGGTTCAATGAAGGCGAAGAGTTGAGGCGAGAAGCATGTTCGGCATCTTGGGGATGGTATTCAGGAGCAGCATTGTGGAAATCGGTCGATCGGGAATGATAGTGAGCTTTGGAATCGCTGTTATAACCGTGGTCAATGGCCGGGCGGCTGGCGGGACGCTCTGCGACGGGCTCCTCAACATTGACGCTGGCGGCAGCCGGCTGCTCGACGGGTGGTTCATGTGATTCCAGAGATTGTTGTTGTTCTTGTTCGATTTGTTCGATTTGTTCGGGCTGAGCAATAGGCTGAGGTTGGAAGTCGGAGACTGGCGCTGATGCTGGTTCTTGTGCTGACTCTTCAACCGGGAGCTGCTGGGGCTCTTCGACCGCAGGAGCCTCCGGGACTGGCTGTTGTAGGGGGTCCATGATGATTATCGGGAATCGGATCGGGGAAAAAGGTATCGCTTTTCTATTTCTTGCGACTGGGACCTATTCACGGCGGCTTCATTAGTATCTGCGGGGAAAGGAGACCCTGTGATATATCACCCACCGATTCCCAAGGGAGGATCCAATGAGATGACAAATGAGGCCGATTGCAAGCAAGTGGCCAATTTCAACACAATCGAGATTCGTAGGAAGCTAAACTGGTCAGATGGGATCTCTAACTGTGCGACTGCAGAGGGGGCAGATTGGGAGCACAGAATCGGGTAGCGCGTAAACACGAACCTGAGAAGCAGCGGTAGCGGCAGTGGTGGGCGGGAAGGCGATGAGGGAAAGGGAGAGACGGCCCAAGTTGCAAAGGAAATGAGATCGGACGAGATGCAAACGAGGGCACGGCAAACTCAGGAACACGCAAGGACTAGAAGCTTGCGACTTGCGACAAACAGCAACCTGCTCAGCTCACATCGGAGCGGCCACGATCTGCGCTAGTGCCCGATTGAGTTTAGTGTTCCCTCCGGGCGGGCAAGTCACTTCTTCTCATCAATTTTTTTTTTTCTTATCGTGCTTCCCCTCTTGAACTCACCCCGCCTTTTTGAAGAGGCTCCCATTTGTCTTTTCAATATGTCAAAGAGAGCCGCGGATGCATCGGACGAGCAGTCGGCTGCGCTGAAGGCTGGCGAGCGTCCCATAGTCGATGCCACCCCAGACGAAGTGGGGGAGTTTGAAGATGAGTTTGAAGACGAATTCGAGAGCGAAGATGAGATCCTAGAGGCTGGTGTCGATGGTCGCCCCGATGCTGAGCGCGAGGAGGAAGAGAGAGGTATGTGAATACTCCTGTACATTGGTACAATGACTCTGTGAACTGACTGGAACTAGCGGAGGCTATGGAAGTAGACAAGGAAACCTTCATCCCCGGCCGCACAAAACTGGCCCCCGGCGAGACACTTTCGCCCGATCCATCTACTTATGACATGCTTCACACTCTCAGTACACCCTGGCCATGTCTGTCCTTTGACATTGTGCGCGACTCGCTGGGCGACAACCGCAAGACCTTCCCCGCGACTGTCTACGCCGTCGCCGGAACCCAGGCTGAGGGAGGCCGTGCCAAGGACAACGAATTGATGGTTCTGAAGATGAGCAGTCTGAGCAAGATGGAGAGGGATAATCAGGACGAGGACAGCGACTCGGATGATGACGACGACATGGGCGAGCCCATCCTCGAGCACAAGTCCATTCCCCTCGGCTCGACAACGAACCGCATTCGCGCCCACCAGACGCCCTCTCAGTCCGCCGACTATTCGAAGCCCCCTCAAACACTCACAGCTACTATGTTGGAGAATTCGCAGATTCTGATCCACGACGTCACCCCATACCTTTCCAGCTTCGATGTCCCCGGTACCATCCTTCCCCCCTCCGCCTCCAAACCTCTTTCCACTCTTCGCATGCACAAGTCGGAAGGTTATGCTCTAGACTGGTCTCCGCTCAACCCTCTCGGCAAACTCCTGACCGGTGATAATGACGGTATGATCTACGCGACCTCTCGCACCGAGGGCGGCGGCTGGGTGACCGATACCCGGCCATTCACCGGCCACAGCTCTTCGGTTGAGGAGCTCCAGTGGTCCCCCAACGAAAAGAACGTGTTTGCTTCGGCCAGCAGTGACGGCAGTGTCAAGGTATGGGATGTGCGATCCAAGTCCCGCAAGCCCGCGGTGGACATCCATATCTCGAAAACCGATGTCAATGTCATGAGCTGGTCGAACCAGACCTTCCACCTTCTCGCGACTGGTGCGGACGATGGCCAGTGGGCTGTCTGGGATCTGCGACACTGGAAGCCGAATGCCGCGGCCCCCAATGCTCAGATCAGTGCTGCGCCCGTTGCTTCATTTGACTTCCACAGTGAGCCCGTGACTAGCATCGAGTGGCACCCAACTGACGACAGTGTCGTTGCCGTTGGCTCGGCCGACAACACTGTCACCCTGTGGGATCTGGCTGTCGAACTGGATGACGAGGAGAGTCGCCAGGCTGGCATGGCCGATATTCCACCGCAATTGCTGTTTGTGCACTACATGGATTCGGTGAAGGAGGTTCACTGGCAAGCCCAGATGCCGGGTACGCTGATGGCCACTGGTGGCAGTGGATTTAGGTATGACAATCGAGTTCGCCCTTCCTTTGACTTCCCCGATACTAATTTGTTTTTTTCTTCGCACAGTGTCTTCAAGACTATCAGTGTCTAAGCGAATCGAGAGTTACCTCTTCAACCAAAAGTATTAACGTGTGATGTCCTGTTCATATACCAGTCGAGTACAGTTAGAGGTGCCCGGCACACTGGAATGGATTATGTATTCGCCATCAGAGAAGATGAGATGAGCGACATGAACAAAAATAATCCTTTTTTTTTTTATTATCTATATTTCTCCTATACATTTTTGGCGTCCGTCAATAGAAATTCATTGTCATTTTGTGATCAACTTGCTCAGAGTAGCTGAGGTAGTAGACAGCCAATCCGATCGTAGCGGAAACCAAGCACACCTAATTCCGCCCGCGAGGACCTCGGCCGAGGTGATACTGATACTGGTACATAGAGGGGGAGGGGCAGTCCAAGGTGAATGCTTTGATGTAATACCCGAGACCTCCAATGCAATGCACAACATCCAAAACCCCCACTAGCGTGGCAGAAAGCTCCCTGGCAGGAGGAGGGTCCTCCGGACGACGCACCGGCGTACCTGTATCCGTACCTGTACGTGTACCTCAGCCTACATCTAGCAGCAAGATGCAGCAGGGGTGATTTCCTCGTGCAGGATAGTACTAGTGTGATCCCAAGCTAACCCGCCAAGGTAAAGCGTGAGTAGGAGACTGAACCCAGAGTGGACGAGGACGTCAAGGGCCGTGTCAGATCGCCGTGCGCCATTTCGCTCGGCGCCGTCGTGAGCCCGAGTCGGGTGCGACTTGGCGCCAGTCGATTCTCTGATCCTGGTGTACCTCCAGTCTAGATTAGAGGTATTGTACGAAGTACTTGTACATTACTCATGTATTGATGGGTGAATGTATAGATACGGAGTACAGCCTGTAGAATATCTTCCGGTAGAGCGCTTTGCATGGCGATCGCGATCGCCTCGCTCTACTCTATGTATAGAGAATGAGGTTGTGGCAATGTAGATGTGCTGGTGGAAGCTGATTCGAACGCGATGATCCGCCGTTGGTGTCTGTGCGAGTTCAAGTTGACTAACGCTGGAACTTAGTTATAACTAATGTATGTCTGTATTGGAGTACGCTGTAGGAATTTTAGTTTTGGTAGACAAGCAGCCGAGATTCGCCGTGGAACAAGTGGGTTCATAGGTAGGTAGGGCATGCATGGATTTGAATTTGAATTTGGGGAGAGCAATTAAGTACTACTCGGTACATCTGTATCTTGTTTGCGCAGACCGGATGCATGTCGCTTCCGACTCTCGGGCGTGTTCGTCTCGACCAGCTGCGTTGCCTTTGATGATTCATTCGTGCCAGTAAATCAACTCTTCACGCAAGGTACCATCTGCCGTGTACCTATATGCGACAGCTAAGTATAGAAGATGGATTACACTAAGTACATGTACATCCGGTACTCCATACATGCAGTAGCACTTGGCTGTACGGATTACATACCCAGTGTATTCTCTGTATTTACACACACGAATAACTGGAATGTATCTATACACACTCGTATCCACGGAGAAAGCTACATCCGACCCAAATACCACTACTGCACGACGAGAAAACCAGGCAATCACATCAGATCTAGCCGCTGCACGTTCTATGGAGATCATGCACTACGACCAAGTAGAGTTTGGTGGATGTCCATCGGCATTTCTCCGGTGAGTCCTGGATAGTCGAGCATTCACGATGCAGTCTTAGTACTAGTACTTGTACGCACTTCGTGCTCGGCTCGGGCGATGTCGCAATGTCGTGATATCGCGATTATCTTGATTAAGACACCGGGCCGGGCCACGGCCATCATCGACCCATCGAACTAGTAGAGAGCAAGCTGTGAAGCGCCAGCCTTGAAAGCATATAGTAGTTGGATCCACATAGCGTGTTTGGGATGCACTCATGGCTCGTTCCTAATAATAAGTTCTTCACACGATTGGAGATGGAGATGAGATAGAGCTGGGTATTGGACATTGCGTTGGATAGACTCTGGAGCTAAGTAGATCCACCCTCAACAATGTGCTTTTCTAGGTGCAGAGTAGGTGCTAAGTGTATGCACTTGCCACCAATTATCTGGATCCAGATCTGCATTGCACTGTGTCCTCTGGTCTGGTCATGTCTTTTAATTGATTGGCCATCATCTGATGCTACATGTACCTACATACTGTACACTACGTTGGAAAGTTGATCGCCGCGCAGGGACTCAAATGCGGGAGCTAGGACCAGCGCCTATACCCGTGGCGAGTCATGAGCGTGGACCATATGCACCTTCACATCATCGTGTTCCGTGGAGTTGTTGAATGTGGGATTACTAATTCATCCGCTTGTACTTCGTACTCCGGAATTGATCCCTCTGATCTCATATTTTTTTACTCAATACGGAGAAGGGTTGAGCATGATCCGAGTTGCCCCGTGTCGAGGCCGACCGTGAACTTCAAGAGTAGCTACGACACTAACTATCTGATCACAACCAACTATACTTGGTAGCCCGGGAAACCCATTTTCACTACGAGCACTCTACTCCGTCCAACTTAGGCTTATCTATCGAGTAATCATTCCTAGAAGAGAAGCTCAGACGAATGCTAATCAAGAACTAGTAGGGTGACATCGCCGGGTGGATTTCCTTTGTTTCCGTCGCTGGTCTCCACCCTCAAAGAAGGCGGCCGTCTAGACTCCACGAATGGCGCGCGTTTCAAGTTAAGGCTGACCAGTCGATTTCCTCTGTGCTCGGCATTAGTATCTTACCGAATGCCGGCCTTCGTCACTCTTAGCCACGGCAATAAGCGCACCGCAGCGTCGCTAGGGCGTTGTTCAAGAACACTGTGTAACGGAATCTGATGTACCAGTACAAAATGGGTGAGTATGTACCAACAGCGATGGTCAAAATAGTACTTTAGGTATGGAATACGGAGCATAACAAAACTACATGTTCCAAGACTTCCTTATCGTCTCTTGCGTGGGAATTGCGGATCATCTCATGGCCGGAGCCTGACAGGAGGGATCCTCTTGAATCCACAATCCACCCCTGCCGCAGTGGGACGGCCCCGGTCATCCTGTTATCGCCCGTAGGTCATGACGCATAGGGCCGCAGGAGGCTCAGAAGGTCCACCGATTGATTGCGAGGTCAGCAGCTGTAGCCTGTCGCAGGGCTCGACTCGAAATGGATCAAGAGCTCTCCAGCTGATCCGACGACCAGGGGAGGTGCATGGCGAGACAGGGCCCATTCTTCACCACGGAGACTTCCCTGTTCAAGCTGGTCTGGGGTGACCGGAAGCCACTAGTTGGCGGCACGGGCTGAAGTCCGATCATCTGGACTAATATCCGAGCCGCGCACTTGATGCCATCTTGCACAAGCGGCGAGCACAGGCCACGAGGCGATCAGCCAGGACGGGGAGATGGCCATTCGGAGAATTTCAATCAAGTTCATTCGTTATATGGCATGAATGTGTTTCATTTCATAGGTGGCGTGGTAATTACTGTCCTGTTAGAGGGCAACCGGCTTAACTCCGAGTCGGCTGGCAATCACCCGTAAATGCGAACGTGAGTTACGCGAGAATGTTAACCTCGAGCTGCCTTGCTACCTACATGTTTGTATAATTTTGTCAAGAGTCAACGTATGTACTGCGGACGCGACGGACTTCTAAGCCGGAGACTAGAATGTGTCCATGGTGTTTGTGGCGTTGACTGGCCATGCCTAGGGCGCCTCGTCGTCTGAAACGGTTAGTGTCTGCGCTCACAAGGGATTGACTTCCATTAGGGACCTGCATGGCTGCATTGAAAGGGAAAAAAAAAACACGAGTCAAAGGGCCAAAGACTTTGAATCCGTATTATGCATTCAATTGTTGCCTCGTGTTCGCACATTCATGCAGGTGCGCATTCCACAATGCAGTTGCACAACCCTTTACAAAAGTAACCACTGGCATCCTTTATGTTCCTGTAAAGTATCATTACTAGTTACAATCATAGTAAACTCTGTACTCCGTACTTGTGGTGACAATTAAATCGCTATATCCGACGCAACGAGTCTTAATCGCTCAAGTCAGGCGGCCAACGCCAGCAGCCACTACTCCTGGGCCCATCCTAATCTGGTGAGTATTATCAAGCAAGCATTATTCTGATCCCTTGGGCAGTGATCCAGTGGCTTGCCGAGCGACCGTTTCATTTGCCTATTTCAACTCGTCTCGGGTCACCTGCAGCTCTCAGAGACTCGCCCTAGAGGCTAGTTTGACTTAGCGCGCATGGGCACGTCTGGGGATTCTGCAAACGAGCTGTCCGTGCGAGGACGGGTGTCCAGGAAAGCGGGATTAGCGCTAGGAAAATCATGGTCAAATGGAATCAATCAACTTGGAGCCGGCGACATTGCTCCGTACAATATGTTTGAGGTTGAATTCAAACAAAGGACCACTGTACCAGTTCCGCCGTGGCAGAGCTAGGGACGGCTCGCAAGTCTCTCGGTACCATGCTATGTGACTCTCGAAGTTCAGCAGGCGCTCGCATTTGCACACCACTCACCCTCCGCGAGGATCCGGAAATTCCCAAGGGCTCGCGAGACGAATCACACGGGGGGGATCGTCACGCACCGGCACCCCCAGTTCCAGCCGCATACTCGATCCATCGATGGGCCGCGCCAATGGCTGATCCCAATCAATCCTGGGGGCGGCCTCGCTCCGTACGACCAAACTCAAACCGGGCTGCAACGTGCGTCGAATGTTGAGCGGGTGGGATTCTAGAAAGTTTGGGTCCGGGGTTTCTCCAGCTTCAATCAAAGAATGTCCGGATGCATCTATCCTCCCTACTGTATATTTATGGACACCACCCCACGTTTGTTTCATTTTGCCACACTTGAACCACGAGTGAGACACGCCATGTGCGCAAGAACCGGAAGAAGTGCACCAGCGGCACTCCAACCAAGACACCAATGGTGGAAGAAGCCAGCAGCAATTACAGTGCAGGACAAAAAAGCAGCCGTACAGAGTCCAGAGTATGTACTGCGTACTCCGTACCATAGGTAACAGCAAAAGTAGAAGACCTGTCGTGAGTAGGACAATCCCCCACACGAACCCTTTCCGGGCAGAGCGTCTGTCCCCCACAAAAATGGCGCATGGCCTCTTAATTGGGGAGACATTTGCGGACCTATCCGCCAAAGCTCAGCGCCCCAGCCTCGCGAGTGGATCCGATGGGTACCTGGCCACATCATAGGCAACGACCAGTGTTCCAGTTCCCAGTTCCAGCGTGCCAGTGTTTCTAGTCTGCCAATCGTGGCTCCAGCACGGAGGATGGGGGAGACTTTGCCTTTTTGCCCCTTACCCTAGTGCTGGCGGTACGAGGGAGTCCGCACTTAGGCTAGATATGTACCGAGATCGGGCTTCTGTATGCTGTAAGCAAGCCTACAGGGTACAGCGTATAGCGTACAGTACGGAGGACGGTTGTCCATACATACCGAATACAAGGCCAGGGCCGTTTCTCGCCGATCGCGGTCACGAGGAATTGCATTCTCGTATGGTGGTGGCAGGGACGAATAGCAAGGCAGCCCCACTGCAGGCTAATGCAGCTGGAATCCGTGGGTAGAGGATGGAGTAGTATACTCACTGCCAGTGGCATACTTGTACAGAAATGTACGGACATTGAGCCATTGTCCACTCAATCAGGAATCAAGATTATTCATATAAATGTACTCATATATGGAGTATATTAAACTCTGATCCCCTATGTGCAATACTCAACCGACGGTGGAAGTATGAGGTCGAGTATTCTCATGTTCTCATATTCTCATATTTCCATCCCCCCTATGACCAAGACTACTTAATGGGCAGGTGCAGGTGTTAGGTGCAGGTGCAGGCCAGTGCGTGCGCCCAAGATTGGGGCTAGCCCACTTTGAGTATCACCCTGGCTAATCGCTGGGTTATGATTGGTGGTATCTGCCGCTGGTCCCACTCTGGGGAACCGGTACTGAAACGGTCACAATACACTTACACTACTGTGCTCCATACATTCTGTACCATGCTGGACTCTACCTTTAAACCCCAACTACACTCTCTGTGCGTGGCGCGTGGCATCTAAAACTGTTCCACCTCATACAATACATACAGTACACCCAACGGCAGGCCCACCCCCAGACAACGTGTGTATCTCCCGGCTGCACGTACCTCCACGAGGCTCCGTTACTGCCACCCCCCTCTCGGTGGTGGTGTCTGGGTATGTTAAGCCAGTACCTCGCTCCAAAGTCAAAAGGTTGAGAGGCAACTTTCGATCAACTTCAACCTCTCCTTTCATCCTTCCCCCTGTTCCTGGCTTCATCCCCTCCCCTTCAACTCCCTCCCTTTGCTCGTGGTTCCCTCTGCCTCCGACTGTGTCGCGCCATTCGCATCGACCTCTTATCTGCAATTGCCCGCTATCTCGGTTATCTCCGGCTTATCCTACCGGCGGTCCATGCTTCGTGACAAGACGGCCACCGACTGCCTCGAAGCTTGACAACTTGACCTCTCGCAATTTGCTTCTTTCTCCGTGAGTCTTCTTCAGCTTCAGATTCTACTCTGTCCGAGTCGCATTATCCATGTGCCTTGTGCCTTGAGCTGAACGACCTCAACACTAGAATCCCCCCCTCCCTCCCAGAACGAACCCGCCCACCGGCCGCAGGTCCCCATATCCTGTCCCCATACGAATAGCTCTCCTCTTGGCAACTCATTGAATTCGAGACGCTTTACTGTACCCTTGGTGGAATTATAGGGAAAGAGAAGAATTCCTTCTACCACTGCCAGCCACCTGTTGTACAAGCTGGCTTGCGCTTCCTGGTGGGTCCTCCTGTTACGCTTTCCGCTCTCCGGCACGCAGTCCACGATAAGCACCTCACTCGCTCCCCTGGGCCCGGCCGTCTTGAAAGACTGGCGCTGCCGCACCTCTTTCGTCGCAGTTTCTCTTTTGAAATAACTAATCTGATGTCATTCCGTCCCAAATAGTCGTTGATGCGACTTGCTTTCACGATAATTTCTATCGTCCTGTGTACCGCCGCGTCATCTTCCACCCAGTGACGAAAGTGTACACTCGATTGCGTCTTGTCGCAACCTTGGACGACACATCACCTTTTTTCCGTCTTCCTCTTTTTTTTAACGCGACCAGTGTTTTTTAACACTTCGGTCCAAAAGGGAACAACTTCTCTCCTAGGATGCTGTTAGGTGCTATGGTCGCTCAACATCCCGATCACAGCCCCCAAATCGCAGATCTCGCTAGTATTAACGAGATCCCTGGAAACATGCCTGGTAAGCTCTCACCCCACCACCACTCGCAGTTCCTGGAATTCTGAACTCCTACCGGTAGCTCCATCAAAGGAGAACAAGAAGGCCGAGGCCAATGGCCAGGCCGCCGCTGCCAATGGCAACATCCCTCCTCCCAAAACTGATAAGCCGAGACCACACGTCTGTACCACTTGCGGTCGCTCATTTGCCCGATTGGAGCACCTGAAGCGCCATGAACGTTCCCATACCAAGGAGAAGCCGTTTGAATGCCCCGACTGTGCACGATGCTTTGCCCGCCGCGACCTCTTGCTGCGACACCAGCAGAAGCTACACATGACCTCCACTCCATCCTCCCGACCCCGAAATGGTCGTCGTGAGAGTACTTCTGGAGCCCCGGCTGGTGCGGGGGCCAATCGGGTGCGCAAGAACTCCATCGCTAACAACTCATCATCATCATCAATGCGCCCCAGGGCCAACACTATCAGTCACATTGGTGGATCCGCCTTAGGACTGGCCGAGGGAACTAACCCATCCTCCGCCCCGAGCCAATCGGGTCATGCATACCACCCAAGTCTAGGATCGTCGGTCGGATCAAGCATTGACTACAGGGGTTTCAGCTCAGGACATCCTCCCGTGAATGGATTGGCTAAGCTTGAAACATCTGGACTCCCGCTGGACATGTCTGGTGGTCTTCGGACGGCTCCCGTTTACGGGAGCTTCGACTTGGGCATTGATGGTATGCTGATGGGTCATGGCAGCACAATCAATCCCGCACAACTTCATTTCGCAGGTTCTCCCCAGGGCTTTGGTGACTCCCCATCCTCCCCATTCGGCCACAATGCCCACGGTATGCACCCCGCAGCGGATCCCATGATGGACGAGGACATGAATTTCGACTGGATGAATGGGTTCGACGCGGCTGTGGCGCTTGGAAATGGTAACGACTCGGTCATCGATGAGTCGTCACCCTCAGCGATGAGCACGGGTAGCCAAAGTGGGATCAGCGAAGCCATGCTGGATGGTCCTAACCGCATTCCCATATCCAACGGTTGGCACAACCCGTTCCCCGCACACCACGCCGCCGCCAACCAATTCGCCATCGACTTCTCCCCAAACACCCTCAACGAATTGGGCATCGCCCCAGAGACCGTGTCGCCTAAGTCGCTGATGGCTCAGAATCCATTTGCTGAAACCTACGCCACTCCTCCCTCCATGACCTCGGTCGGCCAACCCATCGTGGGAGGACATTCGCAGAGTATGTTTCCATCCTCAACAAGCGGAGAATCTCCTAATCCTCTCAACGTTCCTTTCCCGAATAGTGCCCTACGAAGTCAACATTCCCCAGTCTCAACGGATACATTTACAGACTCCACACGACAGGCTCTATTAGCGAGCATGTCGCAACCCACTGGCTTCAATCACCGCAAGTATTCCCAGCCCGCGAGCGGCCTCCTCAATAGCCGTGAGTTGTTCGCCCGCTCGAATGGTTTCAACAGCACTGGTCAATTACCAAGCACTTCGGATATGCAGCGGTACATTTCGGCCTACATCACCTATTTTCATCCTCACTCGCCTTTTCTCCACATCCCAACCCTCAATTTCCAGGCCCCAGAGTATACCAACAACTTGCGAACACCTAGCGGGCATCTCAATCTCTGTTCCACCGGAGTTGCAGGTGGTGGAGGCTGTCTGATACTTTCGATGGCAGCCATCGGTGCACTCTACGAATATGAAGCTGCCGCTTCCAAAGATCTTTTCGAAGCAGCGAAGAAGATGATACAATTATATCTCGAAGAACGACGCAAGGCCGACATGTCCGCCGCGCTAAGTCGTTCAAGTTCTCATCGGGATAGCTCAGTCCACAACACTCCGCTCTGGCTGGTGCAAGCGATGCTACTCAATGTAATCTACGGTCACACCTGCGGTGATAAGACTTCCGCGGATATCGCCAGCACGCATTGCGCTGCACTGGTTAGCTTGGCACGAGCAGCAGAGTTGACACATCATCTGGACCCGAAGAACCTGCCGCAAGATCACCTAAATGCAAACTTCAACATATCCGACTCAGACTCCGCCGATAACGAGAACTGGTCATCATCATCGTACAACCAGCCGAAGGAGAGACGCGACTGGTTAAATTGGAAGGTAGTCGAAGAACGCAAGCGCACCCTCTATGCCATCTTTGTTCTGTCCAGCTTCCTCGTCTCTGCATACAACCACGCACCTGCCCTGACAAATTCCGAGATAAGACTCGAGCTTCCTTGTGAAGAGGATCTCTGGGCTGCCGAGTCCCCACAGGCATGGAAAAAGATGGGAGGACACACGTCTTCTATGCAGAGCGTGTCTTTCTCTTCCGCCCTCACATCTCTCTTAACCGCCAGCCAACGAGAGCAACAACAGCAATCATCGAATCTCTTCTTCAGCGAGGATCCTTCAAACCCAGAAAGTCGGCCTAGTACCTTTGGCTGTCTTGTTTTAATTTACTCTTTGCATAATTATATCTGGGAAACCCGGCAACGACACATGGGCCGACAATGGACCGCACAAGAAACTGAAGCCATGCAATCGCACATCGAGCCGGCTTTACGAGCGTGGCAAGCAGCGTGGGCAGGAAATCCTGTTCACAGCCTCGAGCGACCCAACCCCTTTGGCGCCGGTCCATTGTCAGCAGACAGCATCCCCTTACTGGATCTAGCCTATGTTCGATTATTCGTCAACCTGGGTCGAACTAAGGAGGCCTTCTGGCAGCGTGATTGGAACGGCATGGCAGACGAGCTTGCGCGAGGTACGGAAGTCTTCCACCAGGTCGACACAGCCATGAGCGACGCAGTTGATTCAGCGCTGGGCTCAATGGGTAATCGTCACGAGTCGATCAACGACCTCGGTGTCGGCGATCTAGCCATCTCACAAACCCCGACCCAAGACCAATCTATGCAATCTCTTTCCAGCGTGTACAAGAACGGCCAATCCAAACGTGAAAAGCATCTCCGAAAAGCAGCTTTTTACGCTGCTGATTCCATCTCCATGTCCGATCGACTCGGCAACACCTTTGCCGAATTCTCATCACGAGAACTTCCCATTCAGTGCGCTATGTGCGTCTTCGACTGCTCACAAGTACTGGCGGAGTGGATCACAACCGTTCAAGAACGCGTGGGCCCATACCTGGGTATCCTTGGCCGCGAGGATGTCGACCTCACCCAGGTGCCTGGGGTAATGCTGCTCGAGGATGAAGATTGCAAGCTGGTGGATAAAATCACGGAGATTCTCAGTAGCATTGAAACGAAGATGCGGCGCCAGGTGCAGAATAGCAATTCTATGTCTGCCCTTAGTGTGATGCAACGATTGCCCAGTGTGGTGGAAGGTGGATACGGATGTAAAATATTGATTGCGACAGCGAGCTTATTGGATCGAGCTGCTGTTTGGCCAGGTAAGACCCCTCTCCTGTAGTTTTCAGATTTCATCAAAGTTACTGACATTTTTTTCTTTGCTCTTAGTGACGAAATTAATGGCCCGCTCCCTAGAAGCTCAGGCTATGCGAATGAAAGAACGAGCTGAACACTCCGTTATGATGACCACTTAATGACCTCTCATGTCTTCCGAGTCTGACCCTCTTGACCCTACTGTTCGCCCCGGTGTCACTTTCAACTCCTGACTTGATGACTTGGTTCCCCTCCCGCCTCGATATGATACCGATACCGATACCCCGATCGATTGAATCTGTGATAGATGAATGCCATGCCATGATTGATTGCCTTTGCCCTTGCCTTTACTGTGATACTGCTGCCTCCATTCCATGTTTCTCCACCTAGCGATGATTGATGTCTGTTCTGTGTTGTCTTGTTCTATATGTGTTACACTTATCCGATTCTCGAAAGAGTTTGGTCCCGATTTCGATGTGCCCGTGGTCGATTGACTCTTGCTGGCGATTTGATTGAAATGTCAGTTGTATTGTGATTTGAATTTCGTTGGAGTTGGCCTGGAACTTCTTTTACCATTTCTCGTTTTCCTTTTTTTTCCCTTCTCTCTGGTCTCTCCATGTTTAATTATGCCGCTTTACTTCATGTGAATATGATTAACTTTACTTGGATTATTATCTTGCGTAATTCCCCATAGATCACATGACTACTGCCTAGACTTGAAGCGAACAAATAAGGCGTTCCATTGAGAGTCATCCAGAAACCTACCAGTGTCTATCAATGCGATCCCAGCTCATCAAATCGAGCTCTTTCTTCTCCATATTCACCCGTCATTTGAAGGCACCTGTTCTATTATACAATGCCTCCAACAGTCGCGCAGATTATCGCGCCCTATGAGTACCAACCAGAACATGTCGAGCGCATAGCCTTCCGAACGGTACAGCCTCCCATTACTATCCTCGAGCCAAACCCAGTATGGCCGCAACGGTTCGAAGAGGTCAAGGAGCGAATTCAGAACGCCCTCGGGGAAATAGTCATTGATATCGCGCATTCCGGCTCTACAAGCGTTCCGGGCCTACCAGCCAAAGATATCATCGATATTGACCTCTCTCTAAAAGATGCAACGGATGAAATATCATATGTGAAGCTGCTCGAGGACGCAGGGTTTCGATTTATTCTACGCGAACCCGGATGGCATCAACATCGGTTTTTTGTGGAGAATTGGCCCGGCGCATATCATGTTAATCTTCACGTGTGGGGTCCTGACTCGCCGGAAGTTGTCCGACATCGTATCTTTCGTGACTGGTTGCTTCGAAATCCGGAGGATGTACAGCTGTATGCGAAAGTGAAACGTGAAGCAGCTGAACAATCGGCTATTGCTGGGGATTCTATGATGGATTATACCCAGCGGAAAGATAAAACCATTCAGGATATCTTGGGAAGAGCGTTCCGAGACATGGGCTACATTCAGTGATGGATTGAAGAGGCTTGGTGAACTCATCTTTGTGAGAGAGGATGCCTTGTGCAAATATGCGGCCCATGAGCTGTTGACCGATTAGCCTTGCTTTCTACACGTTCGAGACCTTCATGATGATACGAACATTCCCTCAATTGCCTGAGAACAAGATCTGTCTATTAACAGCCAGGTTCTAAATTAACAGCGAATCGTCCACTCTCAATTCAAGTTGATCATCTCTCCCTTGTTAGTAGATTTTATGACTTCCCCATCAGCCTCAAAGATCTCTACAATTAAACTTTTCTTTATTCAATAACTCAATCAGTGCAGTTTCATTAATTTGAAATATAAATTCCTTCCGGTTTATCGCAACGCCACTTATTAAATAAGTACAGTCCAGCGACTATTTCGATTCCTGTACCTAGAAGAAGTGATAATGGATTGTGTATCAACATGGAAATCTATATTGCCGCTACTATAGTCTATCTCAGGCCGAAGCTATGACAAATATTCTAGCAAGTTCCAAGGATTCCCTAGTCAAAGCATTAATTCTATTGCATGCAGACACATAGAACGGCCCGAGGTCACTCCAAAAGACTGCTTAGCACTTGAATTTCAATCCTGACCCCCCTCCTCTCGCTCCACTTCGAATTCAGTATCAATGCATTGTACCCGAAGGGTTTTAATTCGAGGCATTATTTGATTGATGCGATCCATGTCAATACGATCTAGGTGGCTTTGGCGCATATAATGAAGACCGTAAGGGTCTCAAAGAACTCATCAAAGATTCGCTCAAGTTCACGCAGCTGGTTTTCCAATGTGGCGTGCTGCACCTTTGTTGACGACGAGAGGTAGGTCATTGGTTGATTTTTTAGTGAGAACTCCGCCGAGGGCTCTGTTGACTCGACTCAAATGGGTGTCGCGGCGAGGTTGAGGAGACCTGTCTCGGCGATGACCAAATCGGATATGACAAGGATTATCGGACCATCGGCGATCATTTGACGCAATGCAGAAGTACAATAACTCCTTGGTAGAATGGATAGGTTTGAGAAATATCATTTCGCATTCAGAGCTTTATTAAATTGAGTATCCATCGTTGGTGACATCAAAGAGCTCTAAATATCTATTGGATGTCTTTGAGTATCTTTTAAGGTTGACGCTCAATGACTATCAACTTTCTGGTGATTTAGTGACCTTGGCTCAAAATGAATATTCAACATTGAAAAGTTTCATACCCCCAGGCATGGGTTTAAGGATTCAGAGCGCCTATCGTCCCCTGGCTTTCAAGTTGAATACCATGTATTACATTTCTATTCTACTGTTGCATTTCAATGGGGCTGTTTCATTCATTTTTCTAGGCGAAAGCCATTTCGACTAAATTAATCAACCACTATATGCCACATGGAGACCCTACATAAGATACTAAGTTTCCGATAGGCCAAAATATGATCACCTCGATGCTGTTTTTGTGCTTTGTTCTGCATGTCTTCCAATAAGAGCTGGTGGGGTTGATATGTTCCATGGTACTTCAAGCATTCTTTGAAGAAGTATAGCTATGAAATTTCCGCTTTGGTGCATTAGGGCACCTAGGCATACTTCAAGGAATAAAAATAGTATCAAGTTGAATCATTTGATACTTGTAAGATAGAATAGATCAAGGCCTACGAAAAGCTTTCTTTCAATCCCAGGCTATTTTCATACCCTCCCTTTCAAATAAAACCTCTCTTTCATCTCGACTTGAATGAACGCTTTGGTCTAAAGTATACTCGAAAGATCATAAAATGAAATTACTTAAAGTCGGACCCATCTCGAGGGCAAATATCACAAAAACATTCAAAGCGATATCTCCTCCGAGAGCAAAATCTCTCTATTAAGCAATACCGATCCTTCTTTTTTGACATCCTTATATAGTACCTGAACATGGCGGCTGTTCCACCGATAAGTACCCTGCCGGTAGAGATATGGTCCCATATCATTGATGCTGCGATCGCTCAAGGGACCCACGAGGTTTTCCATGGCGTCGTAAAAATAATGGCCGGAGCGCTGGGACCAGGCATAGCAGCCTCAGCTCAAGCTGGATATGGACCAGCTCAAAGAGCCCATTTCCAACGAAGTTGCATGTTAGGTCATTACACCAGCACGATTGAGATAGTTCGCCACGCAAAAGTACTCATCTGTGAATTGGAACTCGCGCAAGCACAGACTTTAGCTACTGGGCCTGCAGATCCGTTCGTAGTAGCGGCCCAAGCTGCATTAGATGCAGCCCAGCTTGCGTATGCTGGTGTTGGACCAGATATTGTTGTTCCTGTCATCAACCCAGGAGGTCTCCCTCCTCAACCGATTTCGGAATATAATACACTAGGGGAGATTTTCGACGACTGCTGCTTAGAATGTTTCCAGATGCTTCATCTAACAGGCACGGTCTGGATCAGTGGATATGACCGTACAGCGACCAATTACTTCGCCATAGTTTCTGAGGTTGCCAAAAACCTTGGCGGGGGCAATCCTGTCCCTCTCCTTCTTTATATGTTGAACAATGCGTCACTGGATGATCTCTTGAGTCCGGCAGTTGTGCATATGCATAACCCTGATGCTCGGGGACGCAATATCCTTTTCAATCTTGTGAGTGTGGTTAATAGATCTCTTGAGGAAACTTGGATAGATCGAGTGCACAGGATGGCAATAGTGGGAGGACAGCCAATGCCATTAACACCTGCAGAGTTGACCAGGCAATGTTCTGGTAGCTCAAATGCAATGGCTCATTTATCTTTCGCGCATTATTTCCGTGCATTCCAGTTCGGGCTTGTATTCGCCAATGTGGATGATATCCCCCCTACAGTCCCAGTACGTAACACATGGTCTTTTGTACTGCGTCGTGCAGACAGTCCCGATCTCACCAACATCGTTACCCACATGGCATCAGTATCAACTACCATCAGTACCTGGATCGGGGTTCCTGTGAATACGCCTGGCAGAAATGGATATCCCGCAATATTTTCCGGTCGGGCTACCCCTCACTTCCTTGCTATTTGGCATAATAGGCCGTGGATGGCAACTCAAATCGCCAATGGTACACATGCGGTCTCGGATGAGCCCAGTGATGTTGTCACGAGGATTGATGGGCCTATGAGACTGGCCGGGTGGGCGGCTATCCAACATTTCAATGCAGACGGTCTTGGCATGCTTAGTGAATGGGTCGATTTAGCACGGCCTCGACTGACGCATACTCAACGATATCAGCAGTTAATCGATATCCTCAAGATGATTATAGTACAATACAAAGAGGAATATCGGATTATTACTGATGAATGTGAGGCTAGGCTCGCTGCACTACCCGTCGGCGCAAATCCAGCCGCTCTTGAATTGCAAAGGGATAACTCGTTAAATGGAATTGAAGATATAGGCAGGCAGATGATTCGGACGATTTTGGACAACAGTATCAACTTTAACGTCACAGCCGACATCACGCTGAATCCTAATTGGGAGAATATCAACATGACATTAGTTGACACTGTGGAGTTCACCGAATTTATTCGTAATGACGTTGAGCCAATACGTGGATCCAGAGACCCAAAGTTTGCCATTGTGAAGCCATTGATGCATGAGATTTTGAAGTCTGCGGCAAGAACCACGCGGACTCGGAGTCGACGGGGATCATAGAGATGGATTGTTTGGAGTGGATTCAAGGGATACTTTTGGGGGGGGGACGCTCAAGTTCAGTTCAGGTCAATTCAAGTTTATTTGATGTATCCTTTGGCACTTAGGTAGTACTAGTAGCGATTTGTTATCAATTGAATAGGCCTAGTAGGGTCTTCTCGGACTTTATAGATCAGACTGGCCAATGAGGGCTCTCTTCAGTACTAGTATTCAGAACTTAGTAGTATGGATCTATGCAACTGTGGGCTTTCAAGTATTCTGCTAGTAGTTCTTCCCCATCTATGCATAGATTATAGATCCAATGTTACACTGGTATACCATGTCCTGATTGCCAAGACCACCTCGGCTGTGGTTTGCCGAAGTTCAAGTGGAGCGGAGCGGAGTTGGACGGAAAAAGGAAGAAAAAGAAAAAGGAAAGGGAAAGGGAAAAAGGGGACCAGGAGGAACTTGAACTACTGGAACTACCCAAGAGTCATTGAGCACTCTTCAACCTCTTCATACGAATACGAGGGATCTGGAGGGTCGGCCTCGTTTATCTTCCGGTGCTTTTCTTTTTCCTTTCTTCTTCTCTGCTCCTCCACACCGCGCACGTGAGATAGCTGAGATAGCTGAGATTACTTCTTCACGCATCGCCCTCCGCGACCTCTCATCATCCGCACATCATGGTTCGCCCTCGCGGAAGCTCAAACCTCGGGGTGGACATTCGCGGCGACACCAGTGCGCCGGCATTGTCCACCATGAATGAAGTCAGTCCGATTGAGCCCTCCTCGCCAGGGCTGGGAAAGGTACGTGTCGGTATTCGCGTTTGCGCCCGCATCCGCGCCCGCTGCAGCAGCTGCAGCAGCTCCAGCAGTAACAATAAAGGAACCTTAGGACTGACTCGATCGCGATGTAGCAATTGGACTCGCAAATACAGACACAGGCCCACGACAAGTCCGGCAAGACACATTCAAAGCGCCGCCGAACCCGCTCGTATCTTCACCGTTTCGCCGACACCTGCCTCAAGTACACCTGGCTGCTCCCACTCTTGATCATGATCTTCCTGCTATCATTATACGCCGTCAACCCGACCCCCCTCAAACCCCATGCACAGCGCCATCTTCCTCTCCTACCCGCAACCCCCGAAGACCCCCGGCGGTCCCATCATGTACGGAAAGGGAAAGAAGGATATCGCCTTCGTCGCGTTCTACACCGTCGTGCTCTCCTTTACGCGCGAGTTCATGATGCAGCAGGTCATTCGTCCGTTGGCCAAACGGTGCGGAATCAAGGGCCGAGGTAAGACCGCCCGCTTCATGGAGCAGGTCTACACAGCTATGTACTTTGGCATTTTCGGTCCGTTCGGTCTGTACGTCATGAAACGGTCGACCCTCTGGTACTTCAACACGACCGCCATGTTTGAGGGTTTCCCCCACCGTGAACACGAGTCGTATTTTAAGGCCTACTATCTGCTCGAGGCTAGTTACTGGGCACAGCAGGCGATTGTCCTGATGCTGCAGCTGGAGAAGCCGCGCAAGGATTTCAAGGAGCTGGTTGGACACCACATCATTACCCTCGCCCTCATCGGACTGAGTTACCGTTTCCACTTCACCTATATAGGTCTGGCCGTATACATCACTCACGACATCTCGGACTTTTTCCTCGCGGTATGTGTTCTATACCCCCATAGCAAGCAGACAATACCAATTGGAGCCAAATCGCTAATCCTTACAATAGACTTCCAAAACGCTGAACTATCTCGATGCGTACATCACACCCCCTTACTTCGGCACCTTTGTTGGAGTTTGGATCTACCTGCGTCACTTCCTCAACCTGAAGATCCTCTGGGCCGTCCTAACCGAGTTCCGCACCGTCGGACCCTTCGAGCTGAACTGGGAGACGCAGCAATACAAGTGCTGGATCAGTCAATACATCACCTTCGGCCTGCTCGCCAGTCTGCAAGCCGTCAACCTGTTCTGGCTCTTCCTCATCCTCCGCATTCTGGCAAACTATATCTTCACCAGCGAGACCAAGGACGAGCGAAGCGACGACGAGGAAGAAGAAGAGGAAGAAGAAACTCAGGTCGAGGCCGAGAGCAAGGCCACTCTGACCACCGGCGTCCAGCAGGAGAACCAAACACCTCAAGTGATGGTCAACGGCGAGCCCGTGACCGAGCAGCGCGGTCCCCGGACACGCAGCAGGAAGGCCTAAAGAACCCGGGTCTCCCGCTCTTCAGGTGGCTGAACCCCCAGAACAATACCGGTAATATCTCTCAACATCCGGTCGTTCTTGGAATACGGTCTCCACGTTTCGTTTCATATTTTTGTTCAACCCCCGGTTCCAATTTTGGGTGGCCGCGCATCAAAAAGCGCCAAGCCTTGTTTATAATTACGCATGGTTCAAGGAAAGGTGTTTGTTCGGAGCGAGTCTTTTTCTTCCTTATATGGAGAAGGTGGCTTTGCTCCTTTCTGTGATTGTGATTGATTGAATTGAATTGATGCATTGGGTTTGGGGGGTGTAGGTGTAGTTCTAGGTGTGGATTTTCCGTTTTTTCATGTTTCCTTTTTTTTGGTTCGATTCGTGCACAGTCTGATTCGACTCTCGTGTTTATCACTACACTTTTACTAGTACCCATGCTACTAGTACTGACTAGGTATGGGTTGGCTATTCGGGCTTGATTGAGTCTCCGATTAATGCGGATGAAATGAATATATCGATGATTTTATACTATTTTACAAGACACGCCGTCCACGTGGGCATGGTACTAGCAGTAGGTACCTAGGTAGCTTTCATAGCACTGACTCGGAACTGTCTGGTTCAATTCAAGGGTTGTAGCCTTAGAGAACAGCAGGTGTAGACCTCGGGATCTTTGGGAGACGTATCAAAAATGGTATTAGACCGATTCACAAGTACTCTTTACACGTCATAGATTATGGCATTGGTACATTTCAGGTGGGAACACCAGCAAGCCATTACTCCTGCGATTCAGCCTTGGCTGGCTCGGATTCGCCTTTCTTCTCCTTCTTATCAGACTCATCGGCGGGCTTTGCGTCCTCCTCAGACTTGTCTTGATGAGCACTGGTCTCCTTGGCGTTGGCCTTTAGAACTTGTTAGTATCTACTGCCATGAACAAGATCAATTGGAATAAATTGACCCACCTCGTCATTTCCAGACTCAGATGTCTCCTTTGACTGCTGGGTATCATCTTTCTGCGGCTTCTCGGAAGATTCTTGGGTCTTTTGCTCTGATTCCGCCTTCTTGCCCTCCTTTTCGGCTGGAGCGGGGGTAGCCTTGGACTCGTCAGATTGCTTGGATTCAGTGGTCGGCTTGTCTTCAGTTTCAGCAGGGGCAGCTTGGGTCTCCGTAGGTGTACCAGCCTCCTCCGATTCAGCCTCAGGAGTAGATTCCTTCTCCGCATCCTCGCCCTTGTGTTCATCTCCGTGATCATCGTGACCGTGACCATGGCCTTGACCATGTGAGTCCTTCTCGGACGCAGCAGGAAGCAGGAAGTAAATCATGGGAATTGTGACACCCAAGGAAGCGGCCAGCCTAGCAAGAAGGAAAGATGAGTTAGCTCCAATTGAGATGATCCAATTAATTGCAAGTGAACATCAATTGAACATACCAGGGTAAATCGCTGGAGGCATGCTCCTCATAGCCCTTCCCACTGGCGTAAAACCGACGTCCAAGTACCTGTCCCGAAGGACGGCTAACAGGAACAGCACGGAAAGACCGGGCGGCCGTAGCGACGCCGCGGAGAGAACGACGTGCGAATACCATGGTGGAAGTAGAAGAGGTAGAGGTAGATGTAAAGCTGGAATGCAAGAAACCCCCGGTAGAGGAGGTACGAATGAGAGGAGGGGTCAAGAATCAGATCGGCGTGAGAGGGTGAGTGGAAGGAGTCAGAGGGTTGCCTCGCAGGAGCTGTGGGCAGCTGTGGCCATGGCTCCCGGGCATCGTGCTAGGCCAACAGTACTACTAGCTCGTACTGGTCACCGTGGCTGGCCTGGGCTGGTTGCTCCGACATCGTCAGACCAGACCACTTCGGAGTATATCCCTGTTCCTTCCGTGGGTCTGTGCGTTGTGATGTAATGCCTGTGGTGTCTGCAATATCCTGGTTGGATAGTACCGAGTATTAGAAAATATATCTAGATTGTAGCATGAATGGTTGAGATTTACCATGGACCTCGAGAGTCGATCATCTAGTATCTGATGTTGATGCCAGGAGTACTTGTCTCAAACGTAATTGAGTTCCAAGGTTCTGGATTTGATCTTGTGCCCACTTGGGGGAGGGGGGTGGGACGGGAGATGATCTGATTAGATTGACCCATTGGAATACAAGGAGTGGCTAATATTACACTACTACATGATAATTTCCATCCAGCCGAGAATATCCCAATCGAGACTCGGACCTCGAGTATTTTTTCAATTTATTGCTAGGCATTGAGCTAGAATTTAACGCTATCCACAAAACCTCTCCTCACCACACTCTTCTGTCGCATATCGCGGCCACCATGTTCAAGAGCCCCCCTTCACCCCGAGTCTTATGGACTATTGCGTCTTGATATTACATACTCCTATACCATATGATGCTAAAGTAGGATAGGGAGGGTGTTCGAACACTGATTATGGGTGTCCACCTACCATAACTCGAGTATTCTTGATCATAAGCCCGAATCATAGGCAATGGTAAAAAACAACATGGGTATCATTTCATTCTGCCAGACTGAATATCCTCTAGATGATATTTTCAGAGGACAGGCCCTATTCGCTGGAAACGCTGGCAGTATGCACTGCATGCAACGGGAACCTGTCCTGCTTCCATCCGATATATGCGTCTATCGGATGGTTTTAAGGGGGGGCTCATGAGGTCAAACCTGAGAGTCGGTGCTGGCCCTGGCCCCTACAAGAAATAGGAACTTGTTTGCAGCGGAGATTAACAATGCAATCCTAGCTCAATTTCCAACGCCATCCTCCCCCACTGCTGCAAAAACAAACGGCGCCAGACGGTCAAGATGCGGGCCGAGTTTGGCTGGTGCGCTTCGGGCAATCACTCCGATAGCTGCTATGATATGACGGCGGCGAATGGTCGTGATATTGGGTGAGGAGAGGGTATCGGAAAGGCGGCCCACAAAAGCATCCAGCTGGTTGTCGGAAAAGTACAGCACCAAGGCGGAGATGGCAGCCAAGGCTCTCTTAGTCACCACGGTGCCCGCGGTATCATTGTGGATAATTGCCATAACGGGTTCTTGAAGAGCATCCAGCTCTCTTTCTTGGAGGAGCGGTCCGAAGCAAGTGACGACCTTAATGAGTACATCAATGGCATCGCTGCTGAATCCCTTGGAGCTATCCTTCTCGAGCATTCCCTTCACAACGGAGCCACGGCGGCCGGAGGTGGATGGAGTCGGACCCGTCAGTCGAGGGATTAGTACTTTTGAAACGGCGTTGTATGAAGAAAGGACCGATTGGGGAGCTGGCTGTCCGGCTTGCGGGCGAGGAAGGGTGTCGACGATGACGCGCAGGGCGGTGTTGGGGACAGAGGTGTCGATTGTCTGAGAGGAGGTCAGATCGGCCAGCTTCTCGAGAAGAGGCATGAGTGTTTCGAACGGGACGCGGATGGCGAGAGGACCAAGACTGTTGTGACGTGGATGGTTAGCCGGGTCTAATGCAAGAGCTGTAGAGCAGGGTTGCGGCGTACCACTTCAAGGCTTGGTTCTGAACTTCACCATGTTGATCGTCCAAGGCTTTTAGCAGTCCATCGGCGAGTTTGGTGGAAGAAGTTCGGTCGCTGGTGAGGAAGGACGAGCTCGGGTTGGTCAGGATCCCGAAGAGGTCGTTCAAGGACATGAATCTCAGGTCGGCATCAGGATCATCCAGCTTGGAAAGCAAGCTGAAGATGGTCTGCTGGGTCACCTGTCGATCCGCCATAGTGAGAATGTGTATAATAGAGCTGGGGGCAAGAGGGTGGGAGACGAAGAGAGTTGGAGTTGGAGTTGGAGCTGTCTAAGAAGTTGAACTTGAACGTATCACGATAGCCGCTTCGATAGGCAAACGTGGGGTTGTGTTTGTGGCCTGAGGCATGAGGGCAGTCAGGCAGCAACCAGGCATAACTTTATGCCTGAGGCAACACTTATTTTGTCACTTGAAACTATAGATCATGATATTTGGAGCGTTCCTCTCTCACATTTTGTCAGTTACAAATCTGTCCAGATCTAAACAATTTACATTGTTACCACACTGACGTTTTCAAGGGGGGTTTTATTCGCCATCATGTGTATACACTATGTATTTGTAGTATTATTCATGCAAGTTCTTTCGCATGTGGTGTTGCTGTGCTGTTGCTGTTCCTCCTGTCGTGCCTTCCTCATGTCCATTGAGTGGCTTCCCTTCTTGCCTTTTTCCAACTTCCAATTTCCCTTTCGACTTGCAATTATTTCTCTTCTGTCTCTCCTCTACTCCCTTTCCAGCACACCCTTATGATAAATATATCATCTTCGAGTTGCACTGTTATACACACATCCAATCCAATCCGCCCTGTCTCAAGATGCGACTATATCATCTCTTTCTACTCCTCGCTATTTTACTTGGAGGTTGTGTCTGCTCATCTGTATCGCCCCCGGAACAAACCAGTCGTATCCAGCTCCAGTTTCGAGACGACCCCAAAAATCCCGAGTATAAGTGTGGCCCGCGATGGGGGAAGTGTCCCACCGGCACCTGCTGTTCGAGCTCAGGTAGGCTCTCTAGTATTTATCCAACATACGGGAAATAAGGCTCACCAGACACAAATCGCAGGCTTTTGCGGGACGAGCAAGGCGCACTGCCGCTCCCCGGATTGTATGATCGATTATGGTCACTGTGATGCTCATCGAAAGCCGAAGGGTTTTCCTACCAAGAACATTCCTCGTCCTCATATCGGGCTTGTCCCATATGGCCCTACAGAGATTCGTTCATGCACTGTGCCCGGAACAGTGGCCTTGACCTTTGACGATGGCCCGAACCGATACACAGGAGACCTCCTCGATCTGCTTGACACGTACGAAGCACCGGCGACCTTTTTTGTCACTGGAATCAACAACGGCAAAGGCTCGATCGACGACGACTCTCTACCTTGGCCCTCCTTGATCCAACGCATGATACTCAGTGGTCATCAGGTTGCCAGTCATACCTGGTCTCACGAAGATTTGAGTAAGGTGACACCCAAACAACGTACTGCACAACTGGAAAGAAACGAAGCAGCTCTGCGAAACATCATGGGCAGCTTTCCTACCTACATGCGCCCACCTTACTCTAGCTGTCTTCCACGCTCAGGTTGCCGTGAGCACCTTGGGGAACTGGGTTACCACATTGTCCTGTATGATATCGACACCGAAGACTACAAAAATGACGATCCCAGTTTGATTCAGCGGTCCAAGGACATCTTCGATGATGCTCTATCCAGCGGCAATCCTCACACGAAGTCGTGGCTCGTCATCGGTCATGACGCTCATGAGCAAACTGTTCACAATCTCACCGAGCACATGTTGCAGACAATGACGCGACTCGGGTATCGTCCTGTGACGTTGGGCGATTGCCTACGTGACCCGCGTGACAATTGGTACCGCAAAGATAGCAGCTGGCCGGGCCGTACGAATAGCAACAAGAATAGCAACAAGCCCAAGAACAAGCCCAAGAAGGGACCTAGTCAGCAAATTTCCGTTGACGGTACTTGCGGAGCTAATTATACCTGCTTCGGGTCTCCATTCGGCTTATGCTGTGGAAGCTCCCATGTTTGTGGAAACACGACCGTACACTGCGGCAAGGGCTGTCTGAAGGATGCCGGGTATTGTTCTATCGAAGCACCACCAAATGGTGATGCGTGGGATCCAAAATTCCCTAGCCGGAAATCAGGGGCGGGCTCAGACATTCAAACTGTTGGTACTGCAGCTCTTACCTCTCTTCTTCTGGCTTTGATTGTAGCGATGTGGATGTGAAGGGCCGTTTATTGGCGACTCGGCTATTTTCTTCTTTCCTTTCTTCTGTCTTCGTTTATATGAATAGGGTACTTAACTAATTACATACCCATGGCCTCTTGGTAACTAATCCAATAAACTACTAGGATAGCCAATCTTCAAGGAACCTTGGAAGCTATCAGTATTTGTACTTGGTTAGATACCAGGGAACTTGAAGATTTGAAAACCAAATGGATCGGATGTGTACAGATAGTCTGCCAATTGCTGCATAACTATGCATTAACACTGGCGCTCTTGGTCATTCCGATCCCCACTGCAGCTGTCGTTCCTGCATCCACCGGCAAAATCACGCCCGTCATCCATCGAGCATGTGGACCAGCCAGAAATACCACAGCACCGGCACAGTCCCACCCATTTCCCTCTGTTCCGAGAAGACTGCGCTTTCTGCGAGCTTCTCTGGCTTCTTCACTCATTCCATTCCCGTACATCATTGGCGTGTACAGCATCTGCTAACAAAGTCAATGACAGCCTCCTTCAGGGAGTGAAAGGTCAACTTACCCCCGGGCAAACACAATTCACTCTAATCCCATCCGCCGCATGATGCGCTGCCATTGCGCGCGTGAGATTGACGATGGCGCCTTTGGATGTCGGGTAAAGCAAATGAGGTGTTCCACCCTTACGAAGATCAGTATTGGGGGGCGATGAAAGGTGAGATCGATCGATAGAACAACCGTACCTTGAGACCCGCCACACTCCCCATATTCACAATGTTTCCTTTATTTTCTCCCTCGTTGCGAGTCATTGCCGGAATGGCATATTTGCTCATCTGTACCATACTGCCGACATTAATATCCATGCTTTTTGCCCACTCCGCCATGTCAACATCGACCGCCGTGCCTGGAGCGCCACCAATTCCAACATTGTTAATAAGAATGTCAAGACGACCAAATTTCTCGACAGCAAGGTTCACTGCTGTTTCGCAGTCCTTGGCAGAAGTGACATCGCCTCGAAATGGGAGAGCCCGTCCTCGGCCTGACTTGGATGATATCATCTCCACAGTCTTGGTTGCCCATTCTTCGTTGAGATCAACGCACAGCACATCGCAGCCATCATAAGCTAGAAGAATAGATATAGCACGCCCGTTACCAATTCCATCTCCTAAGCACCCAGCTCCGGTCACAATGGCCACCTTGCCACTCAGAGAGCGAGATGGCGGTTCGGAAGATATGCCGGGATCCATGGTTATGATCGAAATCTCGACCAAAAATCGTGTACATATAAATCCTTTTATGGAATCTATTTAATTCTAGCCGACCGAAAACCTTCATTTCGCTTCAAGTTCCCAAAGATTACCGGCATACCCATTTGGACCAGCCTTGCGGAGAGGGGGGGGGGGTTGGCCCCCGCATAGCCGAACCGAGGCGTTTCTTGACTGCGGGGCCTATGATGTGATGTGATAGATACTACATCTTGAATAACCCAAGTCCTTCCTACCCACTTTTACCCCCTCACCTCCTTGATCGTACCTCACTCTAACCTACTCGTACCTTTTCACCGCTTCTACAATCGTACTCCATCTAGCTTAACGTAATGGCTGACTTCTCGCAATATACTGCCCCCATTGCAGACTGGGTGGCTCTTGAGCCTACCTTACCAGCTTTCCCGAATGTCGGTCTCGAGGATTTAAAACATATCGTCAATAAGGGTCGGGAGGATATGGCCGCTCAGGGCGTCGCTGATCGAGGTTAGTACCTGCATATCACATAGCGAGAGAAGATCTCCAAAAAAAAGTGAATTTAGACATATCTGCCGCTGGGTGGAGATGTCTTGCATAAACACATCGACGATCTAACTAACTTCTTGTCCCAACAGGCCTAGCTGAAAAGGTGCATACCAAGGACTTCAAAATTCCCGCTCGCGACGGATATGTCCTCGAAGCGCGTTCTTACCGTCCAGCGAACGTCTCCCCCTCCCATGCCCTTCCTGTCTACATCCATCTTCACGGTGGTGGATATCTCTTCGGAACCCTCGGTTCTGAAGACGCAATCTGCTCTCGCATTGTCGCCGACCAACTCGAGAAGAGTTTCCCCGTCGTCGTCTTCAATATCAACTACAGACACACCCCCGAGTATAAATATCCGACTGCGTGGAACGATGTTGAGGATGCCTTCGTCTGGTTCCACGAGAACATATCCGAGGTCGGCGGACGCGGGGAGAGGTCGTGGTCGGGGGTATATCAGCGGGAGCCCAGCTGACTGCTTCTCTGACACTTGCCCAGTATCGTGGCGACAATGAAAATTTGGCTGCTTGTCCACGAATCCGAGGACAGGTCCTGATGATCCCTTGCCTTGTCCAGCTAGATTATTATGCCCCGAGACAGGACAAATTGCGCAGTCCAGAACTGTCGAGTCTAGTAGGCTGCGCCAATGCGCCAATCCTACCAATTGACAGAATCAAGCTCTTTGGGTCCCTGCTGGATGTCAATAAAGACTCAAACACCGGCGATGACCGCAGGCTTAATCCTGGAAATGCCACCGCGGAAGAAGTGAAAGAGCTTCCTCCGACGACTTTCGGTATTGCAGGAAATGATCCTCTTCGCGACGAGGGCCTTTTCTACGCGCAGCTTCTCAATGAGAATGGGTAAGTGGCCTTCCCCCAGTTTGGGGATCTTGAAGATCTTGTGCTAACCGGTGCTAGGGTGCCTACTGATGTTCACGTCTTCCCTGGCGTTCCTCATGGATTCCGCCGCTACGGCGACAAGCTGGCTGCTTCGAGTAAGAGATGGGATGAGGTTATGACAAACGGTATTTCTTGGGCGTTGTCTAGCCCCGAGTGTGGCTCTTTCGAGATCAAGTCGGAATGAGTGCGAAGGCGGAGTTTTGGATAGAGTCGAAAGCGGACATAGAAATATTTCTCTCAAGCAACTGGCGAACAATTACTAACTCCGAGCTCTTCATGTACTAGTAGTCCACGGGTCCTTTAAGAATGCAAATCCGCAGATAGTTTTGATCCTATAGTATTCTCAGTCTATGTTTCACATTTGACCATTTTCTGCACTGGATTGGGGCCCGGATACGATGTTAAACGCAAACATTCGCTTAATTCCCAACAAGCATCCAGTTCATTCCTTCTTAGCCCCCTCACCAGTGCGGCCCTTGCTCCATCCTACTTCCCATTTGTCTTCAATAATATCCAATTGGATCTCCTGAGTTCTTTTGAAATATCCCTCCTCGATATGGTCATCCATACCCACATCCTTGTAGCCTTCCTTTGCAACCGATTTCGGAGTGATCATAAGAGAGTGCCCTGGAATGTCAGCAGCCGAAATAAAATATCTTAGTTCTGAGTCCTCTACCATTGATAGTGCGATCTGTTGCAAGCTTCATCATACACGTTGCCACATCTTCCTGCGGGGCAAACTCGACGCCTTTGGAAATTAGTTGAGCTTCGTAGGTAGCCGAGCGAATGGCACTCTTGATATAACTAATTTTTGTTTCTTCAGTAACCTTATTTTATGTGAAAATTTGTGATACCTACCAAGGAGCCACGTAGTTGATTCGAATTCCCTGTTCGTGCGAATTTCTCCGGGCTGTTCTCATCAGTCCCCTCAGTCCGTACTTGCTGCTCGTATATTGCCAGTTTGCCTGTTCGTGGAATCAGTAGGTGTGTAATTTGTCGCATAGAGTAAAGAATAAGGTGTCTTACTGGAGAATCAATCCAAGATACCATACTTCCAGTGATTATGAAACAGCGATCTCGGTCTTCCGTGTCCGGTTGTTTTCGAAAATAATGTACAGCAAGTTTCCAGGTATACATTGTGCCAATCAGGTTTACATTCACAATGTTCAGCTCTGGCTTCACGGGAGGGGAATTTGGGTCTAAGAAAGCTAGTAAGCAACTTACATTTCACAGCATTCTCAATCTTGCGAATGGAAATACTTACCGTCCAAGGGCCACAGATCGTCTCCCGAAGCACGACTAATTCCCGCATTTGCAATGACGATATCGCAACTTTTATGGGGGGAATTCTTGATCGCAGCTTCAAACATATCGACTTGATCATCCCAAGAAGTTATATTGCACTTCACAAATTGAGCATTTCTAGTATTTGTTAGGCATTGACGAGGATTCAGGGATCAACACTCATGGAACGAACCGGCCCAGTTCCTGCGCAACTTGCTTCCCTCTTTCCTCGTTCAGATCGGCTATCGTTACATATGCTCTATATTCCCCAATACTGTCAGTGTCATCATCATTATGTTTTTTATTTGAGGTAAATCACCCTTCGGCAGCAAAAGCACGCGCCGTCTCTTCGCCCATGCCATTTGCTCCTAGAAGATCATCAGTTGGTCGTTCAAACAGACAAGATTGGGATACTAATTACCTCCAGTCACAATGACACTCTTGCCTTTAAGGACCCCGCGATTTGGTGGGATGGTACAGTCTACCGGGCCATTGTATTCGTAGGGAGGCAGCTTCGGCATCTTGGGCAAAGTTATTCTGATATTTAGTCTTCCGTGCTTTTTTCCTTCTCCAGATTCTGGGTGATTTGTTTGTGGGTAATTATAGGTATTCCCTTTACTCTTCCTTCTCGCTATCTAGTATAATTCATGCGTTTAGCATCCTCGGCCATTTCCCCGCGATTCCAGCCCGGATAATCGGCTACCCCAAAGAAGTAAACCGGCGGGGTTATAATGAGGAGACAATGCAACAGCTCCGCCTCGTCAAATATACTCATCGGTGTCGGAGAATTGTTAATCGAGTAAGAGCGCCTCTTAGTAACCGCGTCCAAGAAACTTTCTCGTATTTTCCCAGAAGTCTCACCCTTTATCAATGAATCCTCGGGAGTACATCAAGACAGCAATTCTGATTTTGCGCTAGTGGGCACACACTACTGGTTCAGGTGTTTGAATTGGATAGTAACCTTAGTCCTCTGAAAATATAGTTATATAGTATGGTAATATCCGGTATTCTCAAGTGAAAGAATGACAGAAAACGAGAAGACATAAACACACAATACCTGAGCAGGAATTGGAAATTTGTTTATCACTCTGAGCCGTTAGGGGTGTTATGGGCCCCGCAGATGAAGGTTATCTTGATATTACTCTTCTTGGCGCTTTCTCTCTTTCTGGCTTCTCCCAGGCACAATTGTACTCAGATCACCAACGGGTAGTGTTAAAGGGAAGTCAACTGCATCGAGTATTTGCGCAATAAATATGTGCCAGATTGGTATGCAAAGAGCAAAATTGAAAGCGCCGGCAGCCTGTTATGTCCCAAAGTTAGCATCGGCAAAGCTTAAATGTTAAATCAGGATTATAGATACCAATTGCAGTCTGGCAGCGTTTTCAGCATTCCCCAGCGCTACCTGGAAGAAGGTGGCTGCTGTTAGGGCGAAAGTGATGACTAGAAGAAACAATGCCGAGAAAAGGCAAATATTTGTCCGAATAGAACAGATGAGGTAGACGAATGTGAGAACGCTGAGAATCACGTAATAAAGCCCCACGGTTGCATTGTATTCGGGTGTTTGTATACCCTCCAACGAATTTCCAGTTGGTGAGTAGTTGGTTCCTACTGCGTAGAATGGCATGTTTGAAGTGCCCTGAACGATCCAAAAGGTTCCTATAAGGTTGAGTTTGTCAGTTATTTTCAAGTTGTCATCGGGTGTATTCTAATCTCCTTTCACTCAAATACTAGCACGCACCATAGGTAAAGAAGAGTGCACAAGAGAATGTGTTTCCAATAATCCATTCACCCACGGCACCAAAAATTTGTACCATGCCTCCAAAGTAGATAAATACGGGTCTATTCCAGAACAAATGTCAGCATCTTGTAGTAGTATGAGACAAAATATTGAAGGGACAACTTGAAGTCTTACAAAATAGCACCACCACTTCCACCAGCGCCCCGCCACCCCATATTGGTCATCGCGGCAGGAGTCGCAGCTAACAAGAAACCGAGTAGAGAAATCGGAGTCGGGTTGCCGAAAGTACGACGCAGATTTCCCGCTGTCGGTGTTTTAGGACTCAAATAAAGCTTCTCGAATACATCCCGAGGGATGGGAAGAAGAACACTCTCGGCCGTCTGGTAGCGACGCAGCATCTCAGCCGTAGAAGCCTCCTGCTTTTCGCTCACATTTTCGTCGGACATGATGGAAAATCCTCAATGGAGCAGGACCGATAATTTGGGAAGCCGCTAATCGACCCTCGACAAGTGTTTTGAAAGATGATCTTGTGTGGGTTATATCGAATATATATCCCAGGGGTTGGTCCTTATATCTTCGCTTCCCCTTTTATCCACAGTGTAACTCCAACGAGCTGTCTCCACATCTTCTCCAATGCAAGTCATTCTAGACCCCCAGACCCCCGGACCCCGTATCTTTCCATATCGGTGTAAACGCTGCAGTATCCCGATCGAGTTTTAGTCCAGAGTGTCTTGCATTGGACGCAATTGGAACCTCTGATTCGTAGGCTATCATTACCATCCTCCCTGAAGCGACGACCCTCGGTGACTAGTGGGTCCGGGAAACCGCGATTTGTGGGGGAGAACGCGGGGGGGGGGTGGCCCTACCATGCCCCAGAATGGTTTTTCCCCCGCGAATGCGTCCGGGGACCGAGGACTTTCTTGTGTCGACTCGGCTACATGCCGTTAACTCGCCTTTATCCGCATGAATCAGTCTCGGAATGGTCCAAAATATAAAGAAAGGTTACACGCCCAGACTTTGCCAACACTTCGAGAGAAACGGTGGCGCCGGTTCAAAGTCTATTCTAAAGCTTCGCCTCACAATCAAGCCTTGGACTCTTGACTGATGCCATGCGTGTTTTTGTCAGTGCGACACTTGAAACTTCAATGGCTGTACCCGGCTTGTGCTCCCAGGAACGATACCAATGTCAAGTTTTAACAGCAGTTTCGCCAAGTTGTTCGACCCCAACAAAAGTAGCGTCATGAACTTGGAAACGCCCCTGGACAACTCGACGCTACGGAGCAACTCCGCGAGTCCGTGGGCGCATCAGCCCGATGTCCAAATGGAAATTGCTAATGCTGGTGCACAATTTCCCACCAAATGGGCTGATTTTGTTCCGACGGGGTTACGAGTCCAGTAGATGTTGCCTGGCAAACCCCAGTGAACAACCGCGGCAGTTGGCGCTCAGATAGCCGGATGTGGAGTTAAGCTGCGACAAGAAACCCCACCAAGAGGAGCGGCATTAGCGAATCCTGCGTCATATACGAGATCTTCGCTTTCTCTGTTGTAAGTCTATCCTTGTTTGGAAGGTGCTTAATATCGCTCCTGGTTGCACCCTTCAGAATACCGAGGTTATGGAGTCTGGCAGTTTTCATCGTTTTTCAGGCATACCACTCCCGCAACCTTCGAAACAGCTACATATAACTTTAAACTGTACTGAGGCCGATTGGCCTCAGGTCCAGTGGCATGGCCAGCTAACACTTCATGCATGCAGGACTAGGGTATAACCCTGCCCGCATTGCATAGTTTCCGAGTCATTGCTTGCATTGCTTTCATCATGACCTTTTGTCGTTTGGACGCCGTTTACACGGCGTTGTCATTCCATTGCGAGATCTACTAGATATTGCGTGAGGTTATTCCCACTTCCTAGTCTAATTTCATCTCATCTTTCGTTCAGTTCCCATCTCGCTCTTATTTCCATTTAGACCTTATGGGCCCCCGTAACTAAACTTGATTGCGATACCACTGGTTATTCAAGTTAAAAACTAGCATTGACACACCAACATGCTGCAGTGAAGAATTGTAGGCCTGAAATCTAGGCGGCCCCTTAATCTGATATAGAGATTGCCCTAGGTAGAGTGGAAAGACGAACATGTAGTTTCCAAAGATTCATATACTGCATGGAAATTTCCTAAGGTATTACTAGTAAACAAAGAAGGTCCAACGATCAAGAATCTCAACTTCTTATATGATCGACCTAGAGTTCATCAAACGACGTATTCCCAGTGGCGGTAGTAGATTGCTCTTGATTGTTCCTATCCTTTGCCTCGGCCTTAGCGATTTCCGCTCCTGCTTGGCTCTTGATTCACGTTGCGTTCTTGGAGTACTCGCCGATGACAATTCCTCTCTGCTGAATGGGATCCTCAAGGACTTGGGTGGCCTCCAGCGCCTTGTCTGCGCGGACCCGCAGCCCTTGCAGGATCTCCTTTTGTTTCTAATCCACCATCTGAGCGACCTTCTTGTAGCTGTTATCTATGTATGTCTGGAGCTCTGCCTAAAGTCAGCCATGTTCTCATTTCCAGTCGCGCCCTTGGACAGACGGCTGCACAGATTCACATCGTAGGCGATGTACTCGCGGTCCACGACTCAAATTTCAAGGGGTTGACGAGTAGTTCTACTGACATTTGCCTGGGCGCAATACCTCCTTCTCCTGTTAGCTAACCCTCTCAACAATCATAGGTATATCCCTTGGAATTTGTCACAAAATGGGCTTTGAAAGCCAACAAGATCAATTTGCACCTCATGAATTTCACGGGCGCACCGTAATTTTTAACTTGTGTCAATGGCGGCTCTGCCTTTAACCTGTATGCTGAGAAGTCATATCTCCCACCCTTTCGCCTACCAATAGAGTCAGCTCTAACGAAGACTTCCTTACAACCAAAACAGGAGGCGGATCTGATGTTAACAAGGTCAATGGCTGGGGCTTGAACAGGTTCAGTCTTCAATAATGGACTCTTGAAAAGGTGAGTCCAGGCCGGTCTCCATGGACGTTGCGAAATGTGGCAGGCGGCAGTAGGCCTCAACCCTGTCCGTGGAAGATGCATTTTGATCTGGGGGCCTTGATTGTTCGCCTCAACTAAACTTTCCATAATCCGTAGGCTATTCGGATATCGCAGGTTGTAGTCCTGGTAATTGCACTCCGCTCCAAGGGTGGAACGCTGGTGGTCAGGCCAAGATCTCCCAGTGGTATTTGATAACGCAAGATGTGAACACTAGGGGATGGTATATGTAAATTTCGCTTCTTGTGGTGGTGTGTCTTACACTTGTTCCTGTCAGCTGATGTATGCCCCAGGTTACAAATTGCAGGAACATTCACTTACATGGACCTGGATGGCGGGAACACCAACGATGGGTTAGTTTATCATTGAAGTCCTCGGGGGCATGCATTCTAATCAGGGTACAGCACGAGAGTTCAAGGATATCAAAGAAACCCTGGTTTGAATTCTAATCGGATGTGGAACTTCCACTTTGTCTGAGTCGGGGTTGAGGGGGGATAGCCAGATGTTCCGTTCTCAATTGCCTCTTTTAATTGAAATGATACTCAGCTGATCGGTAGCTACAAGACTGTCATGTCCTAGGTCACTCATCGCCTAATATAATCACATGCCGCCCGAATTTAAGGTTTCCTTCGACGAGTGTTGAATCGTTGAATCTTCCCCTAGATACCTACTTCTACAGGAACATCAAGTGTAAAGAGCGCAAGGCAAATTGTTTCATTCTCGGGCGATATAACCCCGGCGCAATGCAATTGTCTATTGAACTCGACCTGTCTCATTCATGCAAACCCAGAAATCGTAAATGGGCCCATTCCAGCTCCAATTCCAAAGCTATTCCTGAAGCCCGAATTAAATACTCCACACACACAAAAGAAGTCACATCAAGGAATCGCTTCCATGCAGATCCATATATGCATCAGGTGCAGGTGAATCACTTTTTGTCTCCGTTGGGGGTATTCTCATCTTCCAGGTCCACCATTTCCCGCAATATATCTTTTAATCCTCGGACACCTTCGTCAACAACTGTATCCGGGATGCGCACGTCCACATCTTCAATATATTTTATCGGGTCGTAGGGTTGACTTTCTGCGTCTTTATTGCTACCCTTTTTGGTCCCATTGGCTTTCCCTTCTTTCGTTCCGTTTGGAGTCGCAGTCCCATTATGATCTGATGTGTGTTTGGATCCCAATGCCGGATGCGATCTGCCCTCCGCGGAGGCGACCACCGCGTCCATCACGTCGTCGAATGTCTCGCAGCGGCCGGCGCGAAGGAGCTCGGTAGCAAGACTAGTAACCCGCTCAGTCCAGCCGGCACGGTGTAGCGAGCCCAGCAAAGTTTCCTGCAAATCTTCTAGTGCTGATGTCGCTGAGAGCTTTGTGAGGAGGTCTGATTCGAGGGCATCGGGGGTGGCGGAGGTGCCGGCGGGCGTTGAGGATGGCATGGTGTCAGGTATTGGCGGGGGTTCGCAGTAGCGAATCCTTGAAAGGGAGCAGATTCGAATTGGTATATAAGCTGCAAGTCCCCCTTTCCGTGCAGCTTGGGGTGACAATCGGCGTCGGGCTGTCCGTCGCAGCGATCTCGGAGTCAAAAATTGGGGCGAGGGTCATGCGCCGGCGGCTGTTGTGCGCGGGGTTTGCGGCGGGAATGGACAGGAGGAGGGGAACCTGCCCCTAGGGAAAGCGCGATTCAGTCGAAGAGATAATTATTAGGATTAAAGAGAGGTGGAAGAGGGGTCGAGGCCAGCGCGCGCGAGAAAAAAAGTGGATATGGAGGATGACGATGGTTCCGCGGTCCGGCCTGTCAATGCGGCAACCGGATTAGCGCTGTAGATGATAGGTCCAAGCGAGGGGGGGCTAAATATGTTGGAGATGCAGTTTCAAGCCTTGCTGGTAAGGAACACCGACCTGGTACGTTCAAATGGGCTGCGACAAGGTGTGGTTGCGCAAACGGGGCCCGGATTGCGGAGGTGCGGCCGAGTGGAGGAGGCTCCTCGGGATTGGATCGAATCGGATTGGGTTGTATTTGACTGGGGGCTAGGAGAGGGGAGGCCCGGCCAGCAGAAGGGTCACCGAGAGAAACCAAAAAGATTAGGGGTTAGGGTATCAATGGACCCATTGCACACAAAAGAAAAGAAAGGACCACGGATTGAGAGCAGGCCAATTGACGAGGATGTGAGAGAAAGAGAACGTCAACCGGTCCTGAGCGTGGATAGCCTCAAGCCGCGGGCGGTGAGCTGTCAAAGCGTGGCACCAGCTCCCCAAAATGTAGCATTCATGGATTACATGGTGTTTGGAGGCATTTAAGAATTGAATTCAAAAATCAAATTAATTCTGGAATTGAGGTATGTCAGCTAATCTGATCACTCTGGCACGCCGCATCACGATCTAATAGGACTCCCCTGGTGCTACTATATAACTAGTACCTTAAGCGTACTACTTACGACCATAGTATGTGGGCTAGATCCATCCATGGATTGATACTACTAAAAATGCGCAGAGCGTATGCCACTAATCTGGCCCCGGGAGCTACTAGTTCTCTTACTGCTTAAGGTTTAAGTTGTAATCTTTAACGTTGCGTAGGAGGGGAATACCCCCTAGTAATGCCTGGTTGTAGTACTAGTATATGCTTTAGCACTACTACTACTAGCATTGGCCACGAGGCAATTATTTCCAAGGTTATATTCCCACACGTTTACTAGTACCTACTAGTACTATTTAAAATAAGGTGCCCAGGTCACTCTTTGTCCAGCGAGGCAATCCACAGCAACCATTGAGGTACAGATCGCAGATGCTCAGGATACTAGTACTATTCTTCCAACCGTAGATTTACTCCGATCCGTCTCACAAGAACAGTCTATCTGTCAATTTTTCAATATTTTGGCCTACGTCAGTGTGGGATATGTACTTGGATCATATTCCCCTTGAAACACAAACTTAGAATGGGGCCCAAGCCCTGCAATCTCCTGGACCCATCGGATCTTTCTGGAGCCGTCGATCGAGATTCTAGAAGCTCGGGCAAATGAGATCCCTGATTTTGAAACCACTAGTAGGTACTAGATTCATTTTTGATCATCCTCTCGAGGTCTTTTAGGGCACTGGGAATCGTTGTGCCATATAGTGCGATATAATAATCTCTGTGATTGATGTCTCTAGGTGTTTCTGACCTGGAAGGGTATCAGATCTTACTGCCTATGAATTCCACCTTATTGGGTAAATGAGAAAATAGTCCCCCTCGACAAGAATCTAAGGACATTTTTAGGATCCTCTACTTTAATAAGGTCCTGGTTAGTTCCGGGTGAGATCTAAGACATACACTGGGTCCTGAGGTCCCAGTGCGGGCCAAGTACCGAAGGATGCAGAGGCCGTCTGCAGGTCCCCTCATGGTCCTTCTGCCGAGTGTATCATCAAAGGCAGCCTCTATCCAATGGGGCTTGCTGGATGATCCGAGATGAAAGAGAGAGAGAGAGAGAAAAGTGATCTCCGGGGTATGGCCGAGTCCAGACCCCCCCCCAGATCACGTGTGTCACTCCTCGGCCGCGTTACTGGCAGGTTTGCCCTCCACCTCCACCTCCACCTTCACCTGGCCTTCTTCCATTTGCGCCTTTCAGCTGTCGTCGCTCATTCCAACCCGATTTGCAAGATTCTCTTGCTCAGATCCTTCTACGCATATTCCCATCCCAACGTCAATACACTTGGAACTTGTTCATCCCCCGAAGCTTCCCCGCTTTATCTCCGGCGCCTCCCATCGGGCCAACATCCCGGTCTTTCGCCCAATATCATCACAGGGGCCAAACTACGGATCCAGCTTGATACCGCGGCGTCGCAGTACCTTCGACGCGGCCGTCTCCCGCCATCGAAACTGAATCCATCGAAAATACCGCTTTGTCAGTTGATGTCTGCCCGACGCGCTCGAATTTAGCCGCGCCGCTCTCCAGCCGCCCGCCTAAGAACTTGAACCTGAGCCTGTCTACCCATCGAGCGCCTGGATCCCACACTTTCTTTGTCCAAAGCGATTTCCTTCAACTCGCCCGCTCTGGCGGTGCTATCGGTACACATTCACCTCATCTCATCCCATCGCATATCTCCCCCTAAAAATCACCCCCGCCGCCATGTCCCTCCACACCTCATACCATGCCGATTCCGATGCGGATGACGAGTATGAGCGGAGTGTAATCACTTCGCCGCATTTACAAACAGATTCGGAGGCTTCTCCCATCGATTCCGATATTCCTTCATCCGAACACACTCCTACCAAGTTTGGTTATTCCAGCGAGGGGCCGCGTACCCCACGGTCAATCATCTCGGACTGGACAGCTGACGAATGTGTGGAATTCCTGACCTCTCTCGGTCTACTGCAATACTGTGGATCCTTTCGAGGTGAGAACGTCTAATTTGCAACCGCTAGAGCTTGTACTGACGCGAGTTGCCTACAGAGAATGGCATTGTGGGCGAGGCCCTTATTGCGTTAAAGCACGATGAGCTGAAGGAAATGGGTATCAACAGTGTCGGCCACCGTCTGACAATCTTGAAGAGTGTCTATGAAATCAAAACCAGGCAACAAGTCCCCTTAGACGTAGATCACTACATCCCACTGTGTATGGACCCCTCCATTGTTGATCTCCCAAAACTGGCTAACCTAGTGACACAGCGGCGGACCAGAGCATGAGTGAAAATGCATCGCAGGAGGATATAGCCGCGCTCATAATGTCGATTCAACGCCGAGATGAAAAGCTTATGACTGTCGAGGCGGAGATGCGCCGACTCGCGGAGGATTATAGACGGCTCCGGGAGGAGATCTTACCTGTCATTAAAATGGCTAAAGATCGGTCGCAACCACTCCCTCCACCCTCAATGGCTGGGGTACCCGATTCCTGCCGCGACAGTACCACTCTCACATCTCCCTCGCAACTCACTCTCGTCGATAACCCCTCCTCCTCGTCCTCCACTTCGAAGATTGCCCGAGCTTTCTCCAAGCGCACCTACACGGGCGGAAATACTCCCAAGAATAATTCGCCAACCCATATTCCTCCTTCCATTTATGAAACACGCCCCTATGACGGGGGAAATCTGGATCCCTCTGCTGCAGCCATGGCTGCATCCTCGCATTTGACAGCATCGATGAATGGAAGTCAACAACACTCGCCCGGCGTCCCGTCACCAACCTCCCCGAGCCACACCCAGCATCAAACTCTAAATCCACGATCTTATTCTCAGCCTAGCACTTCTCGTGGACACGAGCATCCTGAAGATATACCAAGGGCGTCCTCTCGAGCAGATCGCCTAACCCCCAACCAGCAACCCACTCGTACCGAGACGCCCTCTTCTGCTTCTCGCATGGAGTCAAGAAGTAGCGGGGAACCCAGCAGTGTAGAAATATTCAAATCCTTCCGGGTATCATGGGAAGATCCGTGCTACAAGGTTCTTCCTGCCGCTTTGAAGAAATACAACATCCACTCCGACCCCAAACTCTACGCCCTTTACATTGTCTATGGTGACCAAGAAAGGTGCCTGGCACTGGACGAAAAACCATTGCTTCTTTTCAAACAACTTGAAAAGGAAGGACGAAAACCAATGTTTATGCTCCGCAAAATTCATCCGGACAATCCTTCCTATCCCATCCCTGGCTCGGCTCCCAATAGCGCTGGTTTTGACAGCGGAAGGCCGTCTGGAGTGGGGCAGATAAATTTACCTGGTGGTGTTCTTTGATGTTTCAAGCTCTTTTTGATGCACTTTGTGATGTGGATTGTGATACCCGGCATCTTCTGAAGAGGCCTTGTCTGCATCTTTGATCGCATTTGATTGGATCCACGCAACCTTTTTTTTCCTTGATCGGCGCCCATTGATACTGGCATTTCATCATCACTAGTAGCGTGGATGCATCAGGCGTTTCTTTTCTCTTGGCAGCGATGATATCCTGTCTACATTTCTTTTACCCACATCTTGCATAAGCATTCTTCATTTCTCTTTAGATACTTGTCCCATGGACTCAGTGAATGTCAATAATCGTATCTGACATGCCTTGTCAGTACAAACTCTACTTTTTTATAACTGACTCACGTAAAGCTTTTCGTTTGTATCGGCTAAGGTGAACGTGTAAGCATACTCCGAGCTTCGTCTTCTATGCACATTGATTCACGGCGTTGAAACATCCATTCCTCGCAAAGAGGACATTCATTTAAACTTGGCCTTTGACAATGTCAGCTGCCTTCTCCGCAACGGCATACACTGTTGCTTGAATATTGCCAGTTGGTTCAAGCGGGAAAACACTAGCATCCACCACTCTCAAGTTCTTAGTCCCATAGACCTTGAGTTTAGAATCAACTACTCCGCCCATTTCTTTTCGGCAGCATGGCACAAGATCCAGCTGGGTGGAAACAGGTGTACAGCCGCTCCTTGACTACCTCCTTAGCGTGGTCGAGATCGCTCAAGTCCCTGGTGTTTTCCGGCATACGCTTGCCCGGTTTGAGAAGTGCCGACAATGGCTCTGTCTCCACTATGCGCTCCACGTACTGCATTTGTCTCGCCATAATCTCGATGTCAAGTGGATGCGAGAGAAGGTTAGGGTCATATGCTGGCTTATCTTCGCTACTGTTGGAACGAATGTGAACTGATCCCCGTGAGAATGGATGGTTGTGGAGCATCATGATTGTGATGTAGTTCTCTGATAGGGTTTTGGTCAGGACATCAGTAAGAGTGGTCTTTCCTGGATTCATATGCAGTTGTGCTGGAAGGAACAGGTAGTGGGAGGATCCATTCTCAGTGGAAGAGAGCATCTTGCGAATATGAGAATACTGATCTCTCAGGTTTGCTGAAACTTTTCCATCGTCAAGGTGCTTTGAAAGCAAGAGTTCGATTTCCTTCTGCGGAATACTGCCGTTTCCATCGACAAAGGGAAGATATGCCATGCTGATAGGCATGCCTGCCAAGGGGCCTCCCCGGGTTTCTCCATAAAGCTTAATCAGTGACTGGACGACGTTCGGATCACGTAGAATATCGCCCGAAACCTGGCCATCAGCAATTTCAAAGTTGATGGCGGTGATGGCGTGGTCTTGGAGATTCTCGCCCACAGCCGGGTTGTCGATTACTACTGGGATGTCATGGCTTTTGAGAAGATCTGCGCCACCGATACCCGAGAGCTCGAGCAGTTGAGGTGAGTTCAGACTACCTCCACAGATAATCACTTCCTTCTTTGCCTTTATTTGGTAAGTTTCGTCACCCGTCTTGGCTTGAACCCCAGTTGCGGTGGCTTCTCCATTTTCCTGCGAAAGCAAAATACGCTCAACCATTGTTTCTGTCAACAATCGCAGATTTGGTCGCGCTGCGACCTCGGGAGAGTAGTATGCTGCTGCATACCCCCGAGTCCCCATCTTGGCATCAACACTCAATGGCGAAGCAAAAGCCCCTAGTTTACGGCCCTGGATGGGGTCGGCGTCTGTTTTCCAACCCAGATGCGCGAATGTCTCGTCCCATGCCTTGTTGAAGGGCCCAAAGACATCTGGGAGAGACACAGGCAAAGGCCCGTTGGAGCCTTGATTTTCGACTTTCATGTAGCGGGCTGTGCCAAGAAGCTCTGCCGTGGCCTCGCTAGGCGAGGTGTAGGAGTGGAATTTCTGGAGGTAGGGTTTCATATCCTCCGAGCCCCAACCTCCATTGCCCAATCCCTTCCAAGCCTCGAAGTTTGAGGCATTGGGGTACACGATGCATGAGAAGTTCATAGCGGAGGATCCACCGACGACACGCCCGCGAGGCTGTCCAATTTGTCGATTGTTTGCATTGACCTACACATCTTTCAGCATGGGGGGTGGCAGAAACAGATATGAATAATCATACCTGCGGAACGCTCATATAATCCCAATCGAAATCCGGGTTGCCATACAATGTTCCCAGAAAGCCAGGGGTGTCGATCCGAGGATCTCCCATGCGATTGGCACCAGCTTCGATGAGTAGTACGTTGGCAGAGGCATCCTCGCTCAGTCTGTTCGCGAGAACCAACCCGCCGATGCCTGCCCCGACAATAATATAATCATATTCGTTCTTTTCCATGTTGATTTTTATTTCAGTTCTTCCTGCTTCTTCCCGGTCTCGGATATTATCTGGAGGTCCGGAGGAAGAGGGGGATGAAACAGCTGTAATCATTTCGAAGAGACTACCCTAAGCCAGCTTTGGCAGGAGGGTCTTCTGCAGGATTCGACAAGTAGAAGAGGCTTCCCGGCAGAATGAATGTCTCACTTCGACACTTTCCAATCATTTCCAATTCTTTCAGCCTTCGTGGGTCGACTAAATCCTTCGGGCCGGCCTAACGGGCCGCCAACGGCCCACCACACTGTTGATCAATGGATATTATTTGCCCCTGGAAACTGTCACAGTTTTACAGTCGGTTGACAGCCGGGTTCTATATAAGCTTTTAGCAATCTGAAGAGAATCCTTCTTCTCCTCCACAGCTAGCTTAATTTCCCGACTCGCTAGCCGGGGAGATGGAACTATGCAGCTTTATGGCATCTTCACATACCCCATTGTCCGTGACCAGCTCATCGCTAACACTGTCCTCGTCGTTATCGCCACCCTTCTAGTGATACTCCGATTTATCTCCCGGCGCGTTCGGCAAAGCCAGATATGGTGGGATGATGGATTTTGTGTGGCTGGGATGCTACATACCTACGGCATGCTGGCCATGCAGTTCCATTATGCTCGCGCTGGAATGCGACATCATGTTACCGATCTCCCTCTCGACAATACTGTGACAATTGTGAAGATGCTCATTGTCTACCAAATTGTCTACTACAATGCCATGGTGCTGGCTAAGTTTACCTATCTTTTCTTCTATCTGCGAATCTTCGTCTCGAAGGAGTTTCGGATGCTTACATGGATCTGCATGGGTTGTGCAGCGGCATATTGGAGTGGAAGTATACTCCAGATCTTCTTGATCTGTAGACCCTTTGCCAAAAATTGGAACCCTCTCCTGCCCGGTCATTGTGCAAGTCAGAATGTGGCATTCTCGACAATCGGAGCGTTCAATCTTGTGACCGATATTATGATTATGTTGTTGCCGATTCGTTTCATTTGGAAATTGCAAATGTCCCTTGGGACCAAGATGGCGCTTTACGGAATTTTTGGGCTTGGCATATTGTATGCAGATTCTATCTCTCCGTTATTATTTCTGATATTTGATCTAATTGAACACTAGCATTTCTTCAATAACGATCATCCGCATTCACGTCCTCACAGCCGTCGACTTTCAAGATCTACCTTATTCGATGACTTGGGCTGCTTTCTGGAGCGTGACCGAGCCCGCATTAGCAATCTCAAACTCATGTGCGCCTATGCTCCGACCCATTCTCAAGGTTGTTTTTCCAAACCTGTTTGCCAGCGCTAAAGCGGAATATTCTACCCAACCCATATCTGGGCCTAAGTCAACTAAGAATCGGACGGCCGAGCGAATGGATGAAATGGACAGCGAGTTTCCTCTCACACAGGTCCAAGGGCGACTGGGATCTGGATATGAGGGCTCTTTCAATGATCAATTTCAAGATAGTCGCTCACAAGATAGACCATGTCAGACACCACTGAGTGTTGTGGGGGATCTCAAGGGACATTCACAGCATAGCGCCCTATGAGAATTTAATACAACGAAATTTCTTAATTCTGGACTCAAAGCCCTTCAAGCTTTTTTCTGTTTTTCTCTGAGGCTTCTATCAACTGTATTTTCACCTTTTATAGTATAAAATACGAACCTTCCCGCTTTAAAGCCATGTTATACTTCCAGCCGTCCAATGGGCGGCCGATGCTTATCTACACGTGACAGCGTGTTTTCGGACGCGTCGATAACCACAACCCCATAGGACCGTGGTCGAACTGCCCACCACGACTCCAAGATGAGCTGGGATCGAATCATTCAGGATTCCGATGAGGATGAGCCTTTCGTCGAAGATGAGGTCCCGACTTCAATCGCCCCAATTCAGGGCCAAGAGCCTCTACCACACCATGAGCCCCGCGACCGCCCCGCAGACCAACACACAACAAACCATGTTTCCGAGCAGGTATACGCGCCAGAGCACCAGCTGAGCGTCGATTTCGACCAATTCTTGCAGTCACAAGACATGCCTCATGCATCAATCACTGCTTCTCAGCAGAAACGGGAGGAAATGTGGATTCCTCCTACAGGCGACGGCGGGGAATCAATCGGTACGTTGATGCGCAGCTATGAACCCATAGCGATACGGCCTGAGCCATCTATCTTGGTGATCCAGTGTTTCATACTTACACTCATAGACACAGGGGCAATGATGACGGAAATTGGACTGGCGCAGCAAAGACTATTCGACGATGAAGGTTCCAATACAGGAAATCATCATCACTCCATGTCAACAACCTACCCGAGCGGAATCTCCGAGCCTGGTTCCTTTCCAATGCATTACGACCACCAGGGCCAAAATGGAAACCTCCCACCTACCCGTCCTCCCCCCGATATCCAAAACGAGGCGACACAACTCGTTGCGCCGCATACAACGAATGGCTATCAATACAGCACCCCGGCGGAGTCAGCGCATGTTGACTTACCGATCACAAATGTCGATGGAATGGGTACAACCGATGTCCCAGGACATTTGAACGAGATCAATTTCCACAAACCCGCCCAGCGATCTAAATCCATGCACACAGAGTGGAATTCCCCGCATGACACAGAACCCAACTCGTCCGTTCGTTCGCCGCAATTAAATCGATCAAAAAGTGACCATGGCCAAGCGGCATTGATATCACCAACTTCCCCGGTTAGTACAGTTGATGAGTTGTCTGCGCCGGCATTTGCGGTTCAAATCGCCGGTCCCGATATTGCATCTGCTGTGAAAAGGCGCGGTCGGCCTAAGAAGCAGCCAGTGCCACAATATGATGACGATGATGACGAGCTTGCTATGATCGTGGATTCGGGTTTTTCAAAAGCCAAACCTGAGAAGCGACGACCGGGGCGTTCTTCTAAATCGGAAAAGGCAACTCGACAAGCCGATGGAGCAAGCGCCCAAGAGGCCATAAATGGATCCGAAGCTGCTGAGGTGTCAGAGCAACCCGCGCAGCAAGCAAAGCCAGGGCCAAAGAAGAAGAAAATCAAGAGGAGTAAGACTGCTCCTGAGGCATTGCATAAGGCTGGTAAAGTGGATGATGATGATGTGATATGGGTGGAATCGAAGCCGTTAGAAATGGAAAATGCCAACGCCACGATGAACCATGTCAATGAAAATGCCGACGCATCAAAAGTCTCTGAGCAAATTCAATTTGAAATCCCTGTCGTTTCGAATGAATATGTTGAAGCACCAGCACCAGCGCCTAAGAAGCGCGGGCGCAAGCGGAAGAAGACAGATGAGCAGACAGATGCCCCGGCAGCTTCCAAGGACCCCCAGCTGGAGTCTAAAAACGAAGTTCCCACCCTACCCGAGACCACGGAACAACACGCACCCATCCCAGATCCTCCGAAGGGTGACGAAAAAGAAGACATCACGCTCGGCAAACAATCAGAGTCAGAGTCGACACCTCAGCCAGATAAACTCACCAAGCAGACTGCGGCTGGATCCCTTCCACAAACACCTCAAATTGCAAAGCCACGCAAGGTACATAGCCCGATTTCTTCCACCGGTAAGGTACCCTACCGTATTGGTCTGAGCAAAAGGGCGCGGATTGCCCCGTTGTTGAAGGTTGTTCGGAAATGAATGCGGAATCTCGATTTTTCTTTGTGATGGCGATTTCAAATGCTCTGGCGTGTTTATCATTATACCCCTTCTTCTATCGCGATTTTTTTTTCTTTTCTTCCTCGGGCTGCTATCTTCGAGACTTCTACCCCATGGTTTCTTAATCCTGCTGTATTCATGATAACATGTAGTTCTATGGACATGATGTTTGTCAACATAGTAGCTTATTCATGAGGTTATCTTTCCGCTATTCGCAAGATTCTTGTAGATCGCTGTTTCTCTCGGAGGTTCATATCTTCGACCTTTCTCTCCCTGGTAAAGCCCTTGTTCCCCAGAAATTCGCTCCCCGCGGTACGAAGACGGCGGAAAGGCCAGTGAGTTAAAGCATGCCAATTTTTGAGTACTGAGTTAACTAACATACTAGGGTGAGTCCAGGACTCCACTCATGGAGAGTAAGAGATTGCATAACTGTGAATATTGCGATAATTAATCAAGGATCAATCAAGTCGGACACTAGAGCCATTCTATCCTTGATTTTCCCAGTTCCCAGGTCCTTCAAAACCTTTGGGAAATCAGACAATCTGCCCAGCTCAACTTGCGGTTGTATAACTTTTTGACTGATTAGATCAAGCACCTCCACCAGGTCACGCTGCTGTCCACCATATGTGAAAATAATACTCAACCTTTTCCGGATACCTATTTTCATGTCTATCTCGTTTTTACGATCCAATGTACCCACGCATAAAATCTTGCCTCCGATGCGGACTACACCACCGGGTATATCAGTTAACGATCTATTTGTCGGAAGAGTGTGGTAGTGTATGACATTTCGAACTTACCAATATGCTGGGCGTCTTCAAACGTCTGGTGTTTGCCGACAATATCAAGTACTGTATCAATTTTTCCCTGTAGTCCCTTTTCCTGGACGAAAGATTGGATTGACTTTCCGACCGGCACAATATCGCCTGCTGGAATACCCAGAGATAAAGCCGCGTCTAGCTTTTCTTGACGCACATCCGAAACAATAACACGAGCTCCGATATGTCGTACAATCTGGAGCGCGTTGAAACCAAGACCCCCGAGCCCAAACAAAAATACGGTTTCCTTTTTTTTGACCTCTGCTCGACGTGTGATGCCATGATAAACCGTGGTCACGGCATCTGTGGCAACGGCAGCGACAGCAGGGGGTATACCTATGATAGTTAGAACTCCAACAACTTAACTCATATTTGGTAGTGAAAACATACCTTCAGGAAGTGGGATTGCAGCGCGAGCATTGACTACTGTATATTCTGCGTAGAATCCATCTTGGCCAATGCCGTGGTGCGTTCCTACCGAGCAGAGCTGAGATAAATCACGCGAGCACTCTGTGCAGCTTTCAAGCCCGCACCCAGGAACTGCCAATAGAGCCACCCTATCACCCTAAAAATGACAATATCTCGGTCAAATCGTACAAATTGGCTGAGGGTTACCGAGTTGGTAAATTGGTGGACTAACCAATTTGAAACTAGAATCTTTGACTCCTTCTCCAATCTCGATGATTTCTCCACATCCTTCATGGCCCTGGGTAAAGTGGCGGGTAAGCCTAGTGACGGTAGATCTAACCCGTGAGACCTTACCAAAATATACTTTTCGTTGAAATTTGGCCTATCTTCTATTTCCAGCAAAGGCTGGTCACTATGGCATACTATCAAAAGTTTGTAACTAGGTTAGCAATTGTTTCATTTCATTTCCAGTTTGTTCCAGGGTTCGAACCTCCAGATGCTAGTATTTTGATGAGAAATCCATCCTGTGGAGTAGCTGGGACTGGTAACTCCTCCCAAACCTGACAACTTCGTTAGCAGATTCATCATAGCAAGATTCGCCGATCAAGCCATAAACTTACTGGTTCACTTTTCCCCTTGTGCTTTCTCCAGGCATACATCGTAGAAGGTCGGAAATAGTCACCCATTTTGATGACAGGAATTTAAAAGGCCGTGGAAAATATTTCTCTTCTTTAGCGAAAATTTGATTGAGACTGATTGTTTTCTTTCGATGCGAGTTATAGCCTTTCACCAAGTAATATTTAGGATTACTATAACGAATACAATTGCTTTCAAACTTTTCTAGTTTCCTAGAAAGGAATGCCGATTTCTTCGGCTTCCCCGCACTTATTTCGGCTATACTGTTACACAGCCAAAATCAGGAACCGCGGCATGGACTAACTTGCTTTAGTGCTTTATTTAATTCTCGCAACTACTTCAATTAGTTATTTTTATTCATACTGATGGAAATGATTTCATTGTCAATATCGGGAGAAAGGAATGCTAGGGAAATGAGGCAGCTTTAAAACAATAACATGCATTCAAGATCGTCTATCAACCTAAGACTTCATCTGCAACTTCTACATAGAATGATAGGTCATTCCCCTCCGTCATCTCGTACTCAGTAAACCCGTTCCCCATGAACCTGAAAGGATTGATACTGTTGTACTCAATGTTAAAATCCTCCGGTCGAATATCACTGATCATCTGGTTGAACAAGATGGCACTTCCTCCAAACAAGGCTGTTACCCGGCCATCAACTCGATTGCGTTTGTACCAACTCTTGCAGCCACCTGTCCAGACCAGGGTCTTGTGGATCTCATCGCCGTATTTTCCAAACGCATCTTCAACTGACTTCTTTGGTACCACGTATTTAATGTCTTCGGTTGCAATTTTCTTGATCCACTTGACAAAATAGTCGCCTGTCCAATTGAGCGATTCCACTAGGGAACCATGGCCTCCAAGGCAATTTGGTCCCATCATGATAAAGTAGTTCGGGAAATCCGATGTTGCAACCGATAAATATGATTCTGGCTCATCAGCCCATTTGTCTGCTAAATTGCTTCCATTCTGGCCAACAATTGGATAATGGGGGCGATGAGAGACATCGAAGCCCGTTGCACAGATAACTAAGAGAGTCAGTATTTTTCAGGGTAATAATTGTGAGCATACTACGTACCAACATCGCACTCGAATATCTTTCCATCTGCAGTGTGCACTGCATTCTCCGTGATCTTTGTGATTGTGCTATTGCTCAGGTTGCAGTTTGGCTTTGCGAAAGCTTCCAGATATCCAGGTCCAGGTGTAACACGACGACATCCAACCTCCCATTTAGGGATAAGTTTTTCGCATAAAACAGGATCATGATTGAGCTTTTCTGCCATCTGTTGAGTACCAAACTTGACGGCCGCCTCATTATTCTCGCCCTTGATAAACTATGAATAATCCATGTCAGAAATATGCAATTTATAGTGTTTTCGAGACCAGCATACCAAGCGGAAAGCTTTGTTGGTTCGTGAAATGATGGCCTTCCGATACTGTTTGTGGGATTCTGGATCATTGAACTTCGATATCTCCTCTTCAGAATAAGCTGGGTTGGCGTCTTCGACATCTCTTCCTAAATGCTTTGATGGGGGTACTCGGTAATAGACCCAAGCAGGACTGCGCATGAAATTTACCACTTCAGTTCCTGGTAGTTTGGCCATCTGAGGTGTGATTTGGATACCGGAAGAGCCATTTCCGATAACTGCGATGCGTTTATGGGAATAGTCATAATTATGGTCCCAGTGTGCAGAATGTGTAATGTGACCCTTAAAGTCATGAAGACCTGGGATATCAGGCCATGAATGGTGGCTAATAGATTTGTTAGCATTATAGCTTTCAGATGCATAGATCAATGGGCCAATCAACCTACACAAGAACACCCTGCGCTGATATCAAAACATCACAGTAATCCTCCCGCTGCTCCCCATTATGCTCAACTGTCAAGTTCCATCTTCCAGTGTCTTCATCCCACGTGGCGCTAGTTACTTTCGTATTTAGCTGGATATCACGGTCGAGATTCCACTTTTCCACTGTACTCTTGATGTACTCTTCGATCTCCGCCCCACTGGAATAAAAACGACTCCAGTTAGGATTAGGATCGAATGGAAACGCGTAGATATGTGATGGGACATCACATTGAACACCCGGATAATTGTTAATCAGCCAGGTGCCACCGACATCACTTCGAGCCTCATAGATAGTGTGGTCGACGAATTCATGTAGCTCCGGAAACCGATGCTGAATCTTGTGCGCCATCAACAATCCCGAGAAGCCAGCTCCAATGGTTACTACGCGTAGCTTGCGAGCTTTGTAAGCGTATTCTGTGTTGAGCGGAATTGAAAAACCATTTTGCGAATCCGGGATGCTGTGACCGTTCGTATAGGGACTTGGTTTCTGTGTGCCTTTCACTCCATTCGTTCCGTTGGCTTTCTTCGAGGCTGGTTCACCCGGCACCTCGCCATCTGTTGGTGTGGCAATTGGTGGTGTCATTTTGGTCGAGAGTTTAGAATGAAGGATGTCCTGTCGCGGATTCAAGATGAAAATTCCTTTCTTGTCGTTTAAATTACTAGAATTTATAGATATATTCGGATCACCTTTCGGTAGTACGTTGCAAGCTTGTAGGATGCCAAATTCCCCGGCTTGGATATCCAGCCGTTTATTTCTCTCGGCGAATGAGTCCGAAGGCACATTGTCAACGAAGAATAGCCGAATCATATGATAATTTCAGAGTCCAATCATCTGCTAAACATCGGTAGATACCAGGAGGTGAGGTTCGGTTATAATACCGGCTTCTTACAATCGGTAATATACCAGGCCTGGCAAGGCAATGACGATCGGATATTTTGTCACAAGCTCAATTTCTGCAAAATAGCAATCTCATCATAGCCCTGTAAGGTAGGCAAAAACCTGTTGTCTAGAAAAAATATCAAAATTATTACGGATATTCTCAAATGAATGATTAGTGAACGCCTATCGAGTGAATTTTCTATTTCTATTGACTTCGGTCAGAATGCCGCGTTGGGGCTAACCAAGAACGATTTGGGAGAGTAGAAATTGCGGAGAAACTGGGGTTCCCCGCATCACTAACATCACAACAATTGTCCGTCGTAGCTTCGGCTTTCCTCTGTTTTTGGGGGGGAATTTGGTCTGTAGTCGGCTCACTGTCAAGATTCTGTCTCCTGCATTCTTCCATCCTAGTGTGGAGTTCACCAAGATAATGTCGGCTTCGCTATGGCTGCCATTCACTGGCCAACAGCCGAAGCGAAAACGCGCGGAACTAGCTTGCATTGCGTGCCACAGCAAGAAGGTAGGATTCAAACGGAACTCAAGTGAATATCTGGTGACCCTGGTAGATTCGGTGTGATCTCCAAACACGCGGTGGGCAGGGATATAGTGACTGCAGCAAGTGCGCGGCTACCGGGAAAGACTGCCGGTGAGGGCGTAGCCTCTTGCAGATGATATCTGCGCCATGCTACACTGCTGATGCATTGATTCTAGGACAAGGCCCTCTCGACGAGGTCGACCATCCAGCACCACTATTACGCGGCCTTTGACCCCACCGGATAGCAATGCCAGCGATCGGGTCAGACCTTCTCGTCCAAGGCAAAGCAAAACACCGAATGCAGCAGGGCAAGCCGACTCTGAATGTTTCTCGAATGAATTCGGTCTGCAGCATGGTAGCCCGGATGGGTTTCCTACGCTACATCAACATTCCATATCGAATGCGTTATCCAGGGGTGCTGACTTCGAAAGCTGGTCACCATCTATGAGTTACCTACCTGCCGGTCAACCGGCTCCAAAGGCAACCACCATATCAATCCCAAGTGTGGCCAGTGGTTCACCAGCAACACAACGAACTGAAGACCACTCTGAGCATAATGACAATTACCCAGTCGGGCATGTCTTTCTCCCGGAGCTCCAGATAAATGCACGAGATCAGGAACGGTTGCTCGCTGAGAAACTCCCAGTGGTTCCCAGTCTCCCAGAACCAGATCTGCAGCAAACATTTGCGGAGACCTATTTCGACTACTGCTATACCTGGTGTCCGGTTCTCGATCGAGATACCCTCTCTAATGAACTCGCAATGTCACCCTTGCTTGTAAATTCACTAGCCGTGGTCGGTAGCCACATCAAACCTCCTATGATCCCTCATGATGGGCCAGCCACTTACTATGATCGAGCTCGTAGTCGATTTTACGATGATGAAGAGCCGGATGTGATGACCTCGCTCAAAGCAATCTCTCTTTTCTACTGGTGGAGTCCCCGTCCGCCTACGATTCTCCACCGGCATTCTTCATGGTGGTGGACCTCTGTGGTTATCCGGCACTGTCAACAGCTTGGTGTGCACCGTGAACCCAAACCTGATCATCCGCTCCGACAGCAAATTGATTTAAGTCTTCGGCGACGGATATGGTGGACCGCATTTGCACGCGAACGTCTTACTGCTCTCTGTCAGAATAAGCCATGCGTTATCGATCCAGAAGACTGCACCCTCACAGAACCTACCTTGGGCGACTTCTCAAGTACGATGGACCACCCAAAGGCAGAAGTATTCATACATTGGGTGCGACTATGTGCTATAATAGGAAAGGTTGCGAAATATCAATCCAGAAGTTGTAATTCGGAATCTTTCGCATTCCCTACACATCTAGCCCGTGAACTTATTAGCTGGGTACAGTCCTTGCCACCACACATGCAACTTCCTATCGGTTCGGACCGTACTTCCACCTTCAACCGAGATGTTCATCAACTTCATCTTCCGTACCTTGCCGTGATAATCATCATCCACCTCAAGCGCTCGTCTTCCTCCCAGCCTCTTCCACAGGCATACCCACCTGCTATATTAGCAGCAACATGCATGGCTCGCATCATGCGAGACATTCTCTCCCGAGGTGGTACGAGATTTCTCATGGCTATCACAGGATGGTACTGCGGTACGGCTTTCATCGCCTTGCTCCAAGCTCTGCGTATTGATGGTCTGGCGAAAAGTGCAAACGAGGACCTAGACATCTTAACGCTGGCAGTAGATCAGCTAGGAGTGATGTGGCCCACGGCTGCTGTCTTTCATTCGGGGTTTGGTCGTCTACGACCGAGTGCACCAGCAACAGATTCGGATTCACAACGGGTACCTGGCCCAGAGCTCGGTATGGGTGACGGGACTGCATACATGGAAATTACAGGCGGCATTGACTGGACGACATATTTCCCATTCGCCACGCCTCATACCAGCGGAGTCGCTAGCAGGCTTTTGGTTCCACATACGGAGGAGTTATTCTTTGATGATGATATTTTTGCGGACGCAATGCTTCAATTTCAAGATCTATTCGAGCCTTGCGACACTCTCTCTGCAACGAACTTATTTATGTGAACAACGACTTATTGTTATGATATACGGTGCAGGATGCTTCATTGGTTCTGTTAGAGCACTGTTAACGGCCAGGTAATGTGCTTGAACACTGGTATCTGGGTTCGATAAATGCCATTAATTAGACTCCTTCACTCATACATACATTCAAGTTTAGATCTAACAGTACTAGTATTACGAGAGATGAAATGTGCCAATAGAGTTATTTTCAATGTTCACATTCAAACTAGATAATAAGACTAATCTCAGTGCATCACTTCATTATCAAATCCTCGTAGTTCCGCGTCGCCACATCCTCAGCGAGCTTCCTATACCCGGGAGCTGGGCCTTGGTATCTTGCGATAATCCGCTTTTGCTTATGTGCCAGGTTTTTATTGACTCCTGTCATCCATGAATCAACATCGTTAGCTAGCAATCCGACCGCACAGTTGTGTACATGCTCAGTCCAGTCCAACACACCCTGGTGAGTGGTCTCAGCGAAGGTAATGTGATGGTCGCGGCAATACTCAATGAAACGCGACACCCAACTGACAGCATACTCAACACTGCGCGGAATATTTCCAAACATTTGATGTGGGCCCATCACCATTGTCATATTTGGGAATCCTTCAACGAACAATCCTAGGAATGTTCGAGGCCCCTCGACCCAGCGATCCTTCAACTTGATTCCACCCACGCCCTGGAAATCGATTGCCGTAAACGAACCAGTCACAGCATCGAACCCGGTTGCGTAGATGATAATGTCAAATTCAAAATCTTCGTCTCGAGTGCGAATGCCTTTCTTTGAAATACATTCAATGGGATTGGACTTCACGTCAATCAATCTCACATTCGGTTGATTGTAAGCCTCGAAGTATCCAGATTCAAGGGGAACGCGCTTAGTTCCGAAACCATGGCATTTGGGAATTAGTGTTTCCGCTGTCCAAGGGTCCTTGACACGTTGTCTAATCTTATTCGCGACAAAATCGCTAAATAGGTCATTGGCCTCCTTGTTCGTATTAATGTTCCCAAAATTGCCCAGCCACTTTTCAAAGCCTCGCTTCTCATATAAATCGTCCCAGAATGTTTGCCTCTCTTCTGGGCTCACTTCGAGAGTGTTGCGGGTATCTGAGACATGCATAAAGCAGGAGTATGATTCTGCACATTTTCGAAAGATTTCAGGATACTGAGACCGGATCTCATCCATCTCCTCAGGACTGATAGGTGCATTGCGTAAAGGTAAACTCCAGTTTGGTGTCCGTTGGAACACGGTGAGATGACCGGCCGTCTTCACAATTTCTTGAGTTGCTTGAATACCAGTAGCTCCGGTTCCAATAATAGCAACACGTTTGTTCTCAAAGCTAACCGGAACGCTTGGCCAACGGGCTGTGTGGTATGCCTCCCCTTTATAATCATGAACGCCGGGGATATTAGGCATTGTATAGTTATTCAATATTCCAATACAAGTCACCAAAAAACGAGAAGTATATTGGCGGCCTTGCTCATCCTTGAGAAGCCATGCATTTGTCTCATCTTGGAAATATGCCGCTGTGATCCGCGTATCAAATTGCATGTCTCGACGCAAGTCGAGCTTTTTGCATACAAACTCGCAATAGCGTAGAGTTTCAGGTTGGGAGGCAAAATGCTCTGACCAGTTCCACTCGTCAAGGATCTCCTGAGAGAATGAGAAATTGTATGAGTAGCTTTCGGAGTCGAATCGTGCGCCTGGGTAGCGATTCCAGTACCAAGTTCCACCGACATCGCCACCCGCCTCGAGGATCTTTGTTCGAAGCCCAAGCTGATGCATGCGATGAAGAGAGTACATGCCAGAGAGACCAGCTCCAATGATGAGTACATCATAGTCGAGGTCCTTATTCAGCTCACTAAAGCTGGATTCCTCGATGCTGCCCATATTGGCAAGTAAAACAGTCAAGTGTAGTCTTTATGAAGTTATAAGGAGGAGCAACTTGTTGATATCGAGGTCTTAGCTTATCAAGCTGAGTATGACTTCGGAGTTCGTTTTATCAATATCTGGCCTCCCAACATTGTAGGCCACTGAGAAATGAACCGCCGGGCCGAGTGGAAGTACAAAGATCTGCGGGGTTGAAAGCTCTAGCTCCACATCCGGTATGCGCCTGTATGAAGCCGAGATTAAACGCCCAGTCGGCTCTGGTAATTTTTCTCAGGTATTGCTGTTGAAAACTATCACCTATCAATCTACTCGGTCTTTGTCGCTAGACTATCACCTTTTTGCCGGACTGGATGCCGGCCAGACACATCCCAGATACTTGTAACTGTTCATACTAAATAAATTATTTTATGCAGGGCATAAAATTGTAATCCGAATATACAAGTATTATTCCATGCTAGATAACTAACTATCAGATTACACCTTTGGACTTCCAGTAAACTTCGGCATCGCGTAGGAAAGCCCATTTGAGGTCTTTGGCCCATCCTTTCTCTTTCCAACGATTCAAACTCAATGGGAACTGATCGACAGAATCACGAACAGTGGCATCGTGAGCAATAATGACAAAAACGTTATCCAGACAATCCGCCTCTTGCAATTTTCCAATCGTCTCAATTATTTGAGGAATGTCATGACCGAATGTCGGAGTGAAGAGTGGGTCGTTCACGCCTCGACCCCGCGATCGCTGTAGTTCTTCCCATGCGTCGCCAGGACAGAACGTGGGATCTCCATGTGGATGACAGGGATGTGGTTGGATAGACTCAGGAACAGGCAAGTACTTTGAGGGTCGGAAGATGCCCCCATAGTGACAAACATCGCCGCCCAGGAGTACAAATGTATCAGGGTTGGCGGTTGTTCTGGCAAGCCCGCACAGATGGCCGATAGCATGGCCGGGGCTATCCAGGAGATAGAAAGAACCGTCGCCGAAATAGTCGAATGCTTTGAAGCGGCCAATTTTCAGACATTTTCCCCCTTCAAATGCTATCTCTCGCAGGTTTCGCCCTCTGGGATATGTTAAGCTGTGAAATTTGAAGGAAACCTGCCCAGGTGGATTCGGCAATTCTTACTCGAAAGCAGACTCGCCCAGCGGTGAATCTGGATTTTGAGGGGCACCAGGCAGCATCGCATCCTTAAACCCCGGTCCAACAATTAAGTCGGTTGAAGATGGAAACGAAGAAGGATCTCCGATATGGTCCCAGTGCCAATGACTATTTGAGCTGTCAGTATACCAGCAATCTCACACTCTCCATGAGTACTTGCCTCCAGATGACAGCTTCTATATCTTTCCCTTTGATTCCCTCTTCCTCCAAAATATCAATCACATTTTTCGTCACTTCAATTTTATATTTTGTCGTCGGGATGTACTCCTCAATTTTAGGAGCATAGTTTTGGTAATCCTTGCGGATGCCCAGATCAAAAACCAGTTTTCGACCTGACGAATGTTCCAAAAGGAATGAAAATGACGGATTGCTAGGATGTGCTTCCATCCCAGGAACCGGTGGTGCCATAAATCTATGTAGCTGTGCAGGTCCGAAATTTACTGTGTTGATGAGCTTCACTGTGATGGCATGCCCAGCGGGCACCGTGAACGTAGAAGTTTCGGCCATTTTGCAGTCCAGCTTGAGACTCTGCCAGAGAAATCCAACTATCAGAATTAAAAGTTAGAATCTCAAAATGTATAGAAATCTGTCCTAGTTTCCCGGTCAATTTCTTTGTCGCCTAATCTCCGATTCCCCGCCAACAGCCCCTCGCACGGGAAAAGGTTCACGCCATCAATACCGGCTGTCCGTTTAGTCTCTTGCCGGCATCGGCTTCACACGCCATTTTCCGGCTACTGTTTCTGGGTTTCGTTCACCTCGCAAATTCATTCGTTGGCCCAATAGCTATAGTCAGCTCATGAAGCTGCAATGGTCATATTCTCAGTCCCAATTCCCCACCCCCGGATTGACGCCATGAAATCCCGGGGTAAAAGTTTCCGGGGTAAGACTGAATCAACTCGGTACTCGTTGCTATGGCTGCAAAGTTCAAAGAGCCTTGGAAAAGCCGCATTTCACTCTTCATTCTATAAAATCATCTGAAGCGTCTCATTCCCGATGCCGACCCTCCTGTGGGCCCCCATCTCCGACTTGACCTTCCCCAACCTTAACCCGTCAATATTACAAGCGAGGCTTACGGGGCCACTAAAACAGCATGACTCGTTCCGACAAGCCGCAAGAAGGTTTCATCTCGGAAGAAACTAAGAGCTCAAGCTCTGATCTCCCTGAAGTCGAAAAATCCGCGACAATCGATACAGTTCACAACGATGAGGCTATCAAAGTCCTCGCAAATTACACCGGTGATGAAGTCTGGACGGACGAAGAAGAGAAGAAAGTCCTCCGTCGAATTGATTGGAAGTTAATGCCAATCCTATGCGTGACTTATGGCTTACAGTACTACGACAAAGCCATGTTCTCGCAAGCAGTAAGTCTTTCACAACACCGATTACTTCTCCCCTCGTTCTGACTCTTCATTTCAGGCACTCTTTGGCCTCCGAGAAGACCTGCAACTGGGAATTGGAAATCGCTACTCCTTCTCCGCTGCCATTTTGTACTTGGGTTTTATGGTTGGGGCATATCCTGCCATGACACTTGCCCAAAAATTCCCTATCGAGCGTGTTGCTTCGTGCATTATCACACTATGGGGGATATGCTTGATCTTAACTCCTGTTTGCTTCAATTACCAAACGCTATACGTTCAGCGATTTTTTCTCGGCATGTTGGAAGCCGGAGTCAGCCCAATGTTCATGCTCATCGTTGTAAGTATGATACCAGATATCTCACATTAACACAGTTCGAGAACTCACACAACACAGGGCGGCTGGTATAAAAAGAATGAACAGGCATTCCGCATGGGGTAAATATGCCCTTCACTTTCCCATTCACGATATGATAATCTAACCCACCATAGAATCTGGTACAGCTGCACCGGCTACGTCTCCGTCTTCTCCCCTCTGATTAACTACGGCCTGGGTCACATAACCGGTTCTCTCTCGCCATGGAAATACATGTATCTCGTTGCTGGGGCAGTAACTATTATTTGGGGAATAATCCTCGTTTTCCTCCTCCCATCCGATCCAATCCGAGCACGGGGGTTCAACGAGCGACAGCGCTACATTGCCGTCGCTAGACTCCGCATCAATAACTCCGGCGTGCGCAACACACATTATAAAAAGGGCCAGGTCTTCGAACTTCTGACCGATCTGAAATTCTGGCTCGTATTCTTCATCGCTTTCCTCGGCATGATTGCCAACGGTCCCATTTCTACTTTCACGCCCATCATCATCAATTCCTTCGGGTTTAACACGCTCAATTCTCTTCTCCTGGTCATCCCTGCAGGGTTTATTGGCGGAACATACCAACTGCTCGGACCCTATTTAGCTTATAAATTTTCTAATAATGGCGTGCGTGCGTGGATCGTTTTTGTCGCGCAGATGATTACCACCCTGGCAGCGATTTTACTTGTCGCCTTGCCGCTTAATGCCACGGGCGGACTGCTCTTCGCTTGTTACATTCTTCCTGCTATTGGGGGTGGCTACGCTGTTTTGATGGGATTGCAGATTGCTAATATTGCTGGATACACGAAGCGATCGATTGCTTCGTCGGGACTCTATATTGGCTATTGTCTTGGTATGGTTTTGATTCTGCATTGCCGCTGGGAAATTTAGTTATTGGATGCTAATTATGGTGCAGGTAATTTTACTGGACCACTTGTTTATCAGACGCAAGATGCGCCGCGATATGTGCCTGGCTTTATCACGGTGGTGGTAACTTCTTTCGCGGCTGGGATCCTCGTTCTGGTTTATCGGTTTGTGTGCGTCTGGGAAAACCGGAAGCGAGATCAGTCGGGGACGGCTGAAGGGTACGAAAATGCATATCAAGATGATTTGACTGATAAAACGGTGAGTAAATAGTACATACAGGAGAGTCATGTTCTTCTCATTCTCCTTTTCTATTATCCCAGGACTGTTTTGTGACGTTTCTTGTGTGCTCGGCTAATTTCTCCGCCAGAACCCCCAATTCAGGTACATTTTGTAGAGGTATGCGCACAGTAACCTTCAAGTTGGTTCTATAGCTTCTGATTCTACTTCAAGTTTACAATAAAGATATTCTTGCATAGATTTAGAGCCAATCCAATAGGTTCGGCTGTTCAGTGAAATTCCATTTAGACAAGTATATCACGTCGAAGTAAAACGTCCAGACCAAGAAGATATAAAATCCTCAGATCTAAAAAGGTCATGGGGAAGGAAATGGTATGTGAAAAGATCAAATCTCCAAGTTAATATCGCTAATGGTAGAAAATAGAAAAACTTTACTCCATCTCAAATGTGTGTAGAGCAGAAACTCCAATAGGACACAACACCAGTAACACAATCCAGTTGCTTCGAAAGAAAACGCCAATCAAATGCGAAGGGTGAGGAAGGTCATTACAATCATAGTACATCGCGGTCCGAGTCGCTGGTTACCACCATAGGATGTTTGTCCTTCTTGCGAGTCCGCAGTGAATCAATCATCTTTTGCACTTCGTGTTTGGCCGCCGCTGTAATGTCAGCTCGGGAGTCCACATCAAGGGACTCGGCGGTTCCGGCGCGTTCGTATAGCATGCGGGAGATGTTTCGGTTTATTTCGGTGTATTGGTCTTTAGAAATAGTCTTCGCTCGGTAGTGAGGCTTGAGAGAGGTGCCAACCATCTTTTGAATGTCGGACTTGACGGCCAGAGAGGGTCCAGCACGGGTGGGAGATGTATCCAGCGAGCGGGAGTTGGCAAGTTCCAAGGCCCGGCGAGGAATGCGTGCACGTGGGCGGCCGGACTCGCGCTCTGATTGTGGACTGCGGCTCTTGGTAGGAGAGGAGTGAGCGCTGCCGGAGAATGAAACCTCGGGAGAGAAAGGAGGAGACGAGGGTTCGGCAGGAGATGAGAGTTGGAGAGGGGAGATTGGACGGCTTCTAGGAAACGGCGGAGGCGTTGTTGAGGCAAGGCGAGGAGATGAGAACCTCGAAGAAGATGGAGAAATAGATGGAGAAGAGGGCCCGGGCGACCCATGATCAGGGGCAACGGAGGCAGCGGCTGACGGTCCATGGGAATTGGTGCGCTCGGGAGTTGATGCATCTTCCACCTCTTTCAAGAGGGAGGAGAGGAAGCTGGGTTCACTGGTCATCTCTCCATTTGCGCGCGCATTTGAACTCCCCGCTCGTGAGGACTCGCCATTCTGCTGAGCCATCGCAGCCAGTTCTTGAGGCCGTCGAGTGCGAGGTCGCTTTAGTTTCCGCTGTGGTTCGGTTGGTTCGGGTGATGGCGACATGGTCGGCTCCTTGCGCTTCCGAGAGGCGTTCGGGTTATTCTCGATCTCTCGAGCACGCTCAAATGCATTCCATGCTCGCATCTCCTCCAAGGACTCTGGCTCGGGTGTCGGTTCTCTGGGCACACGAGGTCGCGATGGGCGAGGTTGGATGTCGAGCAGAGGAGCAGCATCTTGAAAACGTCTACCCCCGCCTTGCTGTTCGGCAACCTCGAATCGACGCTGCCATGCACGAAACTCGCGCTGGTTGGCTTCATTTCGACGACGTTGCTGCATGACGCGCTGGGCCGATCGGTCATCGTCGAAAGGGAAATCCAAATCGAGATTTAAATGGTCCCAAACAGATTGCCAAACGCGAGCCCAGTGAAGGGAGTTCATCTGGCTGGTATTTTGCATTTGACGCTGTTGCCCACGGGTGCGGCGGGTTCCACGGCGAGCTGAGCGAACTGAGCGTGCGGTGGTTTCTGGGACAGGCCCAAGCGCACGTTGAGAGTCGCACTGGGTACAATACCATGATCCCGAGGGGATCTCCGTCAAGCCAACACAATATAGGTGGGAGGGTGCATCGCATCCATCACATAATAGGAGGACATCCTCATTATCAGATTCATTACAGATCGTACAAGGTTGGACGTCGGAAAGGTCGTCTTCAATATACTCGATAAGCATCGATGGGTCAACATCGGCCTGTTGAGTCCGATCTTGGACAGCGTACGACGATGTCACGGGACCTAAACAAGTCACGAAGAAGAAGAAGATTAGTCGATGAATCGATCACGATCTATAGGAGGGTGTACATACCGCCAACCCGGTCACTCAGTTCAACCATGTTGAAGTTCCGACGACATATCGGGCAACTGTTGGCCCGCTCGACCCATGGTTTCAAACAATTATTGTGTAATATATGGCCGCAAGGTAATAGCTGGGCGATGTCGCCAGGATCCTCATCGACGAGCCCATCCTTAACCTGGACAACGACATCGGCAGTGCCGACATCCTTGAAGGCGGTAACGGTAGCGGGAGTGTCAGGGCTTGGCACGGGCTCGAGGGGATCACTGGCGCTTTCGCCAAGGTCGCCTAAACAGACAATACAAGTGTCGGACATGGACAGGTATATAGCCAGAAGTAGGGCTGAGAGGCGGCATGAAGAGCGACGGAGGACAGTGTACAGAGGGAGAGAGTAAGAAGGTGGAGAAGTGCAGCCGGGCCTTTTGAGGACGGGCCCGCATTTCCAGTCTAACGCAAAACAGTCCAGCTAACGTGACAAGAGGCGAATCACCCGCCTGAACCTTACCGGTAGTGAACCCACCGGCGATTTTCCCCTTAGTGCAAGACTTGCTCCGTCGGATCTCCTCGTGAAGACCCGGATACTCCATGCAGTACGGAGTACCCTGAATTCAAAAATCCTGAAATCCTGAAAGCCTGAAAGCCTGAAAGCCTGAAATCCCTGGCCGATCGCCCGCGTCGGTGCCTGCACCCTTACTTGAACTGTAAAGCGGGGGCCCAGGTACTACGCAAGATCAGATGATATTGAGTGGAGGCTACAATGGCTAGTGACTTGAATGATATCCACTTCGTGATGATGAGGACCCGGGCGGCGTGATCTCAGTCAGGCGAGGATCCTAAGCCCCAGAAATAGAGACAAAGAGTACCTCCGGGTGAAGGTGAATGAATGGTGGTGAGATGAGCAGGAGAATGCCAGCCCAGGCGCCCTGCAGCCGAGTGGACCCATTAAACCCCTAGAGAATGGGCTGAAGCGTCAAAATACGTAGGCGAAGATCACTCGAATAAAAATAGCTGATCAAGACCAAATATCGAAATCATCATTTCGGAATGGTGGACGGAGTGTAAATCTCCGATAAACTAGGAGGGGCCAGTCCATAATTTCAAGGTACTTTACTTCTACGGTGTCTGTCCCATGCGATCACCAACCATGTGGGTTGTAGTTTTGAATGAAGATGCAACAGGAGATGATCGTGTTGCGTGGGACAGACACAAAGGGGGGTCTGCGGGATCGGGGAATCGAAATGAGGATTGTCCGCCATCTGGGGACAAGTTTATCGAGTTACGTAGTAGTTCAAAGGCAAAATCCTCAGATTCCGAAGTTTTTCATTTTTGGTATCGTAACCGTAGAAGAGAAAGGTAACCACATAATTCCATTTAAACCTCAGCAATCTCACGGAGACGACGGATGGTGGAGCGGGTAGCGGCGGCAGCGGGGGTGCTATAGCAGCATTGGTTAGTTTGGTTCTTTCTTCGAGAGACAATCACTGCGAAGGAACTCCTCGGTTCCCCTCTTGCTGTGTGTTGTATGGTGTATGCTGCCTCGAGGTGTGATGTCGACTTACGAAACGGTGTAGGCGCCACCGGCAACGGTCTTGTTGCAGCCCTTGCAGTCCCAGATGCCAACAGCCTTGCGCTTGACGGTGTTCTTTCCGCAGAAGGTGCAGACGTAGCGGGCGTGCTGGGTGACTTCCATCTTCTTCACCTGCTTACGCAGGGAAGCACCATATCTGTTGGGAGAAGGTGGTCAATATTCGAATCTTGGTGCCAGTCGTTCGTCCAGTCGCTTCTCGTTTCGAGTGATCATGTTCGTTCGAGGGCGAGGTCGAGAAAAGAGCGTTGAGCATACCTGGTACCGTATTTACCGGTGATACCGACCTCTGTAGAAAAAAGTTAGCGACGAGGGATTCAAGGGTTGTTGCTATTTCATTTCGAAGGGAAAACGATCGCGGAATGGCATGGAGGATTGATTTCTGAGGGATAATCAACATACTCTTGGTGCGCTTGGTCATCTTGGCTGTGTGCGGCTGATGGTTGAAGGGACTAAGTCAGTTCGTTCTGAGGCCGGTTGAAGAGTGGTTTTCGGTGGGCTCGCTTAGGGCTCTGGCTGGGTCTGTGGGTCACATGATGTGTTTATGTCACTGTGGAGCACGTGCTCTCGAGCCTGGATATTCAGGCCAAATAACGCTTAGTCATTGGTCTGAATAATGCCATTCGTCATACTTGTAGGTCCTGCCCTTGCCCTCCCCGTTCCTTGGACTTCGATAGAGTGCTGACGGCATAATAAGTATGGTCTTTTAATTCTAGATACTAGTACATGAATATCCCCAATTTAATCTACACTGACCCTTTCTACCCTTCACATGCTATGATCTCCCTCGGTTGATCGGTATCTCGCAAGCCTGGAGTTGACCTACATATGCCCAATATAATCCCGCCGGCGACACCCATCTCCCCGGTCACGTGGCGCTATCCTGCAGGCTCAGGGTGAAACTACATATCAATCTGGTTGTCTCCAACTCTTGTGTCACGCAGTATCTCAACAAAGCCTTAAATTCATCTTCAATTTGATTACTTCCACATTATCCTTTTTTCACACTCGCAATATTCGGCCCTACCCAGAGTACCGAGGCATCTCCTGTTCACAACTCAAGTGGGCCGTACACCAAAGCTTCACCTATCCAGCTCCTAGGCTTCCAGAAAATGACCAGCCCTCAGTATGATCTGGTCCTTTTGGGCCCCACTGGGTATACCGGTCGTTTCTGCGCCGACCATATCGTGCAAAACCACCCCACCAATTTGAAATGGGCGATCGCAGGCCGTTCAGCGTCGAAGATGGACCCCATCGCTAAAGAGCTCCAGGCGCTGGTCCCAGACCGAGTACAGCCAGGTATGAAGAGCTTCATTGTGATATTTTTTTATTGTCTCATTAGGGCCATTAACCTGACACGGTGTACAGATGTCCTCGAGGTCCAGCTAAACTCGGCCGAGCTAGATGAGCTGGCGAAGAAGACGAAGATCATCATCAACTGTGTTGGCCCTTACCACAAGTACTCCTCTCCCGTGGTGGAGGCTTGTGCTCTTAATGGCACACATTATCTGGATGTGTAAGTACTATCATTTTCCGCTAAACACGGTATCGTCTAATCTATCTAGCACCGGCGAGACTCCATGGATTAAGATCATGATTGACAAATATCATGAGACAGCAAAGAACAACGGCGCAATTGTGAGCCGCCAATCCCCTAAATGAGCCCTATCTTTTTGCTAACGCAAATTAGATCATCCACTCGGTGGGTGTCGAGAGTGCCCCCGCCGACATGCTCGCCTGGGCTCTGGTCAAGAAAGTCCGTGAGGACCTCTCTTGCAACACCCGCGAAATATACAGCTGTATTAAGGAACTGAAGTACGAATTTCACTCACTCCAACCCATCCTCCCTCTTTCTCTCTGCCTTCAAGTTCTTCTAACAACATGCCAGGTCCTCCGGTGCCAGCGGCGGTACCCTCAACACTATCATCAGTATCTTCGACTGGCTCCCAACCTCCAAGCTCCTCAAATTCGCCGGTCCTTTCTCACTAACAGCCGGCGCACCGCCCAAGGACATTCCCCGCGAAACGATTCTCCAAAAGCTGCTCGGTGCACGCTCAGTGCGCGACCTGGGCACACTGACCACCTCACCAAACGGCATGGCCGATATGGCGATCGTGTACCGCAGCAGCACACTCATGCCGGAATTCTACGGGAAGCGCTTCGCCTTCCACCAATTCCTCAATGTCCGCAACGTCTTCATCGGCGCACTTGTGCACGTTGGTATGATGGTCGGCCTATCACTGCTCCTTCTTCCACCTGTACGCTGGTTACTGCGAAAGTTCATCTTCGCCCCGGGCAATGGCCCAAGTATGCAGAATTCGCTGAATGATCGCATGGAATACCATGCCGTCGCGACGGCGGATCAGCAGGGTCCTTCACCTCAGCGTGTCTTTGGCAAACTTACCTACAAGGGTAGTATGTATGTGTACACTGGATTACTTGTTGCCGAGGCCGCCATGGTCATTCTTGAGAATGAAGAGAAGATCAAGAAGGTCTCGCGTGGCGGTATCGTTACGACTGCGGCGTTGGGCCAGGAGTTTGTTGACCGGCTGGATCAGGTGGGATGTCGTATTGAAACTCAGGTGTTGGAGTATTAGTTGATATATCCTTCCTTTACTGATTTAGTCTACCCTGTCGGCGGAATGGTTTGTTTCTGTCTTCGTTCGGCATCTCGTTCAATGTCCATGCTATGTATTTTAAGAACTACAATCACTATGAACCACCATCACTATTTCTGTGGGATAAAACTAGCCAGAGAATTCATTCACCCGATTCATTACCAAATGCTTGCAAAAATGGATCAATCCGACCGAGTCTCTCAAAGCTTCCCACTCCGCCCCTCGGCAAACACAACATTCTTCAACCACTCTTGAATGATAGCATTAACCTCCTCGGGCTTCTCCCACAGTGCCCAATGCGCAGTATCGACCTGTTTCAAGGACAAGTTCGGAATATGCTTTTTCATGGATTTTCCAAGATGAGCCGGGAGCGCCGGGTCTCGCAGGGCTTGGATGAAAAGCACAGGGACTTCAATACGGCGGTCAAGGATACTGAGCTCATCTTGGTGGTTTACCTTGCGGGTACGGTACCAGTTGACTAGATTCATTAGTTAGCTCACAGCCTAGACCGTGTCAATGAAGGAGGAAAGAAACATACGTGGTCCATGGACCCCATTCCGCGCAAACTCGCCCGCATAGAAATCCAGTTCCTGAACAGTCAGCTAAACCACTACGAGAAAATTTTAGAAGAAGCAGGATAAAAGACTCACCTCCTCACTCATTAATCTCGAAGGCTGCAGCTGCATAACCTTATCCAGCAATATTCCCTTCTCAGCTTCGAACCCGAACTCGCCCTTCTCAGTTCGTCCACCATAAAGCGCACTGAGAAATTGCTTAATCTCCGCCTTAGACTGGAAGACCTTCTCCAAATCGCCATTGGCAAATTGCAGCTGGTATGCGAAATGCGGTGCCACAGTGCGGACCATGTCTTCGAGCGAAATGTCCTTCTCCATAGGCCTGGCATATGGAACGCAGACGGTGAAGACATGGCTTATTAGATCTGGGTGCCACAGTGCGATGCGGTAGACTAGAGCCGCGCCCCTGGGTATAGTCAGTGGTCTGCGTATTTGATGCACATGAGACTTTGGTAGACCTTACCAATCATGACCACCCAGAATGATCTTAGATTCACCGAGATGAGAGGCCAGCGCTTTGATATCGTCTGCGCAACGCTTGTGAGAGTATTGCGCAAAGTCATTCGGCGCGTCCTGGTATAAATTATCAATTATACAGCACCATGGTCCATCACCTGAGCTACGGGGTGTGTGCGTACCGTACGGCCATAGCCCAGACAGTCCGGGGCTACGACCCTCAAGCCCGAATTCACGAGCATTGGAATCTGGTAGCGCCATCCCATCGAGATATCGGGGAAGCCATGGATCTGGAAATCGTAAGCTAGAACCCCTTGGGATTTCTTTGTCCTGTCCAATTTGGAGGATTTAGCGAAGTTTGGCTCACCAGAAAGATAGTTGCTCGGTATTTCCCAGATGGAGGTTGGCTGAGAAGGTAGCCTGCATGCAGTGTTAGTCCCAGGTGGTCAATAACCAACAGCCTCGTTCTCATATAATGAGTGGTCTGTGAAGGATTTTTGGAGGTTTTAGAGTGTTCTCCAGGGTTTCCACGACTCACTGTACTTGTGTCCGTTGACCGTGGCAGACTTGTACTCGATACGCGGGTCACCCGCAACGTGAATCTTGTCAACCGGCATTATACTAGCTCTTTGCTTTGTATTTCTTGACTGTAATAAATTGTCTCAAATCTGCCCAGGTGATATCTTCCTGATGAGCCTGAGGGTAACTTGAAGAAATCCCGCAATATATATCTGAATCCGATGTCACAGCGGGCGTTTGGTATCACGTGCAACCGGACGTTTCACTGAAAGCAGTCAAAAGTCCTGTCTGATGATGAGAAAACAATGAAACCTAGAAATCTTCGATAATAAATGGGGTTTCAACAGATTACAAACTTGAACACTAATGGGCAGACGTGTGGCCGAACGGCAGACCGAGAAGCCCCTCAGCGGTTCGATCTGCCTCGGCTGAAACTGCGGAGATCCCCAACTACAACTTGAACCAGAGTTCTGTAATACAAGTTAGCATCCCTCGCATAAACCAAATGCATGTTCATGAATATGTACTCGTAGTAGTACAGATATGTTGCTAGTAAATCACAGTGTCCTCATTATCCTCAACCACTTCTCCTCCGTCATCATCGGCTGCACGGTTGGCTTCAGCCACTTGTGCAGCAGTCTCTCTCATCCGGCGCATCGGATTTACTTGGATCGGAGTTTGAATGGGTAATTTGTGCGTCTACCATATTCTCCGGGGTTTCCTTTGTTATATCTTCGTGCTCTACGGGGGTAGGATCTTTCGCAATCGATTCAGCATTCTCCTGTTGCTCGGCATTCGATGGTTGTTGCTTTTGTTGTTGTTGCTCTTGTTGCTCCGCGGGCTGTTCATTCTGCAATTCCGGTTCGGGCTGGTAGACAAAGGCTTCAGGGGGATATCTTGCTTCGAAATCGGCGACCTCGCGAGAAACGGTCGCCTCAGCTTCCTTGATCTGGTCTGCGAGAGTAGTCTCATCGCGTGCTCGTAGTTGCCACGGCTTGTAGAACTATATGATTCACGAGTTAGCCACGGGGTACCAATCCAATTGCAAATGTTAGACTCCATACCAAAACTGGTTCTGCTCGAGTCTTCAAGAAATGCGCTGCGGCAATCATATTCGAATGTCGAGTTTGCATCTGTAATCCAGTCAGCCATCCCATTCAATGAATGCCGATCATCATCACCAACAACATCAAACATACAGCCTCGCGCTCGTAAAACGGCATCTCCTTCTTCCGAATTGCTTCTCGACGCTCTTTCCTCCGACTCTGACGACCGTCGAACTCCTCGGCCTGATTCTTCAGTTTGTCCTGCTGCCTCTTCTCAATATCCGCGCGCCGCTTCTGCGCTGCCGAGGTCGAGCTCTGAGAAAGCGTGCCCAATAGCCCACCAAAAAGCCGCTGTCCCCGCTTGCGCTCATCTTCCTTTCTCCCACGCTGCGCAGGTTTGCGTTCATCCGGGCGTTCGCGCTCTACCGGAGATGATTGCGAGGGTCGGCGCTGCGCATGCGGCGAGGCATCGCCGTCGGCACTCAGTCGGCGACGCTTGGGATCATGGTCTGTGATGGAGGAATTTCTTCGTTTCGTGCTTATATCTTGAGGCTGTTGGATGGCGTCTTGCTCGGGCAGTGCGACTGCCGAGGCGAGAGTCCTATAGAATGGAATAGAAGTAATTGTCAGCGTACATTTCCGGCGCAGTCAGAGCCGCAGTGGGAGTGGCAGGTGGCGATGCGTACCCGTCGGCCATATTGGTAAGCCGATGGTGCTAGATTATAGACAGAAAGAGATCAAGCCAGAGTGGCAATAGAAGGTGAAATTGATTGAATGCAATAGACCGAGTATTACGGCTGATGCTCTTTGCAGTGCCAGTGCCAACCTGAACTTGAACTTGGACTTGAACGGGGCTGTCTGGTCGGGGTACCAAAGCACGGACCACCAAGCTTCTTTTCGGTCACTTCGTTTTCCTCAACACAACCAACTTCCACTTCCACCTCCACCTACCTTTACCTTCCCCTCCCTCCTACATCATAATCTACAACTCTCCTCTCGCTCTCCTCACTCCCTCCGCACACCATGTCTCGCCATCACCCCGATCTCGTCATGTGCCGCAAGCAACCCGGTATCTCGATCGGTCGCCTTTGCGACAAGTGCGACGGTAAATGCCCCGTGTGTGACTCCTACGTGCGCCCAACAACTCTAGTCCGGATCTGCGATGAATGCGCCTTCGGCAATTACCAGAACAAGTGCGTCGTCTGCGGCGGTGAGGGAATTAGTGATGCCTTTTATTGCTTCGAGTGTACGCGTCTGGAAAAGGATCGCGACGGGTGTCCCAAGATTATAAATCTGGGAAGTTCGAGGACGGATTTATTCTACCAGAAGAAGAGTTTTCGGAATCAATGATCCTCGTGGTATCCTCCCCTCCTCCGTCTCTTTTCCTCGCTGGACTTGGTTTTGTTCATCTTCGCTTTTTTACATTCTCGGTTGGAGGGGAGCGGGTGCAGCTACGTGCGGACTACTTGCGGACGCCAGGAAGAACGAACAGGATCAAAATCAGAAGAAGCGAGAACACATTTATTCGCCATGCCAGCGGTCGCTATATAATCGTTTCATAATGTACTGGAGGCACCTCTCATCACTGTGATGAGGTGAGGTGATCTACCGGCCTGGGCGACGAGGACGAGCAAATCCCCGCGCAGCACCCACGTTTTGTGGCGGGTTGACCTCCTCCTGCAATCGATCGGCAGTGATCTCATCCGGACCTCCAGCCTCGATCTATATCATTCAGTCAGCATCAGCATCTATTCGAGGTCTCCAACCACCAGTCAGCAACCCTCTTACCTTCTTCTCGATCTTGAGACCTTCTCCCTCAGCAACCGCGATGGCATTTCTCCGCGAGCTAGCGTGCAACATCCGCTCCTTGATCGACGACCCGCTAGGGCAAGTATACACGAAGACCACGACGTCCGAGCCGGGATAGTGGTAGAAGGAGTACCGGGGCGAGGTGGAGGAGATGTGGGTGGCGACAGCACCCGCCTCGACGCCAGACTGGCTGTCAGCAAGAATGATCTTCTCGGTGGGAATGTCGATAGTCTACCGAATGAAAGTCAGCCTTAATCGAACCATATCAAGCAATAATTCCCCATTTTCGCATCCATGACCACTCGGAGTCTACCGGGCACAACGTCCCATGTAAAGTTGTTACCCCCCCCCCCAACAAAAGAAGGAATGTAGTAGTAGACATACCAGTTGCACAAGACCACCATCCTGCAATCCCTTCAAAGCCGCCGTAGCAGCCTCATCAACCGGCATAGAGACTCTCATGCCAGATCCCGAGCCCGCACCAAAGGTACCACCAATACCAATATCTCGCTGGGGCGTACCGTTGCGAGCCTCAGCCTCGGCTCTGCGAACAGCCTCCAGCTCCCGCTCCTTCTCACCCATGAGTTCCTCACGGCGGGCTGGGCTATTCTCGCTCTCGCGTTCACGCCAAGCCTCCGCCGTGACGATCTCCTCCTCCTCCGTTGCGAAGACGGTAGAGGCGAATTTCTCCGAGCCCAGCTCGCGGGTTAGGGTGGAGCGTGTCGAGGCGAAGAGCATCTTAGGGCGGACGGGAGCATTGGAGGGGATATAGGTGAGTGCGATGAGGGTTGTTGTGGTGGAGGTTGGACGACGGAGAAGGAGGTAGATTGGGGTTTTGGGTTGGAGGACCGAGGAGATTGCCGGTAGCGAGGAGAAAAAGCTGTCTGGGCTGGATGCGGTGCCATTGAATGGAATTGGGCTGAGTGGTGTTAGACTCTCGCCTGTGATGGTTACCGGGAGACAGAAGCTCGAGGTGTCGGCGTTGAAGGTTGTGAAGGCATCTTGGAGCTCCTTGGAGACTATTACGTGTCAGTAGGGGTATGTTTGGAAGGAAGATAGAGCTATGTAGGGAGCTGGTGTACCTGAGATTCCCGACTGCATGATGTCGGCTGGACCTCGCTGGGTGTTGGGTTGGGTGGTTGTTGATGGAGGGAGGGGAAGCGGTGAAATGCGGCGGGGGTGGAGTGCGGGTCGGTCAAAGTGACGAGTGACTTTCTCGTCAACACACATCACCCAGCAGACCAGGACCAGCCACATCTCGCAGCATGCCTCTGCCATGATCGGGGTGCTAGCAGATCAGAGATCTACTGAAGATGACTCACGATGACTGACACCCTTGACTACTCTACACGGAACACAGATCAATTTATACACTTTTTTTTTTCTCTCTATGATTTTGGCTATACCAGGACAGGTCCAACAATGTGGTATACAACAGAGACAATATGTACAAAAGCCGCTCCAATCGGCTAGCCTCTAAACGGCCTAGTCCTCGCAGCTAGATTCAAAGCTGCAAAAGACAACAGGAAAGGAAATGAAACGCCCATGCAGGAGGAATGGTATCACAATGCTTTCCCACACATTCTCAACAGCAACAAAGCACGCAAGTCGTCCCCGTTTACTCGTCAAACTTTCCACCCACAAACGCCCAGTTGGATGCCTCCAACTTGCCCTTGAGGAACTCATACACAGTGAACGTGACGGCTTGACCGGGAGCAACACGCATCACACGAGGGGTAATACCCTTGTAGAAGGCACGGGTACCTTCCTGCTTGAACATATCCTTGGCGATCACCATGATGCGAGAGACAGCCGACTGGCCAGGCTCGGCGCGGGTTCTTTGGAGACGGGTCTTGATGGTATCGATAGGGGCGTTGGAGAAGGGGCCAACGGCACCAGAGATCAGACCGATCAAAGTGGTCTGGTAGGCGGGCAGCTGGGAGTTGCTGTATTCAGGCTGCATGCGTTGCAGGGTGGCCTTGAGCTCGGTGTATGCGGTGAAGTTGGCGGCTTGGTTGGTTCCTTGTCGGAGCGCGGTCAGAGAGACACCACGGTACAGTGTGCTGAAGCCCTCCTCCTTGACGACGGTGAAAAGGGCGTGCGGGGCGCTGCGGTACTTGGGGGCGTCGAGCGGGTCGGCCAAACTGTGATGTTGCGCTTGCAGACGGATCTTGATGACTTCCATGGGGTTGACGACGGCGACAGCCTCGGTCACACCAGCACCAAGACCAGCTAAATATTGTTAGCGGAATGCCCATTTATTCAATGGGGCTGCTCTCCGATTTACTTACCAAGGAAAGTGGCCTTGCTGGTGACATTGCCATTCTCATCGGCCAACATGCCCTTGTACGACTCGTATGAGGTGAATCGGATGGCCATCTTGGGGATGATACCTCCCAGCACGGCACCCAGACCCTTGTACAGACCCATTGCGGTCTCCTTGCGCACAATATCGGCACCGGTGGTAATGAAGCCACGAGGCTTAGCCTATCGAGTCGGTCATGGTTAGCAACAATTGCTGAAACATGGTCACTCGATGGGACTTACTCCGGGGGCTGTCGCTCTCCGGGAGAGCTGCATTCGGACCTTGATGGTATCTTCATAGTGTTAGAGAAATATTGCGAATCTAGCTATCAATCTGGGCGATACATACCGAGCGGGTGGCAGACGAGAGCTTCCATCATACCGGCACCACCACCAGCTATATTCCACAAGTCAGTATTCAGGATCTCCTAGATCAAATCAAATCCGATCTGATCACAAAGGCGCAATTTACCGATGAGGTTTACCGCAGGCGAGGCCCGCTTTCTCCCATTGCCTTGTACGTTCTTGGCGGACATGATTTCGGTTGATATGGAGGAGTAGAGAAGGAAAGAAAATGCGCGGGAAGTGATTTATTGACGCGCGCAGATCGGAGGAGACTCTAATAGATCTGGGCCGAGTTCAATTGACTGGGTCGGGTGGCAGAAAGCTGTAGCCGAAATTCGATGGGGAAACCGAATTGCGGAGAGGGTCGGAAGTATACAATCCCGGGGTGAACAGCCGACGGTATGAGTCGAGGTCTCCGAGTAGAGCAGGGAGAAAAAAAGAAGGTAGGGGAAAAAAAGAAATAGGGCCAAAAGACTAGTGGGGGGGAGCAATTGAAGAACCCAGAAGAGCGAAGTTCCGAGGATAAAACTGTTCGGGTCAAGTGGCGGCTTGTAAACCTTGTGGGGAAAGTTGAAAGCAGCGATGACGGGGAAGCGGAGGCTGCTGGACGAGCGGAAGCTAGTAACTTGAGGAGGGGAATACCGAAGGTCGAACTAGAAGGAGAGGAGAAGAGGAGGAGAGGAGGAGAGGGGAGTGTCGGAATAGACTCGGCAGACTCTTTGATTATATACCTAGGTACTATAGTCAATAGCCATGCCATTGGCATTGCCATCACCATCTCTTCTAATAAGAATGACCGACATCCCGAGGCGTTCGGGAAGGCGGATGACTCGCCGCCCTCCCCAGATCTACTTTGCTTCACATGCTCTGCGTCATAGCTTGTGATCTTGCCTATAATAGACTACTACCAGTAGTACTAGTCTTAGTATATACTTTACTGCATCATACTCTAATTATTTTTCAGTTATTGTGGCGACTACCTGGAACAAATCTTGTCAATTACTGCTACTAGCAAATATTGCTCGCTATAGCTCTCTGCCGAAGCATCGGACTACACGGGCGGGCTGAACAAACGGGGAGGACTGAATTACTCCGGCTATTGATGAACCCCTAGGCCGTAATTCGCAATTAACATATCCGCAGCGGAAACCGCTGAAGCCCAGCTAGTTGGCTAGTTGGTGGGTTGACTGGTTACTCCGGGAGAAATCGGGCCAGCGCGTTTCCTCTCAGCCGAGGTTCACTTGGAGGTCATTTGACCTGCGATATACTACAGGTACAGATACAGGTACGGGTCTGGGGTACTAGAAAGACTAACCTGGTAGAGCAGAAACGGTAAAAGATAGCGATGGCTATTTTAGTAGTCATCATATTACCCTCTTCAATAGTATCTGTAGTTGTATAGCTGGGCAGGCTGTACTGTGTAGTTAGTGACGCGGTTGAATGTTTTACCCAGATTAACCCGATCCACCAACGACCCTCCCCCCCCAATCCAATGATGCGATTGATATTCTCCGGGGTACGGAGTACGAGTACACCTTGATAGACTACGACTAGATCTATCAAAATTTGGATTGCGCATGTGCCCAGATGTCAGACTGAACTTCACATGTCTTCCCCCGACGGTCGCAATCGGCTACCCGATTTCGGCGCTTTTGCAACGGATCAGATAACCTTTGAAGTGCAATGCCGAGTAAAACTAGAAAATAGAGTTGCCCCAGCGTCAATCCCATATGCTCGGGTCTAATCCGATCTCTCTGTTCTGGTCCGGGGAAGATGGGTTGGGGGATGGGGGATGGCTTTGGATACAATGCAAATCAAATCAAATCGATGCGATGGGATGCGGTTGAAGGAATCGCCGACAACTCCGTCGGAGGAATGCCGATCGCGCGATTGACAACACCGCCAATTCTCAAAATTTACGGCCGGCAGCGAAAGTCTTGATACGAGTACAGGCATACATTTCACACTGCCCTGAACTTCTATGTTATGTCCATGCCCTGAATCTACGATAGAATCATGGACGAATCCATGGCAGTCACAGCCACTCGCACTCCGCGTTGGCAAGCCGTCGGGAAACGAGTGGTGATGCTGCTTCTTCACCAGTGGTTGCTAATCGGAATGGGCGTCGCCTGCGTATTGGCCTACTTTTTCCCCAATGTCGCCAAACACGGTGGCATCATCAAGTCCGAATACTCAGTCATGTACGGTGTCATCGCCATCATCTTTCTCGTTAGTGGCTTGAGTATTCCCCGCCAGAAACTCTTCATGCAACTCTTGAATTGGCGGCTTCATCTTATCGTACAGATCATCTCGTTCCTATTTATCCCCGCTTTAGTCTTGGCTGTCGTTCACATCATTCTCGCCAGTGACCCTGGTGGCCGCATCGATCGTGCTGTGCTGGCTGGGTATATCTTCACCGCGTGTATTCCCACGACAATTGCCTCGAATGTGGTGATGACAAGGGCCGCCGGTGGTGATGATGCTGCGGCCCTTGTGGAGGTACTGCTGGCTAATATCTTGGGTCCATTTGTTACGGCTGCTTGGACAGTGACCCTTATTCCGAAAACCGCGGAGTTCGATGTTTGGAGGTTCGGAGGCGGGAGTTTGGGAAGCATGTACAAGGACGTCTTCCAGCAGCTCGGCCTGAGTGTTCTACTGCCTTTATTTGTTGGACAACTGGTGCGCTGGACCTGGCCGGATCAAACGAACTTCGTGATACAAAAGACCAAATTGCCCAAGCTGGCGAGCGCTTGTATGTTATTGTTGATCTGGTAAGTAATCAAAACGAAAAATGTGTGCAGTTTCTAGGTCCTAACTGGCCCCCCTAGGACTACATTCTCTTCATGTTTTGCTACAGGCGCTCTTCAGAGCCTCTCAGTACAAAGCGTGATATTCGTGGTCTTCTTCAATATTGGACTATACATTGCCCTCACTGCGGTATGCTTCTTTACCTCGCGGCCGCCGAAGTTACTCTCCTCGCTAGGCTGGTCCATTCCCATGCTCAACCCGATGACCCCAGAAGAGACGATCGCTGTATGCTTCTGCGGCCCTGCGAAGAGCACTGCACTTGGAATTCCACTCTTATACGCTATGTGGGCCCCCGTTGATCTATACACCAAAGCGAAGACATCCGTTCCAGTATTGCTATACACCACTGAGCAGATCTGCGTGGCCCACTTCTTTGTTCAACTCTTTCGACGGTGGCATGCTCGTATTTCAGAGAAAGAGGATATTGAACAGGGTCATCACAACGAGATTGAACCGCAGATGTCAGAGATACCAGTAGAAAGCCACGGTATCCTAGTTGGGAATGGGCGGGGAACTAACTGATACTCCATTTCTAACCCGCTATGATGAATGATGAACGATTTGAAGATTTTTGATTAGAAAAGAATGGATTTGTGACGTGTACATTGTTTACTTATGCCATGAAACACTTAATATGTATCATATTGTACTTCTTGGGTACATAATGAATATCCCATGAGGTCCCCGTAGAGGGCCCCGTAGAGGGCAATTGTTACCCGAACTTCTAGCCTCAACAAAACAATCGTATTCAATTTATATATAGCGACAGAGGCCATCTCTTGTGGATGGAATATCCCTCCGGTAATTATTTAAATCATACTCCGAACAGAGCTTTCGCCAGAATTTCTGGAATAGGTGTGGATTAGATCTGTCTTTAACGAATTCACACAAACGTATCCGAGATCCGATCTCTCCTCCACAGCGGAGTGTGGCGCGAAAAAAAAAAGGGGGATGCTTACGTCCTGTGGGTCTATTTACGAATACGGAGTATGCGCACGAGGGAAAAAACAGAATCAAAATATTTCGCTTGCCAAGAGCCCCCTAGTCGGTGGAGTCTCGGCGTTCCACCGCCAACCCCCATCATTCATTTTTCAGTGGCCGATGTGATAAATAATGTGATACTTGCAGAAGAGGGTTCCAGGATTTGAGGCTCGCGATCCCACTGGCTGTCTGCATGAGAAGAGACGGGATATTCTGGAGATAACTATCCGAACCATTGAATTCCCAACTCCGTCCTGATTTCGATTCTTAAGGCTTAGGCTTGAATTTCATGGTAGAGAACTGATATGGTCGCTGGCCGGAAGTTGCTCTCCTGAATGCGTGACGAGGCTGTGGGTATCTCGATTAAGCTTTGATATTCTTGAAATCGAACATGTGGAGTGTTCATCTCCCCGTGGGTGCCCTCTTGTTACTTTTTGGCTGTTTCGCTGCAGCCACCGAGGCTCACTGGCCATATGCTTCTTTCAATACTGGTCCCTGGCAACCTCCTCAGCTGCAGTTAAACAAAACGGCAGGCGTCGACCCAGGTCTCATCTTCATCCCCATTCGAAACGAGAACACGCTCGGCACTGCCGTGACCATCTACGACAACGATGGTGAAATGATCTACCAGGGGCCCGAAATGACCTCCATGGACTTTCGGGTGCAAACACTCTTCGGCGAGGATGTACTCACCTACTGGTCCGGTGAGGTTGGAATCGACGGTGGCTATGGTTATGGCAAGGTCCACATTCTAGACAAGACATACCGGGAGATTCACACTATCACGCTGACCGACAACTTCGTTACGGGCGACAATGAGACACGCGACTCATACATCGATGTGCACGAGCACTTTATCACCGACAGCAATACCATACTGGTCTCCGCCATCAACATCACCCAGTATGATCTGAGCTCCTTCGGACGTCCTTCTGACTCGTGGATTACCACCAACCTCTTCTACGAGATTGACATTGCCACCAACGAAGTTATCTTTAAATGGAATGCCCTCGACCACCAGGACAAAATTCCGCTATCCGAGTCTCGCCAATGGATGTACACACGCCCTATTCAAGCGATGTCCTGGGATCCGTACCACACGAACTCAATCACTCCTACCAAGGATGGATACATCGTCTCCATGCGCTTCTACTGCTCTGGATTTTACCTGAACAAGGATGGTACTGTCCGATGGCAGCTTTCGGTGAGTAATAGCCTCAGATAATTCTCACGACCTCTTGTCAATGACTGGTGAATCTAACAAATGGAAGGGCAATATCGGAGAAGGCGACTTCACAGGCGAAGACCTCCGCTTCTCATGGCAACACGACATTCGCATATACAACGAAACAGACGAGCACCTCGTCCTCAGTCTCTTCAACAACGCTAAAAAACAAAACATATCCGAGAGCGAGACAACAGCCATGGTCTTCGACATCGACCTAACCACCATGACCGGCTCACTGCTCTACAATCTATCGGATCCAACAAATGCAATTTATGCCGGGACCCAGGGAAACCTAGAAATCCTCGGCAAAGAAACAGCTACCTCAAATATGTTCGTCGGCTACGGATCTGTTCCGTATGTTAAAGAGTACAACAGTAAAGGCGAAGTCGTTCTATCAGGGAAATTCGGTGCGCTTGAACACGCCATGTCCTATCGCGCTTTCAAAAATAAATGGGAAGCCACACCCTTCTGGAATCCTGCTGCTGTGATTAAAGATGGGGTCATTTACATGAGTTGGAATGGCGCCACTGAATATGATAGCTGGGCCGTCTACTCCCTTCCGTCTCTGGTCTCGAATGCAACTCACCCCATGAGTACCCATCCACGTACTGGTTTCGAAACAAATATGAGCATTTCTGATACGGGTGCAAAATTTGTCAAGGTTGCTGCTCGCAAGGGTGAGACAATCTTGCGATTCAGTGATCCTGTCGAGGTCTGATATTGTAAAGATGGTCGATGGCTGGTCCTGATACGACGGGGTTTTCTCCCTTTTTCTAAGCGATTATTGGCGACTTTTGTGCATGCATATACTTCTTCTCTTGTGCGTGTATTTTGATGGCATAGCGAAATTATAGAGACTTAATTTACCTCATCTTTGGAATGTGTCAGTCACCTTGTTTGTGGGGAAGTGGGTCCAAGAAGCACATGCGTGGCCTACGAAGTATGTACAGTGTAACTAATAGATTAAAACTTATCTTTTTGACTGCTATCATTGTCAAAGCTCGATAGTACTAAGTCACCCCAGTACCAGCAAGATCGGCCGAGTTGAAAGAATAAGTCAAAATATTCATGGTTCTCTTTTTGAAATCAATCTGGCTGGTCAAGCCATTGAAAGTATATGGTATTTTGCTAATACAAGCCACAAAAGAATCACAATCGAACGAAATGTATATGCGAAGTTTCTTCCAAGAATAAGATGGGGAGTATCCAAACCAACATGAGGAAATATACAGGATCAATCACGAACTGTTCAAGACAACCATTCATCGCCCGCCAATATCTCAGATATAGCTCACCTTCACGCCCATCCCGACCGTGCCCTTGACTTTCTGCCACGCGCCGCCCGTAATCCTGCGGACTCGGTCGCGTACATCCTGTCGGCTCATCGCCATCAAGATACCCAGCACGAAAAGCAAGGTTCGCACTATTGACATCGGGTTCCCGGACACGCTCTGGATAATATGCTTAAACAGATTTCGAATGGCATTGGCCACCGCCCGCGACTGGCTACGGGGTTCAGGCTTGAGCTGTTTCTTGGAATTCTTCGAGCTGGAAGATGAAAGCGCCGTTCGGGTCGAGGACTTGCCATTCGGCGACTTGTCTAATGATTTGGACGGCCCCTTGCCCTTGGAGGAGCTGCGTGGGCTACCCTTCTCAATCCCGTAGTCAACCTCGCTAGTATTTCGCTTGTGGCCGTTCGCTTTCAGCTGTGCTGCGGCGGCGGCCTCCTCTGCTTGTCGGCGCTCGTCCTCTTGTTGCCTATCCAGCTCAGCATCCTTCTGGCGTTGTAATTCGGCTGCGCGCAGCTCGCCTCGTTCTTTCTCTTCCTTGAGTCCCTCTAATGTTTGGAGGAAGAGCTCTTTGCGCTCTTCGTCTAGGACTTCGCTCAGATTGATGAACTCGGTCGCGTATTCCCACTCTTCATTTCGAGGGAGAACATGCAAGGTGAACAACTCAATGATCCTTACCCGAGCAGCAAGGTCCTTCGGTGTATCGGCTCCGCTCGATGCGGCCATGCGCTGTTGCTGAAACCCGTTGGAGACATCTTCGAGACGGTCGGCGAGGTCGCTGGGCTGTCCGTATGAGGAGAGGTAGGTCTCGAGCCGTTGCTGGTTCAAAGCTTGAGAGGATGAGTGATTGAGGAGTAGTGTAGCACTAGTTGTGGTGGGTTAGCCGCGGTTCATTGTAAGTGGAGAGAAGAGGGGGCTGCTCACAGGTTGTAGACGACCTCCGCATCCACGGAGCCCTCGCGGCCCTGATAGCCAATTTGTACGACGGTATCCCAGATACCGCCTTCACGCACTTGCGTAGCCATATTCTTCCATTCTTTCTGACCGAATTGATTCTTGCCCTCCTCTGCGCCAAGATCGACTATTGCGCTGAGTAGGGTGATGTAGAGGTTCCACACCTTGATTCTCCACGTGCTGGGGGCAATTGCGATCGGGGCGACACCGGCCGCATAATCGCCATTGGTGTATTGTTCATCCTGTGGTGATTCACCGGTGATAATTGGCTGGAGTGAGGAGAGGGACTCTGGCAGGCGGCGCGTCAAGTACAGCTGGGAGGCTTTCTTGTAGGTCTTGGAGCATAGCTTCGTGGGGGATGTGGGGGAGGAGGAGGAGGAAGGAGAAGATAATTTGGTGGAAGACATTCCGTCAGCGATACGGAAATGGCATGGAAAATGGGGAGACAATGGGTGAGAGCGAGGCGGAGTTGAGCGAGAGAGAACGTGGAGGTCGGAAGTTGGGGCTGCGATCGGCTGTCGTTTTCCCTCGGCTCCCAAGTCCGGGGGTGCTCGTCGTCACGGGATCCTCGGCGCGGGCAACTAGGCGGTGACGGTGAGTACTACAAAGTTACAAAGTTACAAAGTATAGTACTCTCAAGTCTGTATACTACAGTACCTAGACTTCATTTACATCCTTTCAAACGGTCAAGGCTGTTGAAACTGTTCCTCAACATGCTGTTTTGCCATCCCTACCCCGTCTATCTATTTGAGTCTTTGCGGTATAAAACGAGACCTGTCTATTCATATACGAGCTCACTCCCTAAATCATAATTCCATCCATCTTCAGTGCGGTGAATGTACATTAACTGCCAGTGGCTAGTCTATAGCAGTATATCCTAAGGTGAATCCAATCTGAACAGCAGCCTGAGGGTATATTATTTTAAGTTACCATGGTCACCGCTCCATCTCTCCATTTCCCCCGCCTCTTGCCTGCATGTCAGTTATTGGCAGTCTTTGAAATGAACGACAAGTAGGATTCATTCATACTTCCAAGGCGTCATTGCACGGGTCCACTACGCTGAGATGTGTCGCAAAAATTGCCCCGAAAATACGACCGATCTGTTTCTGGTGGAGCGTGAGGAGCATCATGATATCGGATCCAGATGGCTAACTTCACGGAACCCAGAGCGGCGATGATCGGATTGAAAGTAGATAATTGAATTGATCTTTCTTGTTTATTATTGGTTTAATGGTCGGAGCTCCCAGATTTTCTTTTCTTTTAGGATTTTTAAATTTTTTATTCAATTTGCATGGATAGATAAATGAAATATGAGATGAGTGCCGAAGTGTCTGCGACAGCTATCTAACAGTACGCCTTAGTTTGAAGAAGGTACCGCTAGCGAAAAATAGCCGCTATTCATTCTGAGCACCACTGAATGGTCGACTGGCCGTGGGGAGAACAAGACGCAGTGACGATAAGGTATGGGTGCCTGGGAAGAAGAAGAAATGTTGTGGATGAGAAATCTCAATTTAAACTGCCAGCGGGCGGTCTGGGGCTGTGGGCAGTTTCAGGCCTACTTGGGTCTAGCGCCATCGCCAACGTGACTTTGGGAACTTTTCTCGGCTTGACAACAACTCGCATATCTCCAGCTATATCATTGAGACTGCAATCACATCATGTCGTCCGGTTCCAATGGCGCCCGGCGCATAACCTCGCTTCTGCGTGCGTATCCGCCATCTGCTTAAACCCAATTCGAACCCCCACTGACTCCCCCTAAATAGGACCCTCAAAACTCGACTCCGGCGTTTGCAGAAGCTGTCAAGAAACCCTTGGCCGCCGCAGCTATGCCTCTGCTGCCACTGCGACCGTTACTGAGAATACTACCGACACACCGGCTACTTCTACCGCTACTCCTCCCTTCCCTTACACCATCAATGCCGGCGTCGTCCTCTCGCGCCCACCCCAAGTCACCCGTGACCTCGAGCCCTTCGAGAAAGCTTTCCATTTCTATCAGAAGCGTTTGAATGAGCGCTTGGCCCTACCATTCACCAAATACTTCTACTTCAAGCGCGGAACCCCGGCGGACGAGGACTGGAAGAAGAAGATCCAGGAGCGTCGGACTCCTGCACGCGACATCGGCAAGTACAACGCGTACGACAGCGACTCGTGGAACGATGAACTCCTCCTCGGCGCCAAGGAGGCCGAGCCTGAGCACCAGGTCGAGATGCTCGTTCAGGATGCCGAATCCACAGCCAATGCCACCTCCCAAGATACCAGCAAGAAGGAAGAGATCCCGCGGCCGCATTCCCGAGTGACGGAGGCGGATAAGAAGGGTGATCACAAGAGCTTGAACCGTCTGCTTTCGCGGACTCTGTATCTGCTCGTTCAGTCGAAGGAGGGACACTGGAAGTTCCCCAGCATGCCCGTGGAGGCAGAAGAGACTCTTCGTCAGGTGAGACTAATCCCATTCAACATCCTCATTTTGATGAAATCCCATGATGCTAATATATTTCCCCCCTTTCAGGCTGCTGACCGTACCCTTTATCAAACCGCCGGTGCAAACATGAATACCTGGATGGTCGGCTTCCACCCCTCCGGCCACCACGTCTACAAGAACCGCAAGCCCCACGTCGACCAGGCCACCGGTGCCGAGAACCACGGCGAGAAGACCTTTTTCCTGAAGTCTCGTATCATGGCCGGCCAGGCCGATCTGTCCGCCAACAAGGACCTGAAGGATTTCAAGTGGTTGTCCAAGGAGGAGATTTCCAGCTACGTGCTGCCGCAATACTACAGCTACGTTAAGAACATGCTGGCCGACCGATAAACAATCCGAGGCGATAAGTCCTCCAATGTTGAAGGCCTGATAGGGCAGTGGGTGGATGTATTAGAAACTGAAAGAGGGAGAGACTGACCAGCCAGGACTGGCGATTATTTCCTGGGGCGCTATTGGCAGCGTTCTGCATATACTTTTACCACGTATGCCATGTATAACTAGATTTTTCCTTGTACTGTCAATTGAACTATTCCAATGAGTTGTCCAGAGTCCCAAAACGCCATGCCATGTCATCAAGCCCACCACCATGAATAAGCGAAGAAGATATTAGATACAAAAACAATAATCATGTAAGGTTAAACTTCTGCCCTTGCACAATCGGCTGCTCTTTCGCTGTTTTGCCTGTAAGATTCTTCCCGCACATTGGACACGCTATATCCGTCAGCAGGTGCATCTTTGATACTAGTAGGACAAGAGTGAATTGAAGGTAGGGAATAGTGGCGCCGACATACCATTCCTTTTATAAGCGCATTTCTGGCAGAACTTCTTCCCTTGCTCTGTCTTTGTCTTGCAAGATTCGCAAGATGAAGCATAGGCAGCGTATGGATTCTTCGCCTTAGCGCTGAGGAGTTTATTCTGCATTCATCAGCCAAATCCCACCAAGATCCCCAGAATAAACTCGGGAAAAATTGCATTCCAATACGCAATTTTGGAAAAGACGTTAACATACCTTCCCCACACCTGTCGCGCCTAGTGTCGACTTGCCCTTCGAGCCACTGCCCGAAGTAGTCGATGGCGAGCCATAATACATATCATTCTTGTTCTTGACACCGGGCGTGGCGAGTTCGGTGCTTTTCAGCTTCTTCTGACATTTCGAACAGACCATTTTCGTTGGGTGATGAGGGGCGGTACTTGCGGAGAATGGTTGTAATGATGGGATTGATAGTGGGTGGAGATGAGGTTATCTTCGGATGCGCCACCGCCTGACCGGCTGAAGCTGGGGGCAAGTTCAAAGTGTAGGCATGCTCAATTTTCTCGACAAAATAAATCATTCGAAAGGGACGAATTTATAAGCGACATGAAAATTGGATGCTAGAAAGACTAACTAACTATAGAATTAGAAGTCGAACTCTTACGAGTTCCAAGATTACCGAGAACTAATCTGCCAGTTTAACGACTATACAAGAAGCATTCTAGGAAACGACTTAAAATGACACTCCTAGGGTCACCCGGACAAAAGCCAATATTTCAACATGTCCACCAGAAGTTTCCAGAAGTTTTGAAGCACGATTATTCCCGTAATTGAGACACGTAACTCCATCGACATCAGACAGCCGGAACAAAGCATTGGACCTGATAATGCTACTATCAACCGTCGACTTCACTTTCAAGAAGTGGGTGTCGAGGAAGCCACACAGTAAGATGTACTTGGCGATATAGTGCAAGGATACCAATAATTTGGAGGCAAAGCGACCGTACTTGTCGGTGAAAAAGTTACAATGCTAGAGGCGCCATCCCGGGTGCCGTTCTTAGCCATCGATGGGTTCCAAAGAATGAATTCCTTGCGGCATTATTATTAGCTTCTAATATTTTCTGATGGTATCCAAGCTTGGGCAGCTTAAACTAACCTCTGGTGTAACTTCGTGGAAGTGGGCAATACCCCAGCAGTCTCGCTCAATTTCTTGGCCAGGAAACTCGTAATCTTTGTACCATGAGTACCTGTAGTGCGATAAGTAGGTATAATCGATTAAGAAACCAGTGCCACTTACTCCGCGCAGTCCTCCCTCGTGCCATCGGCGATTGGGATGATGGGTCTGTTGTTCGGATATATTTTACGAACGAAAGGAACGGATATCATGTCGATGTGTTTCCAGACGGTGGGTCCGTGATCGCGAGGATCGGTGAGAATGTCTCCAGTCTGAGCAATAGCTTCCTGGCTGGGGACGTTTCCAGCTTGGACAAGGGCAGCAAGAGCGAGAGGAATAAAGCTCCTCATCTTCAGGTATGAGTCTGCACTTTGCGAGACAGGCGCAAGTGCAAGGTAAAATTAAAAACTACCCTCCGATAGATACGACAAGAGAAAAATGAGGTTCAAAATTATTTCCACTAGCAAACGGAAATAGGTCCGACACGGTAGGGAATTTGATTTTTTCCCTTTGTTTGGCCCCAGTGGGGTATAATCACATAGTAGTAGCCCCTGCGATCGCCATCCAATCTGGACTAAGATTGAATAATGGACCAAGAAGACAAGACACACCACCATCCAGGTTCACCGGTCAGTGATAGTATCTCTACTAGAAGGATAGAGTTGCAAAATCATGTAGCCCCATAATGATACAATATAATGCTTTGTATAGGGGAAATTGGTCTAATCCTTTACAATTCTTCGCCCCCGCGGAACATACAGTAGGCTGCTCGTGTTCCATCTTTTAAAAGGATTGTTTTGCAACATCAGTGGCAAAAGAACGGATCGGCCATGCTAGCTGAACCCTGTGAAGCTGCTCAAAAGAGAATCCCACTGTATGTCATCAACTGGGAACATGTCGTCCAGATCGCCGTAGATAGACGGCCAGACTTGGGGGGTTATAGCAACCCCATCGGCATCAACTGCTTTCATGGAGGCATCAAGAGCTTGACTGGGCACATTTCCAACTATTTCCCTGACTTGATATGGATAACAACGTGCTAACAGACGCAGTTTAGAGCAAAGACTCCCCACAACATCAGTCTCTTTATCTGCAGCAGACATTCCCGGAACCCTTGTCTCCAGAACGATGGCAAGCTCCGTCACAAGATTAGAATAGTCTGCTGCTTCAACAACGGCCTGGACCTGGGTTTCCCTGTCAGTGTCATCGGAGCTGGTAATGAGTTTGAGTAGAGTCAATGCTGCTGTTGACAAGTAGCCCACTGCAGCACATATACGAGCGCAAGTGCTTATCACCATTTTACCAATCTCTGATGTCGGTATAGTTTTAATCGTGTCGATAAGCTCCTTGGTTTTCTGTACCATACCCATCAACATTGTTGTCCGGATTGTGCTGGCAGGCTCTAAAATCCACATTTCCTCCCGAAGAGATAATTCCTGTAGCCGTATTTCCGCATACATGATCTCAGTGCGTATTGCATTGACTACAATAGCCAGTCAGTCTCCATCAAACACATAGATCAAATACATACCTGTCTGTGACGGACAGCCTGCGAGATCATTCTCTACGCGTGTTCTCAAACTATCAAACTGCCGCTGTAGAGAGCTGCGCGTTACTTGGACGAGCGCCTTCCCACCGCTTGTCTGCATCGAAGCGTGAACTTCATCGATCACTGTCAAGAAGGACTGTATGTGAATAAGTGGCGGAATCCATGAATCCGACACATGCTCGGTAGATGTCAAACTTTGCATGCACTCATCGATTCGACTGTCATGCTTTATCATGACCGGCCGACCGAGTACGCCATAAAAACTGATGAATAATGAGCTGAGATCGCATCTACCAGCGTAGAGAGTCTTACCCAGCCGACAGCCAATATGTACCGAGCAGTGCCCGCTGCTCATCCAAATTTAAATCGGGCTTTTTGTGCAATCCCAAATCATACAACATAGAAACACAAATTTGAATCAAAAGCACCAACCGCGGGTGATATTTCTCTGCGGGGTATGAGTACCATGCGATGTGGACCAACAGACCGCGGAGTAACTCAAGGTTTCTCTCAGACCGTGTCATTATCCTCAACGTAACGTGTTTCATAATTTCGTCAGCAACAATTTTGCGCAGACGGTGGGGACTGCCCATGGTCGCAGACACGACACACAGGAAGAGAAAAGGCTCTCGATTTTTGAGCTGAGCGGCCGTTTCGCCATATCCAATCAAAACGAAAGGAAACTTGGGTACGAAATCAAGCCGGAACGTTGCAAGTAAGTGTTCAGCCTCAACTTCACTCAAAAGCCCTCGATCGACGATAGACGGCTGGCCCTCCATGGCAGAGCTGGTCGGCGGCTCGGAGCCGTGGGACGGTTCCGTAGCAGCATCTATCAGGTCGGCGATTTCTCTCGAGTCCAGCTTAGGATCATAGGACGAGCTTGGGTCGTTAGTGAGTGGAGTCAAAGTACTCGGCGGTGTCTGCCCATTTTGTTGGCTCAAGGCCACGAGTTGCGATGTCAGCTGGTCGACCTTGTTTTCTAGCACCTCGACACGGCTTTATCCATTATCAATACTGTAGATGGCGAGGCAATGTTTATTGGGAAGGATTACCTCGGTGTGGCCTTGCGCTTACGCTTCGTTTGTGGAAGGTCAAGGTATGTGCATGGCTTGCCCAAACGAGCGCACCGCTGGCACAAGTTTACGGCCTTCGGTGTACATTTAGCCTTGGCAGTTGTGCAAGCCACACATGCTCTCCTCTTGATTGCGAACATTGAGTCGGTCATTATATTTCAAAGCATTCCCTCAGTAGCCGGGGAGGTAACGGACCGGTCGATGCGGAGGACCCGTTTGCAAAGAAGGTTGCTGAGCAATACAGATGGACCGGGGCGAACGGATCGTCCGGTCGGGCCCACATTTGTAATCCCCCAAAGTATATAAAAAAGGAAGTAAATGTCGAACAAATATCCCAATAGCATCGACAACAGCTCAATTCACTCTTCATTGATACTTTCCTTTCGAACTTCAATAGTTAGTAAGAATGTCTTCTTATCTCATCACCGGAGCCTCTAAGGGCATCGGCTTCGAGTTTGTACGCCAACTCGCCACCGATACGACCAACACGGTCCTGGCGGTTGTGCGAAGCCTCGATTCACCCAACATATCCAAGTTCGCCTCCAGTCACTCTAATGTGCACCTTATCAAAGGCGATGTGATGGACCCAAAGTCCCTTCTCGAGGCCGCCTCAGCCGCTGCCGCCATCACAGGCGGAAAACTTGATGTGCTTATCCACAACTCTAACGCAGTCGATATGGCCACTATGTCCTACACCCCGAGTCAGATTCCCTTTGATATTCAAGCTACTCGGGATATGTTTGAACCTTCCCTTAATACTGCGATTTATGGTGGTCTCTGGACGACAAATGCCTTCCTGCCCTTGATTGAAAAGGGCGTGCAGAAGAAGATCGTGCATATATCTAGCGGCATGGCAGATTTGGATCTCATCAAAAAAAGTGGCCTTAGCTATGCTGTCGCATACTCTGTCTCAAAGGCCGGAATGAACGTCCAAGTTGCCAAATATGCAACAGAACTTGCACCCAAAAACATCAAGGTGTTGGCCTTAAGCCCTGGATGGGTTGATACGTGGGAGGGTAAGTGACCTGCCTTGTCTTGCTTCAATAATGATAGACACTAATATCGTCACAGGAGAGATGCCTGCAGAGGTAGCACAGGCAAACCAGTTTATGCTGGAGCAGTTCCGGGCTGTAGATCCTTCAATCCAGGGCCAGATTCGGCCTGAGGAAAGTGTTAGAAAGAGCCTCAAGGTTATTGAAGATCTGGATTCTGAGAGAAGTGGTTCTTTTATGAGCCATAATGGAAATACCGTGAACTGGTTTTAATTACTCTGGGTATCGAATGGGCATTCCATGATCGGCTAAGTGTTGAGTGGCGGTACCAGACCTGTATATGCAGCAACCGGCCTTTTCTGTGATACTAGTACTACTGATATCCATGGATGTCACGAAATTTAAGTTGAGCTTCTGTTAACATGGACTTCAATTGGTATCAAAGCGATGGCAAGGGATAGTATATTATTATCTACGCAATCCTCTTCGAGGCAATACCATCTCTTCTCAGTTATACCATCTGTTTTCTTACTCTTTACTTCACTACTAAAGTTACCGAACGAGGTACGTAACTTCTCAGAGCTCAGCAATAACAGTCTTTGCCTTGCGTAGAAACCAATCGAGGAGAGAGCTGCACATTAGAGCTCCGCTCCGCAAGTAAATCTTTATCCACCATTTGGTCGGTCTACTGCCTTGTTGATTTATTGGATAATAGTAGATAGTCATTTGATCAAGTACATTAATATTTTTTGTTTATTGTCATATTTAGCGTTTAACATAAAATGGGTATTTCTTGCGCGACATTCGACAAAGGACAAAAGGGCAATCGTAGTCACGAAAGCAAATAGTAGCAGCTGGAAGGCAAAGCACCAGTCATTCACGGCATAGCGGTATTAATTAAGAGACACAAACAATGCAAGATATGCATTCAGTAATCTCGAGTCTGTCAAAGCTTCAGCCATTAGGACATTCACTTTTGTAGCGGTCAAGGTTGCTGTTGATACGGCTGCGCAGGCACGGGTTGCTGGTATTGCTGCTGGTATTGAGGCTGTGGCTGACCAGGATATGGCTGGAATTGCTGCTGGTATCCGGGGTGTTGCTGATAGGGTCCATTGCCGTAGGGATACTGCACTGTAACAGCTTGTGGCTTGCCCATCGAGTCATCAATATGGCGCCACTTCTGGCAGCATAGCAAGATTCCGACAAGTGTACCGACGCCAAAGAGAAATTGCAAAATCGCCAGCGCGGCCTGCAAGTAGTCAGGGACGACATAAACAATCTCAATATAGTAGCGGATGTAAACGACGGCATTTGTCAGAGTCAACGCGAACCAGCAGATGCTTCCGCCGAGGAGGGCATAGACAGGAACCTGTGATGGTGTGAGTTTCTTTCAATTCCATATACCAGACACAGGTCAGGGGAATCCATTCTATAACTTACTCGTGAGGTGAACCTATGGGAACCAGCTTTGATCGCCGCGAAGAGTATCCAGGCAAAGATCTCCAGCGAGACCACGAAGAAAAGAATGGCTCGTGCGCCATCCACCTTGTTCAAATCCAACGAAAATTCGGTCAAATCGCCGTAAGGTCCTTGAACATATCTGACCCTTACTACCACGTACATGGCCCAAGATGTTAATGAAATGACCGCTAAAATGCCGAGAATTATCCAGTGAACGATTGCGATAGCCGCGTAGGGTTTCCCGGAGTCTGTGAGGCTGTTAAGTAGACGGTGAATCAGGTTGTAGAAGACAAAGACAACCATCACGATAGCCAAATAGGAGAAAAAAACTTGAAGCATCAGATCAATATTGTAGTATTGAGTAATGACAGCCTCGGCAAGGAAAAAGATCTGGTAAACTATTGAAGTAATTTGGGCGCTAGATTTGACTGTCAGTTGTTATTTGGTTCCCCGATGTATACAAGATCATTTTCATACCATAACCATGCGACAAGAGCCACCACCACACCTTTCATCTGGCCATTGTGGCCTCGAATCAAACACGACCAGATCAGGAACCCAATGAGTGCGAGAGCTAAAAGGATATCGAAAGCAAAGCCTGTAATGAAGAGACTCTTTGAAGAGTATATATCCAGTGAAAAACCAGTCTCCGTGGCCCAGACACTAGAAGAACCTCCCCAGGAAGAGCTAGAACTTCCTCCACCACGTCGTGGTGCCATTGTGTGTTGGTGCTAATGCGAGATCGCGGTGGGTCTCGGTTTGTTGTAGAAGTACAAAGCTTGGCTGCACTGAAACTGAACCCGTTTCGCAGTATACAGGCACTATAAGGGACTTCGATATGCCTAGGTGGTATAAATTCGCGTACAGAAAAGAGAAAAGGCTTTCTCGATCCTGTGTTTGAGTCCTCGCTCCTTTTAAACGGAACGCAGGGCTTAATCGAGCGGCTCTTGGACCTTGAATACGAGGCTGAGCCGAGACCCTTGGGCTGCTATTGGACAGGAAGATTTAGGACAGAGAAAAGGCGCTAACAATACGAACACAGTGCCTTGGCTTTTGACTTTTCAGCGTGCAATTCATGATTCTCGATTGCCCGATTTCTTTGGTCATGTTCTTGGCGTGTTGTGATGCGTTACGGTGATCGTGTTGATCCCTTAAGCCGGCCCCTTTTCCAGCATTTGGCCCCCAGATTTGCCAGATTTCCCATTTTTTGGTTTACTTTTAGGCCACCGACTTTCGACGAGTTTAGAGTCTGAGGTCTAGTGTCTTCACGTGTGTGATAGAGTGATTGAAACGGCAGACGCATTAGGGGGGGAGGGGGGGGGGATCCAACACGAGTTAATCCATTTAAGCTGGTAGAGTCGTCCCCTGGAGATGTTGTGGCTTGACGCCAACTCATCATGGACGGGATAAAGGTTCTACGAGGCAGGTCAGCAGTTAAATAGAAATGAAGCAGAACAGGACTGGTGGATGGACTCGACAAAGATCTGGCCTAGAGCTGGCTGACTGACTCCGAGTCCTGTCGAGGGAAGATCAAGGGTTTTATGGCCGGTCATCAGCTCCTCTCACCCTGATCTGACCACCCTCGGCAGTTCCCACTAGCTTGTTCTTTTTGTGTCAAACACGTCACCCACAGCTTATCCAGTTCACTCCAGCTCCAGCTCCAGCTCAGTGATGCTTCTTTCTGCCACCTCCACCGTTTCTCCACCTCGGCCTCCCCGAGAACACCTCAGCAAGTCTCGTGCTTGCAGCAGATTACCTTCTTCAGCCGAGTGCAGCCCTCTGGTGGAGAGCAGGGTTGTGGCTGAGTCGCACCACCGCCACGCAGCTTGAAACCCCATCGCTTCTTCATAACCTGCTGTCAGGGAATATCCTGGAGCACAATCTCAGCTGTGCCTGCACGGGCGGCTTTAGAGCCACGCGCCATGCATCGACCCGACCGATCGTCCTGGAACAGATCCAAAAGGCCCTTCGCCGTCGTGGCGACAATTCACAACCGTCGCACGGGCGTCCAGCACGAGGATAATCCACCGAGTTGAAGCCATATTCAGCTGCGCTTGCGCGTGGATCTCGATGCCCTGTTCTCTATGGATCGCTGAGCTTTTTTGACCCCGTACTCCGTACTCCTCTCTCGGTTCCTTCTTTGTCCTCCTCCACTTACTCCCAAGCGTAGCTTTTGACGCAGTTCGGGGCCCGCATGGTCCCCCGGCCTGTCACAACGTGATTGATTCCCTGGGATGCATGGGGACCCGCCACTTGCGAACTGGTCCGCCGAAGCGAATCAAGGAAGCGCTGGAGGCGAGACCTCAGGGTTTCGACCCGACTTTCTTTGCGATTGTAGATTCCGGCAACGTGGTTCTTCCCAGGTGACTGGTACGTCTTTTCGGGTTTATGGAATCATCTAGCGGGCATGAACGGTTCGCCACAAGTCACGATCCCCTGAAAGATAGTTCCAGGGGGGGAGGGGAACGTCCTAAAATCCATTTGATCATATAAATAGAGTACTAGTCACGATGCAATGAATGATCCCCTTTTCTTCCTTTTTCCTAGAGTTCATTTTACACCATCTGCATATAACGCGCAAGTCGGTGTTTCATTCGGGCATTTTCAGGTTCCTTCATTGTTTTTTTTTTCCTTTCTTTCTTGGCTCGTCTGAATTTCTTTTGGTGTCGTGTTCCCTCGATACTTCGAAAGACCGCATTCGGCACTCCGCGCCATCCGCTCTCTCCTCCACTGCACCACAACCCCAAAAAATTCTTCATGATTGTTATCTTTCTGATTTTAATATCTTCTGTCTAATTGCAAACTCACTCTGCAATACTCGGGCAGCTGCTTAAACTTTCCCGTCTAATGCGCTGACGCCTCCCACCCCCTTGTGGTTCGACCGGCGTGCCCGACGATCTGATGATCTGCAGGGAATCGGAGCTCAATTTCGGAGTACGATACATACCTCACCCAGATTGGATCTCATTCTTCAACATAGCACCTCGTGGCTGATCCACCACTCTTTTGGATCAAACCTGAACCCTGTCTTTCCCATTCCATTCCATCTCATCCCCAAGAGATCAGAAAAAGAAATAGGAGAGAAATTAAGAAAAACCAGCCTGTGTCTCAGGAGGGCACGGTAACAAGCTAGAACTAGCACCAAGATGCCACCAAATGGCTCCTCGTTCACGGCGCTAAACCTACCTCCGACATTCGACCTCCCCCCAATGCATGGAATACTTCAGTCTAACGGCCGGCCCAAACACCGATTTATGGCGGAAACCGCCCAACGGCGATACTTCGACCGCGCCCATCGTCTTCACCTCACTCCGCCACCCATTCGTCATCGCCGAAGTAACCGTGAGCGCTGACTGGGAAATGGAATGGGATCAGGGCGGCCTGGTTATTTTCGCCGGCGCAGCTCCGCAGTCCGACACAGCCGCTCTATCCCGCCGAACAGGTGGGCCCAACCCGCCCTGTAAATGGGTGAAAGCAGGCATGGAATTCTCGTCCGGCAACGTGAATGCCTCCAGCGTGAGTGCAACGGCCGATGGCGCAGACTGGTGTTTATCTCCGCTCGTTCAGACAGTGCCCGGTCCCGCGGTCCAGTCTATACGCATTAAGCTCGAGCGCATCGGCCACGCCTTGTGGATTTGGTACCAGGTTCCATCGGCGTCACCGTATGCCCTCACGCCCGGAGCGGTGGGAAGTACGTGGAAGAAGTTGCGCGAAGTTACCTGGTTTTTCTACGGGGTGGAGGATAAGTTCGTGCATGTGGGTGTTTATGCGAGTCGGCCAACGAGTCTCGGTCGTGGACAGACCATGTGGGATGCTATGCATGGGGTTCCATTGGAAGGGGCATCGGCGACTGGTTCGTCCGATGGGTTGGTGGTGGAATTTGAAGATCTGGAAATCATCTAGGCGTGTTTTTTTTCACGGACTCTCTCTATTCTTCTTCCTTTGGTCTGCAATTCTCTGGGTTTGCTTTTTCTTCTTTTCTTCGTGGTCGGGGTTCTTACCAGCGTTTAGCAAGCGAGCTTATGGCATGATCGGAGTCGATTTTGATCTTTCATGTTGATATTTTTGTTATCTCACTTAATGTTAATTCTGCAATCGAGCAATTATGGACATCCATGGATCTTGCATAGTAGTGGTACGTTTTTTAAGATAATGTTTACTCTGTCATCTACATGAATAACTAGTTATTTAATATCTTCGCTTATGTTTATTTGGACAAGAATCCCTGCTCCAATTTGTGTCTGTTTGTGTTTGAACGAGTGTCGTGGCGTCCTCTTTCGCCAAATGGCGGAGGTATATATCGGGGATACAGACCACCATAATCAGGTAGTCAAGATTGAACGCGACTTGTTCAAGTTTCAAGTTTCAGCACTAATACACCAGAAACCACGACAAGAATCACTCAAAGATACAAGATGAAATTGATTAAGCCGCATAATCCTTAAATTCAAGTCTAACAGTATATAGAACGGAACCTTTCGCTACTACACGTGAATGGCGTTCAAGCTCTTCGCTAGTGCGCCAAGCAACTTGAACAGAAACGACAGGGTTACACCAAAGTTGAATCTCACCTCGGCAGAACCAGAAAATTTCTATTATTATGAAGCCTTACAAGCACTAGTAGATCCCTCTATGTATACCAATATTCAAACCAAACCACGTAGGTAAGATTAGTCTCGTGGATGTCAGCTGAGTCATTGCCGACGGGTAGCCGGAGCGCGCTACCCGAAAGCCGGAGCTAGTGAGTTTTCTCTGAGCTGGGGTTCGAGGTCGCACCAGAAGCTACACAAGATTGCTGGGCTGGATTTGACAAGCTCGATCGGGATAACAGGTTTGCATGAGCTTATAGCTGAAGCATTGTCCGTCAATGCATGGGCGTGGTGGAGTGGTCGTTGGGAGAAGATTACACGTAGCTTGTAGCTTCCGTCCATCCGGCCCCATGTCAAGGAGTGGTCGGGTTGCGATGGAATCTCCAGGTTCATCAGAACAGCTCAGCTGGAAAGCTGTCATGTTTAGCTCAAGCCGTAAGCTCAAGCCGATAGCTTTTGAAATTTGCATACGTAGGCTGATACGGACCGTTGGATGCTCCTCTTCCCCGTGGGGTTGAAAATGCAGAGACCAGCGGAGGAAGAAAAAGCAGGATCTAGGGAAAACAGATACGACACTCAACACACAGAGTTTTTGGCTCTTTCGAAGTTGGGATGGGTGAGGCCATATAGACTCTATATGTACAAAAAGAAATAGGTGTTGTAGATGACGCTGAAAAGTAGTACATGGTAATACATCACGACCAAATACCCTCCCCGGCGGAAACAAAGGAAAAGAGTAAGAAAAAAAAGGGGGTTCGAACAAACAGGAGAGAAACTGTCTATAATTTTCTTTCTTTTCTTCGTTCCTTCAAAGGCCGATTGCTCGAGGACCCCGGGATAGATGCGTAGATACTATAGCACCGAGGCCTTGACGAATATATGGTGACACGTTTAGACGTACTTGCACATCATGGCAACCATCAGGTCGAACAGACCCATGGCCTCGACGAAAGCGAAACCCAGAATGGCGTAGGAGAAGAGCTGACCACGGAGGGCAGGGTTGCGGGAGACGGACATCAGCAGAGCGGCGAAGACGAGACCGATACCGATACCGGCACCACCGAGACCGATGGCAGCGGAACCCATACCCAGGTTCTTGGAGACCTCAACCATGGCGGTGGCGACCTCAGAGGAGTACTGGCGGCGGGCAGCGGACTGGAAGGCGTTGCGGGCGTTGGCCTGGAGGAGAGTGGGAGAGGCGCGCTTGGGGGCGGCGAAGGTAGCGACGGGGGCCTTCTGGGAGGTGAAGGTGCGCTTGGTGGCAGCGTTCAGCTGGAAGCGGGCGGCAGGGCGAGCGACCTTGGTGGTCTGGGCCATGGTGGCAGCCAGACGGCTGGTGAAGACACGGGTAGCGGCCATTGTGATGGTTTTTGGGAGGGTTGGTGTGGTGGGTTGGGAAAGAGAGGAGTGGTATAGAGAGGAACTTTTCAGGGAGGAAAAAGCTGGGAAAAGGACGGAAGAAGGCCTGCCTGGGACATAAATACTCCGCGGCACAATTTTCGCCCGTCCGCTTCCTAGTCAAGGCTAGTGCGCGCGTGAAATCCCAAAGCCCTACTCTGTGCGGACGCCGGAGTATTTCAGTTGCAAATCATCGGTACAGGGAATGCTGGGGGTGTGTATTGCGTTGTTTTTCAATTTCATACAGTATTGTATGAACCACCATGAGATTGCCAAAGATTACGGGTTCGTCCGGTTGAGTGGATCTATAGCTGTATCAATATCCAATTGCTCCGTAGTGGAGTTGAGAGTGTCCCAGGGATGGATCATCCTGTACCATAGAACAGAGGAGTCAATTCTGAATATGTACGCCCCTATCCATACTCCATACTCGTACACACAGCTTCGAAACATTGTTTCTCATCTATCAATTTTCGGAGTAGGGAGGTAAAGGGATAAGCTGGTCAAAAGGGAAGAAAAAGAAGCAGAAAAAAAAAAGCCACCCCTGCAGTGGATCATCAGCATGTTCCAACTGAGTGGGTCAGATCCACCGATCCATCGAGTAACAGCCAATCAGTGGCCGTTCCGGCCACTGAATGCAGCGCAGGTTTCCAGATTGCTTCCCGGCGTCGTCCAAACCGGGCCGACTCGGATTCCAGGTCCACCAACTAAAGATTCACTGGGCAACCGCTGCTGATGGCGTCCCCTTTCCTCGGAAACAGCCTCACCGAGTGGCCTAATTGTAATTTAATGGATCCAATGGTCCGCTATTTCCCGTAATTTTGCTTCTTTTTGATCTTTTTTCTTTTTCTTTTTCTTTTTATTCTTTCTTACCAGCTTTCCTAGCAAACACCTGCAGCTTGTCCGTGGCTGCAGGGGGGAAATCGGGTACCTTTAAATAATGCCGGCAAACCGGAGAGTTCCGACGTAGATGAATTGGCCGGTAAAAAAAAAATAAGAAAAAAATAAAAAATAAGCCGGTTTAAAAAATTACACCCAGAAAAACTTTTTCGAGAAAAAGGGTGAAAAAAGAAAAGAAATCCTACGGATCCATTCTCGCTTCCCTCGGCCTCCACCCACTGGATTCCCGACCCGCCAGAACCCGACTATCAAGTCCACAATTAGGACCCCCCTTCCGGCTCATCCCAACAAGCAATCCGGCTCGACACCAAGTGGCCCGCTGAAAAGCTCTCCCCCAGAATCTTTACATAGGCTGATTTGAACGGGCTCGGACGCCCTTATATAGTGGCCCCGACGCGCTCCCGTTTACAAAGGGGACCTCGCGGCTCTGCTCCGTGGGAAAAAAAAAGCGCCGGCTGCAGCTCGGCTGATCGCAGGAGCTTGGCGGACCCACACAAGCTCGATTCAGGGTTGCGACGTTGGCGAACGGACTTGCTATGCAGATATTTCCTTAATTATTTCAATTGACCAGGGTCAATTGAATTGTCAATTGAATTGCCATAAGACTGTGACATCTCTTGTTCGTGCTAGATCTCCTGGGAATTGGACAGTATAAGGCAAACCAACAATACGAGGTCGTGAGAATACACAAGTCGGTGGCGCCCGGAATAGGAGGCTCGGGTGTTTTAGGGTACGTCTTAAATTACCGATGATACGCATAAAATACGATAGATTACGCAGGTCCTCGACTCATCGCGGCATCATCGACCCGCCGTGAGGTCATGCGTGTCGGATCCTTGGCAAGGCCAGCTGTCCCAGGGGTTCTTGGTATGGTAATGGGCTGAAGAAGCTGCACCCTTGCTTCTCATGGACAAACAGCAAGAAATAAAAACAATGCAGCAATCACAGTTGTCGATTGTCAGATGGACATGCATCCGCTTTTCTCCAACCCAGAGTCTGCCTCATATCATCCCACGTCGGAGTCAGGGGCAAAAGGTGTGTTGGCCATAACACTCCACCTGATGGGGCGTACGAGTATAGGTGGACCTGAAATGCCCCATCACCTCCACCACACCGTACACGATGGGAATTTGTATCGACCTCGTTTTCTTTCTTACAGCACTCTTGAATTTCAAGGGACACGTTGCGGCAGAAACACCCTCTATACCACGAGGAAACAAGGAGACGCCGGCCCAGCTGGGTAAATTTCGAGACCTCGGAGCTGGCGGCTGTTCCTTTGGAAACCGATACCCATCATTCGTAGCTATGCTTGTTAACCGGGGCGGCCAGTGGAGCTGTGAGGTTGGGCTTGTACCTTGAAGAATTGGCAATCTCAAACTTTTCCAGACTGGCTCCCACCCAGAGCGATATCAAGCAAAGATAGATGTGCGGAATTCCTGTTGCATACTGGACGAGTTGGTATGCCCAGGATTTCCCAAGGGCAGGTTCCGTACTCGTACATGCCGAGAAGTGAATCACGATTCAGCCCCATATCCATCGGGCTCTTGCCTGATCCCAAAGCCACAACGGGGGTTGTCTCTCCATTCCACCTCTAATCCGATTAGCACGGCTTGCAGTAGTGGCCGAGAGCTCAGCTTTCCCCAGATCTTGTCGCCTCGATGATCCACTCTCTCTTCCTAGTCTCAATGGGCATAGCGTGCTCCCCGCGAAGCTTTGCTAATGTTAATATTATTTTGGGCCACTGTTGTGCGAATAAATATTGGCCAATCCGGTGTGTTAGAGGGCCCATGATTCTTTTCCCGGGGAATGTGGCTAAATTGTAAATAACGTGGCCACGTTGTAGCCTGACTTGTGGTTCTGGGGCGTAGTTGGTTTGTTTTCCACAGTTTGTGGTAATTCTTGCGTTCCCTCTGCTCTCCATGGCGAATTTTCTGCTGCGCTCCAGAGCCTAGCAGTTCATTCTAGTCAGCAATCGTGCTGTAATTCAAAGCGATCAAGAAAAAAAAACAGACCTATGGTGGCAACTGCCAAATAAAATCCAAGTCCAAGTCAACACCATCCAACCGAACACCAAGCTCACCCTCGCATGGAGCGAAAGGTGCCATTGATGGATCAAATGGCAGGGACAGCCAGTCATTCATGTCGAAGCTAGAAAGACTTTCCAGATCAAGACCGGCCACAAGATCCCCTTCACCTGCGGACGGTACCGCAGGTGCAAGGAAACCATCATGAAGAGTCCTTGAGTGGATGATCGGTGGATTCGACGACACAAGACTCCTTCTTAGTCTTGCTGCTTGTGTCTGGAGAAGAGCTGCATATTGTGATTGCAAATGCGCGTCGTCTTGATTGTTATTGTCCTGTAAGGCCGCAATCGCCCTGTCGAGTATCTGCAAAGCCTCTTGAAGTTTTGAATTACGCACGCCAAGCGCAAGAGCCTTCATCAGGAAGATGGAGGAACTAATCGTACGGAAGAGAATTCTCATCGGCGAATAATGCAATGCACCAGTGGCGCCGAGAAGGGCAACTTTCTCTAGTGTCTGGCAGCTACCATCGATTACCTCTTCGATGAAACCGTACTCTCGCCCCGTCATGTCAAGTCGTCTGGTCCTTTCTATGAAGGAGTGGTCAATGGTGGTTTCACCGTGTGGATTATCGCGTGTTAGAACTCGTTGTACCACGAGTTGCATTCCGATAGAGTTCACAAGAACACGTAGGTATTGATACTCGATGGAAAGGATATCCGTAAATGTTGTCCCGGGGGCTAAGATGTTTAGTCACACTATTGTTCAGATCTGGAGTGTGCCACTTACTTGCAGTGCTGAGGTTTTCTTGTCGCCAATTTGCTATCAAGATCTGCTTCTCCTCCACCATAGACATGAACTGATCGGCTGTGTCAAGGACCATTGGTGCATTCATCAGGGGATATAATGCTCCCATCATTGAACTTGACATCTTGGTAATTCCGATCCACGAATTCATGAAAGAAATCCACTCTCTGCCCTCTTTCTGTTGCAACAACAACCTTGAGACAGGGACGGAAATATTGGTATCGTAAGGCATCGGAGAAGTACACCCAATTCTCGAAGACAGAACATTGATGTATACAAACAGTAGGCTTGGAAGTCGTTGTCGCCGTAGCTCAAGATGATCAAGGTACATCTCAGCGTCGATCTCGACAAGGTCATCAGGCTTGAGAACTTTGGTGCTGGGATCAAAAGCGCCAAGCTCGTGAGCAAGGGCCAATGCCGAGCTCAGAACCATCCACGACATGCGCTCAAATCGCTTCGTCGGCTCAACTACGTCTTCTCTCCATCGAGCAGAGACTGGAACTTCTTCATCTGTCAATGGCGGGTCCCGCGCATCCAGATGGGTCATGATGAAGTCTGAATCCCAGCCATCCGTCTCTGGAGGAAATTGCAATGATCGCGGATGCCACTCTGACATGAGAAGAAGTGCCTCGATGCTTCCGATATTACGGGTTCGAGCCTTCGACTTCTTTTCTTGGCCCAGAGTGAGCCGGAGCAGAAGGTGTTGGCAGTGCTGCCATAGTCGGTGATGTATGAAGAATGCCCGAGAAGACCCACCGACGCCCCGAAGAGTATGATATCGCGAGGATATCATGAGAATTGTACAGCAGAGCATGGGCTCTTGGGTCACAAGGTAAAAGTGATTCTTATGGGAGGCGAAGAAGTCTGTGAGGATAGGCGAGAGAGGGTTCATATTTGCGAAGAAACTATTACATTCGTTAGTACAGGGGCACTGTTTTCATGCCGGGAGAATACTGACAGGTCAACCAGAGTCATCGCCTCGTGAGCGGAAAACCATCCCATTTTCACAAATCGGCAGGCATTCCACATCTGCAGCGCGTCGGTCCTGGTGAGGCGTTGGGGAACCAGAGTGGGGATAGGGGCAGTGGTGATTTGCTCGGTATTTTGTTGTGATTCTTCGCGAAGAGCAGCTTCAAAAAGAATATCCATCGCATCTTTGTTGTTAGATACAACCTTTTGCAACATAGATGTCGGAAGATGACCATCCTTGGTTCCGGATTGGTCGTGCGGAGTCGATTGTGATCTGCTTGCTTTAGAAAAAGATACAAGTCGAGAGGGACGTTGCATATAGCAAACATTTTTAACTGAGCATTCTTTTCACGCTGTGAATCTCTTTCTTTCATGCCTGGTTCGTCCTTCGAGCCTCGGGACCACGGTTTCTTTGAGGTGAAGGCGCAGTCGATCCGCTTCTTGGTGCACCGAAGGCATTTTTCGCTCTCACCCGGTTCGCATTTCACCTTACGCCTTGCGCATGGGACACATGCTTTATACGCCCGTCGGAATTCATAGTCATGAAGAGCCCTGCTCCGTGATAGCTTCTTCCTGTCCATGGATGGTGTGTGTAGGAGGAAGAATGCAAAGTGCGGAGAAGTGGAGACGACGGCTTTTTCAAATATCCGCGATCGAGACGCGTCTTCTTGTCGAAGTTGACCTCGTCGGTCCAGCGGAGGCTTTTGGGGTTGAATTAATTGTCAAACTGATAAAACATACCAATATTAAAATTCAATGTCCTGGCTCACTCCCTGAACACGAGTCTACTGCCAATTACTCTAATTCTAACTGAATCAAAATAGCCGCGGCGTAACATCCGTGAGACGGCGTCCCATAGCCGCAACGACCCAGTGTTTTAGCACCTCAAAAATTACTAGTCTTCACTAAACACATATAGAGATAGATTATTACAAGGTTGTATTGTGTAAATAGTTTTAGAATATCTGTAGTAAGGGCTAGGAAGTACTTAGTTGGCGCTAGTATGTTAGCGAATGGTGTAGACAGCCATCCCAGTATCCTACTCAGTTATATACTCAATATTATGAATTGTTAGGATCAAGCAATTTTTATAGGTAGAATAGCTTCACTAAGGGGTGACAGGGCCTAGGGAACGCTAGAATTTGGGACGCTGAAACACTGGGTCGATTGCGGCCATGGAGCGCCGTAGTGAGAGAATATCCGCGATCAAGAATAGATTAAGTCAAACCAGATCGAGCATAGGTGTAAGCTAAAATAGAATGCCCATCCAAATAAACCGCTAGCAATCAAGTCAAATATCTGAAGTTCGGGTTATTGTCACCACCATCGGTCACATCGACCCGGTCGTGCTCGTTGATCTCCCCGTACTCGCGATCGCGCCTCTTATTTTCCATTTTCAAATCTATGTGCAACCCAACCGCGAGTATCACAATCAGGCCAGTAAACGCACACCCCAGAGCACATCCTTTGGTATAAAGCGGTGCATCACCATCTGGGAAGACGGAGGAACTGATCAGACTGGAGCACTGACCAAAGATAGCCAAAAGAGCCATGCCAGCACCCTTTTTGCTTTCTCCTCCTTGGTTATTGAGCATCCAGGTGATATTAATAGCGAGCGCTGGGAATATCCCGCAGGTTGCAAGCCAAATACCCGCATATCGTGCCCCAGTATGGGTCTCGTCCTTCACGCAGGTCAAGATGAGATAGCCAACTGTACCCATGGATGCGAAAAATGTAATCACCCAGCCGCGATTCCCCCATCGATCTGATACAAGAGCAGCAGCAACACAACATAGGAATGATCCAAGGTAAGGCGGAGCTGCCAAGCCTTGTGCATTGACTGAGCTGTACCCCATTGTTTCGAGGATGGTCGGTAGGAAATTGGAAAGACCAGCGAAGGAGTAGTTGCAGCAAAAGTGGATAGTCATATGAACATAATTCTTGTAGTCTTTCAATCCGCTGAGGACTTGCTGCCATTGTACTTTATTCTTCGCAGTACGATCTACAGTTTGGAGTCGTTCAACAGCCTCTGTTTGCTCGAATTCGTCGAGAAATTTTGCGGAGCCAGGTGAGTCTGGAAGGAAGAAGAATACAACAACCGAGAACAAAACAGTCGGTGCGCCCTCTAATTCCAGTCAGTCTTGCCACAAATCGGAAGAAACGTAGACATACCAATGATAAAAAGGTAGCGCCATGGCTCTAGATTGCCTTTTATCTGCGTAATGCCATACGCAAGAGCTGAGGCGAAGCAGTTGGCAACCGGAGACATACCCAAAAGCATTGATAGTCGGAATCCCAATTCTTTTCTCTGATAGAATAGAGAGAGGAAGTAGGGTGCACCGCAGCCGAAAACGGATTCAAAAACACCTAGCAACCCTCGACATACGAGAAGCTCAGCGAAGTTTGTGACGGCCCCGCTACACATGGCTGCAGCACCCCAGCTAGAGAATTAAACTTGGTTAGAGATTCTGATACTCATATCGAAGTTCAATGGGACGTACCAGATGCATAGTACAGCGATATATGAGTGAGCGGGGAGAATCTTCCATAAGACAGTAGTCCATTCGAAGACAATGTAGCAGATGTAGAATGTATAGAGTACCCATGACCATTGGTAGTCATCCAGTCCGAGATCCTTGGCGATTCCAGCTGACTTTGCATTGCCAATATTACCTGCCCAAGATGATTAGAGATGAAGCGGGAGCAAGATGTAACATAAATTACCTCGATCTAAGTAAGAAAGGACGTAGAGTACGCAGACTATTGGAAGTACTCGGCGATCGAACTGTGATATTTGTGAGACTCAGACTTTCTCATTCGGGCTGATATACATGACATTGGCCTACCTTCTTTCGAATCAAGGACTGTCTTTTCTCCGGAACGGTAGATTGTTGTCGATTCTTCTCAGTAGTAACACTTTCAAAATGCTGGCAGCTTGGAAGTTGCTCCACATCCTTTAATCCCGTCATGGCTTCTTGCTCAGCAAGGTCGTGTGGCCAAGCATAAAATATCAACAAGATTGCTTCCACAAAGTAGAGCGAGAATATCGCAAGCTGGACCGGGGAATATCCGAAGAATAAATACTAAATAAATAATGAGAAGGATTTCGGACAATGGGAGGAAAAGTCAAATGAAACTCGACAAACCTCTGTGAAATCAAAATCCGGGGACCCCATGGGCCCGGATCCTGCATGCTCAAGGAAATGCCGAGCCCCGCTTGAGAAAACGCCGTTTTATTTCATTGGGATGCTTTTCATTGGATCAGACGCTAAACACAGTTATAACTAGACCTATAGTGTCTATGGTGGCGAGGAGAAAGAAGAGGGGGAACCATCCGTCGCGGGTATTCACAATTATCCGCGCCTGAAACATCCGCGATATTTGATCATAATATAGCTGCAGCTACCTTGTCGGCCGAAATCGCTCTGGCATGAGCAATTTAAAAGGCAGTCGAGCCGCTGGAATAGCTCCATTCACTACCACTCAAGTTTCTCATTCCACCTTACAACAATGTCCACCAGCAACGTTCCGTACCCCTTCCATTTCGACAGTGCATCGGCCACCGGGCCAAAAGATGGCACGACTACCGACGTCACTATCAAGTTGAAGAATATCCGCGGAAAAATCCCATCCATTCAAACCTCTCGACTCCGCACAATGATGCTTGAGGCCCGCAACGATCCCACAAAGATCCTCGCCCACGCCTGCACGTATGACGGCCTCTCTTCTCGCCTGGTCGAGGAAGCGGGGTTCCCGATGATTTTCCTCGCAGGATATGCAGTTGCCAGCTCATATGGTCTGCCAGATACTGGATACATTGCCATGGCCGAAATGTGTGATAAAATCCAGGAGTCTTTCCGCCAGGTCTCGGTGCCTATCATGGCAGACGGCGATACAGGGTATGGAAGTCCGATGAATGTCAAGCGAACTGTTGAGAGCTTCGCAGCTGCGGGTGCCGCGGGGGTTATGATTGAAGATCAACAGTGGCCGAAACGTATGTGTTTCTGCCTTAAATACTTCAGAGATAAGTACTAACCACCGGATATCTGCTAGGTTGCGGTCACACTAAGGGCAAGAACGTCGTCTCTCGTGAAGAGGCCTATGCTCGGATCCAAGCTGCCTGTGATGCTCGCAATGAAGGGCAGGATATTTTTATTCTCGCCCGTACAGACGCTTTGATGCACGGCTGGGACGAAGCTATGACTCGTGCAAAGGAATTTAAGCGAATCGGGGTCGACGCGATTTTTATCGAGGCCTTACCGGATCGTGATGCGATGAAGCGGTGTGCGGATGAGCTGGATATTCCAGTATTCGCCAATATAATAGAGGGAGGGAAGACTGAAAATCTTTCAGCGAAAGAGCTTGGTGAGCTGGGATATAGTGCTGTTGCATACCCTTGGACCTTGGTCGCCGCTCACCTCAAGAGCGTTCGGGAAGCCCTGGACGGTTTGAAGAAGTCTATGACGACTGGAGCTCCCCCCCCATGATATTATCATACGATCAGGTCTGTGAAGGTGTTGGATTTAACAAATACTGGGTAAGTTTCCATTGTTCCCGAACCACCGCCGATGTAGACTGACGTTGGACTGTATAGGCACGGGAGGAGAAGTACAAGTACAACACCTAACTAGAGATGCGCTGTTAGATACTTCCGTTGGAGATGATTTAAGAATTGAATTGATAAAAATTATGATATTTCATTGTCCAAACCATCTCCACTGATTTAGTAAGATGCGTTCAAGTTCCCCTCTTGCGTGAGCGACGTGCTACGAGCACGCCATAACCTCATCACCCGAGGGTCCGAGGATTATAAATCCGATTAGATATCAACTGGAAGTTACTGAAGGTATTTAAGATTTTATGTATTTACTTGGAAGCTATGCTTTCTAAATAATCATCATCAAGATTTTCAACATCCCCCAGCTATGGCAGACCCTAAGCCCGACCGCCAGCTTCATCTAACGGCATTTATGCGGCCGGTGTCCTTACACACCGGTGCCTGGCGCTATCCTGGCTCGTATCCCGATGCCAACTTCAATTTCAAACATATCGCCGCCTTTGCACAGAAGCTAGAAGCAGCCAAGTTCGACGCCTTTTTCATGGCGGATCATCTGGCTGTTTTGAACATGCCCGTTGAGGCCCTCAAGCGTAGCCATACAGTGACATCCTTTGAGCCATTTACTCTGCTCTCTGCTCTTTCGTCAGTGACAGAGAAGATTGGTCTCGCTGCCACTGCGAGTACAACCTATGACGAGCCGTACCATGTTGCCAGGCGGTTTGCCAGTCTCGACCATTTAAGCGAGGGCCGAGCAGCCTGGAACATCGTGACAACCGGTAACCCCGAGTCGAGCCATAATTTCGGATTCGATGAGCATATGGCCCATAGCGATAGGTATAAGCGGGCGCGAGAATTTTACGATGTGGTGACGGGGTTGTGGGATAGTTTCGCCGACGACGCTTTTGTTCGGAATGTGGAGACTGGGGAATATTTCGACCCGGAGAAGTTGCACACGCTTAATCATGCTGGTGATGAGTTTAAAGTGCGTGGACCACTGAATATTGCTCGGCCTCCGCAGGGGTGGCCTGTGATTGTCCAAGCGGGACAAAGTGAACCAGGTCGACAGTTGGCAGCGGAGACGGCCGAGGTCGTTTTCTGTAGTCCGAAGGACCTTGAGGGAGCAAAGGCACTCTATGCAGATATTAAAGGACGAGTGGAGAAGGCTGGTCGCAAGAGAGATAGCTTGAAGCTCCTCCCCGCTGCTTTGATCATTGTTGGAGAGAATAAGCAGGATGCATGGGAGAAGAGACTGAAGTTGGATAGCCTGGTCCATTATGACAGTGCAATCGCATCATTGTCTATTGTCCTGGGGGTAGATGTCAGCAAGTTCGACCCTGATGGACCTTTACCAACAGACCTACCGGAGACAAATGCGAGCAAGACAGCGCGAGAGTCTGTCGAGAAAGTTGCCAAGACGGAGGGATTAACCATCCGCCAGCTTGCTCAACGTCAAGGAGGGTATTCCGGCCTGGCCTTCCTTGGGTCTCCCAGTGAAATTGCGGATGAGCTCGAGACTTGGCTGCGCGAAGAGGCCTCAGATGGATTCACTTGCGTGTTTCCTTTCCTGCCGCAAGGCTTGGACGAGGTAACCGAGAAATTGATTCCAGAACTGCAGCGTCGGGGCTTGTTCCGCAATGACTATACTGGTTCGACACTGCGTGATCACTTTGGCCTAGCAAGGCCTGAGAATAAGTTTTTTAGCCAAGCATAATCTCTTCTTTTAGTTGATTGCCACCGAAAGCTGAATATGACGTACATTCTATTTCGTTTACCGTATCTGTTCTCCCAAATATTGAATTTTGGAATAATGTAGGTGACCCATGATATATTAGAGTACCACCGGCCCTCTACTAGACAAACCACAACCATGATCGCGAATTAAGCAAACGGTCGTCAAGATTATTCCCGTTGGAATCGGTCTACTTTCAGATCGCCGGTCATCGGGCCAATCACAGCAGGCCAGCTTGACCGGGCCGCAATGCCCGCCCTGCGAATGACATGGAAAGGTCTAGGAGCAGTCAGTATATTTTTCCTCTTGACTTGACTCACTTTTACCTGATTTTCACGTTTCGCACATCTCAATATCTCTTAGGGGACTGACGATAAACCCATTCATCCGCATCACGACTGTAACAATGGGAAGCACTGCCGATTCGCCCTTCAACATCCGCACCCATCGCCCCGGCGACATCGGATGGATAATCCACCGACACGGGCTTCTCTACCACGAAGAACACAATTGGGACGAACAATTCGAGTCACTCGTCGCCAAGATTGCCACTGAGTTCATTGACAATTATGACTCAGTCTGCGAGCGTTGTTGGATCGCCGAAAAAGAAGGCAAACCTCTTGGCTGCATCATGCTGGTGAAAGATCGATCATCAGACCGAAATGCGGCGAAGCTTCGCCTGCTTCTTGTTGAGCCGAGTGCTCGGGGCTTGGGGGTGGGAAAAGCGCTCGTCCGACAATGTACGGAATTTGCGAGAGAGGTTGGGTATGCCCGGATTGTGTTGTGGACTCAGAGTATCTTGACCGGGGCGAGGAAAATATATGCGAATGAGGGGTATAAACTCATCAAATCGGAGGAGCATAAAACTTGCGGACCGAACTTGACGGGGGAGCTTTGGGAGATGGAGCTGTGATGAGAGGAAGTGGGTGGTTATAAGATGGCATGATGATATGACTAGAATTAGAGAATACCCTTGACAACGGGATTGGTTACCAGTGAATCTTGATACATGTACATAGATTCTTCAAAAAAGCGGCGATCATAGTATTTTGCAATTTCCTGGGTGGAGAAATATTAAACATCTGAACGGCAACTAATGCGGCCAGTCGGAGCTTCGGCTCCCCGCATCCAACCCACAGTTTGTCTCAGAATCAAGCTTGCCTTGATATCGATGATAATGTATCCTTATTGCAAATTGTGAGCTTTGAACTTTGTCAATGCTATTGGTTGCTTCACTGGAGTAGGATGTATACTACTCGCTTTCGTCTACCTATTATACTATTCATTGCTAGGAGAAGTATTTAAAATGCGACATGCCACGTTAGTCGAAGCCAAGACTTCAGACAGAACTGCCATATTTTGAATCGAGCTAGGTATCTATTCGAGTAGCTACTAATTGCTTTTCAACTTGGAGCGGCAATGGGAAAGACAGGCACGGGGGTAGATTCATCTAAATCTCAAGGCAGTGATATCACTAGATCGCTATTTTGAACTTCCATCACGAATTTAATCAAATTTATCAATAATTAGCCGTTTAGTAGGGAGGAGACTTCTTCCATCGATAATATGAGATACAATTATTCATAGAGCACCGTTTTGGGAAGAATATTTATGTGGGGTGGGTCTTGCAGTCGCTGGATCGACGATACTTTGTTTTAGAGATCGACATCGTGAGTTTGTTGTACACGCCGATGGTGTTGGTGCACGTAATATTGTGGTCTTCTTTCGAGTGGCCAACCGGGGGAATTGTATCAAAGCGAGGTCTTAGAGAGAAGGTCGTAGTTTCTATTGCGAATTTCTATAGTGTCGGTCCCATCCAAGTTGATCCTTGAACTGTGGAATATAACTACTAACTAGTTGCCCTTCTAGTTCGAGTACGTACCGAAAAGTTCATGCTAATCCCATCAAGCCAAACAAGTCGCGAAGTAAACTTGGCCCTCAGCACGCAAGCCTAGGAGTAGTATGTTCTGCAGATCGAAGCGCTAATTGCAAAATGCCATCACACCATGGAATACACAAGTCCCCTCCCAAAAATGACCCTCGTTTAATGAGGCAACTGAAGGATCGAGCTACTGCGAGAGGTCGGCTTAGCTTCAAAAGAGAGTCGCAGATCGGCGTCTCGGCGAGGCGTGATGGTTTCCTTCCCGTCGCGGTTCAATTGTACTTTGCAAAGTACCGGGCAAGGAAAGGGCATCCTAGCTGAGGGAATATATGGTCTGTGCTACGAATGGGAATGCGACCGAGCGGGACATGTACGAGTGAGTATCTGGGGAATGACAAGCAGAAATTGGGCGTTCAAGGCGGGACAGCACGTAATGGGATCGAGAGGGGAGGACCCAATGTCCAGCGGGGGGGATGCGTTGGCCCAGGCGATCGGGTAGAGGATGCCATACATGAATGACCGACTGCAAACTGCGAATCTTAGTAACGCAGTAGGGAAAGACTACTCCGTACTCTGTATACGGATTGCTCCGTGGGAAACGATGACCCCTTTGGCTGGATCATATATCGGGGTACCTTAGGGCTCCCCTGTTTGGCGTAGTCGAACCTTGGAGGGAGCTTGGGCCGGTCGTCAAGGTTTTTCATGTTGACCGCTCTCTTGAGGTGAGTACGGGTATGGAGTATGGAGTACGGAATACTCGGAAGTCTTCTCCTAGTTAGTAGATCTCATTGAGTCATCGTCATATTCGACTTGATTCTGCGCTTTTCTGCAATTCATCTCGGAAAGCGCAGGAAGGCCCGGTATCATGCCATGCCCTGCCATGCCGACGGTTCCATGGGTGGGCGGACCGTGGAAAAGGGGCCATCAAGCCCTAACAACATCACAACATGACTCGATTGATATCTATAGTTGATATACCAGTATCCTTACTTCATAGGGTCCTGTACATCTCTGTAAATCTCTGTTTATGTCTAGACATGCCGAGATAATGAGATTGTGCTAGTACTATGCACTTTCCTGCGTGGCCGATCATGAGTCAAATGACAGGTGGAGCAGTTGCACTTTTGCGCTAGTACTCCTTATTGGCCATCAGTGCTATCAGTGATGGTGTAGTCGGTCCACTTTTTTTTTTTTTCATGTTTTCGTGTGAGTACCTTGACTCTACAGATAGGATTGGAAGTGCTGGATGGGGGTTACGGTCTACCAATATCAACCGGGACGGGGCTACGTGTACCTGTACAACATCATCTCGTAACACTTCCCCCCTCCAATTCCCACCTCCATTCTCCATGATCAATGCGAGGGACCAACCTCGGCAGCTCACCGCATGTTGGCAGTGGAGATCGGCCCAAAGCTAACGGCCCATGGCCGGACTAGCGACTCCAACAAGCACTTGGGCTCGCGGTCATTGGGCGTCGATGGACCCCCTCCTCGACCATTGGAGAATAGCACGAGTTGGTCACTGTGACAACCTGGTGGAGAGCTGCGATCATATGCGCCTGGTGTTGTACAGTCGAGTTGGGCATCTGAGTTTTTTTTTTTTTATGCGCGCGGTGCCTCTTTGTCTCTACTCTCTCCTCTTGATTTCCCTCAACTCATCTTTAATCACAAATCTTCCTACCATAATACCCTCTCCCACCGCTCTGTGAGCCCTGTACAGTTGGTCCTGCGTTAGTGTCTTTTGCTGGTCAAATTGCAAATCCTGCTCTTTTCCCTCCCCGCTTTCACGACCGTTACGAACTTAACGACAACATGGCGACCGCTGCCATTCAGAACGGTAAGAGTCATCTCTGGCGTTCATTTGCCCCTAATATTACCCAGGAATTTAGAATTTACTAACTGACTCTTTCTCAGTCTCCGACGAGACCCTCCCCAAAGACCCAATCTCGGTCGAGCCCATCCAGTCTACACCTGCGCCAATCGTCGTCGACGAAAAGGCCGCCACCAATGGCGATGATGAAGCTCTGGAGGACGGCAAGGACTCTGAGGAGGCCAACATGACCGCCGCTCAAAGAAAAAAGGCCAAGAAGAATGCCAAGAAGAAGGAGAAGAAGAAGCAGCAAAGCGTCTCCGGCATTCCCAACGAAGAGAAGCCCGAGCAACCCACCGAGTCGGACGCTACTCCTGCCGAGTCCCCCGTGGCCACAGAAACACCCGCCTCAGATATCGTTGAGGAGTCTCAGCCCGAGCAGACTATCACTACGCCCGAGCCGGTGAAGGAGGAATCCGCGCCGGTCGAAGCTCCCCAGGAGCCTGCCGAAGCACCCTCAGAAGAGATCCTCGCCAAGACAGAGTCTGCAGAGCCGTCTGTGCAGGAGCCCGAGTCTGCCGAACCCACCACAGAAGAATCAAAGCCGGCTGAGCCGATTTCGGAGCCTGTTCAGGAGGAAGCCGCCGCGCCTGCCGCTGAGGCTGCTGTCACCCCAGACGTCGTCCAAGAGACCGCTACCGTCGGAGAGCCTGTTCAGGAGGAGATTCCTGAAAGGGTCACCGAGAAGGTCGAGCCTGAGATCGTGGAGGCCCCCAAGAATGTCGCCGAGGAGAAGACCGAGGCTGAGGTGAAGGATACCCCCGCCGAAGCTATCTCTGCACTTGTAGAGGAATCAATCCCCGCTCATGCCGAGGAGAAGGTTGAGGAGGTCAAGGCTGAAGAGCCTGTCGCTACCGAAGAGCCTACCGTCGAGCAATCGGCCGAAGAGTCTAAGGTTGAAGAGCCTGCTCTGGTTGAGACCGAGAAGGAGACCCCCGCCGAGACCACCGACAAGCTCGCCGAGACTACTACCACTGCTACCCCCACCGAAGAAGCTTCCATTGAAAAGTCTACTGAGGAATCCAAGGTCGAGGAGCCCGTTGAGACTCCCGCTGCCGAAGCCGCTATCGAACAATCAGTCGAGGAATCTAAGACCGAAGAGCCTGCCCAGACTGAGGCTGGGAAGACAACCCCCTCCGAGGCCATTACTGAGGTGACTACTGAGGACCCCGCCGAAACTACAACCGAAGCTGCGACTGAAACTACCGCTGAGCCTATTGTCAATGCCGAAGCTCCTGTTGAAGAAGCTAAGGTTGAAGAGCCCGCTAAGGAGGCTTCAGTTGAAGAGCCCGTTGTCGAGGAGCCCGTTGTCGAGGAGCCCGTTGTCGAGGAGCCCGTTGTCGAGGAGCCCGTTGTCGAGGAGCCCAAGGTTGAGGAGCCTGCCCAGGAAACCACCACTGCCCCTGTCGAGACTGCAGAGGCTGCCGAGAAGGTGACTCCCGAGGAGCCTGCTGAGACCAAAATCGAGGAGACTCCGGTTGAAGAGACTAAGACTCAAGATGCCCCTGCTGTCATCGAAGAGCCCATTGTCAAGGAGGCCGTTGAGGAGCCAGCTACCGAGGCCCCAGTGGAGGAAACCCCAGTGGAGGAAGTCAAGGAGGTTGCCCCTGAGGCTCCCGTTCAGCCTGTCAATGATATCCCTGCTGAGACCCAGCAAGAGGTCGTGGAGGAGCAGAAGATTTCTGAGCCTGTTTCCGCTGCCGAGCCTGTTGTTGAAGCTCCCGCTGTAGAGGTCTCTACTACCGAAGAGCAGATTGCCGAGCCTCTCAAGGAAGAGCCCACAGTTGAGTCTAAGACTGAAGACGCTCCAGCTCCGGCTGAAGAGCCAGTTGCTGAGAAGGCCGCTGAGGACCCAGCCACTGAGGTTCCAGTCGAGGAAACCCCTGCTGAAGAAACCAAGGAGGTGATCGCTGAGGCCCCCGTCGAGGCTATGGAAGAGACTGTCAAGGAGCCTGCGAAGGACATCGCAGTCGAAGAGTCCGTATACAAGGAGGAGGAAACCCCTATCTCTGTTGAGGCTGTCGCTGCTGAGGCCCCGGCTGCCGAGGAGCACAAGGTTGCTGAGCCCGTCGTCGAAGCTCCGGTTGCTGAGGAGGCCCCTGTTTTCGAAGAGCAGGTTGCCGAGCCGGCCAAGGAGGAGTCCGTTGTCGAAGCTCCTATCGCCGAAGTTGCACCTACTGTTGAGGAAGCTCCTGTTGTCGAAGCTACTCCTGCTGTGGAAACTCCCGTTGTCAAAGAAGCCCTTATCGCCGAGGAGGCTCCTATCGTCGAAGCTCCTGTTGTTGAGGAGGTCGCCGTTGTAGAGGAGCAGGTTGCCGAACCTGTTAAGGAAGAGCCAGTTGTCGAGGCAGCTCCTGTTGCTGAAGCTGCATTCGCCGTGGAGGAGATCCAAGTTGCCGAAGAGCCTGTTGCTGAGACTATCCCTGCTGTCGAAGAGACTGCTGCTGCAGAGGAGCAGGTTGCCGAAGCTGTCAAGGAAGAGCCCATTGCTGCGGCTCCGGCTGCCGAGGAGACTCTTGCTATCGAAGAGCCTGCTGCCACTGAAGTGGCTATCCCTGAGCCTACTTCTGAGCCTGTTGTCGAAGATTCTCCCAAGGAGCAGATTCCTGAGTTCGCAGCTGTCGATGAGCCAGTCCAGGAGGAGCAGGTTTCCGAGCCCAAGGTCGAGGAGCCAGTTGCCGCTGACTCTACCCCCCCAGGTCCCTATCCCTGCCGCTGAGCCTGTCGTCGCCGAAACACCTGCTGTCGAGGAGTCAGCTCCGGTGGAGGAGCCTATTATCGAGGTTTCCAAGGAGGTTGTTGAGGAATCCCCCGCAGCTGAGGTTTCTGCACCTGCCGAGGAATTGATCGAGGAGCCCACAAAGGCTGTTGAGGAGACCCCTATCGCCAACAAGGAGCCCCAGGTCGAGACCAAGGTCGAAGAGACTCCCGCTGTCGAAGAGGCCCCCGCGGTTGAAGAGACCCCTGCCGAGGCCAATGTGGAGGAGACTCCTGCCACCAAGGATGTTGTAGATAGCCCCGAGGAGACCAAGGACAGTACAGTGACCCCCGAGGTTGTGGCAGCCGGAGCTGCTGCCGCCGCCGCCGGTGTTGCTGCTGTTGGTGTCGCCTCTGCTCTGCACAACTCTGACGCTAGTCCCGCCGAGGCTGAGCACCAGGACTCCACCGATAAGAATGAGCCTGTCGACAACAAGACCGATACCAGTAAGCTGTCGCCGTTCAATTTTGCGCAAAATGCGTCCGTACCATCCTTCGATGCTGATCCGGCTCTTGCAGCCCTTGCTGGCGATCGTGAAGCCCTTCTCCACAAGCTTCAACAGCCATCCACCGACCAGTTGACCGCCACTATCGCCGAGCAACCGTCTGCCAACGACAAGAAGGCCACCGTTGAGACCGAGGCGGAGCCTACTGAGCCGAGCAAGCTGACCCCCGAGTCCGCAGCGAACAATACGAATGAGGAAGAGGCTCGTCCAGTGAGCCAGAACCGGTCAGTGACAGCTGTTTCTCTGAATGGAGGAGGTGACAACTGGCTCAAGGCGTTCTTGCGCACGGTGTTTGTTGGCTTCTTCGGCACAATCTTTTCTCCTTTCCGCCGTCGTGGAAAGGACCAGAAGTAAAGATTTGTGTCGAAGTTCTCATCCTATTCATCTTCCCTTTGATGCTGCACATAGTCACAGATTGATTGGGTCTACCAGAGATCAGAGATGGAATTTGTCTACCGTCTGAATTGCAGATACTGACATTGATTGATCTCAGGACCCCGAGTGCCTTGTTTTGGTTTACTATTGCTGTGACTCCCATTGTGGCGATACTTTGGCGCTATATGCCCTAAGTGTTTTGGAGATGAATTGGCGAGCGAAAAAGTTGTCAATGTTTTTCTCTCCGCTTTTGATTCCCCTGTATTGATTACGATTTCCCTTTTCTCTGATTTTGTTGTTTTTTCTGAGTGCTGTTTTGCTTTTTTTTGTGTTTCGAGTTTGATGATTTTCTTTTGTCTCTCCTACTTAGCATGCCTGGCCTATCTCAAGGACGATCAATGTCGAGATGGGAGCTGGTATTTGCTTGGGTGGATCTAATGAGGCCCTTTTATGAACTTAATGAATGGATACGAATCAGTTTGAAGTATACTTTGAATGTCTTGTTTATGTAGTTTGCTAATCAGCACTCTTCACGGTGTTTGTTGTTCCTACCTCAGAATACCATAGTCAGTACTACTGGTATACTTCCCACCATTCACTTCCCAGCGACTTCCTTCCACCTTCCGCCTTCCACCTTCACACCTCCACCCCCTTTGTTTACCTTCTGCACTTCACCTCTTTTTTTTTCTCAGCTCATATCTTCGACTGTTATTCCGCTTCCTTCCACTCTGCCGGCCCAAAATGGTTTTGACTTGACCTTCCTGGCGCCTGACAGCAGGCCTTCCATGCAAGATATACGCCAGGATCACAGCTCATCATCCAGCTTCTCCTCCACTGTGACTCGCCTCTCCTGCTCTCAATCCCCCCTACAAACTATCTGTTTTCTCCGAAATTCGACTTCAGTAAAGGAAAGGCGGACACCCCCATGAAAGGAAATGCGTTCGCGCTCATGAAGGCGGCGCGGGACCTTCAGAACAGCAAGCTTCCTCACAGGAGCACTGGTAAGATCGCAGCCTGACCAAATCAACACTACTCCTTGTAATATCTTGAATTAATTGAATTGAATCCGAGTGACTGATTTTTCGTTCTAGAAAATGATTTCCCGAGCCCGACAAGTCCCGGTGATGAAGTAGGTCGTCCAAGTATGACCCGCAAGGTATCTGGTCTCGACTACGAAGAAGGTCTCGCCCTGCCAATGCCCAAGCCACATCATTCTCGAAGGAATTCACCCGAGGCAGATGCCATTTTTGAGGATTACCGGACACCCCTGGAGAATCCGCCTTCTCTGAACGAATTCCCATCGCGTGAAGTTTCTCCTTCGTGCGAGTCAACCACATCTACTATTCCCGAGAGCAAGAAAAGATCGAAATTCCAAATTCTCAAGTCCAAGATGAGCTTCAAAGATTTAAAGAATGAACTTCCAAATGATGATGAAATTTCCAATCCGATTCCTGTCCTCCCATTGACTGAGAACACCAAGCCTTGCCTTCGTCGCCCTCTCAACAGTGCCACCACCATGCCGTCAATCGCGTCTACTGCATCCGCAACCAAGGTCAGGCCGACGCTTAACCAGATTACCCTCGCTCGGAAAGTGAGTGTTCCTACCAAGTCTACGTCTTCCGCCAACGCAAGCGCCACTCCGAGCCGGATACCTCTGCCACCTTCAAATACATTGTCACAGGGAGGCGTTCCCTTGAAGGCAGATGGTAGCCAGCGCCATTTTTCAGGCCAGAGACCTCCAAGCTACTCGTCAAATGCAAGCAAGGAAGAAAGGGCGGTTACGGATTCTAGCCTTGGAACTGCAAGCCCAGATACCCGTGAGAGTCACCAACTCGACATTGTCGTCACACGCCCAAGCCCTGAAGGCGCTTTGAACACCTTAAGTGTGCCCCCGTATCTTGATCGACCGAAATACCCGGTCACTGGCGAATCGCCTCCTCATCCTGATGATCTCCTGGAGGGAAGCGGCAAAGTCAAATACATTCCAAAGACATGGTTGGATGGGCCTTGCCCCCCAACTCCTTCGCCGCTCAATGGAAAAGACTCGGTCGAGCCAACCAGCATAGTGAAACAATTTCGAAGCAGTTCTATTCCTTCCAGCGTCCCGACACTGAAAGAACGGTTCGAGAAGGGAAGGCTTCCTTTGGAGGGGTCCGCCAATGGCCCAAGTCGTCCCATGGGGGTTGCAGGTCGATGAAATCGTCGAGATGGTCCGCTCAATCCAACGCCACGCCGATACTGGGATTGAGGGTATGACCAAAAAGCTGGAGGAACTCTCCACCTGGATCACTGATCAGCTCAACCATCATATCCAGAATATCACGGATCTCTCTCGGGCCAACTCAGATCTTTTCAATAAGCAGAGCCAGCTCTCGCGGGAAATGATGAGTTTACAGCTAGCCCTGCGTCTTGAAATTGGCGGCATGGAGCGGCACCTCAATGGCTTCGAGATGCAGCTGGTGAATGAGTTACAAGCTGAGGTCCGGGCGTTAGCGAAATCTTACGAGGAACTGAACATCAAAACCGATGTTATGCTCCAGGATTCTTCGAATGATGAAGCGAAACAGTTCATTGAAATCCAGCGCATGAAAAATACTGAGATCGAGGCTGAGATTGCGTATCTCAAAGGTCATGCTCCGCATGATTCTGTGTTGCTTCCCCCTCTTACCCTCCCCATCATGCCAGCCATGAGCGTCTCGAGCACGCGTAGTATCGAGCCTCTGATCAAAAAGATTGAATCTACAGTCAAAATCGCCGAGGAGCAGGCCAGGCTTAAAGATATCGCTACGAATGCAGGCGTTCTTGCAATCGCGGCCACGCATCCCCCTATGCTACCGCCCCCTCGACCTCCAATGAAAGCATCAACTTCTGATGTTAAGAGACTCTCTCCGACAAATACAGACGAGGGGGAGACGAAGAACAGAGAACTTCTTGTCAGTGAAGACAAGCCTGCGGGTGACTTGCCGCGCAGCACTTCCTTAACGAAGAAAGGATTTCTCAAGAATATCATGACCATTTCTCCTGATCAGAAAGAAAGCGCACACCAGAAGACAGGACATGGCATCAGCGACGAACCTAAGAAATGGAGCATCTTTGGATTCCGTCGCCGCCATGCTACTCCCAGCGGAAATACCCCCAGCGTTGATATCAAAGCACGCTCTCTGTCTTCCCTGAAGACTGCTAAAGAGCAGGCGAGATCGGATAAGCAAAAGGACAAAAGTAGTACTGGGTCGTCAACACCGCCCCGCCCTTCCGTCCCAGTCCAATTTGCCTACAAAACTCCGAAGAAAGGCAATATTTCCTGGAAACCACTCCATCCAGCCTTGCGATCCGCTGAGCCTAGAAGATCAAGTTCGCTCAAAAGGCCAAAAACTGCACGACCACGACCACCGCCCGTCGATCTTTCATCTCCTCTCCATTGTGGCCGAGGCTTATCAGCTTTGTCTCCGGCGATCGAAGCGTATTCGACAGCGGATTCTTCAACAGGCAGCAGTGCTCTTCCCACTACAACCAGTCTATTGCCGCCTTACTCTACTGTGCACGGTGGAAAAAGTTCATCAAGCTTGCCTCCTATCGCTCAAGTGTGCCCACTCACGCCCACCACCTCTTCTTCGGCGGGCGGCGTTCCTCTTCCAAGCTCAGACGCGGAACCAACTTTAATCTCTGTGTCTGAGACGGAGACTAAGACGAGTGAGAGCGATGATAATGTAGAAGAACAGCCATTACTTGCTAGCGATGACGCTGGGACCGAATGGAGCTATGTTTCCAAGACGGAGATTCGAGGTCATGAAACCACGATTTGATTCTAACGTACGCCCAGCCCGCTTCTTCTCTCACTGGACTGATTTTCATGGGTAAACAAAGAGGTGCCGGGAGAATGATAGTCGAAAATGGCTTAATACGATATGTTGCTGATACATGACATTTTCTGCAATATGGGTTGAGTTTTCAATATCGAAAAGGATCTAGGGCTTGCTGCTGGGTCTACGAATGATGCATGTGAACATGAGTGATGAGAAGATAACGAGAATGATCGGAAAGACCAACGAATTTTTTATGAAATTTACACTAGGCGTGAATATCCAATATTCTTAGTAGTATTCTAACGTGAAATCATCCAACGCTTTTCCAGTAAAAAAAAGTAGTAACCACAAAATGCAACATGTCCCAGGATATTATTCACAAAGTCGAAGATACAAGAAATGAACATTTTACTTCGAAGAGGCGAGCATCTTTTCGATATCAATAGCTGCCTCTCGGACTTGCGGACAATAATGCTGGCGCAGCAATTCGCCCTCCCACACGGAGCCGGCATATACATTCGTAGCCTCGACATCAGTTGCGTAGGGATTGAAAACACCATCGCCCTTGCGCTCATCGGAATGCCACAGCGAAGAAATGCGACGGGCGTTGTGCTTTGCGACCTGGTTCATCAGGGCCAGGGTGGCCATGGCGGATTTCTCGGGCAGTTGAAGCGCAGTAGTCATGAGACGCTTGGAGAAAGTGGCTAGTCTGACAGGCGGGGGCATGCCGTGGGCACGGGAGATCAAGGTGAAATGGAGGCAGCGGAGGAGTAGGACCATCGGAGTCTGGAAGTTGACCTTGTTTCTTGAGCGGGCCTGAGTGAGTTGACTCTCATCGTCGGCATTATTAGGGTCGGCCAGGCGCAGCGAGGTGTTGGGGTTGAACTCGACTTCGGAGTTTGTGGAGAGGGAGTAGAGAGAACGGTAGAGGTGTTGGACGAAGAAGCCAAGGTCAAGGTGGAGGGTTGAAGCGGCCTTGCTGGCGTCTTGGCCTTCCAGTAGGGCAAATGCAGTGATCGTGCATAGCAGGGCTTCACGGCGGGTATCGCGGGGTCGGGCGCCCTGGGCTTCGGTCTCTTCTTCGACCTCCTCGTTCTCATCTCCTTCTTCGGCCTTTTCGTCGCGCTCGGCATGGGCGATGAGGTCCTTCATTGCCTCCAAGAGGTCTCCGAAGAAGTCCTGGTTGATAAGGTGGGCGTACTTGGCCAGACCCTCAAGGACAGGGCCCATGAGTTTGGGAATTCGTTGCTTCAGAATACGGAAGTAGATACCAAAGACAAGCTTGAGGGTCTCCGCCTGGTTCTTGTCTCTGTCTTCGTGGGAGACAAGTGCGTCGGCTTGCTTCATATCCTTCTCGACAATCTTTTGCTCCTTCATCGTCTTGCGCAGCTTCTTGGTACGGAATTCCCGCACTTGCTTCTTCTTGCCAATGGGGGCTTCTTGCTCTCGTCTGTCCACACGATCACGCGAGGCCTTTTGTGAGAATTCTCCCAGCAGACGTAGGCTGAGGAAGGTATCCAAAACAGTCTCGTTGATCTGGAAATCTCTAGCCTTCATCATCTTTGACAATAACTTGACAGCTTCCAAGGAGACCAAGCCGTCCTCGTCCTTTCTGAAAATGCTCTCCAAGCTCTCGCGGCACTTGACAAAGTCCGCATCGATCTGTTTCCTAGCAAGTTTGTTCACAAGAATCTTGAGCAATTCGTTGCGGAAGTTGAAGTGGGGCACCGACTCGAGCATAGTGCAAGTACAGTTGATGGCGAGGCTTTTCAAACTCGGATCGACGTGAACATTCTTGCCCGGCTTGGTCAGGGCACCCAGTGTTTGCACGTAATTCCGGTATCCAGCCACGAGAGCCTGCTCGAAATCTCGGAGCTTGCGCACTTCCTTGGAAACCTTACCGCCCATTTCCTCCTCAGTGATGGGACGGATTCGGTAACCAGGAATCACATCCTTGTAGATGGCAGCCTGTGATGCGAGGGCCAACTTCTTGACCGTGATTGGCGCATCGGGCCTCGCGGCCATGTCGGCCATTGTCTTGAACAGAGCTGTATGTTCTTCGGGATCTTCGTTGATCAAAGTGGCCATGCGGGCGAGTTCTTCCTTGGCTTGCATGATCTGGACCTTTATCGGGATCTTGGGCTTCTCTTCCTCGACCTCCTCCTCGCTCTCGGAAACATCATCGCCCTCATCGTCGGTCCCCAAGAAGCTGTCGGTTTCTTCAGCGGCGTCGGCGTCGGCATCGGCAGCTGGAGTTTGTGTTTCCAACTCGTGAACGAAACCCTCGGAGGTCTTAATGGGCAATCGGTTGTTCTCAGTCTTTTTCTTCTCCGACTTGCGCGGGCGACGTTCGTAATCCTGCTCAACATCCCACTCGTCCTCGGAATCGCTGTGGGCCTTGGCGTTGGCCTTGGATTTTGAAGACTTGCCTCCATCGACTGGAGGGCTCAGGCGCCTCCTTTTCACAGTCGGACCGCGCGCCATTGTGTCGTTTGAATGCAATTGTGGACGTTGTAACAACGAAGGGTCTGGGAGATTGTTTGGTGGGCGGTGGCTACTTTTTTCGACTTTTCTGCCCACCACATCCTCTCACCGCCCACCTATCGGGGTAGGTTCCTGATATTTTTTTATCGGCATCAACGTTGGACCAGAAGACCATTTCGCATTCATCAATCTTCCACCGGTGCTGTTGACAGCCCTACCCGTCAAAATGCGTGCCCTCGATGAGACCGAAACCCGCACAATGTTCACGAAGCTTGCTTCCTACACCGGAGCATCTTTGTCTAACCTAATTGCGCCGCCTGCTGAAGGTACCGCTGTCACCGAGAGAATGGTCTTCCGACTTGTCAAGGACCGAGTGTTCTATCTCCCCGAGCGCATTGCCAACTTCGCCACTTCGATTCCCCGCGATTCCCTCTTGACTGCCGGCACAATGATCGGAAAGTTCACAAAGACTGGAAAGTTCCGTTTGAACATGAGCAGCTTGAGCATCATTGCGCCTCACGCTCGCGTAAAGTGCTGGGTTAAGTCTAACGGAGAGTGAGCAACCCCCCGTTCGAGATACTTGGAGCGATTATGAAACTCATCATTGCGAATAGAATGCCTATCCTTTACGGATCTAATGTGTTGAAAGCCCATGTCGCCAGATGGTCAGAGGATGCCCCCGAGCACTCGGGATGTGTTATCTTCAACCAGAACGACACCCCTCTTGTGAGTTGTCTTTCTTGTAGACCAATCCAGAAGCATGAACTAATCCCTTTCTTCTTCATTAGGGCTTCGGTGTGACCGCGAGATCGACTGCTGTACGAACCAACAAATCTTCCAGTAGCCAAGACATTGCTAACTAGTTCTTAGGAGATGCGCAAGCTGGAACCCACCGCTGTCGTCGTTTTCGCACAGGTAATCTCCATATCTTTTCCCGTTCAAATTGCCCTCTCACTAACCGGACCTAGGCCGACGTGGGAATGTACTTGCGCGACGAAGATACCATGTTCACTACCTAAGCAGGATCTTGACAGGCTTGAATCTTGCATGTTCGCATACTTGATCAGGATGGGAGTTTTGGAGTCAATTACTATCATGTAAAAAGTGCTATTGTCTCTTCGGGGATCTACTATACATCACGATATTTTTCAACGAACAATTTTCAAATCAACTCTGCCTAATATAAAATTTTCAAACATCAATCTGGATAGAGTGAAATCCGAGCATTGTCACTCAAAGGTTCATTCCCCCCTTCAACTGGTTCATTGTAACCACTGGCAAGGTACTAGTAGTTATTAGTAGTACTCGTAACTAACCCTGGTCCCACTTGAAATGATGGTTAGATTCATTTCTGCCTGAGGCAGAAGCTGAGTCATCCTGCCCGCATCGCGATGCACCAAGACCAATGCTCGCATCAGAGAATTGGAGAATAGATTCTAACCTAGGACTACGGCTGTGAACCATTTTCTTCCAGTGACGTCCACATTTATACCCGGTCTCATCGCATCTCACACCGACACGTTCTCTCCTCCGCAACCCCCCATCCTTCACTGCGGGGTGCAAATATCACAACCCCGCCATGCCACCTTACTCTACATCCCAGAAGCAGGCCATCGCCCAGTTTGTCAATCTTACAAATACTAAGGACTCTGTTGCCTCAAAGGTCAGTATTGACTAGACTTGCTCTCCCCATTCCTTCCCGGACATACGTTGTCTGATCGTTCGACCCGGCCGATTTACCTCATGAACCCACCACTGACTATCATTCTAGTCGTTAAGGGCAACAGGATGGAACCTCGAGCGCGCCGTTGATGCGTAAGTCTCACTGTTTGCTATCGAATCCGAACCCATTCCATACATCTATACATGGTGTCTACGGCACGGTTACCTGCCTGGCTGCCCACCTGGCTGCCTCGCCTTGAGCGAGGTATGCTTTCAACAGCGCACCAATCCTGCCGTCCACATACATAATCAATATTGAAAACTCGAGAATAGACTAACATTTTGATTTCCAACAAACAGATTCTTCGCCGGCAGTGCCGGTCCCTCGAAAAGCACAAAGTTTCTCAACGAAGTCTTCGATTCATACCGAGGTAAGTCTCGCACCGAACAAAATCAAAACCGCAATTCACCCCGTTAAACCTTTCCGTTCAGATGACGCAGAAGAAACACCCGATGGCATCGGCATCGACGGCGCCATGAGGTTCCTCGGAGATATCGAAGTCCAACTAGACGAGGTTGCCTGCCTAGCCATCTTCGAGATGTGCAAGTGCCCCTCCATGGGCGAGTTCACGCGCGAGGGCTTCGTGGATGGGTGGAAATCAACACAGTAGGTTCTACTTAACTCAATACCTCTTCATTTGTGTCACTTTTACCCATTACCATTACTAACCCACCACCCCAGATGCGACGCCAAACCCAAAATGACCCAGCATGTCCAATATCTCCGCAGCAATATTCCCAAGGACCCAGAACTCTTCCGACGAGTATACCGCTTCACGTTCCCGCTTTCCCGAATGCAAGGGCAGCGCAATCTGCAATTCGAAATCGCGTCCGAACAGTGGAATCTTCTCTTCACCGCTGACCGGGGCGGCGTGCCTTGGAACACGGCCACGACGCCGTGGCTAGATTGGTGGATTGAATTCCTCGAGGGACGAGGTAAGAAGCCTGTTAACAAGGATCTGTGGGAGCAGACGGAGGTGTTTATGCGGAAGAGTCTTGATGATGAGAATTTTGGGTGGTGGAGTGCTGATGGGGCGTGGCCTGGGGCTTTGGATGACTTTGTTGGATACGTTAAGGGGAAGAGGGGGCAGGGGAGTGCGATGGAGGTTGAATGAGGTTGGTTGAGTTTGATTGGTGGATGGACTTGTTCCAGGCCTCTAAAAAGGTTGAATCCTAGATGTCTGCCATACCGGTGTCTAGGTCTTTGAATTAACTGGCTCCATGATATGTAGCATGTTCCATTTGTCGCGAGTACGATTAATGGATAATTTAAACTTGCTCCCCCAATATGTAAAGGAAACAACAAGCCATATCTTCTTCGGAACCTATCTAAATAACTCGAAGTCCTGGAGGAGGATATCACGACCACAGTATTGGACCGATGTGGGTTGAATTAATATCCAGCATATGTACCTAAACCTAAATCTCCAGACGGAGCGTGAAGTGGAAGGAAGTATTTGGGGGGCGGAAAATGGGCATTCGTCGTAAAATTTGAGAGGAAAGAATAACATCAGGGAGAAAGGTATCTGACGCATACCAAGATGCAGGGGATGTGTACATGAGTCAAAACACCGGGACAAAACATGAAATACAAAAGAAAGGGTAATAGATGGCTGCAGATCGGGAGAAGCGTGGAGGCGTCGAGGTATGCATGGAACGTTTCAGCCATATACTAGGATATCTATGGCTCCTTGTCTGCAGTTGCGACGGGGTCTCTTCAAGGGTAGTTGTCGCGCTTCTCGTATCCGCCGTCGCGACGCTCGTTGTAGCGCTGCATATCGTGTTAGTGGTGTCTGATACTCGATTCTGATTCTATTTTCGGGAATGAACATACCTTGCGGAGAGCTTCGAGACGCTTCTTCTTGGTGTGGGTGTTGACATAGGTTCCAATGAAGAAACCGATGATGTTGAAGAAGGGCACCCAGGTGTGCTCAGGGAGGAACTTCTGGGCAAAGGCCAGGGCCAGAGGGGAGGTGACCCAGCTGACCTTCATGACGGGCAGGAAGCCAGCGCGGACGGTGGCGCGGACCTGGTGGAAGGTGCGCGCGCCAGCAATGATCGCCATCGAGGTCAGGTAGACGGAGTTTTGGATGGGGGAGATCTGGAAGAGAGGGGTGGGTTAGATTGGATGGCGTATGATTGCGCGAACGCGGGAATCCTTGAGAATCGGATTGGATAGAACGCGAAAGACTTACGATCAAGTTGCTAACGAGAATCTGGAGGATCTTGGCCTTCAGGCTGGTGCGGCCGGCGAAGATCTTCTGGAGAATGCCGATGAGAACGTGGCCCAGCGGCGCGGCAATGAACATTCCGTAGAGAGACATCTTAGGGATGCGCGAGCTGAAGTAGTGGCCATGCTTGCCGACATCGTGAGCGAGCCACGAGGCGAGCAGCTCTTGCACACCTGAGAGCACACCGGAAGTGAGCATCTTGGTGCGCAGCGGGTTGTGCTGCAGCTGCTTGAGGTAGGCCTAATGATCCGCATTCTTCGGATCAGCTGGGGCATTCTATCGGTCGGAGAATATTGCAGAGGATTTATACATACCTGAAGATAGCCAGACTGGGTCTTTCCGCCGGTCAATCGCTCGCCGACGCGGTGAGCGAGGTCCTCGGGCTTACCGGCGTTCGCGACCGCGCGAATGGTCTCCTCTTTGAATTTGACAGACATGATGGGCTAAACGGTGGGGATAAGAGAATATGAGAGAATCCGAACGCGCCTAGAAATGGAGGAAGGTCGACTGGTCAACAATTGCAGGAATAAAAAACAACGTGGATCGATCGCGGAATTATCGGGGGAGGGAAATGGAGGGAGTAGGGAGGCCGGTGCGTTGTTTGTTTATGAGAAGGTTGGGGCCCGAGGGGGGGGGGAACTGGCTGACTGGGGGGGGGCTGGGGGGGAGAACGGGAACAATTCAATGGGGAACAGACAAGTCGGAGCTCGGTCTGGAATTGTTGGATTTGTTTGAATAGCCGAGGCTGAAGTGAAAAGTTGGGGGAAAAGGAGAACAGGGGTTAAATTCTTACCTTTAGACAATCCGGGGATACAAGAAAGGTTAAGGAAGATGGGGTAGAGCCGAGTATAAGAGGGAGCGGTGGACGAGTCGGCAGATGAGTTGGCTACTGCTACAGAGCACTGGTACGACGAGTACGACGGGTACTGGCAGGCATCCCCGGCGAAGTCCAGCTGCAGTCGGAATTCTCCGACGTAAAAGGATCTCGCCGTTGCCGGCCATCCCGTATTTATTTAACCCAGGAAGGACTAGCCGAGAATATAACAGAGTAGAGTAGGAAGCACAGATTACTTGACTAGCATAAATTTACCTGAGTTTCCTATATTAAATTCCCCTCCTCCATACTCTACACTGTACAGAGATGTTCTAGCCACTGGCAGTCCAGAACTAGTGGCCATCTCCGTAACCCAGGTGGAACCTCGGTATCCCGATGAAAAATCCGCTTTCATAAGGCCCCGTCATAGGTGGATCTCTGGTATCAAAGACCTATTGCACTACAAAATAGTCCACATACTCTGACTTTCTCTAACTACTGCTGAATTTCCGTTATTTTTGTGTGAACCTGCTCACGGAGTACCTATACACCTTCACCCTCATCTGTGTCACCTTCATGCAGACAGGATGCACCCTGCATCCATAGCACAATCCATAGGCTGGTTCTTACCATGAACTTTGTCCTATCTGGACCCTTTCTGTGCAAATCGTACCTGCAGAACATAACCTAACCTGCCCATGTGATCGGCATGCCGAATACCTTTCACCGGGCCGTTCCTACATACCCGAATCAAACCTAATCAAAGCAATCATCTATAGGTGCGATTTGACGTATACCCTCTCCATAATCAGACACTCTTGGTTTAATAGGCGTTATAGAACAGCCCCAGCGCATAGTATATGTGCTTTTCAACGTTAGCTACTAGGTTTATTGGAAAGCCACCCCAAACCACCTTGTCGTATAGATCGGACGCAATCCCGGTTTGGCAATGAGCTCAAAGGCCTCCTGGGCAAGCTATGCAAGATGATTGTGGCTGCTCAGTGAAACTGATCAACACATACACACATACACGCACAGAACACGTCCTTATTTTCAAGGTACGATGGGTCCTGTGCGTGATTGGCCGCTCAGCGCTGGCGTGGTCATCGGGGCTGGTGAGGCCTTTTCGGCATGCTTTGCTTCTTAGCCCTTCGTTGATATCGCTCCACTCTTCTTCGATCTGAACCAGCTAGTGTTTTATCTGAAGATCCATAGGACTCCCACACTTTATTTCTCATTTCACGATCTTCATGGCCGGACTCTTCAAGCGTGTGCTCTCCTGGATTCCGTGGACCTGGGCCGGAGCTTGACACCGAGTTCTTCCAGCACAGTCATACACACTCTTCAAATTCCAGCGACAGTTTACTCTTCAGCGGTCCCGCACTCGACGTCCACTATTCTTGAGTCAAAGGCCAACAGACGAAAGTGCATCGAGTGTCAGGCGATGGAGCTCATGAGTTGAGTAGGGCTTCGACGAGGGGTTTCTGTGTGCTGGATGTTGTCCCTAGTTTTTGATTGTATTTATCTTACAATGACAAAATAATTGGAGACAAGATGTTGAATATAAGGACATATCTACCGGATGGTGCTCGTGAGAGGAGCAGAAAGCCGCTGTAGAGCAACGGACTCGGAGTATGGGAGGTCACCAGCCGCACCTCCCTCCATTCACTCTCACTCTCACCTTCACCCTCCCATCACCCCTCAACTCCATTAATCCCATCCTCTCGGACAATTAGTTGAATTTCCCCCAAGCATTGCTATTGTTCTAGCAATCCAGCATCCCATTCATTGCCTCAAATTTGAATCAGGTACGATAGCTGACTCTGTCCATTAGCCTGAACCTGCTCGTCCTATTCACTCACATCCCATCTGTACAATTAGATCGAACGAAGAGCATTAAAAAGATTCCATCTCTGTGTACGTTCGTGTGGTTTCTCCAGATCATTTTGCCGATCAACAACAATTAATCCAAATATTCGGTCTGAACATCATTCGATACGCCCAGCCACGATAGAACAGTCGAAAAACCCTCCCAAAATTTCCATACATTCAAGAGCAATACCTCGTTGCAAACTGGCATTTGCCGCACATGGGCTCCGAGTCTGATCTCGAGCTCCAACGCGAGCTCGACCTTGAGCTTCAAAAAGAGCTCGAAGAGCTCGAAGGCCGTCACTCTTCGCCCCTTCCTGCTTCTTCTTCTTCTTCTTATCATTCTGCTACTGCTACCCTCCATACGGAGGAGCCTGCGTCTGCTTCGGAGCGTCTTCCTCCCGATGAACCCTTCAAACTGTCTGAGAAAGAGAGGCCAACAACACCCGTGCGATCCAATGTTGCCCTGTCTCAAAGTGACATCCCAACCGTCAACGCCCCCTCGCCAGAGGATATCCGAAATGCAAGCTATCGAGCTCGAGCGGGTCCATATTGCCTTCACGAAACGGTTCAGCGCTACTGGAGCATTGATCCATTTACGCCTCTGCGATGCGAGAACAAGGACTGCGGTCGACCTGCGCGGTTTCTCTATGAATGCACGGCGGACACAGCAGAATTATCGCCCTTTGTACGGTCACTCCCCACGCGAAGCATCGAGATCTTGCCCAGATGGGTCCAAAAGGCTATCGATGAGGGCCATTACCTTCCGGCCCAAGTAGAAAAGCTCATGGACCAGAAAATGAAAGTCCTCGAGACTGCAGCCAATCTGCGAGAGCAGGTCCCACCCACACATAGGGCTTTGCCTGGAGGGCGAGGCTTGGCTAATGATCAAGAGGCAATTGACCAGCGGGATTATCGAGAATTAATGCAACTTTTGTCGGCCCGAACTCTGAGTTTCTCAAATCTGGAGCCCTGTCGAGCAATGTTTTGCACAATGTGTCGCTCTCATACGTCTGATAATTCCTGGGGTAGTATCGCCAAAGTCGTCAATGACCCCTACGAAGAGCCTCTTCGCACCCCGGCAAACATATACCGCCCAGTCATCGATGTTTGGACGCTGCGTGGTCTGCCTGAAGATCCTACTCACTGGCAACACACTAAATGGTTTCGAGAATGGTGGGGGAAGTACCAATATCCAGCCAACAATGATGTTACGCTGGTCCTGAATCTCGTCGTGGCGCTGAAACTTCCATTCCTCGTTCTCCAGAGCATCCAGGGCTGGGTCTGTTGGCAACAGATGCCCCCGCTCGAGTTTCAAGACTATCTCACATGGTTAGAGACTTTAACGCAAGAAAGGCTTCGAGAACATGCCGACCAAATCGGGGACCCCTGGGAGCTACAGTTCCATGCAGAGGCTATCGCATATTCTTACCTTTCGCCTGGTACTCCGCCAACCCCACTCAGTATTCACCCGATCTGGGAAGAATTCGAAGATCCAGACGAGACATCGAATGAGACATCCATAAAGGCTGTTCCTCACTACGAGTACGGGCCATGCGATCGTTTCGTTGGCAGATCTTCGTATAATCTACGAGACGCTATGTGGAGCTACAACAACGCTCGATCCCAACTTCTCGGATTGGAGCAGAACGAAGATACCTTTCGAAGCGCCGCAGCCGATGACAGCGACTTGGTCCCTGTGGCAGAACCCGATCCTGATATCTCTGGTGTTGAAACAACGGCGATCGATGACTGGTAGACTGTAGATTTCCGTCTCCCGTCGATGATTGCCTTGAGTGATTTCCGAAAGCAAAGACCGACGCGCTGACCAACGAGTCGCCCTATCGGTCCAACAGTATCGACAATTACATTTTGCACAGACATCTGAGTGTGCAAGGATGTTGAGATATTCCGACTCAGATATTCCGACACCCAAAGGAGCAGGACGACGAGCGAAGGGTCTAATCGGGCTCGCAATACCCGCGGGTGGGGCGGGCGTCCGCGTGAAGGGAGGCCGAGTCAGGCAGTCCCAACCTTGTTCCGAGCCTCGGTTCCTTCCGTGGCCAGCGCGCAATTCCGCAGAGCGATTATCTTGTGAACTTTTTTGGACTCCAGGCGAGCTTCTTTTTTTTCTTGTCTTCTTCATCTTCTCTCATTCACACCATGGCAGACCCAGAGCTCCCTCCCTCTCCACCGGCAGAAAAGACCGTGGACGCTCAGCATGTGGGGAATGGTCCGATAGCCGCGGGGAAACCGGCGACAAGACAACAGTTGACGGCGGCTTTGACAGCAGCCGATGTGACCATCAGGAGATTAGATCTGTGAGTCCTCCCTGTGGTATTGCCAGCTCTATACCCAGCAGTCGACTTTTAAATTGCAGGGCAACCCCGACCTGTACCAGCCCACTCGCATAACTACCCGCAAAGACACCGCTAATTCCTCAAGTCTTCTCTCTACGGCCGACGGACAGGAGAGAGTATTAGCAACAGTCAATTATGTCGCCTCGATCCTACACCACCTCAGTGCATCGGCACCCTTCATAGCTTTCCAGACACGTCTCAGCCTTCTTGCCCGATTGAAAGGTCGCACCATATCCAAAACCCCATCTTCTCCGACCACCCCATCGCCCTCAAAATGGGCCGCCCTCTCCTCTCTTGCCTCAGAGACACGATACACTATCCGCCTCTTCGGCCTTCTCCCTCTCTGGATTTGGGGGTCTGAGACCCTCAAATCACCACCTGCGGACCCCATAATCCGCACTCTCACATATCTCCAAATCATCTCCAACGTGATCTACCAGCTCCTCGAGAATGTCGGCTATCTAGCAACAAAGGGCATCATCTCCAAACGCTTCGTCGAAAAATACGGCAGCCTCGTACAATGGGACCTCTGGAGCACCCGCGGCTGGTTCGGACACATTTTCCTCGAATTCTTCGTCCTTTGGCGACAACACGTTCTACGGAAACGTCGCGTTGCGGCAAAACGCGCGGCCGCGGGCAACGTCGAAACTAAGGAGATGAGGGAGGAGGAGGACGCCGAAACCCGCGCCGAGATTCGCTCTTGGCGCAAGACTCTCGTCAACAATATCTGCTGGGCCCCCTTGTGTCTGCACTGGTGCTTTGAGCAAGGAATCGGTGTTCCGGATAATCTGATCGGTGTGGTTAGCTTTATGGCTGGTGCTTGGAGCCTGCATGATATGTGGGGTGCTACGAGCAAGGCCATTCAGGCATAAACTCCATTTATTGTATTCTTCTTATTTCTTTTTTTTTCTTTCTTCAAATATCCCTTCTGTTTTGGCGATTTGGACATACCCTTCATCCTTAGATTCTCATTTGATTGTATGTATTAAATCACAAAAGAATTTCAACATCTTGGCCAATCGTTAGTGTTTCATTCTGCGGGGAATCGTCGCCCCCAACTAGACTGAACTTGGCCACGGCGGATAAAGTCAAAAACCATCACTTACATGGGTAGTAATTGATTCGAGATGTTTCGCGGGAAACTTGAACCGCCTATCACCATCTCCCTTATAATTTCCCCGGTCCCTCTACAAGCCCAGAGCAAGCTATTCCGCCGAAACCCCAAAAAACTAGTTAGACCCAATTCCCGATCCCAAAAAGGTAAGCCGCGACGATCGCGGCAATTACCATCTGAATGAATTCAAAAGATATGTAGTTCTGCCTTACAGCCCACCGTCAGTACATACTCGTACGCTTTTGGGCAAAAGGTTGAGCTGCCCTGGGGTTCGGTCCCGCTTTATTGGTGTGGGGAGTGGGTTCATGTTCGAGATGTGGAGTTGGTGGCGGTTCAGAAAGGCATCTTGACGCGAATTGGGCGGGGATATGAGATTGATGGGGATTCTGCTTTTGGGTAATGGATTGCAAGGCTTGTTTGATGTTGAACATTCTGATATCAATGCCGTAATTGGGTGCATTTGTATTCCGGTATTTCGCGATATTCTATTCTCTCTTGCAGGATCAGCATTGTCATTGTCGTCTGTGCTTTAGTCATACCCTTTCTTTTGTTCTCTTCTTCCGGCTGTCGCGGCAAATTGATATTTTTGACTAATCTAGATTTACCTGGGATATCTCTGAAGGATTCCCAATTTCCTTCTTAAATTCATGTCGTATCAACCACTCCGACGCAGCGTAAGTGTGGCCCCCAACATCCATGGATGTGCCTCCAAATTTATCCTCCTCTACATTCAAAGATTTTTTATTTGTCTTATGTCTCCGTGGCACACTCTTGCGTACTCTGGACCTAACTTTCTATGGTCTTATCGATATAATGCAAGTGATACAAAATTACTAAACAATCTCGATCTCGGCGAGAACCATGATCCGGTACTCTCCTGTATATAACTCATTGCTTTTGAGTCTGACTTTTCCCTCCGAAACCACCGGCATGAAGAAGAAACCTTGTAATTTACCCTGTGTGAATGTCGTAACTCAAACATTAGACTGGCATTGAATCTGTGGATTGAGCAGAGTTTCCTTGTTAGGAAGAGTCTTATTGCTCGTAGTGGCGGTTATGATAAGCGTTGGGCTGAAAAGATCCTTCCAGGTAGCAAGATACACCTTTTCCTATATTGGGATCACTTATGAACTGAGTATAGTTGGCATCAAAGGACATTAGGCAAACGATTGATCGAAACAACTGCCTCTTGGGAGCCTGTGCTGCTTATACCAGCTCCTGCTCCACCGTCGGGGCGAATCTCAATATTGCCGTCTGGATGATGTATAATAAGTCGATTGCAGTAGAAGGATTTTAATGGCTTCCCGGTTTAGGTGAAGGTCCGGGATTTACAATGGATAGCATTATTCAAAGTGAGATTCATCTTCTCTAAAAATGCTGCTCTGTCTTGTTGAGTTTCTCTCCCGTATAGAGCTTAGTATATTGCGTAATGAGTTGCGTCGTAATTCAAGTCAGTAAATGCTGACTTGGCAAGTCGCTTGTTAAATGGAACATGTCCTTTTAGAGTGAACGATACCAATACTATGGGGGAAGGACTCTGGGGGAAGGTCGTTACAACATAAGTGTTTAATATGGAAAATCATAGCGGATGCGACTTGTCAATACTGTCATCAACAGCAATCTTCGGTTTCAAATTCAAGAACTCAATTTTGCAGTTTGCGATGGATTGAGTTCCGATAAAATCTTGAGTGGTTGCTTTATCTCTATGTTTATGGGTGGGTGTACCTTTCGAGTACTCCATTTTTATGGCCAGATAATAGCTAACGAGCGTCTGAGCCGGTGATACGATATAATCACTAATCACGACAAATGTGTACATCAGCAGTGGGCTATTCTGGATTCCTAGTGGATCCTCACACCTCGAAGTGAACAAGAACATGCTCATTATTGGCGTTCTCTGGTACGGCAACAACACAGGCTAAGGGCCAAGTTAGAGCTGTAGTAACTTTGAGAGTGCCACAGACTGCCTACTAGTAGATGAGTTTATATTTCATGCAAAAAATCACTGAGAAACAGGTGCCATGAGACAATTAAACTACGGTATGCGCGGTTAGTTTAATGGGTCTCAGCTGCACTTTCAACAAAAGATTGTGTTTCTCAGTCTGACAGTGACGAGGAGATTCCGGAGAGTGGGCAACAGCGAAACACTCAACTTGGGTTAAATGAATCCGACGCTGCTGCGGTTGAGGAATACACGTGTGATACCAGAGATGGTTGACTGGTCCTATACTATGATCGATACACGATACTGAACATATGCATTGGGGGCTGAAAGGTAGTGCCGCTGCTATTTCGCTATCTTACCAGCCAATTTGGATAGTCGATGCTAAATATCATTGTTCAAAGGGGGGCAGACACCCTCCGAGTCACTTCAACCCATGGATTTCAGAGGCTCTGATGTGTTCATAGGACTTCCCAATTACCCCACAAAGGACAGAGAAACTACTAACGCTAGTTGGTTAAACAAGGTATGATTTCAGCCTCAGGCAGCGAGATCGACCAACTTCCATCAGATTCGCTGGTGGCGGAGAGCGGGTGACATAATCTGGATTAGGTCATCCTCTATCGTCACTCACTCACGGCGGGTACCTGGGAAGCTCAACACCTATCCTCATCTTCATCTCCTCGCCGTCAGATCCTTTCCCTGGTCTGCTGGTTTCTTTCCCATCTCCATCGTCCATTTAATCCATCGTCTTTATTTTCTCCAATCGTTCGAGCACCCGCCCGCCCGCTCGATTGTGATCTCCCCAACGTTTGCCTTCTTCAAGCTCCGCTCTCGTCAACGTCACATATCTCAGATCCTTCACGATGTCCGCCGAGCCGGATCACACCCACGAGAAGAAGAGGGTTAACCTCAGGTACGTCCATGGCTGACTCTTATCTCAGTTTTTGCAATTCAAATGGCTAATGGTGATACTAGGGATGCCTCGGGCGCCGAGCACAAGGAGGTGGGTTGAACGACATGACAATACAGCTTGGCCTACATGGACAGACACTAACATGCCGCAGGAACTTGACACCTCTACCGCTATCCTCAAGAAGAAGAAGAAGCCTAACTCCTTGATGTAAGGGCCCCCTCCTAGTTGATTGATGATAGGTCTGCATGGAGGAGGAAACTGACACCTCATTAACAGCGTGACGGATGCCGTGAACGATGACAACTCTGTTATCGCTCTTTCGAACAACACTATGGAGACTCTCCAACTTTTCCGCGGTGATACAGTTCTGGTGAAGGGCAAGAAGCGGAAGGACACTGTTCTAATCGTCCTGGCTGATGATGACCTGGATGATGGAAGTGTCCGCATCAACCGTGTTGTGCGACACAACCTCCGTGTCAAGCACGGTGATGTTATTACCGTCCACCCTTGCCCCGATATTAAATATGTACGTCTAGATTTTTGCCAATGCTTTCCCTAGTGTCTTTGACTAACCGTATCTCTCACTTTCTCCAGGCTAAGCGCATTGCCGTCCTGCCTATCGCCGATACCATCGAGGGTCTCACCGGCTCCCTCTTCGACGTCTACCTTGCTCCTTACTTCCGCGAAGCCTACCGACCAGTGCGCCAGGGTGACCTGTTCACAGTACGAGGTGGTATGAGACAAGTAGAATTTAAGGTTGTGGAGGTCGATCCCCCAGAATACGGCATCGTCGCGCAAGACACCATTATTCACTGCGAGGGTGAGCCCATCCAGCGTGAGGATGAGGAGGGTAACCTCAATGAGGTTGGCTACGATGACATCGGTGGTTGCCGGAAACAGATGGCTCAGATCCGTGAATTGGTCGAGCTGCCTCTCCGCCACCCTCAGCTATTCAAGTCCATTGGTATCAAGCCCCCTCGTGGTATTCTTATGTACGGTCCCCCGGGTACTGGTAAGACCCTAATGGCCCGTGCCGTTGCCAACGAAACCGGTGCTTTCTTCTTCCTGATCAATGGTCCCGAGATCATGTCCAAGATGGCCGGTGAGTCGGAGTCCAACCTCCGCAAGGCCTTCGAGGAGGCCGAGAAGAACTCCCCCGCCATTATCTTCATCGATGAGATCGATTCCATCGCCCCCAAGCGTGAGAAGACCAACGGCGAGGTCGAACGCCGTGTCGTCTCCCAGCTTCTTACCCTTATGGACGGTATGAAGGCTCGCTCTAATGTCGTCGTTATGGCCGCCACCAACCGTCCCAACTCCATTGACCCTGCCCTCCGTCGCTTCGGTCGCTTCGACCGCGAGGTCGACATCGGTATTCCCGACCCCACCGGCCGTCTCGAGATTATGTCCATCCACACCAAGAACATGAAGCTCGGCGACGATGTCGACCTGGAGACTATTGCCGCTGAGACCCACGGTTACGTCGGTTCCGATCTGGCCTCGCTGTGCTCCGAGGCTGCCATGCAGCAGATTCGTGAGAAGATGGATCTCATCGATCTCGATGAGGATACCATTGAGGCCGAGGGTCCTCGACTCCCTTGGTGTTACCATGGAGAACTTCCGCTATGCCCTGGGTGTTTCCAACCCCTCTGCGCTGCGCGAGGTTGCTGTGGTCGAGGTTCCCAACGTCCGCTGGGACGACATTGGTGGTCTGGAGGAGGTCAAGCGCGAGCTTATCGAGAGTGTCCAGTACCCCGTGGACCACCCCGAGATGTTCCAGAAGTTCGGTCTCTCGCCTTCTCGTGGTGTGCTGTTCTACGGTCCCCCTGGTACCGGTAAGACCATGCTGGCCAAGGCTGTCGCCAACGAGTGCGCTGCCAACTTCATTTCCGTCAAGGGTCCTGAGCTGCTGAGCATGTGGTTCGGTGAGTCGGAGAGCAACATCCGTGACATCTTCGACAAGGCTCGCGCCGCCGCTCCTTGCGTTGTCTTCCTTGATGAGCTGGACTCTATTGCTAAGTCCCGTGGTGGCTCTGTTGGTGATGCCGGCGGTGCTTCCGACCGTGTTGTCAACCAGCTTCTGACTGGTAAGCATAACCCCTACTCTCTTCAATCTGAACATTGCTAATATTCGAAACAGAGATGGACGGTATGACCTCTAAGAAGAACGTCTTCGTCATCGGTGCTACCAACCGTCCTGAGCAGCTCGATGCTGCCCTGGTCCGTCCCGGCCGTCTTGACACCCTGGTCTACGTTCCCCTGCCCGACCAGGCTTCCCGTGATGGTATCCTCAGGGCCCAACTCCGCAAGACCCCCGTCGCCGACGACGTCGATATTCCCTTCATCGCCAGCAAGACCCACGGTTTCTCCGGTGCCGATCTTGGCTTCGTGACCCAGCGTGCCGTCAAGCTCGCCATCAAGGAGGCCATTTCTCTCGATATCGAGAAGACCAAGGCCCGCGAGGCCGCCGGTGAGGACGTCACAATGGACGACGAGGAAGTGGATGAGGAGGACCCCGTGCCCGAGCTCACCCGCGCCCACTTCGAGGAGGCCATGAAGACAGCGCGCCGCTCTGTCAGCGATGTCGAGATCCGCCGCTATGAGGCCTTCGCTCAGAGCCTGAAGAACTCTGGAGGCAGCAGCTTCTTCCGCTTCCCCTCTGCCGGCGAAGTCCAGAACAACGACACATTCGGCGAAGCCGGCAATGATGACAGCCTCTATGACTAAACGGGTTCTTTCTTTTTTTTTCTTGTTTTCCCTTGCCCCCCCTCTTATTCTCCGCTCCGGTTGACGACTTGTGCTTTCTGCTTTCTGGGCCGTTTTGTTCTTCGGCCGGGGTTTCGCGCTGAAGATCAATCATATGGGTAGATCGTTTCTGAGGTTGGGGAACTTGCTTTGAGAATGGGGCTTCGGTTCTGTTCTTGTCGATTTGGTTTTTTTCCTGTTCTTCCCCTCATACAATGTGCCATAATAGCAATACAACTGGAGAAATCTCTATGTTCATACCGCTTCATACATCAAGTTGTAGCATTGTAGTTAGTGCAGTCGCGTCTGTCTTGAGGATTAACCTCGTTTTGCTGCTATGACTGTCTTGTTGTTCATCTTAGATGCCTAGGTAGCTCCAGCTCCCATCCATGCATAGAATTGCAAGTACTATCATGAATTATAAGATAGTCCCCAATTTGAAGTTCGGGTTGTTTAGACTACATACTAGTATTTACTTTGCAAAAAATGAAGAATATTACAGTTATCCATTATCGTATATGCTCGTAAGCTCTAATATGAGGGGGGAATGAAGCGCTTCAAAGAAACGGAAAATGACAACAGAAACCAAAAATCCAACTTGAACCCAACGCCTAATGTGCAGAAATAGTAATTTCGCTTCTCATCGAAGACTTTTTTCACATCGTTCATTCGCACATATCCCCAGCTTAGAACTTGGGAGTAAAGCGACTCATGCTACGGATCTTCGCGCCGTAGAAGAAGAAAAGAATGGGGATGGGAATCATGGCAATAGTGATGAAACCCAAAACACTCGAAGCCCAGTTGACGCCCAGCTTGTGATACATCTGGGTCGCGAAGAGGGGGAATGCACCGCCGAGCGCGGATCGAATCAGGGTGTTCGCGGCGATAGCACTATTGGCGTACATCATATACACGTCAATGATGTAGTTGAGACCCTGCATGAAAATGACCAGAATACCCATGCCAATTGGAATGCCGGCGATGACTTGGGGGGGCCCAGTGGACGTTTGGAGACGAGGTCCAGCCAAACCAGAAGAGACCGATGGGCAAGAGGACGGAGGCGATCATCATGGGGACAAGACGTTCTTCTGGGACAACACGGCCGTGCTTCTTCAACTTGCGGGCGAAACGGGTCTTGGTGGTATAGATGATTAGGGTCACACCGCAGAGCACACCGATCATGATGCCGATGAAAGGGAGAGCGGCGACGCCTTCGGATTTCCAACCGCGCACTTCGGAGAAGGAGATTGGGTAGGCCTCGAAGAAGAGATAGAGGATGCCGTAGATCAGAGCGAGGTAGATGGTGATGCAGATCAGAATGGGCTCCATGGCCAGCATCTGGAAGGGTCGCAGCAGGTACTTGTAGACGATCTCGCTCATGGTAGGTTCATGCTCGTCGAGGAAGGAGTGTAGGGCCCAGTTACGGGTTTCGCGACGCAGACGAGCAGCACGCATCTGGAGAAGCTTCGGGGAGTAGGTCTCGGGGACAATGATCAGGGCGAGGAGGCCGAAGAAGGACGAGGCGATCAGGGTGAGCCATGCGGTCCAGCGCCAGCCCAGGTAGGAATCGGTGACGAAACCGCCACTATAGATTTAGTTAGATATGATTTTGTGCTGACTTGGGGGTTGCCTTTTTTTTTTCAACTTACACGATAGGACCGAGAGTAGGGCCCAGGAATGTAGCTGCGCTGAACATGGCAATGGCCACGGCACGATCAACGGGGTCCCAAATATCAGCCATAGCACCGCCCACCACGGCAAGAGGAGAGCAGCCAAAGACACCCTGCAGGAAACGACAAATCATGATGGTCTCGATATTCTGTGCCACGGCAACGGGAATCTGGAAGATTGCGAAGATAGCATAACCGGAGAAGAGAGGTAGACGACGGCCGTATAGTTCGCTGAGTGGAGCCCAGAAGAGAGGACCTAGAGCAAAGCCGAAGACAGTCAAACTGGTACCAAGAACCATAACTTCGGTCGAGACGTTGAATTCCTTCGCGGTGACGAGTGTTGCCGTCGAGAACACACTGCTGGCGAAGGTGATCCACATGGTCATGGAGGACATGACCACCGTGATAACCCATTTGCGCATGCGCGAAAAGTTCTGAGGGTTTTCTGGATCATCGGGGCCATCCCACTCAACGAGATTGGGATCCTTTTCGGTGGGCTTCTCTGGTTCAGGTTGGATCTGCGCACTCTCAAGGTCGTTGTCTTTGTCGTTGTCGTTGTCGTTATCATGAGATGATGGGAGTGCCGGAGACAGTTCCTTCTCGGTATTGGGGCCGATTGGCTCGGCGTGATTGTTGCGAGCGTCCATGCTTAACCGGGGGGGTTGTTGTAGTGGAATCGAACGTGTCCACGGGATGATTGGCCATTTCTGGGGTTGACGATGCAATGATGCCTGGCGGAGGAAGAGGAAAGCGCAGTCAGCTCAGGTGTGACTATCACCTTCGTGCCAACTACTACTAGTAGCTATTAGTAGGTGAGTGAGTACTAGAATCCAAAATGGAACTAGAACTTGAACTTGAACTTGAAATTGGACCGGTGAAAGACCCTGGAACTGTGGGCATCTAGCAATATTTAAGCGCCATCGGATAGCTTTTTTCGTGGGTCTTCCATCAAGCAATCTAGAAGGAGAACCACCGGAGCTAAGCACCATTCGGTGTATAGAGCATGGGCAACCGAAGAAAACCTCGTGGGCAGCCCCATATTATTCGCGGGATCGCTCCACATGGTGGGTTATTTCCGTCCAACGCTCGACTGGGTTTTAAGTCCGAGGCGCGAGAGGGAGAGAGAAAGAGAGAGAAACGCGAGCCACCGAACTTGAATCAGTGCCGCTCTTCCGGATGTGGCTCCTAGTGCGAGTTACTCATATACAAAGTATTGCTAGTCCCGTGCCAAGGCATCAGGCATTGATTTCGAGAACAGCAGTGAGTCAAGATTGCTGATAAACACGGAGGTAAACGGTGTATGAAACATAAAACAGCACGTTGCGATTGCGTAACTCGACATGAGTGGGGATTGAAGGTGAAAGATATCGACTGATGATTCGGCAGGGCGTTCGGACTCGGCCAGTCGGCCTTCGCGTGGGCCCGAACAGCCGGGCGGGTCAGCCAACCTCAGCCAAGTCTCGGCAGATGCCGCCCTCAGATACGCCGAGTCCGTGAGTTGTCTCCGATTTGGCTTACTGGAACGTGAACTTGAACTGGAATTCCCCGAGATCTAGATCTCCTGGGAATCTGATAGGTTCGATTGGATGTGGATCTATAGACTGTGCATGTGAGAAGATGGTCACTTCCTAACGTCAGTTTTAATTGGAAATATAATCCGGCGATAATCCCAGTAGAGGAGTGCTATATCCATAGATATATTCTACTTTCTCGGCGTGTTTACTCAACCACTTCAGCTTGACAGTCGTACTAATAGTAGCATACTAGTCTACTCCCGAAGGGTACCTAGAAACCTCAATAATACCTGGGCATAGAAGGCTAAATACCCCTCTATCGAAACAAGGGAGCACTGGCAGCCCTGGAGCACATACAAACGGCCCCATCCACAACGTGACCTCAGCTGTCGGAGATAAGCATGGAATCAATTTTGGTCCCGAATTCCTAGCCCCGATGGTGTAAGCTGTTTCCGATCCTGCAGGGCCTAGTACTGGCTCATTATATAAATAAATGGCGAATTGAGGATGACGTCGAGGATTTAGTACTACTAGTATGCTACGGTAGGTACTGTACTACTAGTAACAGTACTCTATCATCCGTGGAATTGAAGTCAAGGAATTGCAAGGTATAGATGTCTACGGCCAGGCTATAGCATAGCACACTAGTAGTCGTGCTATCCATGATTCTGCTCTATCCTAGGATACTTCCAAGGTTGGTGATAGACATGCTGTCAATGAATTCCTACTGGTTATCAACAATCACAAAATTTGAATAAGAAAGAGGTACAATCGACTATCCTAGTTTCAGGCAAGATATCTAAATATACCCCCTGTTTTATTATTTGATCCAATCTGCCAATATTTGTTGCTTGGATGTAGAGTGAGTGTACACTGTGATCGTGGTCGGAATGAAGGTGAGCAGGTAAGAGGAGGATACAGAAAAGGACCTCGGTTAAATTTATTCAGATAACTACCTAGGTACAAGTAAATACAATCTGAGTATTATAAGACGTGAGCATAGCTCAGAAAACTTGCATTTGAGGTAGTACCTGCCATATAAGTCTCATACTAGTATATAAGTATGGATTGGGACGCGATCCCGTGCGACGCGTCTCGGCGGGCGGTCTACCCTTTTCCGCGCACGATGTGTTCCTCGAAACCCTTTCTGCACCCATTCTCCCACCACTCCATCTCTTATGCGAGCCCCTCTTCATCATGCCTTCGCGCACTCGCAAAGCTCCCGTTGAGGAGCCGGAGGAGGACTCAGGCCTTCAAGGTCTGGCCTTCAACCAGCCGCTCTCCTGGCGCGTGGGGCGTACCGCCATCCCCATTGCCGATCTACTCGACCGTCTCCAGACCCTGGCTCAAGAGCTCCGCAAGCTCGAACAAGAGGAAATTGATAAGGAATCTTTGCGCAAGGTCTCTCAGGAGCTTTCCAGCGCCAACTTACTCGCCCACAAGGACAAGGGAGTCCGTGCTTGGGCTACTTGCTGTATCGTTGATGTCTTGCGACTGTGCGCGCCGGACGCGCCCTTTACCAGAAACCAGCTCAAGGTGCGATCTTCTTTGATCGCGACACGATATCCCGTCGCTCTCAATTGAGAGTATCGTGCTGACAATATACCCCCCAAAACAGGATATCTTCACATGCATCGTCACCTCAGTCATCCCCGCACTGGCCGATCCATCCAACGCCTACAATGCACAGCAAACTTATGTCTTAGGCTCACTCGCCGAGGTCAAGAGTGTTGTTCTTATGACAGACCTTGATCACCCCGACTCGCTCATCGTTCCTTTGTTCTCTAGCTGTTTCGACATTGTCTCGGGATCCTCAAAAACATCCACTGGGGAGGAAGTTGCGAAGGGCGTGGAATTCGACATGACGAGGTTGCTGGTGACGGTCATTGATGAAACACCCGTCTTGGCTGCCGAAGTAGTCGACACCATTGTTGCACAGTTCCTTCGGGTTGACCCCCCGAGTGCTGGATAATCCCAAGAAGGGCAAACGCGCCGACGCGCCAATTGATACTAAACAAGATACCCTCCTGTTAAAAGACTACCCGCCTGCCTACAACATGGCCAAGGCGATCTGCCAGGCTTGCCCCGAGCGCATGACTAGTCACATCAGTCAATATTTCAACAACGTCATCATCGACGCATCCGCCCCTGGACAATCGCACGGTACGAAGGGTGGCTCCCACAAGCCGAATCTCGACGACTCGGATGAGGAGGGCGAAGATATCAAAGAGTTGAGCAAAGCTCATCGTCTAATCAGGGAGCTTTGGCGGGCTTGTCCTGAGGTCTTGCAGAATGTGATCCCGCAGGTCGAAGCTGAACTGTCTGCCGAGTCGGTGGCGCTCCGCTTGCTAGCCACACAGACCATTGGAGATCTTGCGGCAGGAATCGGTGTTGCCGGTCCCCCTCCGTCTCCTCCAATGGACCCAGCGGCATACCCGCCAGTGACCCTGGAGGGATATGCGCAGACGGTCACACAGCCGAACATTCTTTTGACACCAATCTCTCCGAAACCTTTTTCCCAAGTACATCACTCGGCCTATGAGGCATTCCTGAGTCGCCGGCAAGACAAGACGCCTTCAGTGCGTGCTGCTTGGGTCACGGTTATCGGACGCATCCTCTTGACATCAGCAGGTGGTTCCGGCTTGAGTCAAAGCGAAGAGCAGGGCCTCGTCAACTGCCTTGTCACATTGCTGCAGGACGCTGATGAGAAGGTTCGTGTCGCTGCAGTTGATACAATTGGACAATTTGGCTTCAACCACGTTGTTCATAAACTCGGCATCAAGGGCGGTTGCTCTACTCCAGACTCAGTATTTGCTGTTCTCGCAGACCGAGTGAAGGACCGTAAGCCGCAAGTCCGTGAGCATGCGATGAAGATCCTGGCCCGCATATGGGCAGTGGCCGCTGGAGATATTGAACAAAACGCCGAACCCGTTGTGTCCCTATTGAAAGACGCCCCATCTAAAATATTTGATTCTTTCTACACTAACGACCCGGAGATTCACATCCTTATCGACCGAGTGCTTTTCGAGACACTGCTTCCGCTTAACTATCCTCCTCTCAAATCGAAGCTCTCGCGCGGAGGCTCCAACCTGTCTCAAAAAGGGAAGGAAGAAGAGAGCCAAGTTGGAGGTGCTGATCAAGAAACCGATGTTGACAAAATCCGCGTTCGCCGAATTCTGACCTTGCTTCGTGGCCTGGATGAGAAGGCCAGGCGCGTGTTCTTCGTCATGCTTCCTCGTCAACTGGCCATGAGATCGGCCATGACGCTTTATCTCGAGGCATGTGAGAAATATAACGGCGGGGTAACCGACAAGGACGCAGACTCGGCCAAAGCACAATTGTCGAGGGTCATCGACTCATTGTCGAAAACCTTCCCTGATTCCTCACGCGCCTCGGCGGACCTGTGGAAGTTTGCCAAGGCCCATGACCGGCGCAGCTACCATCTCGTTCGGTATTCCATGGACGCTACCAGCGATTATCGTACGGTGATCAAGGCGATGAAAGAACTCCAGAGAAGAGCCCAAAGTGCAAACAATTCCCCCTTGCTGGAGACTCTCACCCCTCTTCTCTACCGATCTGGATCTTTGATCTTCAACCGCAGTCACATCCCAGCGATCATGAGTCTTTCCCGTACCGATGAAAATGGACTGGCCAGTGCTGCCCAGGAAATGTTGAAGCAGATCTCTTCTCAGAACCCCGAGGTTCTGGAAGCCCAAGTTCAGGAGATGTGTAAAGATCTCGAGGCACAAGCCCCGAAGGCCAATTCTGCCGGTGATACTAGCGCCGAAGAAATTCTCAAGGCCTGTGCTGGTTTCGCGAAAAAGCTCCCGGCCAAACTGCCCAAGGAGCGCAAGTTCTTCCAGGCCCTCACAAACTACGCTCTCTACAGCACCTCACCGCGTTCCGCTAAGCATGCCGTTTCAATCCTCATGGCTACTGCTGACAAGAAAGAGATGTACGCCAAAGAACTTGTTCAAAAGTGTGTCAAGAAGTGGGCATATGGATCGGATCACTCCCTTACCCGCCTTGGCGCATTGTCGCAGCTGAACCTTCTTGTCCCCCGCGAAGCAGATGAGGAAAGCGATGCCATCATCTCAATCGCTGTGAATCAGATACTTCTCACGAACCGTTCTCCAGACACAAATGCTGGATACACATGGTCCGAGACAGTTGACGAAGAGACTCAAAGCAAAGAATGGGCACTGAAAATCATTGTCAATCGCCTGCGAGCCAAGGATGGTTCTGATGACGATGCGGACTTCCGGGAACATGCCAAGCCAGTGTATGAAACTTTGAATAAGCTTATCGCAGGCGAGGGCGAATTATCCAAGAAGAAAGATACCCCTTCATCTCAAAAATCGCGATTGCGTCTTCTTGCTGCCAGGTCTATTATCAAGCTATGTGCCTCCAACAGTCTTTGCGATCAACTATTGGCCCCGGTGGACTTCAATTCGATTGCTTTGATAGCTCAAGACCCACTTCTTCAAGTCCGAATTGGCTTCATTAATCACTTGAAGAAAAAGCTGGTTCAAAGATCCTTTTTGTCTCATCGCTGGTATATCATCCCATGTTTGCTGGCATTTGAACCCAACACTCTCTTGAAGGAAAGCACACTCACATGGCTACGATCACGCGCCGCATACTTCTCCCAACAGGCCCAGGCAAGCGGAAAGCGGACCGAGCAGACCATGGTCATGGAATTAATGTTCTCCCGTCTCTTGTCCCTGCTTGCCTATCATCCAGACTATCCGTCTGATGACCTAGATGAGTCGACTAGGCTTGGTGACCTGAGCGACTTTGCACGATACATTGTTTTTTACCTCCTCGCTGTCGCCAATGAGCATAACCTATCATTGATCTTCCATGTTGCGCAGCGTGTCAAGCAATTCCGTGACGGTATCATCAAAACCGACGAGATCTCAACCCGCTTGCACACCTTGTCAGATCTCGCCCAGGCAACCATTCGACGCTTCGCCGACATTTACTCACAACAACATAAGTTCGGCGGCGCTAGTGGTGGAGCGACCAACCTCTTACAAACATACCCCGGCAAGATGGGCGTCCCTAGCTCTCTTTTCTCCTCCATGAACAGTCATCGAGAGGCTCAAGATGTCGCCGACAAGAATTTCCTTCCTGATGAGCTAGACGACATGCTGGACCGTGTTGTACGAAGTGCCATGAAACCGAAGAACTCCTCTCACAGGGACCAGGCCAGTTCTGCGAAGAAGCGGAAGCCCGAGTCTCTTGACGCCAATGGAAACTCTGCGAAGAAGGCACGCAAGGCAAAGCCAGGTCGGCCACGCAAGTCTGGATCCAATGTGGGCTTGCCAAGCAAGAGCCCTCGCCGCAAGAGTAAGGGTGATGATGGATGGTCTTCTGATGGAGGTGGCGCTGCGGAGCTTAGCAAATCTGCCCGGCGCCGAAGCAGCCGAGGCACTACGGGTGTCAGTTACGCAGACAAGGACACTGACGAGGATGACATGGAGATGGAGAAATGGGAAGGAGCCAAGCAGGCTGAACAAGATATCGAGGAAGAAAGCGAAGGCGAGGAGATGGAAGAAGACCAGGAGGAAGTTAACGACTCCTCCGCTACCGAGGAAGCTGCACAAATGAGCGAGAAGGAAAATTCACCACCAGCCCGCGCCAAGCGAAGTGCCAAAGCCAGCCAGGCCAAGAAGCCGGTAACAACCACTCTGCCGACACGTCGTTCATCTCGACGGGGCTGAGAGAATCTTACGCTTGAGCACGACTACTTCGAGAGAAATACCCCTGGTTTTATTGTTTCGACTGTTGCTGTTGTTCTATGGCATCGTTTCATTTCACCCATGTGGCAACGAGAGTGTCTATGTGTTTCTTCATGTTTCTCATTCATTATCCCTTCCTTCGCCTATCTGCTGTTGATGACATTTCGAGATGTATACCCACTTGCTTTTGATGTCCCCATCAGCCTGCTAAGCATCTCGTTCCATGATGCCTGTTTTGCCTATTTATTCCACGTCAAATATCATCTTTTATGTAACTAGCTCGCCTTCACAGCAGGCCCCATCTGGCTAACCAATTGAACTTCACGAAACCCTTATGCTTCAAGTTCCACTTCTAGTTTGTAAAAGTTAGTGCGAAAATCGGGCAGCGCCTTTATGTGACACGTCAATCATCCAAAACTGGCATGAGCTGACAATATTTCCGATGAATATTGTGACTGTCTTGATCAAATACCAAGTGCATAAATAAATGGTTGGATGAAGCCACACACCATTTACTGCTTATTTCCGGTCTTACGATGCAGTTGCGGGGTAAAAAAGAGCCTGAGATCGGTACATGAAATCCGATGTGGATAAATGTTCTACTATTTCGACAAGTCTGGTGCGGGGAAAGATACCAGACTTGGTAACCGACGGCGATTGATAGCCATCATCTTACTTGCTGCTGAGTCAAAGTCATACAGCGCATATTTCCGAAACGTTCAATAAATGTGCTCGCGGGTAGCCCTTCTGCAAAGTTTCTCACCTTGCACTGACAAGTTGTTTGGTCCCACTACTTTCGTCTCTTAAACACGATGTCACAACTTCCGTCGATCCGTTGGGGTATCTTGAGTACGTGTCCCCATACCAAAAGAATGTAGCGAACCAGCTAATTGACTCGTAAAAGCCACGGGAAAAATCGCCTCCTGGTATGTGTCCGATCTGGTCCTCTCTCGCCCAGATGCGAAAGTTCGCCATATAGTGCAAGCCATCGGAACGTCAGACGTGAACAGGGGGAAATCCTTCACCCAGAAGTACTGCCCAGACGAGAACCCCAGCATCTATGGTAGCTACGAGGAAGTCTACCAGGATCCGAATGTCGACATCGTCTATATCGGAACACCGCACGCTTTCCATAAGAAAAATTGCCTGGATGCCATCGCAGCAGGAAAAAATGTACTCTGCGAGAAGCCTTTCACTCTCAATGCCCGTGAGGCAAAGGAAGTTTTCGAAGCAGCCAAGCGGAAGGGAGTCTTCATCGCCGAAGCAATGTGGCTCCGCCATCGACCGCTAGTCCTCGAGCTCCAGCGTCTCCTCCATCAAGAGAAAGCAATTGGTGAGATTTTCCGAGCAACATCCGATTTTGGATCCGAGCTCGACATTCCAAATTTGCCCTTGGACAAGTATTATCGCCAGAACGCGCTGGGAGCGGGCTCTTTACTCGATATGGGTATCTACTCATTGACATGGGTGATGCTAGGTCTTGACGACCCCGGGCTCGCAGCAAATCGGGAGAAACCGAAGATTCTCGCCTCGCAGGATCACTGGGAAGATGTTGAAACAGCCACCAGTGCCATCCTGCAATATCCTGGAAGACAAGGAATTTTCACTTCCACAACCAAGGCGAGCGGAAACCCTGACCTGCTTGCTCGCATTTATGGCACTGCTGGGTCTATTGAGGTCCATGGTGGCTGCCCCTCACTACCAGAAGGTTTCACCGTCTACCCGACATTTGGAGGAGAGCCTGGGAAAGAGGCGGATAGTAAGCTTACTCGGGGCCAAGGAAAGGTGTATGACTTCAACGCTCCGGGGCGCGGCTTTCAATACCAGGCTGATAACATCGCTTTGGATGTACTGAATGGAAAATTGGAGAGCTCTATAATCCCCCAAGCCGAGACCATTCGAGTGATGGAGATCATGGACGAGATTCGACGACAGGGAGGTACACGATACCCAGTGGATTAGATGCTTGAATATTTATAGTCAAAACCCAATAATGTGACTTAGTACTACGTGTTATGCGAGATATCTAGGACCAGGATTCGACCCGCCAAAAAGTTAGATTATATAATTCGTCCCCTTGGACGCTATCGTCCGCTATAGTTAAATGACGTATTTCCGACATGTCTATTGACTCATCGGCGATCGCAACTCGTTTCAGATACTCGTACCGTGCCTCAAAACTCCAATCTATTAACGAAATTAACATCATGGCCATCGTGGTAAGAATGTTGCTGTCAAAATATTGTATTCAACGCTAATGCAGATCATAGGATGACCCACCGTCCGGGTGGGGCTCAAAGCCCGAGGACCTCGAGTACGAAGATGACTGGGAGGCGGAGGACAGTTTCGGACAACATCTGTGTGAGCAGATGAATCTTGGGAGAGGCCGTCCGATTATGTGTCAATGCACAGACCATGCCTACCTGTTTGAAGCCGGCGGAAAGTTCTACTTCTGGTATTGCGTTGGTCTCGATGTCTTCGAAATTACCTCTCCAACAACCCTGGATGAGATCATTAAGACTATGAAGGAAAAGGGAGATGGGGCCGTGAAGACTAAGAGGCTTTTATGATAAAGAAATCTGGGAGGTCTCCGAGTCCGGAGACAGGAGGGCCCGTTGCTGTGCGCTCCTTCTAAATATTCATCCTGAAAGGCACAATGCCAACGCAGACACTTCAAGAACACTCACTTTTCGTAGCCGTCGCAGTTTTGCCTTGCTCGTCCACGCTCTATCATACTCTGTTCAATGAAAACCATCATGTCCCTTCGCTTTTATTAGTCTGAGAAATTCTAGGCAGCGGTTGTACATGCCAAAGTAGTTGAAAAGGATCAAAGGTTCTTCTTCAAGAAACTTGCATTTAAGGAGGTCCAGAAGTTGTATGGTGCCAAATTTTTACGTTTGATTTGACTCGTGTTGGAGAACTTGATGGGACTTGGACTTTTGAAACACGTTACTGCCACCTTTAGAGCTGGCCTCCTTGGAGAGCTCATCCAGGACCTTGTCAATTCTTCTAATCCTATTATCTCCCCCCCAGTCCGGGGGTGTACTGGCCGTGGAACAAATTTGCAATAGTCGTTGTTGACTTGATAACTCTGCGAAGTTTCACTTTCGTTCGATGAAAGTATCGTCTGTTGCGGGGGTTGCGGGCGAATTTCGTGGCAGATGATAGCCCCGTGACAAGTTCTAGTCTATCCAGAGAATCAGTCTCATTCTTTGCTCGTGAGCCAAAAAATATGGGATTTGCCATGTATCTTAATGAAAGTCTCCATGTCAGGCCAATTCAAATCTTCATAGGCTGGCTCTTGTTTGACAAGGCAGTAATGGAAAGCTAACATTTGAACATCGTAACAATGTGTCACAAGTGACTGGCCAAGAAAATGCATCTGAATATTGAAGTAGAGCATATGCAAACCACAAAGAGTAGCACGCTGGGAAAAGAGCAATCGCTTCTCAGGCATATTGTTGGCAGGAATGGTGAAGGTGCTGCATTTGACAATATGGAGAGGATCCCGGGTGATCCAGCCATGTATGCCTGCTTGTAGCTTCTTGATATTTTTATCTGCCGACTCTGGCCAGAATTTGGGCTGTTCGTGTGACTTTGAGACATCCCAGTACTCATCGATGGTTTTTGACTTGCGTAATACGGAACTTCGAAGATCTTCAAAGGGTCCTGGTGTGGCATCGCGCATAATATGGTGAACGTCAAGTAGAATCTGTACGGCAAAGCCTATAAAAAGTTGAACTTTTGGTGATGCTGACCTCGGCGCATTCTAAGTTCAGGTTCGCGAAAGATGAGATCTCCTGAAGTAGAGTAGTGATACTACTCGTAGTATCTGTTTAGATAATTATATCAAGTAAAATTATGGCTTCTTTCAACCTTGGGAAATTTCTAGTGTAACGCAAACAATGGCTCCTTTATTCAAAAGGTTTGATAGATCCTTTCCAGCATAAGCGGTCAATGTGCTGGTCCTAGCTTCTGTTTTGTGTTCGGTTTCTCATGAAATTCAGAAAATTTCACAGCCTTAGACACCAAATTTCGCCCCTGGAACAGCTCAGTACTAATGAAGATGATCAAGGGCTCAAAATTGTAGCATTCAACGAAATACTAAGTATGGAGAGGAGGGAAAGGAACAAAGGGCAAAGGACTTGGAAGCACCTAAATACTCTCTGCATGAAGGCCTGAGAAAGTAACCATGCCATGTGTTACACCCTCGGGGTTGTGAGTTCCCAGTAAAAAGTATTCAAGAGCAGAAGGAACTAGCCATATATAGCAAATTTGCTACATTATTGGGGAACTTATCTCGCAAAGAGAGAAGGCTTGAAATTCCAGTCAACATATAGTATGAGCACTAGTATTTCTTGGTTAATAAAGTCAATCTCATTTTGCTGGATCATCCGCCGGGCTTCTTCTGCATCGCGTATTCTAGTAAACTTGGATGTATTTTCTGAGCGTTGAGATGGCTGCGAGAGTTGGAAAATGGAAAGTACCAGGTGGAAGTCACATCTTGAGGCAGGTACGATACAGAGAATGAATGTAGAGAGCCACGTCATCGGTTTATGCCTGAAAGCCAAAGGGAAAGACGGGGAATACTAGTACAAAGAGAGAAGGAGCATAAGTAGAAAGACAGGTACCAAGGGTTTGTGAATATTCAAATGACACAAGTTCTAATTTTGCTTTCACTTACTCTATTTCAAGTTTTGTCCCCGGATTTCAGAAGCTTGTTATTAATGATGACTCTCGAACCATGGGGATGGAACAGCCATGGATGGCACGTAGCCAACCGATTTTTGGCAACCGAGTTCCGAGCCGGAACCCGACATGAGGAGAACCGGTGCACTAGTGGCCTCCGATAGCATGTAACCCTGGTCTCATAATCATGGCACGAGTACTCGTACGAGGTAGCATAGGGGGTACTCCGTAGTCGAATTTCGCTCAGGCCTTTTACTCCACCTTCCAGCCGTCTCTCAAGAGTCTCCCGTCGATGGCCCGAGATATCCGGGCCAAGCCGACAGCAAGTATCGTATCGCAACCACGCGATTGGATGCATTGCCCTGGGAGAGAACGTGGAGCTCACGAAATGAAGAAGCCTTCCAATTTAATTCCACAATACTAGCACCAGCTGAATGGCGGCTTATCACTGGCCTGAGAAGGTCGCCCCTTGTTGCCCGATTCAACAATACACCGAACACAATACCATGGTCGTGTCGATCCTATCCAACCCAAGCATTAGTGGAGAACGCCCCCAATTGCTTGTGCTTGTGCTTGTACCCCGGCCATGTCAAGTGCACGGGCCTTAGCCTCAGCCAAGTGATGCTTAGCATTCCCCAGTATTTGTGCCACCGTCCCCCCATTTTTCCCGGAGGCCACTTTTTGGTGATAATTGTCCCTTTGAAAACACTAGCTATATACGCTTCGAATGAAATCCCAGCATGGAGAAACAAGAAATCGACGAGAATGTTTGCCCTCCATCGTATTCAAACGAGATCCCCCCTTCTAGCAGCTTGATAAAACCCCAAGCTCGTGAGCCTTACGATGCTAGCGTCAGCTTCGAGGAATACACCTATTATGCGGAAAAGACTAGGGCTGAGCAGGAGCTGCTGGAGCCCCCCCGTTTTGAATGTGCGACAGTTTTTTAAAAAGTCGAGTGACAACGATGCGCTGAACCAGAATGTTACGACACATTTGACTGAAGAGGATTTCACTGATCGCGCGAAGAGGATTGAGATCTCTGATGAAGAATGGTCGAATGCGAGTCGGGCATTTAGGTCTGCCTCGTGGGGTGCTTGTGAGCTTTTATGGATGTTGCCATGAAAAAGGATCTGTGGCTAATTTATTTGGTTAGGTTTCTACTTGATCACAACCGATATTCTTGGACCATATGGATCTGGTTTTGCGATGGGAACTTTGGGCTGGGGGCCTGGTAGGAAACCATAATCCAAAAATCCATGTTTCCTTGGCCAATTACTAATGAATCGCCAGGCGTCGCATTCTACACAGTATTCGGACTGATGGTAGGGTATTCCGGATACCTCATCTGGCGCGTCTACATGGGTGTTGACAGCTACGAATTCCCGGTGAAAAACTACGGCGATCTTGGATTTCGGACACTGGGTCATGGAGGCCGTCATGTTACGAATGTGATGCAGGGTATTGGATTGCTGCTTATAACCGGCCAAGTGACGATCCAATATGGCGAAAATATCTCGCAAGTCTCGAAGTTCAAATTATGCTACGCCGTATGCCCAGTTCTGTTCGCCATTGCGGGTTTCTTCATTACCCAGATCCGAACGTTGAAGGCCTATGGATGGATAGCCAATTTGGCCGTTTGGTTGAATATCTTCGTTATTTTCATGACAATGGGCGTGATGGCGAACACGCCGCCAAATTTCCAGATCTCTACTCTGGGCTCTGCTGGCAGTGCTACTGACCCAGCATCCATTACGCCCGTGGATGGCGTCTACCCGCCCATCGTCCATTTTAACAACATCCCGCCAGGAAATGGCCTGGTTGGATCCGTGAACGGCATGCTTTCTGGGGTCTTGGCCTACGCCGGTGCTCAACTCTTTGTCGAATTCATGGCCGAAATGCGACGCCCTCAAGATTTCATCAAGGCGATGTGGAGTGCCCAGTTCTTCATTTACAGTGTCTACCTCACGTATGGATGCGTGGTTTATCATCTGCAAGGACAATACAGTTTCAACCCGAGCTACCAGGGCGTTAGTATGTACGCCTGGCAAACCCTGGGCAATATGGTCACTTTGATCGCCGCTTTGATCGCCGGTGGTCTGTACGGCAATATCGGCATCAAGGTGGTTTACAATAACATCCTTGTCGATATTTTCAAAGTCCCTCCGATGGATACTCGACGAGGCAAAATCATATACGCGCTCTTGGTCCCCTTATGGTGGATTATCGCTTTCATTATTGGTGCCGCTATCCCCGACTACTTCGGTTTTGTCAGTGTGATGGCCGCTTCGATGCTTCTCAACCTAAGCTATACGTTGCCCCCGCTCTTTGCACTGGGCTTTGACATACGAAAGAATTCGATTCGAGCAGGGGAAGGAGAAGGGTTCAACCCAGTTACCGGGCAGGTTATTAGAAATGGCTCGGCTACCCAGCGCTGGGCTCGTGGGTTCGTGTCTGGTGGCTGGTTCCAAATTGCGATTAACATTTGGCATGTTATTTACTTTTTGGCTTCCTTATCCATGTGTGGACTTGGAATGTGGGCGGCAGTCGTTGGTAAGTTGATTGTGGAGCTCACCATTTGCTGTTCTATGGCTAACCCGAATCGTAGGGATGATCGAGGCATTCAAAAATCCACAGTTGAACTCGTTCTCTTGCACCTCGCCTCTCAATCTGAACGCATGATCCAGTTTGTTAGGCAACGGGGGGTTGAATTCGCTGGCTTCTTCAGGGGACAAATGTTATTAAGCGGTCCACCAATTATACTGTACACACTCGCTTTTGTAAACCACTGGCAGCAATTGAACAATTGATATGGCGTTATATTATTCCGGAAACTTAGAGGGGCGACAAGACAATCCAATTGAGAGCCTGGTATTTACTGGTCTAACTTGACATATTACACGGGGAATTCGAAAAGAATTAAAGGAAACAATAAAAAAAAGCATTTGGATGCAAGGCATATCCGATACAAGAAACACAATTCAATTCGCTCTACCGCCGCAGTTTCAAGTCCTATACAATTCCAACAAACATCAAAAAGGCTTACATGTGTGCTTGAGACTAGGAGAGTTTGGGTTCAAAAGATGTAACATGGAGGAAAGTACATGGGATAAGAAGAAGATGTGCGAGTTGGGGATCGAACACACGCACTGGACGCCGTTGTCATGACTTCATCAAGGAATTTTATGACTAAGGCTGAGATCCAGGAGCTGGGGATGGAACTGCACCTAGGGCAGGGCTTGCACTGGCCGAGGTTACGCCGCCGGGAGCCGGGCTTGCGCTAGCGCTGTGAGCACTGTCAGTTCTGATAGGGACACCGCCGCCAGATCGCACACGCTCCTCCACGCGCTCTTTGTGTTGTCGATTGCGAAGGTGAACTTCGAAGTTGTCGACAGTCGTCATGGGTCTCGGGGTATACAACTTTCCAGGACAATCCAAGCAGCGAATTCGAGGAAGATACTGATATTTGACTTTTTGACCGGCCGGGAGGTTGTTCGGGTTGGCCACGGGAGCGAGAGTTTCCATGTCTACCGCGGAGTAGCGCATAACTCCTTCAAACGAGTCATTGGGGTGAGCTTGTTTGAGCTTTTGTAGGCCTTCTTGTAGCCAACCTGGTGGTGGGGGCTGAACATGTCCGGGGTCAGCCTGGAACCAATATCTTAGAAATCTAATATCTACTCACAGCGGGGACCCCAGGCTGGGGCGGATTCGGGGCGTCGACAGCTCCACTTTGCGGTTGACGTTGTTGTTGTGGTGGTGGTGCGTTCTGATTGTGGAGTCGTTGCTTGTCGGATGGAGGTGCCATCGTTCCGGGGGGCATTTGGGGGGTGTTGACAATGCTCTTGCCGTTTCGCAGGTCGATAAGCTTGTTGCGGGGAATCTTCAGTCTCACAATCAACTTCTCGGGCTCTTCCATACTCTCTTCGCGGAACTGCTGTCGTCGAGAAGACATCCGGGTCGGCTCCTGCAAAACAGGTTCTGGTGTTGCAGATTGCCCTAAGCTGGCACGAAGGGCCGCATGAGCTGCTGTTGCGGCACCTCTCATACCTCGTGTGCGAGCGGTTCCTTGGGCGAGGTTGGGACCAATTGCTGGAGACCCGACAGATGAGTCGTCACTATCGAAGTCATCTGATTCATCCTCTCCGCGCTGACTGGCAATTCCACGACGACGGCTAGAAACAGAGCGTTTAATAACGTTGCTTTCTTCAAACGTCTGTGCCGAGTTAGGGATGACCGACGAGACGATCAGCGTACGAATCGTTCGTTGGCGATCCTTCAGATCAGGAAGAGCAGGGCCGCCACGACGGTTGATGGATCGCTTTTGTCGGCGTTGTTCTCGGGATATAGAGATCTCGGTACGTTCGAGATCGGTCTCGTTCAATTCGTAGAGATAGGGAGTGTGCTCCTTGGCAGCTTGGAAAGGTCGGAAGGCGGATGAAACGGGAGTTGGGAGGAAAGAGGTGCTGAGATCGGGATCTTCGATGGGGCGACCATCGAACGGGTGGGCGACAATGTAGAGGGACTTGGTGAACAGTTGAGATTGCTCGCGAATGGAGTGGGCGATGGCGGTTGTGAATTCTCCTGACAGAGAAAGGTCATCCGTCATGCGCATGGCAAATCCTTCCGGTGAGTTTTGGGGATCATTAATATCCCATTCAAACTGGTCGATTAGAGTATGTTGCCCGATAGTGATGTTCAGCTTAATTAATATCCGCATCTCATCGTTCCGGTACGCTGAATACGGGAGACTTGGTTCGAGCGGTTCATCATGCATGAACATTTGCGGATAGTAATCCATCAGCTGCTCCTGAATGGTCTGCGAAATCATACGCATAAGAGGAGCAGAGCTCTCCAGTGTAAGTCCCAGATCCTCCACCAACTTTTCAGCAAAAAGGTCAGGTGAAACGACGCGGTCGTGAAGGTTCCACGTGAAAGTATCTCGAATCTTAATTTTCTCCCAGTCGATATCGAGTCGAATGGGGACAAGGTCCTCTGTCTGTTCGTTTTGAATCTTCATATCCCGACGCGAGACCCGCAGTTCTCGGGTCTTTCGGTTTCCAGGGCGCCGTCGGCTAGATGGATAGAGTAGTTGTGGATGTTGATTCCGCAAATCGGTGCGTTGGTTGCCAAATCCTTCGTAGCCTAGCCCATATAAGGCGGCCGGATTTCCCTGGTTCTCACGGCGTATTTGCAGATAGAAGTCCCGCTCTTCTCGCTTCTGTTGTTGCAATTCTTGACTCGGGTTTTGCCACGCAGTAGCGGCCGAATACTCAAACTCGCGATTGACATACTGCTCCAACAAGATCTTCTCCACGGGCGTCTCGCGTGTTCGGACTGCCAACGTCCCTGAAGTGTCGGTTGATTGAATCACGGAGCCATCGCGCGACCGTTTCCTACTTTGCGCGGAACCGTTTGTTCCATTGGATTGTGGGGTGCCATTCATATCATTATTGGCGTCTGCAGGTGCACCGACCTTGGATTTCGCGTTCTGCTTTCCCTCGCCAATGATGTCTGGCGTTTGACCATTGGCCGGCTGGCCGGCCACGGTGTCGGAGGAGTTCCAAGCCTCCGGCCCCCGTATCGGACGCGCCAGAGCCATTCTGAGCGCCAGTCAGAGAGTCGGAGGGGGACTTCTCCTGTGGCGGAGAGCCATTCTGGAGATCGGGGGAAGGCATGATCGATAAAGAGTTGGGAAGGAGTAATCCGGGGTCGCTTGGACGGATTATTGATGTGAGTCGAACTCGACGCGATTAAGGTAGCAACGGGTCACTTATGGCAGCATCATTGAGCGAGCCTGTATTAAAAAATGTTTCAGTTAGCCAGTAGCTCATATCGAAAGCGATTGGTACTGGGTGGAATTGATATCGCGATCGCGATCGCGCGATCAAAGGTGTCTGGGTGCGAGTCGATCCACGACCGTGTCGCAACCCACGCAATGTCGCGGACATGCCACAACATGAGAATGTTTAGGACAAGGAAATCCACGGGCATTGCGAGGGAAGCTTCTTGGACGAGACGATTAGGATGAAAGTCTGGGGGCAAAGTAACATACCGGAGCCGAAGGGGGGTGGAGGCCAATTGCGCTCTAAGGGACCCAGGGCTGGATGCTATGGGTCTCGCGCGGGGGTATCAAGTGATTCACGTGTTTCTCTTCAAAAGGGAAGAGATCGAATGAATGCTTCGTCCTAGCTGTCTGGAGCTGGAGCTTTGGTGGCGGGTGGTGAAGGCGCGCCGCCGGTGGATGCGTAGGAGAAGTTCAAAGGAGAGAATGGATTACGAGATGTCCGCTCCCGGTCAGAAACAAGGCTGTACAGAGCATCAACGCGCTCTCCACGCACACACAACTACCAGTGGCTATGAGACAGCTAAACTGGATCTACAGGGGAAGACTAATTGTAGCTCTGGATTTTCTTCACCGTTCCTGCTGGCCACTGCGCCGGCAACAGGACCGGTCGAATCGGTATGCTGGTATCATGTGACACATGGGAAGGCTGGTGTTGCCGCCTTTGATTTTAGGTGTCGACTTGCCCATTTGGGGGAGTCAAGGAATAACTCTGTAGTAGATTGTAAGAGTGCTCAGGTAGTTTCTAAGATTTATCTCCAAGGTGGAACTTGAATTTGTTGACTCAGAACTCATCCCAATAGCATCACATCAGCAACTACAGCACGATGATCCGAATTGAATACCCCATCATCGAACCGGTTGGCCAGTACAGAATACCCATCCACTCGCCATTCCTGATTTCCACCAGAGGCTAGGAGCACATAGTCGATTCGCTTTGCTGGTTCTGACTCATACCCAAACCCAGTGAAGGTATTGGTATTGCCATACTGTTGCAAAGGTTCGACCAGTTTGAAGGTATCGAGGAGGTCTCCTGACCCCGTCAAATCCTGATACGCTTCTTGATCCTCCTCGCTATTTAGATCCCCCGACAAGAAACTACCGGAGATCAATCCTCCATAGTCTCCAGTTTGATACTCATGGATCTTTGAACGAATGATACGTGCTGCTTCAAGACGGGAGCGAGAACCCTGGTCATCCAGGTGCGTGTTCATCGCGATGACTGTATTCCCGGTTTTTTGATGAGTAAAGACGCCGATGGTGACAATGCGGGTAGAGGCCGCGTCCCAGCTTTTTGATGGTTTGCTGGGAGTCTCGGAGAGCCAAACCGTCTCCCGCGACTGAAGAGTCCAGACGGACGGTTGGTAGAAGATGGGTGCGTATTCTCCGGCCTGTTGCCCATCATCCCGGCCAACTCCTATAAAGGCCCAATCCAAACTTGAAGACTTTGAATTCGATTTAGAATTCAAGCCCGTAAGAATATCCACGATTTGATTGTGAAGAACCTCCTGCAGGCAGATGAAGGTATCGCTGCCGAAGCGAGTGTTGTAGTGGAGCTCGTTTAACAGCAGTTGCTTCCGCTCGTTCCACGGCCGCTCACCCTTGAAGGGCGATGGGGTGGCATATCGGATGTTATGGGTTAGTACACGGAAGGGCAATGATGGGGTTGACCGCATTTTGTCCGGTTGAAAGGCAAAGACAAGAGGGGAAGTCCGAGAGCATGGCGGATGAGGGGAAGCTGGGGCTGGGGCTGGAGCTGGAGCTGGAGCTGGAGCTCACGCGACCTTCCATCTCTTACTCCATACATCATTTGGCAAAGACAATGACAATCTGCACTGCCCCAGAATGCAAGTAAAGTGCGGGCACTGCGGGCACTGCGGGGTCTTCGACGCTGATCGGGGCTAATTATGTACGACAATGCTGGAAGTGACGCTTTGCCAGTAATGACGTCTGTCCATCAGCTCCCACACTAACCCTACGGAAGTCCTAAATTTTCAGGCCACCAAAAATGGGACAAACCCCACCAACGAGAGCGTTTTGCCCGCACAGGACTCGCTCTTGACCTTGACTTCCTTTCAAGCTCTTGTGGATTTCAGTATCTACTTGTTACCAACCCCCTTCCCACCTTAACATATTTATCCTCGCACTTCGCGATACCCACTCACACAATGGCGGAAGAAAAAGCGCCCGAGGTCGTTGGTAGGTGTTGCTACTACTGTGGTTTCCCGCGAAAGCTCTGACGTTGTGTGGGTTGTCGTCGATGCCTAAACGTCAAGAGCTTCATTGATTCACCTGGAAAGCTAATTGTCTCATATTAAACCAGACTACACTCTTAACAACCCCGATACTCTGACCAAGTACAAGACTGCTGCTCAGATTTCCCACAAGGTTCTCGAGGCCGTTCGCCGTATGTTGCGCTTCTTTACCCTATGATGATGACCCTCCTGAGGCTACCGGCTAACCTTGAATCTCTCTAGCTCTCTGCATTGAGGGTGAGAAGATTGTCGAGATCTGCCAGAAGGGTGACAAGCTTCTTGATGAGGAAATCGCCAAGGTCTACAAGGGCAAGAAGATCGCCAAGGGTAGGTTCCCATTTCCCCTCCCCCGCCAGCTCCGATGACCTTCAATTCTAAATCTCAATGAAAACTACGAAAAGGTATCGCTAGCCCTACCACCATCTCTCCCAGCTCATATGTGACCCCCTACACCCCTCTGGTCTCCGATGCCGCCGAGGCCGAGACCGTCCTGAAGGCCGGCGAGATCGTCAAGATCCAGCTGGGTGCTCAGATCGATGGTTTCGGTACCATCGTCTGCGACATGGTCGTTGCTTCCAAGAAGGACGCCGCCAAGGAGCCCATCACCGGCCCCGAGGCCGACCTGGTCGTCGCCACCCACTACGCCAATGAGCTCCTACTCCGCCTCATGGTTCCCCCCGGCCTGCTTGCCCAGGGTACCGACGAGGAGAAGAAGAAGGCCGCTGCCCAGCGTGCTCCCACCCAGGCCCAGATGTCCACTCTTCTGGAGAAGGTCGCCAAGGCCTACGGCTGCAACGTCATTGAGAACACTACCTCCTGGTTGTTCGACCGCAACGAGATCGAGGGCTCCAAGAAGATCATCCTGTCCCCCGGCGACGGTGTTCGTGGTGACGGTACCCCCGAGGTCGGTGAGGTTTGGGGTGTTGAGGTTGGCCTCTCTCTGGGCAACGGTAAGGTCAAGAACCTGGACCACCGTGCAACCCTCCACCGCCGTACCACCACCACCTACGGCCTGAAGCGCCCCAGCTCCCGCCAGACCCTCTCCGAGATCGTCAAGAAGTTCGGTACCTTCCCCTTCAGCTTGCGCCAGCTCGAGGACGAGAAGTCCGCCAAGGTCGGTGTTGTTGAGTGTGTTCGCAGCGGTGTCGTCCGCCAGTACGAGCCCGCCGGCTCTGCTGACAACACCCCCCGTGTCTCGCCTGCTGACCACCGTTGGTAAGAAACAATTACATCACATCCCACTCAATTGGAATCCCATTCGCTAATCATTTCTCTGCAGCCATCACCAAGAACGGTCTCACCAAGCTTGCCGCCCCCAACGCCGTCGACCTGGAGCTGTACAAGAGCGACAAGAAGATCGAGGATGAGGAGATCCTCAAGATCCTCGAGCAGCCCCTTGCCCGTTCGACCGGTAACAAGAAGAACAAGAGCAAGAAGAAGAAGACCACCGGTGGTGAAGAGTAAATGCATTGACCTGAGCGTCTCTTGTATGCCGTATGCAATATACATTGATATGGTGTTGGACAATTTCGATGCCAAAACTGTCTAAAAAAAAAGATATCCAATGACGAAAATTCCCACTGGGTTATACGAATCTCCCGGCAATTCCAATCAAGAAAATACTATTTAGCCGACGACTGATCATGTATGAGGTTGGCGCCGATGTCCCCTTTTCCCCTTCTAGTGGATTTCGGTACACGTCCACCGAGTTCCTGGTACAATGTAACTATCGGTTGGAATATTTGAGGATCTAGGTGCTATGGCATTTGTGGGTCATCATGTAATTATCTGCAGGGAAAGCCTTAGAGATAAGCCTACGGAAATAAAGACGCTGCCAGTGCAGATTCTGTTCTCTTCCTAAGGTAGATTGTAGAGCCGGAGATGGTAGGAGATTGTGTCGCCACAAACCTTCCTAAGGTTGGAAGGAACGTTTTTATTTTTATTTTTTTTTCTTATTTCCCTGTGCACTACTAGTAATTCTAGAGTCCAGGACCTACTAATACTAGTAGTAATCTACCTTAATTACCGTTGATCGTTGACCGTTGACCGTTGACCATTTACATGTCCTATATCAGGTCGGCCAACAGTCATCGGTATTGGGTAATGTACTCTGACTATTGCCTTGCCACCAGCTGAGGTTATCAAAATCCATTATGCTGACATTTTCACTTTAGATTCCTATGTTTAGCCCCGCCCAACTCGACATCCTGTGTGATCGCGCAGCATCAAATGTTTGCCCGCCTCTCGCGTGGCTGCCTGCTTCTTGTCAAATTCGACTTATTTCCTGGCTTTGAGCTTGCAGGTCCACGCTCATCTGATAATATCCAAGACGATATTGAATCCTATAGGAGCCTCACATTATATTTTTCATCGATTGAGGGCTTTTTCCTTCAGCTTGTACCTCATTTTCTTTTGTCGGGGGTTTATCCAGACAATACGCTATACTGGAGGCGAGTTTATACGGCCACCAACTTGAACAGCTTTGAATGAACTCCGTGGGGAGCTCACGCGGATACGAAATTTCGAAAACACCACCAAGAAAGCAAATGACATGGATATGGATATGGATTTTCTCAGCACTGTTACGGAGTATAGTTAGGGCATTTGGGGCATCCCGCATTGGCGCTAACCCTAGCAGGGCGGTGTTCCGCCTACCGCGATGGGCAGCTTGACTCGGTCCGCTAGCCGGGCTAATAATTCCTATCCCATTGAACCCGCAATCCCTCTCAAGCTCCACAAGGGAAATCCGCGTCAAAAACGCGTCGAATCGACCTCGCCAGGCAATGCGACCGTGATCCTGCCAGCGCACAAGGTCTCTGCATGGGAAGAGCCTGCCCGTGCCCTCGCGCGCCCATCTTGGGCGAATGCCGACGACGACTTTGATCGCGCCCTGAACGAACACCTCAGAATCATGAAGCCGATCGGACAGTACCCGTCCCTTGCGGAATATAAGAGCGTCGGTCTGAGGCCTCGGTCAAAGACCCCAAAGACTGGTTTAAAACGCGCGTCCAAATTATATTCACGGACCGACGACGATGAGGATCTCACGACGGATACGCCGATCACGCCCGTCGCGGAGGAGGAAGCTATCGCGGCTGAAATATTGCGCGCCGACGATGATGATGACGACGATGATACTATGAATGGGCTTGAAACTACGGCCGGAGTCAAGGCCGCTGTTGAGAGTGTGGTCATGGAGGTGGAAGACACGGACGCCGAGGCAGAGGACATGAATGAAACCAATCTCGCGACTCCAGTGTCGGAAGCAGTCGACCCCTCGTCTGCATTTCCTTCCATTCACCAGTCGATCAATCCTTCTACTCAGCCTTCCGCTCACTCTTCCATTCATTCAACTCTCAACTCGCCTCTTGACACCCCCCTAGAGGAAATCAACTCTCCCGTCCTCACATTGACCGCTCCCACCACCCACCTCACCGTTCCTAATTCTCAGCTCCCAACTTCACATCGCCACTTACAGCAAACGCAGTCACCCCCTGCTACCGCTGTTGCCACTATGGCCGACACTTTGGCGTCCAAGGATCAGCAAGTCGTCAAACCGGACTACCTCACTGTCCTGAATTCTCTTCCAGTCCCCAGGTCTGAGAAGTACGATGTGAACCAACTCAAGCACGTTCTTGAAGTTGCAGTCACTCGTGCTGTGAACATCAGCGAAGATGATGTTGCTTTGAGCTTAGTGCACTACTGGTCCGACATCTCAGGCGATGACTTCAAACTGTCGCTGGTTCACAACATCGGTAACGATGAAAGGGATCACAATCTGGAACTCGCCCTTCAAACTATGCTACGTCATTCTACGGATGAAGCGATCAAGTGGTATAAAACTTATGCCGCTGAAAATTCTCGCCTTCTGGCTGGTCCTAGTTCCCCCACCGATTCCAGTTTGTCATCTGCCAAGTCCCTTGAGCCAGAATCTACCACCTTCAGCCGAGCGGATATCTACCGGGACACAAGTGGTCCAAAGCTCGAGGAGGCATTCCTTAGTGGCAAGACAAATACTGCGCCGCTAAAACGGGCCAAAAAGCCTTGCCGGGTGAACGAGAACTCCTTCAAGCGCAGGCGAGAGTGGGAAGCAGATTCCACTCTTGAAGGGAGCCTAAAGGAAAAGCGTGCCCGCCTAGCCCAAGAAGCCAAATCCGACCAGACTCTGGCCGACAGTAGTTCAGTTCGTCCTCAACGTGGACAGCCGGACGATATTCAGCATCCTTACTCCTATGGTGGTGAAGAGCAAGACGAAAACATGCTATCTACCCCAAGGGCTGCTACGACTGAAGCTGCTACGCCTGAAACTACTACTCCTTCTGGTGTAGGTCAGCCACGGCGGCAGCGCATTGCCAAAGAGCGTTCGAAGGCGAATGGAAAGGAAGCAGAGAAAGAAAGGGAGAAAGAGAAAGACAAAGAGAACGAAAAGCAACTATCTCATGGGGCCCGTTCGCTATCCCTGGATACTACCGTCTCTGGTGCCGAGTCTGATGCCTCCAATTCTTGCTACTCGGACAATGAGAATTCTTGGGTTGGTGATTACAAGTGCCGACAAATGCCGAATGCCATGTATGTGCTATGCTATATTTTTCTTTCATTCGCCCGGATGATGGGAAAACCAGGAGGGAAAGAATCCACCTAGACTGACATGAATGATATAGTAACGTGCCGGAGAACACGGATTATTGCACTATCTGCGATGATGAGGGTGATTTGCTTTGCTGCGATACCTGCGAAAATGCCTTTCATTTTGGCTGCCTGCGACCCCGGGTGGACAAGAAGAATCCACCGAAGGGCGACTGGTTCTGTGAGACTTGCGTCGTGCGCAACAGCCTTACCACCACCATCGCCTGGGGCAAGCACAAGCGAAGGAAATCTTCATTCTCCCCGCCACAGGGCATCAAGGATTACTTCGAAGGCGTCGGCGAAGAAATCTGCAGCAATACGCACTATCCACCGGAGGAGAAACGGACGTATTCCTTCTACAAATCCGTCCCCACCATGCCGAGGCTGACTAAGCCTCCCAAGACCGACAAGGACCACAGCAACAGGACGCCTCTTTACGACGACCCCAACCTAACCAAGTTGATGGAGAACGGGCATGTCATTCTCTGTAACAAGTGTAGCCTGTCTTCCGAGGGTACGCGTCCGATTATACGTTGTGACTACTGTGAATCCCGCTTCCACCTAGACTGCCTTGACCCGCCCATGGCCAAGCCCCCCTAACCCTTACGAAGGCTGGCTTTGTCCCAACCATGTTACTTCAGATGATCTGGTGATCAGAAAAAATGTGAATGGTCAGGTGCAAGAGCGTCGTCCTCGTCGCCCAAAGAAGGCAACGACCCTCTCTCACAGGTGGGATCCCGAACAAACATGGGATGAGGATTTCGCCGCGCAGGACGATGACGTCGGCCCTCGCGAGATTGTCCTCGACTTCATTTCCACTGCCAAGTTCAACAAGAAACGCGAGGATGAACAGAAGCAGAAGCAACTCGAGAGCACCATGCTGGATCTGACCAGACAGTTGACGATGGAGCATTTTACCAAGAACGGAGTCTCCCTTGCTGACATCTCCAACCCAAACCCCCAACTCCGGGCTGGTATCAAGAGTCTCCTTCATAACTATGACTCTGGAAGATATAACCTTGCTACCTACGATGCTGCATCTTCTCTGCTCGGCCTTTCTAATGGCGAGCCAGTTACAATAGATGATGAGCCCGTCACTACCAACACATCAGCTGAACAGGTTTCCCCTGTCCCCTCCCAACAGAATGAACCAGTCGACTTGGAAACACCCCAGAAAGTCACTTCCCCCAAGCCCGATAAAAAAGACACTCCAGCTCCAGCTCCATCGCCTGCGCCTGCGCCAGGAACTGCTTCCCGCCCGCTGGCACGGTCTGCCCCGGCTTCTCGTCGGCAATCGCGGTCTCGTCGCACCACCAACTCCCCTAGAGTATCTACTCGGGCGACACGGAAATCGACCGGTCCCAATCCCGACCTGGGCGCAATCACGGAGACACCTTCCAAGGAGACTCGGAAGAAGAAGCGATCATACGCTGAATCCGAGCCTTCTCTCAGCGCAGACGAGCCGGCTCTCAAGCGCCAGCACGCTGATTCCGATTAAACCTCCTTGCATGAAAATGGAGGCTTTTTCGCGCTTTTACCATGCTATGCTATGAAAAAAACAAATCTGTAGTGGCGGGATGTGCAAATTCTGCCCACACCCGCACACACATTCCACATTCGACACATCATCTCATCCGTTTTTTTTTCTTCTCTCTCTTCCTTTTCTGTTTCTAGGGCGAACATCATTGCCTATTCGACAAAATCCCCATCCATCTACTTCCCATTCAGCACACACATTCGGAACTGGCGCATTTTTCAAAGAATATATTTGCACGTGGCTACGGATAAGGGCGTTTTCTGCGAGAGCATTTGTTGAGGTTCCGTCCATCGCCGCGCTTGACCGGTGATGAGTTTTGCATTTAGTATTCCTTACCATTTTGCTTTCCTCCTTTCTCCTGTTTTCTCTCCGGGTTGTTGGTATGAACCGTTTCCATTCATCATTTCGAACATCGGCTTGTTTGCATTTAGTCAATTTTCTTCTTTTTTTATGTTTCTTTCTTTCCAACGTTTCGAGTTGAGAAAATGACGAGCATGGATATGGCGCATTGTTCGAAGAATCCACATGTATTATTAGCATGGGCCCAGGGGAATCAATAATTGACTTTCAAACATTTATTCGCGAAACTACTACTTCTTTTCGTCCAAGGTCTCAACTCTCGGTGGTAATTTACGGCGCTCCATGACCGCAATCGACTCTGTTTCTGGCAGGCAGGAGTCCAAAATCACTTGTGTTCACTATACAAATTTTCACCTGGCTATCTACACTACTGATATAGGTACTGGATGGTAATTGAAACAGAGGTCACACTTGTAAATTCGTTACTCTACATAAATGATCCGAAACAACATACATAACGAAGCGCCTTGAACATACATGAAGCTAATAAAAGACACGCAAGAACAAAATCACCCTCTTCCGGGCATGAAGATGGATGTGCAAGGCAACTTGGTCGGGACTAAGAACTATCCGACGAAGGTTGGACAGAGCCCACCGAAAAAAAAGGTAGGTGGGGTTATCCACGCTGTCCCAATATCTAAAGGAACTTCTTGGGCATGTTCGCGCGACGACGCTTATACACGACGTAGATAATAGCGAGAACAACTTGGAAGGCGATGACCATGAAGATGAAAAACCCCATGCGAGGAGTGGACGCGGTGATGGCTATTACGAGATGTCAGTAAAATATTTCGGTCAATTCGCACGGGTAGTATCAACATACCGCTCAGCAGGCTTCCCTGCAGAGTCTCGCTGAGGCTGAGATGAGAGGTTCGGAGAGTGTCATGAAGCTGGTTAAAGCGACCGCTGTAGTCCTTGCCTTCAAGATCACGCTGGATGGTCTGAAGAAGCTGCTCGATGCGCTGAAGTCGTGCGTCCAGGGCTGCAACTTGGTCCTTGGAGGCAAGCTTTTGCAAAAGTTCTGCTTGCCGGGCCTCGTTCTTGGATGCTTGGCTTTTCATATCTTGGAGGATGTTGGTGGTCGCTTTGTTGGTAAGCTGGAGACGACCGCCGAGGTCGACGAATTGGGCGGCAATCCCGTGATCCAGGACAGTGTTGCCAGTAGATGGGTTGGGAATTGTGTTTTGCTGCTGTTCCTGCTTCCTGGCGGCTTGCTGTTGGGGGGTGCCCACCTTGGGGGGGGATGACCTGGCCCTGACCGGCAGCAGACTCCAAAACGAACTTGAAGACTTCAAAGGAATCGGGATTCTCGGGTGTGGCAGCTGTGATACCGAAGGTGTTTCCAGCGGGAAGAGCAACCTATTGTATTTGAGCATGAGGCGACTTCATTCGTCAAAGTTAGAAACATACCTTGTCTGTGGCGAAGCAGACCTTGTCGTCCACGGTAACCTCGAAAATCGAGTTTGTGTGCTTCAGTTTCACGACCGATGGGCGACCGAGGTTTCGGTAAGCGTAGTCGCAGTGTCCGAAGGCGAGGCTATCGACACTTCGGTGGCTCTTGTAGTCTGTCGTTCCATCGTTCAAGAATCCGCGAATACTTCCACCCTAGAGATTATTTAGCCCAGTGCCTGTTTTAAAGCTAGCATATCAATCTTACCCTGCCGCCATGGGTATCAATGACCAGTGCAAACCCATCAAATTGCCCCACGGTATAGATACTCGAGGTGCCAACTCGGGTTTGTCCGTCCTTTGTGTACCACAGTTGGAGGTTGCCTCCTGACCGTTCCTGGCCACTGCCGCGGAATTGGAACTCGGCGCTCCATTCCGATTGTGTAATACTATTTTGCTTGTTCAGATTATGCCCTTCAATGAGAATCGAGGTATTTCAACGTACGGGTTCTGTGCCCAGGCCGATCCGCGGACGTTTCCAGGGTAAGGAGGAGTCAGGATGAGTTTGTTGGACAGCTGTTTTGAATTAGCGAATTAGCGCGGGGATATGACAGTTGCACAAATGATTCACTCACAATCTGAGGATCACTGCCCTCTCCACCAATGTTCCATCCTGGGATGGAGTCTCGCGTGGGAGAGATCCTAGCAAAGAAGGTTAGCGGTTGACTGATCCAATCATGCAATGGGACGAATTGCGCACGTCTTGTCATATCCAAAGCTAGCACTTTGGATGACCTGGGCCGTAGCACCAGCAGCAAATAGAGCAAAAGAAGCGAATGTCTTCATTATGGCGGGGCGATCAAAGCGCGGAATAGTAGTGAACTGACAAGTCCAAAGCAAGCTCTGTCAGAGCAATATAAACAGACTTATAGGGTTTCAAGTTATCCAATTCAATTCCAATTATCTCTCCGAGTTCCTCTTCGAGCGAGTCGAGTCACAATCGCAGGGTTTCCGGGGAAGTTCACAAAGGCTCGAGACGACGCGAGTGGTGATCCACCCAACCACGACAGCGATTACGCAGAGCCGAGCTTCCTTAGCGATGGCAGCGGCCGAAGGGGAGATATCGATGAAGTGATGAAGCTGGACACTGTTGAGAATGGTGTGTCGCACGCCGACGTCCGAGAAGTCCATGCGGAGGGATTAGCTAGTGTTGATACCTGGCCTTCTCTCCTGATTTGTTCTCCGCATGGGTCCACCTGCGGAAGAACTGCAGGGTGTTTGCATTGGGGGATGCAAACATTTAAAGTCACGTGTAAATTCCAAAATGCTTTGCCGGGCGATGATTTACACGTGACCTTTAACCAATTAGAAGCGAGGCAAATTGAATTAGCCCGATAGTCACGTGCCTGGTCATGATTCCGGCCGGCATCGCGAACGCTCGGGAAGTGCCAGGCTACCCGAGGTTTCTCTTCTTCCCCAGCGAGAAGCAACCTTGAACCTCCATCACACACCATGTTCTCTCAAAAGGTTGCCCAGCAGTCGCTGCGACGCCGTATGTCATGACTCCTCTTTTTAACTCGCTTCTCAGGACCAATCGCGCTAACAATGTTCCCCCTCGATTCACAGTCGCCGTCCAGCAGCCGCTTTCCATGCAGTGGTCCATGATGCGCGCCTCCCCGGCCGCCATGGCCCTCGGAAAGACTGTCCAGTCGAGGTCAGTCACTCCCTGCGACAGAAGAACCTGTTGAACATCTCAATATTCTCTCCTGGAATTGTCACTCTCCGCAGTCGACAGCCGACGTCATCCTCAATCAACCATAAAAACTAACATTACCTCTAGACCCGTTACCACCTCCCCTAACAAGGAGGACCCAACCTCGCTTCTCGCCAAGCAGCGTCTCAACCGCCCCATCTCCCCCCATCTGTCCATCTACAAGCCCCAGATCGGCTGGATCGGCTCCTCCCTGCACCGTATCACTGGCGTCGCTATGTCCGGACCCCTCTATCTCTGGGCCACCGCATACCTGCTCTCGCCCACCCTCGGCTGGCACCTGGAGTCTGCCTCTATGGTCGCTGCCATGGGTGCTCTCCCTGTTGCCGCCAAGGTTGCCCTCAAGGCTACCCTGGCCCTGCCTTTCACCTACCACTGCATGAACGGTCTCCGCCATCTGACCTGGGATCTGGGCCGTGGCCTCACCAACAACGCCATCATCAAGTCCGGCTGGACTGTTATCGGTCTGAGCGTCTCAACCGCTCTCGCCCTTGCCTTTATTTGATTTCCACATACCTCCCGAGTTTCCTTGTGTTATTAAAGGGATTGATTATGTTTTCTTTCCCTCTTTTTTTGGTCAAGCAAATTATACGAACGTCAAAGTCCGGTTGCGCTGCGCGAACTCAAAAGGCGTAGATTTTCTTTCTATGTATTTTTTATGGTCTGATTTGGGGCGAACATGTTTGATGAGTGGGTTGACTTACCTTGACCTTTGGGTTATCATTACTCTTACTGGGAGGGGAATCCATTACATCGACATTCCAAGTTCCTTACAAACCAACTGCCTTTCATAAATATTTCATTTATCTTTGCTATGAACCTATTGCATTTATTGGTATTCCTTCATAGACCAGATGCTTCGGTTGCTATGACCTGGGTATCCCCATTAAAACTTGTAAATCAAAAGAAGTACAACCATCCATCTCATTTTACCCAGCCTCGTATGCCAATTGGTTCCCAGTCACGGTACATTTCTCGATAATTTCAAGTTCTCCAGGTCTCGACAGAAGTGGCATCCCTCATTGATAAAGGTTGCGTCGATTGTCACTCGTGATGGAATAGTATACCTAGGTAACCGTACTGGTGGCAGTGGGTTCGAGGTTGGATCATTATGTTCTAGTTATATATTCGTCAGCTGATCTCGTCTCACCACAGATCGCCGTTGAAGCGTGCCAGTGACCTACCTATAACCTGCTTCCCTCAACGCCGTATAAAATAAATTCCCAATAATGTCCATCTAGGCGGGACTGGGAGGTGGATTGGGAGGGAACGGACGTGGTGAAGGTGGATCCTGCACCGAGTGGTTGGTTGTGGGCAATCCTTCAGTCATGATATAGGCGTTTTGGGCACAAGATGAAGAGATGAGGAGAGTAGGGGGCATATTTGTATGTTATAGAGACTCGACTTCCCACGTTCTTATGAGAGGGAAGATTAGAACAAGTACTTATATTTGAGGTGCCAAAGTTGGTTGAGAGGCGATCCTGTAGTATAAAAGCGAGGATGCCGGCAGAGGATAGACGAGTGTTACACTTCAAAGTCAAAAGCCAACTTCAAATTAGAAAAGAGGATCTAGTATGAAGAAAAAAAAAATACTTCGCAAAATCTTCCGGCAGGTCGATCCCCCCCCCTTTAATACCCCGACAAAGTTGAAAATCGAGCAATCGAGAAACCACCACCCATGTACGTGGTACACCGCCATCCCGTCGGCAACCCCAATCAAGGAATCAGACAAGGAGAAATCCAGCCCTGGGAAACAAAGCAAAGACTAGGCTATTTGGACAAGAACAGCATGGAGGTAGCCATCCAGGTGCTCAGATCCCACAATGTTCTGGATTCCAGCCTGCAAGGGCCCGACGGAAAGAACTTGATGTATAAACCGTTGACGGCGCGCCGTCACACCCGCGATCTCTGACCACTTTTGTAGGAGCCTGGCCCAACCCGTTGAATACAAGCTTAAACTTCCTCAATGAAAACTCAAAGCTCCATCAGGTGTAAAGAGGGTGAACCTCTCCAGTCTTCTAGGTTCGGAGGCTACGAGCTATACGAGCAAAATGATTCTACTCGTCAGATGGTGGCTGCCTTTTTGCGACGTAGATGGCTTTCCCCAGACCTGGCCGAGAGTAGAAGATTTCTGTGGAGTAACACCAGCGGTCTGGGCTGTGAGTTTGCGGCTTCTTGCAGCGATCATCTTCGTGATGGTGGGCAAATCGTTGGGGAATTGCCTTTTTCCCCGATACAATCCCAGTGGACCGTGGCGGCTACTAACCGTTGATCAGCTTGATCGGTGGAACTGAAGGGAAAGAAATCTACTTGGGTATGCTAATGTAGCAAGTATTAGTATGTACTGTATCCTGGGAGTAGAAAAATTATATTTTTAGTTACTGATTGTTAGTTGTCTAGAGTGGCAATTTGAGAGAACCTCAAGGGAACACTGGATGCTTCTGTTGCCACTATCTCCTCTAAGCGGTTTCTTTTCCAGAGGAATTACAACCGATGCAGGGGAGCTGTTTCGTTCGGCTGTTAGCTGTTAGTCCTGCAGCATATCTCGAGCTTTCCTGCGTCTCCAGGCACCGAAACATCCATATAGAATTCCGGAAACGCACACCCAGCCGGAGATCAGCACACGTGGATCACCTTGCACTTCCCGTTGTGCCACACTGCAAGTCTTCCGCCTTCCCCCCTCCTTAAATGATGCTTCTAGATGGAGCTTTCCCCTCAGGGGGGGAGGTGGTGGTTGCCAGGTGTAGCCTCGCACCGCAGGCCGTTTTTGCAGCCGGTCCAACCGGGAACAAGGGCCTTGGAACCAACCACCGTCCCCTCGACCAGCTTCTAGCAGTCAATATCCGCTGGCGACATCAAGCAGTCGTAAAATCGGCCGTGCATTCGCGGGAGCAAATCTTGTTCAACCTTCCAGCTCGGCCGAAGGCCCGGGGGACTTCTCCTCTGCAGATAATCCCTGTAAGTACCGGGTGCTGTCCCGTAGAAGTCCACCGAATATTCTCCTAGACTTGCACCCCCACCCCCCCCAGTCATCTAAAATTTTCCTCTCTTTGGATCTTGTGTCATTTCTCGGCGGCGGCTGGACATCTGGGTGCTGGGTCGTTGGGCCGCACTTAAGGCCCGGGTGCGCCATCTGCTTGGAGTATTGCTTGTGCATCCAGTCATAGAACTACAACAGGTTACCTAGCAGCCCTGACCGGGCCACTGACATGGGAATTAGGAGTGTACAGAGCTGCTGGCTAGAACCGGTCAAGGCTCAGGTAGCAATGATATCCAGAGAAGGATGTTGCCGGGCACATGACTCCTCAGAGCTGTTGGTAGTAGGCCACATGCCCCAATGCTTGTGAAGGGGAGGGCATTGGACCATAAATTCCACCCTGGCGCGCGCACAGCGTCGGATCCAAGAGTGGTGCCATACCTCCGAGAAAATCACACAAGACCACCGCAGCAGCACGCCTGTAGAGAAGACATTGCGGGTCAACGCCGTGCTCAGTTGCTCAGATGCTCAGAGCCCAGGCCCGGGCCCGGGCCCTCCAAGCAGCGGTATGGATCAATTTGAATCGATGAAGTAAGTAGAAACCATCCACTTGACCGCCAGAGCTGCCTGCAAACTGCATCGGATGATGTGAGTCATTATATTGGCTCGATCATACAAGCATCGAGGCATGGCGGAATCGAAAGTCGAGTATACAACCCCGCAGCCAATAGTGACTTCCGGGGATGCGAATCCTGGTAGGCTGTCAGTACCCAACAGCTACATGAGTTGGCTATTTCGGCTCGATGTGATCAAGCAGATTGAGAAGTGGTATGGCAGATGGCAGCGGTGTGAGGGAGCCCCATACATATGCACTGCCAGCCGAAGTCTGAGTGGCAAACAGAGCAATCAAAATGTATAGGGGTTTTTGCATGGGATTGAAGCAAATGTTCTGAGGGACTGGCAGGTAATCCGATGTGTAAACAATGGGAATGGGGGACGGCAGTATCCACACCGCCGAAAACTTTCCAACCGCATCGAAGGCGACCATCCAGACTCTCGCCGTCAAACAGATAACCAAACAAACCTGCCACGCCATGGCTTCGAATCTGTCCATTCGAGCGGTCAGGACCGCCAGTGTTGCGCGGTCTGTATCTCGCCCCCTCGCAACCCTCACCCCCCGCCGCACTTATGCCACCAGCCCGGAGGTTCCAACTGCCGAGTCAAAGGAGCCCCGATGGTCGTACACTCCGCCGCGCACCAAGGCGCCTTTCAGTCTTCACAACCACTCGAAGTCGATCAAGTTCCATGTGAACTCCGATCCGGTTCTCCTGGATGGGTTCTATGCCCGCATGTTGGGACAGGATGGCGACAAAGTTCTCTCCGATGAGGTGAAGTGGTTGGCCGTCACACACAAGAGTTTCGATCAAGGACGTCGGGGATTCAACGACCGATTGGCCTTCCTAGGTACGTAATGGGTTCAATCACAGAGAAATGGCTTGGCTTGCGGTCTCTAGCTTACACGGACGCGTAGGAAAACAAGTGGTGCAAGTTCAGGCATCTCTCGCCCTGGTCCAAAGCCCCGTCACGAAAGCCTCCTCATCTGACCCGCATGGTCGCGAACCCTTCTCCCACCAGGCTCTGGAAGGGCTACAGAACCTTTCCTCTCGCACTAAAAACGCCCTGACCGACCGGACGAAGCTGGCCGAGCTGGCAAGAAGTTATGGGACCGAGAAGATTATCCGCTGGAACCCCCGGATGGTATGATAGCCCCCCCGGAACACCTTCGACTCAATTCTACACCCGTTGGAACTTGAACTAACCACTTCTGCTTACAGCCTGAGAACCTGATTGAGTCCGGGATCGAATTGGTTCTGGCACAGACCCTGTACTCGATTATTGGCGCCATTGCGCTGGAGAAGGGAGGTCACATTGCGAACAAGGTGGCTCAAGAGCGGATACTCGAGCCTCTGGGGTTCAAGACAGTCTCGTCATAAAGAGAAGACTGATCAGCTGGAAAAGCCCTTCTGCAGCATTTCCATGGCGTTCTGATTTAATTTTGGGGCTCTTTTACCCGCCGGACAAGGGTCCTTGGGATGGGCACAATCACAATTACTACACTTGTACATGTACTATTAGAAAGAGAGGATGTATTATTGATTTCTCACTGGTGATTTTATATTTAAGCCAAATACCAAATGCAAATTCTGATTTAAATTTCAAATTTCAATTTCAATTTCAAAAATACCAAAAATATTCATATTCATATTCAATTTCAACAACTTCAATTTTATGGAAAGGCATGTATGGCTCCTCTGACACCGCCCGCGCAACAGTAAAAAATGCGCGGCCAGCTCTTATGGATCCTATCGAATAAACGATGCTAGTCTCCGCTACCTCGGTATCGCAAGTCAAGTAACTGAATATCTGACGGCCAGACTAGCAGAATGCTAGAGGCCGCAGAATACTGACTTGTACTGTCTAAAAAAGGGCGTGAAGAAGAAAGAAAAAGAAGAAGAATCCGCGGCGAAAAAAATTGGCCTTTGTAGCAGCCACACTAACCCGATTGGGACTTTGGTCCAGTTATCAAAAAGGGTGGTCCAATTAGTACTGCTCACTGCTCCAAATGCTCCACTGCGGGCGACTCGCGACTCTCTTGTTTCTCCTAGCCGTACGAGTACTCCGTACCTCAACCCTCCAGACCTCTCCCCATTATTGCCTCGACATGCTGCTATAGGGTGTTGGTGTCTTATTCATTTCTCCCCAATCTAGCGCTGTTACCCCCTTTTCACTGCTCCGAATTCACTGTTCACCGTCATCTCCTCCAATCCCACCGTCCGCCATATTTGACACCTTTCACGGACACACCTTCACGGACACGTCATGGCGTCGGCTCTCTTCTTCCTTGACCTGAAGGGCAAGGTACGCGGCTCTACTGGATACCGGGAAATGATCATGATCTCCTATTTTGATTTTGGGATCAATCCCGGCCAATGTGGGCTGCATGGCTAACCTACTGGATAGACCCTTTTGGCCCGCAATTACCGCGGTGACATTCCCATGTCTGCCGTCGAGAAATTCCCTCAACTCCTCAGCGACGCCGAAGAAGAAAGTTCCGCAGTACCTCCCTGCTTCTCACATGAAGGAATTAATGTGCGTTCCCCATCTACTCGCCCCTCGCCCCCTCCACACTCCGCACAACCCCTTCCCGCACACGACGCTTCTCCGACCTCCTATTCTCCATAAAGCGCGCGCACGACCCCACTAACGTATCTGCAATTCGGCTCTTTAGTATCTATACATCCGCCATAGCAACCTCTACATCCTCGCTCTAACAAAGAGAAACACAAATGCCACCGAGATCCTCCTGTTCCTCCACAAGCTTGTGGAGGTGTTCACCGAATATTTCAAGGTACTGGAGGAGGAGAGTATCCGCGACAATTTTGTTGTCATCTACGAATTGCTGGACGAAATGATGGATTTCGGATACCCCCAGACCACAGAAAGCAAGATCTTACAAGAGTAAGTCGGGATCAATCCAATCACTCCATGACGGTTGATCCAGGATCGCAGTGCTGACCATTCCGCTCTCCAGATACATTACCCAAGAATCACACAAACTCGAGGTGCAAGCGCGGCCACCCATTGCCGTCACCAATGCCGTCTCTTGGCGAAGCGAAGGTATTCGTTATCGCAAGAACGAGGTCTTCCTGGATGTGGTCGAGTCTCTCAACCTGCTGGTGTCGGCGAACGGAAATGTCTTGCGGTCTGAGATTCTAGGCGCGGTCAAGATGAAGTGTTATCTAAGTGGTATGCCCGAGCTGCGATTGGGACTGAACGACAAAGCGATGTTCGAGACGACAGGTCGTGCGACACGCGGCAAGGCCGTCGAGATGGAGGATGTCAAATTCCACCAGTGCGTGCGACTGTCACGATTCGAGAATGACCGGACGATCAGCTTCATTCCGCCAGACGGTGAATTCGAGCTTATGAGCTACCGATTGAACACGCAAGTAAAGCCGCTGATCTGGGTCGAGTGTTTGGTGGAATCGCACTCCGGATCACGAATTGAGTATATGCTCAAGGTAGGTTTCTTTCCCCGATCAATGCCAAATTTCAGCCATGCTAATCTGTTTCCGCGGGACAGGCCAAAGCACAGTTCAAGCGCCGCAGCACTGCCAACAACGTCGAGATCCTTGTTCCCGTACCTGAAGACGCAGATTCCCCCAGGTTCCGCACCAACATCGGTACTGTGCACTATGCCCCCGAAAAGTCAGCGATCATCTGGAAGATCAAGCAATTTGGCGGTGGTAAGGAGTTCCTCATGAGGGCGGAGCTGGGTCTTCCGTCCGTGAAGGGCGATGATGAACACGGTGGTGGTATGACTGGTGGATTTGGAGGTAGCATGGGTGGAGCTGGTGCAGGCAAATCGAAGCGACCCATCAACGTCAAGTTCGAAATTCCCTACTTCACCACCAGTGGTATCCAAGTGCGATACCTGAAGATCACTGAACCCAAGGTATGTTACTTTTCGCCATATTTACAGCTTGTCAGTCAACCATATACTAACTAATGAACTAGCTGCAATACCCCTCCCTTCCCTGGGTTCGCTATATCACACAGTCAGGCGACATCGCAGTCCGAATGCCAGACGTGCAATAAGGAGTCCTCGATATACCTGAGTGATTTGTACAGCCTTTCTTCGTTCGACATTTTCCCCGCCTTTCCTTTCCTCCTCCCTCCAGACATTATGTGCTCCCTTTTGTGGACGGCCGGTCCGATAGATAATACAATTCTGATGTGCTTGTCCGTCCTGTTCACTTTTGTATCTGCTACTTGAATTGGATGTGACTTAAAAATAGATGATGTGGTTTGCTTTATATTCAAGTTGACGAATTGTCTGCACTATAGGGTGGATAAATAGGGTTATACAATAGGATTATCATAATTATCTCAATTTCTTCCAAGTGCAATGGCACCAGTCGCCAAGATAACCCCAAAATCCGTTCTTGTATTTCCATCCCCTCCGCCAGACCCCACTGGTTTTGGAAATGAGACCATATTTTGTTTCTACTCAACCAGGGACGTCCCAGTGCAGTAGTTGGCAGTATCGAGGGTTTCCATGTGTATCAGAAGTAATCTGCCACCGCGCACTGCTACACCTTGTGTAGAAAGCCCAATGGAAACTAACGCAAGATCGAAACCTGATTGACTATCTCAAGCCGGCGTTGGGGCAGGGGCTAGTTACAATTTATGACCCTCGTTTTACCGCCGAGCCATACATCGACGTCGTTACGTTGCAACTTCTATTCCTGGTGATAAAGCCCTAGACGATCTATGAAGAACTGGAGTTGAGATGTTCATATCAAAACTCGAGCAGTTGGTTTATCATTGACCTTCCGAAGAGTGAGAACAGTTCACGGAGAAGCTTCAGGGCTGGCCATCTGCCTCGCCTCTAGTCATCATTAGGACCGACTCCGCACATCATTTGCCCAATTAATTCACCCCTGGCCTTCTACTTTGAGTTTTTGTATCACTTTATGAAGGTCAGTAGGTAACGCAGACAATCTTCCCTCGGCTAATTTTGGGAATATGATTAGGTAGGTGATACGTTACACAAGAACGATAATGTGTAGGGTTCTCCTCTATCATTTGGACGGAGAACGCTTGGAGGTCAGGGTTTGATTTTCTGTTATTGGATCATATAGATCTACGTGCAAGGTCTAGAGAACATATTGAATAGGGGCCATTCTGAGCGAAGGAATCTACATCTAATCCCATTATTTCAAAGGTATATATACAATCTATAGTGTACATTATTGTGCCATCAGCAAGTATTTGGACTTTAGCCATAAAGCAGAAAATACGGTTATCTTAAAATGGACAGAGAACCACCGGTATACTGTCACAGAAGTAAAAGGCAAGGTAATGCAGCATTTCGAGCCGGTCAGTACAACAAGACGGCATAGAATGGCACGAACTGATATCTAGGCAAACATGCAATTCATTTTACTTCAAAGATCCCTCATGTCCCTGAGTAGGGTATTTTGAACCCGTCTCGTTCAACCAAAAGAATCTATAGAATTTCCCCTCCCGGTCTCCATCCTAGTTATCTCCGCCCTTTCATAGTATCCGAGTCTACACTGCTTCAACGCAAGCACCGGAAAGACACAGGGACTGGATGCAATGATCCGCTCCCATCGGAACAAAAGAAGCACGGACGCATAATGAATGAACACAGGTATAAATAAACTCGGACTGTTCGCGGCGGCAAATGAGATGCGCAAGAGACTCCTCCACACATCCGGATCCCTGCATGTTGCTCTATTGACTCGGATCTGTCCGGAGAGATCCTGCGTCTCTGTCGTAACTCAGATGACTTTCTGACAGACTATATTGAGCCGATTTTCTAATTTGTTACGTCCATAATAATCGCTTTGCTAAACTATCCTACTACCATCGTTTGCATAAAATTGGCTTTTCACTTTATATTTACATCGACAGTTGCGTATAATTTGACTTTATTGTTGGAAACTGATCGTCTGCGTGATACAAGAAAGGTTTCTAGAGCAAATAGAAGATCCTCTATGCTGATTCTAGAATGGATCTGACAGGATTTCACCTGTCAAGGCTTTGGGTCATTTCATACCACCTACTATGGCTAGTATCCCGCGCCTCGGCGAAAGCAGCTTTTGCCCATTTTATGGTAATATCTCTCTCTTCATCAATTCACTATAAAACACAAATCCAGCTGACAGATACATGCATCTCAAAGACAGCAAATACAGGGCTCTATGAACTATCCGACTGGAAACACGAGATATCTCTCGCCTAAGATGCGCACATCGATGCATTTGCACTCAACATGGCCTACGGCGTCGAGTCCAACGAAAGATCCGTAACGAATGCCTTCGAGGCAGCAGAAAGTCTAGACTTCCACCTCTTCTTCTCATTCGATTACGCCGGTAATGGATCCTGGCCCCAGGCCCAAGTAACCGGCCTCCTACAAAATTTCTCTTCCAGCAGGGCATACTACCATTACAAAGACCAGCCCTTAACGTCGACCTTTGAAGGCTCCGAGAACGCGAAGGACTGGATCGAAATCAAAAACCAAACGCACTGCTTCTTCGCCCCGGACTGGTCGTCTGTCGGGGCGAAGGCGGCCCTGGAACTCGAGGACGGTGTTGCGGATGGATTATTTTCGTGGGAGGCTTGGCCGTCAGATGGCCGGATGGATACTTTCGGCGATGCATCTTATCTGCATCATTTGAAAGAGGCCAAAAAGCCCTATATGATGCCCGTCTCGCCATGGTTTTATACGAACATGCCTCACTATGATAAGAACTGGGCGTTCCATGGAGACGATCTGTGGTATGATCGCTGGATAGAAGTTACTTACCTCGAGCCGGAATGGGTGGAGATTATTTCGTGGAATGATTATGGAGAGTCGCATTATATCGGCCCGCTCAATGAAAAGGGATATGGGGTGTTCACTGCTGGCAAGGCACCGTATAATTACGCGCGCAATATGCCACATGATGGGTGGAGACTGCATCTTCCATTCGTGATTGACCTGTACAAAAATGGGACGGCATCGATCACAGAGGAGAGTCTGGTCGTGTGGTATCGTGTTCAACCTAGAGATGCTTGCTCGGGAGGCAACACAACAGGCTCTGTGATCAAAGAGCGAGCAAACGAAAACGAAGAACAAGAAGCAGATACCGATATCTACCTGGAAGACAAGATATTTTTCTCGGCCTTACTTGCTTCCAACGCTTCGATCAAAGTGACCATAGACAATTTCGAAAAGAACGCGCACTGGGAAGACGAACCCGATGACGGGGTAGGCATCTACCATGGAAGTTTCGCCTACGATCCCAAACATCTCGGAGAACCCACCATCACCGTCTCGCGCGATAAGAAAGAAGTAGTGCGCGTGAAAGGGCGAGCCCTGACTACAAGCTGTCCCAGCGGGTTCGCCAATTACAATGCGTGGGTTGGAAGCGAAACTTCGAGGAAGACAATACCCGCCGTGTCACCAGAGCTCCCTCTCTCCAAGCAAGTCTGCATCGAGGGGTTAGGCAGTTCAAACTTTACAGAATTGTGCCAATTTACCTGCAAATACGGTTATTGCCCAATTGATACCTGCTACTGCACGGCCATGGGAAGCGCGAAGGACAAACCAAAAGCAACGAAAGATAAAGGTACCCCGAGAAACGGCGATGACAGTTATGAAGGGTTGTGCTCTTTCAGTTGCTACCATGGGTTCTGCCCTGGGAAACTCTGCAATTCTACGGAGACAGCACATACTAAGTCTGGCTCACCTCCACCCACTTCAAGTTGTAATCCACGGAGTTCCGGCTGTGCACATGCGAATGTGGGGAGTAGGACGGATCAATATTTCATTTTTTTGAGAGTTCAAATTCTTTTGGGGGTTTATCTTGGGATTAATATATAGGTCTGATAAGGTGATCTTCTAATATAGAAAAAGCCATGGCCATGACCATCTCCAGCAAATCTATGTCGATTTCTTTTTGGTACTATAGCGAGGTTGTTGGCGGTGGCAGTTTTAGGGCTCTCATGGATGATATGAATAGTTCCGGCAGGTCCGTGTGTAGCCTATGAAGTCGATACTACCATAGACTTGTGGTACCAGTCACTAATGAAGAAGGATTCCAAGGTTTTCTAAAGAACACATCGCTAACGTTGTTCTAATTTGGTCTGTAGTCTTCAATGATCCAACCCTGATGATTTCACTGGTCTTGAATAGAGAGACAGTGTATCCGTTGACCATCCGATCTACAGCAGGAAATGTTACACAACTAATGACCCTCAATTGATATTGTAGTCAATGGATTGATATCTACTACGAACAAACAAAAGACCGAGACTAAGAAAATGCCATAAGGGTATCTCGATTCTCACCAAGCACAGGAACCAAAGACAAACAAAGAACAAGAGTAGCAAAAGCAAAATTGAAATGGAGAAAAGAATGCACAAATCTTAAATTCATACCGCAACGCCCTGCACAGCGCCCGTGGAACTTTTCTTGCCAGAACGGTTTAGTTAGACCAACCCCCTGCAGAATGCCGGCTATACACGATAAAACGCTAAAAACGAGACATCACAAACGTAGAACCTTTCTCCTATTCCGTCATATGTCATGGGAAGGGAGATTGGCGGAGAGGAAATCGGGTTATGCAGACCCATTGGTCGCATGGTCGTCCGGGGTTTCGGGCGGCGGCAACGGGAATCCATCTGTTCGTCCGGAGGCGGCAGCCTTGGAGAAGCCCTCGCGGGCAAGCATGGTATTTAAAACAGCGCAGTTGTACGCTGCTTCACCGGGAGGCACCACAAGGAAAATATATGTGTTGTCTGTGAATCTGCCAAGGAAGATATTGAATTGTGGGGTTTTGGTGTGCATGACGACGAAACCGGCCGAAGCGGGTGTGGTGCTGGTATTGCGGGCGGCGCAGTGCTTGAACGCCTTCATGATGTTAGATAGACGTTCGTGGCGGTCGAAGATCGGGTTCAAGTCGCCTATCTCTGATGACACGGAGGTCACTGTAAGGAAGGTGGACCGCTCGAAGAGAATAACTTCCTCGGCGTCGATCTTCTTTGCGAATGCCGAGAGGAACCGCTCGATCACGGTTAGGTTTGGAATGAGCTTGTGCACGATGCCTGCCCATGCCTTGTATAAAGATTGATCCCAGATGCTACTGCCGAAGGTATCGACGCGGAAGCCCTCCGAGCGAGAGCGGATCAGGGCTGAGCGTTCTTCGTAGATCCGTTGGCGGTGCTCGCCTTGGATGAGATCCATCTTGTGTACCAGGCAGAAGACGTAGGCGTTCGGACTGAACTCACGTAGTGCATCAATGATTGCATTGTAAGTATCCATGTCCCGATCGACTTCGCGGGATTCAATGTCGAAGACATAGATAAGGACGGCGACGTCGGAGAAGATGTTGCCGCGCTGAGAGGCGAGATAGGTTTCCATAAATGCATCTTGTCTGTGGTTGCGAGAGACAACTGGTTATTTTTCATATTCTTCAAGCTAAAACCAGTAGTTCGGACGGAAAACTTACCCTCCGCAATCCCAAAGATTGAGGGTGAGGTTCCCCATGAACTTCACATGGCTATGCTCCACATCAATGGTGGCACCGAGACGTCGGACATCCTTAGCGACATAGTTGCTGAAGATGATAGAGCGCATAGACGACTTTCCTGAGCCGCTCTTGCCCATCAACAAGACCTTTCTCTTCTTCTTGCGGGCGTCCATGGTGTCGATCCTCCAACGGTTGCTGCTGAGCTCGGATGCCCCGCAAGAAGCGGGGGCCACTCGGGTAGTTCTGGGAAGCGGTTTAAGGAGCTCGCCGGTCTACACGGAATGCAGGAGGGCCTATATGTCGATCTGGAGAAATGAGCTTGCAGCACGGAGATTCCTTTGAGGAATTGAAGACACCAAGAGCGGGGAGAGGAGAGGAGGGTAGCTCCAGCCTTCGGCGCGGAGTGCGGAGTGAGTTCTGGGACGGATCAACCTTGCCCCGACTACCTATGAGGGTCATGTGACCGGTAGTTTTTGGAGGTTGAAGTAGGGAGCTTGTATACATATACCTAGGCAATATATATTTTCTGGTGCTTTGGAATAATTGAAATTTGAAACTAAGCCTAACCCATCTATGGGACTTCTTGAATGAATAGTGATGTGAAAGTATGGACATCCATGGTTGAGCCCGCCAACCGGCGAGCGCGCCCTTAACCGAGGCAACGAGTGTTACGACATCTGGTGCGATGCATTGGGATATTGATTCTTGGTAAATATAGCCATGAAAAAAAGGTCACATGAGAATTGAAAAAAGGGGAGAAAACAGACTAAGGTGAAAATCTGGCTGTGTCACCAATATGGTAGAAAGTGGTATCCGGAAAGAAACGCAGACGTGTGCAGCGTAGCACACCATGCAAAAGGCCTCAGTCGGAAGAAGTGAACCGAGAATTAGAGCATAACAAAGAAGAAGAAGAAGGAGAAGAAGAAGAAGAAGAGAGAAAAAAACGAAGAGGCCAATGATGAGAAGTGAGAAGTTCAAGGTCGTCAACAATTCATAAGGACCAGCACCAATCGAAAGAAGAAAACAGGTGCGATTGGCGCCGGTTAGGTATCCAATCATCCATTAAACTCATGCATAGTAGGGCATTAGAAGACGGTGCCGTCAGAGCGGATCATAATAGGAGGCTCTTTTGTGTTTGGCCTCGAGACTTCGGCGATTTCACGACCACCCTGGGAGATAATCTGTTTAGAAAAATGTATATCAAAAAAAGGAGAAGATGTTTGACAAACCTTCCAAGAACCAGCCTCGAGCATCTGAGCCAGTGTGAGCTGCTCCTCTGACCCAATAAGTCCGAGCTGTTGATTTACTTCTTCAAGCAGGTCGTCCAAGAAGCCCACCGTTGCAGCCCGCCATTCCACAATTACATCGTCATCGGTCGAGAACAGGGGCACGACTTCCATATTCGGTTGACCTTTGATCTGGGCATTTTCCTTAAAAGCCTGAATGCCGCGCTCCATATCTGCTTCCTTTAAACTCAACAGTCCCATGTCAATGAGCAAGCCGCCATTGCGGTACTCCGGCAGCCCGGTCAAGAGCTCGCTGCCAGCGAAGTAAATGTGCATCAATTTAGACATGGGGACCATGATGGAGTAGCAGAGCCATTGGGTCAACTTGTGGAACGGGATGATGCTTTCCCACGTCTGTGCAGGTGGGGATCTCGGTAGGTCGGAGCATTCCCAGGCATCACCAATCGATACACCATCAATCTGGGTGCGGGATTCGGGCCAAATGGAGGATAGTCCGTCCATGAGGACTGTCCATAGAGTGGTGATTGGGACAATAGGGACGGAAGAAGCGAGAGTCGAGGGGTGACCGAGCAGGTAGTCTATTTAATGGGCGACTGTTAATTGACCGACCAAATCGCTTTCCTTGTCCCATTGATATGTGAGCACTTACCGAGCATGTTTCCAGGTCGAGCATCTACGCCGAAGAAATCCTGGTTGTTCAGCGCATCTGACAGACGCACCAAGAGACCTGCACGACCTTCAATTCCAGCCAGCGGGTTCTGATCCGAGTGTTGCATTCCCTTTGCCAGCTTTTCGATGGTAACCTTCTTTAATCCGGCGCCATCAACCTGGCACGGTTCGGTCGGGTCACTGCTAAAGAGACCAGATTTGAACATCTCCAGACTGGCCACAGCCAACCCTTCACTCCGAGAGTAGACCTTGCCGGACTCCTTGGACTTGTAAGACCACTTGGTACCTGCGCCCGCGTCGAGCAGCACGGAGACCACAAAAAGGTCAATCAATCGACGAGTCCGCTCTTGGGCGTCAACCCGGCTAGGCCAAGACTGAAGCAGCTGGTTAATACGAGGGCGGCCCCCGACATCAAAATGCTGCCACCGGCCATGTGGAGGGATGTTTTCATATTCTGGAGCATAGTCGCGCTGTCTGGAGTTAGCCTGTGCCTGATCTGAAGTGATCACATGGGGTGGTTAAGGGGGGTGTTTAGTATGTTTGTTTACCTTGATGATGGAGACGATGTAAGAAGCGGTCGCTTGGAACTTGGAGATGTCGACGTCGAAATGATTGAGCTGGTTGTTCTTTGCCTTTTCCAGGACAATGGTGGCACGATCACGTACGGCGTGAATGCTGCGCAGATAGGCGGCGGGGTCCAGGGCAGGGTCCGGGGGTTTAGCGATGGGCATCTCGGGGATTGAGGCGGGTAGGCCACTGCCTTTGTAACCGGGGGATCTGAGGGAAGTGTTGGAGGTGCGGGCCGAGTTGACGGAAACAAAGGATTCCTGCTCGTCCCTGTCACTTTGGACAGAGGCCTTCGAGTTGCGCTTGAAGAGGCCCATTGCGCAGGGTTGGTCCCGGGAGGCCAAGTGGAGAAACGGTGATAGGTTGAAGAGGGGATGCAGTTGCGCCCATCAAAGTCGACAAAAACCTTTCCCACCCAAAGATTTGTTGGTATATATCTGTCTTTGTATTTTTGGTGTTTATTTTTGTTTGGAATTGGTTTAGTGGTTTGGCGATTTTTTTTATCCCCTAGCAGTCATGGGCGGGGCGGTCGGGCTGTTTGGAATCTAGGTCGGCGTTCAAGTGGGGTGGAGAGAATTAATAATTTGATCGAGGTTGTAGAGGCGTGTAAGAGGGGGAGAGGTAGAGGTAGAGGAGAGGAGGGGAGAGTAAAGATAGAGGGAGAGAGAGAGAGAGAGGTAGGGAGCAGAAGAGAAGAAGAGAAAGAGCATCCCCTGAAAGGAAAACAGGTAGCGGGAGGTGGGGGAAAAGAAGGTTGGAAAGAACTCTCGATCTGCTGAGGATTGGAGGAAGGAACGACCAGAGGGCCAGGACCAGAGCCAGAGTCAGCCAGAACCAGAGCCAGAGCCAGAGCTAGAACCAGAGCTAGAACTAGAACTAAACTAGTATTAGCCAGAACTATGGAACGCAGGATCTGTCGCCGTACTCAGAGGGATATCTTGGGTATAGATCGTACCGGATTTGAGTCGAGATGAGAGGAGTCAAGGCAATAGCTACAGAAAGGATCGTCATGGTACCACATACTCTGGTACCCTAACTACTGACTAGTGGCGGCTAGTAAGTAGAGTACCTAGGTCCTAGGGTATCATACTGTCCACTCTGTTCACTTGTAGCTATACTCTATTGTCATAGTAGCTAGAAGCTATAGCTATAACTGTCACTGTCACTGTCACTGTCGCTGTCACCTTACCTGCTAACTGCATCTCTGACTCGTGGAATTCACATGCTCCTGCCCTCCTGCCTCCCCCGATCTTCCACGGCGGTATTCCCCAGTCAGCACTAGCATCGGGGATGCAAGGGGCGGGGATCGCTCAATATGATTATAATTTAATATTAATATTCCTCCATGCTAGACCTCATCCCATCTCAATATGATTCATGCTCTTTGCTTTTCCCTCAGGCAAGATTATTCGGAAGTACTATTCGGAACTCTTGTCTGTTTTTAGGTTTCTTATTTATCTATTCGTTCTATATCCTCTCTCTATTATACTCACTAGACCCCTATTACCCCTCTCTACCCCAAACTCCCGCCCTACCTCCAGGGCTGCCAGTGGTCTCCTCTCGGTACTCCTACCCGTGCACTCCGTACTCCCAGCATTCGGTATACTCCGGGCTAATGCGTGAAGCACGGACCGGCCAGCCTGTCGGGTCGTTTCAGGTGGTCGAACGGTCATTTCGGAGATTTCTGTTCCTGGCCTGTGCTGGCGAATCCTATACCCGGTGTCCACCGAGTACCTGGTACTTTTGTCCCGGTGGTGAGTTGTTCCGTGGACTTCTAGATTGGAAGTTGCGAAGATAACTGCTAGCTCAAAAGGGATGACAGCTGCGAGCACGAGCATCCCCGTTCGTGTCAGGGGTCCACCAAGTCTGTCTTCCAATTCGTTACCGCGCGGCTCCTCTACCCGAGGGCTCCGTCTAGCGGAGTTCAAACTTTTCCGTTTCCCGTCTCGCCCCAGTGAGATCGGGGTTATTACGGTATTCTACTATCGTGGGTATGAGGATGGATTGGATCCATGGGTACTGTACGGAGTACAATCGATCGATTGCCAGTGGACATTGATATTTATACCTACCTACGAGTATTAGGCACGAGTACTTCGATATCCGTAGTCACTACTCCGTAGTACTCGCTCATATATCCATCTCTACCCTAATCTAATCCCCTGTGTCCTGTATTGACACACAGTAAGCCACTTCGCCAAAATCGACCCATCTAGGCCGCCGTTAAGGCTCGGGACGGGAAATGAAAATCCAATTTCCCAATTCCTTGTCGGTGGGAATGCACGGTTCGGTGGGAGGCCCTAATATCTTCCCAACGGAGGGAACCGCGTGCAGAGCTCCACTCGCGTGGATTACCCTGCCTGTCATTTGCTATAAATTATGACCAGAAGAATATGTATTGAAATAAAAATGAAATGAAAATGAAATCATATTTTTGGGACTTTTTTTTTTAACTTGTTTGTTTATAAAATTATTCCCTAGGCTATCGGTATTGTCGTCGACGTCAATGGCTTCCCACTACCCGCGCTCTCGGACAGTGGGGATCTCGTTTCTCTGTCTCTGGACTGGAACTCGGACACTTAGATCCCAACTCTAATGGGCCAGCCGACGGAACATGCGCGAGTACGACCTTGTACCGGAAATGGCAGTCTTGAAGACCCTGCTTACTCTTGGTTGAACACAATGACAAATGGTTTGTGCCGTATCCGAGTACAATGCCATTGTTGACAAGCTACCAAGCTGCGACGGATTAGGAAGGTCGACTTTATATGAGGGTTTCGCGAAAGTTGCTATTCTAGACCTAGGCTAATTCCTACCCATGCACGAAGTAATAAATCAATCCATGATGTCAGAGCTACCAGGCTCAGCTAAGCTAAGCTGTTCCGTTTCATTAATTTCCAACTCCCAATTGGAGGTGGATCGTAGAGTAGTTAGTAGCTCGTATCTCGGGCCTAACCCTGTCCAAATCATGCATACGCTTGATGCTTGGTGTGAGCAACGACCAGTCAGAGTGTCCATACCTATAGAACTAGTCAATTGATCCAAATAACCTTCTGCAGTCATAATTCCAATTCCAATGGCAATATCTGTGTCTATTCTATGTCTAATGTCATACCTGCCACTCAGCTCCGCAGTCACATGACTAAACGCGCCCGCGCGACGTCAACCGCGTCCGCGCCTCCTGACTGCGACAGGCCAACCCCAAAGTACCAACGCCAAAGACGACCAATCCTTCACCTTTCCATTTAATCCAAACCTTCAAAATGAACACCTTCGCTTCCATCCGCCCCTCCCTTCGCCTGGCGGCCTCCGCCCCAACTATGGCCGCCCGCTCCTTCAGCTCCTCCGCAGCCCGCTCCGTCGCCCGCATGATTATCACCGGTCGTCTGGGCTCCGAGCCTGAGCTGTCCGCAACCTCCACCGGCCAGGATATCATCCGCTACTCCGTCGGCACATCAACCGGAAGCCGTGACAAGCCACACACCAGCTGGTTCCGCGTCGCGACTTTCCTGCCTGAGGGCGCGCAGCGGGATTACATCCTTAGCTTGCCGAAGGGGTATGATTGATGCCCATGTCCATGTCCAAGCCCATCCATCCACAGCTTGACCCCTCCCAAGACGAAGGAGAATATGCAATACTATGATCATACAATGGCCTCAAGAGCTGCGCTAATGACTTTTTCTCATTTCTACAGAACCCTCGTTTACCTCGAGGGTGATGCCAGCATGCGCAGCTACGAGGATGCTGAGGGCCGCAAGCAGACCAGCCTCAGCCTTGTCCAGCGTACGTCTTATATACCATACCATTCACGCTACCATCCTACCTATACACACCCACTGCCAGGAATGCGATTAAGAAGAGAAGAGAATTTGTCACTAACTGACCTGATTCTATAGGCCACCTAGATGTCCTGAAGCGCGGCACCAGCGCTGATGAGGAGTCTCACTAAACTTTCCAATGGATTTTAACTTGCAACAACACACTTGGTGGACTCTGATCTGATTGTATCTTTTTTTGGGGTGGAGTTCGCTGGGTGGTTGGACTGTTGGATATCTATCTGATTTATTTGCTTTGTCATGTATGAGTATACCCTAAATACACCCCATTCTATCACGATTGTTGCGTATGACCGAGATGTCTTGGAATAATTTTGCTTCCAGACATGCAGTAGTTATGTAAATTTTGTCATAGTAGAGTCCTTCCAAGGTTCTATTCTTCGAGCTGGTGGGTATAAATATTGACATGAATGATAATTGATGATAGCCTGATATGATAATTGCCGATCCTCCTTCAAAACATATGATTAAACGAACAAAATACCGCGGCGCTATTCACGGAGATACAGGAAGATAGATAATCTAAAACCTAGCACAAAGCTTCCCCCGTGTTGATGCAAGACATCCCTAAACATGGAGTTCGCTCTGCTGGTGGATCACTTGTTTGACATGAATGAACTCTTTCTTTTGCAGAGATGGGCTGGGTGTGATATCATCGCTAGAGCGGCTTTGACCGATTCCTGCCCAAGCATTGGTGTAGATCGTATTTCCTGCTACGGGCAGATCATCGAGGAGGGTTTCATCGTTGCGGCGATTTAAGACCATGCGGCGATTGAACGGTAGCCAGCGGCGGAACCAGGAGCGGGTTTGGCTCTCATTGCGGGCACGATGGGATGTGTATCGAGATTTGTCGATGCTGCCGAGTGTGCTGCCGAGTGTGCTGCCGATTGTATTTGTCTGTGACTGCTGGGAAGTGCTTACATCACTACTGCAAAACCATTAGCCATCGATGGAATCGGGCTATGTGGGTAATGGTGGGAGATTGACATACCAAACAGCAGGTTTTGTCTTCCAGAACAGTAGCTTAGTTCGCTCACGAATAGTGCCAATGAGAGTGGACGAGTTTGAGACGCCTGCAGGAGTATCGCTGTTTTGAGTGTCGAGAGGGCGAACCACGCCGGGAAAACAGCAGCCGAAACCGAGACACCAAAGAATCGAGCGGTAAATCTTGGTGGCATCGCGACCAAAGCCGAAAAATCCAAAGATCACAAACCCCGCGGCGATCGGGGACCATCGATCAACATATACTTGGCCCTGGGTTGGGACTTTGATGATAGTGAACCACGAGGGGCCGTGGATTTGGCTCCACGAATATGGATGCCAAGGCAGTGAGTACTTGAGGCTGTAGTAGAAAGTGTAGAGCTCCACCGGAAGGATGCAGATGAGAAGAGTGAGTCCTAGGAACAAGAGACGCAGGAATCGGGACTTGTTCAGGTTGCTTTGTGACGAGCGTAGAATCATCCCAAAATCGCTTCGGTATCGATGAAGGCGGATAAGTACGAGAACTGCGGTCCAGTCAGCTAGAATGTCAAATATGCAAATGGTCGAAAGATGACGAACAGCAGTAGAAAGCTGCAATGAAACAAATCACGGGCGGCCAGACAAAGCACAGCGCAAAGCTGACCCAGCTCTCATCCAGATCAACCACGCAGCCCGAGATGGCGTAGAGTAGATAGCGATCCTTTTGCCATACAATATGAAGAGCCATCGAAATCGCGGGAAGCAGACAGCAGAAAACAAAATCCATGATTCGGTTACGCCAGCGCTGCTTCCTGCTTGGGACCATGGTAGCGCGGCTGGTGTCTAGCACGATGGCCAGGCCTCGGAAGATACCAACTAGAGCTCCTGGAACGGCGAAGTAACCTCCTACCATAATTTTGACCTCGATATCACACAGACCGGTACCATCCCATGCTGACTCAAGGTCATCGTTCGGCCAGACCAAGGAATTGATGATGTTGACAATATTCAACAGTATGTACCAGGAGACCAGGCTCGTCATCGAGATATTGCGATTCTTTGCATGGAGAGCCAGTGGAGTGATCGTCACTGCAATTGAGAGGAAAGATAGTACCGGCAAGAGCACGGCTTGAGGGTACCGAGGAAATTCGGTGGTCATGATGGCGGAAGCCATGATCCCAGACCGCAGATTGGAGAGTCTTGGTGGAAAAGAACAGCAGCCTTCAATATCGAACAAGAGCTTGGAGAAGAGAATTGATCCAGGAAGAAGAAGGGAAAGAAGAAGAAGAGCACAACACCGGCCCTATATCAGGCCGCTGGTTAATGGAACGATCTCGTTTTGGATCATCAGAGACAGGAGAGTAGGATGATTCACAGATGTCGTGTTGAAGCAGCCTATATCAAGACATCATCGCACCGATGGGACGGGATTCCATCGACCGTCCATAGGAAGGCGTAGTGTGTCTCGTCGGGAGAGCATGGTGAAGCAGACCCATGGTACAAGGAGGAGGAACCTAGCCATTGAAGTAGACGCAATAGAGGTAATGATCAGAGAGGAATCGAATCGTCAAAGAAAGTCAGGGTTATTGAGGTCTGGAAGGGGTTGTGGAAGCCATGTCTAGTTGGGGGCTCAATAAGCTTATTGAGCCCTGGAAAGGGCAACTAGCGGCATGATGGTGGAGCTGACTTGGATCGGAGGGCGATGATCGAGAGAGGTACTATTTCTGTTTACTTTCTCCATGTTGTAAGCTAATACGAGCTGCGGTGAATGTGTCGAGGACAGATAGACAGATGGTAAGAGGAAGAGCAAGAAGAAGTGATGGAAGGTGGCAGCCATTCAGGCAGCACCCGCGCAGTTGCAGTTGCAGCTGTAATGCAGGTCGACCTCGGCTGCGCAACGAACCCCTCCACTCCTCGCGGTGAACTCTTTCCCACTCCTCCCCCCCGGACTGGTCTCGCCTTTGGCTTGGTTTCGCTTATACTACCTCTATGATAAAGGTACTTCGTACTCGTACATGCTGAATCATGGCTGATCCCCCTTCACCCTCTACTTCCCGCCCGGCTTTGATGCGCCGCCGTGTCCCAGCGCGTGCAGCCACCTTCGTCGAGGGAACGCCCATCCCCGACTGGCCCCAACGTCGTAACTCAACTCTATCCGATTCCATCTCAGAGGCCCGCAACTCTATCCGATCTTCGACCGATGATCTGTTTTTACCCCGTGTCGCCAAAGGCAAAGAACCCGTCGCTACGGAGGAGTCGCATTGGCACTCCACGCCACTCGGTCTGGCCCTGCTGCCAGCTATCGCTGGCGTTTTCTTTCAAGATGGAAGCGCATTCGTGACCGACGTGACGCTATTGATCTTAGCCGCGATCTTCCTGAACTGGTCCGTTCGGCTACCTTGGTACGTTCTCTTCCTGCATATCAGCATTGAACTATAGGGTAGTATGGGTATAGATAGTGATTACCATCTATACCAAACCTATACGGTATCCCACTGGTATAAAGACACTGACGTCAGCACTAGGGACTGGTATCGCTCAGCCCAGACTCTCCAGAGAGAGCAGGCTGCATTGAATACAGTATCAGAGTCTCCACTCGAGGCGGATTTGAAGGAAGAAGACGAGGAAGATGATGAACGAGTTGATTCTCCGGGCGATACGCAGCTTCCAAAACATCACCATCACCATCACCGCTCATCGGCCCAGGCAGAGGCCACAAAGGAACTCCAGATACATGAACTAGCCGCCCTAGCAGCATGTTTCATATTCCCAGTTGTTGGCACCTGGCTCCTTCACGCTATCCGATCCAGTCTTTCAAGACCTTCAGAGGGCCTCGTCTCGAACTACAACCTCACCATCTTTCTACTGGCTTCGGAAGTGCGCCCATTCTCTCATCTTCTTAAGCTTATGCAAGCCCGTACCCTCCATCTACAGCGCATCGTAGCATCGACCTCGGTCGAAGACGCAATCGACCACGAAAAGGTCCAAGATCTCTCGAAACGTCTTGAAGAGCTCGAAGCGCATGTCGCCGAGGCCGCGGCCGCACGCCTCTCCTCATCCCATACCCACGGTCAATCTAAATCAGAATATGCAGAATTAAGCGATGCTCCGTCTCTTCTTACACAAGCGGTAGTCGAAAGCCGCCGAGCAATACAACCCGATATAGAAGCGCTAAATCGCGCCGTCCGTCGCTACGAGAAACGCACTGCTCTCTCCGCCTCAAACACAGACACCCGCTTCCAGCAACTCGAAGCAAGCACCCGCGACGCCCTCGCTTTAGCAGCGGCAGCCCAGCGATCTAGCGCAGCGCGCAAAACAAGCTATGCATTCATTCTGGTCGACTGGGTCTGTGCCTGCATCGTCGTCCCTGCTCAACTAGCCATGTCTATCCTCAATCTCCCCGGTCGCGCTGCCTCCTGCTGTGCCACGGCTGCTCGCCGTATGATTGGGCGTCCTGCGCCCATTTCCAAGTCGCGGTCCCGGAGCGGAAAGAGTAAAGGTCTGCAGGCTGGTAATGGGTCTAGGTTTCGGTCGAAGTCACCTCCACCTCGTACCCCGATTGTGTCACCGCTAGCACAGCATATAGCGAGTGGTAAGGGGGCAATTCACTAGGCAGGCCCTGTGAGAAATATGCAGGTCTTCATTCGTTTACCTCTTGTTGTTGAGATCAGATCTTTTCGGGCTATTATTAATTGGGATTGGTGTTTACATACTTGATTCAATTTCTTTATTCCTAGCACCTTGCATACTCCGCACTGAGTCAATCGCGCACTACCTGGCGGGTCATATGTATACATACCTTCATTCTTTCGGTTACATCTAGTGTAAATTTTCTATATTTGTCCAGAGGGTTCACTCTTTGGTAGATGATACTAGTACTAGCATTATAAACATTGGCGATCGTAAGTAATGGAAGATATAAGGTATGGCGCTCCATATCCGCAATCGGCCCAGCAATAGTAATAGTACTAGTATATCAGTGTAGATCACCGGTGTTGGAGACTCTATAAACATTCAAGTTATACTACTAAGTACCTAGGATTAAGTGACCCTAGCTGGGTCGATTGCGGCTATGGAGGCAGAAGGCGGAGAGCATAGCAGAGCTCCCAATGCGATGACGATATGCGGCACTCCGCTCACCTTTTGGCTTTCACAACCTCCAATCCTACCAGTCCCACCAACTCCCTCCTCCACCACCTCATTCCACCCCGCCATCCATCCTCTCCCGAGATGAGCACCCGCAAAGGTCGACGGAATAATAACCCCCACGGCCATCCCCAACACAATAATCAAATCCAACTTCCTAACCCTCAACTGACCGACTATGAATCCGACGCCTACTTCTCCGACATGCAACACCAGCAAGCTCAAGCTGCTGCTGCCGCCGCCGCTGCAGTAACAGCCGCAGCCGCACCCTCTCGCTCCAACGATGAAATCAATCTCTCCGTAATCCGCCGCCATAACCCCTCCGTGACCGCAATCATCTCCCTAGCACCGTACGTCGTCGTCTACATCTTCAGCCCAACAACCAAACAATGGGAGAAGAATGGCGTGGAAGGAAGCCTCTTCGTCTGCCAACAAACGCAAGGACGACTCGGCGAAGAGCGATACACAGCCTTCGTACTCAACCGCCGAGGCCTTAACAACTTTGACCTGCCCTTAACAGACAGCGACAACGTCGAGATAACAGAGGAGTACGTGATTCTAAAAGCAGACGAAGGCCGCGTAGGCGAACAAGGCGAGAATGGGATCGCCGACCCAATGAACCCCCAACACGACCGAGCAGCAAACGGGTCCAACAGCCCAACCGACGTCCGAATCTACGGCCTGTGGATCTACTCCGAGCCCCCTCCAAACTCGACCGCCGAAGCGCGCACCATCAACGCCCAATTAATCCGGGAATGCGCCGCACACGCCGGAAACAGCCTGAAGCTCGCGCAGGACCGGCTCGAGGCGATGCGTCAACACGATCTCCAAGTAGCCGCGGCGGCGGCGGAAACCCAGGCTCCCCCGCTAGAGGAAATTCAGGCTAGCGCGCCGATGGGCAGACAAATATCGCTGAAGGATCTGTTTGGGCAGCAGCGGGCGCAGGATGATGAGTGGAGTGTGCGGGCGCATCATATGAGCCCGGCAGAAATCCAGATGCAGATGCAAATGCATCAGCAACAGCAGCAGCAGCAGCAGCCGGGTATGGTGCCGCCGCCGCAGCATTATCCGCAGCCGGGCCAGTATCCGCAGCAGCATTATCCGCAGCAACAGCCATCCCACCCACCGCCGCAGCCTCAGGGCGATGTACTTGGAGATCTGTTCCGCCGAGCGGGTCTAGCGTACCAGGGGTAATCAGTGGACAGGGATACTAGAAGGTTCAAGGTGTTGGTGTTATGGCTTTTCCTTTGGATTCAAATTTGAATTTGAATTGGCGCGGTATTACACAGCATTTCAACACCAAGGCGCAGGGATTGTCTGAATTATTCTTTACGACGCATCGATATAACCACTTCCTCATAATTAACGCGGCGCCAACGTACGTTTGAGATACCCCACTGTTGTTGTAGTTAGCCAAGTAGCTAGCTGCACGAAATGACATTCCGTCTCTTCTGCCGAGTTTTCGATCTAATGCTATCAACTCTACGCAATCCTGGGAGGACGAGTGAGTTTTTTTTGTATTAGCTGAAACCTGAGACTAGAATACGTACTCTATAAGTAACTAGGAGTAGGGTAGGTACTAATACCCCTTAAGAAGACAGAGACCAGGGCGATCAATAAGGGGTGAGAAACCTTTGCAGCGCCACTGTAGTCTAACTTGATGAAATATCTTTAATCATCCCAGTAACTTTCCGAGCCATGATCTCGTTATGCTCTGTGTGAAGTTAGTATCTGCAAGATTCCACCAAGTGCTACTAGATGATGGCAACAACACCAAGGCGAAACTTACTCAAACAAAAGGCATGCGGCAACCCCTCTTCACAAACGAACATCTTCGGTCCAAGCCCATCCTTACACCCCTTTAATGCAATAATCTCATCTCGAGTCTTCTCCGCAACCCAATGGTCATTCCGTCCAAAGTAGAAGAATAGCTTAGCGACAGGGTCACGAGTGGAAGAAACACCCCAAACATCATCCGTCCATTTATCAGTCGTGATAGAGGACATCTCGTCGGCAGCCATGTGTCTAAGATGATCGGTTTGGTCAATTTTGCAAGAAAGCTGTAGCTTGGGAACAAAGAGACTTACAGAGCCTGTCGTACGCCACCTGGACTCTTTAAGAAAGTAAATGTCGTTTCGAGAGCATGTGGTGGTGGGTTTTTCATCACAGTCCGAATGGCACTTTTCAAGATCGAGTCGGGGAGAATGAAGGTGAGGAGTCGAGCGAAGAAACTCACAACCAGAGCAAACTGTGGGATGATCGAGAGAAGGGTCTGTTAAGTCGATTAATTAGCTGCTATTTAGTGAAACCAAGTACTTTGCCTTCCGTGTTCTCTCTCTCTCTCTCTCTCTCTCTCTCTCTCTCTCTCTCTGTGTGTGTGTGTGTGTGTTGAACATGATGGAATCCATACCGTCAATTTTTGTCCCGAAGGAGAAGCAGAGATATCCATCACCGTCGGAAACAGCATAATACCGCCAATAATGTCGAAATCAGGGATATTGTCTGCTCCATCAGACTGAAATCCTGTCATAGTTTCGCGGTGTCGTCTCAGAATTTCCATGGCCATGTACGTCCCGACAGAATGTCCGATCAAGATAACCTTCTGCTTTTTCCGGGAGGAAATATTTCGCATCAACTCGTTTAACTTCCCCTGAACAAAACCGATCTGTTCTTCCAGGCTGTAGAGCTTGCGACTTGTCCCACCACTCTTACTTTTGTCCTGGCGGCCATTGCCATTGGAAGACGAGGAAGAGGAAGATTGTTCGGATGAACGATAGTTCTGACTCTGTTCGGTCACTTCAAACCCGCCAAGACTGCACCCGTAGATCAGAAACGAAGTTTCTGATCCTGATTTGGGGAAGAGCTCTCTTTCTCTACTTCTTTGCCCTGGTCTGCTACTAGGTGCTTCGCCAGCAAAGACAGGAAGGGGTGGTAGTAGCTGATCAAGCCGGGGTTCCCTGAAATGAAAAAGATAGTTGTATCGACTTCACTTTCTTCCCCTGTATATGTGCAGAAAACATTTTTGGTAATCCGGGACTCCATCGCAATAGAGGATTCTGCTATTAATTGGGATTCCCAGGACTGGCGACCTCGTCGTTGTCGTCTATTATCAAGGTTGAAACACGACGAAGGGGGTTGTATGTTCTGCAATCAGATATTAGCAAGTCCCACGACAGGCCAGTCTGAGTTAACCGTCAATTGAATGCCCATACCTATTCTAATATGCAAAAAACCGGCTACGCCGAGGTGTAGTTGGAGAAGGTGAGGTTGCGGAGCCGAGTGGATCCCATGTGAGCCGAGTTTGATTTGATGGTCCTACCGGACGCAAGGTCCAACCACGATCTACAACGGCGAACATGCCGACGGATCTTAACATTGACATTCCTTTGAACCAGTGGGGTAGTTTCCAATGTTCATGCTCGGATATTAGCCGGTTGGTCTTTATCCGGATCTTGGTCTGGGCTACTGCGTACAAATACGATATAAGACCTGTGAAGTACAGGGTGTGCCCTTTGACCTACTACGACCCAATTACAAGCAGAATCGTGAGATGCAAGATAGATTGCAATTGGTCCCAACTCCATTCCCATACCCAAAGCCTCCTCCTGGAACCACCAGGTTTCTAACCCCAGAGAAATAAAAAAAAGATAAAAACAGAGAGAAGAAAAGGCACGAAGCCAATTCCAATGCATTGCCCGGACGCCAGCAAAGCGCAATGTACATCATTCGTCCCAGCAATTCTCACCATCAGAGACCGCGGGTTTGAGAGAGAAAAAAGCAATGAGAACTTCACGCTCAAAAGATGAGAAGAGTCGAGGGAGCAAAAAGAGGGGGCGCAAGAAAAGCCCAATACGGGTCGAAAGGAGAAATGGAAATGGAATGGTGACCGCCAGAGAACGACAGCAAAATAGCAATGTTAACGGCAGCGGGAGTGGAAGGGGGTTCAAAAGCACAGGCTGGAAATCCCCGCGCTATGTTTGGTATCGAGCTTGAATCAAAACAAGATAGGAAGAAACGCTGCTGAACGTGCGAAAATCAACTCAATGCGCCACTGCGCAGAATTGTAATGGAAAGAATTAACCGTCTTCATCGCCTTGATTGTCGTCTCTGTTCTCTTTCTCATTGCCATCGGTCGACACTTCCGTGCACGATTTGTCGGCTTCGGTAGTGGCCGTTTTGGCCGGGCCTAAATTGATGGCAATCCTCTTGGGGGCTGCACTGGCAATACCACTCAAGTTGCTAACGCTTTTCTCCGAGCCTATTGACCCGATGGACAGATTTTTCTTACGGTTGAGGATCCCGGCACCAGAATTGCTGCTGGTAGAGCTGCGACGCTTTGGTCCCGCCGCGAGCTTGACCAGTTCATCTTCGTCTTCATCATCACGTCGACGTTTCTCCGCAAGTCGTTCAGGGGCCGGAGGTGTCTGGGCTGGCGAGAGAGGGGTTGAGCCTGCTTCCTCCTCGACATCAGCAACACTCAATGGCTCGCTCTGAGTATGGTTTGCGACATCGTCAGGTTTGGTGGTGTCCATTGTATCCTCGTCATCATCATCAGGGTAATCCACCAATGGCTTGACCATGAGGGGGCTTGATCCGTTTGGTATTCCAACCGCTAGAGAGCCGCGATCATCTTGAGTAGTCCATTCATCTTCATCGTCATCATCACCAGCCTCAAAGTATCGTTCCTCGTCAGCATCCAACCCCTTAACGCCTTGCCAGCGTTGGCCATCCAAGGGAATTCTGCGCGCTGAACTTCCTTCTTCTTGGCTGAACAAGGTGGAATCAGCTTCGGCCTCGTAGCCTTGGAGCTGTTCAAAGCGCATGCACAAGCTTTGGAATGTGTCCACATAGGTAATTTGCTCGAGCTTCTCACGGTACTTCTCCACCACATGTAGTATGAATGGTTTGATATTTTCCCGTTTGATGAATTCAAATAGCTCAAGACAAGCAGAGTTGAGCAAATTGTCGCGCGGCATGGTCTCCAGAACAATGTCCAGAATCAAGCCAAAAGTATTATTGCGTGTCATTAAGGCTTGGTAGAAGGTGTCTTGGAGGCTGATCAAGGTACGGAAGAATTTAAGAGCAACTGCCATTAAGGTTAGCCTGATTTCTACGGGGCCACACTTTATTTATCAACCAGATCTTACCTAGCTTCAGGTGTTTTTGAGGAGCTGTGAGAAGCTGAGCGACTCGAGGAGCGAGGGATTCGCTTTGAATGGAATTCCGCGTCCGGAAAAGATGTTGGCGAACAAAGAAAGTGAGAATATCGACAAGGTGCGCGTATAGCGTAACTTCTTGGAACGTCAAATCATCAACTGGATATAGGTTAGTGTCAAGCTTAATCGTGCAGGGAAATGAATGCAGGAGATCTCACGAGATTCGCGGTCAGCAAGCTGTTTAAGAGGCTGGAAAATACGTTTTGAAGACTCGTCGAAGTGTTGTTGAACAAATGCGTCGGAGAGAAGATTGGAAGAACGAAGTTTGAAGTAATCGGGACCAGCCCGACCAAGAGGGTCCTGCAGGGGTATCTGGGGGTCAAGCAGGATTTTAATGGCATCAGCTAGTTGGTTTTTGACACCGAGATCGGTCTCGGCATGCAGCAGGTCTATCAGGGTATCGGTAAGGGGGGGTCTTCTTCTCGTTGACAGCTTTCAACATGTATCCGCGCATCATCACCGGATCATGATCTAGTAGCGCCACCAATATGTCGATTCCAGTCGTGCGCATAGCTGGGTTTGGGTGCTTCACAGCAAACGCGATAACAGCGAAGAGGCCGTGACTGATAAAGTTGGCAAATAGCTGGGCACGCGAGGGAGCTTGCAGATTCTTCGCAATGGCAGCGCATTGGTGGAGGAACTGCACAGCATCATCCTTACGCTTGGCGTCGGCATTTCTGGGATCGAAGACGGAAAAGAGTTCTCGGAGGAAAGGAGCGTTCGCTTGAATGTGATTGACGATTTCCATTTGGTTGAAGAAAATCAAAGAGTTCAGGACTGAGAATGTCGGATCGTCCAAAATCCGGGCGAGAACCACGTCCTTAAGGTATTGTAAACGCCAGGTACTTCGGATCTTCCTGCGGATCAACGGGTCTCTGATGGGAACGACTTCCTTGTAACGCGACTGGTCCGCTAGATACTGCCGATGATTTGCTTTGAGCGCTGGGAATTCGGGATCATCTGTGGGTATGAATTTAGCTTTGCGGTTTTTTCACAGCTAGTTGACGAGAGCGAGCCACATACATTCCAGAGCTCCGACAACTCCCAAGATGATTTGGTCGGCAACCACGGTCTCAATAATGGTGTTATCGTTCAAGAGGATAAGGGATTTCATAATATTGCATAGTCGGTGTAGGTCGATCAAGCTTTCGAGATCTTCGGCCATGGTGACCAAGGGGACTAGCTTGCCAATGTACTCATCACGGATGATGAACTTGGATAGCGCGTCGCGACCGGGTTGTGTCATACTGGCGGCTCGTACAATCTGCTCGATTTCGGGGAGGTTGCCCAATTCCGGGGCTGGTAATATGATCGATTGGTAGCTTTCGAGGTCATCGGAGAGTGCATCATCTATCACAGGTGGATCACCTTCCAGTTAGACACGTCGCGTGATCCATCTTCGGACAATACTCTTACCGGCAGTTGCTAAACTAAGAAGCTGTTGCTGAACGGTATGCACGAAATCCCTGCGATTCCAATGGTGGTCAGTTCATGTCTCGATGTGGGCGCGCCACGCACACCGCGGAGAAGCGTTGGAAGCGCCTTACCAGATCACCGCGCATCCTTCGGCCTCTTGGAAACTCAGCGCCATATCCGTACCGTTCTGTTCCGTCCAGACAATCAAGGTCTCTGATCGCGTGATACAAGTCAGTCAAAACATACTTCATCATCGGTGATACGAGTTGGGCGGATGCAGTGGGACAGAAACCTTGCTGTTTTTGATAGCCATCGTCCTTGAGGATCTTGGTTTCCAACAAGACACGATTGGGTTCATCTTCGGATTCGACGAATATTCGGGGGATTTCCTACAATCGGAGCGCGCATGGGGTCAGTTTGGGTCGGGAAGCGAGTGAGTGGTGCAGGGGGGAGGGAGAGGATGGGTGGTGCGATAATGCGATGATCTCATGCGCCCGAGGGGGAGAGAAGTCGCGCGACAACGGCGGGCGCGAAGGTGCAGGGACACGGAGATGAGGCGAAGATCAGAGGAAAAGTCGCGGAGAAAAGGCAGAGAGGCATTGCCGGGCTCGAGAACGCAGTGAAGGACCGGGGAGGTGAGGTCTTACATCGAGGACCTGGCCGGTGCAGAAACCAGTGCCGCGGTCAAACCAGTCATTATCCCTCAGTTCATAGACCTTGACACGTTTGCGACCGTCGGGTGGCTGAAGCTCCATGGCCATGATCCGGGCACAAAAGACCGGGGCCTCTCCAGAATGGGCGATGGGTGGTGGTGGGGGGGGGGGAGGCCGGAGGTTGAAGATGTGATGGAAGAGTCTGCGGAGGGGATGACGGAAGGGAAGGTCAATCTTGGAGGATCCGAAGGGGGAGGCTCCACCGGGGGAGATAGGAGTATTCCATATACATTTAGTATACACCATGGCATAGTATACATTAGTACAGCAGTAAATACTGGTAGTAGATTCAGCTGATTAATTAATTATTAATTATAATTACTCCAGATAGCTCCATATTATCTCTATTTACCAAGACCCTAAAACCCTAATGGTGCCTAATAACTATGATAGATGGTGTACCTTAAGCGTGGCAGGTACAGACTTTGTACCTACTGGAAGTACCGAGGTACTACCAGGGCTACTACTAGTTCACTAGTACCCGGATGTACATCCAAGTACCTCACATTTGGCATACGCGCAAGTACCCGCAGTACCTCCGGGAATGCCTGATCCCCCTAAATAACCTTCCGCCGAACCTTCGATTTGCCTTCGAAGAATACCATGGACACCTGAAAACACCTGATAATTCAGGTTGACTTGGTCCAGTACCTCCACTCTACTCCGTACACTCTGCGCTACTACACCACACTAAATTAGCATGGCAGATTCTGCTACCCGATCGGGAAAGGTTCCAGACCGCAGCGCCTTCGTGCTTTTTCTTTCCTTCTTTTCTCTCTCTCTCTCTCTCTCTCCTCCCCTCTATTCACCCCTCATCCGATCACGAGCGACTTCTGGGAGTTTTGCGCTCGTCCATTCGGTTAGAAAGCTCCCTCTCCAATCCTCCATCTATCTCCACCGCAAGCGGCCTGATCTGCGCTGCGCGCATATACATCGGAATCTTTCCCCAAAAAACCCCCGCTTTTGCTTCCACCCAGCATCATGTCCAACTCCGACACCAAAGATCAGGTCACCGTGCAGGCCGCGACTACCGAGGCCACGGAGATCATCTCGCAGTCTTCGCTGCCCAAAGATCCCTCGGTGGCGATCATGAAGAACCCAACTGCGGAGGATGCCTCCTCTGTGGACCCGGCAGACCAGATCGAAAATGAGAAGCAGGGTTTCTGGGCTTTCTTCAAGACCAAGGAGTTCTACATTATCTTGGCTCTAGGGTAAGTCCCCCACTTACCTACTTTCCTGCATTGGTGCCCGCCGCGGCGCCAATCCATGCAACTCCTCCCCAAAATATACAAATGTAAATGATCTGACCATTTGTAATATAGACAACTCCTCGCAATTGCCAATACTTCTACTAGCACCTTCACCACGCTTCTCGGCGAGGAGGGCTGGGCCATCCCCACTTTCCAGACGCTTCTGAACTATTTGCTGCTCACTGCTATCTTCACTCCTTACACGATGTACCGTTACGGCCTTAAGGGCTGGTTCCAATTGTGCTGGCGTGACGGCTGGAAATGTACGTCCTCTCCACTCTCCACTCTATCATACCAAATCACCCGCGGGGACTGACCAACTAACCCTTCTCCCATCAGACATCATTCTTGCTTTCTGCGACGTACAAGGAAATTACTTTATCGTGCTGGCATACCAATACACCACCATGCTGAGCGCGCAACTGATCAACTTCTGGGCAATCGTCGTCGTGGTCGTCATTTCATTCCTCTTCCTGCGAGTGCGCTACCACATCTCTCAAATCGCCGGTATTGTCATCTGTATCGGTGGAATGGGTGTACTGATTGCCTCCGACCACATCACCGGTACAAACGGCGGAGACATCTCCAGCGGCCACCAGCTAAAGGGTGACCTCTTCGCTCTACTCGGCGCATCCTTTTACGGTCTAACCAACACCGCCGAGGAATACTTCGTTAGCAAGCGGCCCGTCTACGAGGTTCTGGGCCAACTTTCGTTCTACGCCTGTATCATCGATGGCGTCCAGTCCGCCATCTTCGACCGCGGCAATTACCACACTGCTACCTGGGACGGCAAGGTCGGCGGCTACCTCGTCGGTTTCACCTTGTGTCTGACTCTGTTCTACTGTCTGGCTCCGCTGCTTTTCCGTCTGTCTTCTGCGGCCTTTTTCAACGTCTCCATGCTCACCATGAACTTCTGGGGTGTCTGCATTGGCGTCAAGGTCTTCCACTATAGCATCCACTGGATGTACCCTATCGCTTTTGTCCTGATCATTGTTGGTCAGCTGATTTACTACCTCGGTCAAAGGGCCATGGCAGAGGCGCGGAAGCCTTGGTTGGGCAAGAATCAGGAACGTGGTGTGGCGGGTCTTTTCACTGCGAAGAAGCGTATCGAGCATGTCGCGCCCGCAAGCTCAGATCCCGAGCGTCGGCTTTCTGCCAACGATAGCACTGTTTAAGAGGTAGCTCAGATCCAATTTTGGTTTCCCTTTTTTCGGTTTTCCAAATCTCGATTTGGGCATTTCAAGGGGAATAGGATACATCCTTAAACGTATGTATACTGAACCTTTCAACCGGTTTAAACATAGACCTTAATTGGTTTCGGCTATTTTGGATACACGGTGACTTGATTTTCCTTGGGGCTCAGAGGTTGTTTTGCTCATGCAGGTGTTAATATTTCAAGTGTTAATATTTAATTCTTTAACGACTTCAATCTATCTTTTTTGCTTGGCTTAAGTTGTCTGCTCTCTCATAATAGATCTTCCAACCACTGACAGTCGAATGAAGCTAGATGTATGCTTTGAACACATGGAGTGACCCCGCGTTCTTCTTTATTGTGTTCTAGAATTCACCTTGTGGTTTCATGCAAGGCATGAGGTTGGCTCGGACGTACTGTAAATGCCCTATCCCACCCCCATACATAGCCCTAGTCAGGGTGGATCTACTTGCCACATTCCGGTTCGGTCTCCCGCAGCAAGGTCTCGGAATCTGTACAATGGTTTCGAGAATTCCATTGGCCGTGGCTAGAAATCATCCGTACTGCAGGGTAACATAGGTGATACAAAGATCCGGTGAAGTCATACAATATAATAGTTAGTATATCCGACTACCAAATGGAAGCAGATTCAATTGCTGGCCTATGGATCTCCTACTACCTTATGGTAGTTAAGATCGAAAACACTGCTTAATATTGGTACTGTAGTATGAGGATGAATACTATACTACCATTGTGTTTACCGCTGGACGACCTCGTAACAAGAAAACCAATTGTTGTTCTCGAGGTCAAAATTTCTTTTATTGTACCAACAGCAGTATCTGGTTAAAGAAAATTGCTAAAATTCTGTGTTGTGTACAAAATATTTTCCGAACCCCTTTCCGCACCAACCCTTTCCTTGCTTGCCAGTAGGTAGATAGACACCAAAAAAAAGGACAATTGCAAAGACAAAGAACAAGACCGTTGGAGCTGAGAACACCGAGAAATGAGAAACCCGTGAGCCTCAGACTATAAGCGCCAAGATATCCCATCCGACCATCCAACACAGCATAGGCACCAGATGAAGGCAAAAAAAGAAACAAGATAGAAGATAAAAACAACAACAGAGACTGGAAGTCAAAACCAAAAAAGACAACAAGACTCGCTCCATTGCAAGTTCAGATATGTGAGTGTGGGTGTTTTGTCCCAAACCAAAAGTGACACCAAATAGCAAGAAGACTCCGAAAACCATAACCAGTGGCGACACAACACCTCTTTCATCCGCCCAAGCCAGCTTGGTATCCAATCCCAAACCGAAGCAATCCAAAATGACAAGAAACAAAAGAGAAGAACTGGACAGAACAGAACATAACAGAGCTGAAGAAGAAACCAAAACCGAGCGTTAAAAGGGGATGCATGCAGAACAGGACCTCAAAGCTGTTCCGGCATAACCCATCCCTCTGCCATCATTATATATACCAAGCGTGCTCCAAGACCCGAATTCGCTCTCCCCAAAAAGAGAAAAGTAGAGTAAAGTAAAGTAAAAGCCCCGGCTTCCTCGAAGAAATGCCGCCGGAAAAGGGTAAACGGAGTTAACTCCCCACGTCCAAAAATGTCCAAAATGCATGCCAACAACGCAATGTGTCAAGCCAATGAATGGGGTGCGCAAAATACATTAGTCCAAATTAACCCCACACAGAGGCCTGGACACCAAGGCCACTCTTGGAACCCCAGACACCGCTGCCGTTGCTCCAGCCCAAACTGACACCACCCGCGGACGGGTCCTTGGGGCCAGATGCAGCAGGGGCGGCAACGGCGGGGTTGGAGCTTGCGGAAGTGGCCGCCGCATGAGAAGCAGCAGCCTCACCGGGGGTGAAGCCGAATCCCAAAGGAGAAGGGAGAGGGGTGGTTGAGCGTTTGTTCAGAGCCGGGTTGGAGGGAGGAGCGGTGGATTGACCAGCGACTTGGCGAGAGCCGATGGGACCCACGCCGACGGATCCAATGGGGCCTGTGCCAGGCTTGGAGGGGGCCTGTCGGGAGGAAGGCGAGGCGGCACCGCCGGGAGACGAGGTCGCAGTACCGGGCTGATCGGGGAATCCGGCGTTAATGGCGGAACTCGGCGACGAGGTGCTATTGGCACGGGATGGTGACTGCAGGCTCGAGGTCGACTCGGCAACGGGGGTCTGAGTTAGACCGAAGGCATCGACGGCCCGGGGGGGAGGATCCGCGGACACCGGTCGAGGAAGGAGTGGCCGCTTGGCTGTCAGGCCGGGAATTATCATCAGAAAGAGGGCCGGTATTGAAGAAGGCTGGGCTTTCGTTGCCATACAGGGCGCGGTGCTGACGGTGCAAGAGGCCGCGGTGATTTTCTTCACTCATAGCAGCCGGGCTGAGGGAGCGATCGGATTTGCTTGCAGACAGTTCGGCGAGGAGGCCTTTGGAAAGAGAAGACGAATTAAAATCCCGAGTTTTCAAGACAAAATGCCAAACAGAAAGAATGTAATATTATACACCAGAAAAAAGTGGCCCGACGGATACATATAGATGCAGCGAAAAGAAGCATGACAGGAAAATGTGGAACAATGACGGGGGAATATAGCGTCAAGAGAGATGGAGAGAGACAAGGGAAGATGAGGGAAGAACAAGAGAGAAAAAAAAGAACACACGCTACCACGTACTTCGGTTGTACTGCTGCTCCTGGTGATAGTTGCGGAGCTCCCGCTCTCGCTGTGCTGCCATCCGACGTTTCGCCTGCATCATTTGATCCACCTCATTCGTCCGACCCTGGTAACGCTGGGAGGCATAGAAGCCTTGGGCATTACCGGAAGGGTGCGCTCGGTTGTTGGTATTGCTGTTCTCAAACTCGCTGACGGAATGGTGGCGCTGGGGGCCGCCCATGCGCGGGTCTGTCACGGAATTTCGAATCAGAAGGTCGAACACCTCGTCGGATCGGATCCAATTGCCACATACCGTACTCAGGGTAGGGCCGGCCCATCATCATAGGCATCGAGTCCCGGCGAGGAGCATTCCACAGCTTGCCGCTCTTGACAAGGTTGTCGATCGCGCGGTCAACCTCTTCACAGAAATAATTAGATTAGTATTTGTTCATTCTCCAATTGATATGTGTATAAATTTTCTTCTCTCGAGATTCGATGATTGACCCCGAGTCCGTTCGATTGAAGCTGATGGGGTTCACTATCGTCATACGATAGGTTGTGTGTGCCACAGATAATTTTCCATCCATCATTTTGGTCGTGCGACAAACGAACGGGACTCGGGGAGACGAAGGAGAGCGGAGATGCGAAAGGATTGTGCATACCGTCGAATTGAGAGGAGAATGCCGGACTATCATCACGCTGGGAGACCGAGCTGGAGCCTGGAAAGAAGACTATGTGTCAATTTTTTCGATTCTTCTTATTTTATTTTTTTCCCTCCAAGTTTTTTGATCGGCAGAAAATCGGGGTTGACGAAGAGCATACCTGACCGGGAGGGAGGCACGGGCTGCTCCCACGAAGCCTGGCGTGGTGTAGCAGAAGGAGCCTGCCAGCCCTGTGGTTCGTAGTACGAAGACATGGTCGTTGAGAGGAATCTTCGCGGAACGACGACGGTTCAGGGGGAGCGGAAGGCGGAGGAGAGAGGATCCGGGAGTAATCAGAGGCGATCTGGAAACAAGAAAAGCGAAAATGTAAGTGACCACCACCGTAGAGAAATTTAGGCCAAAAATTCGAGGAGACAGATAGAGGAGAAAAGAGGGTTCCCAACTGGTCCCCATCATCTCAAATGCAAATCGTGAGATCGCCTGAGAAAAATGGCCGTGGGTCCTCTCCGTGCCGCACTCCGGCGGAATCGGGGGAATTTGGGCTTGGGCATTTTTTTTTGGGTTGGCACGAGGGAGGGGACGATCGGGGTAGGTCCGAGGAAACAGAAAATACTTACAAGGAGTAGCCTCTGAAGATGGAGTCCCACGAGTCAAGGTCGAAAGAAAGAGGGAGAGATAGTAAAAAAGAGGGGGTAAGAGGGAAAAGAAAAAGGAGGAGGGTCACGGTGGCTATTTTGGGGGGGGTCGAGTTGGTGTGGGTGGATTCAAAGGAGGGGCGCACCCGAGATTACAAGCAGTTAGTTACAGTAGGACGAGTTAATAATCTTTGCATGAGTACGAGTACACTTGGCTATAGTCATAGCATAGCATAGCATTACCAATGCCATGGCTATTGCTATTGCCATCTCGTGTAGTAGTAACTACCTATACGTATACCTATACTGAAGTATCATTGTATACTAACTGCTAGGTATACTAACTGTATACTAGTTAGTAGTACTGTAGTTATTACTAAACTACAGTAGAGTATAGTTAGTTACAGTATACTGTGTAAGTACACTATAATCTCCTCCACGCGGCAATTCCCGGTCTTGAGAACGGGGCATGCGCCTAGTCCAAGGGGCCCCATCCTCGTATACCCTTACTACAGTAGTATTAGTACTATGTACTCCGTAACTACTGTGTACTTATACACATGTATCCTCCCACCAAGGTTCCTCCACCTTTGTGTGTCCAATCGACTGATGTACTAACCATACTCAAGTACTTAGCACAGACATTGTCTTTGTTCTCGATACTTCATACTTCTCCACGTCGAGGACCAACCCTACTCCAGAGGACTGCCGCCAGATCCGCTTTCCACCTTTTCCCTCTCCTCTACTCCATCTCGCCCGCCCCCGTGCCTTGCTCGTCTCGGCTTTCGTCGCGGAGCTGGCTGTATGATGATGGCAATACTTCAATACTGCAATGCGCCCTGCACTCGCATGCAGCCTGCCAAGGCTCATTTCGCCGCCTTGCGACGGCTGAGCTGAGCTGCGAACCAGAGGTGGGGAAGGGTAGAGGGCTTCTTTTTGCTTTCCATCATGCATCCTATCCACTGGTCAAGGTTCCAGGTTTCGGCCAGCCCTTCAGAGAACAAGGAAGCCTCAAGAGTTCGTTTCGGAATGCACCCCACGGAGGACGTTAGCTGCACTCTCTAGTGGCATTATTTCCGCCCCCGGGCCTTTGCCCCGTCCATCTTGGTCCGTGCTATGACCAACGCATCGGCCGGTCAATTCAGGAGGCCCATGTGGGGCAATACTCTACAGTACGGAGTACCTAAGGTACTTGCTCACAAATATGTACAGAGTACGGAGTACAAAGCAATGTAGTATATTCTCCCGCAAGGTCCGCGGCCCCTCCCCTTCAGATTGGATGTTCATCCTCAATCCAGTCAGCGCGGGCCCGCTTCATGCCCGCGCAGAATGTACTAGTTTGCAGCTGGTAGAGCAGCGTACGTGACGCCTGTGACGCCTGCCAGTGCCCATGTGGGCGGGGCTGTGTCCGGAGTGAATCGCTTGGTGGGTTAGAGCCACTGGTATAGTCCTATACCCAGAGTGCAACACTGGCTCGGATCTGGCCTGATCTCGAGGCCCGCTATATTAATCAGTTTGTATACATCCCCAGTACAGGAGACCATGGGAACTCCCGACCCAGCTTTCCCCAGAAACTCTAATATTCTTCGCGATCATCTGCCGAGAGTCACTCTCTCCAAGTTCTTCTCGCGTACTCTCCGGAGTGTATTAGTGTATTGGGGTATCACCAGGAAAGTTGTCCCCAGGGGATGTGCCTGCGTCACCCGGGAGGCCTCGATCCAAGCTAAAAAAGAAAACAAAAACAAAAAGAATCAAACAAAAGAATGGTAGCGAAAGGGTTGGCCCCATAATAGCTTCAAGTTTCGCCATATAGACTTGCCAGGGGGCAACAGCGCTAAATGAAAATATCCCACTCGGCCGCACCGCCGGAAATAATTGGAAGGTTTTACGGGGTAGGTGATGATTTGAAGCCAGCTTTAGTGTAAAAAGATTTGCAGATTAGTTGTTGCGTCGCGTGACATGGATATACACCTGGACATAAACCAGCTTATAAAAAAGAAATAAGGAAAAGGCTACCTGAGCCACGCTCATACTAGTACTCCGTACTCCGTAACTACCTACATGAGCTCTCGGCGGTGGGATCTGGTTCTTCTAGCCTTTTTGCTTCTGTTTTCTTTTTCTTTCCTTCAAGTTTTTCTTCACCCCCCGTTAAGACCTCGGGATCGGTTCGTCCCACGGATCAGCTTTTACACAAAAGGGCTTTGTCCGCATGTCACCGAAGCGAGGGAGTCGAGACCACGGGGATAGAAAGCGATTTGTGGAAATCGCCCATTGTACTATGTACTCCATGCTTCCAAACATTGGGTGCAGCGCGACCGGAGAGATAAAGGGGTGTTCGGCACCGGCCATGGTCTCGCGGTCTTAGGAGAAATGATCCAGCCACAAGGTTCTTTCATCGGGGCAGTAGGGGGATGGGAATGCCGGCGGGTCCAATGATCACTGATCATTGATCACAGAGCGGGCCCTCAGGGTTGGGTCAAAGAAAGGGAGAGAAGTTCAGGGCTCACTCTCACCATCCGGCTCCCGAGGCTCACTGCATTGCAATACTATAATTAAATAAGGTGGCTTCCCTTGACGCTGATGGTGGCCTGGATATCTCCGATTAGGGCGATTTAGTGTATACTTATAGTAGTAGTCAAGTCACACGTGCAAGGATGCGCAGAATCGCGGGGAGGAAAGCAGAGTGTCGATCAGAAAGGGGGCCCATTCGATACCATTTGATACACTATCGGATCTCTTGGTACCTGCAGCATCTCCGGGTTGATTTGCAGGGTGGCGTAGAAAGGAAGTAAAGGGGTAGGGGATTGGATAAGATCAAGTCAAAGAGATGAATGGGAAATACATAATGATACTCGGTAAACCTTGTCGATAGCTGGCAGAAGAGTTGGCAGGATGTAGCTACTGAGTACTCCTGTAGTTCCCTACTAAAGTAACTATGCCATGCTGTGGAAATCATGCATGTCGCAGGTAGAGAAACACTTAGGCGCCCTTCGTATTCTGGCTGAGTAGACAGGTTTCAGCAGATCCCCTCCGTAATAAGTCCATTTTCAATTTCAATTTCCATTTCCATTTCCATTTCCATTGCGATGGTGAGAGGTGGACTAGTTAGAAGACTAAAAAAAGGTGCGGTCGGCTTGACTTGATAACCTTTGGCCTTTGCTTTGGACTTACCGCCAGGGGGGGGCTTTACTCGCATCTTCACTTTGACTACACTTGACTACACAACACTTCTTCTCTCTCCTCTCCTTCTCCCACGATCCTCTTCGTCTTCAATCGGAACCCCGGTTGGTTCCTCCCGATTACCCACGACCTGCCCATCTTACTCGCCCTTCCCCCCCCTCCTCCTCCTCCACCTCCGTGTTGTTCCCCGAGCGCCACGTTCCCTCCCCTTTAACCGTTCACTGAACTGCTTCCCTGTTCGGTCCTCGACATTTGCTTCTTTCTTTCTCTCGTCTCTACTCCTCCCACTCCCCCTCCCCCTTGACTCCTGGTTGAGACCTCTTATCTTCTCTTCTCGACTGTGGTTTCTCTCCAATTTTGAGAACCGTGTGTGAGGGCGATTGATTCACCTCCACCTCCCGTTTCGCAACCAAATTCTACCATCTCCCCTCCTCCACTCTGGAGAAAAAAAAAACCCCTCCCTCCCCAAAAACCTCACTTTCCTTTTTCCGACGAAAGGAACCGCGAGCCTTGCTACTTTGTTCAAATACCCTACCTTCTTGACCAGCAGGAGACAATCTCTTTTGCTGGGCTTTCGTTGGCCGCTTGTACCATTGAGTGGACCCGGAGGGGCTGTCTCGAGTGAGTGTGGTGGGTGTGGATTCACAACCGAGTCGCCGAGTCCGACACAAAGACGAGGACTTTGTTGGAAACTGCTATATGGTCCCCTTCATCGATGGGAATGCAAACTGTTCCCAGCACAGTGGTGACATCCCACCGATAGCGTCGGAGCAGCCTCCCACCATGGCCTGGATGCCGCAGTCCGACGCGACCGACCTTCCACATCGCCCTCCATTGACATCGCAGCAATCAAATTCCCTTCCCTCCACTCCATACCAACATGCGCGCAACCTCTCCTTCCACTCTCGATCGCCCTCACCCGCTCGCGGGAGCACCTCTCCTCGATCGACACATTCCGAATCAATACATTTGCCCCCTTCCGCTCGAAAACCGCTTGGAGGTTGTAAATATGAAACCGCCATGGCTTATTTCCGAAGACGAATACCCTATAGTCTTGGTGCGGATCCGTTACCGGAGGAGAAGGAGGAACTGAAGAAAAAGCTGGTCCCGGAGGAAGAGAAGAAAATGACGGCGGACATCATGGACTTATATGATCGGTTATTACCATCTGCGGAAAGCGATGATCGACGGCATCAGCTCGTTCGCAAATTGGAGAAGCTGTTCAATGATCAGTGGCCCGGTCATGAAATCAAGGCCAACGTCTTTGGCTCGTCGGGGAACAAACTCTGCTCTAGTGATTCGGATGGTACGTTTCTTCAGTCCAGGAAAGGACCACGACGCAGAATTTCGAAGGGTGTCTACAGACAAACAAAGGGAATCTGAAAGGCTGACCTGCAACAGTGGATATTTGTATTACGACAAACTTCAAGGACCTGGAGCATGTGTGTCTTCTGGCGAAGGTTTTGGCAGAACGTAAGAATTTCGCTTTTCTGAGATCTTGGAGATCTTCATCTTTCATTTTGGCCGCCGACTGACTCTTTGACCAGACGGAATGGAACGAGTTGTCTGCGTTTCACATGCAAAGGTTCCTATCGTGAAGATCTGGGATCCCGAGTTGAAACTGGCTTGCGACATGAACGTGAATAATACTCTAGCGTTGGAAAATACTCGGATGATCCGCACCTATGTCGATGTCGATGAACGGGTACGACCGTTAGCAATGAGTGTAAAGCACTGGACGAAACGACGGATCCTGAACGACGCGGCTCTTGGAGGGACACTGAGCTCATACACCTGGATTTGCCTCATCATCAACTTCTTGCAGACGAGAAATCCCCCCCATTCTTCCTAGCCTCCAGGCTCGGCCGCACGAGAAAAAGGCAACCCCCGAGGGTTTGGTATATTCGTTTGACGATAATCTCAAGTCATTGTTGGATTTTGGTCAGAAGAACAAGCAATCTGTCGGTGAACTTTTCTTTGAGTTCTTTCGATACTACGGCCACGAACTCAACTACGAGGAGACCGTCATCTCTGTACGCGAGGGCAAATTGGTATCTAAAGAGGGCAAGGGCTGGCACCTGATGGTGAATAACCGACTTTGTGTGGAGGAACCGTTCAACACATCGAGGAATTTGGGAAATACTGCCGACGACACTTCGTTTCGAGGATTGCATATGGAATTGCGGCGAGCATTCAAGTGTGCTTCTGTAGGAGACCTAGCTGATTGCTGCGCGCAATTCGAGTACCCACTCGAGGAAGAACGGACTTGGGAGCGACCACCGCCACAACCACGTCCTATCATCACCCCTTCATTACCCAATCGCGGAGGTCGGGGTGGTGGTCGTGGTGGGCGATATAACAATCAAACTCCCCGAGGCGGGTTTGCAGGTGGTCGTCGGGCGTCCAACACTGGAGGAAAGTCCAACAACAATACATTCCGACAACCGAGTGCCACGAATGCATCCGAATTGTCCCTGCAAGCGCAGCAGCAGGCCCAGTATATGCTTCATGATCAGCTCTACCAGCAGATTCAACTTCTTCAAGCTCAAGAACAAGAGTTGAGGATGCAGTTGCAAAACCAAGCCCTCATCACCGGTCGCCCTCCGCCTTACTTCCTTCGCCAGCCTTTCCTCCAATTCCCAATGCCCCAACAACAGGAGTACTCGGGCGAGGAGAACTCTCGCTCAAGGTCAGGTACTGTAAATCAGCCGCCACTCACCCCGTCCCAGCGGCAAACACCCCTCCTTAACCCTACCTATGCCTCTGTCAGCGCCTCTGGCATGCAAGCTAGCGCGACAAACCCTCCGTCTCCATCTGCCACCAACACACTTCCCGACCTCCGTCGAAATTCTCGGCGGTCATCCGTTGTAAATGGTTCACCCAAAGCATCGCTAAGGGCCCAGTCACAACCCGCACGACCCCAAAATTCGCCCTCGTTTCCGACTTTCACGCCCCTGTATACGATTCCACAGCCCCTTGATACGTCTTACGCCTCTAAGCAACGCCCGATTCCCGAATCCTTGGAACGTGGAGATGGTAGTGGAGACGAGACCAATATGCCGTCAAACAGCCTCCCGAGCAATGGCTCTCGCTCTGATTCTGTCGACGAGAACCGCTCACAGGACCTGCTAGGTTATTACATTACCCCTCAGCAGCTGCAATTATACCAGCAGAACAATATGCTACCCACATTGGCTTCTCACGTGGGAATGCTGCAGAATGGTTATTCGTCTTTCCTCCCTGTGCAACAGGAATACCGATCCTCCGGGGGAGTCTTTTCGTCCGAAGGTTCGAGCTCACGGTCCGATCAGACCCCGACGCCAGCGCCAAAGGCTTCAACGTCACAACCGCCGCAGCGCTCAGCATCCACGCGCCCCGCTGACCGTGGAGGACCACTCATTGTAGATGGTTCGGTTCGACCCAATGAACCTCGTCCGGCGTATGGATCTGACTTCATTGATTCGTATACTGTGGGTACCGCCTATACTTCGACTTCCGAGGACCACAACATCAACACCCCTGCCAGCTATTCCGATTCCCTGTCTCAGGATTTCCAAGAGCCCGTCCCCTTTGAAATGGAACAAACGCCTGTGTTCACGCAGTCACCATTCGAAGCACAAAAACAGAGCAATGGAAATACGGAAACTCAGCTGGAAAAGACAAATGGCCAACCTGAGCTGCTCGCCAGCCGACTGCAGAATTACCATCTATCAAACGCCGAGAAGCTCGCCCAGTCCCATTCGGCGAACAAGACGAATAAAAACGGCTCCTCGCACCATGGCACTGGCAAGGACACAAGCCAGGCGAAGAGTCACAATTCTGGGGGTGATAAATTTACCTCTTCTGCAGGTGCCAACGAAGGTCGACAAACACACTCAACCTCGAAGCGCCGGACAAATGGGGTGGATGCCTCGGAGAAGACGAATGGGGTGAGCCACGGCCACAGCCACAAGTCCAAATCCAAGGGCCGACAGGATACTTCAACCACAAGCGGGGACGCAAAGGAGAACCCATCCAAAAAGTCCGGCGTGGCGACAAACGGGGCTACCGATCATGGCCATAGTGGCTGGCAAACCACCAAGAAAAAGCACCGTCGCAACGCGAAGTCATCTGCTGAATCACGCAATGGAATTAACGGTGGCCCCGAACCTCTTCCCGCAGATGAGTCGATGCGTAAAGGCGGGTGAAAGTGTGCGATTTCCAGTTCCAGTATGGCACCATTCGAATCTTTTCACTGCAAAAGCAAAAGGCGCCCACGCCGCGCCCCAAAAAAACAAAACACATTTAGCATAGGGGACAACATCAATCTTCCCCAACGACAATCATCCAGCCCTGCTTTCATGGAGTATCATCGTTAGCTTTTCCCCGCCAGACATCTTGTTTTATTGTCTTGATACTTCCATTTTCATATCGATGTCTGGAGAGAGACGAGGCATATGCGTCAACGCCCATCACATTCAACAGAGTCCCACGAAAGCGAAATCAAGATACGAGAAGAATAAGAAGAAGAAAACGACGACAGCAAACAATAACAATAACAAATAACAAACTAAGAATGAAGAATGAAGACTTGGGGACCGGTTTCATCATGTTCATCATCATCTTTCAGGAATTCCACGCAACAACGCACGGCGAACGACATCTGTTTCCGCACCTGCTTCTTTTTTGTGCATTCCTTCTTTCTCGCAAGCTGTTTGGAGTTTTCTTGTGTTACATGGGCTAGATCCCTTTCCCACTGGGTGTTCTTTTTTTCTCTCTTCCTCTTTTGCTTTGCCCCCCCTTTTTTTTCTCCCTCTGTTCTTCCCTCCAAGTGTCTTGATTCTTATGGTGCCATTTTTTTCCTTTTCGGTTCTGTATAAAAAGAGAATTAACAACCCTGTCAATGAGAAACTATAAAAAAATCGAAAAAAGGCTTATTGCAATTCATGTGTCCCGAAGTTTGTTGTAGATGGGATGTAGCGGGTTTGTTTGTCCTTGGTCATGCTGCTGCTGCTGAACTGGAGATCTGTCAATATCAGCATTTGATTGTATTTTGTTAGAATAGACTTGGGATCGTGTTTGTACATAGTATTGCATTGCAATAGACGAAATTCGCCATCCTTGGGTTCACACTTTATCAAGAAGCAAGCATTTATCTCACATCCTCGACGAATGAGACTAGACCGCAAGTCGGACTGGAATATGACATGGAAAGATCCACCAAAGACAAGGTAAGCCATCCATGGGTGAGAATCACTCCATAAAGGCTCACTGGTGTTGAAAGGTATCCATAGCCTCATGCTGGGAAGGAAAAGAAGCGACAAAGCGATCCTCCTCTCCGAATTCCATCGGAGGAAAATGAGGAAGGGGGGGGGGGGAGTCGAGGGCGAGGGCAATGTACCTAGGCCTTCTACTAGTACATATGTAGGCGCCATCACCATACGAACCCTTGCTGGGATGACATTGCGCCATCCAGATCACGCCTGCCGTCATGGGCTGGTGCAGGTAGGACAAGAATGTTAAGAAGTACTAGTTTGTACCGACCTGCATGGCCAAATCAAATTGCTGGGGGGTTGTCACGTAATTATTCCAATTCTTGGCTTGCGTATAGGACGAAGTATCTTCATTCATCAAAGCACCCGAGGTAAGCCTTCGTTTTTGCGAACTGTGAGTGTGAGTGGTACCATGCATGGTGCTAACGAACTTGAACTACAAATGCCCAGGTGTACGGGTAAATCTTGGCATTTGCCAGTGGGAGGTATGTAGGCATTGTTTTCTAAGCTTGTTTCTATGGAAATTCAATTCAATTGGCATATTTTGACATTGATTGTATCGTCCACCCAGGTAAGTTGTATGTTAGTAGGTGACACATCGAATAATGAACAGTCTTCAAGAACACCGGGAAAAGAACAAGTAAACCCCCGAACTCGATAATCGAAAAAGTGTTGGTACAGTCAATCGCTTTTGTTTCTCTTGGAAAAGCCACGAGGGGATAAATTAAATCACATAAAGAGCTGAAGTATACCCGATCAAAGGTCGAAGAAGTGGGAGATTATGATAATGGGGCCCCGTCGCTGAAACACATTATGTTCATCAAATGGTATATAATATAAAGATCGTCGCCGGATGGTCTGATCAGGACCGGAGCTCGGCGAAGATGTATGGGAAAATCACAACGCAGGCGGTCCAGAAGACCATGATGGATCGGAAGGGGAATAGGATGAGGTGGGTCAAAGGAGTGTCGCGGAAGAGAACCCAGATGGAGAGGAAGGCGACAGTGAAGAAGTGGGAGAAGAGGACGAGAGGTTGTTTGATGAGGCCGGCGAGTAGACCGACGGGCCCATCGACGGCGCCGATCTGGAAGTAGCGGAAGCAGCCTCGCTGAAGGGCGCGGAGGTTTACATCTGCAGAGTGTTAAAGAGGGCTCATTGTAAAAACCGAAGGAGAGGGGGAAATCATACCGTCAGCGGCGAACAGGGAATAGAGGGCCTGCGCGAGAATGTTGATAACAGAGGACGAGTTCTTTCTAGCCCAGTGGAAACGGGCGAGTTGCTTCAAGACCAAGGTGGTGTTGCCCAGGTCAGGCACAGCCTCGGGGCTAAGCAGCTCACGAATGACGCAAACGTCGTTCAGTGCGACTGTCATTCCGCCACCAGTGAGAGGGTGTCGCATATTCAGCGCATCGCCCAAGATCATCATACCAGGCGTCTTATTGGTTGAAGGCGGGAGGAAGGAGTTCGGCATCGACCGCAAGTTTCCTTTTTCGAGGGCAGCCGCGAAAGCGGGCTGGGTTGCCTCGGGAAGAGAAGGGAGAACAGTGTTTTTCATATAGCCTTTAACTCCGCCGTTCTTTACAGAAGCGGCGGGCAAGTTATCAGGGATATCGATCAGGATGCGAGTCTCGTGGGTGCCAATCTGGTACATGAGGACGGGTGGGCAGTCGCTGAGAAGGACGTGGCCGTAGCAGGGAGACGGGAGTTGCGCATCGATCATTTCGAGGCCCCAAAACTTTGAACGGCGCTTGGGGGTGTATGGGTGGTGCGTTTTGCGGAATTTGGAAGCGTAGCCGTCGGCGACGACGGTGAGCTGGGCGAAATAGCAGTCCTTGAGATCATTGGTGATGCACTCCACACCAAGAACCTGTGAAGGGTTTGTAGAAGAGGTCACGAGAGCAGTTGCTGTGGTCTCAACGACCGTGACGTTGGGGCAGTCGAGCGCCGCCTCCCTTAATTTCATCACGAAGCGGCCATGGTGGAACGCTTTTCCCAGGGGGGCGGGCGATGAGGGGGTGGCCTTGGGGTATTCGAGCTGGACAGGGTCTCCATGATAACTAACATAATAACCCTTAACTTGAATCGCGTCGATCTCATCGAGGCAATCTTGCAGGCCAAGTTGTTCCAAGGCTTGCACGCCACCGGGTTGTAGCAGTTCGCCAACAATGCGATCGGGCTCCTTCATGGAACTCTCCAAAAGCAGAACACTTCTTCCTTGTCTTCCGAGGGCGACGGCCAGAGCGCAACCCAGAATACCAGCACCGACGATCACAATGTCGGCCTCATGGTATTCGATGCGGCGCTGTGTCGCCTGCTGAGATTTCGAGGCATGGCCGTTCGAGGTAGTCATGGTGGAGGGAATCGTGTGGAAGGGACGAGGTGAGACGAGATCAATAGGGCGGCCGGGAGCCGCAGGGGCATTCTCTCGAATTTAAGCGGAGGAGAGTATGGGCTGATGCGCAAAAAAGTCGCGGAGGAGTAAATCGTTGGGGGGAGAAAGGGGTCCGTGGCGTGACATGTGAAGGCCCGGTCTTGGCATCAACTCTATTTGCTGGTCCAGCAGCCTCCACTTGCGATCTTTCACAAATACGTGGTTTAAATGATAATAAAAGTCATTCAAATTTAGTTCTATTCAAATCAATTGAACTAGATGATATCTTCAATTTGGAATTTCTTTGTCTGTCTGAAAGAACTAGGAGCGAGACTAGAAAATACTGTAATCCAATGGTTGTTTGTCCCCTATAGAGCAAATAGACCCAAATGAGCAATTGGTTTCCAATGTTTCTATGCTCCATTCAGTGGCTGATGATATGTAACTCCATTCACAGTAGTAGTCAATGTTCCATTGGCTTCAAAAATATTCTCGAGGGCACTTATTGTGAGATGGAAGCCCCCCGGGCCAGTCTTCTTCGAAGCGTTTGTAGCACCAGTTTGTAAAATGTCAGAGTACCAATCAAGATGGTTTAACCAGGGATCAGAAGCCGACAACGTCAAGGTCACAGCTTCGTGGCCGTGAATATAGTGTTCTCCATCATCAGAAAAGTTGGTATACTCGACCGAGACCATTTTGATAATGTCAAGCAAGAGGTCCTTTGCTATTCTCGTTTTTGCAAATCCACTGTGCTTTCCACGGAGAGTGTAATTTCCCGGAGGTAAAGAGTAAGTGCTAGGGAGGCTAGCTCCTGGCGGGAATTGAGTAGCCCATGGAATCGTGTCTGGAGCGTCGAAAACGGGGACTGGGGAAATGGGCTTGCGAGTTGCTAAACGAGCTAACATAACTCGATAAGTGCGACCTCCTTGAGCAGTAGAAGCTGGGCACGTTAATGGGTTGCTTCCTCCACATGCAGGTGGAATAACCAAGCTCTGCCAGTATACAATATGGGTGCCATCTGGAGAAAATGCCGGATCGGCCTTGCCATTCCAGTTGGGATCGTTAACGCTCCCATTTGTTCCATTACCCGCATAGTTGACATGTTGACCAAAGTAGTCGCCGCGATCACCATATCGGTCGATGAGGATCGGCTGAAAGAATCGACGTGCCCCATTGTTGCGGGTAGATGAAGCAGCTGTAACCGTGACAAGATCCACAAGAGGAGCAATATGTCGCATCCCCGCCATCCACATTTGGCGGTTTGATCCTCGAGTATCCATTGTCACAAACCACTGATTGTCACGAGAGAAGGCGATTGGATCGGCGTATTCCGGGTGGCTGGTGAGACGGCGAACTACACCGGTAATGATATGAACAGCAAATACATCAATGTTGTTTGCTTCACGTGTTGGCCCGATGTAAAGTATCTCATCTCCAGCGCCGCTAAATCCCCGTAACTCACCTACACCTATAGCCTGGTTGTCTATCTTCAACTCCGATCCTTGGGCCATGATGGGCGCTGTGCCATTGGGTTTAGCGAGAAGATTGACGCCAACCAAATCGTATCGCGGAACCCGAAGTGTGCCATTTGTTGGGCTTTCGTTGAACTGTAGTCGGCCATAGTATGAGTTTTCGCCCCCACTCGTAAACGCACTCCATCCCATATGTTTATCATCAGGGTGCATGCGCATCTCTCGTGGACTCCCAGAACTATTGGCGCCAGCTGGCCAATATATGGGGTAGATGTACACTTTATCCGGCGTACAGCGTTCACTGACGAGTGGAATACCACCACAATACAAGATATTGTGTCCCCAAAGGGCTTGTTGGCCATTTCTGGCAATGTGTGGATAATCTCTTGCGTCGTCGAGGGAGCGGGCATTCCGCGATGGCACGCCGCAGCTCAAGCATTTCCAAGGATCGCCTGTACTAAACCTAGCCCCGTTCGTCTTGACCAAAATGAGCTGTTTCCCAGTAAATATGCTAGCGGGGTGTGGCGCGAGGGGAGCGCCGATGAATTCCACAGTGGCAACAACATGGTTCCCATCAGGTGCGAAATCGCCTGCTTGAAAAAAGTCCGATGTTTTTCCAATGCATCCGGTATGTCGAGAATTTATGGAAGTATTGCATGCGCCTGTATCATTTGTTGGTGCCACAGGAGGCAAAGGTAGTTCGATTACCTCAATTGGTTCTGATTTGGGTGGTGCCGGTACCCCCGCTGCTAAGCTGAGGGTTGCTGTGCTTATAACGGCTTGAAAGAGCCAATGCATTATGTTTTGTTAATGAATGAAAAGTCTGATTCCAAAAAATTAACGTGCGAAACACGGCTCACTTTAAGCATGATTTCTGCCTAGCCTTGGGTGTAAAATAAAATGATCAACTACTGGAAAATCGGAGAGAGCGAACAAACAGGGTATGGTTTACGGTTTATGATGGTTTAAGGTAAAGTATACGAGTACGAGTACGGGGATGTGAGATCTGCACATTATAGTGGGTCATAGAAAACCCCAAGAGGCGGGGGAAATGGATTTGATTGCTCGCCTCTATGCTACAATTATTTTCGAGGCTAATATGGGATGTCATGGCCGGCGAAATGGTTTGCAATTTATCGATTCGATCTAGAACTTGCTTTCTTTTGGTTCGGGAGCTTGTGACAATGTCATACCCATTAACATACTGTTTAAAGCCTGTCTCTTCGCGTCCCAATACTTGTCAAGTGTCATTCAAAGTGTTATTCATTGGTAGATAAATGCTTCACTAATGCTGTTGATGCGGTCATGGCGTTCATTTCTGTTTTGAATTCCTATATTTGGAGTCCCGTCTCTTATGTTCTGCTGGAGCAGCAGTACCCGCAAGAATCGAAATATCACGGTTGGATTGGAAGGGAAGGGATGGATTGTCATGGTCGGTACAAATCTCTCGATGTAAGATTTTTCTTTTCTCTCTCTTCAACCATTGATCGTTGATTTGGCCATGGCAACCGCTATTTTATCCGCGAGGGTATTACCCGGCACGTCTTTATGCCCAGGAACCCAATGTAATTCAAGATTGACCTCTTGACTCTTTAGCGCTTCACTGCGGCCCATCACTGATTGGAGAAGGCGGTGATGTTCTTTCTCTTGCTTGGCAGACGGTGACCTTTGGGATTTAAAATTCTTGATTCCAATTAGCGCACCTTGGGAATCCGTGAAGATCAGTACCTCATGGGTCTTCCGGGATCGTGCCTTGGTTTCTAATATTTCTCTCGTTGCTAGTTCCAGCGCGCAATCAATAGCATATAGCTCGACCAAATTGCTGTTCGAAGTTTTCACGGAGAAATGCAGTCCTTGCCCGCCCCAGTCCGATGGACTAGGTTTTCTCCACACGATCCCGGCGGCTGCTCTGCCATTACGGCTGCGAAGAGAGCCGTCGGCGAAATAAACATGATATTGGGTTGTTTTTGTTTCCAGCAGCATATTTGTCATCAGAGAGGAGTAGCTTTTGGCTTGTGATTTGTCTTCCTCTGAGATTGCCCAAGGTATAATGTTTCCCTGGAAATCACCTGGAGACCTTTGACACCCGTCAGCAGGATATTGTGAGAATGAGTTAAGACATAAACATTTCTTACTTCATGCTTTCTGAGACCCTAGAAACCCGGGCCCTAGGCTGCCACAGTGGCTCTTTCTTCTCGAGAAGATGATTCAGTAAGGCCATCATATTCTTCCTCCGGCCGTCTGGCATTTTTGGAGTGTCCGAGTCGTCCATCGCGACTTCCTCCTCACCTCCGCGAAACCGAAGTTCCACTTTACCGGATGGGTGCTTTTTCACTCCGTAGTGAGGGACAAATCTGAAGGAGACAAATCTGAAGGAGGTATTTTACGTTTGCTGAAGTCATCATCCGACATAGTGTGTAGATTCGTGTTGCAAGTTGGAGAGAAGGGTTGTAGGTGATGAGATGAAGATCGCGTACGGAGTATTTGAGATCTATTTCATACGAAATTAGGCTACCAACCCAGATTAGGCTATCTTCTAAATCTTAGGTTTGAATAAAAGAGTCCGAGTGACTGTTGATTTGTCCGTCATTATGAACCGTTGAGGACGATTGTGTACTACCGTGACCTGTTTCAAGTTCCGAAGTTGGTTCGCGGCTCGGAAAGTACCATCCATTGGATCCAATGAATACTTCCAATGTTTAGCAACCTTCAATTTGGAAAGCATCCTTTCGAAATAGGCGGGCCCGAATGAGACCGAACAAATAAACATCTATACAGGACTCGGAATGGCACAATAAATGGCTTTCAAGAAGATACTATATACATATTGTACACTGTAGTATTGTAAATACATGGATGTGCGATAGCTACATCCGCAAATTCTTTGTCCCCAGAGCTTTCTTCCCGGGGGTATTTAGGGTCCTCGGGAAGCCAGAACTCTTGGTTCACGAGACGACTCTCCTTCCACATCCGTATCACTTCATCCTCGGTGGGTATATTGTTATTCATCAGAAGATCCAGTTCCATCTCTTCATCAAAATGGTAGACCATCTCCTCAGTAGAACCCCGTGGCAGAATTTTTTGCTCTTCAGCTGAGCGAGAATTCACCTCCATACGCCCGCGAATCTTGCTTTCGGGGTGAGGAGACTTGCTCACCCAATTGGCTTCACCTTGCATGCTGCACAGGAGTGATTCTGCAAGACGATGCAAAACGCTGATATTGTGAATGGCCTTAGAGTCGTCATTCCTTCCTTGGCGAGTACAAATTTGTTCCAGGGAAGGCATCAGCCGTCGCACTTCGACATAGAAATCCTGGATAGCGGGTTCTGTTCGGGAAAGGACCGCCACCATGCACCACCAAACGCCCCTCAGGTTCTCTGTCGAAGCAAAGGCACGAAACAACATTTTGAATAGCACTTGGTCAAAACCATGTGACTTTCGCCACGTGGACTTGTATACCGCTGTGAGAATATCAATGGCCTTTGGCCCCTGTTTCGAAGAAATTAATTTTTTGCTGAGCGAGGCGAGTGCATGGTGCTTGACGGTGAGGTGAGGCGTGTCCCGGCAGAGGTTGTAATACTCAAAAATTGCCATCTTGAGCAGGGCTGTGTCGCTGACACCCTTATCCAACTGCAGTATCTGCTGGAAGAAAATGGGAGGCACGAGAGGGAACGCCGGGTTGGTTCCTACACTTCGCCCTTTGAGCCAGTTTGGGTATTCGCTCTTGATAATGATCTGGGCATCCGCTAAGCCCAGCCAGCCGTGGCCAAGAATCGTTGCGATGACAGCGAGATGGATGTGGGTAGGTCGAAGCACAAAGCCTGAAGCGCCCGCAGTTCGGAAGACACTCAGGGCTTCCTGGAATCTCCCCCCCATTGATGTGATCCTCCATTTGCTTGCGGAGAGGTATGTGGTTATCGATAAGCTTGGTATGCACCAGATCGTCCAAACTTCTCGAGAATGTCTCGTTTGCTGGTTTATGAATTGGGTACAGAACACCTCGGTCCAAAGAGTAAGATGCTGATCCAGTGCCTAGAAGGCGTCGAGTGGTGGCAGCCTGACCGTACTGTTTCTTAGCAGCTTGGATCATTCGCCAGAATCCAACGGGGGAATCTTGCATTGAGACTCGACGCGCGATCAAAATACTCAAAAATTGGTCTTGATCAAGCCCTGTGTTCCATTGACGCTCCTCGGCCAAACGACTGATCTGTCCGATGAGGCTCGAGTCGCCTTTTTCGACCAAGGCCTCCAAAATGTGTCGATGAAGGATCTTGTCTGGGACAAGCTCGAACTGATGGATGCAGCTAGTAAGGAAGTCAAAAATTTCGCGGCCGGAGTGAGTAGGGTAGTATTCCAAGAAGACACGATCAAACGCATATGCAAAATCTCGCTTATTGCGAGTAAATTCAAGTCGATGCATTTCATGCATCCCAGCGAACACGCCTTCCCAGTCACAAGTCAAAGCCTTGGCATATATGAGTAGACCAAGAGTTCGAGATCCAGGTTGTACATTGTATTTCTTTGGCATGTCTGCGACCAAGTCTTCGGCATCTTCGTGCTGGCCGCTTTCAATGAAGGCCTTGACGAGTGGGTTGAAAAGCTTCTCATTTGGAGAGCGATCAAGATTGGCCAGCGCCGCCAGGATATTTCGGAATTCCGCGATTATCAAATCGAGACTTCTCGTCTTCCGCCAAAGACCATCCAGAAATGCACCACACAAGCCGCCATTCTTGTCGTTTTTGATGCGCGCGTAGAAGAGGTTCTTGGCCGGATTTACTCTCCTCGATTCAAGTAAAGATCGAAGCACAACCTCGAGCAGATAAGCGGGTACGCGTAACTTCTTGTGGTGTCTTTCATAAATAGAACCAACAGAATCGATATGGCCTCCCTTCGCAAGTAAATGCATCATTGTGGCCCACATCTGTGTATCTATCACACTCACTTTCTCCATCCGCTCGAAGAGAGTCCGGGCGAGGAAAGTGTTTCCTTTCATACAATTCACGGTAAAAAGCTTGCGCGCGACTTCTCGTGTCTGGAAGGATATCGCATCTGCGGCGTCATAAAAGTTTTGCAGAAAAACATTGGCGGCCTCGATTTCCCGATCCTCCGAAATCAATTGGGTTATCCGCTCTTCAACCGATATGTCAACCTCCTCACAAGCTTCTTCCACTGGTTCAAAATGTCGAGCAAGGGCTACCCGAGCCTCTACCGACTGTTTCAATTTGGTGCTCTGCGATTGGCTAAACGGACCGTATTGGTCCAGATCAGACGACCGGACCGCCCTGGGCTGCTGTTGAGAAGAGTCCTCGAGGCTATCTCGCAGACCTTGCGTCTGGTCGTCGCCCGTGGTCCGTCGCAATGACGGTTTGTTCTTCATGGAATCCAGCCCCATAAACTCGCCTGCTTCGGCAGCGTCCATCATCATGGCGAGGCGCTTGGCGGAAGCTGTCGCATCATAGTTTGGGGCAGAGGTTCGGAGGGTTCGCTTGTTCTCGATGATCTGCTCGGCGATGCGGACTCGGCGATGTACATCGTAAGTGATGACTCCGACGGTGCAAAAGCCGCCCACGGTAGAGCCCGCAAGGGCCAATTGGCGAAGTACTCGTAGGGCATTTCGTGAGGGAACGGCAGGGGTCGAATTTGCGGTATTGGCGAACATTGTCGAGGCGATCCCGCTGGACGCGCTTGGCTCAGCAGTCGTGCATCAGCGGACTCGCAGGCGAGGGTTCAGTATAATGCGGTCTTATGCATATGATGTTTTTGTCGTCTGGCCTATAGAGGCTAAAACACCGAAGTTGGCGGCCGGGCAATTGAGATCAGGAGAGGTGGATAAACTCGGGCTGGCAACATTTGCGGAATTGACGAAAACGCGGGTGGTCCGTGCGCGGATCGACCCATATACAAATCACCTGATCCGCTACAATCTTTGAGGATATTTGATGCTGGCAACTCTAGTTGAATTGTAACTTGGCAAATATTATCTATTATTCAAGATCTATGCTGAAGCTCTTGCTATCTTGCTAGTAGCCCATCCTGCTCGCTCTCCCCTTCTTCGTTAGCCTCGACCGTCACGTCTATTTCGGGCTCGTCTTCCAATGTGACTGGTATGCGGTTAGTGGACGTAATTCGATCAGTTCGGGGGATATCAACGTACTATGTGGTCTGATCAACAGGCTCATGAGGAATGCAAATCCAAAGACAGCGGCAAGCGAAACGAAGACTGTTTGAGGGTATGTTGCAACTGTCAGGCTGTAAATTAGGTTAAAGATGGTCGGAGCAACAACCCGGGCCAGTGCATGAAGCAGACCAGTGGCACCGAGAAGCTGTCCGACACGCTCTTGAGGCACATGCTTGGTGAGAGATGATTGCAATGTCGGAGATCCCATGCCACCCAGTGAGGCAACCGCACCAGAGAGAATCATCATTGCTGGATGCTTAGACATGGCATATCCAACGTAACCCAGAACATCGAATACCACCGACACCCTGATGAGAACGATGTCAAGCATGTCGGACCCGCGGATGGACGCATCATCAGGGGATGGAGTTCGGAAGAAATATGCAACAGCTGGGAGAACCACAAACAGATTGATCACTCGAACAACGTTGATGATTGACACGAAGAGGCTGGATTCCACGTTGCCCCAGTTGAACATATATTCGGCATAGATGATGATGACCTGCATGGTACCCATGGCTACTCCAAAAACGGCCGTGTCAATCGCCGCCAGCAGAATGATATTTCGTCGGAGTGCTGGGCTAGCACCTCGGCGATTAGGGAACAAAACGCTTGGGCGACCAACGGCAGGGAATAGTATCGACAGGGGCGTAACCAGGTTTACCGGGTTGAGCGATCTCAAGGAGAACCCACTGGAGGTTTCTGAGTTCGCTTTCTTGGCACGATGCTTCTCTCGGGCAGCCAACTGGCGCTTTTTGGAGAGCGACTCGGGAACAATAAAAAGAATTGAAAGAACAAAGGTAATGTGGAACGAGAGCCCGATTAGGAAAACAATCACCGTGTTACCGGTCTGTTTGATCAGGAATGCAGCACCGGTAGGTCCAGCTGCAATGCCCAAGAACAAGGCGCCGTGGAATAAACCGAAGGCTACGCTGCGTCCATCGGGGGGCGTACAGTCTGAAGCATATGAATGAATCAGAGCTTGGGCGCCCGTAAATGAGCCTCCCAGGCCATCGAACACAGCGCCTATGAAGAGTAACTTGACCGACATGTATTCGGGCCATTTGGCTAGAACAAGGGTGATGGCTTCGTTAAGTACAGCGCCCGTCGCGCCCAGCGCGATCAGTTTGGTGCGGCCATAGCGATCGGACAAGTGTCCAAGGCGAGGGCTTGCCAGTGCTGAGATGATTCCAGTGATGAGGTTCAGATACAACTGGAAACGAGCCACTAAGGACTGTACCTCTGGGATTCGGCACTGGGAGTTGTCTTCTCCAAACACGACGGGGAGATAGGTGAATCTGGAGTCCTTCAAGGATCTCTCTGAGAAGTAATCGCGACAAATCAAGGTCATAATCAAGTTGATTTTAGGGACTGCAAGACCTCCAAAGCCGAGCGTAAAAAGCAGGCCGAATGGCAACAGCCACCAGATCTACCATCGCGATCAGATAAAGGATCTCGGGTGCTCGTGGCAGCGGTCATCGTCACTCACATGTGCTCTTCTCCATCGAGGTCTCGTATCTATCTCGCTAGGCTGGTCGTCATCTCGCGACCATTCTCCATCCTGACTATCATCATCACCGGCCAGTAGAGGCTCGGCGTGGACGTGCAAGGGGGCGTTTTTGGTCTGAGTGTGTGCGCGTCGAGCGTGTTGCTGTGCGTCAACGGCGGGCTCGCCCGCGAAAAGTTCTTCATTCTCCATAACGGATGCGAGAAATATTTCGGAGTCGCGATCGCCTACAGGCACATGATCTGAATTAAATGTAGAGAGAACGCAATGGGTTGGTCAGGATGACCGGTCCATACGAGAGGAGGCAAGGATGTAGACCTCGGGAGGTGGGGAGAGGAGAAATGCGACCATCCAACCATCGAGGTCTCCTCTTATCAAGCAAGTTTAGGTCCCACTTGAAACTTGATTCCGTCATTCTAACGCCGAAATCTCCGGACTCAACGTTTCAAGCTTTCAAGTCTAGATTCTTGGTAATCATAATCACTGAAAGGTGCGATCGTGTATTGCGTCCAAGGTCGATACTAGTTACTCCGTACAGTGGTCTGTATAATATGTAGCTCAATATGCGAAATGTAGCCAAACGCCCAAAACCCGTTCCCAATTTTATAAGTACATGTTCGAATCCGCCCGAAAATTACTGTGCATTGATGGATCCCCTTTACATTACCAGGGATCCATACTGCTCACCAGCAAAGAACTTTTTCTGCTCCAGGCAGCGCTCGCTGCGGCATCCTTGACAGCGCAGAGTCATCTGAGCCGAGCAGGGCTCTCCCTTCTGCAGATGCTCGTGGGCAAGATCCGCGAGACCCTGAATGAAAATAGGGTTACCGTTCAAACTCTCCGCCCGCTTGACACCCGGGCTGTTAGCCTCCTCCATGACTTCCAAGTCCAGCTCGTACAGTGTCTCAATATGGTCGCTAGTGAAAGCGACTGGCACAAGGATAAGATCTGTTTGGCCGCGCTTCACATACTCCATCACGGTGTCCTGGGTCTGAGCACCCAGCCAGGCCTTGGGACCGACCTGGGATTGCCAGCACAGGCGATACGGGTTGCTGAACTTCAGGCGTTGCATAACAGCGTGGACTGTAGCAGCTACTTCGGCAGGGTAGGGGTCGCCTTGAAGAAAGCCGTCAGCATCGGAATTTCCCTGACTCCAGAGAGATGGAACAACTTACCTCGGTTGACAACATCCATAGGCAGACTGTGAGCAGAGAATAACAATACAACCTGGTCCCGCTTCTCCTCGGGGTAGGTCTTCAACTGAGCCTCGATATTCTGGGCGAAGGCCTCAACAAGGCCGGGGTGCGTCGGCCAGCGGTCGATGACACTCCACTGAATTGCGCCAGTAGGGTCCACCTCGCCATTCGCCCGCTTTACCTCCAAACGGTTACGCCACTTCCAAAGTTCATTCAGAGAGCTACCCGTTGTGGAACAAGAATATTGCGGATATTGTGTGAAAGCAACGGCACGACCGCCCTTGCCATTGCCGAACCCATCAGCAAGTAGATGGTTGTACATGGTCTCAGTCAAAGGTGCGGCGTACCGGAATGCGACGTAAGGCTTATGCGGCGCGGTCTCCGGGGAAATCTTATCCAAGATTTTACACATTTCGGTGCATTGGTATTCAGACCACTTTCGAATAGGAGATCCTCCACCGATATCCGCGTACTGCTTCTGGATTTTTGGGGTTCGTCGACGAGCGATTATTGGACCGATATATGATTGGAACCGCCCGAGGGGAATCAAATCACCATCGGCCTATGACGGGCAAAAGAAAGCAAAGGGTTAGCCAATGCAACCATAATAATTTGGCAGCTATCGAGAAGCAGCAATCGATTCCAAATGACATACAAAAAGACGGCTCAGGAAGTCTTCCACCTCGTCCGTGGTCGACGGGCCGCCCATGTTCATAAAAACCATTGCGGTCGGGCCCTTTGAACCTGTTGCATCTTGAGTAACAGGTGGTACCACGGTTGCAAGGTTAGATCGCTGAGTTTTGTTATAAGCGGCGCAGCTCCATGCCAGTGGCCGAAGACTGGGGGTGGCGCCGCTCAACAACCGCCGAGAGATCGCGAAGGGACTGCGAAAGGCCATCGCGGAGGAAGGTGTGCCGGGAATGGGATTGGATTGATCTAGATATTCAAACAAGAATGATCGGGTATGTTAGACAATGGAATGAGTGTGAGAAGTCGACAGATGGGAGCGATCCAAACGTGATTTGATTGCCGGGTTGGCCCAACATCTGGCAGCTTTCCAGCTTCCGCGGTCCGGCGAGTCCATTTCCCGACGGCCAATCAGCGTGCAGTTAGAGTCAGCAGAGCCAAAGGCGGTGTGTCACATGACCTTCGCGCCCCCCCCCCCCGCGGGTGAAGCGCGTTGATTTGCCCGCGGCTGCCTTATCGCGCAGCTGCCTGGCGTTCCTCTGTTTGGTGGCCTTGACCTGCCATGAAAGTTGCTTCTCAACTTGTTATTCTTCAACCACTTCAGCACACACTGTGACACCATGGCAGATGACAATTACACACGGGACGAGGAGGATTTTGATGAGGAGGAAGTTGATGAGACCGTGAGTTTAACAATGAATGGATTTGGCGATTCCGCGGTATACATGCGAAAGCTTCCAACTAACTCTCGATTTGACAATAGAGCTACCGATCAGTCAAAGATGCTGTCTTGTTTGCAATCGATATTAGCAGCTCAATGCTGACTCCCCGCCCGTCCAAGGATGCTAAGAAACCCACCGAGGTATCGCCCGCCTCTGCTGCTCTCAGATGCGCATACCATTTGATGCAACAACGCATCATTTCGAACCCTCATGACATGATTGGCGTCTTGCTCTATGGTACCGAATCCTCCAAGTTCTACGACGAGGATGGAAAGAGCCGTGACGACTTATCCTACCCACATTGCTACCTATTTACTGATCTCGATGTTCCATCCGCCGACGAGGTGAAGGCACTTCGAGCGCTTGCAGAGGATGAAGAGGAGGCTCGTAAGGTACTCAAGCCATCTGAAGAGCGAGTTTCTATGGCCAATGTACTGTTCTGCGCAAACCAAATTTTCACCTCGAAGGCTCCAAATTTCCTCTCACGACGACTGTTCATCGTCACAGACGAAGATAACCCCCACGCTGAAAGCAAATCCCTACGCTCAGCTTCGTTTGTTCGAGCGAAAGATCTCTATGACCTTGGCGTGGCAATTGATTTGTTTCCCATTTCACGACCGGATCACGAGTTCAACACCTCTAGGTTCTACGACGTAAGTATCGGCTTGGAGTTTCTACAGTGGCGAGTATGGCCATATGAAGTGCTGACTTTCTCATAGGATATCATCTACAAAACAGCGCCCAGTGACGGCGAAGCGCCTGCCTATCTGAAGCCAGATACAAACACCGCGACGGCAACAGGGGACGGCATTTCATTACTCAATTCCCTCTTGTCAAGTATCAACTCACGATCTGTAGCTCGACGGTCGCTCTTCACGAACGTGCCATTGGAGCTTGGCCCCGATTTCAGAATCTCCGTCAACGGTTATCTTCTGCTCAAGAAGCAAGAGCCGGCGCGCAGTTGCTATGTTTGGCTCGGCGGAGAGACCCCACAAATCGCCAAGGGTATCACGACTCAAAGCGCAGATGATACAGGACACGTCGTAGAGAAGTCGGAGATCCGTAAGGCATACAAGTTCGGAGGTGAACAAGTCACATTCACGACTGAAGAGCAACAAGCCCTCAGGAACTTTGGTGATCCCATAATCCGAATCATCGGTTTCAAACCCCTCTCCGCTCTGCCTATCTGGGCCAATGTCAAGCATCCTACTTTTATTTATCCTTCGGAGGAAGACTACATCGGCTCGGTTCGCGTTTTCTCAGCACTCCAGCAAAAGCTTCTCAAGGATCAAAAGCTGGCTCTTGTCTGGTTTATCCCTCGCAAGAATGCTACCCCATGCTTGGCTGCTATGGTTGCTGGCGAAGAAAGAGTGGATGAAAATGGTGTCCAAAAAGTACCACCGGGAATGTGGGTGATACCTCTGCCGTTTGCCGATGACGTGCGACAGAATCCAGAATATGCCCGACATGCTCCCCCAGATGATCTGGTAGACGCGATGTGCAACGTCATTGGACAACTCGAGCTTCCAAAAAAAGTCTACGATGCTCAAAAATATCCAAACCCTCGTATGATACCTCGTGTTCCGGGAAATCGGCAAGATACTGACAACAACAATTCTACAGCTCTTCAATGGCATTATCGTATCTTACAGGCTCTGGCTTTGGACGAAGATGTTCCCGAAACGCCAGATGATAAAACCATCCCCAAATTCCGACAAATTGACAAGGTGAGCTGCTCATACTCAAAGAAATCAATTAGGAGATACTGATGTTGGTTTTGAAGCGCGCCGGCGACTATGTTATGACGTGGTCCGAACTGGTCGATGAGAATGCGAAAAGCATGTTTGGTGGAACTGCGGCAACAAAGTCAACCCTAGTCAAGCGAGGACCAAAGGATCAAGATGCCGGGAATCCTCCAAGCAAGCGAGTGAAAGTCGAGGGTGGGACTACCAACCTCGACGACGATGTCAAAAGGAGCTTTGAAAGGGGTGCGGTCGCGAAGGTAGGCTATCACTTTCTGATATAGAAGGACTGCAGATTCAAGAAACTAACTATAATTCAATTAGCTCACTATGCCCATCCTGAAAGAGTTCCTGACCGCTCATGGCCGTGCCACAGCTGGGAAAAAGGCCGATCTCGTTGACCGAGTGGAGCAATTCTTTGAGGAGAAGATCTGAGCCTCACCTCAGCATTCAAGTCTAGCCTCCAGCAAACTATTCAATCTACGAATTATGACAGAAATCATTCCGTATTTTCTATCCCATTCGCAGATGATGAGTCCAATCCTGCAGATTTAGTCATTTCGTAGGATATCATTGTGAGTTGTACGCTCCTCAATCCATTTCCTATACCAATAATTAGCGTGCTGTTCACTCCAGGCTGCACTCACCGCAAATGGTCACTTAGGTAGTTCATTATCTTCTCAACTCTGCCTAGGCGACTTTGTGCTGCTTTTGTGGTAGTCTGACTAACGAAGCGGCGCGGATGTGGGGGATGTGGGGGATGTGGGGGACCCCATATTCTTTCTTTCGCAATCACTTCACTCCAATGGAAAGTGCAATTCATGGATGTGTAGCTTCAACCATCTATCCATTTTTCTGTGACCTTGAATATTCCTCAACTTTGAACTTATGGGCCTCGCGCTCACAAACCTCTTGTTCTGTGCTCTTGAGGCTCCACGACGACATCCGAGACACCCCGCCGGCCACACCACTCTCCAGATCAAACTTATTCCAGAATGAACCGAGTTCGTGCACGGGAGGATCGAAAATGTTACACCTGTAACAAGGTATTCTCTAAAAAGGAACATCTCACAAGGCACCTTAGAGGTCATACGAAAGAGAAGCCTTTCGCTTGCTCCGTATGTGGCAAATTATATTCTCGCAGGTAGGTAGGCTTGACTGAAAACATCCATCTAGATCTGAACCTGATTGCAAGACAGTGACGTACTCCGACGACATGAGCGGAACCACAGTGATCAAAATAACCAGTCCCTTGATGGTTCATCCCCGGGTTTTATGAGCGATCCTACGATTCTGACGCCTGTTTCTGGGATAGACTCAGCAAGGCGTCTATCTGGAATCCCGCCCGAGTCCCAACCCAGCATTGCTTCTCCAACTGTCGACTCTGAAACTCCCGTTTTGACTCAAACTGGCACGGTCGGACTTGCACATTCAATGCCATTTACTACCAACGATGTTGCGGCCAGAGATACACGTACCATATCGGAGTTTGGAACTTGGTTCCTTGAAGAAGACTTCGATGTTGGGGCCCTAGATTTCTCAATTACATCTACAATTTCAGAATGGGCACAGGTCTCGAACGTCTTCCCTACGAATGAACTGGCAGTTGGGGACCAAGACATATATACACCCTTGCAAAGTTCTCCTCCTGATGTGAACTCGGCAAATCCCAACGACGACACAGTGCGAAGGAAATGGTTCACTCGCATGTCTCCCCCAAGAGAGCATCATTCAAGTCGAGACTTTCCTACATCAGGACCAACATGGACAAGCCATACAAATACAAATGAGTCGTATCGAGCCGGCCTGTCTCAAAAGCTCCGGCCACGAATGGAAGATGAGGCGTTGCCAACATCAGAGCAGCTTAATCTCTTCGCTAAGCTCTATTTCCATCGTTTCCATCCTCTACTCCCAGTTATTCATACTCCTTCGTTTAGGCCAACCGCTGAAAACGCACTATTATTCTTGTCAATATGCTCCATTGGCAGCTTGTTCGTTGGGTCATCTCGTGCCTTGGCTCAGGGGGCTAGAATATTTGAACGGCTCAATAAGGCAATATTGGCTTCTTGGGAATCTTTCATATCGCGAAGTCACCCAGACGCATTCTCCATGGTCCAAGCCGCGATTTTAGGCCAGACCTACGCCATCTTAGCAGGAGAGCCTAAGTATCTTGTTTTAGCAGACGTGCTTCACGGAACGGTAGTTGCGTGGGCACGTGAAGCAAATAGATTAGGAGCTCTTCGCCATTGCACTGGTAATCTTCTCGATGAGAACGATATGGATAGCAGCTGGCATCGATGGATTGAATGTGAGCAACGAGCTCGGGTGCAAGTAGCACTGCACATTCATGACGCTGAGCTCGCAAATTTATTACACCACCAACCGATTCGCAATCACCGATTTCGTCAATTTCCTCAACTGGCATCAGATGCTTTATTTTCAGCCCCTACGGCTTCGAAATGGGCAACTCTCTATCGTCAATCGCTACAGTCCCAACTTGATGACCCCGTATACCCCTTGGTACAGCGTTCCCTGGACTCCTTCCCCATTACTGGCCGACATTCTCGCTTTACAGCATACGGTCTTCTCGAGAGCATTAATGCCCGCCTCGTCGATGCCAAACAATCCGAAGAATTTGATCATCTAGTTTGCCAAGGAATTTCAGACCTGCTGATCAAATGGTGGAAGACCTACTACACACAGACTCAAGATCTCTTTTGCCTTCCAGTCCTCTGGCACTCGATTTTCATATCCCTTTATGCCGATCTAGATCTTCTAGAGCAATCAATCGGCCGAGATGGACATAATCCAGTCTTCGAAGCATCAACGCCAGTACGAGAATGGGCCAGCTCCCTGAATGCAAGTCGCTGTCTGGTTCACGCATCCCTGATTACACATCATCTCGAGCGTATGAGTATCTCCTCCGAGCCTGCAATTCATGTTCCGCGGGCATTATTTTCCGCGGCGCTGACCTATCTATGTGTTGCCCACCACGCACCAAAACACATTATTTGTGCCCAGGCATTCGCCTCGCCGGAGATTGAGCTCTTAGGTGAGAATGCTTCTCGGGCACATTGCTTTCCTGAATATACGCATAATTCAGAGGGATCTGTCATTGCGGACTTCGATCATTTATATAGGTTAATTGATTTGCTTCAGCGGGGTGGGCGTTGGGGAATCTCCCAGGCATTTGCTGGTGTGATTTCTGCGGCATTAGAGGAGAAGGGGAGAACTTTGGGATGATATGGTATTTTGAACTTCTTTCCGAGTAACGATAATCTACCTCGGGCTATATAAGTAGAAATCAGGAGTTTCTCATCAAGTACAATACTATTAATAACTTCTTTAAGCTGAAACTTGGCGAATATACCCTAAGGACCGACCTAGACTCTAATGTGAATTGGTCTATCCCAGGCTTCATAGGTATCTCCATTTATAAGCCCCAGCGTAGACAAATCTGGCCCAGTCGGTTCCTAAAACGGAAACCAACAAAAGTCGACTTAAATCTTATACTGATTTGTGGGGAAAATTCAGGGTAATCACTTGGACTAAAAGAGAAGGTAATAGCAATAATGAAGGATGCAAGGGAAGGGCAAGGGCAAAAGCAAAAGAAAAGCCGGGCCCCCGAGTCAAACGGGGATTACTTACAGCACTCGAAGTCTGGAAGGGCACGTCCCCTTGTACTAACCCGGCGGATTTTGAAAGTATGGGTGCATTTACCCTCATCACCAAGCAAATCGCCGAATTGGGCGTCGGAGGTCTTGAATATAGGGAACATAATATTTTTTTTTTGGTGTGATGTGGCCTTGAAGGAAACTTGGTCATTTCCTTGACCAAATATATTCTTATTTGACTGACTGGCCCTTTGAAACCTTACTGCGGACATGACTGCCGGTACTCTACTGCTCACCCCGCATGTTGATAGAAGAGGTTGCGGGGTGAAGCTCCACCAATGTGGGACTAGTCAGTTCCAACCTTGGAGGAAAACCATTAACGGCGGTACTGTAATTCTATTTGACATTCAGCATTTATCTGAAATTATCTTACTCGCAATAATTCACTCAAATTGATAGAGCTTACATCGGCATTAATTTCGAAACCTACCAGTAGGTAGAAGCTTTGAAGCCTTGAAATTGTCCTAGTATCACCCTTCTCGTCGCATCCTTCACAGTAACTCGGGCAACATTCTACATTACAAGTAATAAGGCGATATACTCTAGAGACTTCCCATTGAAGCCATATTTCGCTACCTGCATAAATACGGTGATCACCTGATTAGCTCCCCGCAAACGAAGTATCCTCCCCCCGCAGTGAGAGGTTTGTGGGGGATGACCACCTCCGGTACAGAGTTAGGTTACTATTGGAACGGCAGAAGCGGAATTAGAAATCAGTAGATGAAACGGTATAAATATGATCCGCATAGTTTTCTGTTGAAAACGATTAAGAGTTTCCAGTTCGTCGCCTAGCTACACTCTACCCTCTGAATACGATGCCTGTCTTTACAGAATATTCCTCTTCTGCTCGAGACCTTAGGATCTTGCCCTCTTTTGCTCCGCCACTACCCAGGCTTTCTCCTCCTTTTTCTTCCAAGGAAAATGATGGAGAAAAATATGAAGTGATTATCGTTGGAGTATGTACATCCCAGCTCAGTCAAACATAGCTAAACGAAGTATTATTCCCTTTTATTAGGCAGGACCGGCAGGTTTAATGCTCGACCTACTTCTCGCCCGTTACGGCCTCAGCGACGAGTCTCTTCTCTGTGTCGATGCAAAGCCGAGTACATTGAAATCGGGTCAAGCAGATGGCATCCAACCCAGGACGCTCGAAGTCTTCAAAACGTTAGGTATCTCCGATGAGATCGAAAACGAGGCTTGTCATATGTGGCAGTTCGCATTTTGGAATCCATCTTCCGACAAGAAAAAGGTCATTGAGCGCACGGCTGTTATGCCAGAGGTAATTCCTCCTGCGCGATTTGGCTATGAAGCCACCATTCACCAGGGGCGAATCGAAAGAATCATGGAAACGGATCTCCTGCGATATTCGAAGAGAGGTATTCTCCGGGACACGCGGTTGGTCGATGTGAAGATTGACGAGAATGGCGATTCCGACTTCCCAGTTGTGGTGACCATGAATGCGAATGGCACTGAGAGAATTGTGCGGACTAAATATCTAGTGGGTGCAGATGGTGCTCACTCGGTTGTTCGTCAATCATTGGGATTGAAGCTGGAAGGAGAGTCTCTTGACCATATATGGGGTGTTGTCGATCTCGTTGCTGACACCAATTTCCCCGACATTCGTCGTCGCTGTGGTATTCATTCTCCTGCAGGCTCTGTGATGGTCATTCCGCGCGAGAGGATTGCTACGGGTGAATATCTTACTCGGCTATATGTCCATGTCCCTGATATAGTGTCTCCAGAGGATGATCAGCTTCCAGCCGGGGCAACTGGCTCCAAGTCAGAGGATGCACGGCAGCGAAGAAGCAAAATCACTTTGGAGGGTGTTTTGAAGCAAGCTGCGGATGCCATGCAGCCTTACTATATCCGGCCCAAGGATGGGGTCATTGATTGGTGGGCTGCTTATCAGATCGGCCAGCGAGTCTTGCCTGAGTTTATTGTCAAAGATTCGAAAAAGGCCGCACGTGTGTTTATTGTTGGTGACGGTAAGTTCGACTCGTCGTAATGACTCTATGAAGAATCCAGATTGACTTTAAATCACAGCTTGTCACACCCACAGCCCTAAGGTATCTACGAACCCCAATGAAGCCGCCCAAACCGGTCTCGCTAATCAACTTTCTAGGCTGGTCAAGGAATGAACGTCTCTATGATGGATTCATACAATCTAGCCTGGAAACTCATCTATCAAATCAACGGACTTGCACCACCATCAACCCCCGATAACCCAACACCATTGCTAAACACATACCAAACAGAACGACATGAAACAGCCCAACAACTCATTGACTTTGACCGAAAGTTCTCTACAATGTTCTCCGGGCAGATGGGCGCAACAGAAGGTCTCACGCAGGAAGAGTTTCAGCAGGCCTTCAAATTAAACAACGGCTTCACCAGTGGCTGTGGCGTAGAGTATCCAGAGAACATACTCGTCGTTCGGGATATTAATCTCTCGCCAAGTCCCGTCCAGGGCACGGACTACCTTTCGGGAATCCTTCGGCCAGGACGACGCCTACTTAACGTCAAACTGCTACGGCATGCGGATGGGGACCAGCGGGATCTGCACGATGGTAAGATCGAAGTCGTTTTCCGGGTTGATTCGTTTTCGGGCAGTTCAAATAACAAATGATTGTACAGACACGCCCTCTACTGGACGCTTCCGAGTTCTCTTGCTTGCTTCGCAAGACCTACTTGATCGGGATAGCGTCTCGGCAAAAGTTCTCGAAAGGACGGCTATGCTAGTCACCAAATTCCCCGCATCCACCATCGAACAAATTGTGCTACATCCTCGACTCCATCGATCCTTTGAGTGGGGTGATATTCCCGCTTGTGTAAAGCAGACTTCGGAAATGCGCTTCTATGATGGGTCGGCGTTGGTTGACGCGTATAGCATCTATGGCGTCGACCCCGCGCATGGCGCACTAGCCGTGATCAGACCGGATGGGTATGTGGGGGTCGTTGCGCAACTCGACGATGTGAAGCAGGTGGAGGAATATCTCCAGGCGTGTATTAGAACAGTTTCCTAGATGTAGTCATGAACCCCAGGCTTAGATTGTTGTGAATTGCTGTTAAATTGGTCTATCTTCGAACCGAACTGCGTATGCAGTGTATTCTATGTAAATTCGACCAAAAATGTGTATGTACCGTTCAATAATCGTACAAATATACACCAAACGAATGTGGGAGATTCCTTCTCCTGGCGCTTGAACGCATTGGAATGAAAACATCCATAATAAACCGTATAAACTCCGTAATCCTTCTAACAAGGAGATCCCTGAGACGAATGGCGAATAGGCCTCGGGTCATGGGTATCGAAAATATCGACAGATGTATAGTCGCGGTGAAATCAAAAGCACGAAGACGAGAAGCAGCTTAGACCGAGACACTGGCAGAAAGAGAGGTAAAGGCGACAGTTTTTGGCTCAGCATTTGCCATAAACCTGGCAGTAGCAAAGTTGCTCATCGGGACAACTGAAGGTGAAGAAAAAAACGTCGTTAGCCCTTGCTATATCCACCAAACCTAGATGGAAATAATCACTTACTAGATTGAGTTCATTCCAAATATGACGTGCCACATGAACTCCATCACTCGCCCGGAAGAAGCATCATTCAACTCGGTTTCAATAATCCACTGCCGGAATTTGATATAATCCTCCCGCGGTCGCGCGTGCACCTGGCTTCGCGAAACCGCAAATTGCGCGCAACACGCGGCACCGATCTGGGTGGGTTTTCGCATGTATTTCCCGCCATACGATTCGGTCTCGTACGGAGAGGACATGTTTAGCGGCGGAGTACTCGTGCCCTCGAAGATATCCCACCAGACCTGTTCGGTGACATGTTGATTGAAGCGATGGCCTTCCTTGCAGCCAGGATTCCAATTACAGCGAAGGTTGACATATCCATTTCGTTGGACAAAGTCCGTCTGCAAGCTTCGCATCGCTAGGACATTATCGTGGAGGGGGGCGTCGACGTGCCATGCCATTAGGAATCCGGCGCGGTGGGCGTGGAGGAAGGCGATTGTGGAGGGAAGTGTGTCGTAGTGATCAATGACATAGGTGAGGTAGGCCATGGCCTCGTGGCCTTTATTGAAAGGGGTCGTAAGGATTTCGTTACTGGATCGCATGTCTTGGGTGGGGTTGACTATGTAAAGGGCCCGCTGCCAGCTATCGCAGAAGACACATTAGTACTGATCCGATTTGCACGAATAAAGAAAGAGCGCGGTTGTACACACTCTGGAAGCTCCTCCTGAACCCAATCTGTATGTTCTTCTGCTAGCTTGGCCATCACAATGACCTTGTCTCCCGGGTTGCCATGAATCGGCACTGGTGTTTCGATGACATCGTTTCGGTTCAACCACTCCACCAAATATGCGCCAGCGCGATACTGGTTATAGATATCTTGAAGATGTGCTTCCAAAAGATACAGCGAGAATATCAACATAACCGAGATACATATCGCGAATCGTAGGCCACCCTTCATGGTGACCACGAAGAGGGTATTCGAGCCCTTTCCCACAGCTTCAAACCGAATTCCGTAAGCAAGTATGAGGTTCACTTTAACCGAGACAGATGATCCATTGATTAACAAATGGAGCCAGGCACAGGAGGGTGTTGGAAAGCAAGATTAAAATGGTGTGGAATGAACTGATGAAGAGGAGACTGCGAAAACGCAGACAGGGGACGACAGAGGAGAGCAAAGAGAGCCAGGGATTGATCGTCACAGATTCCACACGGAATAAAGGGACAAACAACTCGTGTTAGAAGGAGGAATTGGATTGAATGGAGCAGGATTATAGGAGAGGGAAAAGTGAAATTGGAATATCGTCCCGTGCGATCTGGGAGCACGTAGTAGCCTAAACTGTAAAAAAGCAAGACAGGGAGGCGGGCCCCATAAACTCCCGGGGGGCCTTTTCACCATTCTGGAGTCTAAACCACGTTTAACTTAAAAGTCCCGATCACAACACACGTCATTGGCCACAAGAGAGGCGGTTCAGGGGAGCTGGGAGGGGCTAGGGATTGCAGTCAGGCCGGGGGAAGTGTTGAGCGTTGCTCTGGCCCTTAGCAGAAAGCTTGGCCTTGGTTGCGTAGCGCCGCCCCTCTTGAACTGGCGGCGGGTCCGACAAGTTGATTGGAACAATTGAACTTAAGAATGGGGAATAAATGCGCAGCTACCGCTGGTTGCGCAAGTCTATAGCCAATCTGCAGGCGACTGGCAGCTTGGGCCCCCATCTAAATGGTATCAAAGGGTCGCGCTTCCCATTCGCCCTGTGAGAAGTTCCATGGTTTGCACGTGGCGAGCAAAATTCTTGGGAGCAATTCAAGAGGGAACAAAGGCCTGGAAAAAAGTACTGCCGTGCAGGACGTCGTTGCAAAAGAAGGGTACGTACTTCCCCACCGCGCTATTGGTTAGGGAGACATGCCGTGTGGGGCCTTCGGGTAACCCCCTAAGACTCCATGGATGGTTATCTGGACATTGGTCAAGTTGCTGCAGATACAATACCTTTGAGGCCATAAAAAAACAGATTGAATCGAACCCCGGAGAGCTAGAATTCCAGGGGCACATGCTCTGCATCAAAGGGAATCCCCAGCGAAACCTCAAGGACGCCGGTTAATTTGGGTTCTGACACATGGACGGCACAGTGTGGCGATGACAGAATGGGCCCACCACACACCAATGGCCAATGCTCGATCAGCATTGTAAAATAAATGGCACGGCCGCTTTTGGCTTTTCGGTGTTGCTCCGCTAATATGAGGAAACTGGAGAAACAAGCGAGCGACGAGGGGTCCCTTTTCCGTGGGTGCATGAGAACACTGCCCCAGAGAATGGGGAAGGGGCCAGGACATGATGTAGAACCGGATTTCTGTAACGATGATCAGGAGCATTGCGTAAGTTGTTCAAAACCCTTGCTGTATACTCCGTACGGCATTCTGCTTAGCCGACAGCGGGCTCTAGTGATTCCTGCGTCGATAACTGTAGCTATCTCTGCGCTGCCACTAGGAAATGGGATGCATATCGGAGCACAGACCGGGCCAAGGACGCCTCATTGGTGGCGGGGCACGTCTAAATCCCGTCGGTTGAAATTACCGCGTGGCCAATTTTGAAAAAGGGTCTCGATTCCAAGATTGTGGAAGATTAGCAGGCAACGAAGTATGAATTGATGTCTCACTAGGGCACTAGGATCGGTTGGGAAGGAGAAGATCAACTTCCAAGATTGAAGTTGGAGGTTGGTCAGTTTGGGATTGCGGGGAAGAATTACTCCAGTCACCTGCCCGTGGGCACCGGCAGCTACAGTATTACTACTAGTAGTACCTATAACTAGTACGTCGCAGGCTACTATTAGAGGGAGAAGAATTCCAACTAGAAAACTTGAAGATAACTGAGCCCCCGAATAAGGTATTTGCCAGATATATCGAGAGGCAACTTCTATTTATCCGATCTCCCCCAAGGTCAAGAAGAGATTTCCAAGTTCTAATCCATACACAGCATACTATATTCCCCGAGTCTCTCGGCATTATATTGATATTATACAGTCCAGCTGCAGTCTCTCAAGTGCTAATTTTCAATCGTCCCCCTCCTCCTCCTCATCGCTGACCTCCTCTCCCTCGGCAATTGCCTTTTCGCGTGCCTTGCGCGCCCGTTCGCGTTTCTTATCCAGGAGCGCATTAAGCTTCTTCGCAACGTTGAAAACCCCTCCAGTACCCGCTCCGCAGGCTGCACAGTTTGGATTTTTGCGATATCGCTGCAAAGCGCAAGATTCGCAGAAATAGTGACCGCATTTCGTGATGATGGGGTCTCTGTAGGGCTTTTTGCAGATGATGCAGGCAAATGGAATGCTTTCAAGGAATTCGTCATCGTCGTCATCTTCATCGTCTTCAGCTGTTTTCCCGGCACCTTTCCTTTGCGACACCACCCTTCCGTTTAACTTTACCCCATTGGTCCCGACTTCCCAATCGCGATCCAGCTCCCAGCCTTGTTTGTAATCTTCGCGCGCATGGAGGAATTTGCAACTAGAACCGATTGTTAGTGTTTCTAGATCATATTTGGGGGTATATCAGTTGAGGCGACTTACGAATCTCCGAAACCACAGAATCTGAACAAGAAAAAGAAAGAGCAGTTAGTGTATGTTCGTCAACAGGAAGCGGTTCTGCCCAAGGCAGTATGAGAGGAAGACCTACCCAGTCTGCTTGTAGTCCTTGCACACATCCGGGGCAAAATCCATCACAGTTATTGTTCGCACGTTTGTAGATGCCTTGATCGGACCGAACTTCTTGTTTGGCGCATCCGGGTTCTTTTGGATGAAGGATTGGTAGTTGGCCGATCCCTTGTAGGTTCCGTCTGGAGTCGCATCGTCGCCAGCGTCTGGATTTCCCGGGCGAGCTCTGGTAGACCCGAGGAGGTTCTTTGCGCTGAGATCCTCATCGTACCAGTTGGAGGACTTGGTCGCATCGTTACTGGAGGTCAAGGGAACCGGAGCGGCACTGGCTGGTTGTTCGGCACCCTTGTCTTTTCTAACACTGGCAGCGGAAGAAGCGGTCACGGCGACATTCTTGCGGCGTCTCTTAATGCGACGGCCTTCTTCGTCATCGGAGGAGGTAAAGCCAGAGTCTGAATCGGAGGCGGGCGGCGGAGTGGCGGGCTTCTTGCGCATGTTGGCCTTGGGTTTGGAGCGCTTCTTGAAGCCGAACTGGGGAACGGAATCAGCAGGTTCGTCGGCCATGTTGACGATTATGGAGATCAGAGTCTTGTAAAAGAAATAAGAGAAACCTTGGAATGATAATGATATCAAATCAATCCTAGGTATCTCCGACGGAAGAGTCTCGAAGGGTGAGTCAGCAGTGCAAACAGGGCAAACATGGAACGCGTACAAAGGAAAACAACAACACAAACACTCGGCACATCCAATGGGATCGAGGGATACTTCACTACATACACTGATTAGAATTTGGGTAAGGTGGGCATGGGATTGATGTAAACACAGATAAACAGATTATCGATCTATCTATTTTATTTATATATATGGGATATACCCTAGTCTATGTAATAATCACAGCCATTCAACACCATCGGTTACTAGTCGCTGCACCCTCGCCTGCGGCCAGCAGACAGCCGCTGCAGTACCTTTTGGGCCAGAATCTCCTCTTCTCTTCCCTTTTGCTTCTCCCCGCCCAAGTCGCCCACCACCAACCTCCGACTCCCTCGACACTCCCTTTCGCTTTTTCTTTCGTTTTAATTTAGTACTACTGCCTTTCATTGTTTTTCCTATTCCATTCCCTTTCTCTCTTCACTCGACGACCCGATCGAGATCCCGCGGGCGATCTCTCCTGCAGATCGCGCAGTGTTGTGCTTGACTGCATCGCACATCTACGCGCCTGTGACTTGAACCTGAACCTGAACCGATTCCGCCCGGAGTTCTCACGGATCCGTCAAGTGTTGGTTATTTCAATCTTCCAATTTCACCTTTCGCAACCTCTCGTTTCTCTCATTTCCTTTTCTCCCCGTTGCACCCGCATCTTCGCACGTGGTGCCACTTGACGATCCGCGGTCGCTGGTCGGCTCGATTTATCTTGACTTGGTGAGAGGCCCTCTCTCTACGACACCATCTCGAAGCGCGCGATTTCGAACGATGCTCGCGTGAACCATACTACACCACTCCCACCACACAAACCGCGCCAACATCCGTACGTCTCTCCTGGCGAACGACATCTCCTCGTACAGCAGGGGATTCGGCCGCCGCGTGAGGCACGGCACCGCTACCTCGGATTATGACCACTTCCAACCCTGGAGCGAATAGCTCCCTTGCCTCCATGATGGAGGACCCGTTCGTTTCAAATGCGGGACAACATGCCGCCCCTCGTGAATCCCATCGGTACTCGTCCTTTGATACACAGCTCTTCAGCCTCAATGCCTCTTCTCCTGCCCAGGCTAAGCGAGCCCTCGAAGCTCATCTCGCGGAAACCGAACGTCGACTTGAAGAAGCATCCAAATTAGGCACGGCCCTCATCGACCAACAGCGAGAACTATCCGAGCAGCTAAAGGAGGTCGAACAACAGCAGGACGAGGGCGAGATGGGCCCGGAGCTGCGAAAGAGACTTGCTGACCTGGAGCATGAATATAATGAGATCGGCCGGGAATCGGCGCGCGCATTTCTAGGCCCAAAACGGCTGGCTGGAGGCTCCGAGGATGCCCATTCGGGTACCCCGTCGTTTGACCAAAAGGTCAGTAACTGATGACCGCAACATGCTCACCATGGTCACCCAATCTAACACCCATTTATAGTCACCTATCAGCCCCGCTCTTTTCGCCGGACAGGCGACAAACTCTCCCAGCAAAGTCAGTGTTCCATCTCGCAAGCAACGCAACCAGCCGTCAAACCGCGTACACGACATCGAATTCGCGACCGAGATATCCACCTCTCTACTCGCCCAGGTCCGCCAATTACAGGCGCTCTTAGCTGAGCGCGAGGAATCCCTCAAGTCTGTCAACCTCGAGAAGTCACGTTTGGAGCTTGAAGCGGAAGGCTATGCCCAACGCATACGGGCCCTCGACGACAGCGAGCAGCGCTACAAAGATGAAAACTGGGCCCTGGAGACTCAAACTCATGAGCTGATGGCGGCTGTTCGAGATGCAACAGAACGTGAGCAGAAGCTTAATAGCAGCCTTGACACCTCAAGCGCAGAAAAGAATGCCGTCGAACGTGAATTGGAGGAGCTCCGACAGACCAATGCGAAGCTGTTAGAGGACCAGGCAATTACTCAGAAGTCGAATGATACCGAAGTTCACCTCTTGCGTCGGAATCTGAATGCTGGTGATCTGGAGAAATCTGCCCTTCAGAAGAAGCTGGAAGAGCTCACCTCGCAGAACCAAGAGTTGGCCAAGGCAGTTGCAATGCGTATTCGCCAACATGAATCACAGGGTGGTCGAGACCTTCCGGATGACATGAATGGTGACGAGCCCGAACAAACCACCCCAGACAATTCTCCCCCTCCGTCGCCAAACAAGTTTACACCTCGACACGGTCACCTGGAATCTGAAACTCTCAAGAGCTCCCTCGGACACGCTCATCGGATGATTCAGAATCTTAAGAGCACCATTCACCGAGAGAAGACAGAGAAGATTGAGCTCAAACGCATGTTGCAAGATGCCCGAGATGAGGTTGAGCAGCGCCGTCGTGAAAGCGCCGCGCCTAATGGAACCAAGAAACCTCTGAAGAAGAAGGATGACTCTTTCCGGAAACCTGCACGACCTGACCTTTTGGGCGCAGGTCGCAAGGAAACGTCCAGGGTTGAACTTCACGACACTGACTGGGAAGATAACGCCGGCCAGATCAGTCCATCTCGTCCAGTAGCAATGAATAGCGCCACTAGAAGCCGTTCTGGTGCGCATTCTCCCGACGAAGCCAGTGATGTCTACCAGACTGCTACTGAAGCTGAAGATGGATTTGAGACCGCAAATGAGCGTGCGACCGCAACCGAGAGCGAGGCTTTCCAAACCGGCGTGGAAAGTATGGCAGACGATAGTAGCGACTCTGCGGACCTCACCGAAACCGAGAACAATGTGCAAACTACTCCCCGTAACCGCGTTGCCTCGTCTTTGGTGATGGCTAAAGCCCGTGATCGAAGCTCCTACCACAGCTCGGCCTCTACATCAGACGACGATGAGACCGACAGTGGATTCCCTTCCCCCAGCCAAACGCATATCTCTCGGCCGCGTGTTAGGTCTAAGCGAAGTGTGCTTAGACGGATTCGCCCATCTGGGGAGGCTCCCATGGCTTCCAGCAGCCGTCCATCCAGTGCTCGCAACTCTCCTGCGCCCAGCTTTGAACAACAACCAATGGCTGGAGAGGGTCAGAGCCTGTTTGCAGAGCTGGCAGAGCTTGAAGGTGGCGAGGAGGAGGAGGAGGATGAAGGAGCCTTATCGCAGGCCTCGACACCACGCATGCAAGCTGCCACCCCTGGCTCCCGCAGACCTTCTGAAATTACTCTTAGCGATCTTCCCAAGCCTATCATGGTAGACAGCGGTATGATGACTGAGCCCTGGGAGCCGCAAACCCCCAAGGCTGCCCATGTCCCTGTCCCTGTCCCTGTCATCGGAGAGGCCACTCCGACGGATTCTCCGGCTACTCCGCAGAGAAACCAGACCTTGGATCGTGAAATCGAATCTGAAGCGGAGGAGACCCCTAAGCTGGTCAGCTCAGGCACCCAGTGGACACCGCTGAAAGGACCTATCATCGATAATGATCACCTTTCTAATGTTCCAACGCCACCAAAGATGGCCTGGGATGAGAGTTCTGAGTCCCAGCGAGTGGAGGCTGGCACCCAGGCCGAACTACCAGAGCTCAATGTCGCAGCTATCTCTTCACAGGAGACGGTGCCTGCTCTCCCCAGCTGGCCCAAGTTGGAAGTTACCTACCTTCACGGAGACGAGACTGTGCCCGTGAAACATGAGGTTCCCGAGCCCGAGATTCCGGAATTTAATGTATCCTCGATTTCATCCCAAACCACCAAGCCTGTCCTAGCTACCGTGCCTGAGCCCGAGCCAATGATTGTGGAACCAGTGAAAGAGTTGCCCGAGATCTCTTTATCCTCTCTCTTCACCTACTCCACCGAGCCTATTCAGGCACGCCTTCCCGAGCCAGAGCCAGTGCTGGAAGTTCCTGAGGTTGTTCTACCTGAGTTCGGGCTTGCCACTCTCTCCACTCAGCACACTCAACCCGTGGAGCCTCAACAGCCCGAGCCAGCTCCCGTGCCAGAACCCATCATCATTCCTGCGCCCATGCCCGAGCCAGTCATCCCAGACTTGAACATCTCTATGCTGGATGCCACCTCTACGGAGCCGATTGCGCCCAGGTTGATCGAGATTCCGGTCCCAGAACCCGTTCCCGAGCCAGTCATCCCAGAGTTAAGCATCTCTTGGCTGAACCCTTCCTCGACGGAGCCGATTGCGCCCAGGTTGATCGAGATTCCAGTCCCAGAACCCGTTCCCGAGCCAGTCATCCCAGACTTGAACATCTCTATGCTGGATGCCACCTCTACGGAGCCGATTGCGCCCAGGTTGATCGAGATTCCGGTCCCAGAACCCGTTCCCGAGCCAGTCATCCCAGAGTTAAGCATCTCTTGGCTGAACCCTGCCTCGACGGAGCCAGTTGTACCTACGCCAATTACGATTCCCGCACTCCCAACTCCATCGGTGTCTACTTTAAGCTCAGTCGAAACCCAGCCCGTCAAGTCTGTACCACCAGTCGCTCCTCTGATGGCAGAATTGGGTATCCAGACAGAACCCATGGAGGAGTCAAAGGCAGCGGCGATGGCTCTGCCTGTTCCTGTGACTACTAATGAAGATGCTACTGAGTCTACCCGCGAACGTGATAGCACCAGTGCAAAGGATCGACCCACAAGCATTGGCCTGGCTCTGAGCGACATTTCTGGCAATGCCTTGCCCCAGTCTGCTACAGAAACACCGGGCTCTGTGAGCATGGATCAAGGCTCGCAGACCATCCTGTCTTCGCAGCAGATTGATCAGATCCTCATTGAACGAGAGGCTCCGCGTCCAATTTCCTCCGCCGACAGCAAGTCAAGAAACATGGCTGTTGTGGGGGCAGCAGCAGCAGCGGCTGCTACTGCTACTGCAGCATCGCCTTTTGCCACTCCTAAGCTCCGACCTCGCCCTCAGGGGCAGTCATCAGCTAGATCCTTGACCCCCGGGCAACAACGACCTGACAGCGCTACTAGCCAGGCATCGAATCTTAGCGCCCACCCGCCATTGCCTGCCGACCACCGCGAGGCCATCTTGGCCGCCGAGAAGAAGTCAATCGACATGCCCCCTCCTGCATCCCCAGGTACGATGGGGCCCCCCCTTGGCACCGGCTTCCGCCTACCGCATGAATGTGCAAGGTCCCCGGACTCCAGGAGACCAAGTGCCCCGGCCAGGCTCAACGAGGACTGTTTCTACCCAAGCGCGAGTGAGGAGAAGCAGCCAAAGCCAACTGTCAAGGAGGTCTTCCGTTTCCTCGTTTGCATCGGAGCTGGAGGAGCGGTTCAATATGAGCAACCCTCACGCTGGTCCTATGCCCCATGGATATGGTCCCAACACAGATCCCCGCATGATCCAAGCAATCACACAGACCATGATTGGTGAATTTTTGTGGAAGTACACTCGGAAGACCGGATCAGGAAACATGTCGTCAACACGTCATCGACGCTACTTCTGGGTTCACCCTTATACGCGTACTTTGTACTGGAGTGAGCAGGATCCTCAAACGGCTGGAAAGAGCGAACTTCGAACAAAGAGCGTTCCTATTGAGGCTGTGAAGGTTCTCGCGGACGACAACCCATATCCTCCTGGTCTACACTGTAGAAGCCTGGAGGTTGTCAGTCCCGGCCGTCGTGTGCGATTCACTGCTACCACGAGCCAAAGACACGAGACTTGGTTCAATGCTCTGTCATATCTCCTTTTGCGAGAGTCGAACGATAACTGCAACGACAGTGAGAACAATGTGACTTTGGATGATATTGATGAATTCAACCCCGGTTTCCGCTCGGCTTCTCGCCAGACAGGTCGGCTGTCTCTTGCGTCACATAACAGCCGTCGCCCAGCACCGAAACAGCGGGCAGCCTCTGCGATGTCCATGCGGTCTACTGGAACCCATGGACGCGCGTCTCCCGCATTCAGTTCCCCGGGCGTCAATGCCTCGTTACAGGTGCCCGAGGAAGGACAACAACGATCCTCATCTCGCCTCAGCACAATCCTTACTGGCTCGATTCGAGGCTCAATTGCTAGCCTGAAGGGACGCCATGGTCAAGCCGATAGTGTTCATAATGGAAGTCTTCGCGGCCAGGACAGTGTGGAAAACTTTGGCCACGAGGCTGAAGATGATGAGAGACTCGAAAACGTCCGCGCGTGCTGCGATGGAAAACACGACGTTGGCTCCCTCTCTCGCACCAGTCGGTTCAGTCCAAGGGTCGATCGCCAACACTCCCACCACCACTGAAACTGAAACAAAAACATTGCATCAAAATTGACTTGGCTCAGTTTGTGGGCTGGTCCTCAAACCACGATGACGGCTTGCGTCGGTCATATAATTGCCATGGGTCTCCCCCCCCCCCCTCTCCCTATCTCTCTTTTTCGGTTTACTCGCCCGACAAGCAGTTCTCTAACCGTCACTGTGCCGCCTTGCATACATCTTGTCATGATAGAAGGCACAGTGATGATGACCTCTTTTACACCTTCTGAATGATTCGGGTTGTGGTTCCCCTCTCCCTTATCCCCACCTACTTACTAGTACTACTCATTTGAAAAACCTACCTTTCCTTTCCCTGCATGTCTCAGACCACGCATCATCTCCTATCACCGTCCTTCATTGATTCATTCTCACTGCTGTGTATCCGTTCAGCCACGTTCCAGTCTGCTCAGACGACTTGACTATATTTCTTTTTGTTGATAATTCCGTCCCGATTACTGTTCCACTCTTTTCCCTGTGATCGTGTTCTCTTCATTGTTGTGCCATCTGCACTAGAGCGTGAGCAAACACAAAATAGCCCGTATACCAGTGCTTGTGACGATTCTTTGTTTTTTTTCTTTTTCTACCATCGTAGCAGTGTAAAATGTAGTAGCAGGTTGTTCTTGTTCTCCATTCAATATGCCACTGTCTGGTCTTTGATCCAAATCCATGTCACGTGATTGGGGTCTTCCCGGCCCTAATTTTGGTTTCTGGCGGGTCCATCTTCTACTACTTCTCCAATTCTCCCCTCACTTGATTAATAAAGAATCAACCATCATGACGACTCCCCCGCCGTTAGGAGATAGACTCAAGGGCATGCTTGAGCCTGCCCAGCTCATGACATGGGCTATGTCTCGTGAGTAACCTTTTCATCACCCATTTAATACAACTCCCTTGATATTCTTCCTCTTGTGTTCCTCGGCATTTGATACTACATTCGGGGTTTGAAAAAGACATGCCCTCCATTGCTACTATTCCATCTATTCAACATGCTATGCACTCTCAAAGGCGTCAATGGGAGCTTATATCACATCTGTTGAAGAATTCGCACTACACATATCCATCTCTTCTCTCTATACTCTAGAACGAGAACCCCGCTAACATTATCAATAATCAGACTACATCCGAGTATGCGCAGAAGCTGTCTTCAAGAAAGGCGAGATCTTCGCGCCTATCCTTCAAATTCATCGATTGCGCGATGAAGCATTTGGTCGATTCTGGGTCGAATTTTCCAGTACGTACCCTGACGAATGACCAAGAAATGGAAGATAAATTCTGGCCTTCGTCATTCATCTCCATCATGAAAAATCCCAACCAAGAATGCGCGAATCTTCTCGTCAAGCCCATGTTTTGATTATAATTATAATCACATTCCACTCACCAAATGATATTTCTCCAGCCCCAGCACCAAACGCTGCTCCACCCGCAACAGCATCAGAAACAGAGACAGAGACAGACACATTTCAACCAGGCCGAAACACCAACGGCTCATCCGATCTAATCCCACCCCTGCTCCGCACAGCCAACGGGATCGTTCTAGACATCGGACCAGGAACAGGCACCCAAATGCCCCTCCTCCGCTCACCCTCAATAAGCACAATCTACGGCCCAGAGCCCTGCACCGGGCTCCACGAGAAACTCCGCGCCAAGGCAATCGCCGAAGGAATCTCATCCAAATACCACATTCTCCCCTGTGGCGCCGCAGCATCGCAACTCCTCCCCGGACTTCGGGAATCGGGCACGGGCGTGACAGAGGCGTATGATTCTGATCCGCGGAATGGGATATTCGACACGATTATCTGCGTGCGTGTTCTTTGCTCTGTTCCCGAGATGGAGAGGACTGTGGATGAACTGTATGGGATGCTGAAGCCGGGCGGGAAGTTGTTGGTTACGGAGCATGTTGTTAATCCGTGGCGGACGGCGAAGGGGTCTGTTCTGGCGAGGGTTGTGCAGAGTTTTTATCAGTTGTTTGGGTGGAGCTTTTTCATTGGCGATTGTGCTTTGGATCGGGATACGGAGGGTGCGCTTTTGAGGGCTGCGCGTCTTGATGGTGGGTGGAAGGTTGTGGATTTGGAGAAGAATTTTGCTTGGTCGGTCATGCCTTATGTTTCTGGGACTCTGGTTAAGAAGAGTTAGTTCTTGAGTGGGTGGGTTGGTACATGTGTTCTGTGTCTACTGTTATTCAGAGGATTCTTATTCCGGTTTCACATTTCGCAATTTGCATATTAAATCGAAATTCCAAAAGATTATGAGCTTCTAAAACTTTGTTCTCTTCTGTACAGATATCTGTCTGACTCGTCCAGATTGGGCAGCGTCAATTATCTCTGGTATAAATGTATTTGATTGTCTAATTGGGTATCATGGTGGTGGAGATGATAAATGCCTCGGCTTTAAATATGAAGTCGGCCGGAAATGATAAACTCGGGGGCTCGGAAAGGTCCGAAATGGTCCGGTTATCGCTTCAGCATGGCTTTGGTCGACCTGGAGGCCAGAAATCGAAGAGATCTAATGCCTCGGACGTCCAGGGCCCCTGCTCGATCTCCTCGGCGGGCTCGGGAACCTGGCTGAGTGCACTTCGCATGAGAGTGGGTCGAGCCTGAAGGCCGGGCCTACTCAACGCGGTAGGATCGGATAGTGATTTGCGAAAAGGCGCGTCTAGAGATCTCTTTGCTGGGAGATTTCGGGCGCGTTCGGGTTGGTCTCCATTCCATGATGTTACATGAGAGGCTCGACTCTGGTAATTATTGACTCCAGGGCTGACGGCCATCTCTTCGAGGATAGATTGAGTTGATACCGAAGGTATGAATTCCATGTTGGTAGACGCGGGGCCTTGAGATGGGGCACTAGCGGGCCTGCGAGGCGATTAGTACAGGAGGCCTCCCATATTTTATGAGCACATACTGACTGCGACTCCTTGGGTTTTGACGTAGGCTGGCTTCGTTTCGCTGGCGGGCCCATTGCTGAAGATGGGGATGATTTTTGAGACGTATCGCTAGGTAATAGTGCACTGTACATCAATTTGCGGCGGGGTTTCTCAGTGGACATGCGCAAGGTTTTTATTGGTTGGGCTGGGGGTTCTGTGTCGGGGGTTGGTCGTGAAGTTCGTGGGTTTCGTGGCGCGTCATTATGTAGGGGGTCGTAGGAGTTCGGCGGTTTGGGGGGGCGCCGCTCGAGAATCGACAGGCGGTTCCTCCGCTGGGACAGGAATTGATTTCGGTTGATGTGTCGTTTCTGTTGGTGGGTGTATGGATGGTCCTGTAAAGGTCGGAGGATCTTGTTTCGGGGGTTCTTGTCTTGAAGGTTTGGGTATTGGGGGTGCTTCTATAGGTCTCGACTGCGGTTTCGGCTGCGATTTCGGCTGTGGTTCCTCGACGGGCATTGGTATATTCGGCCTCGCGTCCTCTAATAGTTTCGTTTTCTTCCGAGGTGCAGGAAGACTCGGCGGTCTCGTAGGTTGTCGTGGTTCCGGCTCTGTCAGATCCACCACCTCAGATTGTACGTTCCTGCTTCGGGCTGGGGTGGTTCCCGCCGAGACTCTCGGCCGTTTGGGAGCTCGTTCAGAGGGATCGGGGAGGCTTGGCGTTGGAGGTTGAGGATGACGTTCTTCGTACGGAGATGGACGATAGCCAATTGGGGTTCGTTTGATGCCAAGAAGGTCATTGAGAGAGCGAAACGTCTGCGAACCGGAGGGTCGAGCGGAGGTGGAGGTAGAGATAGGTGTAGGCGCAGGCGCATGGGTAGGCGTGGGTGTAGGACGCGTCTGGGAGTTATTCGAGGGAGGGGAGGTCTGGCTGGATTTTCTCTTTTCGAACAAGTTGGTGAGATCCTGCTGTGTTGTGCCCATGCGCTCGCCGACTTCAATCAAAACGCCCTTATCGAGTTCCAACTCATCGCCATCTTGTACCTCATCTGTCGATCGCCAATGGTGATCCCCAATGTAGTTACCAGATTCATCGTAGACCATCACCCGTTTGTTGAAGGCATGGTAACGAAGGTAGCCATCCTGCCATCGTTTGGACTTGCGGCGCAAGTCGTGGGTGTATAAACAACGAAACTTGACCACGGAGGCAGTGATGGGTGACTGGGAGGAGATTGGAGCGGAGCCACGGGGCGTAGAGGTCGGGACAGACATGGGAGGTTTCCACTCATGACATATCCCAGTGATATTCAGTTGTGGTGGTGGTGGTGGAGGATGAGGAGGAGCGAGAGATGTGGGGAAGAAAGGAAGAAAGGATGCCAATACTCGCAGGCCTCAGGCAGATCTCCACTTACTTCTACAACTACTTGACACGTCCACTCTACTTTCATTCATCAGGTCTTCCACAGTAGTAGTAGTAGTAGTAGTAGTCCCTCTGATCAACTATTCCATTACCTCTTTTCCTGCGGTTTGACTCACACATCAAAGTGGCCCCCACGGGAAACCCCAGTAGATGCAGCCAACGGAAATCAGTCAACCATTCTGATTTGCGATGACCCCAGTCCAAGTGGAGCTCGATGCATTCCCCCGACCAAAAATAACCAGAAATCCAATTAATCATAGGGCAGAGCCAAGCAGAACAGAGCAGAGCGCATGAGGGGCTTGGCCCCCCCTCCATGAGGGGCTTGGCCCCCCTCCATGAGAGCCGCGTAGGGAGGCTTGAAACGTTTCGAACTTCCTTGCCTTGTAATTCCCCCGTTTCACTTTCTCTTTTTTACTTTCACTCATCCACTCATCCACTCACTCGCCCACCCTCACCCTCTTCCATCCCAAGATTGACTCGACTGCTGGTTCAGTCAAATGTTCATCTGCTGCCCTTATTACTATTGTGAATAGCTGCCCTCTGCTTCTGCTTCTGCTTCTGCCTTCCTTTTACAATCTCCCAATCTCCCAACCTCCCCCAACCAGCCACTCCACCATGCAGAACGTGCAAAAACGCTTTGGTCGAATGACCTCCAAGCGAACCGCCGATGACAGCCAGGTCGCTGTCCTTTTAAAGGATTTCGAGGACGCCGATTCGTTGTTGTCTAGGGTAGGCAGCACCTTTCTTCCCGCGGGGAAATTTATCGACACGCGTTCCATTGCTTACTTTTCATTTTACAGATCGCAGAATCTACAAGAGCCTGGCGTGATGCTTGGGTGTCAATTGCGACCTTTCAGAGTCGCATGGCAGATGAATTCGATGGATTCTATGCGCCCATTATCGGTTCATCTGAAACAGAATCCCCGCATCGACCCGTGGAAACCGATCCCACCCTCTTGGGTCGAACCAACCGACTACGAAAGGAATTCGATGAGCTTCGTGAAGAGATGATCCAGGAGCTCGATGTTGTCGAGGATCGTATGGCCCGTCCAGCGGACAATGCAAAGGGCTCCTTGGCCCCCATGAAGAAGACAATCAAGAAACGCAACGATAAGAAGGTATGTGTATGTGTGGCTGCACACCAGGTACAGTGGTGTTGCTAAAGTTTGAAACTCCATATTTCCCATCATTACTAACCGCCTTTTAATGGGAAACTAGTAGCTATTTGATGGTCTATTTATTCCATCTCAGGTAGCTACTAGTTTCCCATTAGAAGGCGGAGAAGAGAACAGTCAACAACGGGTTTCAAACTTTTGCAACACCACTGTATACCTGGGGTCTGCAGCAATGCGAGCCATTTACCATTTACTCATCCTTATTCCAACAGACCGAATTCGAAATCTATCAGGGCAAGGTCGATAGCCTCATCCATAAACCGAAGCGCAGCGAACGCGAAAATGCCAATCTTGCCAAGGCGCAGGTCGATCTCGCCAGTGCGAAGGAGGTATATCAAGCTGCGGACCAAGACCTCCGCCAACGCCTGCCACATCTGATCTCCCTCCTTTTCTCACTCGTACCCTTCATTCTCACAGCCCAAATCGAGACTCAGAACCGCATGCTAGGCACATACTACACAGTGATCCTCGCCTTCTGTGAAGAGACCGGACTGCCATCACCACCAGCCCCATTCGACCAGATAGTATCAGACTACCAACTCGTCCACGATCCCGTGCAAAGCGAGATCGAGAGCATGAACTGCCTCATCCATGGCAAGGCCCTCCGAGAAGCACAAGCCAAAGAACTACAGAACAAACGTCCTTCCCTCGGCAGTCGCAACGCAAGCGTAGCAACCAATACCTCACGCCCATCCCTCTCCTCCCGGCCATCCCTTTCATCTATCTCATCCAGCATTCGCGGCAAACCAGCCGCTCAACCACCAATGCTCGGCCCAAAGCCCACCACCTGCGCAGAGGAAATCCGCGCCACCTCTCCATCCTCTTCATACATGGCATCCCGCAGCTCCGTCTCCGCCTCTATCGCTAGTACGTCAGGCACATCTCCGCTTCCATCAGCACATGGCTCTTGGATGCCCCCTCCAGACAGCATGCTGTCTCCGCAAACCACGACCCCCGTCCCCAGCGGTGTCTCCTTTTACCCAGCTGCCCGGCCGACGGATCATTTCCAGCACAGTCGTTCCCAGCAAAGTTCGCTTCAGCCCGGACCAAGCATACCCTTCACAAACGCCGAGCCCTTCGCTATGGCTGCGCTGAAGAAGAAGAAACCCCCACCACCACCCCGTCCAACATTCGTCACGGCATTGTACGACTTTGATGGACAGGGTGATGATGATTTGAAAATTAGAGAAGGCGATCGGATTCGCATCGTGAAGAAAACTAATAGTACGGATGACTGGTGGGAAGGTGAGCTTAGTGGTGTGCAGGGGTATTTCCCGGCGAATTATGTCGAGTAAAATGGATGACGATTTGAAGTTTTTTTTGTGTGGTTTCATTCTCGTTTTGTTTCAGTTATTGCCAATGATACCTCGAGTGTTCTGTTTTAAAAAAAATCTTGAAATTTGGCTCAAGATTCCCGAGGTCTGTGGATATATATTTCGCGGTTCTTGGAACCTTGGAAGAGGGTAGTACAAAGTACTAGTATATTGGATTTGACTCCAAGGCTCCAAAAAACGACCTCGGGATGAAGAGATATAGTACTATTTAGAATCACCATAAGCATCAAGGGTAACTTGAAAGTGCCTGGACTTCCAAGGTTCTTCAAAGTTGTTACCAGATTCGTCCACGGGTACCTGATGGTGCCATGGTCAGGAAGCGTATTTTAACCGTGGCTCATATTTTATATTTTGTTTGCCCAGATATCAACCACCCCCAAGTGGTCGAGCAGTAACTCGACTATTTCATCTTCCTTGGTCTAGTGGTCATGATTTCCGCTTGTCATTAAAACCGATAAGCGCGGGAGACCGGGGTTCGATTCCCCGAGGGAGAGTTTCTTTTTGCTTCTTTTACCTTCGTAAAGGACCGGCCCGGGACTTAGCGGGGGTTGGATATTCCTTTTTTTGGTCGAGAAAGAACCAGCACGGTGGGAGTAGTGGAATGGATAATGAAAGCATTTGTTTCTTTGGTAAGGGGCTATCTATAATTAAAAATGTCGTTGGTTATACATTGCTACCTACAACTCGAATGCATACATTGTCGGCTGACATGATACAATTGAGTGGACAGGGAAAAATACTATACTACCCAAGTCAATGAATTCAACACAAGGTCAAACGCCTCAAGTCACCAGAGCTTCAGATGAAAGCCTCACCGGGGGCATTGCCATCCAACACTTTTTCCGCCGGGCGACGCCGACTGTTCAAAAACATCTCCACCATGCGTTTGCTGGAGACAGTAGAAGGACCATCCTGATTCTTGTGATACTCATCCATCATGTTTTCGTGATCCTCCCTCCGCCACTGATTTTCGTTATTCAGCGCATTAAAGTCACGATAGGCGCGCATCGACCGGAATGAGTTTGGCTTTCCATTACCTATCGGCCGGCGAGCGGAATATCGTCGGTACTGCTCCTGTGTCAAATTCCGCTTCGGTATATCGGGTACCACTCTCTGTGGAGTTGGTGAATCTGGTATGCTTGGTGAGTTCGCAGTTCTCGTTCGCATTGGCGATAGAGTCCGATCGGATGGCACCCGAGCCGGTGGTGATGGAACATCAGCGATGGAATCAACTGCTGAAAGCTTGGATGCAGTCTTGACTGTGCTACCGGGCTCAACGGTTTGAGATGGCAGAATGGTCCGCACACTGGATGATCGACTGAATGGACGAGAGAAGTTATTTTGAGAAGTAACTCTGGGGTCCGTAATGGACTGCGAGTCATTGTGCTTCGGCTCACTAGCAATATACGGGTTGGCAGTCGACTCTTGGCCGGGGCCAGGGGCTCGCCGCATCATTCCCATGAATATCTCATCATCATCTTCTTGAAACTGGGCATCCTCTCTCACATGCTCTCGTGTCGGACTGGTTGACTCGATTCTCTCAATCTGTGAGCTTATCCACTGCTGCCAGTCCAAACTCGGCTTCACCTGAGTTTTCAAAGGTGATGAGCTGGAAGAACGTCTTGGTGACTTGTATACTGCTCTCTGAGAGGTAAATATAGTCGCTGTTCCCGGCTCGTCCGCGACATATCGAGGTTCAATAACTTCCTCCGTGGGCGTACCCCCATTTGTCGTTCGAGAATATACACTTGGAGAAACAGCCCCCATTCTTGCGCCTCCATAGCGAACAACAATCACGCTCCCTGTTTCATCGTCTGAATCCCCACCGCGTGCACACGGCGAGCGAGGTGATTTTCCATCGACTCTCGGGCCCCAAGTGTGGATTTCTTGCCCTTGAATTCTTCGAGAGGACGCTGACGAAGGAATATACTGAAGAGGTCGAATTATATTCTTCCGCGGGGAAGAAGAGTCTCCAGCCCTTGCTGTCGTAAATGATCCGGGCGTCGAAGAATCTCCACTGGGAACACGGCGGACTGTGTATTTGCTGCGACGCGATAATGCCGAGGAAGTGCGTGCCTGGACAGCACGGTGCTCTGCCACAGTACCGAAAATTATTTCCTCTTCGGCATTCTGCACATCTTGCCGTCCAATCTGCTGCATCAAAGCCGAGTACAGGTCATGGCTATCAACCCAATCATTGAACCTGCGGGCGGTAGACTTTCTGGGCGTAGGCGAAGCCTGGTCGGCCGCGCCGGAGGGATGCTGCGGTAATTGCTTATTCAGGTCCCCGTGCTCTTCAATTAGAGATAGCGATTGCCGATTTCCAGGCTTGCGAGCTGTGATAGTGTTGGCCACGGTCGAATCTGCCCAACTTGTGACGCGTGATTTGGATGTGCAGAGACTGGCACGACTGGGGGGAGATTCGTGGAACACGCAATGGGCTGGAATGAGCATCATCAATTACATCCACAACTTCGCTGACCATATCGTCACGATCCTCCACATATTCGTGGACGGAATTGTTGACAGAGATCTCATTGCAGGCGATAGGCACCGGAGGAAATGGTGGATCTGTTGCGTCTGAGAGGTTTGATTGTTGCTCGACAGGCTTTGATAGACCAAAAACCCGCTTCAGACCGTTCTTGAAAGATGCTGAAAAGGTCCGTCGCCTGCCATGCCTCTCAGCCGGCTTGGTGCCAATGTTACTCGCACTTGTCACACGGAGTGTCTTGCGGAACGGTTTGTTTTCCCATCTGCGTCGATGTACGAAGAGCGAAGAATGTCTCGTCCGGGCTTCAGCCTGGTCAATTTCTCCGAGGAATTGATCGCGGGCAAGCTGAATGGCTGTATCTTGACTCTTGGCGTGTCTAATTGCACGGGAACTTTGGAAGGAACTTGCCCGAATAAAGGATGGTGTATGTCTCATGGTGCGTGGCAGCGCAAACCGGGGGCTTCGCTCGAGATCCATGGCATCTCGACGGGGGAGAGGTGGCGTACTGTATGTGATGTGTGAAGATCGTTGTCTAGTTGAAAACATTGATTTGGCCTTGCGCAGCCGCCTATATGAGGAGGGCACAGAGCTATCTCGACCATCCAACCCATTCAGCTCAGCGGGTGGTGAGAGGACGGCGGAGAATTCGCGATCGTTGACTGTAGATATACTCTCGGCCCTGGCAAATGGAAGTGGGGTGGACGGGGGAACGGTGGGAGCTCCATAGGTTGAGGTGCTGTCGTCGGTATATTGAATGCTGGATTTCGGACGCCGTCTTGGAATGGCGACTTGGGTAGGTCCACCAACTCGGTTATAAGAGCATTTCAATTCAGCTGATGATTGATGGGAAGGTTGATGACTTGAGTGCATAGCACGGGAAGCGGCCACAGCAGCATGGAGCTTAGCGACATCGGGATCGATGATTTCTGCTGGTGGACGACGGGCTCTTCGAATTGAGCGAGAGGACATGGACCTGTGAAGCCGGCCTCGAGTGCCGAATGCGGAAAACATATTGTAAAAGCCTGTAGTATATGAGGTATACCAAAGAAGATGTTGGATAGAGAGGGGGGAGAAGAAGAGGAAAGAGGAGAGAGGAGAGAAACGAGAAAAAGAGAAAAAGAGCGACATGTTGTTGTTATTGATGTAGTGGAGGAAGGAGCAGGTCGAGGAGGTGAAAGTATACGGAAGGAGCAATGGAGGCATTGGAGCATATGGACACGTGATGGAGAATGGACTCTTCTACCTTAGTACTAGTACCTTAGTACTCTTCTCCTCTTCTACTCCATACGCTGCTCCGGCTTCAGATATGCATCTTGGTTATCATGCGTCATGCATGCATCTGTATGTTCCCATTTTTACGATCTGGCCTAGCCCTAATTGGACGGGTGAGTCACTCATAGTCCTGACTCAACTGAGACTCAGGGCAGTGCAAGCCCCAACAAAGAGACTAGATTGAAGGAGGCTCAGGTATTAAGCCAGTGTGATCCGCTATGAATTCCCTCTTCGGAAGGAAAAGTTCAATTCACTTCAATTCCTTCATTCCATGACAGCCCAAAGTTCTAGTTCCGGTGGGGCTCCCCCACAGCGATCGCCCCGCCACATCACGCTCGATGGGCGAATGCTTGAAGGAGGTGGGCAACTAGTCCGCAATGCACTAGCTTTGGCAGCCCTCACTGGTCGCCCAGTCACAATCAATCATGTGCGTGGAAACCGTGGGGGAAAGACCGGGCTGAAGGCATCGCATGCGGCAGCCGTCAAGCTGTTGGGAGATATCAGTGGGAGCAAAGTTACGGGGGGACAGGTGGGATCGCGGAGTGTGACCTTCGAGCCCCCGGAGTTTGAGAGAGAGGAGTCACCTGCAGAGAGGCTCGCAGTTCCAAGCCCGATGCTGGTTCCACTATCTAGCGTCTCGCCGAAGCCCGAATACAATATCCTTCTATCAACACCAGGCTCAGTATTTCTCATATTTCAAGCTATTTACCCATACATGCTATGGGTCGGATCGCAACCTACCATTGAAAAGATTCGAGTAAATATTACTGGCGGCACAAATGGAACTAATTCCCCATCCTACGACTATGCCACCCAGGTGATGCTACCGAACTTCAAGAAACTGGGACTCCCTTCTGCCGAAGTCATTTTGCATAAGCGTGGATGGTCGAATGGTGTTGTCGGTATGGGATCTGTCAGTTTCCACATAAACCCATTGGAACCTTCAACGAAATTGCCTTGTTTCCCTCCCATCAATATCATGGAATACGATCGCGGAAAGATCACGAGGGTCAATATCACTATCCTAGCACCCGATCTCCGCATATCAGAATCAGAAAAGAAAGGGCAGCTACAAGCCACTCGCCAGTACTGCGAGAGACAAATTCGCCGTACCCTGCGAAAGGGGCTCAAGAATCTGGACCCGTCATTATTCGACCAAGAACCCCTTGACATACAAGATGACGGTGGCCATGTTCCTATCACGTTGGCTCAATCCGAAGCCACATCTCACCCTTCCCGGTTCTATATCCTGCTAGTGGCAGATACAAGGGAGGGGTTCAAGGTTGGGTATGACGCTCTTGGAACCACTCGAGCGAAGCCCAACGCAAAGCAGCCCGGAAGAAACAAACACAAGAAGGACAAGAAGGGTTCAAGCCAAAATAATGGTACAGATATGGAACACATTGATGATTTTATCGAAGGTTGTGTTCAGGGTTTCATTGATGAGATTTCGGGACTCCATGCGAACGAGAGCCGCAAGGAGCGGTCACCTCTTGATCAATACATGAGAGACCAAATTGTGGTCTTTGAAGCGCTTGGACGACTTTCTGACGAACGGGATAAAAAAGAAACACTAGATGAGGATGAGCGATATTGGACACTGCATACTAAAACATCTCAGTGGGTATGTGAGGAAATGCTAGGAAATCGATGATAGACCAGACGAGATGAGAAAAGTCTAGAATTTGATAGATACTTGCTCTAGTACTAGGATGTATATAAATATTACCATTTCTCTAGTCGGTCCCTACACTTTCTACTCAAGCCCTGGAGGTTAGACCTGGATATAGGTCGGCGAAGCGCTAGTAATCCCAGAAAAAGATCAAGCTAAGCCAGAACATTTGGGCCAATACAGCCGCATCTCTCTAGATAGCTTACTGCACCTTCTGTATGTAGACAGTGAAGTCCACGTAGCAAAACTATAGAGTCCATTTAGCCCAACAAACCCATGCATGAAGGAATTGCCGAGATCCACCGAAGGAATCAACATGAAATTCCCAGGATCATTGTTGCCAGTTGGCCACGTTATGTACGGAATACTGTAGTAACGATTTGATAACGGAGGGGCCCGATTCCCGGCAGACGGCAGAAGGGCCGAATAGAAATTCTCCGAATGGCCCCCTTGGCCCACCTGGCATACTCGTATGTGACAGCCAGCCTCCAGGACCAGGGGGGCTCGCATCTTATTCTCAGACCGAGATTACAGGATGAGCTCATAACCAGCCGAAAGGCAGGGTCGTTTCGCGGCCCAACCCCAGGCTCGCGGCCAGTGGGAGATCAGGGGATTGTGCAGACCATTGCTGACTCCACTTGGTGCGAGCGAAAGCCCGAGCACATTAGCCTGTTTACTGATGATGATGATATGAATGGATACATTTCTATCTGATGAGACGGCCCCAGGCGAAGACGTCACGAACATGGATGTATAGTCCCATCTGCATGACACAATGCAATGGTGGATGCGGTGTAATTTGAATCTGCCTCGCGTCTCGAAGGACCGATAAAAACAAATTCAAAGTTTACCTTCGGTACGGAGTAGAGATTTCGCAACTCGCCAATCGCCAATCGAAATCCCAATCGAAATCTACCTACCAAAAAATACAATAGTTCATGTAATCGCATAACCGTTGAACCCCGTAATTCAGTACAAGCTTAGAGATCCGCGAGGTCCCAAGCCACACACCGACAAAACCCGCGCCAGCAGCCAGCAGTGCAAACGATCACCATCACATCTTACCAATTATGGTGCCCTGAAGAAGGATGTGGAGACTTATTTCCATCCCCACAGTCCACCCTGAAACAGCGAACTGATCGGACTGTGGCTGAGCGGGGCAGCCGCTTGTCGCAAGGCCAGCGAAAAAAAAAAGGGGCGAAGCGAAGAATCGAAAAAAAAAAGCACTGGAAGGAAAAGAGTAACGAGGGCCCCACGGTCTAGTGTTTTACATCACAATGGATTGGGATCAGCAATCCACTGCTCTCCCTCGCTGTCTCCTTCTCGGAACCACGTTGAGCAGAGTAAAACAGAACAGAACAGAGCCAAGCATTCCACGAGGTTGGATGGTGTGGGGATGGTCACCAGGTCCAGGAACGAGAAGTACTTGTGTCATAGTCATAGGAACCAGGCAGCCACAGTGGGATCTAAGTGGGATCTAAGTGGGATATGTCTTGGAATTAAGAACCTGCACTGGATGTTGGGATCCGAGGGCCGGACCTCCAACGAGAGACAAACTCCCTTAGCACGGAACCCAAATCTGAATCTGAATCAAAAATCGGCGAAGTGAATCAAAATGCAATCATACTCACCTCGGAAGGGCCGACCGTTTGAATGGCGTAAATTAAAGACCTATGACTTAATGAATTTTCTCTCCAACTTTGATGAAAAACACGAAAAAGTCCCCACCCGCTCTACTCTACTCTGTACATTGAATCTCGCACGCGAGATGATTGTAATTTCAAGCATCGACCCCAAATGTAAGGGAGTTTGACACTTTGTCCCGGGACTGTAGCATTGGGAGAAGATCAAACATACCGTGAATGCACGCAATGCAGAGCGTGCCAGTGGGTGGGGGGAAGGTGTTTCAAAGACGATCGAGATCGAGATCGTTCGCAGCAATCCTCGAACCCTCGAGCCTATTCTATTAAGGGGCTGGGCTCTGATGTCTTTCGCGGCCCAAGGAGTTTCCAAGGAATTTCAGAGCAAAATGAGAGCGTGCGGCTACAAGAAGAATGTGAGCTCAGACTGCGATGATGGAAGTAAATTAATCAACTTGAAATTTGTTCAGTCCGACCCTAATCAATCAGCCTGGCCATATAAAATCACATGGCTGATTGTAATTGCGTCCGGTTCTCCCATCACTTCAAATTTCAATAAAACCCGAATGCATGTTTGATTGGGTTGATTAGAGTGTGGGTTCTTGGGTAGATGTCAGATAGATTAAAGTCGCTAGTCGCTTCCAGAAGCGCTCCAGGGCTGAAGGCTGAAACACGCCTCGGTTGTTCCATTCCAATCTTCTAGAACGAGGTACGAGACCAAAGTATAATCCTAATTATGAGTTCATTTCTCTCTCTCTTTCTTTAAATATAGTCTGTTTACGCGTGTCCTGTTTCATTCTCGTTTCTTTTTCCGGCCAAGTCCCATAAAATTAAGACTGTGGCATTGTGTCAGCCTCGAATGTGTCCCGTGGTTTTTGGCCCCAATGTTGGCCCCTTCTGTAGTACTCCATAAGGAGTAACTGCTAACCAGAATAATGCATAAGGCATTCATACGGAAGCCCCCGTAGAGATATCGTACCGAGATATCCGGACAAATCAGTGTCCGTCCAAGTACACTAGTACTGGTAAGCCGAGAAAGATCCTACGGCCGTTGCCTAGTGCCCAGCCTCAAAATGTAAACTAAAAAGCTTCCAAGGCTGACCTGAGTTCCAAGGTTGTCTTTCCCTTTTCAGTATTTTTCACTGCTTTTTTTTTTTCTTTTTCATGCCAAACCCTTTTTTTCAGCTGGAGGCTCCACTGAAAGCCTTGTGGCGGCCGAGGGCGACGGCGACGGCATGCGGCGATGACAATGGGGCCATTAGAATCCGACCCCCGGCCCCCAACTCCCGACCCCGACATGAGGATGAGGCGCATCCATGTATTGGCTGCACGATGACGGATGAGGAACGTGGGGGGTTGGTCTCTTGGCAAATGTTATGAAACCTTTCAGCGTCAGAAAAGATGCATTCCACGGTTCCACCTGCTACTAGGTTATGGCCGAAGGATCTAAGTTTGCGGCTGCTTCGATAAATATAGTTCTCGGGGGCTGAGATCGACTGATAGGTCGTTCTAGATGTGCAGTCACTGAAACGGCTGACATGGATGTCATCCTGTGATCTTCCCTGGCTGTGATATTTACCTGAACAGTGACGACACGATTTATAATGGTCAAATTACAGTACGGGGTCGAGAGGCGGAGCGGAGGACAGAATTCGAAGTAGAGTCAGAGTCAAGAGGCAGTGCATGCATGCATGTATGATGCAGGTATCTAAACTAGTGGAAACTCTCCTAGGGAAAAAAGATCATGGGTGATCATGGGGAACCGGTAAAGCATTAAATCGCAGAATTGGGGGTATGGCATCGCGGAAACAAAGAAAATAAGCATAGAAACGACATAGGGAGAAAGATAAAAAGAACCCGGCGAAATATGAACGAACTCATGCGCAAGCGGAAAAAAAGGAAACGGAAGGAAAAAGAAGATCGATCACCGATCGACCGCCATTCGCGCCACTGCCCGCCAGTGGCAGATTTCCATGGTAGCCATGCATAAGAAGAAACGCAGGAGAAAACAGATAGATCTATTCTCCATGCAGATAAAAGATCAGAATCAGAACGACCGTCATTGCTTCAGTTTCCCACCAACTCAGAATCGAGCGGAAAAGGAAGAAAACACATCTCGCGTTGATGTGGGGCTTTTCTTTCCTTCGTGTAGTGGTGGGTGTGTGAGAGAGGTTGGGTTTGCGCCGGAGGACATGCATTTAGTCCCGATGTAGCGAGAGACGTGAAAAATGAGAACGCAGGAAGATGAGAGCCGCCGTGGAGTAAAGTCGACAAACGCCCGGTAGATGCATTATGAGAAGACGAAATGTAGATGGGATGGGGTGGGCGGAAAGTCCACGGAAACCAGTCCGTGAAGGTCCACAACCCAGTCACCCTGTTGTATCCGGAGGAGCATGGCGAAGAGAACAGGCCTTGGTTCCGGAGGGGGGAGTTGACCCTCTACAGCTCGAGGTCCTCGGGCTTGAAGACTGCACTGAGGCGCTCTGAGGGGAGCACGCGCTTGTAGTCGCGAGGTTGGGCAAAGGGAGAGGCGGATGCTGGACGGCGAAGGTTGAGAGTCTAGAAGTAGTTAGTATACATTTGCCTCATTCTTTGCGCCCAATATGCTTGGTTGTAACGGTGCCCGTGGGCGTCGGCGTCGCGCATAGATTAACACGTACCACGCAGTCCGAGCACTTGCTTCCTTGACGGTTGACGCGGCCTCGGCAACCGCGGGGCTGGTTTGCGCAAGAGTACATGGTGATGGTTGTGGTTGTGGTTGTGGTTGTGGTGAATGTGGTGGTAATGGAGTAAGGTTTGGCTGTAGTCGCAGAATGGACCGGGGTCGTTGATACGAGAAGGTGGTTGCGAAGAAGCTTGAGTCTGGTGTTGAGCAAAGAGAAGAGAGGCGAGAAGCGTCCGGAGGTGAAGAAAGTCGCGGTGCGGATGAGGGGATCCTCTTTGATCTTAAAGAAATTCCGAAAGGGGAAGGAAATTCGAAGCTAAGCAGGCTTGGAACTTTAAAATTGGCCGAGAGGGGGGGGAAGAGAGATGACGTCGAGGCTGTGGGTGAATGTGGGAGAGAAAGTTCACTTTCAGGTAGTTCGATAGTCGTAGTCAGGTAGTCAAGTAGTATACTCGTAGGTAGTACTGGTGCAGGAAAAATGGGGTGGGAAGGGGAGTGGGCAATAGGGGGGGTTTATATCTCAAGAGGCTCAAGCTGCCATTCTACCTAAAAAAGGAGGGAATTTTAGAAAAAAAAAAAGGAAATGGAAATGGAAATGAACTAGAATTTTTAGGGTTCCATTGTTACGGGTTACGGTCTGAAGCCGTTTGTAGACTGGGGTTGTTCGCTCCAGTTTTTCTTTTGGGGAATATTTATTATTATTAATTTTTTATTTTTTTTTCGATGACTTCCCTCTCTCTGTATCCCCCCCTGTTTCTTTCCTTTCGGAAACTTATTATTATTTTTCCATTTGCTTTTTTGTTTCTCTTTTTTGATTGATTCGTTTTCTGATTACTCCGTACTACAGTATTTTCCAATTACTACAGAGGATTACTGGTGCTGGCTACTACTACGGAATAATACTCCAGTACTGCCGTACTGCAGTTCTCGGTACTGCAATTCTCGGTCCTTTGTCCTCTGCAACTGCACATCCTCCGTATTTCTGTCATCTCCTCCGCGCTGTCAGTGACAGGTCCCGTACTTTGGCCAGATGGGCTCCGTTCGCACACCAGGCCAGATCGGCCGATCCCATCCTTTCGACCCGGCAATGCGGGTTTCTGATCGGCTTAGATGCTGGTCGTCGATGCATGACGCCCTGCCGACTAGAAGGGGTGGGCCAATGGCAACAGAGACTGGGAATAAAAGAATGCGCGCGCTGGGCCGGATCGCGTTGGAATGACTCGCAGACTCACAGACTCACAGCCCGTCGTGATGGTTGATTGCAGGGACCCGGTGGAGCTCTGGACAGCTGACTGAATTCCATACACCGAGGGAGGGGGGGTCTCCCAACGTTGCCCGTGCCTCAGATTAAGTGCCGGAGTGAACGAGCGGTCCAAAGTGCCGACGTGGCAGTTCAATCCCTAGGGGAAAGGACTGTCGGGGATTCTGTGTTGAGTGTTGAGTGTAGAGTAGAGGCGAAGTCGAGTAGAGAGCAGCCGCTAAAAAGGGGCGGAGGGGCTCTTCCCGCCTTCAATTCCCATCATTTCCAACTGTTTCGAGTTGATGCCCTAACACAAGCGTGTCCGTATTCTGTAACTTGCGCGATCCTGCCAGGATCCGAGTCTGAATCCGAGCCTAAGCCTGAGCCTAAGCCCAAGCCTGAGTCTGGACATGCGCATCGGGCAGTGTTCTGGAAAACTGGGAATCCCCACCGCGCACCCACTCGCGCATTAGTCTGCCTAGCTCTTGTGGATTAACCCGTTCGGGCCTGTTTGCCAATGGTTTGTACGCTCTGTCTCGGTCACGTCCAGGGCTGCACCTTTCCGAGCCCTGCGCATTGGTATTGATTGGTACGAGTATTTGCATTTGCTGCATTTACATGTACATTGATATTTGCATTTATATCGGCATTGGGATGACCAACAGACTTGGCATGGGTTGGTCAGCCCTGCCAGTGCCAGTGCCAGTGCCAGCTTCTCTGCTCTGTGCCTTTTCGAAGTCTTGATTCGTAGATCAATTAGCTCCTTGTCACTCCTGTCATTTGTGATTGGAGGTGGAGCCTTCCGGGAAAAAATGCATGAGGAAAAAAAAAAAAAAAAACGAAAACCAAGGAACGGAGTCTGGAGATCGGTCTTCCGGCCGTCCTTCTAGTCTAGAGCCTAGGCAATGGCATCCTTTTGGCAGCTACGGCACTCAATAAAGCTTGACGGTGATTTTGCCACTGGATGTTCTAGGGTATACTAGTAATTTCACCTACAAACCTGTACACTGTACAGAATACTGACTTATGACTGAAACCCTCGGATGACTGTCCCTTTTCTTTCTAATCACTCTCTTCTTTCTCTCTACTTTCTTTGTTGCTTAATGCCCCGCCTGCCGAGCCATGGCAAATTACAGTTTCGTCAGCACCGCGTGTCGCACAGCTTAGAAACGGCAACCGGGAAGGACGTTAGATGTCCAATGTGCTCCCAGGGTATTAAGCTCAGTCTCGGTCACTTGACTGGCTCAGGTGGCTTACGGCTCTGCGCTTGAGAATCTTACGGTTGCGACGGCACCCCCCCGCGGAGCTCGCTCTGCATTGGCCCTTTCCTGCCTTGGAGAGCTGTCGCCTCAGCGCCACCTCACCTCCGAATGCATGCCAAAAATGACTGAACTGATCATTCTAGTATGTCTGCATACTGCACACACATACACACACACACACAAACACACCTATAACACTTTGTCAGTGTTTATCCAACAGACACCCGTAAATCGGATGTCGCGGACCGCAAAAGAACGTGCGGACCAGCGGGTCAGGCACCAAAAGAACCGTACCAGCCCAAGGATGGAGACGACGGATAACGGCGGAGAGCACCGAAGAGGCACAGAAAGAGGCAGAAAGAAGAGAGAAGGAGAGTCTAGAAGACAATCGAAGGCGCAGAAGGCGGGTGGTGGAACACGAGCCTCTGAATCTGGACCGCCGCAGCCTGGGCGTCTAGACAGTCACACTCCTCTCGTGTGACCGGGGCCTGTAAACCTTACTATGACAGCAGGAATCAGGCCGACACTGCAGCCAGGCTGATGACAAGCGCGCAATTCTGAGCTCTGGGCCACCTGGGGGCCTAGGTTGGTAGGTAGCTAGCAGCGAATATCGGTGACCTCATGCCTCCGCAACCCCAGCCACCAAACAGCCAGCGAGGCGGCCAGACCATTTGGGACCGCCTCATGTGACTGTTTTGAGACGAGGGAAATCTTGGAAAATCGGCCACTAGTGAACCCTGCGCTACCTCTTCCTTCGGCCCGTCGCTGGATTTGGACCGATGCGGACTGATGCGGACTGGCGTGAAAATATGGTGGAAAGGGAGGGTTATCTGATGGACGTTCATTTGACCCGCGGCTGGAGGCTTGAAGGGCTTTTGGAGACTGCCGACGCTTTGTGCCTCTTGCCCTTCGGCCGATGCCGAGGCCTGCAAGATTGTCTACAATGTCACACCCTGTCGAAAGAAAAAAGAAAAGAAAGAAAGAAAGGACTAGGATTATTGTGATCTTCCCTAAAAGAGCCGGGATCCCGAAATGCTATACAGCTGCGGCGCATCGTCCACTCAGACATCCCACAACGAACGAAGTACTATCCATGCACCGATGATCCCGATTGTTGATGCAAGAAGCAGTCCGTTCCCTTCCCATGTCAAGCCCAGGTAGGCCAGCAATCCCACCGCTACCTCCTTCCGCCGGGCAGTATCCCGTCGAGACCTCCAGTGGGGGTCGATTAAGAATGGAGCAACCCTTCGGGGGGAGGGGCTCATGTGATCTGATTCGGACGAGGATGTGTGTTGCAAAGATGGAGGCAGAGGCACAGACACAGCCAGCGCGACAGGGCGATGGTCCGACTGGGGAAACAGAGGGAGCGCGTCGTACGTGTGAGGTTTGACCCGTCGATCACTCGCATCTTGGCCAGCCCAAGACGGCGTGTCCAGAAAGAGAATACGGTCGCACCAACTGGGCCAACGGTGGCTCGACCACTTCCATTCGGCATCTCCACTGTCGACTCCAAGCCGAGCCGCTTGGCGGGCCGCATCGGAGTATTTGTATGTTGGGGGGGAAGTCAATAGGCGCCTCTGAGAGCCCATGGAAACTTTTGCCCTGGCGCATCTCCCGCATCAGTTGGTCCCCCTTGAGAAGGTGGGAATAGTGCAAGATGTCCTCGCGATTGACGAACCGGCGAGGAAACCGGAGTGCATCAGTCTTGGACGGACTGACATCTGATGTGCGGTAGTTCAGGTCTCCTGCCAGGAAAAGGTAGGAATTCGGTGCAAACAGATCCCTGCGGGTGCCCTCCGGTTGATCTGGTGATCGGTGGCCCCCGAGTAGCGCGGCATTCTCATCTGTTCCCTCACTGGGTCCACCATGTTTGATCTCACTGTTTGAAGGGTGCTGCTGTGAGAAGACAAGGCGCTCGACGATGCTCTGCCAGTCCAAATTTCTCTGCTCCAGTGCATCCTCCATGGGAGCCAGGTGAGCCGCCACAAAGGTTAAGTCCACGGTTTTGGCCGAATGGTCGTCCACCACATACCCTAGACGAGCCCCAACAGCGCCCTTGTTGCCCATCTCTTGAACTCCGATTCCGACGTGCGCGGTGTCAATCCAGGATATCCTATCTGTGACATCGGCGCGGGCGAAGACCATCAAACCGGTCATACCTGTATGGTCCTTGAGCACACTCTCGTAGGACTCATTGAATTGCTTCGCAGTAGCTTGTTTGACCGTTTGAACGAAGGCATCAAAGTAAGGAATCAGATATGAACCGCCTAGAAAAGAATAGGCGATGGGAGCTATTTCCTGAAGAGAGAGCACGATCAGCTCTGGGGCGTTGAAACCCCGCCCTGCTTTCGTCAAGGGATCGAAAAAGTGGTCAGCGAATAGATCCACATCGATACGATCCCTCGCACAGTTCGCTGTCAAAATGTAGAGATTCAAATCTTCCATGCCGGCTATGGGTTGGAGAATCGATTGGGCCAAGTTCAGCGCGAAGTAAGTAGCGGTGACGTCGTCAAAACCACGTGCCTTGTCAGTGGATCAACCAAAGTAATCCAATAGAGTTTACGGCAAAAAAAGGCAAGCACGATCGTGCAGCCACTAAATAAGATAAAGTGGAGAGGGGGAGAGAGAGAGAGCATCAAAATCAAGGAAGAGGGAAAAACAAAAAAAAAGAATGCATCATCCGTGAATCGAACACGGGCCTCGTCGATGGCAACGACGAATTCTACCACTAGACCAATGATGCTAGTTGATATATTGTGACTTTAAAGTATGGATTCATGAATCTTTGACTGTTCAAAGATGTACCCTTGGGTATATGCAAACACTATCTGATCTACTTCTATCATAGCTTACCTCGCATCTGCTTCCCCTGTGGCTCATCCAGTTCCACAAGGAGCATCCCCTCGGCCACATCTTCCTCTTCATACTCCATTTCATAGACCCATTCCACTCTTCCAGCCCTGGGACTTCGCACCTCCAGTTCCATCTTCATCTGTTTGACAAAGGCCAGCACCTGATTCTCGACTACATTCTCCCCGTCGGAAACAAGAACCTCAATTAGCCTTCCGGAAAGAGGTAGCACAATATGTCTGGGATTCTGAGGGTCACCTCGTCGGTGTGTGGAAGATACCAGAGCCGATGCCGCAGTCGAGGTGGTCTCCAGCTGCATTCGATACGGAATCGCTGTCTGGGATGTAGGGGTTGTGTACTCAATCTCCGCGGCCAAGGAGGTGGGGAAATCATTCCGAAGCACACGGGAGAGACGAAGATGGTGGGCCACTTTGGCAGGTTCCTGAGAGGTATCCTTTTGCAGTGGCTCCAATGTGATAGACCACGCGTCTCCCTTCCGGAACAAGAGATTTGAGGCAGGTAGTCCAGCCTGAGATGACGATTGTTGAGAAATAGATTTGACTATTTCACCACCGTGCTGAGTATTTGCGATGCGTTGTCCCAAATGATAGATTTCGTCAAGCTTGAGCCCTAACCACTGTGTGTCAATATGGCCGGTTACGAACTCCGGATGCGAGACGATGCCACGGAGAAGATCAATGTTAGTCTTCACGCCAGAGATTCTCGAATCTGACAGAGCTCGCTGAGCTTTTCGGACCACAGCCTCCCAGCTAGATGCTGTGAGAATGATTTTGGCGAGAAGGTTATCGAAGTTTGATCCCACTACTGACGCACTCCCATTGGAAGTGCTGACATTGGTGTCAACGCGGATCCCATTCCCACTAGGAACGACGAATTCGGTCACCTTTCCAATGCTCAGAGAAAAATTGTTGCTTGGGTCCTCAGCACATAACCGAAGCTGGATTGAAAAACTCTTCGGGGAGGCGTCTTCGAATTGACCTCCGCGCCCAGGCCAAGATCCTCGAACGTTGCTCCCTGTGCTAGCAGAAGTTGTATCTGCACCAAATCCAATCCGCTGATGGATTCCGTGATAGTGTGCTCCACTTGAAGTCGTGGGTTGACCTCCAAAAAGTAGAATTCCCCCTTCTGTTCATTAACCAGGAACTCAAATGTCCCCAGCGAGCGATACCGAATCTCACTAGCCATCTTCAAAGCCGAGTCAATGATCTTGGATACCAAATCCCTATCCCTCATCAATGCAGGTGCACATTCCACAACTTTTTGAAAGCGTCGCTGTACACTACAATCTCGTTCCCAGAGATGCCGCACTTGTCCCATGCCATCGCCGATAACTTGGATCTCAACATGGTGGAATCCATCCACAGCAGCTTTTTCCACAAAGACCGACCGAGAGGGCGACTCTCCAATGGCACGCTGGATACTACTGTCTAGCTCCGAGTCCTCGTGAACCAGACGAATTCCCCGTCCACCACCCCCATCCACAGCCTTGATCATAACGGGAAAACCAACCCGATGGGAAAAAGCCCGCGCCTCATCAACATTGGCTGTTGGCTGATTCATGGCTTCTAGTACAGGTACTTGACATCTTTGAGCCAATAACTTTGCTTGAAGCTTGTCGCCGGTACGTGCAAGATTCTCAGGACCAGGGCCGATCACAATAGCCCCCGCTTCTGCAAACATGCGGTGCGCGAACTCGGCACTTTCACTGAGGAAGCCATACCCGGGGTGGACTGCGTCAATGGAGTGCTTCTGTACTAGATCAACGAGCAGGGAGATATCCAAATAGGATGACGCGGATGGGATCTGAATTGTATGGTGTGGGCGTCCGATGTCGCAGTGTGACTGATCATCAGACGTGTACAGAGCGAAGATCTCGACTGGCTCAGGCAGTTCCCGAGTGGCATGTAATATGCGAACGGCAATTTCACCTCTATCGAATGGGATCAATACATGCTAATATTATATAATGTAGTTAAGAGTGACACACCTGTTTGCGACCAGCAATCGCTTGATGGTTCGTGAATGCGGGGATGACGACATGGCGTCACAAAAGTCCGGGGTAGCAACAGTCGCAGAAAAGTCTCTCAGCCAGTATATATGAAGACCCCCGATAAAAGGAAAACTATCGGCAGTATAAGAGACACATATATGGCGCGACGAGACTTGTTGGGACAGGTCAGAGTTACTTTTCTTTATAAAACGACAGCAAAAACGCGCCGAGGTCCTCGGATATCCCCGACTTCAATTTCCCCTCAGCGGGACGCATCTTAACCCAGCCCCTGCCGAGTCCAATCTCCAATCACTACCCCGGTACTCGCCCTTCAAGCTGAAATAAACTATGCGATATCGTCCTGCTCGAAAATAAATTGCAATCATGGCTAAAGACAGTGACTTGTCGCAGTCGTCTCCAAATGGCAATGATCAAGCCACCCAGCGTCTTAATCAGGTCTCCTCGCATCTCTCCACAGACCCACCAAAGAAACAAACGAAGGAGAAAGACCCAGCATCACGTCTTCCAGCAGACCACTCCGATGTCTTGGGACAAATTGCTGCCCTTCGCAAGATTGCCGCAACGCCAGATCCCAACCACAGAGGCTATGTGCGGCAAAAACAAGCAGGAAAGCTATGGGTCCGCGAGCGTATCGAACAACTTCTTGACCCTGGTTCATTCACTGAGATAGGATCTGTATCAGGAACTGTAACGTGGAAGAAGACCGCTCCAATGCGCGAGGAGCCCGTGTCTTTTATTCCGAGCAATAATGTTCAAGGGGCAGGTATGCTCCGTGGAAGAAAGGTTCTGCTTACGGCGGACGACTTTAGCATTCGGTCTGGACATGCAGATGGTGCAAGTTCGGGGAAGACTGTCTACGTCGAGAAGTTGGCGATTGCACTGCGGATTCCTGTCGTGAAGCTTGTTGATGGAAGTTCTGGGGGTGGTAGCGTCACAACTATCAAGAAGGAAGGGTGGAGTTATCTACCTCATGTGGCTCCGTTCAAGCCAGTTATTCAACAGTTGAATATGGGAATTCCCAATTTGGGTGCTGTTGTTGGGCCTGCGGTATGTCGCTCTGAAGAGAGGAATTCCTTTTTTTGTTTTTTCTACCGGGCACTAATGATGTTGGTATAGATCGGTCTTGGCGCCGCCAGGGTGGTCTCTTGTCATTTCTCAGTCATGGCAGCAGATATTGGAGCCCTTTTTAATGCCGGACCAAAGGTTGTCGAAGGCGCGACCTTTGAGGAAGGGTTGGATTTTCAGGATTTGGGTGGCCCGATGGTTCATTGTATGAATGGAACGATCGATAACCTAGCTGCGAACGAGGCCGAATGTTATGAACAGCTACGCACAGTGCTGGGATATCTTCCGAACTCTGGAAGTGAGGCTCCACCAGTTATCCCATGCGATGATCCTGTGGATCGAGAGGATGTCGCTCTACGTAGTATCATCCCTCGCCGACAAGCTCGCATGTATAACCCGCGAACAATCATCACCTCGGTCGTTGACCAGGGCTCTTGGTTTGAGATTGGTTCCCTGTGGGGTCGGACTGCTATTGGTGGACTTGCGCGTTTGGGAGGACACCCTGTGGGTGTGATCTCGCTGAACTGCGAAGTAAATGGCGGTGCGCTTGACGCAGCCGGGAGCCAGAAACTGACCCGACTGCTCAAAATGTGCGATGTGATGAACTTACCGATTCTGCAATTCCTTGACGTCCGTAAGTATTGCAACTTCTTAACCCCCAATTGTCTCTTTCCAAAATAAGTCTGACATTAACTAGCCGGCTACGCCATCGGCACCGTCGCTGAGCGCACCGCAACTATGCGCTGGGGAGTTGAATTGGCGAAGACGTACTACACTACCACTGTACCAATTTTCAATGTGGTGACACGCCGCGTGTTTGGTGTTGCAGGAGGCGTGATGCTCGGATCTCGCGACCCCGTCATGCAGGTTGCCTGGCCTTCCGGCCAATGGGGGTCCCTGCCACTGGATGGTGGAATTGAGGTCGGGCACCGGCATGAGTTGCGTGAGGCGGAGAAGGTTGGAAAGAAAGAGGAGCGATATAAAGAGCTAGAAGAGGAGTATCTACGTCTGATGAATCCTGTTCGAACCGCGAATGCGTTTGGCGTCGAGGAGATTATTGATCCTAAGGACACCAGGCAAGTTTGTTGCTCATGGGCAACGCATGTTTATGAGGCTCTTATGAAGGAAAGAATTTCCGATAGAGCTTGCGGTAAGATCCATCCTTCTTTTGCTTGATAGATGGAAGTACTCGGCTTCATCTGCTTTCGATATACATTTTAGGTATTCCAGTTTAATGGTATAGAACTTGATGTTTGAACATGTCAGATTTGCTGTAGACAAACAATCTTGAACAGATTAGATTAGCTCAACACTCTCAAGATAAGATAATATTAGACTATAAATATCTGAACATCGATCTATGGGTTAAAATGAATAGGATTGCAAATCAAATCTTGTTTTGATCTTACCGTGACTAGTGTAGATTTGATGCCCCCGCTCCGACGTCTGTACCACCCGGATCAGGCCTTTTTGATTAATTTCAATCTTAGCTCTCTAATCAGCTGCAGCTTGTGTAATAGAGGCCTCTAAAATCTCGACAATTCCAATAATATGCCTGGCACATTCAAATGAAAAGCATATCATCTCTGTTTTGACAGGCGACGGGGATGGTGAAAAGCTTATGTAACGGAATCTCCCACACTATCAAAAAGAGCAACACCCCGCCTTCCAACCACAATCACCCATACAACCCAAACTCATACATAAAAGTGCGCAATGGCCTCCGTACAAATCCTTGACGGTGGACTGGGGACTTCCCTGCAGGACAAATACGGTGTGAACTTCTCCAGCACAGACACACCTCTCTGGGCCTCGCACCTCCTGGTCTCAAACCCCGAAACGCTGAAAGCTTGTCAATCCGACTTCGGCGAGGCAGGCGTGGACATCCTCTTAACTGCGACTTACCAAATCTACACTGGAGGGTTTCAAAACACAAAGACAGCCGAGTTTCCTCAAGGCATCCCGGCGTCTGAAGTCGGTCGATTCCTGCGGACAGCGGTAGAGGTCGCGGAAATTTCGAAAGTGCGCGATTCGGCAAAGATCGCTTTGAGCCTTGGGCCTTATGGTGCTTGTATGATTCCCGGACAGGAGTATGGGGGTCTTTATGATGCAGAGCACGATGATGAGGAAAATCTTTATCGGTGGCATTTGGAGAGATTGCAGTTGTTTCAGAATGTCGAAGGGGAGGATTTGACCTCGCGGATTCAATATGTTGCTTTTGAGACATTGCCGCGGTTGGACGAAGTGCGTGCGGTGCGGAGGGCAATTCATGACTCGGGAATCACGGCTCCCTTTTGGATCGCCTGTGTGTTTCCTGAGGGAGGATGAGTGTCTTCCCGATGGGAGCAATGTCGAACAGGTTGTTGAGGCGTCAATTGGCCCGATGGAAGGAGCCCTTGTGCCGTTGGGAATCGGTATGAACTGCACGAAGGTTCATAAGCTTTCGGGGTTGGTCGACAGATTCGGGGCCTGTGTGAAGGATGCAATTGCTACGGGTCTTACCTCGGCGGTTCCGAGTCTCATCCTGTACCCCGATGGAACGAATGGAGAGGTTTATAATACTATGACACAAACTTGGGAGAGGCCAGAGGGACAGGGAAGTAATCAGGATGTTGTAAGTGCGCTCGAGTATAGGCGGTCCCATGATTTCGTTACTAGAGATTTGCTGACTCGAGAATAGCGCCCCTGGGAAGTCCAACTTGCGCAGGTCGTCAGCGATGCCAATGCAAAGGGCCCCTTCCAGCATTTCATCGTAGGCGGGTGCTGCAAAGCCTCTCACAAGGATATCACGAAGCTTCGGGAGCAGTTTACCGCTGCATGAATGGAAAATAGTATGTATAGAGAATTGGCTACGAAACCGGTTGAAAAATAAATGTATCAATGTGTTGAAATTGAAAATCGCTGTGTCTTATTGACGTGGTATCGTGCTATGGATATGCAAATCTGCGAAAAATAACTAAACAAGCCAGTCGACAAAACGTCCCCAGACTGTGGTGCTGGGAGGTTTGCGAAGCGAAATCTCGCCTTCCTGTAAACGGCCGGACCAAAGGTCGATGGTAGAGGCCCGCACATACTTGGTTCGATGCCAAAGCTTCCAGGCGATGATCGGCACTATAAAAATTGGGATACCGATGTAGGAAGCAACAAAGCTAGAAGTATCCCAGTTGCCCTTCAGGAAGACGGGAAATCCTGCCACCAGGGTGATAATGGTTGAGCCAACGAAGCCGAACCACGCCGTGTATGGTTGAAATGGCCCGGCCCAGGGCAAGGTATCGCGAGAAACGCCCTGGGCTTTCATTCCAGCATAGAAGCGGATGTAGCAGTAGCAGAGCGTTGCCCAAGCGATCAGCCCAGCAACTGTGCTGAGATTGAGTAGCCAGTTGAATGCTTGCGCGGCACCACCGGTTCCAAGACTCAGATAGGCCAAGGGGCCAAAGAGCCAGGATACGATGACAGCAACGTACGGGACACCCTTCTTATTGCAGCGGCCGAAATATTGAGGAAGTTGGTGATCAGTGGTCATAGCCACGATCATGCGCGAACCAACCCAGCAGTATGAGTTACCCGCAGACCAGGCAGCGACCAGAATGCAAGCATTGACAATGGACGGTAGAACACTGATACCGGCTTCGGTAATTGCAATGACGAATGGAGAGGCTTTCGCGTTGGAAGCAGCATTGGTAAGAGCAGAGGTTCGTGGATCAACAATGATTCCAATTAGGAGCGCACCGAGGATGTAGAAGAACGCAATGCGATAGGTCACGCGGCGAGCAGCCTTTGGGATAGCACGATGAGGATCGACCGACTCGGCGGCAGAAATGACGACGGTCTCGACACCGATAAAACTGAATGAGGCGTTGACAAAGGACGATAGGAACCCAAGAAAGTGGCCCGCTGGCCCGGTAATACCGTTATAGTTTGTCCACGGACCAGGGTTGTTCCAAAAGCGGAATCCGATCGTTTCGTGATTTGGTCCGCCACCACAGGTGATAACAAGAGACACGATCACCAATCCCAAGAAGCAGAGGACCTTGATGGCTCCTCCAATAACTTCTGATTCTCCATAAAACCGGACACTTCCCAAATTGATTGCCAATATCAGCACCAACCCAACTGTGATGACCACAGCCGGCGATATGTCGCTCCAATAGGAGACGATGACCGCTGCTGCGCTCACTTCAGATGCAATCGCAATTGTGTAACAATATCCGTATGAAATGGCAAGGGAGAAACCGACAGCGGGGTCGATGAAGCGTGTGGCCCAGTGAGGGAATGAACCGGCGGTCGGAAAGAGGGTGGCTAGCTCGGCGATACTCTGCATGACAGCCCACAGTACCATTCCTACAACGATGTACGCGAGCAACAGACCAGCAGGACCAGCCTTAGCATAGGCAGATCCAGTACCAACGAATAAACCAGTACCAATACCACTGCAGAAGCCGATCATGGTGACATGATAGTTGCGCAGACGTCGCTGGGTGGCACCGCGACCACCAACATTGATCTGAAGCTCATCCTTAGGGTTGGCATCAAAATTGTCGAATTTCGCGGGATCGGGCTGGATGGTGTCCTCGGCGAGAGTGGACTTTTCCATCTTGCTGGGTTGTTGGTAGGTCGATTTGGAGAGGGAGCCGGGGGAAGAGGGGAGGTTCAGAGCTTCCCCATGCAAGTGAAAAACTGACAGAACTTGAAGACAGAATCCATTTGGGAGATGTAGCTCTTTTTGTTATTTCTCCGAAACCTTGAACCGGCGCAGATCACGACATCGGGAGTCTTTTTTCGAATCGCGGAATCGCACCCACCGAGCACGAAGTTATTGGGCGAGCCGCGCCGAACGCTCCACTTTTTATTCTTTTTGCGGAGGCCAAACGGGAAATTTTTTTGCCCGATGGCCGGAGGTGGCAAGACGAGATTTTTCTGGGGCTGCACCTCGTGGCGCGTTATTTTGTTGATTGATTTGAAAAAAAAAAGTGGAAATGGCGCCCGGTCGCAAGAGTCAATAAACATGTAGCCTATACTCGGGCCGTCGTGGGTAGGGCTGCCGTAGGGAGGAGGGCGGAGGGCTTAACCACAGCGCTATTCGTCGGCCAAATAAGCATAAGCATTGGCCCGTTTGAAGATCTCGGAGGACCAAGCGAGGTGGCCAAAGCCGCTAGCTAGCACATGGAGCTTGGTAGGTATCGTCAATCCCTGCTTTAGGAAGGGTTCTAAACTCCGAAGGTGATTGCTGGTCGTTGTACGGAGTAACAATGGGAGGAATGTACTGTAGGTACTTCCTATGAAAAAGGAAAGCACTCCTGGATCACTCTAGAACACCATGGGATTTCATAGTAACCGCCTAATTGGCTTGCGATTGTACCGTGAGAGGGTAGTTTATTGGTCGATTGCCTCGGGAAATCCGAGGCCAGTTACTAGAATGTGAGTTCCCTCTACATCCATAGATTGAACCATTGCAAAGAAACATGTTCACATTTGTATCATACTGAACCATGGGTTCGAGTTCGTGCCATCAAGTGAGAACAAACCGTTGTTTACCGGCCACATTTCCCTGGTACTCTGGATCTGGAGTCTTCTTCTTCTTATCGGAGTGGTTGATGTATTCTTTCAGTCCTTTTCCAAAGTTGACCATGCAGATCACCATGTTAACAAGGGTGATACCCAGTAAAAGTATCGCCAGTCCAGAAAATAGGGTCAGAGAGACTTTGAAGTGAGCTAGGTTATTACTTTTCGACGAGGAGTATGTTTGTAGAATCATTAATACGAAAGTCCCCGCAATGACAAGCATAAAAATCTGGAATGGGGATTAGCATGAGTTGTCAAAGCCACCAGAAGAGTCCTTACCATAATGACAGAAAGCGATTTCTTCTTCTCCAATCGACAGAAACGGGCTCCCAGGATGAGAATAACAATAGATACCGGAATCATAGCGGACTGCAATATGAAATCGTTGTCCTTGAAATCGTTCATCGCAAGTAGGACTTGGAGTTGTGTACCGAATATGAAGAAGAAATCGAATTTTAGTAGGGCAATATAGACCTAAGACTAGGTTAGCTAGCATTCGAACATCTTTCAAAAAGGAGATTCCAACCTGGTATGTGAAATAGCGGCGATTCATTTGTAAATCGGCGCTCATACTTTGGTAGATATTCCACGAGTTTTCGGCCCGCAACCTCCACGTCACGAAAATCATTGCAATTGTACAGACCCCAATAAACACAGGGATCAGAATGAGTTCTATCTGGTAATGTTTCCAAAGTAGATTTCCAGAAGCTTCGCTTATTGACAGACCACTAATGGTCTCTCTGATCTCTTTCATCTGGACGACTCCGTACACGAAGAGCCCGAAATTGCAAAGGCAAAGTCCAACCAATTGAAATGTATTCTTGCGCTTCAGCGCATCGTAGGAAAGGGCGAGTTCGTAGACAAGAGCAAAGATGTAAAGGCCAAGGAAAGACCGAAGTCGTATTGTACCGTCATTGTTGTCGTACTCGTTGAACCGTCTCGAGACGCTGATGAAAACCCAACTATACAAAAGAGTTCATGTCAGGATCGGCGCGCTTTGAGGGGAAAGGATGGATGATGTGGTTAATCTACCTTTCAATGCCGACAGTAAAAAATGTCTCGAGAAGCCCGATAATAGCAAATAAGCGAGACCAGAGAGTATTAGGGAAGTAGAATTTGCTGGGAGAAGATTTGGAAGCGGCGGATCGACCTTGAGGTGGAATTGGGTCGGCTGGCGCATTGAAATCGTCGAGTTCAACATATTGGCCATTTATGTGGAGTGCAGACTTCGAGTAGGCCACACTTGACCGTGCCTTATCCGAGACGGAGTGAAAAGGGGCGGCCATCGCTTTAGCCACTCCATCACCTTCATGTCGCATGGTGTCGACAGAGTTGTCGAACCGAAAGATTGTTACAACTGTCAACAACAATCACAACAAATTCAGGGGATCCCTATCAATATTGACTATAATTTATTGCCAACGACGTGTACGCACTGCCATGGCCTGGGCATGCCGAAACAGGCACTGTGGAGACGGTAATCCCGAATACGAAATTAGCTGCCTGGAGCAGCTTGGCTGGGCTCCCTATTCATATCATGCATATTAGGGTAAGCATGCATGCTTGTGGCTAGACTGGTGAGACCTGTGTCCTCGCCCCACAGGAATTCCCATCAAAATATTATTTTTAGCCACGATCTTGATGTGCTACCTTGGGATCATGTGATTTATTGTCGTGCCTGAAGTCGCTTCATAGCGTGCTTCAAGTTCCAACTTGATATCAATATGTTCACGAAGTGATCGAAGAGTCTGGGGAGTAAGAATTCTACCAACAACGCGTTCACCATATGGAGTCCCGCACTGCATCGTTCTCGCCCCTTTGTTTCCAGGGTTCTACTCCCATACATTGACCCCTTGCTGCGAATTGCAATGTTCAAGTTATCGAGCATATTACGCCTGAATACACAATGCTTTGCACGACTGAAATGTTGGGAAATTGCAAACCCCGCATTTTCAACCCAATATGCGAGGTAGAACCAGATGGGGTAAACTTCTAGAGGGACAGTCTCTGAGAACCGCCAATAAAACGACTCGGACCGAACTGCAATGTTGAGAGACCCAAGAACATTTTATATTCAAGAAATTGGGAGTCTTCGATCGATTTCTTCTTTCATTTAGATTGATGCTGCCTTTGATTTTCGGCATCTATGTTTCTTTGACAAGGCCTTTGCATGATAGCACAGAGTCCATTGGAACAATAGTGCAGGAGAATCAAGGACCAGAGAACAGTCAGAGCATGGAAGACATCCAGGGTTGCCATTCAAAAGCCGGCGTTAGGAATAGTGGACCATTGGATGCCAACGACCAGTGTAACGAATCAAAAGTTTGTTGCTTGTTGGTGCCTTAGGTTTTGGGCATCATCAGGTTGTATCTAGCTCAGTTCTCGATACCCAACCCTACTTCCTCTTCTTCCCCATGCTTAGTATTCTCGTCGAATGCCAGTACATTGTTGCTTTTATCTTCGATCGTACCTAGGCGCTTTGCATGCACGATGCAACCCGTTTTTCTGGTAACTAGCACTAGTGGGCAGAGTGGGGAGCAGATTGGGGCTGCTAGTAAATAATAATTGTAGTTCTAGAACGTCCAAAAGCGGATCGGCCCAGGCACTTATACAATTTTGAAATGACTTAGAGTTCGGTTAGTGGCATGTTTCTTTGGTTCGGAATCGATAGGATGATATGTATGGATACCCCCCCGTGGGAACCTAGGGTAGGTGTAAACATGTGGACGATACATGTCCACTGCCAGTGTGACGACAGACAGCAAGATCAAGTGTACTATTATCACTGGTAGTAGCTACTACGAGTAGTTTCAATAGATTCAATACCTCTAACTGGCATCACAGTTCTAAGGATACTCTTCATTAAATAATGCGTAGAATTGCATAAATCATCCAAGTCAAGTCACATGCTGATCTTCGCCATTCCCGGTGGATCATCCTTGGCATCCCACGAGCATCGCATCTTCTGCCCCAGTCAGATCACAGTCTCGTTGGACCATCGGAACACTCGCGTTCAATCACGCCGATCAGTGCACCCATCCACGTCAATAGCGTGGGTTTCAACCGGAATTCGCTAACATTGGCCCAGTTTCCCCTCATCCACCCACAATTGGACAGTGCACGCCCGGAATAAGGGTTTTCGGAAATCTTAATGCTCTATATTCCCCCGGGGAAAAGATCTTTCTGACTTCTTCCTTCCTGTCACAACTATTCCTACGCGCCTTGAGTCGCCAATTCTCTCTCTTTAACTTCCCCTAATCCCGATGCCGGGGCGGCGTTAATAACTCATGTCTGATCCGATCCGACAAGATGCCGTTGGCGGCTCCTCGCCGGCTACCACCGAGGAGGACCCTGTTCCGGTCAAGGAGACATCCCCGGTCGCAAAATCGCGAAAGTTGCCCGGATGGCTGGACCATTTTAATGCGCGCGATCTGAAAGTCCTATTCCGATGCTCCATGGCCGCCTGGGTCGCATCGCTACTGATCTTCATCAATTCGTCTCTGAAGACTATCGGGACCGCAACCTTTTTCGCGACGTGAGTTGTACACAATGTAGCATGGCTGTGCGACGATCGCGACACGATCAGCTGATTCAATTCTTATGCTTAGACTCGTTCTTTTCATGGTTCCTCCGTCAGGAATCGTGTTCATCTTTATTTTGGGAGCCTTCACCCTCATCCTCGGCATGGCTCTTGGCTGGGCCTGGGGTGTCATCGCGATGAAGGCTGCTCTGGCTGCCCGCCCGGCTGCTGAGACTAATGCTCAGCTACAGGCCCTAGGTCAAGAGGCCTATTCCATATCTAATACAACTGGCCAGCCTCTTGCATCTGTACAGCAGGTTCTGGTTTACGAAGGCCGGATGTTGGATGTCCGTGTGACAGTCATCTATTTTTCTCTGATATGTCTGATGGTCTATCTCCTTGTGAGTTGCCATCTTTCGCCAACTAAAACAAATTTAAATGGATGAATCTCAGTTTGCTGACCCCCCATCGCACAGGCACGCCTGCGAGCTCAAAATCCCAAGTTTGTCTTGCTCCAGATTTTTGGAACAATTAGCATGGATGTCTTCTTGACCGTGGGACCACTGCTCCCTTCATTCACCGGCACTATTCCCAAAGTCTTGGTTGAACCCGCGGCCATTGGAATCGGTATTGGCCTGGTTTCTTCGATCTTGTTCTTTCCCAAGTCCACTTCCGCTGCCGTTCTGGAGGACATGGAAGGTATCGTGCGGCTACTGAAGGGCCCCACTGATGTCACATATGCCAGTTTACTGGAGGGTGACCCCCTGGATCTGAAAAGCTTGCAAAAGCTGAAGATGAAAACCATTGCTGCTTATAAGAAGATGGAGCCTTCACTGGCCTTTTTGCAGCTTGACTTCTCTGTTGGCCGCTGGAACGCGGACGATGTGAAGAGCCTGAAGGAGCCATTGCGACAAGCCTTGTTGAGTAGTCTCTCACTATTGGAAATACATATCGCTCGCTTGGGAGGGAAAGCAAAGGTTGAAAAGCTAAATTCTCTCACGCTAGACCGTCCGTCATCGTCGGAATCGGAGAAGAGCGAGAAGCAGCGACCTCGAGAGATCGGTATGCGCCAGCTCATGGAAAATGTCAACTTGATCAAGACCCTGCGAAGCCCAGAACATGAGTCTATGCGCATGGATATGCTCGAGGCGATTCGGCCTCCAACCAAAAAGATCCTGCCCGTTTGCCAGGAGGCGAGCACTGTTATCGCGGATTGTATATATGCCGTCAATTCTGCACGCTGGTTTGGAAAGCCTTCTCAGAAACGCATGGACGAACTCTGTGAGCGCAGCGCTTCTATATTGGAGACATTGCAGGGACTCCGGTCGACTTTTGCTTCCGAGACTACTGAACGGCTCCTCGATACATATGCAGAAATCTTCGGCGAGGATGGCCGTTTGAAAGACACCGGCGATGAAACCATGCGCCGAGGCCAGGGTATTATGATGGGAATGAGTTTTGAAGAACAAGTTCTAAGCATGGTCGACGGCTGGGAAAAGGTGCTCGCACAGCTCGTGGCTCTGATGAAAGAACGCCAAAAGGTCCGTATTTGGCTCCCACGCGGTCTACGCTATGCGGTCAACTGGGTCTTCCACAAGAAAGCCATTGCTCCTGTTCAAGCTGCGCAATCGCCTTATCCCGACCCCGACGTCGTTGAAGCGCAGATCAATGCCGCCCAGCAGAGTCTGCGTATCAGCCGAGGTTATAAAGTCAAACAACGCAGTGGACTTGGAAAGGCTATACTGGGCACTTACCATTGGCTTATTTGCCCTGAGGGTATGTACGCGCTGCGTATGGTGATTGTCACTATCGCTTGTGGAATCCCCGCCGTTATTCCCAGCAGCGCGGGCTTCTACTATCGCGAGAAGGGCCTGTGGGCGCTCATCATGGCTCAAACTAGTGTCGTTATTTACATGTCTGATTTTTCACTCTCATTTGTCTCCCGTGCCATCGGAACTGTTGTTGGTGGTCTTGCGGGCCTGGTAGCATGGTATATTGGCTCGGGCAATGGGGATGGAAACCCCTACGGCTTAGCTGCGGTGATGGCTGTTGTGCTTACGTTGCTAATGTGGGGACGTTTGTTTGCGCCACTGGTCTTGTTGCAGGCGACCATGATGTGCGGCGCGACCTGCATTCTGGTCGTTGGCTACAGCTACGACGATACGTGAGTTACCTGCTCTGGAATGACCGAGAGTATGACTAACTAAATCCTAGACACATTCCTTCCTACGGTAATCCTGGCTGGGGATACAACGTTTTCTGGAGGCGACTTGTGCTCGTGTTGGTGGGAGCTACTGCCGCTCTGATCGTGCAAATCTTCCCGCGGCCACCCTCAGCAGCACGTCACATCTGCAAATCGCTATCCAATGCACTCCGATCCCTGTCCGACCACTATGCCTTGCTGCTCTCATGCTGGGGCCAGCCCGACCGCGAAGAAGGACTCGTCGCCGAGCAACTTGCCCTTGACCTTGCCCAGACCCTGACATCTCTCGATGGGCCCGTTGCCTTGCTGCGTTTGGAATTTTCTAGCTCACACTTTGACAGCGACTGCCTCGCTCATGTCAAAGCACTGTGCCAAGAACTGAATCAACACATCGGTCGCCTATTGTTCCTCTCGTCATCGTTACCCGAGAAATTCCAAACCCGACTTGCCCACCACGCTGGTCTCCTCGACCATCGCAATGTCGGCGATATCATGGCTGTTCTCGGCGTGGTCGAGCAAGCTTTAAAGACCGGAGATCCTCTCCCCGAAGTTCTTCCCACTCCATTACTGAAACGTTGCTTCGAGTTTTGGAAGGCCCACCAGGTTGAGATTGCGTTGAGTAAGGAATTGATCCGGGATGAAAACTATCGCCGGTTCTGCGTGGCAGTCAGTTCTTACCTGAAGTTCCTGGGTGCGGTGGATGATCTGGTGCTCGTGATGAAGGGCACCCTTGGCGAGTCGCACATTGTCAGCCGAGAACTGCTGCATGATCTTGCTGTATAATGTATATTATAATCACTTTCTACTCCTTTCATACAATTGAGAATTCGCTTCAACAATTCCTACACATCTTCAGATACTCTCCAATACAATCAACCTTAAAAAAGATTCCCCAAGTCGTTTATCAAAGCTAAGCGCACCGCCCAATTGCAGGGAGTCGAAGTTGTTGACAGCCTTATCTACAGCCAATGGGGGTGTTATATGGAGATGGCATGTTGACACTAGAGGCGCAGGGACCAGTATTTCAAGAGATGCCAGGCGCTTAAAAAGCTTAAATTAAAGGATGTATGAGTATAGAGGGAGTCTGCTTTTGAAGATTCCCATTTTGCGATGGATGGGATAGTCCGAGTCTGCACCATACTCGGCAGTCAAGTATCCCCGCACGGCCGAACGGAACAAACGACGAAATGCCCTTGATAAAACTCATGACATTGAGAGCATGCATGAATAGCAACGTTTAAATGGCGTTTCGATGAACCAAAGTCAATCAAGTGACTACATTCCAACATTTATCTACCAATTCCCCTTATAGTACTATGCTAAAAGTGCATTCATCGGAATCCCCCGATGTCTCCAACTTGAACTCCGCACGCATTTCCTTCTCCGCACGAACTTTTTCTCCTCGTCCCAAATCGCACTAGCGCAACGCCCTTTGCATCGCTGCATTCCGTGCATTTATTTTCTCTTCTTTCGAGACATCGCGTGCTAAACCGCCTGTTTCCGAGCTCTTGGCCTTCCCAGCGTATTTAAAATTCTTAATTATGTCTGCTTCGCGTCTATCCCGCCTCCCGACGTGGGTTAGCCACTGGCTCGGCTACCGCGCCGAACCCGTGAAGCCACTCCCACCATACCAAGTCGCCGCCTGGTCTTTTATCGCGGCATTTTGTGGTCTCTCGGTGGTACAGGCTCTATTTAATTATTCAGAATACTTCACATCGCGCCATGTACCTCTGATCATTGCCTCATATGTAAGTTGAACTCCCGTCGCCACTCCCCATCCCTCCGAGTCGGCCTTTGTTGGATAGACATCGCCACCACTTGACGTATACTTCAACTTCCAACATGAATTTCAATATATAGTTTCAATCACTAATGATAGACACTAGGGTGCATCGGCAGTCCTCTGCTTCGGCGCAATCGAAAGCCCCCTCGCGCAACCCCGTGCCTTAATATTCGGCCACTTCTTCAGCGCCCTAATCGGAATCTGCATAACAAAGCTATTCAGCCTCATGCCCGACGAAGCCCGCTTCCAATCGCTGCGCTGGCTCGCCGCATCCCTCTCAACCGCGACGGCTATAGTCGTCATGCAGCTGACCGGAACCACCCACCCCCCTGCCGGTGCAACCGCGCTACTCCCCGCCACGAACGACGAGGTCTGGAACCTGTCTTGGTACTACCTGCCTGTGGTCCTGCTCTCCTCGACTCTGCTTATGGCATGCGCGCTGCTGTTGAATAATTTGCATCGTCGGTACCCTGTCTTTTGGATTGCACCGGCCCCACCGAAGGCTGCGGCTCCTGCGCCTGTGTCTGCGCCGACCCCTTCGCCCCAGAAGGGGGATGCGGGTTCTTCGCAGGAAAAGTTGCCGAAGGGGTCTGTTTGAATTGGTTGTCTCTTGGGCAATCGGTTGGTTGGTCGTTAAGTCGTGCTTTGAACCCGGAACTTATTGGACGGATGTCTCCGGTACCTAGAAGGGCTAGGACTGTCGTCGTGCTGCAAGTTGGTTGCACCCTGCATTTGCCACATTCCATCGACCGTGATGTGCGACATGCGGAACTTGGATGTAATTTTGATCATAATCTCGATATACCCACTACATATAGCGTGCTTTAATGATATATACGAAAAGGGGTGGAAAGGGAAATTAATGAATTTCAACATGAAAAAAGAAAACTTCTGGATTCGCTCACAATTAGCTCCCCGAACAAAATCCCAAGACTAATATGCCCATAAACATTAACTCCAGTATGCAAAAAAGAAAGCTACAACCTTTGGAATCATACATGATACCACCCATAGGGATGCAAAATCTGCATCTCATTTATAACGCAATAGGACCCAGGCTCCCTATTCTCCTTAGATAACGCGACCCAACGGGAAATTCGTGATCGAACAATTCTTTCCTTTATCCATGCCAGACTCGTCCATCGACGGAGTCGGTTCTCCCACAAACCCTGCAAAATCCTTCGCGGGGTAAGCCAGTTCACGACCGGATTCACGGCTACATACGCCGGGCCGGAATAGCCCACCCGCACGAGCGGGTTGAGATAAATACCTTTCTGTTTCGAGAGAGGGTTATCCGCATGGATCAGGCAGCATTCAGAGCCTTCGAGGTGGGATTCTGCGAGGGAGTCGGCGATTCCACGGAATTGGAGGGGTTTGGATGCGGTAAAGGGTGCGGCGGGCATTGCAACTTTCTCTCGTTAAATGGGATGAGAAGGCAAGACTTGACTTGACTTACCGATGCCATTCCAGCAGCTCGTCACTGGAACTGGGGACATGTTTTTCATGGCGTAGCGAGACACCGGATCTTGGAAGAATGGCCAAGTTGACATGACAGCTTCATGGCCACTCGCGTCGCGGAGAGCAAAGGTATCGTAGTATTTGGGTGGTTTGGAGAAATCGAGTGAGCAAGCTGCGGCGTAGTTTCCATCGTTTGTGCTGAGTAACTCGAACACGTCGTTTGGCTGAATCCAAGTTAGCTTGAAGAGCTTGATGCGTGATAGAATTGAAGAGTACTTACGGTGAAAATGACATCGTTGAGGAAGAGAACCTTGTCGAAAGTGATTCCCTGCGCTGCAAGTTCCTGGAGAGGCTTCAAGCTCAGATTCCGAATATGGGATAGATAGGGGATTCGTCGCAGCTCTTTGTTCCCCGAGGGTGTGGCAATCCAACCATGATCTCCCGGTGGGGCAGCGATCTCATCTTGATGTGTGACGGGCGATAAAGTGATGTTGCGGGGGATCTGCATGCGAGCCAATTCCTGATCCAGTTCTACCAAGGCACCCTTGGTATTATCATAGCTGCCGCTCTCATAAATGCTGATGTAGATGTTGTCAGGACCGAGCTTCCAGGCAAGATCGATCAATGTCTGGCTCCAATGGCTGCGCATGATGTGTTCATTGTTCCAGTTGATGCTGGCGATGTAGATTCGTTCTTTTTGGCGGGGTTTCTCGCGATAGCTGTGGTCATGGTCGGTCTCGGAGATGCTGCGGAGAATGAGATGGAGCTCGATTAGATTCCAGAGGGCGAAGATGATAAATAGGGATCGGAGGAGGCGGTTGCGGACCAGCACTCGGCGAAAGGTACGAGGGTAAGGATTGAGTTTGATCATAAGGAACGGACGCCGGAAGGCAAGAATAATGAAAGATTGAGGGGCATGCTGGGTGAGAAGCGACGTGAACGTGAATACGCGTCTAGATGGGAACGCTGCCAAGATCGATGTGGGCTAGGAAAGGGTGATGAATCTAGGGGTGAAGTGTGTGGTGTGTTTGTGTTTGTCTCGTTCATACTTGAGGGTACGAGTACGAGTAGTCTACGAGTTCGTCTAGTACACCATATCAAGCTCAGCCTCCCCAGTTGAACTAGGCAGATGTATTTGGCACACACTATTATTAATTTAGACAAAAAGGGGGAGATATTACCAAAAGTCCAAGAGTCCAAGTCCAAGATCACGGGCCGCGTCACCCCAGCAGCAATGGACAAGTCAACACGGCCACAATCCACCAGCCCATCCGTGTAGTACCGATTCGCTTTGTCGCGCTTGAACTGCTAGTTTCGCTGGAGCTACTCGAACTCGTGGTGCTTGCTCCACTTTGAACCCAAGGCTGACTAGGCAGCGTGTCGTTGCTCTCGCTCTCCTCCGTCGCACTGAGTAGCTGGTTCTCCAGCTGTGCGCACTCCAATCGGTCCGAGCTCTTGGAGATACTATTCGTCACGGAGATGGGCAGGTCGAACACAGTATAGTAGTCGGTTCCATTCCAGCGGAAGGACTGGTGCATCGAGATGTTATACGCGCCTCGGGCCGAGTCGCCATCCCCGTCCCCGGCGCCAACCAAACATTCGGGCCACACCCAATTAACATGCTTCACTGTGGAAGATGGTTCGAGCTCGAGCACTGGGCCAACATAGCTCGAGTTATTCGAGGGCTCCGTACCATTGGAGATGGTGAAGTTGTGCGACAGGGATTCCGACGTTAGGAACAGAGTGATGTTGTGGAAGAGCGTGTCGGCATTGGGCTGTGTCGATGGTGGCCACGGCAGCTGGCCATTTCCAGACACGTCAATTGCAACTTGAAGGCTATCTGCTCTGGTCAGTCGCGTGGATATTTTTTTTTCCCAGGGGGTGTTGGGGTCGGCTTGCCTCCGCCGAGCGGCGTATTGGGCTGTGGGGCATCCACAATGGCGAGGCCCGGAGTGTACACTTGCCCATTGAGAATGGTGAAGTTGCCCATGATGGAGACGTGAGGCAGCAGGCGATGATGGTGAAAGTTCGATTCTGGACACCTCGAAATTTGAGAGAAACTGTTCAACCTCGCGATTCTCCATCGAGTTCATCGATGTCGGGTGGCGCCAAGGGTCTCATCTCCGACGCCTCCGTCCCTTCCTTAGCGTTTCGGGTTTAATCAATATCACCCGGCATTCATTTCGCCTGTTGTTAGCGTAGGGTCCGTACGGCGCTCGATAAGCGCAGCGTGGTCAGTACGAGTAGTTGCATATCGGGGTATTGAAGCCGGTAGAAAAGGGTAGGTATAGTATAGTGGCACAGCAAATGGTTTCCCCCTTCCTAATAGCAAACTAGTACTAACTACCTAGGTACATGATGCTGGAAATCGGTTAAAGTACGAACGAGAGGGAGAGCTATTATTTGGACCACCCTTCTTACTAATTGGTCCACATTTTTGCCACTTGGAGAATTATCGTAGATCAAATTTTAATAATATTTGATGAAGATCAGGACCAGAGGTGTTAAAGGACGTCGGATACCCAGAAATCTAAAAGCAAGGCAGAATCAAGTGCAACCGCAAATTTAGATCCAAAATTAGCTAAGCAAGAGCAAACGCAAAGACTAAGGAGGAGCAAATGCAAAAACAAAAAAAAAAATATAGCAGGAGAAACGAATGGAAGATGAAAAAAAGATGAAAGAAAATGTCGAAGAAGACAAGAGGAAAGGGAAACCGAAAGCAATGGATGTGTGGAGGCCGTTTCCTAGAACAACTTCCTTAGACGAGCAGTCATTCCCCATTGTAAGCTTGGCCGGATGGCAGTTTGTACTGGCCCATCCAAGTATCCTCTGCTTTCACGGTATCCTCCTGGATGTGCCGCGCGGTCACCGCGAAGCGTAGGCCCCCATCCGGCACTACCTTGTGCTAATAGAGAGTCAGAAAAACGCCTATTTTGTCCCCCAAAAAATAAATGAAACCAACCTCGTAGTACTTCTGCAGGCCTTCGCCGTTCATCACGACCATGTGACCATGGTGGAGTTCCATTTTTAAAATTGGTGCGGCATCCTCGGCGGATTTTAGGATCTTCCACCGTTCTTCATCGTATTCGGGTTCAGTGAGGAAACCTTGATCATATCTGTCCTTCAGAGCTTTCCTCTGGTCGTAGTTCTGGCAGCCATCCAGAACAGGATCATCTTTTGTCAAGGTCGGGGCGCCATTCTTAGATTGGCGCAGCCCGACGAAATATTTCTTCTTCATCCTAAGAAACATAGTGGAACTACCACCCAGAGATAAGGTGGCCACGGTGGGCCCCAGGTCATCTTCGCCATCATCATGGTACTGGGTAGAGATTAGCAAGCGACTAAACCAAGAGAAAAGAAGCGGTATGTATGCTCACGCCCATGTCCATGTTTGTCACGTAACACACAAGCAAGAGTTCGTTGGGTTTCTGATACTCCATATTGGACTCCGCCACTATCTTCTCAGTCGCCCAAACCAGGCGACTATGGGCAACGAGAACATCCTGATGGGTGTCGCTAAATGACTTGGACTGCGTAGAGACGACAAATTTGTATGGGAGACCCTAGCATATCATTAGTAAAGAACGAATTCGAAATCTGCAGGATGTCTTACGATGTTCACAAGGAAATGCCCCGTCATCAGGCCTTTGACTGCACATTGGGTTAACCGGGTACTATGATTTTCCAAGAAGAGGAAAAATACCTGGTGCGTGTGTAAGACGCTCTCGCCGGAGACCGAGATCGAGTTCTTGGAAGCGTTGGAATAGAAAATTTGGTCCCCGATCCTTAGCATTGATAGCCAGGTTTGACACAATATGATCAACTGTGCCAATGTTGCCGCCTGCAATTGAGTACCTGAGTCTCACGTATGGTGCCATTGACACTCTATCAATGTCAGGTCCACTGGTATTTGGGGCAAATCGAGGTTGGTTGTAAAATGACTCCAAGCCCCCACGGGGCATCGTGGTTCCCTTGCCTGAGATTTTGCGTCGTCCCAGCGGTCCGGGCAAGCTATCAGGTGGTGCAATCACGTTTTCAAAAGGAATAGCTGGGCCTTCGACGTTCACAGTGAATGGGCAACCTAGTTCGTTGCTCCGAGGTTTTGGTGGGACGTAGTGCTGCACTGTACAATTCCAACCCTTCCAGAAAACGCGGGGGAGGCACTTTCTGCAGTTCGGACAGATAAAGCCTCGACGAGCCTGATCTCCGACTCTGTATCCAAGGCGGTTGTCGTCTGTAATGACTGGGGGAAGAGGAACAAGAGTTGGGCTTTCTGGCAGGTTGGCGACGTCCCAGAAAAATCGATGAGATAGGAACACTGGGTCATACTCCAGCTCTGTGGTCGGTGGTCCATTGATAAATTCCCAGAAACGAGGGCAATCTTCGTTCAAGCATGCCCAGACTCCCTTGAAAATCCGGCAGGATTCATGACTGCATGCATGACAGATCATAGCGTCGGGGCGGGTATGGAAGTCTCGGTTTGCGGGTGGTTCAGGTGAACCTTTTGCCGCCCACCAGCTTTTACTGGTGAGGTCGATTTTTTGAAGACGCATCATGTAGCCAATAAAGGCCCCAATTCTTTCGGGCCAGACGTGGGTGACGACAAAAAAGTCCATAACATTGTAGCGGTGCGGGAGTGAGCGGCCGATCTCTTTATTGCGGTCACCTATATCGTCTGTTAGCGAGATAAATAAATCATGTCTGTCGGTTGCGAAATCAAAAGTACCAATTATGACCCCTACGGGCTGGTGGTTCAAGAGACTCTTCTTCACGCTTGCGTTCGATCCCGAGCTCAATGTCTGGTTCTGCTTGAGGACTAGATTACCCTTCGAGTCTTTTCCATACCCGCCAGATCTGTCGATATATGAACATTAGCTTGAGCTAGCAATTGAGGTGGGAAGTTGATCGTAAACGTACAGGCGTGTGATGATAATCTCTTCATCGACGTAGGAACGCCCCCCCACCGCATTCATCAATCAGCAGCCCAAGGAAGCCCTTATCTTTACTCGAGTAAATGCCTGATTGGTAATTCCTAAACCATACGATTGTCTCACAGAGGTCAGGACGAGTCTGAGCATCGGTTAGTGCTTGAATTCGGTCAAATGAATTCTGGAAGAAGTTGAAAACATGCCTGCGCCCATGCTGGTGGCTCCCCCGCGCACTTAGATTCGTCTTCCGATTCCGCTTTTTGCTTTCTTGGGAGATCGTCTAAAGATAAAGTTAAATTTCTCATACCTACATCATCGAAATAAGAGATAAGCAGTGCTCACTTTGGTCAAATTCATCATTGCTTTTCCGCTTGAGAGGAGCGTTCTTGATGTTCGTAACAGAGTCCATAGTATTGGATGAGGTGAGGAGGCGAGGGGATGGAACGAGGAGATGAGACGAGGAGATGAAACGTGATGAGTGAGAGTGGTGGGGAGGCTAATGAGGGGAGCTGCTGTGTAGGTATGGACCTCAAAATCATGAAAAGAAGGTAGGTGAGCGAGAAGTAAGTGATAAGTAGGAGGATTTAGAGAAGAATGGAGGTGACTCGGGATAGTTGCTTGGGGGAGTCGACTCGGAAACAGTGAAGGCCTAACACAGGGCTGGCAGTGGAAGCGGAAGTTTGAAGAAGGTCCAAGTGGATCGAGTCTGCCTGGAAAGGACGAGTTCAAAAGATGCGAGCGTGACCAAGCCAGCGGACGTAAATAAATAAATGCGAATATCTCTATAAGATTAAAGAAACTCTCCATCCAACCTGATAGTCCTATAAGCCGAGGCGATTAATATAAATACGGGCCTTGAATTCCTAGTATAGACCAAACATTGAGTTGAGGATCAAATGGCAGAAAAGAGTAAGCTATCTATACGAAAGGAATCCTGGACTTTTTTAAGAGCTAGAGTCGAAAGGTGCCTGGGAGAATATTCCCATGGACGCATTAAGGCGACTTGACGCTGTCTTTGGAAAGCTGCAGTAGGTGGGAAAAATATCAGAGAGTGACTCAGCTGCTCTAATAAACCGCTTTCAACGTATAATACGGAACTTTAGAAGAAAGACGCTATATCACTCTGGTGGCTGCGGCCTGGAAATGCTTGATGCCCGAGGTCCTACCTTATGATCTCCGGGAGCACGCTGTTACCTAGCAGCAAATTCAACAACATAGCGTCTTCGTGTGGACAGGCAGCGAAGGCCTGGTTGTCGGTTGATTGAGTAGCATTGAAGTCGAATTGGATATTGGATTGGCGGAGATTTGCACCCATATCAACGCCCTGTTATCTCATTATCCGACCATTCCAAATGCATGGCATTGTTAAGCGGACAGCCGTCAAGGTCATTGAAGAAATTATTTGCTCTGCGCTGCTTGGAGCTCGAGCCTTTAGCGATTCAATATGAGATGGGTGATTCTCCGGATAGGCGCAAGGAATGACTGAGAATCTGATAACCACTGGCCAGGGAGAAGGAGAGAGAGATAATCGGATGCATTGAGAAAGGACGAAGCTATTTAAATTCTGGGAATGAGGCCGGTGAGAAACAAACTGTCGCAAAAAGTCAATGGCATCTCTGTGACAATCAAACAATTATATCGTAGTTGTTCTTGCCTTGGGACCGAATTATCGTTGGCTTCCAATGTTTGCGAACAATTCCGAGGTTGCAAGATAAAAGAAACAAAAGAAAAAGACTGTGGGCATTCACAGCCGGGTAATAATAGCGGGCAGATTCTCCATATCGTCAAGAAACTCATCAAACTCAGTTCTCACCTGATCCATATCCTCGTCTATGTCATCAGTCCATCGCTGTATATAAACGGTTTTCAGTCCAACGCTTTGAGCGCCGCGCAAGTCGTAAGCATGCGCCGCGACTAGAACAACCTCCTCCGGCTTTAGTTTGACCAGGTCCAGTGCTTTTTGATATGCCAACGGACTAGGCTTATAGACACCTAGCAACTGACTGGAGAATAGCATGTTGAAATCTAAGCCGGAAGAGCGCGTCAGATCAAGCTGCAGGCGGGTTGTACCATTGGCATGAACAAAGACTTCGAGGCCAAGATCATCGCGTAGGCTGCGAATTGCTTTTCCGACCTCCGGCCACGCAGGTTGAGAGTGCCAGGCCTGGATAATCTGTTCCTTGACATCGGGGGCTATGGCGGCGTTAGAAGAAGGAAAGTCGGGAAGTACCGCATCGAGAACACGGGCAAGGGTAACGTCGATATCCTCGGGCGAAAGTCCTTGTTGGTGACGTTGGCTATTCTCAAGGAAGTATCTTCTGCGCCATTCAAGCGCAAGCTTCGATCTTTCCGCCTCTGGGATGGAAGGAGGCAAGGATTTGACCACGCTGGTATGCCAATCAAGACAGGTGCCCATGAAGTCGAAGAAAACGGCTTTGATCTTTGTTTGAGACATTTGAACGGGCCTGATGAAGTGATCTGAGTTTTGAAAAAGTTCAAAAAAAAAAGAAAATCCACAAAGAGAGTGAGGATAGATAAATAAATTGAAGATGACGGGTGTTCGATGGGTGTTGTGCCGTAAGCTGAGGATTATAAATCCATTTTATGGGTCCGGTCTGAGAGCTTGTTGGAGTGGAGTTGGTAGAATACGACCAGCGGCACGCCCACCAATATGCACCTACAAAGATGAGTCGCTTTCGATGACTGGGCTTTCTCAAGACCTTGAAATCAGTTGATGACAAAAAATTGCTCTGGAGTAAGGTCGTCTGTACAAGGTAGAGGATCAGGCCGAAAGAGCATGGCGGGTGCTTCCTTCCCCACACCAGACACACCCCGCATTGTCGGCAACTTCCCGCTAGAACAAACCGACCAAACCGGTCAATCATCGGCATCACATCACCCCTATCTTCTTTCACCATGCACGTGATGGAAGAAGGAGAATGACATCGGAGCTGGCCTGCTCAGTATGTCCGGCGACATTTAGTCGCTCGGAGCATCTCAAACGTCACTCTGTCTCACGTTTGTCAACTCTCCCACCAGTGGCTGTGGGTGCTAACCGGTGCTTCAGATTATGGCGACCGACCACATGCTTGTGAATTTTGTGGGGCGGCATTCAATCGAAAGTGAGCTGGCGCCCTCTTGGGATTGCCAATCCAGGCTGCATCACTGACAGCTACACATAGAGATGTCCTTCGGCGCCACGAGAAGACCTGCAGGGCCCGGTGTCCGTCGGTGTTCGATGGCCGCTTTACACCGCAGCAAGATCGAGAACCAAAGAGGCATAGGATCTCCTTGGATCGGAACATGGCTCCAGGCTTTGATCCACCCCCAAAGACAGGAGTCGTGGGTTCCGAGATAACGAGTCATACCATGGAAACTCCATTCCAGCAATCCAACAGAGCGAGCGAACAAGAAGACACGAATGAAGCTGTTTTGACTGCTGCGGGAAACCATATGACATGGCTTAATGATGAAACAACATTCTTCAACATGGTCGGCGAATTCAGCGATGAGTCAGGGAACATGCTACTGCCGCTCGACATTTCAGCCATTGACAGTATCCTTTTCCCTTCGAAGGACCCTGACCTCTCCATAGCCGAAAGACTAGAATTCATGGCGCATTTCACGAGCACGCAAGGAATGAGAACTTTCGCCGATCGGGAGTCCTTTCGGCATCGGCAGGAAATGGCCCGCGAGGCGTACGAGATGCAGGCACTGCAAGGCTACAAAGTGAGGCAGGCAAAAGCCACCACACTGGATTTGGACATTCTCGAAGTTAAGCCTGAAGAATATTCCCATGACGTGAATGACCCAGACCCGCTGCACTCCAAATCCCGGGATCTGATTGTCAACCTTCGAGATATCATATCCAACAGGACAAACGACGATGTGATCACTGTTGAATGGACGCCAATCATAAACCAGCTGTGCAAAGATTTCTTCCAGCCGTCAAATATGCGCCGCTTTCTGGAATACTTCTGGTCTTTATGGTACCCGCATTGCCCTATTGTGCACAAGCCCCTCTTCGACCCATTTTCGGCATCTCCGGGACTACTCTGTGTGATGGTTATTATAGGAGCATGCCTTTCGCCCGACGAAAATGACAACCAAGCCTCTAGGAAATGGCTTGATAGCGTAGAGGAGTTGATCTTTTGTCAGGTTTATTTTCGAAGCGATCGGGAGCTTCTCATGGATCAACCTGGTCAAAGAAAAGAAATCGTGCAATGCATGCAGGCAGCCTACCTAGTCAGTTCCTTGCAAAAGCGGGAAGGGTCGGTAGAGGCCCAAGCAAGAATACGAAGACATCGACATGCGTCTATGGTGACGGTAAGTCGAGTAGCACATTCAGACGAGCCCAAGTATAAAATAACATGTAACAGTTGGCGAGACATATTGGGCCGAGAAAAGCTTCGCATCGACATCTCGATATGAGCCATACAAGTTCAAACTCTTGGTGGGAACAGTTTGCAGAGGAAGAGGAGTTAATTCGGTACGTTTGTTGTATTTGCGGGGGAATTGCCAAGCTGATGAGCCCAGCACAATAATATTTGTGTTCCTGATCGACGCTGCACTCACCATACTCCACAACTCTCCACCGCGAATGGTGGTTCCCGAGCTAAAAATGGATGTCGCATGCCCAGAGTCGTGCTTTCAAGCCGAATCCGCATCAGAATGCATGAAAGAACTTCATACATGGGCGACAACTCGATTTTGGAAGAGTAGACTGTCTATTGTGTCCGTTGTTCGGCGGATCTGCCAATGCCCCATCGAAGAGTCTATTATCGAAGACTTTGCAGGTCTCGGCACACTGAACCTGTTCACTTTGGTACAGGGTAAGTTTAAAGAAAATACTATAAACAAGATTTCGAAGCTGATGCCTGACCTTTTCGAAGCAATTCACTCCTTGATGTTTCAACTACATAACTCCCTTGTCTTCGAATCAACACTAGCGCCTATCCAGACTGGCCTCGATAATTGGCGCGAAATATGGAATTCACGGGTTCCGGAAGATACTGGTCTGCCTGATACCCCCGAGAATCTTTGGAAACGGGTAGGATTCCTACGGCATGCCTCTGAGTTCTGGCAATTAGCTCGGCTCCTAATGGGGAAGATAATGGCGGCCAACCAGGATGATGGGGAGAATGCCGAAGAGATGGAGCAACTATCAAGATACGATCATACGGATATGGGTGAGGTCAATGAGCTGATCATGGAGTACAGGAGAATGAATCTAGGTGTTACTTGAATGCATTTCGTGGCGGCAATGCTGAAACCATGCTGGAATATTGTATTAGTATGTACCACTTCGCCTCTTCAAGGGACATGACCATCTCCACTGGAATCTATGAATATCTAGTGAGAAAAAGTATTATTTGATAATATGGAATTTCCTTATACGATCAACATACGGTACTAGTCATGAGGATGTGATATCACATTGTGGTTAGTATCATGATGCCAGATATAGATGGCGCAAAGCGGCCAGTGTGAGTAAAAGGCGACTCATAGAGTCGACTTTACTCTTTTCTGTACATGGACGTCAAAATCCATGGGCTTGACAAACCAGTAATTTTCCGTTTTCCAGTCACTCCTGAGGGGCGTAAAATCATAATCACGAACAAGTCGTGGGATCAGCTTCGACATTTCCAGAATCGAGATATGCTTTCCAAGACATGTTCGCGAGCCCAAGCCAAACTAAAAGAAGAGTTGTAAGCCAAAACATGTCACAAACTACAATTACATGTGTCACTTACTGGCATATACATCTGGTTCATCTCCTTCTGTTTCTCGGGATTGCTCTCCGCCTCGAGCCACCTTTCTGGGCGGAAGCTCTTCGCGTCAGGGAATACGCGATCATCGTAGTGCGCGACCCAAGTATTGGCTCCGATGATCGTTCCAGCTGGGAAGTAGCGTCCGCTAATCTCTGCACCGCCTGCAGGAACTTCTCGCCACATCGGCAGACCAGTTGCACTGTGCATCCGCAATGCTTCTTTCATAACAGCCTGGAAATATGGCATTTCTTGGCTCTCCTTAAATGTGATATTTTCACTGCACAGCCCCTTGGCTGTGAAGTCGTCGATCTCGGCACGCAGTTTATGCAGTGTTTTGATGTTTTGAAGAAGGTGCCACATAATACTAGAGAGACTGATGGCTGTTGTGTCTGAGCCAGCTGTGACGTTCGACTGACCCATGATAAATACGTGATAATCAGTCACCTTTTCAGGGTTCTTGTTGCGCGCGATGAGTAACTTGTCCACGAAATCCTGTGTTTGGATATGCTCTGATTCTCCCTTCTCGGTATACTTGGATTCCGCCTCGTGAAGGCGAATCTTCTCCTGCACGAATTTGCTGATGTATGCTCTGCCGCCTGCACCGGACCATTTAAATTTACTCAGCATTCCAAACAATCGGGGATGCCACTCTGGATAGACCCCAATCATGGTGCTATACATCATGACCTTATGCACGGCGGTCATTGCACCATCAATGTCCTCGCCTTTGTCGAGGAAGCCTAGTAGCAATCTTAGTCTATTGTGTCATTGATACATTCACAAAGGGTCTTTTACCGAATCGTTCGCCGAACGTGATGTTTCCAATCACATCAAATGCATAACATTGGAACCAGTGTCCAAGGTTGAATGATTTTGTGTTTTCGGTAAACTCAATCAATCGGCGATTGAATAGTTCCGCACAGTCATTCACAAATGGCTCATAGTGCACAAGCGAGCTCATAGAATAAAGACTGGTGAACCGCTTGCGAGTATCCGCTAAGGGAAAAAGTCAATCATCCGATAACATTAGAGACAAATTAGCGATGCGGAGTACGTACAATGTCTTTTGATGTTTCGGTCTGCAAATACTGTCCATTGCGCCGGGTGTTTCCACCCATCATACCAAGCGGACTTGGCGAACTGCGAGCCAGTACCATAGACGGTCTTGATCGCGGAGATGTCACTGATACTGTATTGATTCGGAGCGAGGCGGACGATCGAACCGTACTTCTGATGAAGTCGGATATTCTCATGCTCAAAGCTACCGTGGCGTAATTGGTTGAAGTACCAAAGGGACGTAAATCGAGTCCAGAATGGACCTGGAACATCCCTTAGAGAAGAAAAGGTCGCTCGTCCGAGCCGAAGAAGCACGTGGAATACAAAAAGAAGGACAGGAGTTAGCAATAATATAGATAAATGCATGGTGAAGGAGCCTTAGAATCCATAGGAGCAATGGGAGGGTAATGGAGTCTGCTTTTATATCGGCTCTCGATGATTCGGGGTTGATGATCAACCGAAGGTTCCACCCCCACCCCCACCACCACCACCTCCTCAACTTCTCCAGTTCCCATCACCTGAACGGAACGTGGTTGGTGGCAACCGCAATATCGGGCAGTACATAATTTGAGGTCCAGATGCGGGGATGATTGATTTTCCTCTTGACGTCTTGGGGTCTTGATATCCCCCAAAACGCGTGGAATACGACATTATTAGATGTGGAATCTCTACGACTCCAGTATCCAAGTTCATCTGTATGATTTAACGGCGTTCAAAATTAGGCGAATTCAATGCTGGTGTCACAGTGGGAGAGCACATCCAGATGGAGCAGAGTGAAACGAACCTCGAAGGGGAGGTTAGAGAACAATTCTTCCGTTAAGTAAGAAAAGCGAAAGTCTGCCAGGCAGCTTGGGATGGGCGACTGGATCCAAGCAAAATTGCATGAGTAATCGATTCTCAAGCTGCGTTGTAGAGCGCAGTAGCTCATCATCTCCAGGATTGGTCGCTGAGCCTCTGAGAGAGAATACGATAATCAAGGCTCCCGAGCGGAGGTATAAGTATAGGGAGAAGAGGTTGATTGACCTGAGTACATTGCAGTACATAAGCGAAAATAGAGAAAAGGTATCAAATCGCGCTGAATGGCTCCTCAAGAAGATCTACCGCGCATCTGTCGCAACCCGACCTTCAAGAGAGGTGGAACCAAAAAAAAAAGAAGAAAACATCCGTGTATCGCCGTCGCGCCAAAAACGATGAGAAAAATATGGAAAGACGCGCCGTGGACCTTTTTTTTTTTTTGGCTCGGGTCGCTCACTTCTTATCTCCCCATAGACCGACGATTCCCACTGAGAAGGCAATACCAGAAATCCAAACCCGGACGAGGTGCATCCGACGCTCCCGGTCCATCTCGCGCTGAACGCTCTCCCCGTTCACATCCTCCTCGGAATCAACGAGGACAAGATCTTCTTCCCTCTTGCTGGGTGGTTGACCCAGGGACACGCCCGTTGTATCATAGATCACCTCGATGGCCCAGTTCTTCAGACCGAGGTGGCGGTTGAAGTAGTAGTCCAAGCCATACGAGCTGAGCGTGTTGAGAACGTACATCCAGAGCATGTAGGGATGTTGACGGTGCGGAGGGGATACGGAGTATGCGAAACAGATACATGTGTTGGTCAGAGCGGAGAAATTGAGAGTATGTTTGCGATTCAACCGCTTGACTTCATGGAGGCAGCGGGATGCAGTGGAAGAGGTGGGGAGAAGCTTGAGGGCGGGAATGGTGATGGAGGAAGTCGAGTAGGAGAGACCCTGTTGGAGCGACGGAGGTTAGCATGGGTTGCTGGCTGCGAAGCGATTGTTGGGGTGTCTTGATGTGATCGCGCAGAGATCAAAGAGTTGGGCTTACGGTCAGGAGACCAAGCGACACGGTCCCGACAAACTTGGAGACGGTGATGGGACAGGCCATGGCGCAGGAATGGCGGATAGCTAATTTACCCCGGTGGGAATGGAGGGGTGCAATGGGAAGACTGAGTCAGTTGAGAGGGGAGGGAGGAGAGATGAGAGATGAGAGAGGATTGGAAAGATAGCGGCCACTCCAGTTCTTTGGCGCCGTGACGTCGTTATAGGCCAATCAGCAACACCACGTTCTTCAGCATTGCAGGACGCTAGCAGCGCAGGAAACATGATCCAGAGGGGATTTTTATTGCAGGGAGTATTTTTGATAATGCACTCGATTGGTCAAGAAGGTCGTAGTTAGTACTGGTTATGCTAGACGCGGCAGTAGATCTGGGATTAGCCGGTCGCATTGCCGGGGAGTGTGTACAGTATAGTAGAGTATAGTTTTACACTATTCTAGAGTATTGCATATTTTATACTAGTATGCTAGCACTAAATACTATACTAGTTATACTATACTATTGATTACTCAACTGTACTATACTTGGTGTGGAATGAACCTCGGTCCCCGGCCGTGCTTGTGGGGAAACCGCGACGGACCACTTCAGCCCCGACTCCGTTCCTTCCTACAACACCGTTAAAACTGTGAAAGCTGACCCTGCGACATTCCATTTATAAGGCTGTGGCACTTTCTTCTCTCCGTAACCCTTGATATCTCTACCATCTCTACCATCTCTCCCCACCTCCACTATGCCTCTTGCCAAGCATGAATACATGAGCGATGTCTGGAAGGAAGGCATCTTCAGTGAGTCCCACCGCGGCCCAAATTACTCCTTGGATAATCCGTCTAACCATCCCATTAGATAACAAAGTCGTCTTCTGCACCGGCGGAGCTGGTACGATCTGCAGTGCCCAGGTTCGTGCTCTGATTCACCTCGGCGCCAATGCCTGCATCATCGGCCGTAATGTCGAGAAGACCGAGAGCGTCGCTCGAGATATGGCAACCATTCGACCTGGCGCCAAGGTCATCGGTATCGGCGCTGTCGATGTCCGCAAATTCGATGACCTGAAGGCTGCCGCTGAACGCTGTGCTCAGGAGCTCGGCTCCATCGACTTCGTCATGTATGCCATCCTGCTTACAGTAGCGATCTGTTCTGCTTACTGACTTGGCCAAACTACAGTGCCGGAGCTGCAGGTAACTTCCTGGCCTCCATTGAACAGCTTTCCATCAATGCGTTCAAAACCGTGATGGATATTGACATCATGGGCTCCTACAACACCCTCAAGGCGACCCTGCCTTATCTCGTCGAGTCCGGTGGCAAGCACAGAGTGGATTCCGAGACTCGTACGTATTTCCTCTCCCGGTCACATTTCGTTAGCCCGCCATACTGACCCGATCTAGTACAACCTTCCCCCGCAGGAACTGGTGGCAGAATCATCTTCGTCAGCGCCACCTTACACTACCGTGGCATGCCCTTCCAAGCCCATGTGTCCGTTGCCAAGGCCGGCATCGACTCGCTATCCAACTCCGTGGCCATCGAGTACGGTCCACGTGGAATGACCTCCAACATTGTCTCTCCTGGCCCAATTGCGCAGACTGAGGTACGTTCCCCTACCCATACTAGCGATTGAGCCCCGGCTGACAAAGGAAAAACTATAGGGCCTGGAGCGTTTGCTTCCATCCGACGCGAAGGCTGCCTACATCAAGTCGCAACCTCTCGGCCGTGTTGGCCATGTCCGTGATATCGCCGATGCTACCGTCTATCTCTTCTCCGATTCCGGGAGCTATGTAACCGGCCAGACGCTCGTTGGTAAGTTCTTCTAAGCGAACCTCATCGACCTGCATGATACATTTGCTAATCGCCTTTCTAGTTGATGGCTCGAACTGGCGCATGAGTGGAGGCATTTCCGCCAGCGACAAGCTGAGCTATCCCGACTTCCTTCTCTCTGGCCAGGATATTCCCAATGTCACCGGCAAGAAGAAGTCCAAGCTTTGAACTAATAGCCCCGAGGGAATTTGTACATAGACTCTAATTTTTCAAGGCCAATAATTCAAGCCATTTAAATAGCTTCTTTATATAAGCATTCACTATCCGCGCATATGCTACATTTCGTATCCGATGGGATGAAGAGAAAGGAGGCAATCACAACAGTAGATTTACATTTGAATGTGGTCAGAAGTAAGCAAGAATCAGAGTCGGGATCGTAAAGTCGCCGAATCGCGGCTTGCTGTTGTATTGAATCGGCAGTCGCAAACGAGAAATTCTAGAAATAAGCAATCAGCAGTTTACCAACAACTCCAATTAGGCCCCAGTTCGACCGGGAGTCAAGACCCATCAAAACCCGCAGACTCCGGGCCGAGCCTTGGCCCTTTCGTGAGTGGCTACGGGCTGCGGCTTATTCCCGGTTGTTCACCAATGACCGACCCGGCGAAGCACATCTCCAATCAACTATAGTCATTACACAAAACTGCTTAGTTTGGTGAAGGTTTTTACAATATGAGATAATCGGCCCCAAATCCTAAATACGGATCCTCGAGCAGATCGTCGGCCTCGCATTTTGCATTCTCTATTCAGTCCCCGACGTCCACGGGTGGGCTATAGATACCTTTCTTTTTAATGTCTAGTCTCCCACCTCGTAGTTTCTCAACGCACCCCTTCCATCGAATGATTCCATCCTTGCAAAATACAATATTGTTATACATTACTACAAATTCTACGCTATCTACCCTGCCGACTACCATGACGGCATCGAAGTCCGCACCCGCCGTTACAGTCTTCCGGGGCTTCCCCGAAAAGGGCTGTTATACATGGTCACCATTTGTCACCAAGCTCGAGGCTCGCTTGCGCTTTGGCGGAATCTATTACAGTGTCGAGGCCGGATCTCCGCTGAAGGCTCCGAGGGGAAAAGTGCCCTATATCACCCTTATGCACGATGGTCAATCCCAGTCCATCGGTGATTCTGGGCTGATAATTAATCTATTTATTGAGTCTGGATATCTCAATGACCTTAATTCCCAACTCTCACCTGTGGAAAAGGCCCACGACATTTCCACTAGAGCTCTGCTCGAAGACAAACTGTATTTCTACCAGGTACGCAACACGTTATCCATACCTCTACAGTCCTGTAAAACTGCAGCCTCCTTCCGGTCTAATCTTTTCAATGATAGGGACAAGAGCGATGGATTGAAAATTACTATACTATGCGCGCCAAGATCCTCGGGGGCCTGCCCTGGCCTGTACAAGTCATTGTTGGCAATTTAGCTTATAACAAACAAGTCCGCACCTTGCGAGGCCAGGGGACAGGGACTTTCTCCGCTGAGGAAATCACCGTCTTCCGTGCGAATATCTGGGAGACTCTGAATGCGCTAGTGTCGGCTGCACAGGCTCAGTATCAAGATCGGGAGGGTCCATTCTGGCTATGGGGCGGCGATGCACCCACTGAAGCTGATGCAACTCTATTTGGTTTTATTGTTCCGGCCCTTATCTGCGACGCGTGAGTATCCTCTCTCAATCCATCACATTTGATGCATTATATTAACTTCCAGAAGGTCCCCGACCACCAAGAAGGTTGTGAACAGCTACCCAGCGCTTGTGAGCTACGCCGGGCGAATCCATGACAAATATTTTCCGGATTACAAGCGATGGGAGTAAACACGAAATATTAGGGCAGTGTAAGCGGCTCGCTTCTGAATTACGTTACCAATCACAGACCTGCAGAACTACCTCCTACAAGAAAACCCGTGAGCCCATAGACTGGAGATGCGATCGTAGTATTTTATTGGGAATATTTGTGCAGCCTACTCATTAGTCTTCCAAAACCCCTCAAGAATTACTCAAACCCTTTTTTTAATCGTATGTCTTCTAATTCTTGTCGCCTAGCGAAATGAAGCTAAGACGCGCGCCGCGCGTCTTGATGGGTATTTCTTTTGCCCCTTTACATAAAACCACCTCATCGAAGACGAATGTGCCCACTTCTATTGAGCCCACTGCTCCTATAAATAGTCGAAATTTGGAGGAAGCAGCCGCAAGCCCCCGCTGTTCATCCACTCCCTGTGTCTGTTGGTAGGTTGAAGTTTAAAGTTAAAGCTCCCAAGCATGCCCCGCTCGGCCTCTAGCAACCCGCGGCGATGACGACCAGGTCAAACAACTTGAACCCTATGATCAATGGTTGCTTGAAGATTACACCCATAAGCTTGGATTTTATGTTGACGAGTTGGTAGGCAATTTATTCTTTGTGAAGCTGGGTGTTGATTCTTTGATCGCTTGTGTTGTCAGCGTAATTCGAAACTAGGTTGAACAATGAGTTCAAAGCTCTGTTTTTATTAAATGCCCGAATATCGACGGATTTCAAGTTACTGAAAGTTCTAATCAGTAATTGAGCTAGTAGCAATTATCATGATGCTTGTGCTTCTCCGGGTGGTGCTTTTGCTAGATCTTTGGCTCAGTGCAACTGTTTATACTACTATAGCATATGACCAGCACCGCACCGCTCAAGTGGTAGTTAAACAGCACTTGCACCTGGCACTCAGACGAAATCATCAAAGTCAGATTCTATGGACTGACTGATTGAATTTCGGCTGCGGATGCTGGGCATGGCCTGGAATATCATCTACTTTCCCTTTCATGCTTCGCTGTGTTTCATGCACCCGCTCCTGCGTTGAAGAACTCCTGTCACAGCCAATAAGGACTGCTCCTTTCCAAACTGACCAAGGGAAAATATATTCCTCCTGACTCTATTTCAATCTTATGTTTGAGATTGATCCGTTATGCAAGATAATTAGTATTGTAGGTCTCCGTCTGTAAACTAGACAAAGAAATTAACAAAGAATCACAAAGAACAGCTGACGAAATGTCGCACTAATATAGAAACATAGCAAAAGGAGACAGTAGTCTCGTGACAGAGTTGAAAAAACAGCGCCATGACAATAGGCTTTGAACTGGATTGATCAAAGAAACCAGGCTGCCTCGAGGCTTTTATATATAACAGTCACGGACCCAAAAAAGTTAGTCAAGGCTGGAAAGCAGCAACGGACCTCTCTTCGGAGCGATAGAGTACCTAACCATTGCAATTTCTTTCTTCCACGCCAGCCCATATCTCATTCAGTCAAGCTGAGCTGTGGAGCACTGGACAGTATTCTGACTGACACCCTTGACTGATTTGGGCGCGAGCACGAATATGGCGCATCCATACCGAAGAAGCGACGCGACCGGTGCTAAGGTCACCAAGCGAGCTCCAAAATCCAAAACACAGAGCATGAGCATGGCAATGGGCCTTCCAGAAAGTGCATCATCAATTAACATGCAGGATCCACAGGACCAGGTCGAAGAGGCCGCGAAATTTCGCAAAACTCGAAAGATTAAGAAGGAAGCACAACAAGCTCTGGAGAAACATCAAAGAGACTCAGTCCATAATCAAGGATACCAGGCAGAAATCCAGGGCCTACAAAATAGATTGAAGCAATATGCCGAAAGGGTTGCGAAGGGGCAAGTTGTTGGCTCGCAGCAGAAAGCACAGATCCATGCTCTACAACAAGCACTTTCTCAGGCAATACAAAAAGAGCAGATGCAGATCGCAGGAACGGCTACTCAATTAGTGCAAAGCCAATCAGCAGTACACAATGCGGAAATGGAACGTCTACATCGGCTTTTAATTGCCTATGAACAACAGCTTGCAACGGGCCAAGCACTCGACGCAGATCAGCAAGAACAGAACCGTAGCCTCCGACGAGCACTTAACGATGAATTGCGAACGGCTGATATAAGAGAGAATTATATCTTTGACCTTGAGAGCGACCATTACCAGATCCGGCATTTGGGCGAAGTTTTCAAGCAGCGAGAGCGCAACCTTGAGTCTGAGCTCGAATTTATGAAGCAACAGGTGGAACTGCTGGAACGCGATCTAGACAGGATGATAGAGAAATTCCATATCACCGATAACCGCTACTACAACATCTTCTGCGAGGAAATCTACCAGTGGAAGAAACTGAGAGATCTGATTTTGTGTTTAGAGCCCAAGAAGTCATTCTGGGAAAAAGTGAAGTCATATGGAAATTTCATGCAGAAGACACTGCTGTTGTCAGATGAGGCTGTCAGGATATCTCATGATCTTCTCCTGAGAACGGAGTACATTTGGTCTCGCCAACTAGTCGAACAGCTCGAGCAAGCGCAAGGTGGATATTCATCGTTCAGTAAAATGATGGACTTCCGACCACTGTCCGTGAGCGGACTCTACCAACTACCGACCCAGGAGTCTGAGAGTGATTCTGACTCTGATGCCGAGCAAGATAACGATTTCAAATTTTTCCTCTCACCCAACGCGTCACCCTTTGCAAAAAGTGCCGAATTCACGAGTCTTAAAACATTTGTCGAGGACAATCTGAAGGGACAGTCTTCACGATACTGTAATGACACAGATGAAGAGGACTCCGGATACATGACCGACATGGCTACTTTCTCTGGGACGAGTATTTACCAATACACCAGTCCACTTGGCCAGCATCCCGGGTCGAGCAATGCAGACCACCTCGGCCTCCAAGGCTTCCAGCCTCGAGAAAACGTCCCTGAAGAGGTCATTATATCTCGAAGTGACAAGGCCATACGTGCAGCCATTGCTTCTCGAAAGCGCTTGAATAAGGGCGCCGGATCTCATACTCACATGGTGGATGCAGATGAGCCTCTGATCCAGCTATCAATGGGAAAAAAGCGCACGGGGACCTCTAACAGTCCCTACACGCATCCTGATATGGGCCTGAAGAAGTCAATTGTACACAACCATGTGCGCAGAACAAGCCAACATGATGTCGTCGTACCACGCACCCGAAGTAGAGGACAGTTCCCAGAGCGAGTCTCGAAGTCAAACCTGGCACGATCCTCTCAGTTAAAATGGCGGGAACGGCACCACTCACCAGTCAAGCCATCGCGGGCGCCGGTCTCCTTATCAGAGAAGGAACTGTCGCGCATCGTTGAAATTCGGACATCGGCTGACTCCACTGAGACAACCACGAAGGCAATGCGAACTGTTGGAGAGAACGCTGTCGAGTATAGTCTAGCAGGGTGGATCTGGCTCTATTTCAAACGGAGACCGAAAGCACTCATTCAGCCATTGGTTGGCATCGCAGTCTGTGTTGCGGCCATGTACCTCATCGCGGATTGGCGGCTTTATCGAGAGTTTGTTGCGGCCAACACGGCATCCGATCGGATGATGGCTCGCATGCGTCGAGCTCAAGCAGAGTACCGAGTAGTTGATTCCCCTTATAGTAATGGACAGTGGAAAAAATGGCTGGATGTTGATCGGGTGGCATTGCAGTGATAGACATGAACAGTGGTGGGCTGGGGCAGTCGGGGTAGAGTGATAGACAGGGATGATCCACAGATACACGGTAGACGGTGCAGTATAGAAATGATATCATCGCACTACTCCCTACTACACACTCAGTGTATTCTGTATATAAAATATTATATATATTAATTTCAAAAATAACAGTTAAATCAATAACTACAACGAATGTATAGATTATTGCCCTAGGATATGTCAATATCAACTAACTTGGGCTCCGCAGTTGGCGCCGATCGCCTCGAGTCCGAACGGGGCTGGATCGACTGAATGTGTTGTCACGGTAATACCAGCCGCGAAAGTCGATTGGGGGGCATTAATGCAGGTGACGTATAGTATTATGGTCACGGTCGGTTTTGCAGTAACACGGCGGCGATACGCCAGAGATGTGACCATCAGCAGCCAATCACAGCGCTTCACTAGAAGGAAGCCACGGCAGCTGCGTGCGTCACCTGCCCCACTTTCTGGTTTGCAGTCGCCGCTAAAGACTGATTAGTCTCCACTTAGCACCTCCCCTCCTCCTCCTCTCTTATTCTTATTAACTTACACGCCTACGAGTACTTGACTTCCCTTGACTACTTTCTTCCCACCCTTTCTCTCTGGTCCTCCATTATCCAATTTCATTGTCTTCGACGTCCGCTCTTTACACCCATAATCTCTTCGACCATGTTCGTTCGCTCCCTCTTGCTGGGTGGCACTGCCGCCTTGGGCGCCAGCGCTATGCTGGTTATCCCTGAGATGGAACCCAAGGGGGAGGCCATCGAGGACGGTTTCATGAACGTCCATCCCATGCTTTTCGAGGATATCCGCAACGCCGTGGTTGATGTTCCTTGCACTGAGTGCCCCTTCCGCGAGACTGGCAAGGATGGCGCCGTCAGCTGGACTGACAACAAGCCCTCCACTCTGGTACGTCGTTGCTTTTGATGCTCTGCATGGATATCCCCCCTCCTCTTCACGGCGCTTAACAGATGAATATATAGATGCTGGACTTTACCATCGAAGATAGCCGCCTCATGGCCAACGGCCGACAGATCTTCCCTCCTATCCCCCCTTCTCCCATCCACGCCGTCCAACAGTTGGAAGATGGCGAGGAATCCGATCCCATGCCAGTAGGCTACGCACTGGAGGTTATGCCCCTACCATCCCCGGCTGATACCCCCGAAACCGACTTCCTCGATGTTCGTTTCACCGTTCTCGACATCGAATCTCACCCCGTCCCTGTCGATACCGTCGCGATCACCCTGATTGTCGACCCCACTGGCGATCTATACATCGCCAAAACCTCAATCGAGACCACACCGGCCTCCGAGCGTTCATCATGGAAGAAATGCCAGGGCAAGCCCAAGTGCCTGCAGGAACTTCTGGTCTCTCGCGTCCGTGGTCTTCTCGCTTCTGCTAAGGATCGTCTCATCAACCTCACCTCCCACAAAGGCGGCCGCAAGGGCTGCCATGGAAAGCACAAGGGCATGATGGAAATGGGTCCCCACGGCGAATTCCCTCACGGTGATTTCAAGCCCGTGGACTTTAGCCCTGAGGGTCACGAGGGTCACCACCACGGCCACCATACCGGCCCTTACGTCCCCGAGAACGCGGGCCGCCCTCACCACGGTCACCACGGTCACCACCCGCCTCCCCCGCACGGCGCATTCGCCCACACCTTCTCCCGGGTTGTTCGTTTCATCGTTGTCCCTGCTATTCTCGGCGTTCTGGCTGGACTTACCGCCAGTGCCGTCGGCATGCTAGTGGGCCAGGTCGTTGTCTTCTGCTGGCAACGCTACCGCGGCACCCAGCCAAAGGAGCACAAGGCTGCTTGGGAAGACGGAAACTCTTGTGAGAAGCAGGGCCTGATGGCCGAGTCCGAAGATTTCCTTCCAGAGCACGTCGACGAGTCGCCGCGTGGTTCAATGGACAAGAACTAAATGGGTTCAACCGCTCATAAACACAATCCTGATCGACGACAAAGCTGAACAGCTATGCGATCAAAAGTATCCATATTCAACAGTCAAGCGTTATTGCAGTTTGAAACTTTACCGTGACTTGACACTGTTTCATTCACCTTCCATGACCATGTCGTCCTATCTTTTCTTTCCTTTCTCCTCGTGATGTCCAGCTTGTACAGCGATTTTCCTTCTCTCCCTCTACAATGATACTCCTTTGATTTTCTTCGTACAACTTTGTCCTCAAACTTCTGTAAACAATAAAACAAATTATCCCGTAATCTATCAGTTTGAACATGTACCTGAGAGTCCTACTCGAATGAAATGCTGACTGTAAGGCTGGCTATCATTCACGTGACTGCGGCGGACATCGCCAGCATCGCCCCCTCCCAACAACAACGACCCCCCCATCCCCCTCACGTTCTCTGAGCTACAGGCCCAGTGCTTGTTCATGATTGATTCATATTGTACAATGACCGTTGGAACATCATTCAAACCAAGCACGGGCCGTTTTGCGCAGCGTTCTGTCCCAATCAGCTCGTCATCTTAAACCGCAGCTCTAGCTCCGCGCCGACATCACCTCTCTAAACGCCGGGTCCGATTCAGCTCGACTGTTGCCCACCATGATTCCGTGGTCGTCTTTCGTTCAGAAAGCCCAATCGCTTATCGATCCGGCTAATTTCAATATCCCCTCCCTCTCCTCATCTGACGGCACACCTTCCAAAGCCTCACTATTCCGCCAACAATTCCGCCTCCCCGATTCACAAAACCCGCTCCAAGAGATCACTGCCGAGCTCGTCCTCCCTTTACCAAACTCGAACTCCGGCTCGGGCGATAGCGCTCGTCGCGTTGACCGCACGGGCAACCGATATACCGGCCGTCTGCATCTCAGTGAGCGATTTATCTGCTTCTCTACCCAACCGACAAGTTTCCTGCCCTCGGCTACACTCAGCGCATCCACCAATTTCACCGGTCAAACACATGGTACCGGTCCTTCTGGAAATGGTTTTACTCTTCCACTCTCCTGCATCCGGCGAGTTGAGCGTCTGCACAGTGCCAGTCACGTTTTCTCGCTCGCATTGACGACATGGAACGGCCTACTGAACAAGCAACAAGAGCCCAACTTTACCCCACAGCGCTTGATCCTTCAGCTTGTCGGCAGCAGGCAAGCATGCGAGCGATTCTGTGACACTCTTAAGAAAGGATTGCGAGAGGGCATGAAGGAGGTTGACAATCTAAGACATGTTGTCAGTGACTGCTACTCGGAATACCTACTCTCCGGTGCGAAAGGCAAGGCACAGGAAGGAGGCGAGGGAGATGGTCGACCGCCCCCTGATGCGGGGTTGGGTATGCTTTTCCGCTATCCTGGTGATGCGCGTAAGCTTCGAGACCGGAGTAAGATGAGACTCTGGGGTGAATATTTCCGAGGTATGCCTACTATTTGATAGTATTTTCCCCTTTCCCCCTTCCAAGCTCGGTGCTAACTTTTCTTTCTACAGAGAACGGCCGGAATGCCACTCTTGTTCGTCAACCAACATTTCATAAGTTGATACGCGTGGGCTTACCCAATCGACTCCGTGGTGAAGTATGGGAGCTTTCATCAGGCTCCCTCTTTCTTCGCATTCGCTCTCCTAACTTGTACCAAGAGACATTGGTCAAATTCCAGGGCCAAGAGTCTCTTGCAATCGATGAGATCGAAAAGGACTTGAACCGCAGTTTACCCGAATATCCTGGCTTCCAGAGCGAGGAAGGCATTGGTCGTCTACGACGAGTCCTTACGGCATACAGTTGGACGAACGCCGAGATTGGTTACTGTCAGGCTATGAATATTGTTGTCGCCGCTCTATTGATGTTTGTTCCCAAATGCCCACTCCCGATCGCAGCTGCTAATGCAAAACAGTTATATGTCCGAGGCACAAGCATTCTTCCTTCTTTCCGTTCTCTGCGATCGCCTTCTCCCAGGCTATTACTCGACGACAATGTATGGTACCCTTTTAGATCAAAAGGTGTTCGAATCCCTGGTGGAGAAGACCATGCCTGTTCTTTGGGAGCATCTCATCAAGACCGATGTTCAGCTCTCCGTTGTTTCTCTTCCATGGTTCCTTTCATTGTATATCAACTCCATGCCTCTCGTTTTCGCCTTCCGTGTTCTCGATGTCTTCTTCCTTGAAGGTCCCAAGGTTCTCTTCCAGGTCGGCCTGGCCATTCTCCGCATCAATGGCGAGGAACTGCTTGATGTCCAAGATGACGGATCATTCGTCTCAGTTCTGAAAACCTATTTCTCGCGCCTCGACGAATCCGCCCATCCAAGATCCGAGAATCCAAAGCTACGCGCCATCACTCGATTCCAAGAGCTGATGGTTGTCGCTTTCAAGGAATTCTCCGGCATCACACACAGCACCATTGAAGAGCAACGTGAAAAGCACAAGGGTGCGGTTCTGGAGAATATTGAGAATTTCGCTAAGCGCACATCAATCCGCAACCTCGGTCCTGAAAGCAAACGCCTCAGTGTGGACGATCTTGGAACAATCTACGATCGCTTCTACGAAACACTCTATCAATGGCAGCAGCAGCAGAAGCTCTTAGAAGAAGAGAGAAGACGACAGGAGAAGAAGAAGTCGGAACGTCTCTCGGTCCTTGGGCCCCCTGCAGACACAGAGATGGGCCGTGTTGGTCTTGGGCCAAGCCCAACTCATATGGATTATGGCGCTTTCCGTGAGTTCCTAGCTGCAACCTCGAAATGGGCTGTTTCGGACACCCCTGCTGGCTCAAGGTCGGATTCTAGCTCTGGCTTCGGCAGCCTCAAGGGCAGCAGCAGCAAGTCACTGTTGTGGGCCAATCGTCGGCAACCGGCCGACCACGAGTTCATGCAGCGTCTGTATCGCAAGTGGGCCACGGATTCTGAAGAAGGGATAAGTCTACAGCATGTCGTGAATGGACTGGCCAGACTGAAGGGGTCGCCGGATATCATGAACAACATTAACTACTTCTTCAATCTTTATGATGATAGTGGCAACGGCCAGGTTGATCGTGAGGGCATTCTGAAAATCTCCGAGGCATTACTCTTCCTTTCACGTCGGGGCTTCGAAGGTACAATTACTGCGACGCAATCTTTGGAGGACTTGAACAGCCCCCGTGATCGCGACCATGCGGAACAAAATACTCTTACAGTTGACGAGCGCTTCCTTGGGAGCGTCAGCGCATTCATTCGTCGCTGCTTCGAGTACGCCGACCCAAGCCACCCCGAGAATCAAAAGGCATCTCAGCAGGACGCTACCATGGAGGTTACAGACAAGCTAGACTCCTTCGCCATTGGAGATGACGAGGAAGACCTAATCGACGTCGACGACTCTAAATCGAACAAGCCGGCACCAAATGCCACTTCCAAGCCAAGCCAATCTGGCAACGGCGAGCCAAACCGACCGAGATCCGAGTCCGCAAACCCAGCTCTCGACCCCAACAACCCGCTCCACATCACCCTTCCTACCTTCCGCATGGTTATTCTAGCAGACGAACTGCTCGAGCAATTTTTCGAATCCTATTTCCCACAATCATTCCATCTATCCGACCACCCTCACCCAGCCTCACTCGCTGCATCATCATCTCTATCATCTAACCTCACAACATTCTCCAACATCGGCAGCGCCCGTCCTTCTAACCTCGCCACTGCCGGCAGCGTTTCTGTCGGCGCCTCTGGTGGCATCGTTCCACCCGGCAAAGGCCTTCGCGGTGTCCTCGACAACATCGTCACAGACGGTATTCGCATGGCTGCCGAGGTCAAGAAACGCATGGATGAGGCTCAGCGTGATCTCGAACGCAATGCCCTCGGCCGTGACGACGACGATGATGAGGATGACGACGAAGATGAACTCCGCCGCGACAGTAACGCCGCCGCTGCAATGGCGGGCGGTATCTCCAGTTGGGGCGCAGGCGCATACGGCGCAGACATGGAACGTCGCAGTGTCCGGGACGCAGATCGCGATCTCCTTGAAGGTGCTGAGGTCCTTAGTGTCCGCGAAAAGGGCGAGGGCTCTTCGCTTCTTGACAACAAGGACGAAGTTGAAGCGAAGGGTCAGCACGGAGCCAAGGGCTCGCCTTCTTCCGCCCACGATGCGGAGGTCGTTAGTAAAGTCGTTGAGTTTGAGTCTTGATGATATCCCCACCTTGTCTTGTTATACTTTGGAGAATCCTTTTGTTCCAATGCATCCCCTCGTTCCCTTCCTTTGGTTTCTTAACTATATCTATCGGTGTGCAATTATACCTTGTTTGATGCATGTTCCGTGTCTGTGGTGTGGTGTGGTGGTAGAAATCCATTGTTTAGAATCTTTTCAATTGGGTTCTTTTCCCTTTTATTCTCCTAGCTACCTGGTTATCTTGTGGATTTGACACATTCCAAACGTGCCATGTGCTATCTCTTCTAGAAATATAGAAGTCTAGTAGTATCACCTAGAGCCCACTCGATCGTCTTCCCGACAGTTCCCGGCTCTCTAAGTTGAAGAATGTCTTTAATCCATTCCAACTGGACCAACCTATGATCATAATCCTTTCGCATACCGTGCCTCTGGCGCCAAGCTTCGTCTGAAGTAAGGTCTTTTTCTGTGCTTGATGGCTCCCAACTTGTAAATTTGGTGACAATTAGCGAGCCGGGGACAGGTTTTCGGTAGCCCAGTCCGAAAATGCGATGGTTGTCAAAAGCAGTAGGAGGCAGCATGCGGAGACAGTCACCACAGGCTTATAACATCGATTTCCATTCAGCCTTATTAAGTAGTCAGGCTGGATTGTGTTGGTCCTCAAGTCATATATAGGTACGGTTTTCCGTCCTTGTTGTATAGATTCAAAGAACAAGAGCCGCTCGCAGAAGTCTAGCTTCATCGGTTGGATGACCCATCGCCAATGGACGTTTGTTTGGCTGAGCGATATTAGGCTGGCTGGGTCCAAAAGTTGGAAGATAGGGGCCAAAATCTCGGGCGGTAGGTAGGACATCAACATAGCATTATTGGATGGCATTTTCCCTATCGCTTCATTCAAAGGACTCTCTGGCGTTCTCTCGAAGCTTTGGGGGTTTCATCGTCTTTTAAGAATGTGAGACCGCCCAAGTCTCGCATCCGATTAGTGGCCTATACTAGTTAACGAAGCCTCAAATATGGCTCATTTTACTGTGGAATTGTGCATTGGTTTCTAATTTGCAAGAGAGAATCGCGAACAACCTTGGAATTGTTTCATTGAAACCTGGGCAGTTATTCGGTGTAGGGGTGTGTTTACTATTTATGAATTTCCCCAATCACCTGAGAAAATACTACACTTCATCCATGGATAAACCCTACGAGTAATCGACCAATTAGATACTACTAGTCCCCTCGGGATCTGGCTTCGAATTTTCCATAAGGCCGGCCATTCCACGACTCTTCATGCCATTGTTCTATCATGGCTACTACTAAATGGTTATTTACCTTGCACAGGGTGAGCTTTACCGCATATTACATATTGAAGAGATGGTGGGAGATAATGATTGGATTGATTTCTCTTATTGTAGACAATACAAAGCCAATCCGAATGTCTTGAGCTATCTATCTTTACATGATACCTCTCAATACTGGTAGTCCGTATAAAGAACTCATAAGATCTAAGAAGATGAGACCCCGGAAGCCTTGATCAGGAAAGCGGCAGCCTCCTTCGCATCGCTGCCGTAAGTGATGTGAGCCATGACATTGAATCCATTCTCACAGACGGGGTCACCGGAGGCGCAGTACTCCTTAACATTGCTGCTAGCAACCTTTCCAACAGCCTGAGTCTTGAATGGGTCACCGAAGAGAACTGCAGCGCTGATCTGGCCGGAGCTAAGGCTGCTTGCGGCATTGTGGACAACCATGGAGCCCTGGGAATAACCACCAACAACGACCTTGGTCTTGGGACACTGGCTAAGAGCCTGCTTAACCAGCTTGGCCATAACGGGACCGCCATTGGCACCCATCTCGGCATTGCTTGCGATTCCAGCATCATATGTAACACCTTGCACGGTGACCTTGTTGTTCAACTGAGACTTGAGTGCGGAGGCCACTTCGGGTCCGACGACAGAGCCCATGTTGCCCATCTCAGTGCTACCACGGGCAAAGATGAAGGTCAGCGGCTGGCAGCCCTGATTGCTGGTAACTCCGTTCTCGGTGGTTGATCCGCCTAGCTGTCGTTTTCCCAGGCTGGAGAGGTCACCGATACCTGGGAGGCCAGAGGAGCCGCTGCTTCCAGAGCTGGGGATGAGGGACGACAGAGCACCGAGGCCAGATCCGGTAGAAGAACCACTACCTATGCTCGGAATAAGAGAAGACAGGGCTCCGAGACCAGAGCCAGTGGAGGAACCGCCGCCCATGCTGGGAATGAGGGAAGACAAGGCCCCCAGGCCGCTGGATGAAGAAGAACCCCCGGTCAGACTAGATAGATCAGGCAGACCACCAGTGCTGGAAGAATCCGAGCTATCGCTAAAGCCACCCAAGCCGGGGAAGAGAGAGGAAAGGGCACCCAAGCCGCTATCGCTGCTAGAACCACCCAGGGCAGACAGCTGGCGCTCCTCGATGGTGCGGGTTGGAGCCGCGAGGGCGGTGCTAAGAACGTAGAGGAAAACGGCTGACTTCATGGTGAAAGTAATGCGTGATTTGGAATGGAAACCGTTGAAGACCGTTGATAAAGATTGAATAGAGACCAGCTCTGGTGGAAAGGTAATGAGAGTGAAAGACTGGAGGAGTGATCGAGGATGGATTCAGGAACGAGGTGAAAAACATACCGTCCTATATACTGCAATTCATCATATACCGATCGCCGAGGCTCGGTAGTTTTCATTTATGTGGACTTCGGGCGAGATATCTGTGTAGAGTAAGATGCAGGGCTGATGAAACGGGGGATTCTGTTTCATCGTGAATCCCGGTCCCAAAAACGGTGTCTCTTCGCGTCTGGAACATGGTTTTCTGGTATATCCATCAACTTTTAATTAACTTGAAGATCAACCATACTACTTGTACTATACAAATGACAGTTAATTCTGAAATCTCCTAATCCAAATGACTATCAAACATGCATTCTTCCACAGGAATTCTCCGAATTGAGTCTAACCCTCCCTCCTCTCACACTCCGATTATGCTTTACCAGTTCAAGGGTCTCAAAATCCTGACAGTTCCTAGGACAAACTAGAGCAAACTAGTACAACCGGGAAATGGCGGAAACCTGCAAATCCTCCCTCAATATGAAACGACTAAACCGAGCCGGGTCCCAACTCAAAATTCAGTTCGCCCCATATTGGGCAGTCACCCCGAAAACGAAAAACGCCCAAGAGAACTCAGAAAGGGTCCTCAGGCCATCATCATATTCCAAACGGTAGACCCTCAAATGTTTTTAATTTCCTTGGCGATAGGTACACCCACAAATACGCCCCAGACCCCCAAATTCGAGATCCTGTTGTTTCAGGTACTACTCCGTATCAGCCTCTAGGTATTCATAACATCTCACGTGGCGCTCCAAAGCTGGATATATCAGATTCAATTAAATTAACTTGAGAGAAATCTCTTCATTGTGGCCCAGTAATTGACGGGGAACATGAGATCATAGATCGAAATACGAAATTTAGCACAAAATAATAGATATAAATATAAGTTTTATTTGGACAAAAATACATGATCAAAAGAAGTAGATAGGGCGAGGGGGATCCAAAGAAATAGAAATAAAAATCGTTAGAGTCGTGAGATGGCACACTGACATTTCTATGTACAACCATGTCATCAGAACAGCGCTCTGCGAAATCATGAAAAGTGCAATGCACGCAAAAGGTATGCCCCGTCAATCCATCCCAATTCAGAAAATGACCATTAGAAGAGAGGGATTGGAGAATAGAAGAGAAGAGAAGCGGGGTGAAAAGGTGGTGGATGAGGGGGGAAGGAGAATAATGAGGAGGGTATAAGAAAAAGTTAGACTCGGGCAAACAAGGCTGCCAGGGACATGGGTAAGGTGGAAAGGGAGTCAAAATGCAAATGAATATCATGCCAAATCAAGAAAAGGGCTGATTATCGAATACAAGGGGATAAATTTTGAGCCGGACGATGCGAGGAAAATGACAAGGGGTCAGGCTGGCTCCATTCGAGCGAAACGCATGGAACGAGTCACATGGGAATAAACAGAGGGCAGTTGAGATATTGGATAGTCCCACCGGAACAGGACTAGTCCTTCTGACCTTGGTTCTCAACCAGCTCCAACACAATCTGACTGCTTGTATGCTCAGGATGTTGCATGCAAATCTTGACTGTATGCTGGGTTGAGCCAATCGAAACGCCATTGCTAGATCCAGTGAAGCCGCTCATGTTCGTGTTCGTGTTAGCTTGGCCAAATGATCCGGGTAATTTGCTGCCATCGTCCAGGCAAACAACGTTGTGACCCGGAATGACCTGTCTCAGTCGACCATTCATGGCATTGCGGACCTCGACGAAGTCGTCGTTGAACAGCATAAGGAATTTCCCATGTAGACAGGCCGTGTGTGCGCTACCCACAAACTCCATCACCACACTGCGTGAAACATCACCGTGCTTATTGACATAGACGGCACATTCCTGGTAGGCGACAAGGAATTCGCTGTCGCTAAGTCGGAACATGCCCAGTGGTCGGAGATCTTTAATGCGGTGGGCGATGCTCATGAGGGTGTCGGAGGCATCGGGAGTCTCAGACCTAAAGTCTGGCACGGACCAGGACTGTTTTTTGTCCAGGGTGAGAACTTCGATACCACGCTGGGTGGAGATAGCGAGGGAAGAGTGGAACATATTGATGCCATAACTTTCGGCGGGGATGTAAAACTCGTCATATTCGCGGAAGAATTCGGTCTGTGAACGACGGGATTGGAAGAAGCGGCTCTTGCTTGAAGCTGACTTCTGGAGGATGGGCTCGAGAACCTGAAGGAGACAGACTGGGTCAGTATCCCGTCCATCCCAACATGAAACAACAGCTGGAATGAAACATACCTTGAAAGTAGAAGATAATCCGTCCCGCTTCTTGTACAAGACCAAGTATCTATCCTTCATCCGACCTGCTGCAAAGAAACCAACTTCACGAGTTCCAGACAGCTTTTGCGGGGCTCGACGAGCCGAGTCCTGTGATTGGGAAGTAACTCCACTAGCAGGACAGACCACGTCAAGATGGTATGCAATAAGAGACCGATCCGCGATGAGCAAGAATAGATTGAATTCCTCAAAGACGGCAATCTGAGTGACCCGCAAAATTGGAATCGCCTAAAATTTGTTAATCACTGAACACGAAACAAAAAACGCCGTGGAGCCGCAAGATCACTTACCCGATACCAGCCTCGCGGGTTGCTGAGATCAGACATGTACACTCCGTAATCTGTTCCCACGGCACACATTTGTCGCCCTGGGGGCTGCTGGAAGACCGTGGCACAGTTGACGCTCGCCCTGCAAACTGCTGTAGGTCTGGTCCCAGACCCTTCGTACTTCTTCTCGACCTCCTTGATCGCCCGATGCAATGGCGTGCCCTTGATGGTAATACTCTTCGTTCCAGACGCGTGTTCCGAGTAACCGAACGCAGTGTCCGCAAGCACGCGAAGTCGAAATGGCTCCGCATTTTGAGAGAAAAGGGCAGCGGCATGTTTCGTCTTCGCCTCGATGATTTTCTGACACCAATCCATGCGGCCTTGGGCAGAGAAAGCATAAAGAGTGTAGGTGCCAGTCTTGCCGAGATGCTTAATCTTGAATGGAAACAGAATCTTATCATCCTTATTCTCAAGGGTTGTAGTGCCTCCATTTGTTGAGGTACCAGGCCCTAATGGGCTCACGCCACCCTGGGGCGTCACGGTTGCGACACCTCTCACGGAAGATTTGACGACGGGGTCATCGTTGGTGCTTTCCAAAGCTAGCAGATCCATGGGGATAGGAAGCTTCGACACATCGTAACGCTCGTACTTCGATGACCGCGATTGATCTCGTGTGGTGAAGGTCTTGGCGAGGACAAAGTAGTGGTCGAACAGGATGGCGTGCGTATCAACAAGGAATCTTGTGCGGGTTCCCGGCCTCTGAAGATCACCTCGGAAGATAATTTCGCGGCCCAGGTGCTCGAGGTTAAGTTCGACTTCCTTCTTCATTTCGGGACGAAGCTGCAACTTGGCTGCAAGTTCCATCAGGTCCGTCTTTTTGTTCATCTCACCGACCTTGTTGTCACACTCCAGCGCCACCACCTTGATCTCCTCAATTGCTTGTGCCAGGTTTGTCTTCTCCTCCGAGTCTTTGGGCATGCTCCGATGAACCGTATTGAGCAAAAGTGTGTATCGCTGGATACGGGTGATCGGGGCTTTGAGGAAAGTATCCCAGCTGAGTCGATTCGACAGCTTGTGCTCGCGAACTTGATTCAAGAACTGTCTGAAGTGAACATTTCGCTCGGCTTCTTTGCGAACATAGTAATTTGCGTTTGGAAATGTCGCCGCATAGTCAATATAGGTATTCTTGGCTTTGCGAATCCACTCTCTGAAAATGTCACTAAAACCTCCGATGAAAGGACCCTGTTCTTTCTGGCGGTATTTCAGCTGGGCGAGGAGGAAGTCTTCGTTGGCCTTCTTCACTGCATCGACTTTTCCAAAAACATCGCTCAAGAATTTATTCAACCGCTTGGTCGGGATGATTGGAGGGTTCATGTTAGCCAGCTGGTCTCGATACAGCTCTCGCAAGACATCTAGCTGGGCAATGAATGAATCCTCTGTAATAACAATCTCGTGCAAGATGTTCTGACGTTCAATCTCCTTCTTTGGGTAAGAGTCGAAAACTTCCTTGGAAATTTTGTAGAATGTGACCCAATCCTCCGCTTTTTTCTGCGGTGCCATCATTTGGGCCTTCAGGTTGACCTTCTTCAATGTTCTCATGCAGTGATGAGAATAGCATCGGCCATATGAGTCAGTATCCTCAATGTGGATTTCTTGTTCGTGGAGCTTCGATGAGTAACACCCAGTGCCAGTGACCTGGAAGAGTACACCCGAGATGGTACCAGAGCTGAACTTGACCCATTCTTCCTCTTTGACCAAGGCCTCCTCCTGGAGCATGCTGCTAACAACCCGAGCAGCCAAGGTCTCGGCATCAGCGATATTCATGGTCGGAACCTTGTGAGTAAGCAAAGCCACAATCGCTTCCACGATGGCGTGTTCCCGAAGATCAGTCTCATCCTCGCTGAGATCTCGAATCCAAGACAGAATAGAACTCAAAGCCCACGGCTCGGCACACTTCTTGAACTGTTCAGAGGACAGCTTTGTCGGGATGAACTTCTTGCGGCGACCGGCGGGGATCGTAGGGAGATCCAGTGCCATGGTGGCAGCGGCTTCGGCCGGATCGATCTTAGGAAGTTCCTTCTCTTGGAGCTGCCACAAGAGCTCCTGCTGTTGCTTGTACTTGGCTCGATCCGCATCGGTCTTCGATCTGATAGGTGGATCAGTACGAGGTCCAGTGGGAGTCGACAAGGACGACGACCGCGGGACTTGAGATGGACTGAGTAAAGCATCTTCATAGTAGTCCGCTGATGTCGGAGAGGAGGGGTGTCTATACTGTGTGTAGCCCTGCATCTCATCCTGTTCCGGTGGTCGATACGTGCCCGCAGGCATCAGATGCGAGTGAAGCTCGGTTTGATTCGCTGGCTCAACGGGAGCCGGCGGTAGCGGACGCATACCGGGGTGGAAGAAAAGATCTTCAGCTCCCCTGTAGGGACTTTCATCGCCAGAGTGATCCTCCTCTGGCTGTTGCTCATATGGACTGTCACCTTCTTCCCCGTAATCATAGCTCATCCGCCTGCCAAGATTACCAGGAGCTGAAAGGCCGCCTGTGCCTCCAGCATCCACTCGAGCATCTTTCGGAAGATGATGAAGTCGCTGCGCATATTCGTACGCTATCTGCGGGTGATCATAGTTGTCGGCATAGTCTCCACGTTCGTCGGACGAGATTTGAGAGCTTCTGAAAGAGCCAGAGGTCCCTGGGAACCGACCAAGAGAAGTAGGCTCGGAGGCTTCCTCGGGTGTGTATGTCGGACCTTCACCATAGTGCAAATTGCCCTGGTAGCCTCCTTCGTAAAGTGCCAGATCATGGCCCATGAATTCATTATCTTCAGTGGTATCGGAACGCGGTGAGTTGCCCCTCGGAGATAGGTGGTTTGGTGACGGTTCCGCGGGTGATGGGCCCCTCGGGGAGAGATCTCTTGGGGAGATTTGAGAGCGAGTGCTGCGAATCGAGGCGTTGGTTTCCGCGCGAGGACGTCCTTGTAAAAAGCCACGTTCTTCGCGGGCCTTTTCTTCCTCTTCTGCCATGCGCAGCATTGCGACTCCCGCCTCGGCTTCCGCATCACTCCCGTCATTAAAAGCGTCGTAAATCACATACTGGCCAGTCCCCGTTGCCATGTTCCCATTCGTGTGTGTATGTTGCTCATCTGGCGACAGGCGCAAGTTCGATGCCGAACCAGCATGCGATGCTCGAGAACTGTGTCGACGGAAGCTGGCCTGCGTGTTCTCAATCTCCTTGAACAAATCATCATTGGCGTGATCGGCGATATCATTGTCTGCGTCGGGTGGTGGTCCGGGCAGGGGACGTGATTGCGGATGTCGAGTCAGGGTGTCAGTTCGTCTCGGCCCTGAGGACAGGGAGATCTTGCTGTATTGGCGGGGTAGGCAAAGTTCGGCCCGATGACGAATGAGACAAGCTGGAACGTTTGCTATAGATACCATTTCCTTGGGGCTGGTGAACAGGAGGCTCTGGGGGGCTGGTCCTCGTATACGCTGGACACTGGAGGAATTGTGTGGGAGGGGTAGGGCGAGTCAGATCCGAAGCCTTGAGGTGTGGGGTAATAAGTTCGTGGTGTCGACTGAGGCATATAGGCTGCTGAGGGGGAGTTCGAGGTGGCATAGGTACCCGAAGCAGGCGAGGAGATTGTTTGGTAGGATGTCGAGATGGGAAGCGCAGTCGGCGGGCCCGTGGAAACGGGAGAGGATCCGTACGGCGAGGGCCGTGAGCCATAAGGGTGATCAGGACCACGAGGGGGAGGCATTGGGGGCTGTTGGGAGAAACCGTGGGACTGGGGGGGTAGGAGGGGTATATCCATATGGCGAAGCCTCACTGGGTCGCCGCGCGAGACTCGGCGATGCTAGGCCTGCAACCGCTGCGGGCTGGTAGGCTGCCGGGTTATAGGGCTGGTGACTCGACACGGAGGACGAACCATAGGAGCTGTTGGAATTGGTATATGACAATGGGTTGTAGCTCAGGTTGGGCTGTGTCTGGGACTGTGGGAGGGCATATTGTTGTGGGTTATAGGCCGCTTGCCCGGACGATCCGGGATAGCGGTACCCATAGCTAGACATGCTCGTATGCGATGAAGTGCGAGTCGGCGACATGCGCGACCTATCCGAGGAGGAGCGCGAGAAGCCTGAGTCTGTGTCTTCGCCGTATGCCGCGGGCGTGACGTTGTAGCCCCCTTGACCGGGATATCCACCTTGCACCGCGTATCGCGCATTCCCATCGTTCCTTGTCGGCTGCAGTCGCGCTGTATTCAGGAGCTGCGAGTCATCTCCTGCGTTATAGCTTGGCATTCGTCTGGGCAGCTGCTGAGTCTGTGCGGGGTTGGGTTGTGAGGTGTAGCTCTCGTAGCGACCGGCGGCGGGTTGAGAGGTAGGTTGAGAAGTCGGTGGATTGCCCGGCTGGCCATAGTAGGCCTGTTGACCATTTGGGTGCGACATGGTGCGGGATGCGACAAGAAATCCACCGATGGATTTGAGGTCACTAGGGGCGTTGGGTCAGCCCGGTCGGTTCGAGCAGCCGCACGAGCGGCGGGCGGGAACAATTCGGCGAGAACTCCAGTCGCAGGAGGGTCACGGAGAGAGCGGACAGGGGAAGAAACGAGTGAAATGTCTTCAGAGCATTCCCGTCCGCGTGGGGGAAGAAAGGGGAGGTTGAGGAGGGAAGTCGGAAGTCGAAGGGTTTACCGTGGGCTTGGGACTTGGGAACTTTACTAGTAGGACCCAAACAGAAGGGTCTCTCCTACACTAAAGTAAACTCTCCACCGCCAACACCTGTCACTGTCCCTGTGAACCCCCCCTGGGAAGAATCTGAGAATTCCGGAGAAATCGACTTTAGGCACGTGGAGGAAGTTCTTCCTCGCGATATGGGAAAGAGGGGGACCCTAGGGAAATGGAGCAGTGATGTGATGTGTGATGGGTGATGGTGATGGTGATGGCGATGCACAGCCTTGAGCCTCCCCCCCGGCTCATCCCAGCTGCCAGTGGTCACGACGTGTGGATTTGGGGGCCGATGAACTGTTCTCGCCCCACCGTCATTTCGCCGTTAAACAAGGCTGAGTCCACACGCCCCTGAGCTGAGAAGGGTCTAGGAAGGGCAATGCCAGGTGGGCATGGTGGCTATCATGGTCATTCAACCTGAACTCTACTAGTATAGCATCATGATGACTGTGGAGGGTATCCATGGATATTAGTAGTAGCTCTAGTCTGCCCAGGTGACAGCCATAACCACTACTAGTAGACGAGCAAGACACTGGCAATTTCCCATCGCCGTGCCCGAAGCGGGCAAGCTGAGCGGGGATTATTGAGGACTCGGATGCAGTGGATAGAGGTTAATCCAGACACTGCCCAGGTGTGCAGCAGAGTCAGACGTTGAAGACCACTGGCACTGGCACTGGCACTGGCAGTATCTTGCTGCTAGTACTACTACTAGTACGAGATAGCTGCAGGGGAGATATATAACTGCCCGTGTACTTATACTACTAGTTAGTAGGTACTATCCAACTTCAAGTTGAACCTTTGGAACCTGAACCCATTGCTAGAGATCATCTTTAATATTTATAGTAATTTAAGTTAGTATACTATGGTACTAGTACTAGACCTAGTCGCAGTATATCCGAGGCGTCATCGGTAATTCTGTCGAGCCCGAGAGATTCGCCGACAAGACTCGGTTATCCCACTTGAGAATAGCCTTGACTCAAAATTGAAAATTGAACATCCGGGACCACTAGTACTAGTAAGATATAACTAGCACTAGCTCGGTATACCGTCCTCGGTTAATCTAGTTGATCTGGTCAATCTAGGTTGACCCAAACTCCAAATGTACCCTAATGGCTAAATTCTTTGTGAATGCCCTGGAGTAAAAGATGCCGAGGTCGAGCTTCCCCCGCACCCGTCGGTCTTTCCCCCGGACTTACTTGCTCACTCGCCCACTTGCTTACACTTGTTTACACGTACTGGAACTCTTCCAGGTTGCTTGAAAAGTCCCCGTCCCCTTTGTGACTTCGTGATTCCCCTTGACCTGCTTCCGTTCCCTTTCACCGAGCTGATCTTCTTCCTGCCCCTCCGCCCGAAATTTGAAATTTAAAACTAGACCGTGCTTCTACTCCAGTAGCTCCACATTTCAACCGTTGCGCGGTTCACATCTCTCCCAGCCTCGGTCTTCTTTTTACCTACCCTCTCCCTCTCCCTCTTTTCCACATTCTCCCATTCCCTCCTCCCCCCCTTTTCCATTCTCTCCTCATCGGCAAATACACCCAGGAACCAGCGACACCCAATTCCAACGCACTATGGTATTCTTACCCGACAAGAAGTTTGGCGAGTTGCCGCCAATCCCCGACAACATTCCCATCAGCGAATTCATGCTCAATGAGAAATATGGCCGAGTCGCACACCAACATGCCCGCGATCCGTATACCTGCGGTCTGACTGGACAGACTTACTCCTCGCGCCAAGTCGTCGACCGCGTCGATTGGATTGCGCGGGGTCTGGCAAAGGAGTTTGGCTGGAAGTCGAACCAGGGCTCGGAATGGGACAAGACATTGGCCGTCTTCTGCGTCAACACGGTATGTTTGCCTCTGGCGGTGCTTGGCGAATTGTGAAGCGGGAATTGAACATGTCTGTGTATACTCGGTAGATCGATTCTCTGCCCTTTTTCTGGGCTGTTCACCGACTCGGAGGAGTGGTCTCTCCGGCCAATGCCGCTTACTCGGCTGCCGAATTGAAGCACCAGATCTTGGATTCTGGTGCAAAGGCTCTTTTCACCTGTGCCCCTCTCCTCCCAGTGGCTCTCGAGGCGGCCTCTATGGCCAATTTGCCCAAGAGCAAAATCTACCTGATTGATGTGCCCCAAGTCATGCTTGGAAAGTCTCAGCCCCCAAAGGTATACAAGACCATTTCGGATATTCTCGAGAGCGGAAAGTCGCTACCTCCGGTAGATGAGCCGAATTGGGGACCTGGAGAGGGTGCGCGCCGCACTGCATTCCTATGCTACTCGAGTGGAACTTCGGGCTTGCCGGTAAGATCAACCGTTGAGTGACGCTTCTTTGGGGGTATTTTGCTAATAAATCGCCATGTAAAGAAAGGTGTCATGATTTCCCACCGCAATGTCATTGCCAACACTTTGCAGATCAAGGCTTTCGAACAAGACCACCGTGACGCAACTCCACCCACGGATGGACGTGCTGTATACTCAGAGATTGGGTTGGGTCTGCTACCACAAAATCACATCTACTCCTTGGTAGTTATCTGCCATGCGGGCACGTACCGTGGCGACCAGACCATCATTCTTCCCAAATTTGAAATGAGCTCCTATCTCAACGCTATCCAAACTTTCAAAATCACAGGGCTATTCCTGGTGGGTTCTCTCAAGCAACCAAAAGAGTTGATTGACGAGTGACTAATTATGTCCAGGTCCCCCCTATCATCATTAACATGTTGCGACTTCACGATGAGTGCTCGAAGTATGACTTGAGCTCTGTCAAGAGTCTCTTCACTGGCGCGGCGCCTCTCGGAATGGAGACAGCCACCGACTTCCAGAAGGCCTACCCCAAGGTCGCCATCCGACAAGGATATGGTGAGCATACTAGTATTTGAATCTTGAATACACCGAACTAACTTTGATATAGGCTTGACGGAGACATGCACTGTCGTCAGCTCGACCCACCCCTCGGATATTATCTTCGGCTCTTCAGGATGCTTGATCCCTGGATTCGAGGCACGCATCATGTCCGCAGAGGGCAAAGAGATTACTAGCTACGACACACCTGGAGAATTGGTCGTCCGATCCCCGAGTGTGGTGCTAGGATATCTCAACAACGAGAAAGCAAACAAGGAAACTTTCGAGGATGGATGGATGCGAACGGGCGACGAGGCCGTTATTCGTCGCGGACCCAAAGGGAATGAACACGTCTTCATTGTGGATCGCATCAAGGAATTGATCAAGGTCAAGGTGAGCAACAACTGATGAGCAGGTGCAGTCGATGTGTGAGTAGAAAATAACTAAATCGTATATGATAGGGACTCCAAGTTGCCCCCGCAGAGCTCGAGGCTCACCTCCTTTCCCACCCCGATGTGGCCGACTGTACTGTCGTTGCCATTCCCGACGACGCGGCGGGTGAGGTCCCCAAGGCCATTGTTGTCAAGTCGTCTTCTGCGAGCTCCGACGATGCGGTCGTTGCCCAATCTATCAAGAAGCACGTTGAAGACCACAAGGCTCGCCATAAGTGGCTGAAGGGAGGTGTTCGATTTGTAGATGTCATTCCCAAGAGCCCCAGTGGTAAGATCCTGAGACGATTGATTCGTGACCAGGAGAAGGAGGCCCGGAGAAAGGCTGGTTCAAAGCTGTGAGCGTTGGGTTAAGAGACTTTGTTGGTCGAATATCATGATAGAGACGATCACTATGTAGGATTTAAACCAATAGAGTACTAGTATCAACATACATATTTTCAAATCTTGTCCTTGAGCACTCAAATATTTCAGCTTCTTAATACTCACTGCTCGTCATTTTTGTACTAACTGCATATTGAACCTTGGAACGCACGAGACAATTCGCTGCGGTACTCGTTATCCATGCAGAGGTATATGTTGATAGGGAGGTCTATTCATGCCTAGGTGCTTTACCTGCATGAATCGACGTCATTACCGAGACAAATTTCGGACCCGCCTGGACCTGGACTTTTATTTTCAATCTCGTGGCACTAATTCATTTCGTTTCACCACGTAACTAGTGCAGTACTACCCTCCTAATCTAAGTCTAATTTAAGTATGTACGGAGATAAGTGGCTGATAAATTGAGTTTGCAGTGTTTGCCTGCCGCGGGGGATGCGGATTTCTAAGCGGGGTAGACTGACAGAAAAAAAAAAGATCCATCTCGAGCTCGCTGATTTTCCACTTACAATCCATGAGAGAAAAATCGTTTGAATATCTTAATCTTTCTATACAAGGTCAGCTCTTGCGAGGGTTGATTCTCACCATCTCGCCATACCCCGGTCTTTCTATCTCGACATCCTCCTTGTACGGAAAACCATCGACCTATAACTAGCACTCTTCCAAAGATGTCATCGCAAGACCCCAATCGTCAGAACGAGGAGGACGAATTCCTGGGTGCCGGAGAGGGTGAGGAAGTCTTCACTCAGGATGAAGACCACCCCATGGAGTCAGATGGCGAAGAAGAGGATCAAAATATGGACTACGAGGAACACGTCTTCCAGAACGACTCGTCCGCACACTTCGACTCGCACTCAGACTCCGTCTTCTGCATCGCGCAACACCCAATTCACAACAACATCGTCATCACCGGCGCCGGCGATGACACAGCTTACATCTTCGACTCAACACCCGCCGAACGGCCCGTTCTCCCCTCAAGCTATGAATCAAACCCCCAGCCGCGCGAGCGTTCGTCACTGAACCCCCTCACAAAGCTGGATGGACACACCGATACCGTCAACGCGGTGGCTTTCTCAGAGCCTGCGGGCGAGTACGTCGTGACGGCAGGTTTGGACGGCAAGCTCCGCGCATGGCGGGACTCCACGCCCCAGAAGACGGGCATTGCGTGGGAATTCGTCGCCGAGGCCCAGGAAGTGGAAGAGATCAACTGGGTGTCTGTTTGTCCTTACCAGCAAGGCAGGGAGGAGACGCGTAATGTCATCGCCATGGGCGCCAATGATGGTAGCGCTTGGGTCTTCCGTATCGATCATACCGATTCCCAGCCCATCTCTATCATCCAGACTTTCTTCCAGCATACTGCTTCCTGCACGGCTGGTGCCTGGACACCGGATGGAAACATGCTGGCGACTGTCTCAGAGGATGGAAGCTTCTATGTCTGCGATGTGTTCGGTGCTGCTGCCGCAGCTGGTATTGCCGGCTCGCCCGGTACCAACGCCGTTGTCGGATTGACCGCGGAGGATCAGCGATTCGCTGTTGAGGGCGGGTTCTATTCCATTGCTATCTCCCCGGGTGGTGGCATTGCTGCTGTTGGTGGTGCTGAGGGTCATATCAAGATTGTCGGTCTGCCTCGCATTGCGGGTGCCCAGCAGGCTGCGAAGGGTAAGGCGTCTCAATCGACGACTGCCTCTGCTGCCGGTACTATTATTGCCGATCTCCAGGCCCAATCTGATGGCATCGAGACTCTGTCTTTCTCCCAGCCCCCGCTGACTCTTCTGGCTGCGGGTTCGGTCGATGGTTCCGTTGCTCTGTATGACGCTGCTCACCGATTTGCCGTTCGTCGTCACGTCAGGGAGGCTCATGAGGGCAGCGCGGTCGTCAAGGTTGAGTTCCTGCACAGCCGGATTCCTGCTGCCCCCCGCCCTGGTGGTGCTGCTCAGGGTCGGCCCTGGTTGCTCACCACCGTTGGACTGGATGGAGTTGTCCGCCGGTGGGACGCCCGGGGTGGAACTACTGCTGCCGGTCAGGGTTTGTTAAAGGAGTGGAAGGGACATTTGGGTCTCTCCGAGACTGAGGATGGTGAGCAGGCAGGTGGCATCATGGGCTTTGTCCAGGGCTTCGACGGCAAGCGTGTTGTCACTGCGGGCGATGATGGTGTTACTCTCGTGTTTGAGGACGAGTAGATCAAGGTCCTCACTTGGAGAGAGAAACAAAAAACAAACCGTCTCGTTCGTTGTTGCGGGGGAGATCGGATGCGATTTATGATATCATGTTATACCTATAGACAAGGCATTTCCCGAAATCCACGATTATAATTGCAATCCTGTTATGAATTACTAGAGGTGCTACTCCAAAATTAAGTAAAAGTGACTCCCCGATGCTGAGCAATTGCAGCACAGCCATTGGTTGAAACGGGAAAAAGAAACATCTTGGTAATTGAACATAGTCTATGTACATCCGACAAATCCACCCAACGCGCTTCTCGCGGGCCACTTTCCGCAAGCCATGTCTCTAGGGAAGAGAATGAGGTATAATCACGGGGGCCCAGGGCTGCCCTCTCTTCCCAATAATGAAGTCGTGGCTGCCACCATCGAAACGTTTTCGAGTTTTTGTCATTTGCCGGGATGAGACGGGCGCATCTCATCTTCTGGGGTATTTGTCCTCCAAACAATCGCCGGTCCGTTGACGACTCTTCCATGCATTTGCTTGAGGCGATATCATTTAGTGGTGGGCCTCGCCGTGGTGGGCGTCACCGTGGTGGTGGTCATCCTTCAGGAAGAAGTGCTCGTATGCGCAGTAGGCAGTGAAGGCGACGGTGGCGATACCGAGGCCGGGGAAAAGACCCTTGAAGCGGTTCCAGCGGCTGAAAGGACCGCTATAGCGCCAGGCCTCACTGTTCAATGGTTAGCATCGGGATGCAGAAGCGGGCGTAGTCGTCACGGGGGAGGTCGTACTTGCGAGCCCAGGGGTCGCGCTTGGCCCAAATGGAGTTGGGGTGGGCCGCAGCCTTAAGCTGGGAGATATCGAAGCCGGTAACGTTCCGCGCAGGCATTGTGGGCGAGTTGAGGGGGGGACTGAAACGAGAGGGAGTCTACCATCGGAGGGAGGGAATTGAGTGAGGTGCACTCAGTGAAGTGTAGGCTTGGCGCGCTAGTCCCGTGATACGGCGGGCCGTAGCTCCCACGTCCGGACGGTCGAGGACCGACCGAAACTGACCTGGACACTCCCTCTATGCGCCTCATCTTTCAACAATGCCACCCCCCGTCGGCAGATACGGGCCTTCTGGTCTAGCCGCCCCGTATTCCCTCCAACAAGCTCAACTTCAGTCCCAACATCACCCACAATCAGCAAACGCCCTCCCGCCCCCTTCACTCGGTGGCCACCCCGGTTTCGCTGGGAATCCCAACACCAATATGAACCCCTTCACTCTCTCTGGTGCCGGCATGGCCAACGGTATGTCAGCTTCTGGCTTTGCTGGTGTTGGAGGTGATGGTGGTGGCACCGGTCTTGCTAGCCATGCAGCTCAGATGGGCTTCGCGCGTGGAGCTCAGATGCAGCAACAGCAACTACACCAGGGTCACGACGGACGGTTAGCTCTTGACTCGAAGACCGGCGCGGTCAAGTCGCGGATACGAGATGTGTGGAAACACAACCTGGCCCACGAAATGGCTGTGTTGAGGTCGTTGGTGGATAAATACCCTTACATTAGCATGGTAAGAATGGTTTATTTGCGCAATGGCGGGCGAAACTGTTGTTTCAACAGCACTTCCTCGTCAGTCTGGAGCCACGGAAATCCATGGTGCTAACAACCGCCAAGGATACCGAATTCCCAGGAATCGTCGCACGACCGATCGGCCAGTTCACGAATAAGGCAGACTACCACTACCAGACCCTCCGATGCAACGTCGACTTGTTAAAGATGATCCAGTTGGGTATTACACTGTTCAATGAGGATGGGGAAGTGCCCCCGCTGTCGGGAACCGACGCAAATGGTCAACCTTACGGCATGCCCGCACCTTGCACATGGCAGTTCAACTTCCGCTTCTCACTGGAAAACGATATGTACGCCCAAGATTCAACCACTATGCTTGCTAAATCTGGAATCGATTTCAACATGCACGATAAGAATGGAATTGACCCCTTTGAGTTTGGCTCCTTGCTGATCAGTTCTGGCCTGGTTCTGCTGGATGACGTTCACTGGGTCTCCTTCCACTCCGGCTACGATTTCGGATACTTGATGAAGATCATGCTTTGCACAGCCCTACCTGAGAACGAGGAGGAGTTCCACAAGCTTCTCACCATCTTTTCCCCTCCCTCTATGATATCAAGTACCTCATGAAGCACGCTGGCCGCAACCAGGCCGTTAATGACTCTCCCCTCACTCAAGCCGCTGCACAAATTCTCACGAACCTTGGCCAAAAGTCTGGTTTGCAAGATATCGCGGATGAGCTGGGTGTCAAGCGCGTTGGGATCGCCCACCAAGCAGGCTCCGATTCCCTCGTCACCGGCGAAATCTACTGGAAGATGCGCCAGTTGGTTTTTAACGGCGCGATTGACGACAGCAAGTACTCCGGGCAGATCTGGGGATTGAATGGACAAATGCCCGCAATGAGCTACCATATGGCTCAGCAAACACCAAACTTGAACGGAGCATCTATTTATTCAGCCGCAGGTACCCCGAGCACCCCCAACACAGGGCATATCGGGACCGGCGCCCACACGCCGCAACATGGCTTCCCGACACCGACCGGGTTCGCTACCGGTAAATCATGAAATAGAGGACGGACGGAAACATAGCCTGTCTTAAGAAAGACAGACTGGAGGCGGAAGTCTGATACGATATGATGATGTACATAGGCACGAGGACATCGTGCTGGTTTTTCTCGATCTTCGGCATTGTCTTCTCTCGCCTGTCGTTTGCATGGATCCCACTTATTTTCGGGATATCTCTTGCGCCTGGAGGGTGTTGGGTGGGCAAAGGGGGTGTATGGTGTTTTTGATTTGGCTGTGCTATCTGAATTCCATCTGCAAGGCGTTTAGGCTATGGCCTTTTCGCTGTGGTCTCGTTCTATACTGTCAAATTTATAGGTAGACCTGGAGTTTGCTTACAATGGGTCTGCTCATTCATCTATATTTTCTCGTCGGTAGCGCCTCGTAAACTCTTCCCATCAAAAGTTTAACTAATAGAGGTAAATAATACTAATAGTATTCAATGACTTCTATGTGGATGTGAATGACTGTACTAGTAGCTGGGAGCAAGGGTTTTCCCTGCCCGCATTAAGCAGCAGAATGCGAGCATCGCACAATTAATCCGAGTGCCTTCAAGCAGCGAGCAGAATCGATGAATAATGGGGAAACCCATTCTGATGTCCCCCGGACCTTCATCTATCAGTGACAAGCATCGAGCTTCCCTTTTGAACCGTGCGATACCCCACCATTCCCAATCGGGGAAAGGGATCCGGCCTCCACATTTGCACTGTCCCACACGTCTCGGACTCGGACAATGGATGCGTGTATCTAATCATGCAGCAGCAGACAGTAGCGGTCTATGAGGGGCTGCTACAGATATATTTAAATACCAAAATTCCCTGTTATCTGTCTACCCCTGCCCAGAAGTTATTCACAATCGGGTTCGCAAGATACGTTGTTGCGTCTTTCACTGGAATACTTCCATTTCTAGATCCAGACTATACACTCCAACCACTTCTTTCAATCTAATAAACGATCAGGAACATCTCGGGATGGTTCTCGACCGACTCCAGCAGTTGACCCACCAGGTCAATGCGACTGCACCCCCTCCTCATCCGCTAGATCCTTTGTCCACGTCGGAGATCGATGCTGCTGTCCGTCTGATCCGGAGAGAGCATGGACAACTCAACTTCAATGCGGTCACACTGTACGAGCCGCGAAAGGCCGAGATGATGGCCTGGATCGCTAGCCCAGATACGGCAAAGCGACCAGCTCGTGCGGCCGATGTGGTGGCTATTGCGCCTGGTGGAAAGGTGTATGATGGCGTGGTGGATTTGGACCAGAACAAGATCCTAAACTGGAACCATACACCCAATGTCCAGCCATTGATCACAATGGAAGATCTTCAGGAGGTCGAGCATGTTGTGCGAAAGGACCCCAAGGTCATCGAGCAATGCGGTATCGTCGGCATTCCGCCTGAGGATATGCACAAGGTGTATTGTGATCGTGAGTCGATCCGTTTGAAAAATTCTGATAATCAAGGCATTGATCACTGACTTTCATTTCTAGCTTGGACAATTGGGTATGATGAACGCTTTGGCACGGGAGTTCGACTACAGCAGGCTCTCATGTACTACCGCCCCCATGTCGACGACTCTCAGTACACCTTCCCATTGGATTTCTGTCCTATTTATAATTCAGAGGAGAAGAAGATTATTCACATCGATATTCCTCCAGTACGGAGGCCTGTTAATAAAGCAGCTCCAAACAACTACCACCCCGAAGCTATTGAGAAGCAGGGCGGCTTCCGCACCGATATCAAGCCTATCCACATCACCCAACCAGAGGGAGTTTCCTTCCAGGTTAATGGCCGGAGCATTGACTGGCAGAATTGGAATATCCACGTTGGATTCAATTACCGTGAGGGTATCGTGCTGAACAATATTACATTTAACGACAAGGGCAATGTCCGACCGGTCTTCTGGCGACTCTCGCTTGCAGAGATGGTTGTTCCATACGGTAACCCCGAACATCCTCACCAGCGAAAGCACGCTTTTGATCTCGGTGAGTATGGCGGTGGTTATATGACAAACAGTCTGGCCCTGGGCTGCGACTGCAAGGGTGCGATCCATTATATGGATGCCGCATTTGTGAACCGCGCTGGTGCCTCGACAATCATCAAGAACGCAATTTGCATTCACGAGGAGGACGCTGGGATTCTTTTTAAGCACACCGACTTCCGTGACGAGTCAACAGTTGTTACCCGTGGCCGGAAACTAATTATCTCGCACATCTTCACCGCAGCCAACTATGAATATTGCGTGTACTGGATTTTCCACCAGGATGGTACTGTCCAGCTGGAGATCAAGTTGACCGGCATTTTAAACACATACGCGATGAACCCTGGCGAGGACACCAAGGGCTGGGGCACCGAAGTCTACCCCGGCGTCAACGCACACAATCACCAGCATCTCTTCTGTCTCCGTGTTGATCCCAACATCGATGGTCCAGACAATACAGTCTTCCAAGTCGACGCCGTCCGCGGTTCTGGCGAGGTCGGAAGCGCAGAGAACCCATACGGTAACGCCTTTTACGCTAAGAAAACCAAGTTCAACACGCCGATTGAAGCGATGTCCGATTATGATGGCTCTACTAGCCGAACCTGGGAGATGGCCAATACCAACAAGCTTAACCCCTACAGCAAGAAACCCGTCTGCTATAAGCTGGTTAGTCGTGAGGTACCGCCACTACTTCCTAAGGAAGGCAGTCTTGTCTGGAAGCGAGCTGGCTTTGCTCGTCATGCCGTTCACGTCACTAAATGTGAGTGCCTCCTCAAACTCTACACAAAAGTATTCCTTCCTTCATTTGCTAACAAAATCCTCACAGACTCCGACGATGAAATTCACCCAGCCGGTCGTCACGTCCCTCAAACATCTGGCGAGCCATCTCAAGGTATCCCGGCATGGATCGAAGCTGCCGGACCCAACAGTTCAATCGACAACACAGATGTCGTATTGTGGCACACTTTCGGTCTGACCCATTTCCCTGCACCAGAGGACTACCCCATCATGCCGGCCGAGCCTATGACATTGCTCCTGCGTCCGCGCAACTTCTTCGACCGAAACCCGGTTCTCGATGTTCCTCCCAGTTACGCACGAACACCGTCGCAGGCGGCGGCTGGTGCGAACGCATGTGGGTGCAAGAAGAATGACGGGTCGAGTGTGCTTGTTTGATGGGAGATGAAAATGGATTATTTTGCGGACAACTCTCCTCTGGTCTGATGTATATAGTCACTCATGTTTTGGTTTCAAAGAGATTCATATAGTTCATTTCTTTTTTCTTTTATCCGAGATGGACTCCTGTCAACGGATAATCCACAAGTTGGGATTACGCGCATATCGACAAGATATTTTCTGTTTAATAATAGGACTTGAGAATGTTCCCCATAATTTCAGAGATAAAGATAGAATGTGCGTCCGAGTAATAAATAACTACTGGTACCCTGCTGTAGACAATTGAAGGAGTAAGATAGTCCGGAGACCCGCTTTCGCCCCGCCCTCGCCCCGCACTGGGGCTTGGTGCCGCCAGCATCTTCGGGATTCATGATGAGTCACGCTGACACCCCAGGCTGTGCAAGAGTGTTGTATTGCATACTGCCTTTGTATACGATATAAATTGATGTCCGGTCCCTGAACTCATCTGAATATCCTCTGGCAATCTCGGTTTTTATTTGATCATCTTCATTATGGATTCTTTATATCCACGTCCACAGGGACTGCACACACTATCCTCGGATCAGGTTGACCTACGCCCTGACTCGGAGGTCGATATCGATATCCACCACCCTCGGCCTATTTCAGACGATAAAAATGTATGGTTCTTTTGGCATTCCGGCTACGAAACCATGCACCCTTACACAAAACGCAACATCCGAGCATGGCATCGACGCTTCTCGAAGCAAGGATGGGTAATTCGTGTACTCAATCTTTGCCCGGGCTCTGAGCTCAACGTCTCCAATTTCCTCGATACCAGCGACCCCGAAACATTTCCTCGGGCCTTTACAGAGGGAACAATCGCTGGCCACCACGCAGCCCAGCATACCTCTGATCTTGTACGATTTCCATTGCTAGTCAAGTATGGTGGCATCTATGCTGATGTGGGTCTTATCATGATCGGGGATCTCGATCGCCTTTGGCATGCGACCGTTGGAAACTCGGCTTCGCCTTACGAAGTTATTTCATTTAAAACTGATGGCGTGGCCCTAACCAACTACTTCTTGGGATCAAGTCGCAATAACCCATTTTTCCGACGTTGTCACCAACTCTTCATGAAATTGTGGGAGGGAAAAACTTCAACTGAGGGAATGTGGAATTCTCCTTTGCTGAAAGGTGTCCCTATTTTACGATCGCCCAAGGGATTTGAGGAGAATGGCAGAGATATCGACATCGAGGAGGCCAGCAAGGTCCTCACGGACTACATCATTCAAGGGCAGGTAATTTCATTGGTCATGGGTCTTGTTGACATTGAAGGGAAGTGGAATGGACCCGAATATTCCGCCAAAAGCATCTACGCAATGGACTATATGGTCGGGTCGCAATTGATCAATGAAATGACTGCTTGGGATGGACCGCGGGCCTTCGAATTGATGTCACTCTCGCTGCCGTTAAATGGGGAAAGAGAGTCTGAAGACCAAAGGAAAGCCAGAGAAATTGTGGAAGCGTGTTTAAGCAAGAGCTTTGCATTTAAGCTTGCGCATGGACTGATTCTGCGGGTGCTTGGAGACACTCTGGGTTCCCTCTGGAGAAGACATGAGGGATCCGACGATGTTCCGCATACATACGCCCATTGGCTCCGATCAGGTGTCCTCAAATGGGCACAAAGCGAGCTACCTCCCGCGAAGGAGTTTGGGACGTTCGAGCCATACAAGACAGGATTACTACTAGAGGAATAGATTCCAATATGAACTTTATACACAAATACATGTATAAAATTTGTGGTGTATACCAAAAGAATTAGAATAGGACTGGAGTTGGTATCTTGATACAAATAACCTTCCAAGGTCGAAAATAGCAAATCGGTTGGAGACACCAGCAATCTCGGCGTCCCAGGTTTGACTCACGTCAATCAATGAAAAATCTCGGAGGAGGTCGTTACAAATGCCTCGCCCGTCTTTGAATTGTAATAAAATCTTGTGGATTTTAGGTGGGGACCATCTGGTTGCAGTATCGCTCTGGCTGGAGAGAGAAGTGACAGGTCAATGAAGAGGTTGACCGGATACTCTAACAGCTGACGGGAGAGAATTGGTTGTATCCATGTGGATGGAATAGATAATATGAGTTCCACTGCGGAGTAAAACCGAACAGGGCTATCCGTTTAGTTCACATTCAAAGTCTCAGCAATCCGGGGAAAGATATTCAAAGCATTCTGGTATCTGATTTCCCTCATCTCGTTATCTGTAAAGTTGCCATTGTTTTGTATACCGACTAGCCCCGGCTGTGCCTGTGAAAGAGGGACATAAGGATCTCATCGAGTTAGCAAAACCATTGTGTTGTATAAACCGTCTTGATCGAGCTCATCACCTACAGTCAATTCCAGTCACGAGCTTTTTGGCACCAATGAAACTCTTCAAGGCTGCAAGCTGGATGGCAGAGGTCGCGCTTGCGAGATCAAAATAGTATCCGGCGAGCTGGGCGAGAGTTTCGGGAAATTCTATCCCACCTTCATAGGGAAGTGTTGCAACGCCAGCAATGCGAGTAGCAAGATATGGTATCGCTCCGCCGCCATGCGAGAAAATAATATTGAGATCCGGGTATCTCGCACGCTGACCAGTAAGAAGTAGATTCTCTATAGCACGCACTGTATCGAAAGGGTACTCAATCATAGGCATGGGATGACCCAGACCGACAGAGGTACATGCCGGAGAAGCTGGATGAACAAAAACACCGGCGCTGCGTTTATCCAAGGCTTTAAAAATCGGTTCCAGGTCAAAGTTTCCAAGATAGAGGCTATTAGCATTGGTATATAAGCCAACATCAGCAAATTTGAGAGTATCTAGGCAAAAATATTACCAGAAATCAGGATGTGCTCCAAGCCAGATTGGTAGAAACACATTATACCTCAAGCTCTTTGACCGCCTCGCTGACATGAGGAAGAGGAAGAAGACAGAGTGCTCCCAATCGAGTTGGATGGGCTTTCGTGTAGTCGTAAAGGAGTAAGTTAATTTTCCGAGCTAAGGATTGAGCCCTTTTAGCATCCTTGATGAAAGAAACCCCGGGCGTAGTGATGCTAAGAGTGGAATAATTCACGCCGAGGGTATCCATGGAGGTAATATGTGTGTCTAGTGACCAATCGGGAACAGGAGCGCCATCATTGTACAACGTGCCATTCTCGATCGGAAAACCTGCTGATATCATTGCCTGTTTCCAAATTTCCGGGATGGCGTGAGAGTGAACATCGATTCGGTAGTTAGAGTCAATGGAATGAGCGGTGGCATGACAAGCGATTGAACATGCCAACAGGAAGCCCCACGATAGAGAGACCATGATCGTTCAAGGTTCGCAGGGGTTATGCGACATCCACTAATTATCGCGATGAATACGTGCCAGTATGAGGACAGCTAGATGAGAATGTAAAAAATAATGATGAAAAACAGATGATGGTCCATGTTGTGGGTTTAAACGGAGATTGCAACTGCCAGAAGCCTCAGTTGTGGGGTTAAAATTAAGCCGGTCTCCAAGAAATGCATGATCAGAGGGATAAAAGCCGATCAGAAGTCAAATCACAGTTTAAAGATACAGCCGTTCAGAGCTAGCAATGGTTTATGAAAGCCGGTGCCTACTAACCAATGCAGTTGCAGTGCCTGTTTAAATTAATCAGGCTTGGCACATACTGATTAACTCGAATAGGCCAGTGTACTTTAGAGGCTGTTTCTCTCTAACCGAGAACCAGAAGCCTGTAGTAACACGATATACGAAGGCAACGATTTAAATACATTGGACTTTCTTCAGGTCCGAGTCGGCTATGGCTTGTGAGACAGTACTAACATAAGGTACAGTGTTCTTCCTAATCACCCAACTCGAAATTTACGCCTTTTTTTGAGTTCCAAATATTCAAGTTGAATCTGGTCTTTTGATAAAAGGTTCATGGGCCAGTATCAAAATAAAATCCGAATTAAATATTAAGACGAAAAGCTGATTGCCATTCAATTGTAATTTGACTCCCACATATAATCATGAGAAATGTCCAAATTACCATCATTGCTTCCCGGTGGGAAAATGGTATCCCAGAGACCCTACATAGTAATTCATTAGTATGATGCTCTTGGGAATTTTGAACAGATTTGTTGTCAATGGACTAACCCAGTCAATTTCAAGCATCTGTGGTTCTATACCCGCGACCCCCCTCTGTATTTCGCCATAATCGGATTGTGTTGAGCTTTCGTTCGGCGTCCAATTGGGAGCGAGATAGTGGGAATGTAAGGATTGGGAATACATATCGGCCCCCCCCATCGAGTTGGTCGAGTTGGGATTCGTAATTTTGAGGCAAAGATGGAAGATTTTCGTATGAAGAGGACCATTCGCGTGCTGCATTACCCAAGCTCTGTGGAATATCGGCAGCTCCTCCAGTATTTTCTATGTAAAAAGCAGGAATGTTTTCTGATTCCGTGGTCATTTGCTGAGAGTATGGCGAGTTGTGAGAGATGTAGGGATGGTGTTGAGCAAGATCGCCTGTTTCCGGCTCTCCATGGGCGTAGTTGAGAGGCATCCGAGGGTCAGAAGTATCTCCATGCTTTTGCGGAGTAAGTATTATCATTGAATCCTGAAAGTGACTTGGATCTTTCAAGCCCCTGGACTTTTGGTAAACGCGCATATTGTCACAGATCATGGTTAGTAGAAATCGAGCTTTTACATCTCGCTGCGCGATCAAATCTTGCGGTGTTGAAGCTTTTCTAGTTGTTTCCAGCGCCGGTATATCTCTTAGCACGTCGGCGAAGATGAAATCCAAACATCTCCAAATGCGATTTACCTCTCTGCGCAGAGGAAATGTGAACACCTCTACTAGCAACAAGAATGCCGCATGGTATTGTTGATAGGCACTCGAATACCAAGACCATTGCTTGAGATCGTCCGACACTTCAAGCTCCATCGCAGCCTCCAATGCATCGGTTCCCTTGCTCAAAACAATTTGACGCAGCCGATCAGGAACCCTGTATGTCACACTGTTCATATAACGGTGTAAAAAGACCAGATAAAGCAGATTGGTGAATAGCTTCATCACCTGGCGGGCCATTCTTTGCATTGGACTCGGAGTTGCTGCGTCTAGAAAAAGACCATATTTTGCATCCATGGAAACCCGGAAAGCTTCTATTTTGGCAATTGCTTTCGTAAGACTGATCTTTTTTTGATCAACCCGGCTGCGTAAAACAAGACATTTTCGCTGCATCTCCTGGCATTCAAATCGGATCATGGAGAAAACCATATCATTCCATGTTGATGTTGATGTAGGAGTCGGTATTTGCGTTGTGTATCCATCATGATTTATATATGGCCGGGGTCCCTGTACCTCACTTGTCTTAAGGTCTAAATAACAAATTTGATACCATATGAGACGTCGGACTTGGCATTCTATCGGCGAAAACCCATACTCGGAAGGATCACGGTGAAGTCCCATGCACTCTGCTAGGCGAATCGCCATGCTTGTCAATAGCGAATGAGCACGGCGAATTTCATCAGCACACATTGATAGCTAGAGATATTTCGAGTCAGTCTTCCGAAGGCTAAACAAAATAATGGCAGCCCATCACTGGCAGTGTCAGACTAACCAGATACGCCACAAATGCCTGCAACGTCTCGACCTTCGAGCAATGTAGTAAATGAGCTCTGCCCAGCGAATTCTCTGTTCCATGCTTCAACTTATTTATCAACTCCTCCCGAGACTCTTGGCACAAATTCCATACTTGTGCTTCAGGCATGCTCACTACAGCTGAGAGAAGAACTGAAAATACAATTGCCGCTAGTGAGGGCGTAATATCTTCATGATAACCATCTTCGACAGCTTCCCAGAGTGTTTCATATCGTTGCGCAAATGAGGGGCGATGTAGAATACGAGCTACCGGATGGACAGAGTCCCAGTAGCGCTCAAGGAGCCTGTCTGCAATATTTCGAGTAACAATATTCTCCACTCGAGAGGCGCTGGGGGAGCCTTGGCTGAAGATAAAGTCGACCGGGAATGCTGACGAAGATTGCTTGAGCTTTATTGATCCCTTGGCCGAGTCTGAGTTTGGCGTTGATGATATCACTGAAGAACCTCGCTTTGGAATGTTCTCAAGAGAAGACAGAATCTGAAACAAATCAGTCGTTGTAACCCAAATATCTCGATCTTATCTACTATACCTCATCTGCTATTCGTGGGCGGTACAAGCCCCCAATTCTCTCACTCAGTCGCATTCGCCCAATTTTGAAACCTAAATCGTCCACAGCCCCATCTAAGTCATCCTCATACGCAGCATCATTAACGGCTAGGGGTGTAGGTTCCAGGAATCCATCATCCATCGAGCTGTCTGATTCATCACCACCCCGGACTTCGTCGAGGAGTCTCGACCGTTTGCGATGCGGTACTTTCCCCCCCCGGTTGCAGGCTTTGGCTTTCTATATTGTCCTGGAAGGAGGTCTCGATAGCATCCTTCGCTTCTTTCATTTGAACCAATCTCTCACGTAATTGAGCATCGTCACTGTTAGCGGAATTGACAAACACGCATTGTCTCCCGGATTTGCTGCAGTTATCACAAGGCTCCTAGTTGCGCTGTTAGATAAGCCTTTTCTACGGTTCATTTGCTAGATTGAAGTTACCCCTCTATCACATTTCATTTTTCTCCGACGACATTCCAGGCACGAGTGGATGATTCGATTGCGGCGACGAGCTTTCTCGCGGGCCTTGGACTCTCCATCCCCATTTCCAGTGCCACTTTCAGGCGAGATTCTCGGAGTCGATTGAATACTGGTTGAATGAGACATGTTTGCAGTCTGGTTCCTAGCAACGATGGAGGCTGAAGAGGGTGGGAAACCAGGAGGAGAATGTGGGGGCAATTTTGGGGCTGGGTTTTTTCCTAATGCAACTTGCTAACGCTTATCCCCAATAAGCCCTTGGCCTGAAGTAGACATTCCTGTTGAGCACGTGCAGAACCCTGAACACCCCAAATATCATTCTTATTGGCTTAAACCTGAGTGGGGCAGGTTTTTGGCAAATTTAGCGGAACCCTGTGGTGGCTTAGTTGCCGGGACGCCATTCCGTCGGCATAAGGCTGTGATGGAAAACAATAGCTTGGGGGCGCAGTTTCATTGGGATGGCGTTCTCGCTTATTTGGCAAAATGCGTTTCTATTTATGGTTAAATAGTGCGTGTTAACTATTGACGAACTTTTATCTCTCGTCTTAGGACCTCTACGTTGGATTCAGGCGGGCAGCCAAGGTCCACGAGTATTAACGGTCCACTAGATTAGCTTTTCTTACCCCACACCTCACACAAGCACACCACTAATATCATTACTAGTAGTTACCACCGTTTGTCATCCACTCCATTGCAATTGCTTCATGCCTCGTACCTCTCTGCGTATAGGCCTACAGGAGGGGGGGCTTAAATGACCAATTCGCATTCCCATTCTCTCGTAGGCTCTGGTATTCTTCTCCCGAGGTCTGGGTAGCCCCCAGTATCAGCTGGCTCGAAGCCGAAGTCACTGGAGAATTACTATTACAATCATACTATTCATCTGATCTTTCTTGAATTACCGAAAAGAAGTTCCAGGAATCCCGAATGTGAAAACTCATAAGTATGTCAAGAGTCGAGGTTCAAGTTTGATCAAATCGCATTTCGCCTTCTCTGCCTGCTAGCTACTATTTATATGTTACAAACTAATAAATCAGGCAATACGAAGTCCTACTGCTCTATCCAAATCACCAGTCAAGCTCCAATTCCGAATTACACAGTCACCCATCTTCCCATCCAAGTCCTCGTAATTTCCTTTGCTTCGTCGACCAGTCCCATTTCTGCTCAGTATAATTACATTAATCACACAAGAAGTGAAAGACTTGAGAGCGAATACATACCTAGGAGAAGCTGAACAGTACCCCGGACGGAACTTTCCAAAGCTGAAGCAACTAGAATGGCAAGTCAGCTTCGTCCAAAGTTTGGTGGAAAATTTGGAAAAAAAGAATTAGTTGTCACTTACTCCACGAATGAGTATACGAAGTATGCTCGCCGATGAAAATAATCTATCAAAATTAGTATCGAGCGCTTCGAGTTTCCATCGTTTGTAGACAACTATACTCACGTTTTTTTCGGTATTAAAGTAGGAGGGGATAAAAAGCTGATGCTGCCCAAGGCTTGGGAAAGCCCAGGAGCCACCAGCATTAGACTCCTCTTCTAGCCAACACAGGCGCTTGAAGTTGCCAGCGTATTGCTCGTAAACTATATCACCATGAAGCTGGGCAAATGCATCAAGCACGTATTGAGCATGTTCTTTTTCCGGGGTGGACACCCAGCGTTCACCGTAGTCATCCAGATTATAGCTTCCGAGGATAACGGCAGGGCCACTGCTGTTCATGTTGAATCCCGGATAACAAACATTCCCAATACCGGGAATGTCGGTTACGGTGTTACAACTTCCAAAAATGGGACGGGACAAGTGCTCCCAGAAACGTGTCTTAAACTCCAGGGCAACCTAAAAAGGTTAGCTTCTCCGGCTAGGACTGTAGTATAATCCATACCTTGCAGGCAGATGTGTATCCAAGAGAGGCAACAGCATGGCTTAATGTTGTAGATAAATCTGTCGTTCAAGATTAGTTTCGAAAGTTGAGAAATAATGGTGAGGTCAAAATACCTGGAAGTTCCCATTTCCGGACGACAGTGAAAGGAACCGCAACAAAGGTATAGTCATATTTGGCATTTTGAAATCCCCGATCGGTGTAGTTTTTCTTCCAGGATACCTGGACCTTTTCCTCGTCTTCGAGGTATTCAATTTTCTGAATTTTCCGATGATATTTGAGATCATCTCCAACTAGCGGCTTGAAGGCATTGGGGAGCCGACTCATTCCTAAGAAGAAATATTAGTTTCAAGTGATTCCAAAGTTGGAATTGAATATTTCAGTCTAACCTTTGTCAACGGTCTTCCATTCTGTAGAGGAGAAAAAGAGGTTGTCGTATCTGCAATGATAAAGTATAAGTTGTTAATCTCTCACCTGAACATTCATTCGGAATCTCACAAGTTAACCCAAAAAGGGGCGTCGACATTGGATAGGTCGCCAGCTATTTCGGTGGTATTGAGGTCAAAGCCTAAGAGGTTATGAAGGTAAGCCACCTGAGACCATTGATCTCCTCCTCTGCCGTTGAGGCCCACATCTAAAAGCATGTCAATGATTAATTCCAGAACCTTGGAAATAGGTAACTATACCAAGAAATTTCTTATGCGCCTCATATACGTTGCTTGCGATGAGTTTCATCATTGAGGGATCATACATGATCTTTCCTAGTTCGGCATTGAGCTTCTCCAAAACAGCAGTGTGGATTGTAGAAGCACCGAGCGAGCTATTCTTAGCGACATCGCCAATTGTTGGAATAGAACCATCTGGGTTTCGCTTGTTTCCATTGAGAGACAGCGCGTTGTCGCTATTCTGGATAAATGGAATCCAATCAACTTTGAATGACTCATGCTGCTTGTTCAATTCATTGAGCGTCTCGGAAAGCTGGAACACGATTCGGTGGGTCGTAAAATCCAATCTCAACGTCTCATTACCCAAAGGAATTGGTGCCGTCAGTGGAATTCGCATAGCGCCCATTTCTTGATATTGATAATTTGATTCGGGTAAGTCAAAGTATTCGGTCCGAATTCGACTAAATAATGTTAGCCCTGCCAGTTTTGCAAATTCAGAAAACCTACCCTCCAACGCGACCCGTAGACTCTGAAATTTCGATGTTTTGAAATCCCACGCTTTGAAGAAGGAACTTTGAAGCTAGTTAGTACTCATATTTTGACCGGATTGCTGTAAGCATAGGAAACCTACATGGGTCATCAAGCCCGATATTCCAGCGCCTAAAATGCCGATAGCTAGAATAAAACTGTTAGTTATTGAATTTTGGGAGAATTTGGAGCGATTACATTTTTCTTTGATTTTCTTTGCATCCACGGCGCCAAAGTCCTTGCTTTTGAGCAAAGTCACGCCATTGAACCAAGGACCTTCTGCATCAATACCAGATTCGTTTGTCATAGGAATACGATCGCGCTTGGTGAAGCTGTCTTGTAGGATGCTGTCCAGTGACAGAGGCTCACTTTGACCGATTCGAGCACCTTCCATATCCCACGCTGCGATACATCCTCCTGATGAGACATCGTTTGGCACAGCCCAGACCAGTCGACTGTCGTGCCCAGAAGAAGGGCCACTTGGAATAGTTGCGACACGATGGAGCGAATCAACAGGACTGGCACTATCGCAACTACCATATGTGAAAAGATGCTTTCCAAAGTCAGACTCGCGATAAACGAGGTGCACATTGACAATATTTGGTGCAGTAACATCATTCACGGAGATTCCGATGTTCCTGGACAAGGCGGCTGCTAGGGTCACGGGAAGGATACTAGATCCAGCAAGAATCCACCGCATTTTGTAGTGGTTCAGGTTGATTTGAGAAAAGTTCTTGAATTCTAAATCATCTTCTGTGCGTGCCCCAGCTCTTAAATTCAATGCTATGAATGTTATTCCGCTCGAGGATATAGATTATTCGGCCGTATCAGCTTACATTTTACGGAAGATGATCTTTTCAGATCTTTAAATTGCGGTCGGATAATACGGAGTAGAAAATTTTGGACTAGCAGCCAGTTCGTGAATGGAAAAAGGGGTACGGCCGTAAGAATATCGCACTACCCAGGTAGCATACTCCCGCCATTCATGCGGTTGGGTTAGAATGACACTCGACTTTGAGTCGTTGTATCCTGTTGGGCGAGGGCCATCTTCCTACTACGAAATTCCCTCCTAGTCTCATGCTGTATCTATTTACGAAACTGGCTGTAAAGCTTCGGGGGCTATCTAAGAAGTCAAACGAACCCATTTATCAATATATGGGGCGGACTTGAGAGACATTCTTATCTACTTAATTCCAAGGTTAATCAAGGAAGATGCCTCACTAATTAATATCGACATGTTGTTAAATATGCGTTGCAAATTCTCAATAACAATTGCAGATCACTCGATATTGGCTTCTTCGGTAAATAAAATGTCGCGACAAAGTCACTGTTACTAGTCGAATACATTGCCCATTACTTGGCAATTAGTAATTAGCCTGCTTATCAAAGCAGTAACCTTTGTTAAATAGCTTTTTGCCCTTATTATGGAATGGACCAGACTTTCATGCAAGAGCAATTACCATTACCAAAATGGCAACTAGCGGCCTATGTGGTCGTGAAATAAAACGTTTTTTCAGGTGCAGAGGATCCAATCACTTGAACGAATCCTGATTCTGTAACAACGATAAGAATTAAGTACTTGGAATAATGACAATATGAAATGCGTGAATCGTAACATGAAGCCTCGAACATGTCTATGAGCATCAAAAGGAATCAAAAACTCGCACTCTAGCGCACAAAAAAAAATCTCAACGAAGAAAGAAATTTTCTGACGTCTAGCTATCACACTGAATTGTTGTACTCGGTCTTTTCCTCTAGTAGTTTCACGTTTTCAGCAGCTACCTTCGTATAGTTTCCGCGCATCTGTTCAAGACAGAATCCAGGATGCGCAATGCAAAGAGCTACCACAGACAGAACACACATTCTAAAGTAGGCAGAATTTATCAGCATAATCTGCCAATTTTACCTCATGTGTAAACAGTTCGGGGTAAATATTGGATGAGCAACTCACATCGACTCGCAAACAATGAAGCCGGTCTCGTCTTGCATGATAGAGTTTCTCCAACCTCCGGCCATTTCAGCAATACTGCAAAAGAAAGAATAAAAGTTTAGCTTCCCAATAACCTGCTTGTCGTCTTTGATGGAAAGCTTACCGGTAGACACATCGGATATAGGTGGTAGTGAACGCGACAACAATACCCCAGCAGAAGAACCAGAACTTGCGGCTTTTCCACAACTTCTGGGCATCCACAGACAACTGATACTTGGGTGCTTTCTTGACTCGGAGAAAGAATTGGACAGAGAGAATGCCAAACACTGTCAAGGTGGCAACTTGCCAGACAATTCCAGCTAGCATGACATCGCTCCCAACTGCGCTCCCCTGAGTGGTAGTTGCTGTAGCGGCGAGTCCGCCACCAGCACCTTGCAATGACAGTGATATTAGATCACACGTCACAAAAATAAAGGGATACCATTTAGCCCTCAAAACTGAGAATTTAGGACCCAGAATGTTCACCTCGTGCTTCAAGGTCAAGTAAATAGCAGCCGACCAAAAAGCGGGGGCCATGGTGAGAGTGCATATCTGTGTCTCAAATCCCGTAGAGGAGTAGGCATTATTGTGCAAAAGTATGCGACCAACATATCCTATGAAGAATACTAATTAGTTTTGTTCTGAAAATTCACCCGGGCGCCCACGGATACTTGGAATTCACTTACCGGCGACCTCAGAGATAGATCCAAGAAACATGGCCACACCGAAGGACCAGGTGCGCCATTTCAGCATTTGAATCACCTGTACCAAGGCGCAAATTGCAAATATGATGCAAAAAGCATAGCTTGCCACGGCATTGGGCGCATAGCCGTAGATAGTTCCCTCCACTGGGCAGTCAGGAGTAACCTCCGTGCACTCGGAAGGGGGGGTTCTGCTCGCAATCATATCTTGAAATATGCAAAAGATAAAACAATAAACTGGGAGTCTTATTGAACGTTGGAATAATAGAGTTTAAGAGTGCTGATCTATCATTGTGCAGACAAAATCATGGGGTTAGCCACATTTATACCTAACACTAGGACTGGACTCGGCCCGCAACTGAGAGTGCAATGAAGTTTTTCTGACTTCAGCTGAGAACTCAGGGCTCTGGATGCTCGCCGGGTCCTTCTAAATTTACACCCTATCATCTTATCTAAACCAGTTGCCAATCAACTTGCGTTTAGAAGTGCCGGGAGGCATCCTACCGGCCGTAGATCTCATCTCCTGGGATCCTTGGAAGATTGCTTACTGTGGAGTATATGAACAAAGCCTCGGGGTATAGTCTAAGAAGTGGGGTACTAGTAAATATTTAATTTCAGGTGATTGTACTATTCGTTGCTCGTCGTCCGGCTAGTTGTCAAAGATCGCCGTGTTGACCGGAGTGCCAAGACATCAGGGCTTACGGCCGTAAGTCTCGACTTGAGAGTTCGACAGACGCCTTGGCTTCGTTCTCGATGCATTGACATACTTTTTATACGGCCGAAAGTTGAAGGAAACCTCAAAATCCTGATGTTATAAATAACCATATGCATTTACTCTTTATGTATTGGTCTCGCAAAGTTAAGATCAATCTCGTCTCAAACGCAGTAATTCTCATTTCTTTTTCAATTATCTTTTTCTAAAGAAAGCCCAGGCCATTTCGACCGTCGGTAATTATTTGAAGCAAAATGTCGAATCGTGAATACTACGGAAATAGTGTGCCTGAGTGTACATTTCAAGTGAATGGATCTCAACAACCTCATTATCTAACAAACACAGACTCCTCTTCTAGCCAAGTAAGATAATCAAGTACTCGTCTTAGCGGCTCAACACTGACTAGATTTCTCACTATTAAAAGGAGGAGCCGTTGGGAACTGTTTCAAACCACCAAAATATGACATTTGATCAACAACGCCAATGGGAAAACTTCGATTCAGCCGAAAAAAATAACGGAAGTTCCAGCCAGGAAAAGGGTCTCGGTGCAACAGTAGTTGGAGGCGCGGGAGTATGTATAGACCAGCTTTGGAATCTTGAACAGTATTTTTTCTGATTTTTGTTCTTTTTCACAGGGCGCTTTTCTTGGGCACAAGGTTGGGAAAAAGTCAGACCACGGTACCCTAGGAGCAATTGGTGGTGCTTTGGCAGGAGCAGTCGTGGCAAACATGGCTAGCAATGTTGTTAAAGGGCACCATGGAGGTCATGGATCCGCGCGTGATCGTCGTCGCGAAAGGTTAGAAAGAAAGATTGACAGACTCGGCTAGTCGTTGAAGCCTTGGAAGGATTCAACCGGTTCTCTATTTTCATGTCGCTTTTGGGTCTCCTTTATTATTCGGTGTATTTTATATATCATTCTTCTAATATTCAAGCCTGTATAGTTATATTTCTACTTTGAGCTCCGTCTTCCTGGTTATTTGCCAGCTTTATAGGGGGCCTAATAGCTAACTATGGGTGTACTAATATTTCGGGAGCTGCTCTATTTTATGCAGACCCTCTCAGGAGTGGTCATAAATCAAAACCAAAGCGAGCACTGTTTGTCAACCCCCAATAGTTCCATATAAGTTGCCGGGGAGGGGGTCTATCAAATTCTTGAAATCCTTTTCAAATAAATGAGGTCCTTTTGTCCTGTTTGAACAATATCGCCATACCAAAACCCGAAGACTAAACAATACTCCTAGAGGATACCCATAAATTCAAGTTAGACGCCTAAATATAGTTCAACTCAAATAATTCTGAGTCCTTGGCTTGAATACGATTTCGAATTTTCAGTGGGCATGATGGGCAAATCCTGTTCTGCTGTCGGCATGAGATCCAGAGCGGGCTGAGCTTACGGCCGTGGGCGCTCCGGCCGTAGGAATATGTGGGGCAGCTGAGACCCGACCGCAAAAAAGGAATAAGCCATTGCAATGCTTAGCACCTACGAGCAAATTCCCAAAATGCTTAAGTTCAAGTTGTTTCTAGTATATATAGTCATAATTCATTTCAAGTTGGAACCAGATCTTCACATTGGAATACGATAAGGCAGTACTACCAGATACGAACAACAAACACTCGATCTCGCCATGCAACCGCACGAAATTCTTGCCTGTATAGAGCTTGCACTCTATGTAGGTATCTTGGGCCCTGTGACCTTTTGTACAATTTATTATCTCTTCAAGAGACAAACGGCATGGCTTTACCTCCAAGCATTCACCACTGGTAAGAATCCACATCTTCCCTTAATACCATGTTTTGCAAAGGCTTATCATTAATAGCAAAAATTGCCGGTCCTGCCCTCCTAATATACATCTCTCGAAATTCACCGGCATCTTCGGGCGTTCAGATAGCTGCCCAGATTTTGTACCAGATTGCTCTGGGTCCTCTCATGTCTGCTACGCTCTCCTTCATCAACATTTTTTCAACAACAGACGACATAAAGGCAGGGCCTGCGTACTCTCCGCTTGCCCCCTCAAATGGCTCGAGCATTTCATCACTTATACTACGTCTTGTTCACCCTGTCATTATAGTTGGCCTAGTGATGGGGATTATTGGTGGCATTGACCGCATGCCCGATAGCTCAACTGGGGCCATTAATCCCGACAAGTATGACCGTGGTGCAACACTCTCAAAGGTTTCAGCTGCGATGTTCCTCATAGCATTCGCAGCTATCGTGTTCGGTGTGATGAGATTATGGAAGCACCGAAAGTCATTGACGACAGTCTCATATTATATTATCACTGGGATGCCGATCATCCTACCACTCCTATTTCTACGAATTCTGTATTCTCTTCTGAATGCAGCAAATCTTGACACCACAGGTCATACTGGGCACACCACCAGACTTAATATCATGACGGGCAGCTGGGCGATATACTTTATCATGGGATTTATTCCACAGGCCACGATCATTACCATGTATGTCGGGGGTGGACTCATGGCCTATATGAAGATCAGGAGTGGCAGGAGAATGTGAGAAAAGTTCAAGTTCACCCTTTGCCATAATTTTGATTGGCGAAGAAAAATCATAAAACTTCCTCCCGTTTTGCTTTATGATCCGCACCTTTATCAATCATGATGTTTTATCTCTTGATTTTGTTCGTCGTTCTGCTTTGTGGCTTCAGGCTTCAGGTCGCTACTACTATCTTATGATTTTTGTTTTAAATCTTTTTGTTTCTCTTCCTGGGCCCTAATATACTAAAATTGTATTAATTAATTGAGTTTAGCTTTTTGAAGTTGCTAAGATAATTTCAATAATGCCAAGCTAAATCTGTCCGATAGCTCAGGTCCCAAAAAAGCGCGCTTAGAGCTTGGCTGCCACTGTATATTCAATTTTGTACAGGAAATAAATAATAAGTTATATAGAAGGACCATGGTCTATTTAGCAAAAAAAATGGTTCAACGAGTACTACCACGCAGAAAAAACGACCGGTAATGCAACCCTACTAATTCAAGGTTGGAAGGTGCCCTGGTCCAAGTAGCGGGAAATGGGCACAGGGAGGTCCGATTAACAAAAAGGATAGTCCTCTTAGCAGCCCTCGAGGGCTTTTTCTAAACTCCCATACCTTCTCTCTTCATTCAAGCACAGTGTCATCTTGTGCGGTGCCCTCGGAGCAAATGGAGAAAGTCCATCTGGGGAGCGCGGTGGATTCATCACAAGACGCTTAGCGTGCTGAGAAGCCGACAAGAGAACTATAGGCCAAAGAAAAGGGGGTGACGAAACTCCGGAGCTCGGTGATCCGGGTAATAGATCAATGGCGAGAATGCCTCAGCTGCTGCGACCAGGGAGGGGGCAAAAAACCAACATTTCGAGAGGTTGGACGAGGGCAGGTCGAAACTTATTATACTACCACGCAGGGATGCGCATAGGGACACCGGACGCTAACTCAAGTTAATAGAGGCAAAACCGGCTGAAATATTTAACAATTCTCCGATATGGTGCAATTCGGGGTGATGGTAAAAATGCCATCATTATGCGTGGCCTTTCAAGGGAAAATCGTGGTCATTTCACCAAGGGCTCATGGTACAGCACAGCATTCAGTATTAACTGAATCTGGTTTAGCTCCGTTACCAGAATAAGCAGGTGCCTATCATAAGTGCCATCCATGTATTCATACGCAGATGATGGAACTCATGTATTGCAGTCTTTACTATCTACCAACAGTCCTGTTAGCCTACCTGATTGACCGAAGGTCGCACTAATATGGCTGAGTCACATGGTAGGAGTGAAGTTATTGTGCCTTGCGTGTTGAGGGCTCCGTCCTACGGGTATCTGATACAACGTTATTAGATAAGACATTCCATGGTTAGTGGAAGCATAACTATGTAGTAGCCTCTCATGATGGGATTTTTCAGAATTTTTGTGGTCGCCCAAAGCCCGCCTATGATGTGTATGTACCATGGCAGTTGCCTCCTGGTGTCTTCCAAGATCATAGTTATGAGTGACAAATATTGTCGTCATCATTGTCAAATAAGTCCCTTTATATACGGCAAGCTCGGCGCATCTATGATTTTGTATGTCTTTAGCTGCGAACATTGAAAATGATGTCCTTTCAAGATTTCCTTCCATCTGCCACACCCAGATATAGATATAAGGGTTATCATGAATGCCTCAGGCTCTTCGAAGAGGAGTATGATAAGCTTCAGCATGAAGAAGATCCACTCGGATGCGCGTATAACCCTTATTTCATTATGGATATTGACGAACGCTCCTTCCTGGAGTGTTTTGTCAACTCAGAGGAAAAACTACTGACGCTGTCTTGGGAAGTTTATGATCATGTCCACCAGTCCGCACTATTCAGAATGGAGTCCTCAGAGCACGCTACTGCCTCCGGGGCTTTCAATACTATCTTCTCTGCCTGGGCCAGGCGCGTGACCGAGCCCTTTCTATCAAATACCGGCGCCAGAACGGTCCGTGGTGTCACCCGCACTAAGAAAGCCGATATCTCGTGGACACCAGCGGAGGTGCCGAGTAGTCGATCGCACAAATGGCCAACTTTTGTTGGTGAAGTTGCTTGGTCAGAACCTCGCTCAAAGTTGAAAGCAGATATGAAGTTTTGGCTAGAAGACCCGGAGAGTTCTGTGAACGTCGCCATAACCATCAGTGTGCTCCGCGGTCGGATTTTGATCGAGATGTGGGAAGTTCTCGATAATAAGCCTCCATCACCGACCCAAATGATCGAAATTATCCGCAGTCCCAAGCCTGGCTGTCCTCAAATCAGCGGTCAGTTAGAGATCCAGTTCTCCGACGTTTTTTTGAGGGAACCGAAGCCTAAAACAAAGGAGCGGAATTTCATTCTTACGACAGCGGATATGCATGAGTTGGCGGCTCATATCTGGGAATACCAATACTCAGTCGGCTCAAACAACTCCCAGTAACGGCATAGTGATAATTTGGCAGTGTGGACCGCAGGGCATTGGTTGTTATTCTTATTGTCATTCTTATCATTAATTTTATTATCCTTATTATCATTATTATTAGCGCCGTTCTCATAGTGTGACTCTAAGGAGGTGTTTGCATTAACCATCATCATAGGTCCACACCTAGCCGCGATCAGGATTCCGTTGAGGAAATACAACTTGAAGACGGCATATCAATGCACGGCGGGGAGGAACATCAAAACAATTGCTCTTGTTATGTAAACGCCGATGTAGGAAGAGCATACAGATGAACTGTTTGGATTGAGGTCGTCGCTGTGTGTGAAGGCGTAGTATAGGGGTAGATAAGACTTGATTGAATCTTCAAGTAACTGAACCTGATGATCAAAATTTCAATATGTGGATGAATGATCTGAACTAATAAGCCTGACCAAAAACCAGAACATGCCTAAACACAGCCGGAAGCACAATCTTATTCACAATTTCGAACTTCCTAACCATGACCTCATAATCGCTTGTCGGTACATTTCTGGGTCTTGCTTTAGATGCCTAACGTGTGTGCTCTCCTGGAACTTGACTTGCTCTACTGAGCTTTTCCGCTAAGCATTCTTAGCATATTCCTCCACTATCAAGGAATTCGCATAACCTGCCTGGAGGCCTGAAGCCCATCAGAATTCTACATAACGTGATGATTGAACGGATCGCAGTGCAAGCACTGCCGAGCCGGAGAACTTTACAAGATCAAGTTTCGGCCGGATGGCAATTCCGCAGGAACAGGGTTCATCAGATCTTGGATCTAAAAGATCAAGATGATGCCTACAAATTGATGTCTTCATAATGATGGCCGCAATGGGTAGGAGATATGAGAACTGTATGATAAATAGTTCTACAGATGGTGCACTTTAATAATGCTGGCAAGAATTAGTTTTGATACAAATTCAGACTTCCTGTTTTGCGGATCCCCTACGAATTGCTATCGATTCCTACCGGGTTGACAGGTGATACGCCTGACACAGGTATATCTTACAATAATTTAATCCTGCTCGCTAAATAGATCCGATAAGAAGTGTAAAAGGCTACGGCCGAATTGATCCATTCAATTGAGCGGTGCCTGCGGGCTGTTTACATAGTCTTAAGGAAGAGTATTATCTAGGAGGCCAGAATAGGTATAACTTGATATTTTATACTCAACTCATTTTATATTAAAATGAATGGGCTAACAATGATATCCTAAAGGAACTGCGCTGTCTGGGCCGATCTTGACAAGTGGGAGGCGGCGCCCAAAGCATGGATCCAGGAGTATGACGATTGCGGATGGCAAAATTGCCTCAGATGCAACGATTAGGGTGGAGGGGCGAAAAACAATAATGTCGAGGTGTTGGATGGGAGAGGGGAAGTCGAGAGTTATATACTACCACACACAGGAGTGCAGAGCGACCGACCACGCTAAACTGAAACCTTGATACACTAAACTGGATTAATCTCCATCACTTGTCCAATATGGTGTAAATGGGGGATACGGTGGAACTTCCACGATATGTTGTGGACTTAAAGACAGAAAACCATGGTGTCTCCACGCAGACGTATTTTCAGTCTGGATGACACCGCTGGCGCTAAGCCCAAGTTGGAGTAGGTGAGATGGATAGAACTTCTTACTGGTCGAGCGCCAGATCTATAGAACGGCGCTTCTATCATGAGTGCTAATAGAGCATATAAAAGGACCTCTCAATATTTGCCTTCCTTTGCGTACTAATTCACTTTTTAACCTGTTTCTCCTATCACCTCCACCCGGTCATTTCACGCTCTTTCAATCGCAATATGTCTTCTTTTGATTAGAATTCGTTTATGCCACGAGATTCGAGTATACAATACCCCGGTCCTCCGAGGTCGATCCAGGGTCGAATCCCCTTCGAGCCGCCGGCATATCGAGATCCACCCGAGCCCTAGTATTATTAGATCCCACAAGCATCCAGGGTTCTTGATCTCTTCAAGAATCAGTCTGTGTATCAACTGTCCAATCTGATCTCTACTATCTAATATCCTTGCCTAGTCACAAGTCTCTAGCCTAACAGCTTAGTAACCATTACACTGGCCCTCAGCATCCACAGCAGAACTCTTATAATATTTCTCTTAGTATACCGATACCGCTACCTCAGCCTCAGCAGCCTTTTTAGAAAGAAGAGTTCATAAGGGGGAATATAGTTATTATTGATACTATCGAACGAACGCTACTTAATCTCACAAAACGAAATTATGGCCTTGTTGCTAAGGCCTTAGTCACATAACTACAGGATACTGATGTTGAGAGCGGAAATCCCAATTACATACCACCCTCCCCGAAAACTTGACCGTCCCTTGGTTAATTAGAAACAAAAGAAACAAAACTTTGATATTAACTTATGTAATACCTCACATCAATAGAGGCCTAGACTTCTTTATCTAGATCAGCTTCCGCCTTAGGAGTAGGAGGCTGTATACTCAACGATAATTCGTTTTTGACAGAAGTATCTACGGTTCTGTCGGGCAATAGACCTAGTTCAGGATCATCAGTAAGCATACCTTTTTCAATATGGTAGAAGAAGGAGTTTTTGCCATACT